AAGAATTTCGAAAAAATTGAAAAAAATTGAAAAAAAAATGAGAGAGTGTTGTTTGCTGTAGAGACGCAGACAACGAGAGAGCGCACACACCTCGCGTCGCCCTGTGGATATTGTGCAATTTGAGTTTCGAAGGTTATAAGTTGAGAGGCAGTACCTCTCAACTTATAAATGAATCGAGAGGCAGTACCTACTCGATCTATAAAAAACTTTCGAAACTCGCATAAATTGAGCTTTTTTTTGAATTTAAATTGAAACTTAGTTTTTAGAATTACTTATTTTTTAATTAGAGTAATTTTAATCAGATATTTAGTACGATTAAGGTAGTTAGGTTCTAAAAATTGGGTTTTTTTAATTCATAAAAGGGTTCAATTTGAGTTTCGAAGGTTATAGGTTGAGAGGCAGTACCTCTCAACTTATAAATGGATCGAGAGGCAGTACCTACTCGATCTATAAAAAACTTTCGAAACTCGCATAAATTGAGCTTTTTTTGAATTTAAATTGAAACTTAGTTTTTAGAATTCATTATTTTTTAATTAGAGTAATTTTAATTAGATATTTAGTTATATTAAGGTAGTTAGGTTCTAAAAATTGGGTGTATTTTTAAATTTATTAAAGGGTTCAATTTGAGTTTCGGAAGTTATGAGTTGAGAGGCAGTACCTCTCAACTTATAAATGGATCGAGAGGCAGTACCTACTCGATCTATAAAAAACTTTCGAAACTCGCATAAATTGAGCTTTTTTTTAAATTTAATTTGAAATTTAGTTTTTAGAATTAATTATTTTTTTATTAAAGATTTATTAATTAGGAAATTAGTAATATTTAAGTAGTTAGCTTCTAAAAATTGGGTTTTTTTTAAAATTTATTAAAGGGTTCAATTTGAGTTTCGGAAGTTATGAGTTGAGAGGCAGTACCTCTCAACTTATAAATGGATCGAGAGGCAGTACCTACTCGATCTATAAAAAACTTTCGAAACTCGCATAAATTGAGCTTTTTTTTAAATTTAATTTGAAATTTAGTTTTTAGAATTAATTATTTTTTTATTAAAGATTTATTAATTAGGAAATTAGTAATATTTAAGTAGTTAGCTTCTAAAAATTGGGTTTTTTTTAAAATTTATTAAAGGGTTCAATTTGAGTTTCGGAAGTTATGAGTTGAGAGGCAGTACCTCTCAACTTATAAATGGATCGAGAGGCAGTACCTACTCGATCTATAAAAAACTTTCGAAACTCGCATAAATTGAGCTTTTTTTTAAATTTAATTTGAAATTTAGTTTTTAGAATTAATTATTTTTTTATTAAAGATTTATTAATTAGGAAATTAGTAATATTTAAGTAGTTAGCTTCTAAAAATTGGGTTTTTTTAAAATTTATTAAAGGGTTCAATTTGAGTTTCGGAAGTTATGAGTTGAGAGGCAGTACCTCTCAACTTATAAATGGATCGAGAGGCAGTACCTACTCGATCTATAAAAAACTTTCGAAACTCGCATAAATTGAGCTTTTTTTTTGAATTTAAATTGAAACTTAGTTTTTAGAATTAATTATTTTTTTATTAAAGATTTATTAATTAGGAAATTAGTAATATTTAAGTAGTTAGCTTCTAAAAATTGGGTTTTTTTCTAAATTTATTAAAGGGTTCAATTTGAGTTTCGGAAGTTATGAGTTGAGAGGCAGTACCTCTCAACTTATAAATGGATCGAGAGGCAGTACCTACTCGATCTATTAAAAACTTTCGAAACTCGCATAAATTGAGCTTTTTTTAAATTTAATTTGAAATTTAGTTTTTAGAATTCATTATTTTTTAATTAGAGTAATTTTAATTAGATATTTAGTTATATTAAGGTAGTTAGGTTCTAAAAATTGGGTTTTTTTTTAAATTCATAAAAGGGTTCAATTTGAGATTCGAAGGTTATAGGTTGAGAGGCAGTACCTCTCAACTTATAAATGGATCGAGAGGCAGTACCTACTCGATCTATAAAAAACTTTCGAAACTCGCATAAATTGAGCTTTTTTTGAATTTAAATTGAAACTTAGTTTTTAGAATTCATTATTTTTTAATTAGAGTAATTTTAATTAGATATTTAGTTATATTAAGGTAGTTAGGTTCTAAAAATTGGGTGTATTTTTAAATTTATTAAAGGGTTCAATTTGAGTTTCGGAAGTTATGAGTTGAGAGGCAGTACCTCTCAACTTATAAATGGATCGAGAGGCAGTACCTACTCGATCTATAAAAAACTTTCGAAACTCGCATAAATTGAGCTTTTTTTTGAATTTAAATTGAAACTTAGTTTTTAGAATTAATTATTTTTTTATTAAAGATTTATTAATTAGGAAATTAGTAATATTTAAGTAGTTAGCTTCTAAAAATTGGGTTTTTTTTTAAATTTATTAAAGGGTTCAATTTGAGTTTCGGAAGTTATGAGTTGAGAGGCAGTACCTCTCAACTTATAAATGGATCGAGAGGCAGTACCTACTCGATCTATAAAAAACTTTCGAAACTCGCATAAATTGAGCTTTTTTTAAATTTAATTTGAAATTTAGTTTTTAGAATTAATTATTTTTTTATTAAAGATTTATTAATTAGGAAATTAGTAATATTTAAGTAGTTAGCTTCTAAAAATTGGGTTTTTTTAAAATTTATTAAAGGGTTCAATTTGAGTTTCGGAAGTTATGAGTTGAGAGGCAGTACCTCTCAACTTATAAATGGATCGAGAGGCAGTACCTACTCGATCTATAAAAAACTTTCGAAACTCGCATAAATTGAGCTTTTTTTTTGAATTTAAATTGAAACTTAGTTTTTAGAATTAATTATTTTTTTATTAAAGATTTATTAATTAGGAAATTAGTAATATTTAAGTAGTTAGCTTCTAAAAATTGGGTTTTTTTCTAAATTTATTAAAGGGTTCAATTTGAGTTTCGGAAGTTATGAGTTGAGAGGCAGTACCTCTCAACTTATAAATGGATCGAGAGGCAGTACCTACTCGATCTATTAAAAACTTTCGAAACTCGCATAAATTGAGCTTTTTTTTAAATTTAATTTGAAATTTAGTTTTTAGAATTCATTATTTTTTAATTAGAGTAATTTTAATTAGATATTTAGTTATATTAAGGTAGTTAGGTTCTAAAAATTGGGTTTTTTTTTAATTCATAAAAGGGTTCAATTTGAGTTTCGAAGGTTATAGGTTGAGAGGCAGTACCTCTCAACTTATAAATGGATCGAGAGGCAGTACCTACTCGATCTATAAAAAACTTTCGAAACTCGCATAAATTGAGCTTTTTTTGAATTTAAATTGAAACTTAGTTTTTAGAATTCATTATTTTTTAATTAGAGTAATTTTAATTAGATATTTAGTTATATTAAGGTAGTTAGGTTCTAAAATTGGGTGTATTTTTAAATTTATTAAAGGGTTCAATTTGAGTTTCGGAAGTTATGAGTTGAGAGGCAGTACCTCTCAACTTATAAATGGATCGAGAGGCAGTACCTACTCGATCTATAAAAAACTTTCGAAACTCGCATAAATTGAGCTTTTTTTTAAATTTAATTTGAAATTTAGTTTTTAGAATTAATTATTTTTTTATTAAAGATTTATTAATTAGGAAATTAGTAATATTTAAGTAGTTAGCTTCTAAAAATTGGGTTTTTTTTTAAATTTATTAAAGGGTTCAATTTGAGTTTCGGAAGTTATGAGTTGAGAGGCAGTACCTCTCAACTTATAAATGGATCGAGAGGCAGTACCTACTCGATCTATAAAAAACTTTCGAAACTCGCATAAATTGAGCTTTTTTTTTGAATTTAAATTGAAACTTAGTTTTTAGAATTAATTATTTTTTTATTAGAGTAATTTTAATTAGATATTTAGTTATATTAAGGTAGTTAGGTTCTAAAAATTGGGTTTTTTTAAATTCATAAAAGGGTTCAATTTGAGATTCGAAGGTTATAGGTTGAGAGGCAGTACCTCTCAACTTATAAATGGATCGAGAGGCAGTACCTACTCGATCTATAAAAAACTTTCGAAACTCGCATAAATTGAGCTTTTTTTGAATTTAAATTGAAACTTAGTTTTTAGAATTCATTATTTTTTAATTAGAGTAATTTTAATTAGATATTTAGTTATATTAAGGTAGTTAGGTTCTAAAAATTGGGTGTATTTTTAAATTTATTAAAGGGTTCAATTTGAGTTTCGGAAGTTATGAGTTGAGAGGCAGTACCTCTCAACTTATAAATGGATCGAGAGGCAGTACCTACTCGATCTATAAAAAACTTTCGAAACTCGCATAAATTGAGCTTTTTTTTAAATTTAATTTGAAATTTAGTTTTTAGAATTAATTATTTTTTTATTAAAGATTTATTAATTAGGAAATTAGTAATATTTAAGTAGTTAGCTTCTAAAAATTGGGTTTTTTTAAAATTTATTAAAGGGTTCAATTTGAGTTTCGGAAGTTATGAGTTGAGAGGCAGTACCTCTCAACTTATAAATGGATCGAGAGGCAGTACCTACTCGATTTATAAAAAACTTTCGAAACTCGCATAAATTGAGCTTTTTTTGAATTTAAATTGAAACCTAATTTTTAGAATTACTTATTTTCTATTAGAGATTTATTAATGAGATATTTAGTTATATTTGGGTAGTTAGGTTCTAGAAATTAGGTTTTTTTAAAGTTCATAAGAGGGTTCAATTTGAGTTTCGGAAGTTATGAGTTGAGAGGCAGTACCTCTCAACTTATAAATGGATCGAGAGGCAGTACCTACTCGATTTATAAAAAACTTTCGAAACTCGCATAAATTGAGCTTTTTTTTGAATTTAAAATGAAACTTAGTTTTTAGAATTACTTATTTTTTATTAGAATAATTTTCAATTGTTGTTCAAAAATACTCGATTCCCGCGCACTGGAGAAAGAGAGCCCTAGAAATCCAGAGAAAAAAACACGTTTTTAATTTTAAATATTTATTTTAAAAATCTACAACAAAAATAACAAATCCTACATCTAATTAATTAACCTAATTAATACCTGTATTTTCCAATATTTTTAGGTAGTTTTACATCATCAAAATGATTGAAAATCTCTTCCCCGTAAATAGAATTCTCCTTTTCAAAAAATCGACATAATTTCTTCAAATCTTTATTTGATTTCATCATTTTTGCACTTCCAATCAATATAAATTGTCGTTTTGCTCGAGTAATTGCCACATTTAATCGACGTGTATCTCGAAGAAATCCAATTGTTTCATTTTTGTTATCTCGAACTAGACAAAATATTACAATTTCACTTTCATTTCCTTGAAATGCGTCAACTGTTTTGACGTTGACATTATTTGGAAGAAGTTTTCGTAATTCTTCATTTTGTGCATAATATGGTGAAATTACTACGATTTTTTCTGCATCGACACCAACATCGTAGATCAAACGATTCACATATCGATTTATTATCTCGAGTTCTTCTGCAAAAATTTGAGTTTTTGAGAACTTGAACAGTATAATTGTATAATCAAAATCTCACAATTTTAGTTTGGTTTCATTTAGAAAAGTTTTAGAACTTATATTATTTATTTTCAAGACTAACCTCGATTAACAAACGACGAAACCGATTCATCTCTTGTCTCCCTCGTCCGATTCTCAATTCGATCCATATCAATCATCAAAATCGGTGAATTTATAGGATTATCGATAGATAAATTAGGATACAAATCTGATAATCGAATATTTTCAACATTTTCATGTGATGTCAATTGTGAATCATAAAATAATTCATTTGACCATTCCATTATTTTCGAATTCATTCGATGTTGTTGATTCAATAATATATTCAAATTACATCCTTTGAATTCTTCTGTAAGTCTTTGCATCAATGAAACTTCCAATTTATGCTTTCGAGACCTAAATTCAAATTTTTTTTTTAAATATTTTAAAGATCGTAAACTTACTCATCTGCCATAACCACTGCTGGTAATTGTTTATGATCTCCAACCAACACAACTTTCTTACATTTTCTCATTGATAAAATAGGAATCCATGTGACAGGTTCACTACATTGTGCAGCTTCATCAATTATAATTGTTGAACCATCAAATCCATACCATTTTAGGCGTTTCAAAATTGAGCTATGCAACGTTGAAAAAATTGCGAGTTTTTCGCCGAAAATGTCCGAATATGATTCTTCTTTCAATTTGTTGATGTACTTTTTGATCTTGTTTTTGGTCAACTCGTCGTTTTCGTTGAACTGAAATTGGGATATTTAATATTGATTAGTGGATCCTGCGAGTTTTTAGGTGAGATTTCTCAATGCACTGTTTTGAGTCACCCTTTTCCAAAGAAAAACTAAAAAAAAATATTATCTGGCGTGACCGAGTTTTTGAGACGTGGCTAATTTTTTCTATTTTCCCCCAATCGGCATTTTTAGCTTCACGGAACAAAGAAAATCAAACCATAGGAAAAATGCAAAGAAATAATGATTTATGTGAGTTTCTGTCGGGAGAACTTGTGCTAAATCGATATGTTCCGCTTTTCAAAAAATTTCTAAAGCGGGTGATTTCATGGGTTTTTGTTAGATAAAATCTGGCTTGTTCCCAAAATCAACTTAAAACTCACAAACATTTTCGAATGTTCCACAATAACCGGATAATTCTGATGTTCCTCCAATCGATCTTCATAACCTTCTGAAATCGACAACAACTTCTTCTCAATTCTTTCCTCATCCCATCCTTCTTCTTTCAATCTTCTCAATGTTGCCTCATAAACATTTTTAACTGCCACGTGGCTCGGAGCACAAATCACAACTCGATTCTTCTTTTCAATTAATTTCAAAACACTTTCAGCAATAACTCGAGTTTTTCCAGTTCCCGGTGGTCCTTGAATACATAATAGATTTCTTTGAGAATTCATCACTGCTGAAATTGCTGCAATTTGACTTGAATTCAAAGTTTCAGCCAGAGATTTGATCTTTCTATCGTGAAGAGAGGGCATAAGAGTTGCACGATATGTTAGATTGATAAGATGTTTTGAATCATCCGAAAGTTTCTCAGGTTCCCTGAAGACAATTTGTTATTATTTATGTACAAAATAATTCAGAAAAACTAACTCTGCAATTGTTTTCAATGATGTAATAATTGGTGAATTCGAAGAGGGTAAAATCAAATAATTTTGCCCTAAATCAACATCTTTTTCCTTCTCATAAATTGAACATTTTATATTGTAACCATTAGTTGAAATAATGTGCCCATCACTGATTTTTGTCAATTTATTTTGTTCATCAATTCTTGAAATATTGATTGGTGTCAATGGTCGAATCCATTTCTGATGCATTCCTCGTTTCCCAATCATTTTTAGATCAACATTTCTTCCTGATACAAAATCATGTCCAATTCTTGTCAATTCCAAATTCGCTAAACACAGTCCTCTTCTCTCAATTGATCCCCAATCTTCTTCATTTTTCAACATCTCATTCAATCTTCCCATTTGTTCAGAAGTCTCAGCTTTCAACAAAGTTGGCCAAAGAATTGCTTTATCCAGAAACTTTTGAGAAACTCCCCCATTTTTTTTCTTTTTCTTCGCTTCTTTTTGCTTTCGTGTGTGAAAAGTTTCTTTGAGAAGTTGAAAACTTGTCGAAAATCGAGATATTCTATAGCTATTCAACAGCATTTTTTGATATCAGCATTTGTGACTGCAAATTTTGAATTTTATTGTGGGGTTTTGTGGTTTTTCGGAAAAAAAAACGGGTAAATAAAAAAAATTACGATAGAGCAAACTTGCCACGCTATTTTAAAACAATAGAAAGAGGGACAAATCGAGAGTTCGAGAGAGGGAAAAGAAGCTAGAAACACAGCTGAAATAGTGCTACAGTACGCTATTCTACCATTAGCTGGCGCAGAGCCAAGTGTGGTCTTGACGCGATTTCTCTGCACTCTCTCTTTTTAGTGGATTCTCGATTTGTCCCTTCAAAAATAGCGTGTTGCTGATAAGTTTTTTGTTGTTGCAAAATTTTTCACTTTTTTTTTCTTTTTTTTTGTTAAAAAATCAGAATGCTTTTATTATACCCGTAACACTTCTAAAAACAAATCAACAACTTTCAACAAATTAATTATGAAACTTCTTCACAAACATCTAATAATTCGATATTGCTCATATTTCTTGTCCGCCAAATTCAGCAAAATCTCATTTCTCCCATCTTTCGTATGGAACAATCTCAAAGGCACAAAATATTCGTTGTAGGGAATGTTGCATCGAATATTTTCGATTTCATTTTCCAATTGACACGTGTCGCGGATTTTCAAATGAATATGATTTGAATTGATATGTTTCAAAACATCAGTTTCGATAATTCCTTCAGAATTTGTTTTCGAAAATGTTTTTTCGGCAGGAAGTACTGAAATCAAAACCTTCAATTATTTGTTGTTTTTTTGCTCTTTTCTATTTTTCATTAGTAGGTTCAACTTATTTTGCAAAATGATCTTTGAACGTGGAATAAATTATTTCTAGCTCCAATTAAAAGTTTTGATGAAAAAAATAATAAATAAATAAATAAAAAAATGCTTACCATCCTCGTCATTTTCATCGTGCTCATAAATAAAAACTCTAGCAAAAGCCACATTTTCTTGATTACATGTGATTCGAATTTTCGGAACAATAATAGAACAATTTAAAATGTTCACAAAGATTAGGAAAATAAGTGTAGATCTCATTCTCTTTTCAACAAATTATTTTTTGAAAATTGTTATGTATTAAATAGTGGTAGAAAAAAGGCGGAGTAATTCAATAATAATTGAAATAATACGCGTAAAAAAATGGGAAGTGGAAGAAATGACTCAAATAGTTGTGAACTTTTTTGCTGCCCGTGGGAAAAATGATAACAGACTCAACCGGGGTGTGGTTAATTCGTAAAATTTCCTGATAATGAATGACCAAACCTAATTTATTTTTTTTTGTTTTTCCATGTTTGTGACTCGAGTCAACATGAAAATTTCGAAATCTTCTCTAATTTGTTAAAAAGTCATCTTCACTCAATTTCAAAGATGTTTTATCAGAAAAAAGATGGCCAACTTGATTTTCTTATCACTGTTTTTTATTGTTCTCACCTTTTTAACAAGATTACGAATACGAAAAAAAAATTCTTCAAGTTTCTGAGTCATTTGTTCCACTTCCCATTTTTTAACCTATTACGTCTGTTATTTTACGTAGGAAAAATAGGTTAAAAATAATGTTATATATTCTCTTTCCGTGTCTTTTGGAAACATTTTCTCATGTCCCATGGAAAATCGGATGAAATCCCTAATAATTTTACTTTTCCTGACTACTTTCGAACTTTTCCAAGGTTCCAAAATTCGAATAACTTGTAATGAGCGGAATGTGGCTTTTGCCAGAGTTTATGTTTATGAGCATGATGAAAATGACGAGGATGGTAAGTATTTTTTTCATACTTTGACCTTTTCAAAACAAATATATTAATTGTAACTGGTAACTATGAATCATGCATTTTTGTATTGCACGAGGCATAACGATAAGAGCAAAAAAAAAAACAAATAATTTTGAAAAATAGGTAAAATTTTGATTTTAGGACTACCAATTGAGAGAACATTTTCGAAAACGAATTCTGAAGGAATTATCGAAATTGATGTTTTGAAACATCTCAATTCAAATCATATTCATTTGAAAATCCGCGACACGTGTCAATTGGAAAATGAAATTGAAAATATTCGATGCAACATTCCCTACAACGAATATTTTGTGCCTTTGAGATTGTTTCATACGAAAAATGGGAAAAATGAGATTGTGCTGAATTTGGCGGATAAGAAATGTGAGCATTATCGCATTATTCGCTGTTTGTGAAGGTTTTCGCTTCATTTTTCAACTACAGGCCCAAAATAAATAGTTTTTACGTGTTTTTCCATTTTTACACCGAAAAAATTCAAAAAATAAATTTGTTCGCTAGAGCGCAGATTCTCTTTTTCCGACCGCGACGCGTTGTTCTTCTTGCGTCGCGTGTCGAGTCACTTTCATTCTTTTCCCATTTCCGCGTGTTTATCCGTTGTTTTCTCCACGTTTTCGAAGGTTTACAGCTAAAAATTGTGTTTCAAGTTGTTCTGAACATGCAAATTAACCCGGTCTATCTTTCTAATCTCGAAAATCTGGTCAGAAAACATTACTTGAGATATTTTTCTTTAACCCTCATAATCTCACAGTTTCTCATGTTTTTTTCAGTTGCAAATCATCAATAGCGTTCATACTTTTGCCCAACAACAGAATCAATCAATGTTCTAAGATGTCAGTGATCATTCGTCTTCAGAATTTGCCATTATCTGCGGCTGCGTCCGACGTTCGTGTATTTTTCAGTGGTCTGAAAATTCCTGATGGCGCAGTCCATATTGTAGGTGGACCACAAGGCGATGTTTTTGTTGGGTTTGCTTCGGATGATGATGCGAGACAAGCGATGCGTCGCGATAGAATGCAAATTCATGGCGATGAGGTTTGTTTTGCTCTTCGGTGCACTGCCGGTTTTTCCGACTCGACTCTAAAATCCTGAACGATTTCTACATCTTCCAATTTTCTGAAATGGGCCAAAAAAAAATCGAAAAACAATGACTTGTGGAATTTCTAAAAAGAGGTTTACAAAAATGCAATCTGGGCTTCGATTTAAAAAAATGCGGGTCAGCTAGTTTTAACAATTGGTGATCGATTATCTGGACTTTGAGATTGGGTATTCTCTGAAAAATATTAGAAATCTAACCCTTTAAATAAATTATTGCGAAAATCTTGATCTTTCAAAAAGCTTGCCGAATGAATATATCATCAGGTTTTTTGTCAAAATGTATCCTCGGTTACCTGGAGCACGACACTCTGAAAATGTGAATTGAACAGATTTTCAAAAAACTGTGTGGAAAAATTAGCTTTGAAATTGCAAAACAATGAGAAAAAAGACAATCAGTTTCATCTCGAGTGTCAATTTTCAATGATGGTCGATTGTTTGCAAAAGTTGCCGAAGTATTTGTGTTTCCTGCCTGAAAACCACCCTGGAACACAGTCTGAAATCTGATTTCAAAAATTAGCCTTCGCTTATCGGCGACAATATCATTGCACCAAAATTACCGGTATTCATACATGTTTGTTGTATTCACGGTGCTGTGTATATTTTATAGAAATTGTTCTTTTATGAGCTTCCAAATCTTAATCTTCGAAATTTTGCAGCCGAACTATTAGGTTTTCGTTTATCCCAGAAGAAAAGTTTTAAAATCTGATTCTTATTGGGCGTTTTCAATTTCTTTTGAAAAAGAAAAGTGAATAGGTCTTAACTGATTTCTGTTATGTTTTTTTTCATATTGAAGATTAGATATACCAGTAAAATATTAACAATTATTCAAATTTTATGTTGTGATTTTTGTGAAAGTTCTGAGCTTCAAAATGCATTTTCTGATACTAAATTTGATTTTTTAAGCAATTCAAATGATTAAACGTCTCCACTTTTATGGACACTTCTGAATTTGCTCAAAGTTGAGTGTGATGCACAATTTGTATCGCATCTGTTCGATGACGTTAGGCGTCCTGATTTCGGGGTAGTCGTCTGTTTTTATTCGAGATTTGAATGTCCAATAGAGAAATTAAGTTTTCCAAAACATTATACCTGAAAAATTGAATCAGAGTATCAGAAAAACCAAACTGGATTCTGTAGATTGAATAAGAAATATCACTTATAAAAGTTCAACTAATCTTGCTTCCTGCCATCGCCTTCTGAAACATCATTATAGAACTACAGAATCTGATAAAACCTTTCAAGTGATTATACCTCACTGAAAAAAATAACTGAACGTTACCATAATGTATCAGAAAACTTCAATTCGGAATATATTCGTTCTGACTGTATTTCCACAATATCGAGACACGCGGAAAAGCCTACATATTTCAGCCGAGTTTTGAAATTCGTTCTAATGATTTCTAAAATGAGCTTGCATTATTTTTCTCCGACAAAACAATCCAATGTGGAATTCCTGAATCCTGAAATTTGTTTTATCTAACCAACTCAAAATTTAATAATTGACTATTAACCCAACAGGAACTGGTACTGAAATTCGTTGCATAAACAATTTTCGTTTGAAAATTTTAGTGAAGCTGAAAATGTTATCTGTAATGTGTTATTCTGGGGTTTCTTCATTTAGACTGAAAAGAAAGTTGTTTGGTGAATTTAGAATTCATTGAAAATTTGACAGAATAGATTTTACTAATTGTAAAACTGCCGTAGTTCTCTTAGTACATCTAAGAGAAATTTTCCGGTCACTTCTGGAAAGTTCCCGGCACAGTCCTGAAACTCAAAGATATATCTGAAATTGCTTATTCCATTAGGTCATTTTCTGCTTTTTTTCGAAAAATTCGATTCATTGGAAAAAAAGTTTGAAATTGTATTTATTAAAATTATATATTTTTCTCAAAGCCTCCCTCAAAAATTAGACTATTTTCTGAAAAAATATTTTTTGGTCAATTCAATGCTGAAATTCAGAATTTTAACAAAATTTTCATTAAACTAAATGGCTCTAAAATCAAACAAAGTTACAGTTTTTGTGTGTGTGGCTACCATAAAAACATCAGCAGATTACTGTAGTCACTTTGAACACATGGTTGTTAAAATAGCGTCCTCCTCCTAACCACTTGAAAAAATCCCCGCCCACTAGAAAGACTACGGTAATTCGACACGCCCACATTATTTCTCAAATAAATTCGAAGAATGTATCCAAATAGGGTCACGCGGGAAAATTGAAATTTCTGAAAAAAAAACATGCAACCTTTTCAGATTCGCTTATATTTATCATCAAAGAACGAGATGAATGATGTGATTGACAAAGCAAAAAATGGTATTTTCTCACAACCTGAACCCTCTTTTCCTTCCTCTACCAATTCCACTTCGATTCCTCCAATCCAACCACAATCGTGGAATCAGCAGCAGCAGCAGCAAAATGGAAATCCGTATGCAGCTCGTCCAGATTACACCTCCTCTTATCCACCTCAACCAATAATTCAACAACCTCCACAACAACAACAGAATTTCCAACATCCACCGCCACTTATGAGTCAGAATTTTCCGAGCTCAAGCGCTAATCTGGGCCCAAATTTGAATCAGACTCAGTTCAATTATCCAACCCGAAGTCCACCAATTGTTGAAGGATATCAGGCAAGATTTGATGATAATCGAGGAGCAAATGGAAATAACAGTAGATTTGAGAGGGTTAGAGATAATAGAGGAGAAGAGATGGCTAGAGAAAAAGAGAGACAACAACGTGAAAAAGAGAGAATTGCGAGACATAGAGAAAGAGATGAAAAAGAGAAGGATAGAAATGGCTCGGGAGGTGGTGAAAGACGAAGAAGATTCGAAATGTCGCCGATTCGAGAAAATGGAAATTTGCAGACAAAAAATAAAATTGTGCAATCAACTGCTGCTCCTTTTGCGGTTTATCCGCCTATTTTGAGGTATTTCTGGAGAATTTTGGGTTTTTAGCGAAAAAATATCTAAAAATCAGAAACAGGAAAAAATTTGAGCCCAAATTTTTCTGCAGAATTTTTGAAGTTTCAAAACATAATTTTTTTTTGAAAGCTGAAAATTTTTGAATTTTTCTGAAAATTAGATCTAGAAAACTATACCTGAAAATTGAATTTCAAATATTTGAAATTTCCAGAAGTTGCAAATTTTTATCTGAAATTTGAGCTCAATTTTTTTGTTGAAAATTTTCAGAAATAAAAAAAACTACTTCATTTTTAAAATCCAAAACTGAAAATTTTTGAATTTTTCTGAAAATTAGATCTGAAAAACCAATTTTATCTGAAAATGAGAGATTTGAAATTTTCAGAATTCGGATAATTTCAGCTCAATTTTTGGAATTTCAAAAAAAAACAATTTTTTCTATCAAAAGTTCAAGAAATATTGGAAAATATTTTACCTGAAAATTATATTTCAAATTTTTGAAAACCTGTGAATTCCAGGTGAACCTGAATTTTCCCAAGTGTCAAAATTCTGAAAAATTCCCCGCATTTTTGCAGCTATCCTCCACCAGAAATCAAATCCGATGAACCTGCGACAATCTCAGAAAATTGGAGAACTGGAAGCGAGGAGAAAAAAGCGCCACTTCTAATAGTTCAACCACCAAACATCGGACCAGATGGAATTCTTCGACCAGGTCTTCCAGGTCAAAAATATTTCATCGAGTTGACTCGTCTCCCAAATGAATTGCTACACGCTGCGAAATTGGAGCAATTTATAACACCAACAATTCCGCTAACTTTGTCTTCTGCAAAAACAGTTTATGGTCCGGGAGGTGTTCATATTCAAACATTTGTCAGATTGGATAATGAAGAAGATTTTTATCGAATGTTGAGAAGAGATGGAGAAATGGGAATTAAAATTAGAAGAGCATCGAAAAAAGATTTTGATGAGGCAAATGATGGAATTGAAAATGTATTGAATGATGATCGAAGACGAAGAAGAAGATCAAGATCACCAAGAAGAAGAAGTCGAAGTAGAAGTGGAGATAGTAGAACAAATAGAAGAAGAATATCACCAAGAAGAAGAAGAAGATCGGATAGTCGAACAAGAAGAGAACAAATGAGAAATCATAAAGATCCAACAAGATGGTGTGTACAGGTTACAAATGTACCATTTCGATGTAAAGAGGAGGAATTGATTGAGTTAGTTTTGGGTTTGGGGGATGAAAATTGTTTTTAACAATTTTCCTGGAAAATATTTTCTATAGAAATTTATGCTCTTGAGAATTTGAACTTTTATGCAAAATGTTGATTTTTTGAAGCTCAGACCTTTAAAGTTCTGGAACAAAAATTGGAGCTATTTTATAAATTTCTTTTCGAATTCCCCTTGATTCTCTAGATTATTTTTCGAAATTTTGTACGAAATTCTATCAAATTATCGGGTTACTGTACTATTTTCATGTTGAAATTGAAATTTAAATGAAAGGTGTTTTTACAGCTGGAAAAAATTTGGAGCTTTGATTTTCAGACCTTAAAAAATTTCTGAAACAAAAATTCTGAAGTTTGAATTTTTCTAGAATTTTTATCGGATTACTGTACTATTTTCATGTTGAAATTAAAACTTTGAAAAAAAAATTTATTCAGTTAGAAAAAATTTGGAGCTTTGATTTTCAGACCTTAAAATTTGCGAAAAAAAAGTTCATCGCTTAAAAAATTTTCTTCAAAATTAAATTTTGAAGAAATTTTTTTAGAATAATTGAAAAGTTTGAAGAATTTTTTGAATTTTCTGGGAAAAATTTCTCGAAAATTTTGAATTTCAGACCTTCTGGAACAAAAATTGAAGCGAAAAATTCACGCAGAATTAAATTTTGAAGAATACCTTTCATAATAATTTAAATTGCTTCGAATTTGATATTAAAAATTTTCTGGAATTGAAAATTTACCGTCAAGAATTCTGAGATTCAGAATTTCCTATTAAAATTCTCATCATAATTGTTTGCAGATGGTTCGCGACCAAAGTCAAACCCGCCAAACTCACTCGCACCTTCTATTCCGACGGCAACGCTTCCGATCGTTGGATCGCCGAATTCTCCAGCGAATCGCTTTTCGATCGCGCATTTTCGATACGAACCGCTTTGCAAGGTCGATCAATTCGTCTAGATTATATCGAAAATGAAAAAGCTGACGAGATTTTGAAAATCGAAGATCGATATGGAACTGAGAAACGGAGTATAAATGAGGCAAAGCGGGATGCGTTGAATTTCGAACCTCCAAAATTCTTCGGTGGTCCAGCGGTGCCTTCGAAGAGTACCGAAGGAGCTGTTCAAGTTGCACCATCAGCTCGCCCAATTCTTTTGCCGCCACCAGGATCTTTTCCTCCACCTTCCAACAACGGTGCTCCGCCACGTGGCCTTCTTCCCCCGCCATCCGGACCACGCCCACTTCTTCCAATGCCTCATCCACCAAGAACTTCTCTTCCCCCACCAATGCCTCCTCAATATATCACACCATTGGGTGGATTATTCAATAACGGACCACCCAGAAAACCAATGCCACCAATGGGAAGAATGCCTGGAGGAGGAGGGCCGCCAAGAAATGGGGGATATAATAATGGACCACCTATGAGAAATGGGCCACCACCAAAAAGTCATCCCGAAAATTTGATTGGAAATCGCAAAGGAGCGGTTTTGTCGTGTAATGGTTTTCCGGAGCAAATTACGCTCGAAGAAGTGGTGAGCATTTTTTGCGAATTGTTTTTTTTTTTTACAAATTTTGGGATTTTCAAGTTTTTCTTGAAAATTTTCGAAATTACTCAAAAATCAACAGTTTAAGGTCAAAATTATTGAAAATTTTGACGGAAAATCTGAATTTTTGGGTGAACTTATTAATTTCTATCCTAATTTTCACGAAAAAAATTATATGCCTAAAACTAATCTAGAATTTTCAATTTTCAGATCGAAATCTTCAAAGAATTCGAACCCGACACCAATTCTGTTCTGATGCGACGAAACGAAGTTGGAAAAATGACTGGCGAATGTATGCTTTGTTGTGCAAATCCAGAAAAAGCCCAACTCGCCGCCAAAGAATTGAACGGTCAAATTGTTCGGGGCTCCAAAATTAGCGTAGTTTTGCTCAATCAATAATCGGTGTTTTTTTAATATTATAACTCATTGTAAAGATCTCTTGTTTTTCTTTTTTTCTAAATAAATCTTTATATAAATATATCTTGTATTTGTATGTAGGAAAAAAGAAAGAGAAAAATGATTTGAAATGAATGAAAAAATGAAAAGAATAAAACAGTCCCCGCTATGGAAAAAATCGATAAGGCCACAAAATGGATAAATATATGTTAAAATGAGGGGAGCAAAAACAGAAAATTGGGTCGATTTTTGGTGGGAAAAAAAGAAAGAAAGAAACTTGGAAATGGAACAATAAAAAATAAATAAATTATAATTCTTTTTAAATACAAGGTCTTATATATATTAGATTCTATTTTTCGAGAAAAAATCACAGTAAGTATAGCGCACTTATAAATGCGATATTTTGCAATAAAACATCAAGGGTACGGCAAGGGAGAGAAATAGTTGTTTTTTGTAAAAATTTCAGCCAAAATCAATCAATAATCGGGTGGGGGATGTGATGTGGTTTGCAAAATATACGCCTCTTGGACTTTCAAATCAAAGTGTGGAAAAAATTGGGAAATATTTGACATCTCCAACTTACAAAATTGTCAATTTTGGTTGTTGTGGTTTGCCGTGATTACCACCCTTTTTGTTCTCGTTTTTGTTGTTGTTTCTTGGTCGACGAACCACATTTTCGGATGATGTCAAGACTGACGCATCGAGACCGCGAGCAGCGAGTTGAAGAGTAAGAGTTTGTTGAAGAGCAGCCAATTGAGCTTGTGAAAGACCATCGGCTGTCATTTGGAGACCGTTTGAGACAACGGTTTGTTGTGGTTTTGCTGGTGCCTTCTTCTCTTCTGGAAAATGAGAGATTTATTTAAATTGTCACGAGAAGAAATAATGACCAAAAATTTTTTTTGGCTTGAATTTTAGTTTTTTTCACTACAAAAATTCAGGGCTCATATAAAAAATCATTTCAAAATTCACGTGAACTGTTTCCCTTTTGGTCATTTCTAAAATAGGATAGAGCGGTAATTTGTGAGTTTCTTTTTATTTTTGAGCCATTTCAGGACAAGATTTTGTTGAAAATTCAATATATTTCTAACTTACCCTTGTGAGTTGGGCTCAAGTTAACACCGGAATCAGCTCCAACCGAGCTTGTGATGCTTGATTGACTAGTGGCATGTTTGATTGGAGCCGAAGCTGGTGGTGGTGACACAGTCTTTTGCTGTTGTTGTTGTGTTGGTTTTTGAGTTGGTTTCGATTGAGCCGAGCTCTCTCCAAATGCCAAAATCGATTTGACAAGAGCTGATGTGTCGAGTGAAAGCGATTTTTGATTACCCGCCTTCAATTGTTTCTCACGGTCGTTCAACGCGGTGCGAAGTGCTTTGAACGCAACACTGAGTGGATCATTGGAAGCTGGAGCTGGAGCTGCCGCTGGTTTATTTACCGATGGTTGCTCCTGACGAACTGGAGCGGCTGTTTGAGTTTTTGCCGGTTTTTGTTGTTGAACTGGTGGTGTGGTGGCGGTGGATGGTGTAGAGGTGACAGTTTCGGCTGATGATGCAACCGATGCTTTTGCCTTCTTATTCTTGTTCTTCTTGTTTTTACTGGCAACACTAGCACCTCCTGATGTTACCCAATCTCCCAAAATACTGGCAGCACCATCTAAAATACGATTTTGAAATTTAAAAAGTCTGAGAATATTTTTTAAAAACTCTTACCTTCACAGAAAGCTTGGATAGTTTTATTTACATCTAAATCAAAAGTGTGAAGAACCATAATGATGTCATTGTTAGTGGCGTTGTCAACAACTTCACGAACTTGAGCAACTTTTTCGTTGATGATTTTCTTCTCGTTTTGGTTTGGTGCCATTTTTCCTGTAATTGAAAATTAAGGTTTTAATTGGAAAAAATCGAATGATGCAATTAGGATAAGTTTGACATTAAGAAGAACAAGAAGAATACGACATTTTAATCAGATTGAACGCAAAAGACGAGCTAGAGAAACGCAATTCAATTCGTTTGGTTGGCACGCGTCGCGGCCGCGAAGCGTACGTTATTGGAAAATTCAAATAATCTTGCAGTTTTCCTGTGAAAACCGATGGAAAATTGGATAAACAAAGGTTTTCGTGTTTACAAAAAAAGAAATGGACAGCTGAAAATTGGCCTAACTAACGAGTGACTGAAAAATCGACAAACGCCTGAAAAAAAATGAAAAGATGCCACGAGGAAGACGCACATATTTATCAAGATGTGTGGTCTTGTCGCGTCTGGTTACGGTAGCACAGAGATGGGCTGTGTGATATTTCTATTTTTCGAATCCTAAAATTTTCTCACTTTTCTTGTCCGTTCCTGTTGTTTTGAGTTTGACTGTCTCACTTCTGAAGTTTTTTAGAGTTCATTTTAGAGTTTCAATTTTGCATTTTCAGGGTAACAACATGTCGAAGGTTTCGCGTGAATCGCTCAACGATGCGGTTGCTGAGGTCCTTAAGGGATCGGCTGAAAAGCCAAGAAAATTCAGAGAGACAATCGAGCTCCAAATTGGTCTTAAGAACTACGACCCACAAAAGGACAAGCGTTTCTCAGGATCTATCAGGTAGCTACGACCTGTTTTAACAGGGAGCCTTTCTTTTTGATTGGCGGACCCCCACCCAGGGTTTCCAAATTGGGTAGGCTTTATAGCCGAAATTGTATCGTATTAGATAAGCAATTTTTGTTTGTCGGTATGGTTTGACCTGAATTCTGTATTTATTCTGATCGTTCAAACTCTTGTTTTGCAGACTCAAGCACATCCCACGTCCAGGAATGAAGGTTTGCGTTTTCGGAGACCAACATCACATCGATGAGGCCGCCGCCACCAACATCCCATCAATGAGCGCTGATGACTTGAAGAAACTCAACAAGAACAAGAAGCTCATCAAGAAACTCGCCAAGAGCTACGATGCCTTCATTGCTTCCGAATCACTCATCAAGCAAATTCCACGTATCCTGGGTCCAGGATTGAACAAAGCCGGAAAATTCCCTTCCGTCGTCACCCACTCCGAATCCCTTGCCGCCAAGTCTGAAGAGATCCGTGCCACCGTCAAATTCCAAATGAAGAAGGTTCTCTGTCTCTCAGTCGCCGTCGGACACGTTGGACTCACCCAAGAAGAGCTCGTCGCCAACATCGCTCTCTCAATCAACTTCCTCGTCTCGCTTTTGAAGAAGAACTGGCAAAACGTCAGATCTTTGAACATCAAATCGACCATGGGAAAAGCACAAAGAGTCTATTAATTCTCTGTCGTTGTTGTTACAATAAATTTTGTTATATCAAAAAACTTGTTGAAATAGCACCTAACATCTGTAACCCTTCTGTATTGACTACCTGACTAATCTGGTTTCCAAATTTTTAGCTTAGATAGAAATTAAGTTAATTTAAGAATGGCTGACAATGAGTACGTGGCCGTTAAGCAGTTTCTCGCTCTTGTCGGCCCCGACACAGATAGCCTCAAGGACGAATTAATCAGTCGCTTATCATGCGACGAATCGAAAAGAACGATAACATTGAAAAACAAGTGAGTTTCAGAAGAATTTATCAGGGTAATTCGAAATCATTCTGAAAAATTCAGTTATTATCGCGCAAACGTGGGTGTGCAACAATTCGCCGATTTGAAACAAGTCGTCGAAGCCGCGGCTCACGAAAAACTCTTCCCAGCAGTCATAATCCAATATACAAATGAAGAAGCTGTTCAACAATACGAGGAATACACGAACAAGCTTCAATGTGATATAAAAGTACGCTGAGAAACCTTCAAGCACAACATAACACTTTGAAATTTCAGTTGATCTCAGTCGAATCGGGTGAAGAAGACTTGGCCGAACTTGAAGAATGGACAATGTTGAGAAGTTTTGAAGTTGTCTATTTGAAACCATCAAAAGAGCAGATTGAAACTGCTGATGAAATCGGGGAAAAATACGGGATGGAGCGGATTATCGAAGCGCTTCATGTTTGTGATTGGCCAAATCGCATTTTCAATGTCAAACAGGTATTTGATTTGGATTTGGTGGAAAATAGAAAAAATAGAAGTTTTTTAGACTGGAAATCCGAATCTTGACCATCTTCTATCTTTTGTCAATAACAAGAACACCGAAACCAACGAGGATACTCAATTTTCGCTGAAAGGAGAATCTGCGGGTCAGTCATAATAACGTGTATATATTTTTTGTCTTTTGAATAAACGAAATAAATTATTCAGTTTGAAACCAAATCATGAAGAAAAGTTTCAGATTCAGTGTGGATGACATATCGAGAATTGAACAATTTGACACGACCAGCAAGTTCGGAAACACCTGAACCACAACACGCCGAACGAGTTCATCTATCGCCAGATTCTCCATCTGGAACTGAATCGACTGATGTTTGTGTGTCAGTGGATTTCGATTTGGCACCGTCAAATCAGCAGAAAGAAGAAGAAGTTGTTGTGGAGACGACGGTGAATGCTGATATTGAGGTTGAGGAGGTAAATTTTTAATTTTTGAAAAAAAATGTCAATTTTGTTTGTCTGGGTGTGATAAGTTTTTCTTATCTAATTCAAAATGTGCTGTGAACTGATAATAATTACCAAAAATTTTAAATTTTGAAGCAAAAATTGGCAAGGGAGTTTTTATAGATTGACAAATGAAAATTTTAGAAAATGAGAAATGAATGGTCTAAAAATCTGATTTAAAAAAAGTCCACGTGGCAAAATCCCCTCAATTTCCAGGTTCTTCCACCATCCAACAATGCCGCAAAGAAAAAAAGAAAGAAGAACAAAAATAACAAAAAAAGAAAACAATGGCAATAATTCCAGTACGGTTTAAATTCATGTGAATAATACGAATGAAATGTTCCCCACATTTTCAAGTTCTTAAAAAAAATTTTAAAAGTTTATTCGGAAATGTTGCCAACAATATAAGAAACTGTACAATCATCGGAATTGATTGAGAATTCGGCCATTCGATGTGAGATGATATCTGAATTATAGAATATAGGGTTGTTAGGAGGATCAATCTGGAATTAGGCTAACTCACTCATTTTAACCGGTGATCTGAGAAAAGCGAACGATTGGAACATTGTGGAGATCGATTTGATGACAATTTGAACGCTTGCAGTTTCTTCTTGACTATCAGATTCTGCAATATTTGTTGGCAAATCGGTGAAAAGTGCGTCGATTTCGCCATGTTCCACAGAACTCGAAAGACGCATTTCACCTTCGCTACTAGCAGTGAATTTCTGAAAATATAACATTTATTATCAGAAAATCTAGATCTTTTTAAAGACTCACAATAATTTTCGCATTCATATTCTTCAATCCAATCACAACTTTCGATAGATTTCTTGGCTGTGGCAAAAAGATACTCATTTTCTTATGTCCCACAGTTGGTCTCGCATAATTCGACCAATATCTCGATAGGATTACATTAATCGGAACTTGATGGATAACAACATCACTGTCCGGATTGCGAACCTCTAAAATCAACACAGGTTCGTCGGCCGTGTTTTTCGACAATTTGATTTTCATATAACAATGTCCGCCGGGTATAATATTCACAAGATTGTCCATGTCGATTTCCAAGTAGATGAAATTTTGATCAGGGCTTCGTGGATTTAGGCCAACTACTTCGAAACGACGGAATAGTTGAGAATTGCACGGGATGAAGATTGAGAACCATGTTCCGCCGTCTTGAAGACTTGCACAACTTATGAAACTGAGGCCTGCAAGATATTTTTGAAAATTACAAGTTTTTAGTGAATTCTGACCACGTTTTGGTCATTTTAGATAAGAAAACAGAAAAATGAAACTTTATTCGAAATTTTTCGATTAAAACTAGATTATCCCCAACGACACTCCGCAATTCCACCCCCGCCCAATAAAAAACCCACCATCCTTCTGCATTTTCATACAACATCGCTTTTTGCCGAGTCGACACGTGGCATTCACAATTCGAATAAATGATTCGATGGCATTCGAATCCTGTAGAACTGCCGTGAATTTCATTCTGCCTGAAAATCCACCGAAAAAAAGTGAAAACGCGTTTTTATAAACGTGGAAAAAAATTATTTTTAAAAATATATCTACTGTAGCCCGTTTCGCGACGAAACCCTAGGTGTCTTTCAGGTGTTGCGCCCTTCAAAAACTACTATTTGTTTCGGATCTTCGAGCTTTCTGGGATTTTTTTTAAAATAGAGGATCAGGGTTAATTAACACACCAAATGATTTCTAAATCAAAATAAAAAACAACTAATTACATTTATTAATTAATCACTAATTACAGGCATAATGTACAAAACAAAAATTATGGAATTTTGGGAATTTCAATTCGATCAATAAGTTGGTAATTATTTACAGTATTTGAATTCGGTAGAAGAAGAGCATCTCTTGTAGAATCTTGTGAAAATAGAATTCGAATATCAGAATGCAGAAAAACCCGAGATTTTCTGTCAGATTGCAATCGATAATGTATTAAATACTGTAAATGTTTCGATTTTTCCGAATTCTCAACTTTCCATTCCCAAATATGTCGAATAAAACTCTTCGAATTCGCTGGCATTTTTTCGAGATCATATGAAGTTAGAAACATTTTTATGACTGTTTTTTGTGGATTGAAAAGTGTTGCTTGCAAATGTCCCTTTGAGGGTATACGGTATTCGGAGAGTAGATCACATTTGCCCAAATATGGAACTGGGGCAGCTGGAAAAAATTGGCAACCGGTTGTGTTGAGATCGAAATAATAGACGGTGACGGGAAGATTTAGATGTTCCGAGGAGAATTGTGAACCACTTGCGGCTGCAAAAATGGGGAATTTTGAGCGGGACTGAACATTAAAAATGTAAAATCATTGAAGGATCAAAATTCCGAAAAACTCAAAAAAATCTTATGAAAATCTTGAAACCTAAATTTTACGGGTGATTTGAAAAAATCACATTTTTTTGTAATTTCCGGGAAAATCACATAGAAAAAAATAGAACAATTTTTGATGCTGTCCGGTGTTTGCAGACTCGAAAAAGCCCGTCTCGTTTTCACGTTTTTCCACGTGTCAAAGAAATTTCGTTCTTTTTTCCATTGAAATTTTCTATGTGGAAAATAAATATTTTGAATTTTGGATAATTTTTGTAGAGAGAGTATCATCAAGATATCAAAATTTTCAAAAGTTCAAAAACAATGTAAAATTTTTTGAAACAGTATATTTTTTCCGGTTGATTTAAAAATATGAAAAATTAAAATTTCTGGGGAATTTCGTCAGAAAATTGTACAAAATTCTAATTGTTTTTCAGTTTTTGGGTCCAAATTTTCAGAATTTTTCAGAAAAACTAACTCAATTGCAAACAAAATCCATCCAAAATTTTGACAGGTTCCAATCTTCCAGTCAATGCATTTTCAGTGAAACTTCCAAGAAGACTTCGGTGAGAAATTGTTGAATCAGATGACAATGATAAACTGCAACAAAAATTGTGAAATTTAAAAATTCATTTTTTTTTTTGAAAAAAAATTTGTTCAACATTTTTAAAGAATATTTTCATTCAATTTTCTCAAATTTGAAATTTTCTGTCAATTTTGAAATCGTAATCTTTTCCGAAAAAGTATACAACAAAATCAAATTTTCCAAAAAAACATAAAAATCTTATAAAAGTTTTGAAACAGTACAATTTTTTAATTTTCAAATTTTCAGAATTTCTTGTGATTCCAGCGTAAAAATATATGAATTTTTTTACAAAAAATCCCCGAGTTAAACTAACTTTCGTTTTCTTGCAGCCGGAAAAGTGGGAGTTGTTGGAAGTGATCGCATTTTATCACAAAATGACGATTGTTTCTGCAAATTTATCTGAAAAAAACGTTTGTTCTGGATTTTTGAGTGATAAATCAACAAAAACAAACCCTAGTTGGCGCATATTCCGATGTTGTTCTTGTTCGAATTTTCGGTTCCCCTTCTCCAATTCCATCCAAATTATCCAAGTCGATTTTCTCGCCTCGCGACAATTTTTCGAGGAGTGATGACGTGGCATCGAACTGCAAAAAAATCGATATTTTTGTGATTTTTGCCACGTGGCACTTTCCAACTCACATTTCTGTCGATTTTCGGAATTTTTCCAATCGTCGTCATACAATCTTCTTCATTTTTATCCGATTTTCGTTTTGCTCCTGAAACAAATTCAATTTTCAATTTTTAAAGATCTGAAATCCACGTGGCAAATTTTTTTCGATTTTCTGAAAATTCTAAATTTTGCCAAGTGGTTTCAAGAATGAAAATTGGAATTTTTTAAGGGTACATAAGGTCTCAAAATTAATGTTTCCCAATAATTCTCACCTGTTCCTTTAAAGTCCTCCATTTACCCGTAAATGCGCTGGCTTTTCCCCTGCAAAAATTAAATTTGAAATTGAAACTAGAAAAAAAACTAGAGAAAAATAAAAATCGTGAGAGACAAACACATGAAATTTTCAAAAAATAAATCAAATTAATTAGGAGAAAAACATTTTTATTTTCGGGGGAAAAGACAACAAAAACATATTATAACAAAAAAAGAAGCCTAACTAAAAATATATGGGAAATTATCGATTTTTTCTACAAAAAAAACAGAGCAAAATATTTATTTTGCGGCAGCAGCGCTTCTCAAAATTCTTCTTCTTGTCAAACCGGCGGCGTGGCGTTCATTTTCGAATCTGAAACAAAAAAGGTGGAATTTGAATTTTTGGCAAAAAAATATAAGGCAGATTATTTTTTTTTTGGAAAACTTACTGTTTCAAATTTTTTAAATATATTTTTCGATTTTTCTTTGAATTTTGATTCGATTTTCGACCAAAATCAGAAAATATTTGTTTTTCAAAATTTACTGTTTCATAAATATTAAAAAAAAATTTTGGTAGAAAATTCAAGAAAACATGATTTTTCTATTATTATCAAAATAAAAAAAATTGGCAAAAAAACGGATCCCAGAAATTCAAACGACACTCTTCCCAAGTACGGTGTTTCTTTCAGTCGCTGCGAGACCCATATGTGCGTCTTTGACTTTGTTTCTCTGCCCAATGGTGTGGTCTCGAAACGGTGTTAGTGACGCAGAGGAATACCGTACTTGGGGAAATTGGGATTTGAATTTCTGGCTTCTCTTTTTTGCCAAATTTTTTTACTTTGATAATATTAAATTTAAAAAGTACATTCTTTTTGAAACAGTAAAATATCCCCCGAACTCACTTCTGAATTTGTTTCTGCACCGCAACTTCGTGTTCCAAAGTCGAACCTTCTCGATAAGCCGCCACCAAATCATATTTTTCATAGTCGTTCACTTTGGTTTTTTGCAATTTTCGTTTGAACCACGGTGTTGCTCCACTCCACGAATCTTCGATTCCAGCACAACCAAAGATTTCCCAGCGACGAGTCCATGGAGCTGGTTTTAGTTTGACCTGGAATTTGGGAGCGGTTCGAGATTTTCTGGTAAATTTTTTGTCGCTGAATTTCCAAGAAAGCCTAATTTCTTTTGAAATAGTAAAGTATTTATTACATAAAATGTCAAATTAAAAAAAATTTAGACGAAAGCAAAATCAGAACGTTAAAAACCATAACATTTTTGAAACAGTAATTTTTTGAGGTTACAAAAAATGTACGCGAAAAATATTCTGAAGTTAAAGATTTCACTCACATTTCCAAAATATGTATTTTTGTGGATAATATTGAGCTAAACCCATCAATACTCCTAAAATTTTTTGAAAATTATGAAATTTTTGAAACGTAAATTTTCAGGTTCCCAAAAAACCTCGTCAGAAAGTTCCAATTCTAATATTTTTATAGAATTCATGAAATAATAGAGCTTCAGAAAAATAATGCGAAATTAAAAACAAATGTCCTATTATTTCTTTTTATTTTTGTAGATAACATCGAAAACAATCCATCAAAAACCCAAAAAATTTTTGGAATCATATAAAATTCTTGAAACGTATAATTTCGGGGTGGAGGAATTTGAGAATTCTATTTTTCATAAAAAAATTTTGTTGGCAAATGAGATTGAAATACATTTTGAAACAGTATATATTTGAAAAATATCTTAATTGCAAAAATCTGCTGTTTCAGACAATTTTCATTGTTAATAACATATTTTGAGATGTGATTAGTGCGTTATGTTCTTGATAGTCCAGAATCTCCAAATATTTTTTTGTCTGCATCGAAAAAGATAATTATATTCGAAAAAATATCAAAGTTCTGACACGTATACAATTTTGGCCATTTCAAACCCTCAAAAAAAAATCATTTGCCCAAATTCACAGCTGACATCAGGCCCAAAACTAACCTTGGTCTCATTAATTGGAATTGGTGTTCCAGCTGGATGTGCCAATGGTTCCATATGAAAATCAAAAGTCGAATATTCTGGCAAAGCATCGATCAAATAGCTCAAATCCGAATCCAATCGTTTTTCCAATTTCAAAGTCTCGATTTTCTTGATCGTTGGGTTGTATAAATCATACATGATTTCGACTCCTGTAATTAAATTTGCAATGGATAGATGTTATATCTAAGCCAAAAACTCACCGATTCCTTCAATAGTATTTCTCAAAGTGAATTGATGATGAAGACCTTCTTTTTCGCGGCGAATACAAATTCCAACAAATCTGTGCTCTTTTGCTCCGAGATTTGAATCGCTTGAAGTTACAGCAACTATTGAACCTGGAAATATGGTTGATGTGTGAAGATTACTTATCAATTCAAAAATTCCTCTAGAAAAATTACATTTTTCTTGAAACAGTGAAATTTTCAAAAAATCAGAAAACTCATTTTTTAGTTTTGAATAGGTTCAATATCACAATTGAACATTTAATAAAATGTAAAAAAGTTAGGTCATACTTGAAACAGTGAAAAATTGTTCAAATTTGAGTTCTATAATTTTGAAATTATATGTTCGGGGGAATCAACAAAAAAAGTTCATGAAAATTATTTTATCAAATTTTTGAAACAGTGAGAAAGTTTGGAATATATTTTTGATGGAACGAAAAAACATGAGGCATTTATGAAGCAGATTTCTGAATTCCACGTAAGAACCACTTCAGTTAATATTTAAATTTGAGGAAAACTCCTATCACTTTTCCAGAAATCAAATTTTTTGATCAGGAATTCATTGTGAGGCTTATCCTCAAATCAAGAAGACAAATGATTGAATGTTTACCAAGAAATATCGATTTTCTGTGCATAGGGAACTCTTATAAAAAATTCGAATTCTTCTCCCTAAACTGACCAACATAAAACTCTGGAATATCAATATTCATTCTTCTTTCCAACATATCTCTTCTCTCCAATTCCTCTTTCAACGCATTTCTCCGATTCCAAACCGGTGATTGCAAAAAATCCGGATAAATTTCCGGAAAAGCTGCGATATGCCCAACCAAATTCGCCTCTTTTCTAATAGTGTTTGAAGATTTTGAGGCGGTTTGCGGCTCCGATTTGCATTTCGATGAGAAAGATCGCAAAGATCCCAGACTTCTTCTCAGCATTCTAGAATTTTTGAACTGAAATTGAGATAATCGCTGAATGAGAGAGGTATGAAAAGCGATAAAAACGCCAAAAAAAATCCTAGAAAACCAGTAAAAAAATAGAATACAATTTATTATTAATTATTATAATACAGACCTGCATTTCGAAAAAATACACATATTTGGGGTCAAAATCGGGGGCTAAAAATTCGAAAAATAAAAAATGCATTTATTAATCATCTGTCTGGATCGTATATTCGGATGCTGTCGAAGAATCACTTTCATAAGCTTCACTGAAAAAAACGGAAAAATAAAAAATGGAGTGAGAGGTGGTGAGGAAAGTGCGCTCCACTGATAACCGGGTGGGAAATGCACAATTTTGGTGGGGGAAAGGGGGAATTTTGTAACTCGAAAATATACGTTTCAACGATTTCATTTGATTTCAGTGAGTTTTTGAGAAAATCAATAATTCACCGAACAAATTCATAAAAACACCTTAACATTCAGAATTTTTTTCAATTCATATTTCGATTTTAAAAATTGAAAGATTCCTGGATTTTCGAAAAAATTCAACAAATTTCTGGGTTAAAACTACAAGTGCGCTCTATTGAGAAACATGATTTAAAGGGCGCGAAATAGTAAAATTTGAATTTTCAGGCTAACACCGCTGAAAATCTAGATCTTATGGCGGCAAAATTCAATTTTACCAAAAAAAAGTGCGCTCTACTGAATTTGTCAGAAAAAAGGAAAAAAATGAAAATGCACAGATTTCAGGGGAATTTGAGTTTAGGAGCCAAAAATCAGCCTTTAGGTTCTAAAATTTCAGGCCCATCCCAAATCTCCCTAATCCCCCCCCCCCTCTCTTTCCCAAGAGTTCCACTAACTTATCCACCAATAATGGCCACATATCCCTAGCTCCATGCAATCTTTGCTCATCTCGATTTCTCGCTCCTCTCATTTCTCGAATTCCCAAATTTGACCAATTGAACATATCATCCCAATCGAAGAATACTTCTCCATTGATAGCTCGTCGATTCACCCGCTCAACCTGTTCTTGGTGATGATTTTGTGGTGCTGCTGCCAATGGTGCTTCTTGGGGAAGGCGTGGCGGATTTTGGGTGGAAGCTTGTTGCTCTTTCATACTTTTCACAATATCTTCCTCTTTCATTTCACTATAGCAAAGTGGGCAAACCTGGAGAAAATTTTCAGTTTATTTCCAGTATTTTTCGAAAGAATCGTTCCTTCCATCAAAATGTCAAAAAAATGAAATTTTATTTGAAAAATTTGTGAAACATATAATTTTCGGGTCGCTCAACATCTTACAATTAAACAAATTCTGCAGTAAGCGAAAATTTCTTATAAAATATTTGAAACAGTAATTTTTTTAACAAAGTTTTTGAATCAACTTAGTTTTGAAACAGTTAATTTTCAGTTTTGAAATAAATATGTGGAATTTCGGCTGAAATTTGGAACTTCTCCTTGGTTTCGTTGTCAAATAGAAAATTGAGAGATTTAAATATCAACAAAAAAACATGAAAATTTATTTAAAAAATTTGTGAAACGTATATTTTTCAGGAAAAATTTTGGAGAAAAAACTCTTCCGAAATAATATTTTTTAAATTATTCAAAAAGGAGTGACCAAAATTATACGGAAAACAAAAATTTCTTGTGAAATATTTGAAACAGTCAATTTTTGAACAAACGTTTTTGAAATATGAATAATTTCAGCTAAATTTGATATTTTTTCTTGTTTTTAAATTGGAGATTTAGATAAAAAACATCAACAAAAAAATTAAAATGTTATTCAAAAATTGTGAAACGTATATTTTTCAGGAATATTTTCAGAATTTTTCAACACAAAAAAAACTCACCAATTTGACAGCCAACCATTTTCTCAAACACGGTCCATGGAAGAAATGCCTGCACGGTGTGATTCGAGCCTCTTCTCGCATATCGATGAAGCAAATTGCACAAACATCTTCGCGTTCTGAAACATTAGAAATTTAGGGTGAAAATGGGGAATTTTCAGTGAGAAATTGGGCTGAATTTCAGGTTTTTCATACCAAAAACAGCCCAATTTTCAGTCTGAAAAATTCCAGCCCAAAACCTAAAATTCCAGTCAAATTTTATGCCAAAAATTCCCCGTTTACCTTCCAATTGTTTTTGTGTAGCCTTCCTTAATCGATTAATATTCTTCTGTGCCGCATTTCGATTCTTGATCAAATTAATCAAATTCTCAATTCTCTTATAAATATTGATGATGACGTGGAATAGCATAATTGCGATTGTTGCAAAACTCAGACCAATGTTTACAATTTGAATACAACCAAATACTAAAACACATTTTGAGATGAGCAATTCGACGATTTTTGTGGTGCAATCGATGATGAATGTTAAATCATCACAGCCTTCCCATGGTTCTTCAGATTGAGCCTGGAAAAAAACGTATTTTGAAGATTTCAAGAAATTTCAGATTTCGGAGGATTTTTTCAAATGAAAAAGGTGAGTTTTCAGAAATTTTTTACCTGAATAGGGTCAAAAATCAAATTTTTGATTTTTTACCCTCAAAAAAAACCCCCCGAAAAAACTCACATCAACCATGGATACAAAATATTTCAGAAGTGTCGCAATCGAATGTACAGTAGTCAAGACAGTGTTCGCCAAAATTATAACACACCTGGAAATGAATCTTGTAAATCAAATTCTGGCGCCAAAAATGTCCCTGAACTTACCACAAGTCAAACGGCAAAACATACAACAACACGTGAACCATACAAATTGGAAATAGGATGAGGAAAACAGTCAAGGAGAGACATCGAACATGTCGAGAGCGTGTCGATAGTGGACTTGATGATAGATTCATGATTTCGGGTTCCAGAAGTTCGTAGAGTGATTGAAGAAGAGCAGACATTACTGGAAAAACAGTGATAGTTTTAGTTGAGAATGAGATTGCCGAGATGTCAGAGAATCAGAAAGAATCGAATTTTAGAACGGTAATGAGATTTTTGAAGCGTATAATTCAAGGGAAAATAGCCCTATGCATTAATTGGTTGAGCCTAACCTGAGTCTGAATATTAGTAAACCTCAAGCCCGTAGATTCTAATTTAATTGAAAATCCTTGAATTAGGGCCTAAATTTGTTGCCTAAAAATATTTCAAAAATCAAAATTTTTATGAAGCCGGATTTGGGCCTAAATCTAATAATATTTTTAAGCCTTAAAAACATGAAGCCCTAAAAGATTTGATTGGACAATTATTAGAAAAGGCCTGAATTTGAGTCTAGATTTTTCTATCAAGACGAAGCCTCTCTTGAAGCCTGACCTAATTAAGCTTTTTAGATTGAATAAGCCTAAATTTGCACCTGATAATTCAAAGCCCAGAGCGCCTTTATTACAAAAATCCTGAATTTAAGCCTAGATTTTCTTCTGAAGCCTAAGCCTAATTAGGCCTAAAACTAATTATAATAAACATAAGTAAACAAGGGAAAATTTCTCAAAAGAAAAATTAGGCTTTTTGGATTGGGTAAGCAAGATTTCTGAAGCCCAGAACATAGGCTTGAATTTAGCCCTAAAATAAAAAAAATTGTTATGAAGCCTAGGCCTAATTAGACCTAGATCTAATTATATATATATATATATATATATATCGAAAATGGACCTTGTCCTTTTTTGAAACTCAGAAAATTGTACTAATTTTCAATCGCTTACCAATGAACAGCACAATTCCAAGAAGCACCGCCTTCTGTTCAGTTTTCATTCCCAACATTCCAGTCTGCGCACACAACACAAAAAGCGTAAAACTCTCAGTATATCCAGCATGTGCTAAAACATGTCCATGATCTCTTGTTCCACCAATCATCATCTGTGCACCATCCGCCACCCATTTACAAACATACGAAACAGTTATAGCCAATGCTAAAAGTGAGATGGGTGTATGTGTAGTTTCGGCAACTCCAGCTAATAGAATTCTTCCAGCTTCACTCCATTGTCTTCCTTTTTCGAAAACCTCTACATAAAGTCGCATAGAGAACATTGTGATCCAGGTGAAAGTCATCAATTCAGCAATTCGCAAACGTCTCCAAACAGTTACAGCACCTAAAAACGTACTATTTGTATTGATAAGTTGAGTAAACAAATAACAAACCCATGGCAAGTCCTCGTATCACAAATATTGCCTTAATTTGCGATAGAGAAATTCTTGCGGATTTCATGAGATTTGGAGCGCGGCAAAGGATATACATGCAAGTGAAGACTAACATGAGCATACAGGAGAAATTGTGAGCTGAAACAAAAATGGAATTTTTTGAAACAGTAAATTTGTTTTCTAGAAAAATGTAGGGTTTTTTTTAAATTTGAATTCTGATTTGGCTTGAAATTGAAAATCCATTGAAAAAAATTGGTGTGCCGAAAATTTAAAAAATTTTTGAAACAGTGTATTTTTTTTCAAACATTCAAAATAGATTTTTGAAACGTAGTTTTTTCAGTTTCAGTTATCTCATTTATGTTCTATCAGAAAGAACAATAGCAAAAAAATCGGAATTTTCCTCTCTGACATTTTTTTGTTAAAATTTTGAAACGTAAAGAAATCTGGAAAATTTTCAGAGGAAAAAAAGGTACGAAAATGAAGATTTTTGTCTAGACTCTTTTATTGTCTCTAATCAAAAATATTTTGTTGAACCTTGAATTCCTAGTATTCAGAAACCGAAAAAATTTACTGTTTCAAATATTTGTCAAAAAATGATTAGAGGATCAATATTTCAATAAACAACCTCCTAATTTCCACAAAAAAATGCCCACCAGTAATCAATCGATCGGAACTTTCCCGTCTGACATTTTTTGTTAAAATTTTAAAACGTAAAAAAATCTGGGAAATTTTCAGAGGAAAAAACTACAAAAATGAAGATTTTTCGCCTAGACTCTCTTATTGTCTCTTATCAAAAATATTCTGTGGATTCCTGAATTCCTAGTATTCAGAAACCCAAAAAATTTACTGTTTCAAATATTTGTCGAAAAATAATTAGAGGATCAATATTTCAATATGAACCCCAATTTCCACAAAAAAAATGCCCACCAGTAATCAATCGATGTGCCGGCCATCCACACATTCTCGCCACAATTGGCAATGTAAACATGGGCAAAACCACTCTCCAATATTCTCCTTCCATTTCTAATAACATCGATTGCAGAACCGCCAACAACATTTGCGATAAAAAGTGGAAACCATGTCTCTCCAACTTCACCAATCCATCCAATTTGATCTCCGATTCGCCACTTTCAACTTCCAAATCAATGTATTTTGTGGATAATTTATAGGCGAATCCGAAAAGAGCGAGAGAAAGTGCATGAGAATACATTCTTGCGAGACGATTTAACGGGAGAGTTAGGAACATTAAACTGATAAATATCACTGTGTAACTCATCAGAAATGCTGCTGATTGATCGAAGTCTCGACGATGCACAAAATCCAACATTTTCGCCATATCCAGGTAGGATAACGGGGACTGAAATTAAAAAACTTTGCTTGCTTAAACAAAAAGAAGCTGGGAAAAACTCACAATCTTAATCATATCATCTGAAATTTCTTCAAAGGTTGCATCCTGATATCTCCATAACAATTCCAATAGAATTAGGCCAGGTAGACGAAGTCCAGTTTCCAAGATGATTATTGAGATTTCTTTGATCTTCTGCAAAAATTCACTGTTTCGAAAATTTTATTTTATTAAAAGTTTGTAGAAACAGTGTTTCTTTCCAATTTTGTATTCCAGAAAAGTCATCATTTTCACATTGAGGAAAAAAAAACGATTTTTGAAACATCACAATGTGAACTTTTATAATTGATCAACAATTATTTCTGGAAAAAAATCAAGATATTAAAATTTTAAAAATTAAAAAACAATTCACTGCTTCAAAATTTTGGTTAATAAAAATTTGAGGATAAGTGGTGTTTTGCACCAATTGTAATTTACTATCCGGAAAATTTTGCGCATTTTTTTGGGATCTGACACGAATTTTGCGGTCTAGTAGTAAAAAATTACACACGGTGTTTCGTTTAATTGTAAATTTTGTATTCCAGAAAAATCAATATTTTAATTTTGAGGAAAAAAACAATTTTTGAAACATCACAATGTGAACTTTTATAATTGATCAATAATTTTTCTCTGAAAAAATCAATGTCACATTTTCTGACTGTTTCAAAAATTCAATATTTTAAATCTGGAAGAGAAGATGTAATAATAGTGTTGAACGTATTTGCAAACAAGTTAAATTCAAACTTTTCCATATTTAGATGGATATTTTATTGAAATTTTCGAATTTTCGTTTTCGAATGCCTGGATATTTGGAGAACCAGAACTAAAGGTTTGAATCTACTAAATCCTTAATTGCTAAAAATTTATAGATAATTCTAGAACTGCAAGAAAATCTTTTTTCCCTCGATCATGTCTATGTCAGTTCGCAAGTTAAACCAAGTCTGATAAAATTTTGAATTTCTAATCTTTAAAATCCTCCCTCGAATTCCAGCCCCAAACCCCTCACCTTAATCCCCTGATCAACCTGTGCTCCAGCAACCGCCGACATTGTCGCAGCTCTCGATCGCATTCCTTCAACTCCAAACGCAATCGCCTCTGCATCGACAATATCATCCAATGGATTGGTTTCCGATGTGCTCTCGCCATTTCTCAACTGATTGGCTCGAATCTCGTTGGCTCGATGCCTCGCTCGCCTTCTGATTGCTTCCATTTCTAGAAAAATTGAAAATGAAAATGATGTTCAAAAAAAGAAGGAAATAGAGATGGAAAGACGGGGGTCGAAAGTATTATTGTTATGGTTTTTTTGATGATAAGAAAGAGAATTGAATGACATGATAGAAGAAGAAGAAAACATTTTCTGGTTTGTTCTTTTTCCAGTTTTTGAGGGAAAATGTGTTTTTTTTTTTTGTGATAAAAATTGAATTGCATCATTTGGACTTCGACTAAATGAGATTTTCATAATTTTTGAGCAAGTTAGTTGAAATATTGGGTTCTAATTTTGTTCATAGGATAGACCGGTCTAGGGCTATTCGAAAGGTATTTATAAATTTTTGTGATTTAGCGACAAAATATCAATTAAACATTGCTAAACCACTTATGAATAACGTAAAGTCATAAAAATGTATACCATTCAAACAGCCGCAGACCTAAATATCCTAGGAATAAGATTAACACCCAATATTTCAACTAACTTGCTCAAAAAATAAGAAAATGTCATTTAGTCAATGTCCAAATATAGTCATAACTCATATTATGACGTAGATATATTTTTTAATAAAAAATACTCAAAAAAAAGATAAAAGAAATTCTTATGATTTGTGTCCATTAATAATGACGCTGATCAATAAGACTGTTCCCTTTTCGTATCTATCTATCCACTTATTTAGCCTAATTTATTATTTTAGCCCCCCCCCCTTCTTTCACATTCTTTTTGTTTTTTTTCAACAAAAAGAATGAAAAAAGTGGTCCCTAAGCACTTACATCTTTTCCTTGTTGTATTCATGTCCTGGAGCACAAAAATACTTAATTAACTAGTCAATTTTGACCTTTATCTTCTTTCTTCTCTGGACACCGTGCAAAACAATATGGAAGAGAAAAGGGGACTAGTTTTTCAATTGTTAATACGTCCCTCACGTGCCATCCTCCTGTTTTTCTGGTGTTTTTTTGTTTTTTACTGGTAGAAAACTGAACAATTGGAAAACTATACTGTTTTTTTGTATGTAGTTTAGCTTGAGGTTTAGCTAGTATATTTTTGATTTGAAATCTGAGTAGACTTAATTTTCTGATAACCCTTCTCTAAACTATAAAAACAATGACTTTTTGAGCCGATTATTGATTGATTGATTGTTCAAATTTTGATGATAAAATTCAAACTTTTACCCCGGTACCCTAATAAATAACAATTTTGCCTTGCCAAAGGTCATTCCACTTCTCTATTTTCCTCAAGAGCTTCTAGAAATTCTCCTATGGTCCAGCCCCAGGTTAGACAGCTCTCTGATTATTATTTACTCTAGAAAAGTGTGTGTTACCAAAAAGTATTGATTGCATTTTTGTTTTATTTTTCCAAGAGAGAATAGCGAAATAGTATTGGATATTTGGAGAGCGAGCAGAGATGTCATATTTTCGTGCCCGTTCTCTTTTTCCATCCCTCTTTCTCTCTGTTTTCCGTCCGTTTCGACACACACTTTTTCATATATATAAAAATAAAAATATATCATTTCATTTTCCTAGGGATTTAGCATAAGTCTAGATAACAAATTTATTCTATTTATGAATAGGATGTGATTAGTTTGAATGTACTTACATCGCGCGCGCGCATCGCTGAGAATCGAAAAACAAAAATAAAAAATGATTGTCCGTGAGAACTACACACGTACGTGTGTTTGTTTTTCTAGGCCACGTATTTTTATTTATTTTTAAAAATAAAAATTTTATTTGGCTCCCGGCTCCAAGGGTCCCCTATTTAGAATCTCGAGATCTAAATTCATTTCCAAAATCTTTCTCACAACACCTGAAAACCACAAGTTTTTTTTTAGCAAAAACACCTGGACTTTATGAATGGCCGAACTGCAATTCTAGTCCAGGGCACCCTTTTTCGCGTTTCGAAAAAAACAAAAGTTCAAATTCCCTCCCCTCTTCCTCCCTTTTTCTAGCCAGCGGACCCTTCTAGCTGTCTGACACTCTTTCAATCAATGGAACATGAACACCTTCTTCTTCCTCTCAAAGAAAAAATATTTTTCCACCCAAAAAAACCCGCCATTTTTTTGCAGATTTTTGCAATCACGTAGGCGAGTGGGGTCGGAAGAAGGCAGAAAGCAGATAGAAAGAAAGAATGGGTGGAAGACAATCGTCGGTGGCCGAAGAACGTCCGCGATCGAATTCGGTGGATACGGCGCAGGTTTCGGCGCGTCATCGACCGAATGTGATGACGGCGGCGGAGCTGATGCAAACTATGCGGAATGCGCGCATTTTAAGCTCGTCTTCGGATTCGAATGGAAGTGAAGATGATGCGGGACCATCGGCGATTCATGGAGCAAGGTTTGTCGGAAAATGGGGAGGGATTGGGACAAAAAAAAGCCAAAGATCTACCTTTTTAATCGATTGAATTTCACAGATCTCAACTGAGTTATGACGTCTCAAAGTTTAGAAAAACCCTGGTTTTCCAAGTTAATAGAGGAATAATTCAGAATTTTCGAAATTCGGATATAAAAATGAAGCCAGAACCTCTGAAACCATTGTTTGCAGACAAATCCGCGGAATGAACATTCGAGCGGGTCGAATACACAGTCAACACAGTCGCCGCTCTGTGCCCGTATTTATGATGGACATGAAATGTCCGGTTTGTCACAAAGTTGTGCCATCCGATGATGCTGATATTCATCTTGTTATGTGCCTTACACGACCCAAAATTACTTATAATGGTGAGTTTTTTTTTAAATTAAAAACATAAATTTCCTAAATGAATTTTTGCAGACGATGTTCTAAAAGAGGACAAAGGAGAATGCTCAATTTGTTTGGAAGATTTGTTAGCCGGAAATTGTATCGCACGACTGCCATGCCTTTGCATTTATCATAAACAGTGGGTTTTTTTGAATTTTGTCAAAGGAAATTCTAGTTACATACGTCGCATACCCCTGTTTCAAATCCGCCAGTGCATACCCCTATTTTTGAAAATTTTCGACGAAAGGGATAACCCCCCTCCTTTTCATTTTTTTTTATTTCCAGCTATGGAAATCTGAAAATTTCAATTGTATTGAGTTTAAGCTCAGAATTTACATCAATGAGGCAAATAGTGAATTTTGAACTTGAGTTAGGGGTAGCACGCCTTTATTAGACCCTTATCAACTATTCTCAACGATAAAATCTGAAGAATTAAGCCTGGTATCAAGATGGGACCACTATGTCATTTTTCACCTCGGTTATCAAAGAACACAGGGGTAAAAAGTCAGTAGGGGTATCTAATGAATACCAATAAATATTAGACTTGAGTTAGGGGTAGCATGCCTTTATTAGACCCTTATCAACTATTCTCAACGATAAAATCTGAAGAATTAAGCCTGGTATCAAGATGGGACCACTATGTCATTTTTCACCTCGGTTATCAAAGAACACAGGGGTAAAAAGTCAGTAGGGGTATCTAATGAATACCAATAAATATTAGACTTGAGTTAGGGGTAGCACGCCTTTATTAGACCCTTATCAACTATGCTCCACAATAAAATCCAAAGAATTAAGCCTGGTATCAAGATGGGACCACTATGTCATTTTTCACCTCGGTTATCAAAGAACACAGGGGTAAAAAGTCAGTAGGGGTATCTAATGAATACCAATAAATATTAGACTTGAGTTAGGGGTAGCACGCCTTTATTAGACCCTTATCAACTATGCTCCACAATAAAATCCAAAGAATTAAGCCTGGTATCAAGATGGGACCACTATGTCATTTTTCACCTCGGTTATCAAAGAACACAGGGGTAAAAAGTCAGTAGGGGTATCTAATGAATACCAATAAATATTAGACTTGAGTTAGGGGTAGCACGCCTTTATTAGACCCTTATCAACTATTCTCAACGATAAAATCTGAAGAATTAAGCCTGGTATCAAGATGGGACCACTATGTCATTTTTCACCTCGGTTATCAAAGAACACAGGGGTAAGTAGGTTCTTATCAACTATTTCCAAGAAGGGAAGCTGTATTAATTTCAAAAACCCTAAATCAAATCACCAACTCTGAGAAAAAAATGTGATCGTAATTGTAGATTACATTACTATTCTGTAGATCGCTGACTTTTAATGATATTGAAATATAGATCGCGGATTCGATAAAGTAAAAAACCTTACAGATTTGAAATCGAGAATTTTTAATTTTGAGAAATATGAAATTTTGTTCATCCAAGAGATTAGTTTTAAAAAGATCATATCAAATCTAGCTAGTTAGAGACACTAAATAAATCAAATTGTTCAACCACATTGATCCATATTAATTTTGAATAACTCTACATTGTCGCTTAATCATAATTTTTGCAAATATTACAGTTACTAACTGTCAGTTGATATGTGAAAAAATGACATAGTGGTCCCATCTTGATACCAGGCTTAATTCTTTGGATTTTATTGTGGAGCATAGTTGATAAGGGTCTAATAAAGGCGTGCTACCCCTAACTCAAGTCTAATATTTATTGGTATTCATTAGATACCCCTACTGACTTTTTACCCCTGTGTTCTTTGATAACCGAGGTGAAAAATGACATAGTGGTCCCATCTTGATACCAGGCTTAATTCTTCAGATTTTATCGTTGAGAATAGTTGATAAGGGTCTAATAAAGGCGTGCTACCCCTAACTCAAGTCTAATATTTATTGGTATTCATTAGATACCCCTACTGACTTTTTACCCCTGTGTTCTTTGATAACCGAGGTGAAAAATGACATAGTGGTCCCATCTTGATACCAGGCTTAATTCTTCAGATTTTATCGTTGAGAATAGTTGATAAGGGTCTAATAAAGGCATGCTACCCCTAACTCAAGTCTAATATTTATTGGTATTCATTAGATACCCCTACTGACTTTTTACCCCTGTGTTCTTTGATAACCGAGGTGAAAAATGACATAGTGGTCCCATCTTGATACCAGGCTTAATTCTTCAGATTTTATCGTTGAGAATAGTTGATAAGGGTCTAATAAAGGCGTGCTACCCCTAACTCAAGTCTAATATTTATTGGTATTCATTAGATACCCCTACTGACTTTTTACCCCTGTGTTCTTTGATAACCGAGGTGAAAAATGACATAGTGGTCCCATCTTGATACCAGGCTTAATTCTTCAGATTTTATCGTTGAGAATAGTTGATAAGGGTCTAATAAAGGCGTGCTACCCCTAACTCAAGTCTAATATTTATTGGTATTCATTAGATACCCCTACTGACTTTTTACCCCTGTGTTCTTTGATAACCGAGGTGAAAAATGACATAGTGGTCCCATCTTGATACCAGGCTTAATTCTTCAGATTTTATCGTTGAGAATAGTTGATAAGGGTCTAATAAAGGCATGCTACCCCTAACTCAAGTCTAATATTCATTGGTATTCATTAGATACCCCTACTGACTTTTTACCCCTGTGTTCTTTGATAACCGAGGTGAAAAATGACATAGTGGTCCCATCTTGATACCAGGCTTAATTCTTCAGATTTTATCGTTGAGAATAGTTGATAAGGGTCTAATAAAGGCGTGCTACCCCTAACTCAAGTCTAATATTTATTGGTATTCATTAGATACCCCTACTGACTTTTTACCCCTGTGTTCTTTGATAACCGAGGTGAAAAATGACATAGTGGTCCCATCTTGATACCAGGCTTAATTCTTCAGATTTTATCGTTGAGAATAGTTGATAAGGGTCTAATAAAGGCGTGCTACCCCTAACTCAAGTCTAATATTCATTGGTATTCATTAGATACCCCTACTGACTTTTTACCCCTGTGTTCTTTGATAACCGAGGTGAAAAATGACATAGTGGTCCCATCTTGATACCAGGCTTAATTCTTCAGATTTTATCGTTGAGAATAGTTGATAAGGGTCTAATAAAGGCGTGCTACCCCTAACTCAAGTCTAATATTTATTGGTATTCATTAGATACCCCTACTGACTTTTTACCCCTGTGTTCTTTGATAACCGAGGTGAAAAATGACATAGTGGTCCCATCTTGATACCAGGCTTAATTCTTCAGATTTTATCGTTGAGAATAGTTGATAAGGGTCTAATAAAGGCATGCTACCCCTAACTCAAGTCTAATATTTATTGGTATTCATTAGATACCCCTACTGACTTTTTACCCCTGTGTTCTTTGATAACCGAGGTGAAAAATGACATAGTGGTCCCATCTTGATACCAGGCTTAATTCTTCAGATTTTATCGTTGAGAATAGTTGATAAGGGTCTAATAAAGGCATGCTACCCCTAACTCAAGTCTAATATTTATTGGTATTCATTAGATACCCCTACTGACTTTTTACCCCTGTGTTCTTTGATAACCGAGGTGAAAAATGACATAGTGGTCCCATCTTGATACCAGGCTTAATTCTTCAGATTTTATCGTTGAGAATAGTTGATAAGGGTCTAATAAAGGCGTGCTACCCCTAACTCAAGTCTAATATTTATTGGTATTCATTAGATACCCCTACTGACTTTTTACCCCTGTGTTCTTTGATAACCGAGGTGAAAAATGACATAGTGGTCCCATCTTGATACCAGGCTTAATTCTTCAGATTTTATCGTTGAGAATAGTTGATAAGGGTCTAATAAAGGCATGCTACCCCTAACTCAAGTCTAATATTTATTGGTATTCATTAGATACCCCTACTGACTTTTTACCCCTGTGTTCTTTGATAACCGAGGTGAAAAATGACATAGTGGTCCCATCTTGATACCAGGCTTAATTCTTCAGATTTTATCGTTGAGAATAGTTGATAAGGGTCTAATAAAGGCATGCTACCCCTAACTCAAGTCTAATATTTATTGGTATTCATTAGATACCCCTACTGACTTTTTACCCCTGTGTTCTTTGATAACCGAGGTGAAAAATGACATAGTGGTCCCATCTTGATACCAGGCTTAATTCTTCAGATTTTATCGTTGAGAATAGTTGATAAGGGTCTAATAAAGGCATGCTACCCCTAACTCAAGTCTAATATTTATTGGTATTCATTAGATACCCCTACTGACTTTTTACCCCTGTGTTCTTTGATAACCGAGGTGAAAAATGACATAGTGGTCCCATCTTGATACCAGGCTTAATTCTTCAGATTTTATCGTTGAGAATAGTTGATAAGGGTCTAATAAAGGCATGCTACCCCTAACTCAAGTCTAATATTTATTGGTATTCATTAGATACCCCTACTGACTTTTTACCCCTGTGTTCTTTGATAACCGAGGTGAAAAATGACATAGTGGTCCCATCTTGATACCAGGCTTAATTCTTCAGATTTTATCGTTGAGAATAGTTGATAAGGGTCTAATAAAGGCGTGCTACCCCTAACTCAAGTCTAATATTTATTGGTATTCATTAGATACCCCTACTGACTTTTTACCCCTGTGTTCTTTGATAACCGAGGTGAAAAATGACATAGTGGTCCCATCTTGATACCAGGCTTAATTCTTCAGATTTTATCGTTGAGAATAGTTGATAAGGGTCTAATAAAGGCGTGCTACCCCTAACTCAAGTCTAATATTTATTGGTATTCATTAGATACCCCTACTGACTTTTTACCCCTGTGTTCTTTGATAACCGAGGTGAAAAATGACATAGTGGTCCCATCTTGATACCAGGCTTAATTCTTCAGATTTTATCGTTGAGAATAGTTGATAAGGGTCTAATAAAGGCATGCTACCCCTAACTCAAGTCTAATATTCATTGGTATTCATTAGATACCCCTACTGACTTTTTACCCCTGTGTTCTTTGATAACCGAGGTGAAAAATGACATAGTGGTCCCATCTTGATACCAGGCTTAATTCTTCAGATTTTATCGTTGAGAATAGTTGATAAGGGTCTAATAAAGGCGTGCTACCCCTAACTCAAGTCTAATATTTATTGGTATTCATTAGATACCCCTACTGACTTTTTACCCCTGTGTTCTTTGATAACCGAGGTGAAAAATGACATAGTGGTCCCATCTTGATACCAGGCTTAATTCTTCAGATTTTATCGTTGAGAATAGTTGATAAGGGTCTAATAAAGGCGTGCTACCCCTAACTCAAGTCTAATATTCATTGGTATTCATTAGATACCCCTACTGACTTTTTACCCCTGTGTTCTTTGATAACCGAGGTGAAAAATGACATAGTGGTCCCATCTTGATACCAGGCTTAATTCTTCAGATTTTATCGTTGAGAATAGTTGATAAGGGTCTAATAAAGGCGTGCTACCCCTAACTCAAGTCTAATATTTATTGGTATTCATTAGATACCCCTACTGACTTTTTACCCCTGTGTTCTTTGATAACCGAGGTGAAAAATGACATAGTGGTCCCATCTTGATACCAGGCTTAATTCTTCAGATTTTATCGTTGAGAATAGTTGATAAGGGTCTAATAAAGGCATGCTACCCCTAACTCAAGTCTAATATTTATTGGTATTCATTAGATACCCCTACTGACTTTTTACCCCTGTGTTCTTTGATAACCGAGGTGAAAAATGACATAGTGGTCCCATCTTGATACCAGGCTTAATTCTTCAGATTTTATTGTGGAGCATAGTTTATAAGGGTCTAATAAAGGCATGCTACCGCTAATTTAATTAGATATTTATGTGGAAACTTTTTTGAGGGTTAAATTGGTATCCCTATGGCAGAATATGTAGAGAAAATTATCATCAAAACTGAGAAAATTTCATAAAATTTTTTATCTCAAGTGACAACCCCCTCCAAAATTTGGTGTCAGGGATAACCCCTCCACGGGTCGATTACCCCTGGCATGCGACGTATGTCTAGTTAGCTTAACTCTAAACACAAGTTATAACGTGGCAAATCTTGATTTTAACCACGTCATAGCTCATGTTCAGAGTTGAAGTCTGAAAAATTCTGAAATTTCGTTGAGATAACTTGAAGAAATCCTATAATTCTTTCCCTAAAGCAAAAAAAAACAAATTTTCGATATGAAAAAGGATTTATTAACACAATTTTCAGATGTATCGATGATTGGTTCAAACGAAAAAATTGCTGTCCAGAACATCCGGGTGACGATTAATTCGAATTTTTCTTGTTTTTTTTTGCGCGAGCGGCCAAAATTCCTCCATTTTTGTTTGATCATCATGGGTATTCTTCTTCTTTTTTTCGATATATATATATTTGTGCTTTTTCTCTTTTCTTTTCTATCACACGTCATTATCATTATCATCATCATTTTCATATGAAATCAGGGAACTTTTCAAAATTTCCCACCCCCAAAAATCCTCGTTTTTTCTGCACAACACTGGTTTCGCCCCTATCTATTCTATTCTATTTTTTTTCTTTCGAAATTTTAACATTTTCAGCCTCTGAAAACAAACCCCGTGAACTGTATATTGTTTTTTTTTTGGAAACTTTTTCTGCTGTTTTTTTGTACACACTTTTTCTTTGAAACAAAATATTTTATTTTTTAATTGTGGAATTTTTTGAGTTTTCAGGAAGATTTGCAGATTTTTACGGGAAATATTGAAATTTTCACAGAATTTAATTTTCGAATTTAAAATTCTGGAGTTATTCATGAGAAATCAAATTTTTTGAAGGATTTCAAAAATTCTTTTTATTTTCTGATAAAACTCTTCAAAAATGTATTTTTTCTGGAATTTTAATCTTTTTTTTCAATTTTCATGTTCAAATTTCTATGATTTAAAAAAAAATCTTCAAATTTTTCTAAAAAAAATTATTCATGGGTTAATTTAGACAATTTCTCAACTTTAATTTTTTCTAGAATTCTATAATGATTTTCTTAAAATTTTTGGATTCATTGTTCAATTTTCAATTTTTTAAATGCTGAAAAAAATTCAAATTTCAGGTATTCTCTTTTGGCAAGTTTTCTTCATAACTCTAAATTTTACTACGATTTTTAATCTCTGAAAAAATTTGAATAATAACTCACCGTAAATTACGACTGTTAAAAATTGTTCAAATAAAAGCTTAAAACCTACCTTCGCTTGCGCAAAATTTCAAATATTTTCAATTTTTCTTTTAAAATTTCAAAATTTCGCCGCGCGTGTCTCCAACAAAAACTACATAATTTTATACTGCAAACTTTTATTATATTTGTTTCAAAAATTAATTAATAAATAAAAAAGAGAGAAGATTTCAAATTATTGTCAAGAAAGAGAATAAAAGAGAAAGGAACAGAGATCTGGGTACACTTGAAAATTTCAAAGTTGAAATTCCAGAATTTTTTGAATTTTTTAGAGAGAAAAAAAGAGAAAATTGAAATTGAAATTGATAAAACAGATTTTTGGATATTTTGGTTTGCAGTTGAAGGTTTTGAACTTTTTAATATGGGCGGTATCTGTAATTTTTGGTTTTTTTTAAATTTCCGTAAATATTTATGAGCAAAAAATTGGCCAATGCAGAATTTTTTAATATTTTTATTTATAATTTTCTTCAATTTTAATTTTTCATTTTAAGTTTAATAATTTTTGGTATATTTTTCATCTGCATTGGCTCATTTTTTGTGTGGGGAAATCAGAAAATTCAAATTTTTCATCCCTTACCCTGGTGGTGGTTGTCCCCCTCTTCCCCTTCCTCTCATCGGACCCCCACGTCCAAATCCACCAAATCCGCCCCGTGGTCCGCCTCTTCCACGTCCCCGTTGTCCTCCAGCTCCATTTCCATTTCCAGCTCCGTTTCCAGCCTCATTTCCCTCTTCTTCTGCACCACCTTCTGATTTATCATTATCTCCACTTTCACCAGCAGCCGCTCCGCCTTCTTTTAGATTTTTGAATTGTGGTGGAGTTGTGTCTTCGTTGATTGGTTGAAGGATTCGTGAGAGCTCTTGTATTACGTTGGCGACTCTTTGATAAGCGACGTAAGATGGGGCAACAGTTTCAACCTGAAATTATAGAAGATTTACAAACAGCAAATAGAAAATCGATAATTTGTTATCTTCAAAATAGTGCAGGGAAAAATGTTCGCTTATTGACCAAACTATATTCGATTTTCATCCGATTCCACGTTGTAAGTTCTTACCTTCAAATGAAGTGGACCTCCAAAATGAGCATGTTCTGGATCACCACTTGCTAACAATTCCGCTTCCTTCTCTCGATCTTTTGTTGATCCTCTTCCAAGAATATAAATATGACATTTATGTGTTTTACACAATGTTTGAAGAGTGACACCTTTTGGTCCGAGAACTTTTCCAATGAAATTGAATTGTGGGTGACGATATGAGGGAACAAGAATCTTCTTGACAACTTTGACCGGTTTTTCGATATCAACTTCCAACCATTCTGGATCAATATTGTTCTCAAGTCGTTCTTTTTCGGAATTCAATAATCTGCGCGCGTTTCTGAATTGTTCACCAGCTTCACTCTGTTCCAAAGATCCCAACTCGGCGTGTATTTCTCTCAAAACACATTGTATTTCTGCGTCCAATGGGCTTGGCATTTCGTGTGGTGGATATCCGGGAAATCCTGGATGCATTCCATATCCGCCACCATATCCACCTTGTCCTCCACCATATCCGCCGTATGGATCGTATTCTCCGCCATATCCTCCGGCCGGTGGTCCACCGTAACCTCCGCCAAATCCGCCTCGTGGCGGACCACCGAAACCGCCTCTTGGTGCACCTCCACGTGGCCCTCCTCTTGGAAATGATGGTCCGCGAGTTCCGAAATGAGACATATTTGACTGCAAAAATTCTAATTGTTTTTGAGAAGAAGAAGGACAAAAAAGAGAAAACAAGACAATAAAAGTTAATAAAACAAAGAATAGTTTCTGTTTAGGGCGGGGCTAAAACGATAAACAACATCTGTTAGCACATTTAAAGATACGGGAAACTGTTTGTGGGAAGTTTTCAGTTTGATTTTCAATCAATAAGTCAGCACAAGAAAAATCTGAAAATAAGGTTCCTGAGCAGAAATGAGAAAACGTGATGACCGAGAAACCCACGAAACAAGCTTACTACATTTCAAAAAATTCAAGATTAGAAATCAGACCTAAAATGTCTCAAAAGAACCGGATCCCATTATTTTAGCTAAAAATCGTTATTTTAAACGTTATTTCCAAAGTTTGAAGTTTACTTTCCACCTAATTTTTGAAGCTATCAAACTTTTCTACGCTCTCAATAAGCCTCACGACCTTTGCATCACTTCTAGAAGCCTAAAAATTGATATTGCTCAAAACATACAAACAATTGGATTTTTCAAGAGAAACCCAGGTTTTGTGAACAGCTAAGCCTTCTGAAAACCTTTCTCAACACATATTCAACATCTGAAAACACCTGGAAAACCTGAAAAACCCCCCAAAACTCGAAAAAAGTGCCAAATGTTCGAACGGCGTCTTTCGAAAATAAGTGTTCGCTGGAGCGCATTTGCTCGATTGACGCAAAAGTTCGTCGCGGTGTTTGCACACAATTTTTTTACTTTTATTTTTTTCGCTTCGAAAATCTGAAAATGGCGACTTTTGCGTCGATTGAGCTGATGAAGAAGCTGAACGAAGATGATGATTTGGAGGGAACGAGTACATCAGAAGGGGAGAAAGTTTTGGGAATCGAAAAAAGCGGCCCGAAGCGAATTGTGACGAAGGAAGTGTCTTCGATATTTAATTTGAAAAATGAGCTGCTAAAGAAGCAGAGTAAATTGCAAAAGACGAATATAAAAGGGACCACACATATATCCGGAAAATCGGTGGGTTTTTGGGTTTTATTCTTGATTTTTGTATGAAAACAGCGAAAAATTGTTTGTAGAACCTGCTGACAACGAAAAAAGAGGAGAAAGAAGCCGCTGAAAAAGAGGCAGTAGAGCGGCGAAAACGAATCAATCAAAATGAGCGGAAAATGCGATGTGAACAAGAAATCGAGTTGGCTCAGCAAAAACTGCGAGATAAAGCGGCGCTCTACGATAAATTAGCCGAAGGCAATGTGGTTTTGCCAGAAAATGCTGAATTTGTGGTGGATTTTATGGCGAAAAAACGGGAAAAAGAGAGGAAATATGAAGAGGAAGAAGCATGCTCATCGTATTCTTCAATAACTAAAAAACCTACGAGAGATCCAACTCCAGAAAGATATCATCATTCTGAAGGTGAACTTACTATTTTTCAAACAAATATTGGGCTTAAAATAATGAATTTTATTTCCAGAGCAAAGAGTGTTTGGAGTGTCGCATATGCGATTTTCGAAAGACGAAGAAAAACGGAAGGAGGAAATTCAGAATTTGTTGGATTATTCGAAGCAAGTTCAGGAGGATTCGAGGAAAAATATGGAGAAAAAAGCGGAATTGGAAGAGAAGAGATTGAAGAAAATCAATGCGTTGAGAATTAAAAAAGGATTGGAACCGAGTAGGTTTTGGGAGAAGTTTTGAAACTCTACAAATTGGGTTTCTTTGGTTTTTTTTAAAGAATTTTTTCAAGTTCAAGTATTTTATTTTTGGTTTAAAAAAATTGAGATTTGCATAAAAATTTCACCCAAATGCTCAATAGTTTTGAAAAGTACATATTTTTGGGTTTATTTCCGGAGCATGCTATTTAAGTAATCGGTTTCGAAATTTCCACCTATATTCTTCAATTTTCTTTGAAACGTATATTTTTAAGGTTTTTGAAAATGTTGAAATTGCAAAATTTTTCATTCACTTTCAAAATTTACTGAAAAAAAATCCTTTAATTTTTTTTCAATTTGAAGTTAATCTCCCGGAATTTCTTGGATCAGAAATCCTAATCTAGATCAATTTTCTAAAAATCTTTTTTTCTTGGTTTTAAAATTTTTGAAAAAATTATTGATTTCCGAATTGTTACCCAAACTTTCAAGAAAAATTCAGATTTCAATTTTGGAATATTTTCTTGCCGCCCAAAAAATCCCAATATTTTCCAGTAAAACCATCAGCACCTCCTCCATCACAACCATCAATAAATCTCGACGAAATTCCAATTCCACCCGAACAACAACACGAAACACCAGAGCAGCGGGTAACTTCATCTAACTTCCAGGCAATTTTCTAATTTCTCTCATTTTTTCCAGCATCTTCGCCTTATGAAATCATCTCGTGAATGGGATCGCGGAAAAGGTTTATACACCCAATGGATTGAAAAACAACGAGATGATCGAAATGACGAATTTCGACCACCGGATGTATATTAGTTCGATAAAGTTTTGCTATTTTATATCACTAAAATAATAATATAATACAAAAAAAAACGGAGAAGAGACAGAATAAGAATAAATAATAGAAAAATTAGAAAAGAGAGAGAGAAATGCTTAATCGGGGGCGGAACTTCGGAGAAAAAATGAAACAAAAATCATTGGGGGGCGAAAATTGAGCAATGTTTTCCAAAAAAATCAAGAAAAAAAGGTGGGACAAAGTTCGAAATTTATAGATGGGGTCCTGAAGGGTTCATTCAGGGTTAGTTTTGAGAGCAAAAATTGAAATATATATTTATATAGAAATAGATAGATAATGTATATATGTGATGATAGAATTCTCAAGTTTACACAGAAAAAAAAGACAACCGGTATTCAGGGAGAGAGAGAGAGAGTTTGTAGTGTAGTGTAGTGGGTTCAGGGTGAATTGGGCGGGGCTCGGGGGGAATTTGGGAGATTTCGTGGCGAGACCCAAGACTGGGAAGGTAGCCTACCCCAAAAATTCAAAGTTTCTGGGGTGAACTTTTATAGCTATGGGCTGAAAATGCAAGTTCGAGATAATCTTTAAAAATCGTATTTTCAGCCCATATCCATATAATTTACTCTAACTCGGGTCTCACCGCAATATCTCCAAAACCCCCCTCAAAAATCCTCAAAAAAAATCAAGAAGAAGACGGTGGCGGTTGTTGTTGTTGAATAAATTGCGGAGCGGCGCCGCTATTCGGCGGCAAATAATTCGTCATAATCTCCGGTGGCTGTGCAATCATTCCAGTCGGTCCAGCTTGCTGCGCCGCCGCCGCAATCACCACCACTTTTTTCGTCCTCGCTTTTCGCGTCTGCTTGGCTTTGTGCTCCGCCGCAGCCGCTTTGATCTTCTTATCCTTTTCGCTGACAGTTTTGGCGAATTCCGCAATTTGTGCGTCATCCTCGTTTCTCACACCATTTTCACCATTTCGACAAATCATTCCGTTTGGATGTGATTGTTGTTGTTGTGATGAATTTGGCACATTTCCAGCTCCGCCATGAAATGCATGTGCTCGCATATTATGCTCATGTGATATTCCTTCGTCGATTTGAATCTGATTTTGACTGCCACGTCGTTGAATCGAACCATAATCCACTGAACCGCCTGTTCGAGCCACCATTTCTACTACTGATTCTATTGAAGCACCTGCAAAATATAGAAGTTGGAATTTTGTTGCAAAACGGGTTTGGGGTGGTTTTGGAAGTTTTTCTGAAGAAATTTCAAAATTTTTAAAAAGTCTAGGTTTGCGAAAAAAAGGCTAAAAATTTCATAAACTTCAGATTTTCAGAGAAAACTTCAGAATTTTTTCTGAAATTTTCAAATTTCCGAAGAAAATTTTCGTTTTCCAATAAAAATCCTAAATTTCTCAAGACAAATAGGTGAAAATCTAAATTTTGACTAGAATTTGTTTAAAAAATTTTGAAAATTCTAAATTTCTGAATTCTTATTTAAGAAAATGTTTATTCTTCAATTTGGGCTAAAAATTTCAGATTTTCCAATTGAAATTTCAGAATTCCAAAAAAAATGTCAATTTTCTAACAAAGATTCTGAATTTCTCTATACAAAACAGGTGAAATTTAGAACTTTCATAGCAGGTTACCAAACAAATTTTAAACAGGTGAAATTATGAACTTTAATTAATTTTGAAATAAAGACAAATTTTTTTGGTTTAAATTGTCAGTTTTTCCACAGGTTTTATCTGGAAATCAACATTTTCAGCCCAAAAAACCACTTTTCAAAGAAAAAGAGCTTACCTATCCTATCATTCCTACTGTCACTTCCATTCGAATGTTGCGATGTGCTCGGATTCATCGGCTCAATATCGTCCAAATCGCCCAAATCACCAAGATCAGCTACTGCAAAAATGGGGGATTTTGATAGGAATTCAGGGTTTTGGCTCGGAAAACTCAAGAAATTTCAGGATTTTTCGTTGAAAAATCAGGCTTTGCTTTGAAAATCCATGAAATTTTGACCAAGAATTGAAATTTTCAGGATTTTCGAATTAAAAAACTTCAGGATTTCATAAACTTCTGAATTTTGGCTCAAAACCTTAAGGAATGTTAAATTACTCATTAAAAATAGCATAAATTCAGGTTTTTGGATCGAAAAATCGATAAATTTTCCGAATTTTTACTTAAAATATTGTCCAAAATCAATAGGCTTTCGGGCAAAAAAAACTTACACGGCTCATTTTTACACACCAAAAACTCGGTCAAATCATTTGGTATCTGATTTTGTTGCTGTGGCTGTGGTGCATGATGACTTCCTCCGCCACTTCCACCAAAACTCGCATTCGAATCACTTCGCGTAAATTCTCTCGGAACACTTCCAGGCTGCGAAAAATCACCAGATAATCGATGATGTTCAGCTTGCGGAACCTGTTGTGGAACTTGTTGCTGAACAGTTCCCGGCGGATAGGGAACTGGCAGTCTTTGCTGTTGTTGCTGCCACTGAGCTTGTTGTTGTTGCTGCTGATACATTGCCATTCTTTGTTGTTGCTGTTGATGATGCCACATTTGTTGTTGTTGATGTTGTGAATATCCTGGTGGGTATTGAGGTGGATAACCGTGTGGTTGAGGAGGGCCTTGGACTTGTTGGACTTGAGCTTGTTGTTGTTGTTGCATTTGCATGGAACCCTGGAAAATATGATTTTTTCGAGTTTTTGTTTCAGAATTCCAAAAACTATTTTTTTATAAGCCCAGGTAAATTAATTATACAAAAAAGGCTTTCCTAAAATCTTCAGATCTTCGAGAAGCCTTCTAAATTAATTTTATGTCACTTTTTCAGAATTGTTTCCAAAAATTCTCAAATTTTTGGATTCTAGATTAACATGAACACTTCAAAATTTTTTGAAAATTTGAACTTCAGAGTTTCAAGCGGAAGAAAAACAAGAAATCAATATTTTTGGCAGTCTTTTGCACAACTTCTAGAGCTTTAAGATTCATGTTAAATATTTAGATTAAATGCTAAAAAATCAATATTTTTAGTTCGAAAACATGCTCTTTTTCCGAACAACATTTTTCAGCCAAAATTATTTAAAAATAAATTTTTCACTCCAAAAACTAAATTTGAGATTCAAAAATCTATAGAATTCTGTATCTCGACTCAAAAAATTGCGAGATTTTTGAATTTTCTAGAGCTCCAGGAATCTTTGAAATATTTTTCAAATTTTGTTCACATTTTCAGAATTTCACAGAAAAATACGTTTTTTTCAGAGTTTGAAGTTAAAAAATCCATTGAACCAAAGAAATCTCAGCTCAAAAAATTCCCCAAAATCTAAAAACACTCACCTGCATTTGCTGATGATGTTGTTGCTGCATTATTCTCTCTTGTTGTTGTTGATGTTGCGCTGAGATTCCAGGATTTTGCTGTTGATAATATGGATGCATCTGCTGCTGATTTTGTTGTTGTTGTTGTTCAGCAGCCGCAGCCGCCGCTTCCTTCTCCTTCTTCGTCGGTCGCTTCTTTTTCTTTTTGGGTGGCGCTTCATCGGGTGTTGTTTGTTGTTGTTGAATCTGAGCCTGAGGTGGCACACCTATCCGATATCCCTGTTGCTGTTGTTGTTGCGGGATCTGCCCAGGAGGTCCTCCCGGATACGAAGGCATTCGCTGCACCATTCCAGCTGGTGGATATCCCATATAACCCGGTGGCATTTGTTGCGCCCTTTGCTGCGCTTGCGCTTGCTGCTGTTGCACATAATACCCTTGCTGCTGCTGCTGTTGTTGCTGCATCATTCTTTGCTGATATTGTTGTTGCTGCATCGCTTGCATCTGCTGCATACTCATTCCTTGTTGCGGGTGTCCATAACCATAAGGTAGACCGTGTTGCGGTGGAACCATTTGAGGATGTTGGGGAGGTTGTTGGGGTGGAGGGACACCCATTTGTGGAGTGTGTTGCTGTTGTGGTTGAGGGGTTGATGGTGTGAGCTGTTGTTGCGGATGTTGAGATTGAGGAACAGAGGGAGGTTGGGATATTGGTTGCGTTTGTTGTTGTTGTTGAGATTGTGGAACGACTTGTTGCTGTTGATTGCTGGAAAAAATTATGGGTTGGGGGAGGTTTCTTGAGTTTAGGTGGACCCTTTTTGAACCCAGATACTTCGGCTGAAAATTCAAGTTTTGAATCACTTGGAACTAGAATCACGCCTGACGAGACGTGTCCAAAAAGGACTGTACTAAAATGTTCAAATAAAAATTCCCGCCCAAACCAAAATTTCGATTCGGGCGGTAAGCCAATAAAAATTTTCAAAATGTTTTTCATTTCACTGCACATTTTTTCACGAAAAAGTGAAGTGTTCATTAATTTTTCAGCAGATTTTTATGAGAATATTCAAAAAATTTAACATTTTTCACGCTGCACAAAAATTTTGGGACACTCTCTCGCCAAATGTGACTAGAATCCTTTTTGACAAATTTCCTGAACTTTCGAAAATGTCCATGATTCCTAGTTAAAAATTTGAGCCTAAGCAAATTCTAGATACTAATGTAAGCCTGAATCTAGAAGTACTCCAGTGAGAATCAAAATTGAACCCCACAATTTCAAGCTGAAACTTTTAGGATATTTCGAAAAAACGTCAGAATTTTTCTACTTTCAAAAAAAAATGATTTTTGCCCAAATTTAGGTAGGGCTTAACCAGAACTTGCAAGATATTTATTTTCAAAATCTGAAAAAAATCCTGATTTTTCAAGAGCTCAGGCTCAACCAGAACATTCCAAAATGCCTAAATTTTGAACTAGAAATCCTGGGAAGCTTCAAAAGTTCTGAGTTTCCCACAATTCCTATTAGTTTAAAATCTGAGTAATCAGGGACTAAAAAATAACCTTTTCTGGCCTGTCAAAAATCCAGGATGTTTTTTTCCAGATTTTGAAACCCTTCCCTCCCCGCAAAACCCCTTACCTCAATAAATTAACCAATAACGGACTATTATTTGCATTCGTACTATTCCCATTATTTCCCATCGATTGTTGAGATTGAAGTCGTTGAATCGGATGTTCTGGATAGTGCCTTGGTGGTTGATGTTGCGGAATCTGTGGCTGCTGTTGAACTGGAGGCTGATCCATATGTCCCAACTCATGCGATGATTCAGATGATGAAACAGGCGATTGTTGTATTGAGGTAGATGGTTGTGGTTGAGACGAAGATGTTGAAGGTATTGGTGTTGACATTGCTGGAGCTGGAGTTTGATGATGTTGAATTGGAATCGGAATCGGGATCGGAATCGCTGCAGGAGGTGGAACTGCCGGTGGGATTGGAATAATTGGTGGTGGCACACCATCAGCCATTCTGATCATTTCACCTTCGCCAATCTTCACCCCACTTAACCCTATCCTTCGCAATGTATTCGGTTGAAAATTGGCGATTCTTTTCAATTTATGCGCAGCTTTTGCCGGTATCCGCATTGTGAATCGTATCTTTTTCAATGTAAACGTCGCATTATTGCCGGTCATTTGAATCGTGGCCGCTGCCGATGTGCTTGGCAAAACACCGTCGTGCGTCGGACCGTTCTCCTCGTGACAACACGGTTGGAGAGGTGAGGAGGAGGTGGAGCACGATTCGGTGGCACTTTGATGCAGATCTTCGCATACGTCCTCCTCTTTTTTGCTGCTCGCAGCTGGTGCTGGATCATTCGATGTTGTTGGTGTTGGTGTGGTGGTGGAGGAGGAGGCGGAATCTTTGGCGAGGACGAGTGGTGAGGTGGGTTGCTTTTTGACGACGACTATCGACTCGGCCAGACTTCCTGCTGCGGCCGCAGCAGCCGCGCACGTCGATATTGCTGTTTCTGGAAAAAAACGAGGGTTAGAGTTGTCAAGTAACCACGCCTAGGAAATTCGACTTTCAAGGGTTAGATCCTAGAGATGCTTAGTTCCCAAGGAGCCGCGCCTAGAGAGCGCAAAAAATGAACCATTCAGTCGAGATTTTTGATAAGATATATGTTTTCTGTTAGTTTTCGACCCGCTGATCACGATTCCGCTGTCTAAAACTAAACATGAGTTACGACGTGGCAAGATTCGAGAAATTGCGACTTTGGGAAAACCATTTTGAGAGCTAGTTTTGACCTCCCAAAGTCGAGATTTTTCGAACTTTGCCACGTCATAACTCATGTTAGGAGTTGAGCTTTGCAGTTTTAGACAACGGAATCGTGATCAGCGGGTCGAAAACTACTAGAAAACATACATTTCATTAAAAATCTCGATTGTAATTTGAAACAGTCCCCTTGTTTGATTTTTCGAAAAATGAATTTGAAGCTGAAGAATCCAATAAATTTCAGTTTAAAAAAAATATGGAAAAAATCACGTTTTAGCCGTTTTTCCTAATTTGTAATAAATACAGTAATTTTGTGCCAAAAAACCTTTTGAATCAGTTTCGAAATTTGGACCACCCACGACGTCTAAAATTCAAATTTCAGTTTGCCCCACGGTTTTTCATATTTTACGCTTTGAAAATGAGAGAATCTCCTCAAGTCAAATTCAAATCTAATCACAAAAATACAGTTTCCTTCACCCCAAAAAATGTCTTACCGATTCTAGAAGAAGTTGAAGAAAAATCGGACGACGATGATAATAAAGCTGTCGCAGAAGCTGGTCGATGAATTGTTTCAACCACTTTGTCTGCAAAAAATATCAAGTTAGCTCATCTTTTTACAAGAATGCTTTTAACCCCTCCCGCTACATTTCAAATTATTTTTAAATAATTTCCAAAAAACCGGGACTCACTAGTTTGTGGTGTTTGTTGTGACGAAGAAGGCGTTTGAATATGAGGTGACCAACTCGAAGAAGTTTGTGCTGAGGCAGACGCTGCTCCCCGCATCGACTGACACGACCATTCAGCGCCAACTATTTTTTCTCTACAAAAATCGTCGGAAAATTACAGATTTTATCCCGGAAAAATCACAATTTTACAGTTAAAATTATTCAGATAAAAATCCCCGTCAAAAACTACCCATAGAACCCAGAAAAATGCGAAAATTCGATAAATCTATAAATTTTTAAAGCAAGTTTTCTCGCAAAAAAATAAAGTTTTTCGTAAAAATCATGAAAAATTCCAAAAATCCGATAAAAAATTTCAGAGGATTTCAGAAATCCGTGACGTAATTTTCTGAAAAACTACGCGCTTCACGGGATTCACAGCGATTCCGATTGAACGGGGTACGCTCACGGTCGTAACGCGACCGCGACGCATAACAGACGCGTCGCGGTCGGTCAGGTTTAATACACACACACGCATCACAGAAAAAACTGGACACACAAAACGGGGGGACTGCTCTGAAAATCGGTAGATATGTGAGACTATTTTAAGTAGTTCTAAGTTTAAGCATTTTTTATTAATGAGTTTTGAGGCTGAAAATCACTGGAAATTGGTAGAAAAACGGGGGAAATGAAAAATCGATAACTGGATTTTGTCGGTTTCCACCTATTGTGGCTATGGTTTGGATATCATTTGGATCGTTAGAACTCACCGAATCGGATTCCGCTCGTCAATCGTTGTTTCAGCGCTAAAACGCTGAAAAAATCCGATAATTGCGCAGCGAAACGAAAATTCGCACAGCGCACACAAATGTTACCGTAATTTTTCGGGGTCTCACCACGTTTTCTCTCGTTTTCCAATTTTTTCACTGTTTCGTACTTTTAAATCCTAAATTTTTTCTTCTTTTTGGGGGTTTTATGCGTGTTGTTGACGTTTTTCTTTGGGGTTTTCGAAATTAAAAAATTCTGTTCGGTTGCTTAATTGTTTCTGATGTGCTTGAATCGCTGTTCTTGCTCATTTCACCTTGAAAATATTTTTTTCGAGATAAATTTGAATATTCAATTTTTGCAGCCATGAAATACTTGGGAGCTTATCTCCTCGCGACCCTCGGTGGAACCGCTGCCCCATCTGCACAAGATCTCCTCAGAATCCTCGGTAAGTTTATTTTTCTTGATTTCAAACTAAATATTTGTGAAAAATCAGTTTTGCTTAAAATTGTTGCAGCTTCAAATTTTTTGTTTTTTATTGAAAACTCAAAATATAGTTTCATTCAATTTATTTGTTTTACTTCTTTAGTTCTAGAATTTTTCGTGGTAATTTGGTTTTTCTTGAATCTAAAATTTTATTTCGAGGTGTTTAATTAAAATCATTATTTTCATTGTAAAATTTCATGTCCATAAAACAATTCCGTTCTTTTTCCAGAGGCTGGAGGTCTTGACTGCGACATGGAAGACGCCGGAAAGGTTGTCACCGCTCTCGCCGGAAAGAACATCACTGAGGTCATCGCCGAAGGAAAGGTCAAGCTTTCATCGGTCCCATCAGGAGGATCAGCACCAGCTGCATCCGCCGCCCCAGCCGCTGGAGCCGCCGCACCAAAGGGTAAGTTATTCTGAATTATTCATCGCTTCAAAATGTTAATTTGAAAATTTTTAGCCGAGGCCAAGAAGGAGGAGCCAAAGGAGGAATCCGACGACGACATGGGATTCGGTCTCTTCGACTAAGAACATTGTTGTTATTGTTATACATTGTCATCTAATAAATGACTTTAAAAATGGCGAGTGCTTTTACACATAAAATATACATAGTTGTTATCTATGAATTATAGTTTGAAAATTTTAAACTTGAGAAAATTCCCGATTTTTCCCTACCAGATTCTTTCTTTGAACTCCGCTGCAAAATGGATTGTAAAAAATACACTCGTGAGTAATGAAAGCCTCACTCCACAAATCAAACTTCGACTTATCACAATTGCGAGTCCGTTATGGATGAGCACACCAGAAGCTTGTCCGTTACCAGATCCATATTGGGCATTTTATTGGCCAGGTGGTCAAGGCCTAACTAGATATATTCTGGATAATCCAGAAGTTTTCAAAGATTCGAGGATTCTAGATTTCGGAGCAGGTTGTGGCTCAGCGTCAATTGCCGCAACTCAAGTTGGAGCCGGAAGAATTCTCGCAAATGATATTGATAAATGTAAGCGAATTTTTCGGAATGAAAACAATTACAGACAAATTTGCAGATGCCTTATTGTCCACAAAGCTAAACTTCAAATTGAATCAAATATCCGACTCAAAAATCGAATATTCTTCCGAAAACTTCCTCGAAAATCAGAAAAATCTGCTGGAATTTTTCAAGAATTCGGAAAACAATTATATCCTGTTAGGCGATATGTTCTACGATTCTGATTTTGCTGAAATCGTATTCTCAAGCTTGAAAAAAGTCCAGGGATCGAGCCGGAATTTGAGGATTTTAGTTGGCGATCCAGACAGACATCCGTTGGCTGAAAATGATTATCTGAAACGCTACAAAACAAAGTTCAGCAAAACCAAACTCTTCGAATATCAATTACCAGGATACGTGATCAAAGAACATTACGGTTTCAATACTGCCAAAATCTTTGAACTCCAGTTTTAGAATGAAATTATAATATTTTGTGTAGTTCTTTTGGAATTGGCAACACTCCAAAAGAGAGATAAGAGCTTGACAAACAAATTGATTAGTTCAGTTTCTATGTCAAACCCTCGTAATTTTTGCATATATTTTTCGGAACACGATGAAAATGAGCCCAAAATTCTAACATTTTTCGAGCACATTTGGCGATTTTTCGACGTATTTTTACTGGAAATCAGAAGCGAGCTGGAAATCGACTATACACCAAAAATCAAATGTATCCAGATTTTTTAAACTATTTTTAAGTGTAGAAATTTTAGGAGTGATTTTCAGATTGCTTCGAAAATTCGGAAATCGAAAAAATCCGAGGTGGCGAGGATTTCGAACATTTCGTGGACAAAATCCGGCAAATCAAAGATGAAAATGAGGAAATTGTGATAATTTTGGAGAATCCGGAGAAGAATGATGAGAATTCTAAAGGGGAAAATTTGGAAGAAAGTCCGATTTTTCCATCCTCTTTACAACGTGGCAAATATGTGGGAGATGGGGTTCATGGAACTGTTAGAATGTGAGTCTGAACAAGAATTTTTGAGGAAAAATATTGAACATTTGATGAGAAATAGGTCCTGGAACGATTTCTAAATCTAAATGGGTCTCGAAACGATTTTTTATCTGAAAATTGCGAAAAATAGATTATGAGACGTTTCAGAGCTCAAAAATGAACCCTGGAGCGATTTTCAGCTGAAAAATGTGTCCAGGGGCGGTTTAGAGCTCGAAACTTATGAAAATTGGATCTGGTCTGATTTTCGACTCAAAAATGGGTCTCGGCACGATTTTGCACATGAAAATGGGTCCTGAAGCGATCGAATTTTTTAAATCTGAAATTCCAGACAAAAATTTATAAATTTATTGGAATGAAATTCCAAAAAAAATTTCACGTGAAAAATGTGCCACGTGTTTTCAATAATTTCATTTCCACATTTCAAATTCAGGGGCTTCCACGAAAAATCGCAAAAATGGTACGTGATCAAAACAATTCTATCAACGAGTCAAAATTCATCACACGAAGCAATTCAAAAAGAGATTTTGGCTTATAAAGAATGTTCGAAATGCGAATTCGTCGTTGATTATTTCGGTTGTGAAGTTGGAGAAAAGAAAAAGGAATTGGTGCTGGAATATATGGATAAAGGAGATTTGAGAGCTTTTGGAGTTTTGCCAGTCGAAATTCATCAACAAGTTGGATTGGCGTTGATTCGAGGATTGAAACATATTTGGAAAAGTGGACCCGGATATATTCATAGAGGTGAGAGATTTGGTTGAAAATAGAGATGCTGACAATTTTTTGTTGTTAGGATTAAATTTTGGAAACGGGAACAGTTCCTTTGAAAATTATTGATTTTATAAAAAATAGGCTTTTGGGAATTTTTTTTTTGAAAATTTAAATTTTTTTGAAACGAGTTCTTTTCAAGGTAAACCTAACAAACGCTGAGAACATGAACAAAATTTAAATTTTCAAATATGAATTTTTTGAAACAGTGAAGTTTTCGAAGATTTTTGAATTTGAAATTTACATCAGGTTTTTGAATTTGAAAAATTGAAATTTTTTGAGAAAAAATACCTGAAATTATGAATTTGTTTAGAAAATTTGCTGAAACACAAAAAATACCAATTTTCCCCCGAAAATCCCAATATTTTCCAAGAATCTCAAGTCTACCTGGGAGTATTTTGAAATGCAGTATTATCTGGAAATTTTCAGATTATCTGGAATTATTTTTACAAAGAAAAACACACCCACTGAAATCTTAGTAATTAGCTAATTACCTTGTGGGATTTTTGGGAATTTCAGATTAATTTAATGAATAAGTCCAGATTACTGTAGCCATTGAAATTTGAAGACTTTTTCCAGAAATCCCTGAATTTTCAGCTTCAAAAACACCCACAGATTTTTCAACCCAAATTAATTAGCAAAGTAATCCTTAGGGATTTTCCAAATTCTCAAAATTCATAAACAAAAAGTGCTCTCTATCTACAGTACCCCTCATCCTAGATAAAATCTATTTTCAGACATCAAACCAGAAAACATTCTGTGTAATTCTTCCGGATTTATAAAAATCTCTGATTTCGGAGCGGCCAAGCGAATTGATAACACATATAAAATTGCGTCATCTGCAGCTGGAACTCTTTTTTATCAAGCACCCGAACAACAATTGGGAATGGATTATAGGTACGGTAGATTAAAGGAACATGGGTCCTGAGGGGAAGATTTTTGAGGATCAAAATTTGGGTGAAAACCTGAAAAGAGATCCACGTGGCATAGGGATTAAGAGTACTGTATTTAAAAGGAACAAAATTTTGGTGCCAAAAAATCCACGTGGCAATTTTTCATCATTATTTGTTTTTTTTTGCAGTGAAAAAGTGGATGTTTGGTGTTTCGGTCTAACATTGTGGGAACTTGCGATTGGCCCGAATTTGGAAGATTATTATAATAGTATTTCTGATGGTTCGGATGATGTTCATGTTCCGATTATTGATGGATTTCCGACGAGTTTGGTCACATTGATCAGGAATTGGTGGGTTTTGAGTTATCAGCGGAGTGTTGTAGTTTTTTTTTTAATTTTTGGAAAATTTTAGTTGTGACGTGGCAACGTATTTTGTACACTTTCTTTTTTTCAAAATCTTGTGATATATCGAAATTCTATGAAGCGATTTAATTTGATTTACCTTTCTCAGAAACCTGCGATAATTAAATTTATTCAAAAAAAATACGAACTCTGCTCTTCTCGAGTTTGCCACGTCATAACTTTTTTCACAGTAGGTTTCATCGATTTCTGACTACACGATGTTTTTCAGCGGGTCAAAATTAGTCTGTAGAAAATTCAGAGGAATAATTATTTTTCGACTTCGCAGAATAACTTCCAGCGTAATCCAGCGGAGTGTCGTAGTTTTTTTTTTCAATTTTTCAAAATTTTCCCACTCAAAAATTTTTTTGGTGACTAATTTGGCCTGTCAGATTTCAAAAAAAAATTTTTTTTTGAAAAAGTTATGACGTGGCAAAATTCGCTCCCCAGATTTTCGCTGTTTTCTGATATTTCTTCTCGCTCTCAAATCCTAATTAAAATGATAGGCTATAATCGGATTTTCTCATTTTTCACAGCCTTCGTCGATCACCGGCTCAACGTTGGAATGAGCAACAAATTGAATCATGCGATTATTTGAAAAATGTGCAAATTGACCGAGATTTGATGCAAAGCTTTTTGAATAAATTTTGAAAACAGACAGATTGGTTTATTTTCTACAAAAGGAAGGCGATATGCGATATAAAAATTAAAATAAATTAGAAAATTTTGGGAATAAAAAAATCAATAAACAAGGAAGAAACCGGTGGAAAAACTAACAATTTTGGGAAGGGATTTTAAAATAAAAATTCAGGAATAAAATAAATTTAGAAATATCTGACTCTTCTTGTGGCTCTTTCATTCAAAATCGCCGCAATTTCAGCTATTCTTTGCGATAATTCATATTCATCAAGTGCCGCTTTCTGAGCCTCCTCTTCTTCGGCTTCTTGAGCCACCGCCTCTAAAAACACATCTTCTGGCACAAAAATAATTTCATCTTGATCCTCTTCAGCTTCTTGTTGTTGAGCAAGAGCTTCAGCTTGAGCTCTAGCTATCAAATCAGCATCGCTTCTTGGCAATTCGATTTCATACACTTGTTCAGGAATTGCTGCACGACGGTTTCGACGTGTAACTGGAAAACGCTGGTTTTAAATGTGTTTGCAGCGCCCGACGTTTCGCGGGAAAAGCGAGGCGCCGTGAATTGTGTGCGGAAGGGGCGGAGCTTATTTTTTCTTTTCTTTTTTTCTAGAAAAATAATATGGATAGAAAATGAGCCGTGCCCTTTGTGTTGTTAGTAAATATTTAGCCGAGCAAAAAACAATAATTATTACTTGCTCCACAGGCTTCGGCTCTTATTGAGAGCCCTGAGGATATTTGTTTTTATGCTCCAAAACTCACCATATTCTGGAATTTCGATAATTTCATATGCATCAACGGTTGGATCGAAGCGATTTATCTCGTTTTGCACGTATTCGGCCAACATGGCCAATTGATTGTCAGAGAGTTCTGGAAAAATTTGAATATTTTGGGGAGATTGCGGGATTTGCAGTGGAGCGCGGTTGCAATTTTCAAACTTCATCTGATTTCAGTAGAGCGCATACATCGGTTTCTCCCGGTCAGGGTCTCAAAATTAGCCACCCCCGGAATGTGAAAATACAAAAATTAGCCAGACCCCCTCAAAAAAAAGAGAAAAAACTTGGTTTTTGGGGGGTAAATTGGTATTTTTTCAAAAAGTTAGCCGGTCCCCACCCCTTTTTTCCAAAGTTAGCCAGACCCCCTCCGGACGAAAATCCGGGGATACTGATGTATGGTAGAGCGCACTTGCAAATTCGCTTCAATTTTCCCCTGCCTTATTTATACTCAAAATTATCCGCTTGACCTCGCCAACAAGTCAAAAATTAATTAATTCCAAAATTCCTTCCCATTTTCCTAGCTAACCTGACAGTTGATCTCTCAATAATTGTTCCTCTTCTATTTCATCAGCTAATTCAGCACCTAACGATGGATCCTCTTCGACTTCTTCAACAACAATGTTGCTGCGTTTTGCGCGTCGCGGCGAATTTGTCGCGAAGCTTTTTGTTTTTGCGATTTTCGATGTCTTTTTTGTCACGGCTGCTGCATTTGATGAATCCTGCAAATTTCTTATATTGGAAAAGTGACCGGAAGTTTTCTGATGCGAGCGTAGTGCAGTGGTAAAACTACGCGCTTTGAAGTTTTGCAGCAGGGTTCGATCCCCACTACTGACGACAATTTTTATTTTTATTTCTCTTGAATTCAGCATTTCTTTATAATTAATCTATAGAAAAATATATAATAAATGGCTTAATTAGTCAGATGAGCCCAAAAAAGAAGAAGAATAATGCATTCTTGCTCATTGAGCCGTGTGAATAGAGAGAATGGACAGAAGAGAAATTCAATATTTTCTATTTTCCAGCCGAAAAAAGATCAAAAATCCTTGGGATACTGTAGAAATCTCGAGATTTCTCAATTTGCACTTCTAAGCTTCCAAGCACACTTCAAAAAAGGATGATTTTATTTTTTCTCTGGCTCACGAAAAAACGGAAATGATCTAGAATGAGAATGATAAAAATTTATTTTGAAACCGGAAATTTGAATTTGAATTTGTTGCATTTTGAGCTACAGTAATCCATCTATACTTTTTTAAAAAGAATTTCAAACTACTATTTATAATTTATGAAAAATGTTGGCTTCTAAATATGAAAAAAAAAATTTCCTGGAATATATTTTTTAAAATAAAATTGGCTTCCAGAAAAAAAAACGAAAAAACTGGTTTTGATTTTCGAAAAAAAAATTGAGAAAAAAAAATTTGTTAAAATGTGTTTTTCGGCGCCAAAAATCAGAAGTTCCGGTTTGAAAAAAGAAGGGCTTCTGATTTTTACGAGGATACGAAAATTTTGAAATTCAAAAATAATATCTGAAAAATTTGGCACCAAAGTCATATTTTTCGAAAATTTCAATTAAAAGTCATAAACGTGGCTAGAAAAACCCGGAAACTTTTTACAAAAATTCAAATTTAAAATTTCGGTTGCAAAACTTTACACCACAATTTAATTTCTCTAAAAGTTTCTAAAAATTTCCGAATTTTCATTCTTTTGTGACTTAACTTTCAAAATTCACCTGCTCTCAAACTTAAAAGTTCCCCAAATGTTCCCGGTTCCCGCAACTCACCACTGGCGCACTTTCGACCATTGCAACCGACAACAATGCGACAGCAAAAAGGGATTGTTTCACAATTGACATCTTCTTCTTCTTCTTCTCGATTTTCTTGATTCAAAGTGACTTAGTTATTATCCTAAGTCAATACAAGTTTCAAACTAGAAAAGTGCTCTTTTCTTCTTCTTCTTTTTTCGTGCTCGAGTCGGCTTCTGCGAAGCGAAGAGTGAGGCGAGCCGAAAAAAAAAAGAGCCGCTCGCGCAGCTGAAAAAGCCACGCCCCTCCCTGCTCTATCCGCCTGCACTCTCTCACTTCTCCACACTCTCTGCGTGCTCTCATTTCGCCAATTTTTTTCAGCTTTCTCGTTTTTTTGCTATTTCGCAGCTGGACATATTTAAGGGGAAAAAGAAACATGCTTTTGGCCAGAAATTTGAGTATCTAAGTACTAAATTGGCGAAATTTGACGAATGCAAGAAGGAAAATTGATGAATTAGGAGTTCAGTGGAGCGCATTTGCACAATACTTCATTTTTCTTTTAACAAAAAATACACGTGGATTTTCTGGCGTCAAAAATTAATTTTCAAATTTTTTCCACGCGGCTTTCAAAAAAAAATTAATTTTTTTTCACGTGACCTTGATGACGTGGCAATTTTTCATTTTCATTTCAAGAATTTGCATTTCCAGCGATTCTACAGTACTCCCCTCGTATTTTCAACAGACACATTAAATTTCACGCAAAATTGCACACAAATCCTCATAAATTCATCAAAAAACGAAACTATTTCCAATTTTTTTCGTCAAAAAAAAACGGCGATGAAAAATTTATATAGATACAACAACTTCGAAGTTTTATTTGATGTCCACAAATGTTTGCTCTCCGGAATTTTTAATTGAAACCATCCCATTTCGAACAAAAAAAACCAACTAAAGAACATTTTAATGGTGCTCCTCTAGGCGAAATAATTCAATTTAGAGATGAAGACAAGCCTTTTTTGCTCAAGAGATAGGAAAAGGCTTTTATTTTTGGCGCTATGTGAGGGAAAAAATAAAGGTTGTTTGTTTGTGACCAAAGGCGGATAAACTATACTATAATTCTTGTTTTCTCGAAAATATTTTCTTTCCCCAAAATTTTGAATTTTTGATCGCCTTTATTTAAGGGAACAAATTTCAAATTTTTACAAAAAAATTTAAAAAATGACCACGATGGGTCCAACAAAATTACAAAACAAAAAAATACAAAAGTTAACAAAAAAAATGACATAGGATACAGTGAGAAAAAAAAAGAGGGAAACACAGGTGAAAAATTTTACAAAAAAATTTATTGTTTCCTCTTTAGGCGTTGACGCGTCGATCGACGAATTTGGTTTCGCGGTATGACAATTCTTTTGTCGCTTCCTTGACACGAGCATTATCCGAATCATGGTCCGTTCTGACTGGTCCAATTCCTCCGCTGCAAAAAATGAGATGAAAATAGGGGGTAAAAATGGACACTATAAAAAATCCAATTAACACATAGTAGTGTTGCGGGAAATTGGATACTTTTTTTTCGAACAACCTATAAACAAACTGCTCATTTCGAAACATTCACATGGGTGTCAAATTTTCAATTCCTGAGTTTTTTATTTACGTTTTCGATGCTAAAATTTCACCTGGGATATTTTGACATTTTTTTTCAATTGGCTTTTAAATATAGCTACCATAAATTTTGCAAAACACATAAATTTTCGTAATATGAAAATGACAAAAACATCCAGTAATTGGAAATTTTCATACGCACTTTATAGTTCAAAAACCACCCTTCCCCAAAACTGCTCACGTCTTTTGAATCCAAAGAGCACGTCCTCTCTTCGCATATTCGTTGGCAACGTATAATGGAGATGGAAGCGATGTGACCAACGAGACAATTTGATGGTGATAGCACAAAGCATAGGTCATCGACTCCAATTTCGACATTCCAGCGTAGAATTCGTCGACCAATACAGTGTACAATGGTGTTTTCGCGCTTCCTTGGAGAGTTCTGTGCGAATTGAGGAAGAATTGTTTGAACGACGGATGAATTATTTCGGCGTCAACCAAAACTCCAGGTGGAATGTTTGGATCGTCTTTCCAAGGCGACGATGTCGAAGTGGTTCGGCTCATCGCTTCAGATTTGCCGTTTCCATTCGAGTTTGAACCCTGCAAAACATTTGAAAATTATTTTTACGCATGAATCGGTTGATTTCGATAACTCTACTTTACTTTTTACGTCAGAGATAAATCGGATTTTTCGAGAAAACAGCTCATTTGTGAAAAATTAACAAAACTCACGTCTAATGATTTGAACAAACGGAAGTTGTGATCTTTGTTGACCATGATATAGATCAATTTTGTCTCCTCGAAGCCCTTCGCTTTCATGGCATTTCGAATCAATGGAACTTCATAAGCCAAAATCGATCCATATGCACCTTCCGATGATGCTGCTCTATAAATGATGAGACGACGAAGTGGTTCTTTTCTCTTTTCTGTCCAAACGTTCAACACATTTTCAACGATTTCCTCCATCGACACAAGTGCCTTAAAATATTTGTTTTTCACATGACAAAGATTTATCAAAACATACATCTCCGGCAGCATCTGTCAAGGTGAAATCACCAATGAATTCTTGCGGATTGTAGACATTCGATGAATACTAAAAACAAGTAATTACATATTTACTTTTTAAAAAAGAAAGTGAAACTTACTCCAATACACATCGGATTCAAAAGTCCTTTTCCGTCTCGCATATGTGAAATCAAGGATGTAGCCACTGGTGAGCTAACTCCAAGAATCAATTGATCATCGGAAATGGAATTTTCCTGAACATGGTAGTTGGTTCCTCCCAATTTGACATTCAATTTGTTGATAACATTCTCCATCGATGCCTTTTTCCCTTGTACAAACATATTGGCCAATCGATGAGTGAGATCTTGGATAACAACTCCGAGTTCACGTTCCATCAATTTGAACATACTGTGCATATCAGTGATGCTGCTGTCCGTGACCATCAGAATGTATTCACAACTATGTTCAGCCGCATATCGAATACGACCCTCGGCTTCATCCTTCAATATGACCAAACATTCAGCCGGAGCTCCAAATCTGATGCCTTTCCTTCCAGCTTCAGCAGCAAATCGTTGTCCAAAATTGAGAGCTTCGGCATCGTTGAACCCATTGCCCATTGCGCCATTTATAATATAAATGGCCCAAACTTTTGGTGTTTGTGCAACTCGTTGATAATGTCCAGTCGATCTCCAATGTCCGTGGTCGATTGTCGCAGGAGCTTTCGCACCATACACCACCGATTGATTTGGTAACAATTTTGCATTGATAAGAAGTGGATCGGTGAATATTTTGATACCAATATCGTGCAACAACTCATTTCTTGTTCCTTCACGAGTGATCAATCCGATTGCAGTCATTCCACCCATGACAAGTCGTTGACGATCGAATGGAACAACTGCACATTCTCTAGTTGTCAAAGCACTTTGTTGAGCGGTGAGTTGTGGAATGGTGACTCGTTGATTTGGTGAAACATGCATCAATTCCATCGGAAAGAAGTTATTGTTTCCTCGTTGTTTGCAAATGAGCAAATTGAGACGAGACAACCTGAAAAATCGAAAGCTTAGATTTCAAATGACAGAAACATTTCTCACTTCAAATGAATCCCATATTTATCAGCATAATATTTGGCAACTGTGGTAGTTCCACCATCTCCAAGATCAAATTTGGTGCGCTCGGCATTGTCGCAGTGTATTCCTTCGATTCTCAAATGTTGGATCTTTCCAGTGTAATTCGAGTAGACATCCAATCCTTTGATAATTGCCGTAACCTTTTCCGGAGATCTAACAAGATCATTGTAAGCCGGCGGTGGGCGATGTGGTTGAGATTGACGATTACGATCTAAACGGTCAGCTGGATTCATGATGCACGCGATTTTCTCAGCAACAGTTTGATGAATGTGAAAAGCGGCTTTCATCGAATCAACCACCAACGCTGGATTATTGTGTCCTGTTCCAAATGGTCCTTCAACGAAGTGGATTGACTTCTTCAAACCGGGCAACAAATATTTTCCATCTCCAACTTCTTTCGTATCATTTGGACTGAAGCCGTTTTCTCGCGGATTAAGGATGTAGACTTTTCCGTGTTCAAAGCAGGCGAAACGTTTTCTGAAATATTTTGAAATATATTGGGCCTATGCAGAATAATATTTTGTAATAAAAAAAAAACTTATTTTTCCTATGCAGAAAAACGTCGAAAAAACAAAATATTTATTTTTGAGTAGAGACAATGCGAAATTGAGAGAGTGCAGACCGACGAATTGATTTTTCGCACAAAAATACAAAAAAACTAATTTTTTTTGTCTGCACTCTCTTAATTTCACATTGTCTCTACTCAAAAATAATAAACTGTATATTTTGTTTTTTCGACGTTGTTCTGCATAGGAAAAATATGTTTTTTTATTACAAAATATTTTTTGCATAGGCCCATATGACTCTAAAATTCAAATAACTAACGAGTCTCTGATGCACGTTTGATTGAAAATGAGTTCCATGAATTGAAACAAGGAACGATCGATGTTCTCCAAATTAGAATCAGCAGTGCGAGTCAATAAATATTCAGTCGAGAAATTGATGCGATGACGATCACCAACATAAATTTCGACTTTGATAGATTCCAATCGATGCAAATCTTGGTTGTCAATATTGGCGCCATTCACTTCGAAAACGATTCGTTTCTGCTTTCTGTCTTTGATTCCTGGGAACAAATCAACAGTGGTGAACAACAAACTCTGTCCATCATAAACAATCGTGTTTCCGCCATTAAGTTTGAAGAATTCCGGGTTGTTTGCAACGGCAGAGTAGAAGATCGAAACACATTTCTCGTGACGATCGAGAACAATGAAATCCTCTTTTCCCTTTTTGGTGAATTCGGCTGTTTTGGTTGGCGATAAATCGACAGTGATATACACAAGATAACTGTGGATAATTGTGTCTTTTAACAATTGCAAACCAAATACATTTGTCTGAATCTTTGTAGGGCATCCAAGTGACGATGGTGTTTCTTTTTTGACCATCTTTTTTGGACCTGGTGGAAGTCCAAGTACTTTCAAACGTTTTTGACAAGCATCTACCGCGGCTCTCTGAGTGGCATCTGTAGAGAATGATTGGATTGATTTTTTACCAGAAAGCATAACTCACCAAAAAGACCAGGAGTTGGAACAGGTGCCGGTGGAACTGAAACTGGTGGTACTACAACAGGCGGAGCTGGTGGAGCTAAAACTGGCGGAATTGAAACTGGTGGAATTGTAACTGGTGGAATTGTAATTGGTGGAATTGCAACTGGTGGAATTGCAACTGGCGGCATTGGACCTGGTGGCATTGGAGGCATTTTTAATTATTACACAAGCGGTAAATAATTATTACGCAAGCTTTAGAAATTATATCTGAAAATAAATTAGCACTGATTAGATTACAAGCATAAATACGAAATGACGGAATTCACAACAATTTCTCGACCTACACGTGGAATATTATCGGATTTAATTGTTTTTTTTTCAGATTTTCAATGTTGTTGCGATTGCAACACAGAATTCACGCTTCCCACAGCAAAAACAAGAACCAGAAATGAAATCCGAATCCCAAAATTTCGGTATAGGGTACTGTATTTTTTGAATCGGCCCGAGACCAGTTCTACAAACGCGCTCCATTGCAACGGGTCTCGCAGCGAAATAGCCCGCGCATATTTGAATTTGTATTTGTTTTTCTCACTTTTTTCTTCGTTTTTTCCGGCTTTTGCACCAGTTTCCCACCAAAATGGACACCTCGCTTGGCGCAGCCGTTTGTCGAATTTGCATGTGTGGCGAGACATCGATTCCGTACAACGGAAAACAAGCCGGCGAACCGCTAATATCACCATGTAAATGCTCCGGAACTATGGGTTTATATCATCGAAGTTGTCTCGAACATTGGCTAACTGTTACGAATACGAGTAAATGTGAAATTTGCAAATTTCAATTTAAGCTTGGAGCGTGAGTTTTTCACTGTTTTCAGCCAATGAAGAAAAAATTGAATGTTTTCAGGAGATCTCGATCATTTTTCGATTATATATGGAATAAAGGATATGGAAAACATCGAAACCCATTGATTGATTTTGGTTTCGCAATTATTATTACACCAATAGCTATTTTCGCTCTAATGTTATGTGTTAAAGGCGCACGCCAGGCTGGCAAAAGATATCACGCCGCATTTGAAAATCGTTTCGATGCTAATGACAGAAGTCGAAATGTTGAGATATTGAATGAAACATCGATGGAATTTGCGCTTTTTGTATTTATTTCAGTCATCATTTTCTTTTCACTAACAATTTTTCTTGTTATAATGCTTGTAAATCATTGGACACAATTCAAAAAATGGCAGAAGAAGAATCGCGTGTTTTTTGTCATCGATCAATTGGACACCGAACGCTCTTTGTTGTACAATCCGAAAACGGCGGGTTTTTTGAGGAGAGCGATGAGTAAATTGGCGATTTTGAGGAGAAGAGGGAATATTTTGGAGAATGTGAGAAATGGAGGAGGTGAAGAGGGAATTGGAATGGAATCATTGATTGTTGGAAGAAATACAACGGTTATTGTTATGGAACAAAGTCCAGCTGGAATGCGAAGTGAGTTATGACGTGGAAAATACCTGGCAGCAAAATTGCCACGTCATAAGGTCACGTCACGTCAATTGAAATTCTTTCATTTCAGAAACGCAATCCGTCTATTCTGTATGCTCTTTCGGCAATGGTGTAATGGTTTGCTCAACTCCAGTTTCTCAACGATTATTCAGTCCCACTGATCTTCCTCTCCGATTTTCCTCAACTCAACCAATCGAAGAAGAACATTTCGAACAAATTGGTCGATTTCAGGTCGAAAGGTTAGACTAAACAACTTGTATTTATTTATTTTTATGTATGTATTTAGCTAGATATTTTGTCATATTTATTATTTGTGAATAATTGAATTGGAGATTAAATTAAAAATATTCATATATCATATATAGTACAAGCAATATTTAACACATAAGATCAAAATTTTCTGAAAAACTTCTCCAAACTCGCATTTTCATCGATTAAAAACTCGTAAATATAATCAAAAATCAATAAGTTGATCGATTCCTTTTTCAATTTTTTCGCATTTTGCGCATTCCACTCAAAATCTTTTGTCACAAAAACGTGGGTGGGATTGAGAGCAACAATTTCAGAATATTCGACAATTTTAAAAACCTGTGCTCCACCAGCTTCAAGAATTGACAAAATTTGAAGAGCTCGTTTATCTTCAGCATGAATTACACATTTCCAATCACTAAATGCCCCATTTTGCCGGCTTTTCTGAATTAAAAAAATATGATTTATGTTCCTTTAAGTTCTCCTACCATCCAAATATTATTGATTGGCATTCGATCAATTTTTTCGCGCCAAAATCTGCACCTTTGTGCCAATTGTTTTTCAATGATTTTCGCGTTTTTCGACACTTTTTCCTCTGTCCATTCATATTCTTTTTCATCAATCCATTTTCCGGCCTTTTGCGAATCAAAAATGAAATCTGGTGTTAGACACCATTTTCCAGACGCCAAGGTGCACAGAACTTTTGGGGTTCGATTCTGAAATTTCGGGGAAAAATGATTTTCGAGCTGAAAATCTCATACAATTTTTTTTTGGAAATCGGAAGAGCAAATGTGCTCTAATGCGAAAATATCGATTTTTGACTGAAAATTTATAATTTGTACAGCCAATAATTGAAATTTTGCATGTTTTATTGATTTTTGAGCGAAAAATCCCCAATTTTCTCCCAAATTCCCAAAATCTCACCAATTTCGGACAAATCAAATGCGTCACTTCAGCACAATGATTCTCGACAACAATTCCTTTCAATTCTCCAATAATATCTCGAATTTTCTGTCTTTCTTCAGTTGACATTTCAGAACAACTCAACAAGAATTTCTTCTCGATTTCTTTTTCCTTCCGTCTTCCCGTATTTTCAACAGCTTTTCTTAGAATTTCTCCCATTCGCGTTGTTGTTATCGAGGAGAAATCGATTGATTCGTTGCCAGTTGGTGTTGGAATTTCATCGATTATTTCATTGATTCCGTCGAGATTCCAGTTTGGTTTGATTGGTTTTGTCAGATCGATTCGATGTGACGTTCGAAGTTCTTCGCGATTTTCTTCGACAACTTCTTGGACCTGAAAATGAGACCATTTGGAGAAAATATCCCAAACTCAGAATTTTCATGAAAACTCCCAGAAATTTTTTTTTAGCATTCATTTGAAGAATTTAAATTTTTTCATACAAAATCTTGCATTTTCAAATACTGTAGTAAAAAATTGCCGCCAAAGATCGGGGATACTGTAGCTTAGCTGTTTGGCGGGAGGGAAAAATTTAAATTTTGAAAAGATTTTGGTAGCCTGAGAGTGATAATTTTGGGGTTAAAACTTTTGAATTTTGAAAAGTTTCAGGCACTAGAAACCCGGAATACTGTAGCTAAGGTATTTGGTGTCAAAATTTGAAAAATCAATTTTTTTCGAAATTAAATTTGGTGAAAAATTATAATTTCCAGATTTTTGGGTCTAGTTTGTGTTAAAAATTCCAGAATTTTCCTACAAAAATCCAAAATTCCTTACCTGCTCCTCTTCCACATTTGCTTTCCTAATAACCTGTGTTGCATTATTCTCCTTCTCATTCGTATACTTCACCCAAACATCATCAGATCGCTCGAAATTTTTGAGCGGTACTCCGCTGAACAAAAAATCATTTTGTGGCAGGCGTTTACAATGAGCAATGCTTGATATAATCCAAGATAAATCTATCATTTTTGCTTTTGGGACCTTGGTTGGTTTTGAGAGATCAAGTTGTTCCATCATTATGAAATACGAGATTTCGCGCTGTAAAAATGAAGGTGTAATTTTCGGATTTTTTGAAACTATAATTAATCCTGAACACCCCTGAAATTCTCCGATTTTTGAGCCAAGATTCATTCTAGCTCCAATAAAATCAGAAATTTAACTTACCGCCTGAATATTGTTTATCTCATTAACAATTCCGCCATTTTTCTCAATCATATCCTTCACATATTTCGTCACAAATTCATTTTTCATATAAATAATAAAATTAATCGCATTAAAAATGGGACTAATTGGTTGAGGAAATGGAACAAATAATGGATGAAAAGAAACTTCGAGCAATATCGATTGTTTGATACAAGTATCAATATATAAATATGTGACAACTGCATCGAATGATAATAAAATATTGATTGGAGCTGAATGATTGAATACAACATAGTCACAATCTTCGACGGTTTTTGCGATTGTTCCACCGTTTTCTTGAAGTTTTTCGGTGTAGATTTGGGCGATTTGGGAAGGCAATGTTGAGTGGAGGAAAAAGCGGAGAGGTCTGCAAAACAAGAAAATGTATTTTCTCTATCATCTAAAAGGTTTCTTCAGAAAAAAGTTGATGATTTTTTGAAACAGTGAAAAATTTCGATTAAAAAAATTATTTTTCATAGGAAAACAATAATTTTTCTTAACAATGAAGACATTTAATTTAAAAATTTTATATTTCAATTTTTGACGAAAAAACCATCGGAAAACCTTATGGGGCTATTCAAGTTATTTTCTCAACGCTGAGAAAAGCGAAGAAAACCTATTCAGGTAGGCTGAGAAAATACGAAAAAAGTGAAGAAAATGCATTTTCTCCGCATTTCTCCTGTTTTCTCAGCGTGTTGAGAAAATACTTGAATAGCCCCATTACAAAACAATTTTTTTGAAAACAAAATTCGGGATTTTCATCGAAAATAATTCACTGTTTCAAAATTGTCATAGTATTTGAAACAAAATACAATTTTTTAATCACAGATCCGAATATTCAATCATAATTTTATTTGGATAAATTCAGTTTTTCTAAAATTTAACTATTTTTTTAAACCAAAAATATTTGAAAATTAAACTTCATTTCTTGGAAAAGCTCAGAAAACTGAAAATTTCATGGAGCAAAAAATGAATGTTAATTTTTTGAAACAGTGAAAATTTTAGTTTTTATTTTGTAATTCAGAATTTTGTTTCTCAAAAACGTACAGCTATTTGATACTCAGTGAGGTACGCAGTCAATTTGAAAGCTTTTTTGTAAGCCAAAATTGTAGTATTTGTAGATCACGTGTTTCACGGGAATTAGATACGCAGTCAAATTAATCTTCACTTCAATAATCTGGACATTAGATACTCAGTCAAGAGATGAGATACGCAGCTAAATTTAAGATATTATTTTAAACACCTATGGTACATCGAAAAAATAAGTTCATAGAAAAATTAATGGTTTTTTTGAAACAGTGAACATTTTTTGGATTTTCAGAATGAAATTTCCAGAAAAATAGAATAATTTAGATTTTTAATTTCTCAAAATTTCGCAAAACCTCCCCAAATACTCACGAAAAAAGGCCTTTAATCTGCTTCGCGGGTTCTTCAGTAAACGCGGTCAACGTAGTCGTAACACTCGGTGTCCGGCTCATTCTCGCAACAATCGGCGGTCCTCCTCCTCCCACTTTTTCCTGTGTAAATGTCTCATTTCCAGCTGCTTCATTCCACTCAAATTCTTCCCACGGCACCAAGTCTTTTTTCTTGAAACATTCAACAATCCAATGTGCGGTGACGATGAAAATATCGGGTTGATTCGAGTATTTTCGTATTGTTGATTTTTCGATGGCTGTTGGTTGGAGGACGACAACATGGGTGGCCGAGTCGATTTTTTGAACGCGAGTCGCGCCGGATCTGTCCAATACTCGACGCCATTTGTCCTGTTTTTTCGGGTCCACTCCGCATAGCCAAATCATGCAGCCCTGGAAAATATGAAAATATTTCACTGTTTCAAAAGTGTCGTATAAATTTTCAGGTTTTTAAAAAAAATATTGTTGAACAAAGGTGTTTTGGAAAAAATAACCCTAGAAAATTTCACTGTTTCAATATTTTCATATAAATTTGCAAATTTTTCATTTTTTGATGGGTAGTCAGAATATAATCTAACTGTTTCACAATTTCTATCTGATTTTCCAGGTTTTATTTTCCATTAGCAAGCTCAGAATTAAGAAAAATTTTAGAATAAAAAAAAAAAGAAAATTTTGGTTTTTTTCGAAAATATTCTGCTGTTTCAAAATTTCCATATAAATTTTCAGTTTTTTTTCATTTTTTGATGGGTCGAACTAAATAAAACCAATAGGAAAATCCCACTGTTTCAAAAATGTCTTTTATTTTTCCACATATTTAAATATCCATTGATATCGTTTTAAACATTTTTAGAAAAAAAAAGCCAGTTTAGTTTTTTCTCTATAAAATATTCTGCTGTTTCAAAATTTTCATATAAATTTTCAGCTTTTTCATTTTTTAATCAAGCAATAAAAACATGAAAAAAACATGAGAAAATCCCACTGTTCCAAAATTTCTACCTGATTTTTCCGGTTATAAAAATTGGCCAAAATTACGAATTAATTTTTTTTAATGAAAAAAAATTGCACTGTTTCAATATTTTCATATAAATTTGCAGCTTTGCTTTTAATTCTGATACGGAATAAAAATTTTTCAAACAAAAATTATTTTTTCAGCCAAGCCTAGAATTTATAACAATTTTTCTGGAATGCTCAACCTCCCCCCATTCTCTTTACCTCAAACAAATCCGAATCCTCATCATTTTCCAAAAACAAATCATCAATCGGATCAAAGAAACTAGTCGACGCAATTTGTCTCGCAACAATCCGTGTCGGTGTTTCCAAATGACTATTCGTAACTCGTTCAAAAATCCTCTCCTCATTAATTGTCATAGATTGTTGTTGTTGTTGTCTTCCAATTGCAGTACAACTGCTCACCGATTGGCTCAAACTAATCGAATTCGAAAAATTCAACTTTCCACCAACACCAGAAATCGATGATATATCAGCTGACAAATTCACCGGATTCTCTTTTGTTGGTGTCGATGTTGATCGTATAATTCGATCTTTATTCGCTTCAATCAATAATTTCGGATGATATTTCGATTCCTCGATGATTCTCCCAATTTCCACACATTTTCTAACCCATCTCGGTTGCACAATATGAATTGTTCCCCATTTTTCAGCTTTCAAATATTTTTTGTGTTTCAGATTTTCAGTGATTACATGGGTACACGTGGCTTTCACCAGATCGCCTGATACTTTTCCGCCATTTTCTTCGATTAGTTTTATTGTGTTACTTCGATCAGCGCCCTCCATACCAGCCAAAGACATTTCCTGGAATTAATTATTGATTTTTTGTTTGTGAGAAAATTTACAAAAGCAATGTTTTTTCATATAAAAATCACTGTTTCAAAAATGAAATAACAAAATTTGAAGACATTTTTCACTGATTGATAAATCGGAAAATATAGCTCGAAAATTTGAAAAAAAAAACGTTTTTTTTTCATTTTTTAAAATTTTTTTTGAAATTTTATTAAATGTTAGATCTACTTCTGCTTATCTTAATTCAATTTTGAACAAAAATAATTATTTTGAACAGAAATTAGACATGTCTTTTGAAAAATATTATTAAAAAAATATATTTAAAAATTTCACTGTTTCAAATTTTTAACATTAAAAATTAGAATTCACCAGACAAATTCATAAGAAGCTTTCTCCTCTAATAAAAATTTGAAACAGTGAAATAATTTTGAGAAATTGAGAGAATCTAGAGAAAAAGAACCATAAAACCGAATTCCGGGCATTGCTCTTATTAAACAATTTTTAGACTAATTACAAGACGATCAAATTGATTAACATGAGCAATATCATTATTTTTAATCGCGTATGATAACAAATTTTTAGAGAGTCTAGACAAAAAATTATATTAATTTTCTAAACCCCAAAAGAACCCACCAATCCTTCAAAAATTCTCAATTTATAGCTATTCTCCACATTTTCATCAATCGCACTAAATTTCACCATAATAATTTTGGTCTCCTCCCATAATTCATCAACCCATTCTCTTCTCATCAATTGAATATCTTCACTTCTACACGCCACTTTAAACTTCTCCGATCTCGTATCCGCTTTCACACAAATTAAATGCGTTATTGTTTCGTACAAATTCACCGACACTGTTCCATTCATCCATTCAATTTTCTCATAAATCTCCCGTCGTTTTTCGGGTAAAAATCCGGTGCAAGTCACTTTTACACCCTCAAAAACACTCGAATAAACTGGATGATTGCATTGGGGAAGGGGTTTTTCTTGTTCAACACATTCTGAGACAATTGGAGGACCGTAGACACGATATCCTTCTGTCGCTAATTTTCGGAATATTTGACCGCGAAACATTGGAACAACGAAAAAATCGGATTTTTGAGGAAGTTGGAAAATGTCGTCGGCGTCGATCCATTCGGGATAAATTCGAGCATCTGAGACGGTCTGCAAGCGAATTTTTTAAAACATTAATATTAGGAAAACAGCTCAATCGGAGCTTGAAATTTCGTTTAAAAAATATTTAAATTATGAAACGTATTTTTTACGTGATGTATTTGAGACTAAAAATTGGGATTTTCAAAATTACATCAAAATTAGGGAATTTCGTGAGGTTCTTTTTTTTTTTGAAATTTTTATTTAGGACAAGAAGTATTTAAAAAATTGCTATAACAGTGGAATTTTTTAACAAAAAAATTCAGAAGAAAAATGTATTTCTGAATTATTTATTCGTGGAGATTATACGGATTGTTCAATTCATCAAAAGTTTAATTCTCAAAAAAAATATAGTTGAATTTTGAAACAGTGAAATTTTTAGCATAATTTTTAAACTGTTTTTTCCAAATTTCTGATGATCGTGAGAACCGAATCAAAACTTGAAATTTCGTTTTAAAAAATATATCAAATTTGAAACGTATTTTTACGTGATGTATTTGGGTCAAAAATTGGAATTTTCAAAATTACATAGAAAACTACGGAATTTCGAGAGGTTTTTTTTTGAAATTTTAATTTGTGACAAGAAGTGTTCAAAATTTGCTATACCTCTGGAACAGTGGAATTTTTTCAAAATAAAAATTCAGAAGAAAACGTTATTTTTGAATTATTTATTCGCGGAGATTAGAAATATTTTACCCAATAAAAAACCTAATTCCCAACAATAAATATAGTTGAATTTTGAAACAGTGAAATTTTTCGCGTCATTTTCTATTTTTTTTTAAATTTCTGATGATCTTGGGAAGAAATCGTAAATCAGAGCTTGAAATTTCGTTTTGAAAATATTTGAATTTTGAAACGTAATTTTACGTGATTTATAAATAGGAATTCCTGGAATTTTCATTTTTTTTTGAAACAGTAGAAACACCCAGAAAAGTCGATATCGTGATAATTGAGTAAAAAAAAAGATTATGATTACATTTTTAGCAAAAAATTTAACTTATTTAATTTATGAAACAGTGAGATTTTTGTTTCCAAAATGAATTTCACAGTATATTTTTGAAACATTATTTTTTCCCTTTCAAAATTAAAGAACCAAAAACTGCCTGCTTCTTACCCTAAACAACTCGGCGTGCATATTTTCCTCCTCTTTCGTCGGAAATTCCTCTTCAACCGTTGGAATTCGCACAAAATACATTGTGAATGGCGAATCTTCGTCTTCGTCGTCTTCGCAAAAAACACTTTCGTTTAGAGCTCGCGAGATCTGGAAATGGGGATTTTTTCCGGATTTTCTAGTTGAATTTTTGATTCAAAAACAAATTCTGGGAAAATTTGAAAACATGGGAAAAGCTTCAATTTTGGGAAATTTTTTTTCAAAAATCTGGGAACATTTGATAGTTTTTTGATCTGAGAGCTATTTATATTTTCAAAATTCTAATTTTCCAGCCAAAATCCTCACCTCACTTCTTCTCGCTTTTTTCGGCGCTGGTGGTAAATTCATTCCTAAAAAATAGAAAATTAGGTTAAGCTAAATTCACACAGAACGATATTAGATGGTTATTAGGGAAACCGAAAATATTTGAGCAGAAAAAAAAATTAAAAAAAAACAATTTATTGCTCAATAAATTAAATCGACATATTTTCCTCTATACAAAAATCGAATCGGATTTCCCGTGTTTTTTTCGAATTCGAAGCGATGGAATATGGAATCGGTGAGTTTGTCGGAGACTAGGAATTTTTGAATTCCAGGGATTCCTTGGGATTTGTGGTAGACTCGACCGGATGAAGACATTGAAAGGGAAGAGGGCTGGAAACCTTATAACATTAAGTTACAAATTTAAGACAAAAACCAACCTCAAAATCATGATAAATCGTGGATTCTCCAACCCTCAATTTCTCCTCATTTTTATCGAATTCAGTATAAACAATCGGCGTGTCATCGCATCTCAAATAATTTCGCTCAATTCCACAAGGGCTGACGAATGGGAAAGAGTCCTAGAATATATACATATATATTTATTTACAAGGAAACTCTCAACTTTTAACATGAGTTATGACGTGGCAAAAGTCTGGACTTCAGGAACTAATCTTTTAATGTTATCAGATTTGAAATGGAAGGCTTCAAAAGTCCCGATTTTTCAAAATTTGCCACGTCATTACTAATTTTAAAAGTTGAGTTTCGCTACTAGAAAACATTTAAAAAATGTTCTCACCTGATACCTGCCCGTCGTATTTTCCTTAACCCGCGAGTAGAAAAAATTCAAAAAATCCAAATCCTTATAACTCGCAGTAAAATTCTTCATCCGCGAATCATCTAGAAACAGGAAACCATTGTGATTTACATAGTAGAAATACTCTCTGAAATTCAAAATTGTTTTTTTCTCTGAAAATCGGAAATGGCGCTTGCCGAATTCGATTTCCGATGATTTGTTGGCCTTGTTTATATAGCATTTTTTCGGGGACCTGCTGAAAAATATCAATTTTTCAGCAGGATCCCTTGCAAAATTGAATTTTTTAAACAATTCAATTTCAATACCAAAATCAAAAAAAATCACAACACAGATAACATAAGAAATGCACACTTTTCTTTTCTTTCAGAAAAAAAACTCAAAGAGTTCGTAAAATTACATTTATTTGAGTTACAAAAACAGACTAACTTTTGAAAAAGGAATAACGCAAAAACACTCTCTAGATTAGATTTATCGGAAGAATTTTTAGAAGAGGCGGAAATCCGATTTTTTGCCTTGTTCTTTGTCGAATTCGGGATCTTGGGCGACCTGCAAAAAATGGATATGGGGGTTTTTGTTGCTCGAAAATTTACTGCTTCAAATTTTGTGTTTTTTTGGTAATTTTTCATAGACAAGTTATTGATATTAAGATCCTTTTTGAAATTTATTCCAGAAAAAAACAATAATTTTTTGCTGAAAAATCTACTGTTTCAAATTTTGCTTTCAATGTTTTTTTTTTTTTTTTGGAAATTTCCGTTTATGCAACGGAAAACTAAATTTGAATTTAAAAAATCAGAATTTTTCAAATTGTAATAATTATTTTAGAAATCCACGTTTTGACAGAATTTCTCATATTTTTAATAAACTTTTTCAACAAAAAAAATTTACTATTTCAAATTTTGCGTTTATTTTTTTCGATAAATTTTTTTTTTTTGATATTGTGAAGGATATTAATCCAGTTTGATAAATTCGCCCTGATTTGGTCGGTATGCCAAAAATCAATATCTTTCATCATTTTCTGTGAAATTTAGTGAAACCACAAAAATTCGCAGTTTGTTGTTGATGTTGAAAATTTACTGTTTCAAATTTTGTGTTTATTTTAGTATCTTTTCATAGATAAATTATTGATTTTAAGTTCCTTTTTGATATTTATTACAGAAAAAACAAATATGTTTTTGCTAAAAAATCTACTGTTTCAAATGTTGCTTTCAATTTTTTTGGGAAATTTCCGTTTATTCAGCAGTAGATAAATTTTGAATTTAAAAAAATCAGAATTTTTCAAATTGTAATATTTTTTTTAGAAATCCACGTTTTGATAAAATTTCTCATATTAAAAAAAATGTTCAAAAAAAAATTTACTGTTTCAAATTTTGCGTTTATGTTTCTTGGTCAATTTTTTTTTGATAACTCTAGGGATTGTGTTTCCGGTTTAAAAAGTTTGATCATTTTCTGTGAAATTTCGTGAAATCACAAAAATTCACAATTTTTTGAGTTGAAATTTTCCAAATTTTGATTGGAAAAAATTGGTGAAAATACAAAATGTGCAACACTCACATTCTTATAATATTGCCAATCCTTCGACAATGGTTTATCACCTTCCAATGGCGATTTCGACAATTGGAACTCATATGGCGGCTCATAATTCTTCTTATCTTGATAGAACATTCCCTTTTTCCAGAACGAATAATCGAATTGTCCATTCGCCAATTGCTCTTTGTGCTCCGCCAATTTGGCGGCTCTTTCCTCCATTATTTCTGGATGTCTTCGTTCCCAAATTTGGCGATGTTTTTGTTTCATATAAGCATCACGAACATCCGATTCTCCTCCCAATTCACCGTATTTTACGAAGAAGTTCAGCTCATTTTCTTCCATTTCTTCGATTTGTTTGACGCATGGCGAATGATCGGGATTGTTGTATAACATACATCTATCAACTCTTTGACGGAGAATCTGAAGAAAATTATAGGATTTTTCGCACTAAAAAAGTTGACTGTTTCAAAATTATTTGATGAAAAAATACAATTTTTAAATTTCAAAAAAATTTCTGTTTCAAAAATTTCATTAGAAATTTTACTTTAGAACAAAGAAATCACGATTTCGGTTTTTTTGGAGTAAATTTAAGATTTTAATGCAATTGTTGAAGGAAAAATGTAATTTTTTCTTCAAAAAAAAAAAAGTTCACTGTTTCAAAATTATTATATGAAAAAAATAAAATTTTGAAAGTTCAATTTCACAGCTCAATAAAAATTACTGTTTCAAAAATTTGATTGAAAAATTATATTTTTAAAGGGAATTGTTGACTCAATTAATTTCAATCTACAAAAAAAAACTGTTTTGGAATTTTTTTTTTTGAAAATTTGTGAACACACCTCGGCCAAAATCGTGGTTTCCACAATAAAAATTATACGCTAACTTTTTACGGTACACAAATTGTGAATTTTTCAGTTTTTGTCCTCTAAAAATTGTGATTTTTCAATTTTTGACCTCTAAAAACTGAAATTCAGATTTTTCAAAAAATTGTACTCTGGCCAGCCACGGCTTGGCCGATGTGTGTTTGTGAAATTTTACAGCTTTGAAAATTTTATTTTTCTCAATTGTCTCAAATCAGAAAATTGATGTTTCAAAATCAAAACTTATATTTTCTCTGCAATTTGCATTTAATCCAATAATTTTTTATGAAAATCTGACATTTTCAATAAAATTAGCGATATTTCAACTTCCTGAAAATTTACTGTTTCAAAAATTTCATATAAAATATGCCTTTCCTTGCGATATTATTATATAGTTGTTTTCACAAAATTAAACCCAAAAAATTACCTGAAGAATGAATCCGTCAACCATTTTATCCAAACGATATTGTTCATTTGCCTCATAGAAACAGGCTTTGTCATTGACTCCACATTCGTCAATTTCTGGAACACGATTCAATTGGCGATGATAGTAGGGAAGACGGTTTTTGTTGTTGAGTGGCTCGACGAAGGTTTCTGCAAATTTAGAGGGGTTTTGAGAGTACAAATTTCGCTTTCACGATAAATTTTAGCAATTTGTTAAAGAAATTTTTGCTCTGAAAATATATTTTGATTAAATTTAACCTGTAAAGTCGAAAATATTTAAAAATTAGTTTTTTCTCGATTACAAAATTTTTGGGACAAAACATTTGAATTACACGTCATAGCCTAACTTACCTCTAAACCAGGTGGCCGGCGCATCAAAAGCCTTTTGAGCATAATATCTGAATCTCGGATAAATAGCTCCGCGCGAGTCCAAATCGCGAACTTTCCAATACGCGTCCCATGCCGCTTTGTCTTCCGCCTGACGTTGTTCAACCAAGCCCTCACCCATTCTGTCAATTAATTGATTATTAATTTTTAATCACTAAAATAATTATCAGATATGTTTCAGTGTTTCAAACACTTTTACAACAACAAAAAGGGTTTTTCGGACCATAAAATTTTATGAATCCTTAATTTTGATATATTTTTTTTTGAAACAACAAAGAACAATAAAGGTATAACAATGAAATATGAGTAAATAATTTTAAAAAGGGAAAAATTAAAAAGATTTTGTGTAGAACTCTTGAACAAGTTTGATTATATCATCAATATCCACTAAAAATTCGGATTTTTGAATAATATTTTGAATTTTGATGATTTCCTCGCAACTCGAAGCATTTATCCAAATCCGACCGTTCATTCCAACAGTGATTTCGAATTTAAAGAATTGTCCGATGGTTTGCAATATTTTGCAAGATGGATTTATCAATCGACGCGCGTGATTTAGGGAAACATTGAAAAGAAAACCATCATTCAATTGTCCCATTCCTCTTGCTCGTTTTTCATCATCAACACATGTTAATTCAGCTTCAGTGTTTGGAGAAGTATCAAAAACTGTAGCGTAGATAATATCACCAGTCTTCAAGTTCGGACGATTTCGCTTTGTCGCCCCTTCGAAGTTTGTGAAATTTATTGTGGCAAATTCCGCTGTCCCAATATCTAATCGGAAAAAATCGCCAGCTTTCGCTGTGACAATTGCAATCACTCGATCACCTTCACTTGGAATGTACCTAAATTTTTCGAAAAAATAAACATTGAAGGTTATTGTTTTGAATAACAAACCTCCTGCTATGCACATTCAGCCAAACCTTATTCTCATGTGTTCGCAAAACGCCGGGCTGCGAGGCCAACACTTTTTCATTCAACACATTCATTCCGTAGCCAATCATATTGGTTTCACTTGACGAGGGAACATCGATGACATCTCCAGGTAAATATATCGTCATTCTGTAATTCAGGAAATTTAGAATTTCAGAGTTTTCTAGCTGAAAAAAGCGGGAGAAACGCTGGAAAAAAAAGAAAGTGCGGTTGTGTGCAAGTTGGCGTCGCAGTGTTTGCACACTTGTGAACGGGTGTTTGCTTACCGTATACCTGGGACTGAAGAAAAATAAAAAGATAAAGATTTTTTGAAGAAAAAACCCGGTTTTCGGGAAAAGTGATGATTCTGTCGGAGCCTGCTGGTTTATATGGGTAAAAATCTTCCCAAAATCGTGTTCTCATGAAAAAATGGGCGGGGTTTTGATGGGAAAAAGTGGTGGCACACTTTTTTTTTTGGTGGATCAGAAAGGTGCGAAAATTGAATTTGGGAACATTTGAATCAAAAGATCATGGGAAATTTTGAATTTTGAAAATGAAACAGATGAATTTCTAATTTTTGAGTCTACTGGTTTTTCACTTTTTAGAAATTAAATTTAATAAAAATTGAAAATGAGCCACGAAAAATTTAAATTTTTGAAGTTCGAATCTAGGTCTCAAAGTTCTCACCCCTTTCAAAAAAAAAATCGTCCCAACAAAAATATTTTTCATGTTTTTCTCTCTTGTTGCTCATGTCCAACCAGAAAAAAGCATATATCTATACAACAATCGCACCCTAATTGACCCCACACCAAAATTACATTTTTTGTCGCCGCCCGTTTTTTTTTTGGCGCAAACAAACTTCGTTTTGGGTAGAGCACAACAACAAAAGCGGGTTGATTAGATAGGAGTTTGTAAACTCTTTTTTTCAGAGCTCTGAAAAATTGGGTGGATTTTCTTTCGCCACATTTTCACTTTTGATAATTTGATTGTTGATCTATCTGTGGCTTTTTTTGCTGTCTGTTTTTATTGACGATGAAAGATGAGCTCTTCGTTTTTCTTCTCAAATTTGTTTTATTTTATTTAGCACCTTTTTTTTGAAAAGAGATTTTTCAGGTCAAAAAATGTATGTTTTTTGTCTGCTTGTTTTCAGAAAGAATTTCAGAAAAGTTATGACGTGGCAAAATTAATTTTCTCGAACGTTCCTCCAAAATTCTAACTTTTTTCCTTGTTTCAAATAGCAGCGCCTAGAAAGCCTAATTGTCTAGGACCTGCGCCTAGAGGACCTTGGTGTGAAGTAGCGGAGTCTAGAGGTACTTATTGTCAAGCATATGAGCCTAGACAGCCTAGTTTTCAAGTAGCTGAGCCTAAGGGGACCTAATTGTCAAGTAGCGTAGCCTAGAGGACCTAGTTGTGAAGTAACCAAGCCTAGACATCCTGATTTTCTAGTACCTGAGCCTAGACATCCTAGTTTTCAAGTAACTTAGCCTAGAGATTCCACTTTCCAGCCCCTAGAAATACTGTAAGCTTTTTGTTTTTCTTTCTGCAAACAAAAATTTCCAAATCTGGAAAAAAAATATAATTTTGTCTAAGAGCACTCAAGTTTTCCCGCATTTTTTGGTCCCTTCAATGTTTTTTCGGAACAAAAGAATGAATGAATGGAGCGAAGAAGAAGAACAAATCGACACGAGAGTATGTAATTTCCGGTTTTTTTGTGCTCCTCGATTTTTTTTGCTGTGCTCTTTTGCTGTGCTCCAGAATGGATTAGTTCCAGATTATTTTCTAAATTGTATTATTATTATTATAAACATTTTTCCCCTAAGCCTTCTCCTAGGCTCCTAGAAAATATATACACTTTTTGGTAGGGGAGGGCAATTCTCAAGGGTCCCGTTTTGGGCAGATTTTGTGGTGGCTAGTGGTGGTGAACTTTTTCTTGGTAGAGTGAAAGAGAGAGAGAGAGAGAGTGGAGGTTTAGAGAAAATGGCGGGGAGAAGCCATAAAAATACGGTAGTTTTAGGTGATTAGATGCATGATGTTCCGATGTCTTTTTTTTGCTTGTTATTTTTTGGCCCCAGACTCTGGGGAAGACAAATGTGAGTTTAAAATTTTACTGGAAGGTTTCAGATTTTTTTCTGGAATTTCCGAAGCTGAGTTTGGTTTCCTTTGGTATTTTTGTGAAAATTTGAAAATAAGCTTTGAATTTTCAAAATTCTGCAGAAAAACTATTTTTTTCAAATTTTTCTTGTCTCGAGAGCTCATTGTGAAATTTAAGTCTCAAAAGTTAGTGTCTAAGTTTTTTTTTTTGAAAAAAAATTTAGTAATCAGATTTTTCACGACAAAAAATTTTTAGCTCAAAATTTCTGGATTCCAAATTTTCACAATTTTTCAAAACATTTTAGGCGTTGATTTCTGAGCCTGAATTTTTTTTCAAAAAAAAATTAAGCTTAATTTTTCAAACCATCAGAAAGTTCAGTGATTTTTTAAGTTCAATTTTTTTTTCAAAAAATCCTGAGAAAAATCTGTGCACAATTTTCCTCAAGCTCAAGTCTTCCCCAAAGCACTTATTCATTTTTTAAAAAACTATTTTTTGTTCTCTCTCTTTCTCTCCCAAATTCTAATATGCAACATTTTTCGGGGCGGTGGCCAACAACATTTTTCACTTTTCACACACACACACACCCAAATTCAGAGCTACAACTACAGCTACAAACATGAAATTTAACATTCTCCTCCTCCTCGTTTTCCTAACGCTTGCTTGTTGCTTTTCCACCCCATTTTAACCCACATTTTCTCTCTCTCTCTCTCTCTTTCCTCGATTTTTTTCGCCTTTTTCGTTTTCGTTTGGTGGTCCCCCCTCCCTCCCTTCTTCTTCTTCCCGTTTTTGCTCCTTTTTCCTTTTCGATTCGATTTCCATTGTCTTTTTTTCTCTTTTCTCTTCTTTTTTCTTCGTTTTTTGTGTGCTAATCTTAGAGATACTAAATGAATTTAATTGGGAACCCTTTTTTCATGGGCATGAAGTTTTTTAGCACCAAATTTTGAATTTGAAAAGTGTTGATCTAGAAGAGCATAGATCAAAAATTGACCGGTCAAAAAAAGTTCAAGGAATGAAATCTCGAACTTTTTTTTGCGCTTGAGATTTTGGAGCAGGAGTTTTGGAAGGTTTCAAAACTTCAGAATTTCTGAAATTCAGGTTTTTGAGCTCATGAGATTCTAGATTTTACTGCAATTTTTAGCACTAAATTTGATCAACCAAAACCGAAATTCAAAATTTCTGAGCTTTAGAAAAGTTTTCAGGGGGTTCTACTTAATTTTGTAGACCAAAATTTAGATTTTCTGGAAGTAGTAAGTTTTTTTAAGGAAAAATTACGGTATGTACCAATTCAAGCTTGGGAATAAAACTTTAAATTGTTTGATCTACAAAAAATTTCTAGAAACCTTCTGGATCAATATTTTCAATTTTTTTTTCTAAAAATCTACTGTTCCAGAAATTCGATCCAAAATTTTTTCTGTTCAAAAAAAAATCGCGTTCTACTGTTTCAAAACATGATATTTTCCTGTTCTTTGGAAATTTGAACCTTTTTGATTTTCCAACAAAAAAAAATTTTGGAACTTTTTTTGCTTTTTGCTAACAAAAAAATAATTGTCGTCAATTTTATTCGCTTCTTCCCCCCCCAAAAAAAAACTTTTTTTCCCATAAAAACTTCGATGGTCCATCCAAATAATTATCTCATCCCTCGTCTTTTTTTCTTCTCAAGACAGCTTTTCGCCCCCATTTTTGGGCAGCCAAAAGTTTGTTTTCGGGTGCAAAATGAGCACATCTCTCATTGGAGCTTCTTCTCTCACTTTTGCTCTCGAAAAACCGAATCTCCGAAATTTTCGCATATGGCTCATAAAATCGCCACTAATTGGACAATTTTATTCGATTTTTTCTTTTTCCCAGCAAAATTTTATTTTCATGAAGTCGTTTTTTTTTTGAAAATGAAAATGAAAATTTTGGCGAAGCGAGAGAGTGTGGAGAATCGAGAGATGCAGAGAGGCATTTTACACATTTTTTGAACACGCGAAATTTTTTTCGAAAGATGAAAAAAAACAGATAGAATCTCCTCAGAGCTTTTTTGTTTTTGTTTATTTTTTTGAGCTTTTGAGAAGTCGAATTTTATTGATTTTTTTGGGGGGAGCAAAACTTTTTTTTTTATTTTTGTGAATTTTTGCAAGTGCGCTCTACTGATAATTAAGAATATAGACATTTAGAAGCTCAAAATTAAGTGTTTTCTGGATCTTGAGATGGTTTTTGCAAAGGCGCTCTACTGATAATAAAAATTTAAAAATTTGAGTTTAAAAGCTAAATTGTTTTCTTGAGAATTTCAATTTTGTTCTGAATTTCGAATTTGCATTTTTGACAAAAAAAACTGAGGTTTCTTTTGCAAGTGCGCTCTAATGATAATTTTTCTTCGAATTAGCAAACGCGCTCCACTGAAATTCCAAGAAAAATTCAAATTTTATATTGAAATGAGAAAGAGCGCTCTGATGAGAATGTTGAATTTTTTGAAATTGGTAATATATGATTTTGCAAATGTGCTCTAATGATAATTTATATTTTTCAAAGAAATTGTGATTTATCAAACACGCTCCACTAAAGTTGGGAAAAATTTGAATTTCATATTAAATTTAGAAAAGGCGCTCTAATGAGAATTTTGAATTACATGATTTTGCACAAATAATTTTTTTCGAAAGTTTTTGGGGCTCAAAATCCACGTCTCGGTCAAAATTTAACGGAAAAAAATCCAAAACACAATCTCCCGATTCCAAAATCCTCCCTCACTTTTCCCTTTTCATTCATTGACGCAATTTCTTTCCGCTGTAATTCAACACCAATTTTTCCTCTTCTATTTTTTTTAAATTCTCCACCATCCTCCCCAAAATCGCGCATTCAAATTCTTTCATAATTTTCAGACCACTCTTCACACACCACTTCAGGTGATGCACCACAATGGATTGTGGTATGTGGTGTGTGTTCAGCGAAAGGCGTCGACACGTCGAACGACTTTGGCGACGTCGCCTATTGGTGACGTCAGACGAGCGACGCGCGCGACGCAGGTTTTTGCGTCTGATGCGCGGTTTTGACGCGGAAGATGTGGAGGTGATACGAAAAGCTGTTGAGACAGATGGTGTTGATTCGAAAGCGTGTGCACCTGGTCCACCAATGGATGAACGAGTTGAAGAAGAAGATCCGCCGGATGAAGATTCGGGATTGATTCCGCAAATAGATCGACCGATGAGTATGCCGTATTTATGTTGTAAATTGTGGAGGTGGAAAGATTTACAGGTAAGACATTTGGGGAAGATTTGACAGAATTATTTACTTTTAAAAGAATTTGCAATTTTTCACATTAGTGTGAGATTTAAAAAATGAACTGAAATTTTGTAAAATTTTTTGGTTTATATTAATTATTGTCCAATAGTTTTATTTCGTTCCAAAAAAATTCATGAAAATTTTGAAACAGTAAAAATTCTGGATTTTTTGACAAGATTTTGAAAAAAACCAATCAATTTCATTTCAACCCGAAAAATTAAAGAAAAGTTTTGAAACAGTGAAAATTCAAATTTTCAATTCAGTATCATATTTTTTTTGAAACAGTAAATTTTTTAATTGTTTTTTTGAGAACAAATCCATAATTATTGGTTTTTGATAAAATTGGAAACCATTTAACAATAAAAATGGTAAAATTAGTCTTCATGAAAATTTTGAAACAGTCAAAAAATCGTATGAATGGAAATTCAACGATTCAAAATTTTGAGTGTTTTTAAAAACACTCACCTTAATTTTGAAACGTATTTTTCTTGTGAAATCTCAACAGATTTTTAAGCTAAAAAATGGATCTGTGAACTTTAAAACAGTGTGAGAGTCCAAATTTGGCCAAGACTTCATAGATAAAAATTGAAGCAGCGAAATCCAATTTTGCAGGTCGACGCAGCTCTTCATCGCCTCGAAGCTCTTCCCTGGTGTCGATTTGGTCGTGTGACAATCAACAACGCCACCGTTTCCTGCTGTAATCCATATCATTATGCATTATGGATTCGACCAGAAACAAATGGCGGAGATGATGATGAACAACAGCCAATTAATAGCACTAATTCGACAACAACTCCACAACACAATAATCATCATCGAAATAGTAGTAGTTTATATCAGAATAATCAGAATAATCATCATCATATGGGAAATGGTCATATCACGTATAGGAATCGAGAACGTTAGTGAATTTGGGAATGGGGTTTAGGATTTTGTTTTGAGATCTCAACTCAAAAGTCAGAGATTCAGAAAATTTTTTTCGATCTACCAAAAAACTCAAGGCCGAGAAACCTGAGAGTACTGTACCTAGAAAATAGGATACAAAATTGAATACGAATTCAACTAGTGATGTTTCTAGGTTTCCTCGAACTGCAAGCAGTACTGTAGGTTCGCAAGAAATGATTTACTTTTTTTATCCGAACTTCAAATAGTACTGTAGTTCAATCTGCGAAGCATAGATTAGAGACAACTACAAACACTACTGTAGGTAGTGTTTGCTTGGTGTTAGTATTACTGTAGATTCAGAATAATGTTTTGTTGAAAATTCTACAGAAATGCAAAAAGTACTGTAGCTCAAAAAATCGGAGTTTTCAACCGAACTGCAAAGAGTACTGTAGTCAGAAAAATAAAAATGTTGTTGCTAGATTCTTATGTTAGCGCCAAACTGCAAAATGTACTGTCGGTCAATTTTAACCAAGTCAATATCATTTCAAATCTCTAACCCTTCTCAAATTTTCGAACGAAAAAAATAATCCATATTATTTTTACAGACGCCCACGACGCCGAAATCATGCGTCTACCAAAAGTTCTGGGCAACGAACTGCCCGACGGTCCGCCTCCCTCAATTCCCTCCGCAACTCCGCCGATTCCCGAAGAATCACCGCCGTGCACATCAAGAAGCTCTCCCGAACCCAACGATCTCATTCATTTTCATCACGAAACTGCGAGATGTGAGTTGAGACGAAAAACGACACTCCACATTTACACATAATTTTCTCTTTCAGCATGGGCAAAAATCACACGATACGAGCGAAAAGAGCAGATTGGCGATACCGTATTCCTGACCGGACAATTTGCGGCCATCGGAATTCTGTCGAAATCTGTTCACGATGCTCAACCCGAATGTTCGGCGTGGGATTTGAGGAACGAAGTGTCGTTTGCGCTGATACGACAATCTGATCCGATTGGATCAGAGAATCCCGAAGATGTTTGGTTGTATAATAGGTGAGGGATTTTGGAGTGAAAAATTTTAGTTTGAAAGGTTATCCTGATGACGTGGCAAAAAACCAATCTCCGATTTTTTTGTAGCCAAAAAGCTGCTATGACGTGGCACTTCCAAATTTCTAATTTCCATGTTTATCTATAACTTATACCAAAATTCTCAGTTGAGCATTTCTAGCTCTAGCCTCTAGAGTTTATGAAATCTAATTTTTTGATTCCAAAAACCTTCCAAATCAATATATTTCCAGTGGCACTCGTCCACTATTCCTCTCAATGTCACCATCGCATTCTTCTGCGACCAAAGACACACTTCGTCGATTATCACCCGGTTATTGTATACGTGTGCATCGGGGAGAGGCTTCGGCGTCAGCGCCAGCCAGTGAACGGGCAAAAGTCAGAAGACCGAGTCGGGTGAGTCGGGGCCAGGGATCGAACCCGCTACCTTTGGGGGCAAAATTCAACGCGTTACCACTGAGCTACGGAAAACCCCGGCTGTTTTTCCAAGACATCATCGATGAAGCGCCCATTAAAGGACCACACCGTAATTTTCGAATAAAAATCGTTTCAGGACCCAGCTCTACAACAATCAACCCTAATAATTTCGGTTGGCAAAGGTTGGGGACCCAATTATTCTCGCCTATATCTAACCGATATTCCATGCCGTTATGAAGTGTCTTTCGCCTAGGATTTTCATTTTATTTTTTCAACGCTTTCCATGCTCTTTTCGTCTCACCGCCGCCTGTGATTGCCTTCCATTTTTTTTCGAATTTTTTTTCTAGGTCAATTTTCAATGTTCTCAAGCCATCTTAATACTAATTAATAACAATAATAATCTTTCCCAAACAAAATGCGGGTTTTTCTTTTGTCAGAAATATTCAGCCAGCTTATTATTTTCAGCTTTTTCTTTCACAAAATCAATAATATAATAAATGTTTCCTTTTTTCATGTGTATATTTTTTGAGGAGAGAGGAGGGTGGTGAGAAATTGGTCCCAAAGGGTGTTACAAACTTTTTTTTGGCTACTAAAAAAAGCTCATTTTTCTCAAAGATTTCGGAAGGAAACAGGGATCTTTTTTATTTTTCGAATTATTTTTAAATGAAATGCTTACATTAGGCAAATGATGATTTTTCCTCGATGTTCAGACAATCTCCAAATTTGATGGGTTTTTGGTTCCAGGCAAATAGCAAATTTTTGAGGAGATTTTCGTTTTTCGATTTGTCAATAGAGAAATAGGTGTTCCAGTTTTGAGGGATTCGATTGAAATTCCAAGAATGGTTTCCGAAATCGATCTGAAATTAGATAAGTTATTATAGGTTTCGCCACGAAGTATTAATTTTTCTCACCTTTCTGCTCAAATGTGTCTTTCCAATTGATATCCTAATAACATAAGCCAACAAAATTAATCCAATAACAATTGATAAAAACGAGTGATAAATCAATAAAATCGAAATTTTCCGATAATCCGAATTATTGAAAAACATCGCATAATAAAGCCCCTTGAAGAATCCGACTTTTTCCTCAATTTTCCACACGATATCCAGAGTTTCCTACAGAAAATCAATATTTTTAAATTGAAAAGAAAACTTCCCTCAGCTTACCTCAAAATACGCATAGAATGTTTCAAAGTTGGCGAAAACCAGGAGCACATTAATCCAGAATAGATAACTCAAGAGAAGGAAGAAATGAGCTTGATTGTGAGCTCCGACGCATTGTCCAATCCAAGGGCAATGATGATCCATAAGGTAGATGCATTTATCGCACCCTTTGCAGTGGAATGTGAGCGAGCTTTTTTGAGCAGAGCATTTTTGACAGAAATAGTCGGTTTTGCTCTGAAAATTGGGAAATTTCCCGGGAAATGAAAAAAAAAAATAAATCAAAATGCGTCATGCTTTCTACACTGACGCGTTTGCTGTTTGCGCCTTCATTTTCAAAAAAATTGTTTTTTTCAAAAATTCAAACTCACTCCTGGATTTTCCACCGGATTTATGGTTTTTGCCTTGTAATAATGAAATGTACATTTGAAAATTGTGTAGAAATAAATAATTTGAAGAATTAGATGAAAAACAATGTCCAGATAACTATCCAAATCGAAAATCTCCCGATATTGAAAAGGCAGAATTATCCAAAAATTGCAATATGCAAAATAGGCAATACTGCAAATTACCAGCAAATCGCAAACTCTATTTATCCAAAATGCGGCGATTTTCAGAGAATCTGATTCGGGCAAGTTTAGAGCTTTTCTGGTTTTTAGAACAATTGAATTCACTGGAAAACAATTTTGATTGGAATTTGGAGATCTGAAGAAGAGGTTACCTATTTTCGCAAAAATCTTACAAAATTCCATATTTCGGGTTGTTAAAAACAATAGAAATGAAGAAAACGAGATTTTGAAATTTTTTTCACGCTTCAAAAAAAAATTAGGGCCACGTTTTGAATTATTTTATTTCTGAAATTTTGTTTTTTTTTTTTTAGAATTTTCTGATTTCTTGAAACAGTGAGTTTTGTGAAAATGACTAAGAAAACTTTTTTTGAAAAATAGAAATAATAATGCCATCAAATTGATAGAACAAAATGAAGTTAGGTACGGTAGGAGTAGATCAAATTTTGGCGCAAAAATACTGTTCAAAGTTGGGGTAGTTGAAAATCGGGATATTCGAGCAAAAAAAAAACAATAGAATGTCAGCTACACAAAGAAAACTGTAAAAGGTCGTGATCAACAAATGCTGATGAAAACCATTTCGAAAAAATACAAAATTTTCTATATTAAAATACAGTACTCTTGAATACCGTGGGCGAAAAATAAAAAAAACAATTAGATAATCAAACTATAACACACATACACTTACATGCAATGCAAACAAATGAGTTCAAAGATTAAAAAAACAGGAAGCGAGAGAGTATGGAAAAATAGGAGAGTAGGCAGATATATTGCCAGCTCGTTGCTGATTGGTTGGTTTTTATGATGGCGTCCCCTTTTTTGTTTGATATAATTTTTTAATGCAATTGATGAACTTTAAACTTTTATTAACTTCGCTTGGCTGTAATTTCACTTTTTTTTTAAATTAGGAACAAATCCTACAAAATCTTCTTTGTTATATGGAATTTTTTTTTGAATTTATCTGAAATTTGGATTTATCTTTGTCTTGAATTTTTTGGCTGGAAATCCAGATTTCGCTAAACTTTTTTAATCTCATAGATTTCCTATCGTTTGAAAATGATCAGCTTTTGTTCTGAAATTTCAGAATTGAAATTTCCGGAAAATTGGGTTCAGTTTCTGAAACATTAAATTATTTGAGGGTTTTTTTTTCTAAATCTAAATTCTGCAAATAAATGTTCTGAAAGTTTTGATTTTCTGAGAGTTTTTTCGAAATAATTGGAATTATTGTTGCTTCTGAAAAATTTGATCAGAGAATTTTTTTCCAGTATCTCAACTTGGAGTATTTTGTATTTTGCACAAGCAAAAATGTCGAAGGTAAGTTGGCATATGCCAATCTCGAATCATTAATAATTCTCTAATTTTTTCAGAATTTCGAAAACGCCCAAACTGCCGAATCAGGCAACAGTGAACAATGGGAATCGTCCACCCCAAACGGACAACAAACAACTCCAGAATCGACTCGTGTTTTGCCGGTTGCTAATGCAATCGAAGCGAGCATGACTCAAGACGTAATGGTTAGTTAATTTTTTGATTTACAGAAAAATACAATTGTTTTTCCGGAACAAAAAGCTTAGAGCTCAAAATTTGAAATTATTCCGGAAAATAACAAAAAAGTTCAATGGAAATTTATATTTTCAAATTTGAACTCAACATCTTTTTGTATTTAGTTCAGAAAAAATCTGGATTAATTTTTAAATTCTGAATTTAATGAGAATATTTATTGAATTCCAAGATTTTCAAACACGAAAAAATAACTAGAAATTGTTGAAAACTTGAGCTGAGAAAAAACGATAATTTCTGCTCAAGGAGTGAATTTTGAACTACAAAAGTTTGAGAATAAATAGTTTATTCGAAGAAAATATTTCATGGGCATTTTTAAATTTTTAAAATTATAAAAAAAATCACCTACCGTACTCAAAATTAGTCCATTTTCCTTTCAGGTTGTCGCGAATCAAGTTGTCACAAATATGCTCGAAATTCTTGATGAGGATGCAATGTTAGGAGTCCCGCCAACTCCGAATGCTCCAACGTCAAATTCGGATGATGATGATGATGAATGTGAGGAGAGTCGCCAAGAATCGAAAATTCAACAAAATCCGAATGATCTCGATCAAAGTTCTTCTGCACTTTATGATGATTCAACCGGACAGTCAGTTGTAAGAACACCGGCGCCACAACGTTATCGATTCTTGGATTCGCCGCCAAAATTCCAAGTATTTCCGCCATCAATGTTCAATGAACGCCCAACTGGACAAGAAGAAGGTGAAGCTGTGTTGAATCGAAGTGATCTTGGAAATGAACAAGAAATTGAAGAAATGGAAGTTGTCGAACAATTATTGGATGGATCTTCTGGAAATGAAATTGGTCATATGACAAAAAGCGCGAACTCTTCAAACCAACCGGAATCGTCGATTTCGTCAAGCATGGGTGAAATGAAAGAAATTTTGGAGATATCATCAGATGAGGGAGGTCCGCACAGCTTCTTGAATAGGCCAGTCCAACCTCCACCGGTTAGTTGCATTGCTTTTTTGAAAAAAAATTAAAATATAATTTTTTGAAACTTTGAACTGCTAATTGAAAAAAAAATAGAATTTTCCATGAAAAATTACTATAAATTCTGAAGATGAAAGAAGTGATTTTCGAAGACTTTTTGAAAAGTTTGGGATGTTTTGAAATTCAATTTTTTTAATTCTAAAAAATAAAGAAAGGCGATGATTTTTGATTATCAAATTTCTCATAAAATTCGAAAAACTTTCTTACCGTACTCAAAATTTACCGAAATTTTTTTCAGAAGTTCCGCATCTCGGTAGCGCCTCAAGGATTGGAACCTATTCAAGAACTGTCGGCAACAACTCCATCTACACCATCTCAAAAATCAAACGAAACAAGCGACATTTCGACAAATATTCATTCGATTGCTGCACGTCACGTTGTTGAGCATACAGATCATGAAATTCATGAAGATGATTATGATTATGAAGAAGAGGAAGAAGTGTCTGAATACAGCAATTCGGATCAGGATCGTCCTCGCCGCTTGCCGCATGATCGATTCCGTGCCTTAACACCAGATGACTCACCAGAAGAACAGCTCGAACGCCAACGGGCTTTGCAACGCGGTAGACCTGGTTATATTGATCGTCAAATTCCAGCCCCAACATCTTCTAGAAATATTGTTCGCGGACCAGGCATCATCATTAGATCGTTAAGAGGAAAAGCACAAGTGATGATAACGGAGCACTTATTTGAACCTGATTATAAAGTTGAAGTGATTGGTGACCATGGTGACGATATAATTCTGAAAACTGAAGGGCGAGTTCCAAGAAGACGGATAAACATTGCTTCAGACAACTCCATTGATATTTATATCAATGGAATAAATATTGCTGATATCGAGAGGAAGATCCGTGATAGAATTGATGATGAGATGAGAGCGTCAATGAAAATGTTTAATGGAATCCCGGTTCCTCGTGAAATTTATGGAGCGTTATGTAGAAAATGGAACATGCGCCAAATGTCTCCTCCAAGCCAAAGAACATCTGGCAAACGATCTGCAACATCGCCAACGCCTCCGGCAAAACGACCAAAAACCGCAGCAGCTATGAATGTGTCGCTTTCAACATCTCCTGCTCAATCAATTCCGTCAGCTTCTCCAACACCAACTGCTGTTCCAGCTCCTCCAACACCAACTGCTGTTCCAGCTCGTCCAACACCAACTGCTGTCGCTCCACAAGCTGCCTCTGTTGTTGCGATGCCGCCAACTCCTTCAACAAGCGCAGCAATTCCATCGAAAAGACGTGGGCGACCATCAAAATCGTCCAATTCGGTTGTCAAAAAAGCTGTTCCCAAGCCAGCTCCCAAAAAGGTTCATGCGATGAAATTGAGATCCGATTCTGCCAAAATTGGACCACAACGCTTGAAATTTGCGAAGTCAAAGAAGGCCATTTTATCGATTCGAGACGTGAAAACAATTTTGGAAGAAATCGAAACTGCTCTCAATCAACTCGATTTCAGCACCAATGTGGAGAATATGTTGAGGAGCAGACTGAGCGAATTGCGCAAATTGACAGATGATTATGATAGAGCTCCGTCGGTGCGCAAGTTCTCCAAAATCACAGCCAAATGTGACCATTTGGGAACATCTGTCGAGCTTCACGCTCGATAGGTCAAGTGAGTTGTCGTTTTTTTCGATCTGCAAAAAAATAATTGATTATTTTTCAGCAACAATTGCACCAAAATCAACATCTGGTGCCACACTCTTCCTGTATATATATATATATTTATTTTTATTATTCAACAAAAAAAATCAAAAAATCCAAAAAAATCAAAAAACTTCAAAACCCCAAAAAATATATTATTATCATTTTGCTTATTTATTATTATTATTTATCAACTTGGCTCACCATTTTTATTTTGCTCGACTTCCCATAACGACATTGCCTCATCATTTTATCGTAAACTGGCGAATTATCGATATATGATGTGATCCCTCACTATTTTCCACCACCTTCTCATCTTATTCATCCAATTTCAATCCACACATTCCATCACAAAGTGAGTTTTTCCAGCTTTCCTTCCGATTTCGAAAACTTTAAAAATGAAAATAAATTTTAATGTGTGCCAACACGCTGACGCAAAACGGCACACATTTTTTTTTGAAATTTTTTTCCGCCCGCGCTGGAGATTTTGAAACTAGAAAGCTCAAAACAACTCAGCACTTGACTCTGTAGACTGACTGTACAAATTGAAGAAGTGTGAATACAGCGAATGAACGCTGTACCTACACTTTTTTTCCCGAAAATCGTAGGTTCATTTTATCTTCAGCGTAGCTACGAAAAAAATCAAATTCGTAGCTACGCAGATGATAAATCGTTATTACGCACACCTTAAATTCTGACGAGAGCTGCCAAGCGTCACACAATCAGAGATGAAAACGTAGGTACAGCGTATCTACGCTGTAGCTACACAATTCGCGGACAGAAATTAAGTGAAGTGACCGCTCTATAAATATTATTTTTGAATCCGTAGCTACGCCGTTGCTGTTCTGTAGCTACTTTGTAGATAAACGGATGTTACTTATGTGCAATTCTCTCTTTCCCGTTTCCGTACAAAGTATCAACGAAATTTGTACAGTCAGTCTACAGAGTCAAGTGCTGAGAAAACAGTTTGTGGGCTTAAAAATTATTTGGATTTTTTATTTTACTGATTGAAATATAATAATTCTTCTAAAAACAAAGTTTTCAAGATTCCCATTCAATTTTGAAATTAATCACGAAAATTTTAAAATTTTCAGATCCCCCTCGAAGTTGAATTTGGATTTGAATTCGGGCGTACCTCCGAGAACGACGCGCAGAGTTCTGGAAGCGGCTCTGTGAGAAGTTATCAACCCACAGCTTCCAAATCAACGGTTCCGAGCAATCACCACCATGTTCCGATTGATGTATTCCACCCGATTTGTTCCATCGACGTCAAAAATCAACAACAGACGATTCTTCAGCGAACATTTGTTCAATCAGATTCAGTGAACTCGGTTTTGGTATAAAGAGATTCGGGAGATCTTGAGCTGAAATTTGGCTGAATTTCATGGTTATCATATTTTTTGGATGAAAAGATTTGGCGATGGCACGGTGTTCAAATTATCGATGATTTTGAATGCTGAATGTGAAGAAAGACTGATATTTCTCGGATATCATCGAGTGAGTTTTTTTCAAATTTTTTTCTTCAAAAAATCACAATGTTCAAATTACTTTTGCTCGAATTTTTTTTGAATGCATTTCATTTATCATAAAATGTGTTTTTTTTTCAGATTGCTTGAATTTCGCGATATCGATCGATTCATCTAACAACCATCAACAAATTCTGAAAATATTCCGATTTTCAAGCCGATTTGCATCAAGACTGAATCATGCGGTTTATCCATGTCTGAATACAATTTGAAATTCTGAAGAAAATCAATGGATCGAGTCGAATCAATGAATTGAGTCGAACTGGAGAAACGATTTGCAACAACATTGAATCATGCTATTTATCCAAGTAATGTCTGGATACAGTTTGAATTTATCAATCAATTGAGTCGAACTGGAGAAAATCGGGATGGATTTTTGAAAATGGTTATATTTAACCCGGGCGTAACTCCGCAACGACGCGCAGGGTAACGGTAGCCGACCTGTGTAAAATCAAATGAGCGGCTCCCAAGCCTTTGTGCTAAAACCCTTTTTTTCGAATTTTCTTGATGTCATTGGATATATTTAATTTTGGCGGATTCGATATTTTGAAAATGAACATAAGGAATTCGAAAACAATTTGTGGATCATCGATTTGACATCATTTCGCCTTGTATTGACATGGATTTGATGATCAGAAATGTGAAACGATGTTTCTTCTATTTGAAGTTTCAAGTCGAAATTTATACCTCGACTTGTCTAATCTGAGAATTTGTGAGGTTTGTCATTTTTTTCCAGCCAATTTTCAGCAATTTTTGATTTTTTTTGCAGATTCTCCGGGAATTCACACCCCAAAAAATGCTCTTTTTGGCACTCGCTTAGCTGAAAATAGTCCGATTTTCAAACGATTTGCAACAACATTGAATCATGCTATTTATCCAAGTGATGTCTGGATACAGTTTGAATTTATCAAGAAAATCGAGTCGAACTGGAGAAAATCGGGATTGATGTTTGACAATGGTTATAATTAACCCGGGCGTAACTCCGCAACGACGCGCAGGGTAACGGTAGCCGACCTGTGTAAAATCAAATGAGTGGCTCCCAAGCCTTTGTGCTAAAACCCTTCTTCTCGGATTTCGGAATGCCATTTGATGTATTGAATTTTGGCGGATTCGATAGTTTTCTAGATGATCTTGGAAGAATCTGAAAATTGAACGGGCGTTCTCCGGTAAAACGACGCGCAATTTAGCCACCTGCGAATAGTTTCAAATTGGCTATCCGATCTTTGAAAAAGGTCGCGAATGTGTTATGGACTCTGGCACATATCGATAAATCAGCAAGGAGCCACTTCTTTTTTTTTTTGAATATTCAAGTCGGGAATTTATACCTCGACTTGTCTAATCTGAGAATTTGTGAGGTTTGTCATTTTTTTTCCAGCCAATTTTTAGCAATTTTTGATTTTTTTGCAGATTCTCCGGGAATTCACACCCCAACAAATGCTCTATTTCGACTGATGTTCGTCTTCGCCGAATTTTTTGCACTTTGGCTTGATATGGAAGAATGAATGAGAAATGTGAGTTTATATTATTTTTTAGCTGAAAATTTCCAGCCATTCTTGAAAACAGCATTGTTTTTTGGCTGAAATTGGAATTAATCTGAAATTTTTCAGCACATGGTTTTTAGCCATCGGGACTTGACACCCCGATTGGGACAATCTTCGAGGTTATTTGGATTTCACACGAATCACGGACCTGGAGAAAATTAAAAAGGGACTTCATACCCCGAAAAAATTGTCGAAATTCGAATATTCACTTGTGAATTCAAGTTCAATTATTTGATATGAATGCAATTCGCCGAAAAAGTTGAATTTTGTCAATATCTCCACTCGGAATGGATTAATCCATATGAGTTGAGAGTTTTATCCTCGACCCGAGCGATTTTTGGATGTTGTAGAAGATCCACGTTTTAACAACTTCAAGAGCAACTTCAGGAAAAATTCGAAAACTTCTGGATTCAATGTCTCAAAGTAAGACAAGATGATTATGTTGTTCGAACAAGTTTTGCAATCATCAAATATTCGGACAGAAGATGAAACACAATTAGTAATCGGATGTCCTGGCAATGAAATTGCAAAATATCGTGAGTTTTTTGAAAGATTTTTTGATGATCAATTAATTTTCCAAATTTTCAGATGTGAATTTGGCACACTTATTGCTAGCTTCAGCTTCCAAAGCTGTTCCATGAGTATAACTCTATTTATCACCAACTTTGCGCAAAAACCAGAAAATCCACCGTGCTGGTTCAAATCGAGGATGGAAGATGAAGGTATTTCGTAGTCGGAAATCCGATTTCGAACCACACAATTGAATGTGAGTTTTTTTCCATTAATTTTTTTCGTTTTAATATTAGAAACATTTTCAGGAATTCTCGAGTAGTTCAATTATTGGAGTTATCGTTTTGATCAGGACAATTTGCACTCACAAGTTTCCGAGGATTTTGTAATTTTCAATTTGCGGACAAAGGATGAAATCATTTAAAGTAATCTGCTGTCCTGGTTTGGAAGTTGCAAAACATCGTGAGTTTTTTGAATGGTTTTTGGATTATCAAATAATTTTCCACATGTTTCAGCCTTGGCGCAATCATTGGTTAGCTTCAAAAGTATCCAAAATCCACGAGTCTCTTCCAAATTGCCACCGATTTTGCGCAAAATCCAGGAAATGTCAGGTTAGTCAGGTTTTCAAACGAATTTAGAAGCTATTAATATGGGTTACTGTAGTTTAGAGATTAATTTGGGTTACTGTAGTTTAGATTTTGGCATCAATTTATTTATGATTACTTTTGGAGCCAAAATCTGAATTACAGTACCACTGAATTTTGGAAAAGCGAATTCTCAACAAAAATTTTTGATCTACAAAAACTCAAAAGTTTTTTTTCCAGATTGCGAAAGTCGATATTCGATTGACGTGCCACGTGGATTCGCTGAAAATCGAAGTGCAACTTCTGAAATTGATCAAAAACCCGGATCCTGAAAAATATGGAAGCTGAACGAACTCCGAAATCCAAATCATTGCAAATTCAAATGTTCGTACAAAGGATGAATTGTTCAAAGTAGTCTGCTGTACTGGCAATGAAATTGCAAAATATCGTGAGTTTTTTTGAATGGTTTTTGAATTATCAAATAATTTTCCACATTTTTCAGATGTAACTTTGGCGCAAATATTGGTGATTTTTGCTTCAAAAGCATCCAAAATCCATGAGTTCAACTCTTCCAAATTTTCACCAATTTCGCGCGAAATCCAGGAAATGTCATCAGGTTAGTCAGGTTTTCAAACGAATTTAGAAAATATTCTCGAAAAACCAAGAATTTTTGAAAATTGAATGAATTGTTCAAATTTTCAGGTGTGAATAATTCATGTATGTGTCAGACACTTCCTGTATTTGTTATAATGGTTCAAAACCGCCGAAACATTCCCAACTTCTCAAATATTGAAATGCCGTGCTGGCTCAAAACAAGGATGGACGATGAAGCTTTTTTGTAGTCGGAAATCTGATTTCGAACCAGCCAAATTGAATGTGAGTTTATTTTTTATTCATTTCTTTTTTTGTTGTTGAAAAAAAAACAAGATAACATTTTTCAGGATTTATGCAGTAGTTCAATTAATGTGCTTTCAAATTTGGTGGAACCAATCAAGAGAAAGGAACTGTGAAGTTCTAAAATATCTACACATTATGATGTTTAAGCTGGAAAAATCGGGCGATTTGAAAGATCGAAAAGCGACCTGTGAATGTGAGTTTTTTGGTCGAACCTTTTAAGTTTTTTCGAATAAGTTTTTTCACAAAAATATTGTTTTCAGATTTCCTGTAACTTTCCATCATGTTTTTTTCTTCATAACCAACAAGTTTTTATTTTCTTTCTACACGTAAGTTTGAAAACGATTCTTTCTTTTCCTTTCAAAAATCGATATTTTTCAGAAGAAGTACTGCTACCACACAAAATATCATCATCTTCATCAAAAAAACGCAGTCATGTACGTTTTTTTTCTATGTTTTAATTTTTTTTTCATTTTTCTTGTCACACCTTCCCCTTTTCTTTTGAAGCTGAAAATCTGGTAGAAAATCGAATGCAAAAAAAAGATTCCAATCCCCAGAATTTCAATTGATTTCCATTTCGAATTTATCGGGGAAAATTTTCTAGGATTTTTTGAGGTTAAAAAATGGGCATCTTCACTCTTGTTGGGAATTCGAAGGGTCTAGTTGGAAGCTGGCAGAATTGATGGGTTTCTCTGAATTTCTGGGTATTTTTCGGGGAATTTTATGGGAATTGGGGAAGTGGGGAGTCTTGTAAGCGGCGGGAGAGTTTTTAGAGAATAGGGGAATAGGGTTTGAGTAAGGAGGAAGTTGATTTTTTGGGAGGATCTAGGAATAAGATTTGGTGACTTTAGTAAGGTAAGTTTAGGTAAGTTTGTGAGGAAGGTAAGTTTGAGTTTGGGTTGAAAAAAGTTTGGTGAATTTTAGATGAGATTAATAAATCTAGGAAACTTATTTTTCAAAAAAAATCATTTGAAAAACTTGCTCCAATTTGTCCTTGTCCTCTTCGTCCCGTGTTCTTGACTTTGTCTTTGTCCCGTCTTGTTTTTCTTTTGTCCCGCGTCTTCTTGTTTTGTTTTTCAGGTAACCGGTAGGTTTTGCACCTTTGTTGCACCCACGTCCCTTCTTGGAGCAGGTTTTATTTTGATTTTTCATTGAAAAATAGTTTTGAGATTTTTTCGAGAGTTTTTAAATTAAATTTTTGAAAATTTGAATTTTCTACCCGAACAATTAGGTTTTCAGGCTTTTCAGGTGATTAGTTCACAAATCTGAAAACTAGATTCTCACAAGAAATCTTCCAATACCCCTCAAGGTCTTTTTCCAGATTTTCTATTAATTTCATCAAAACTTATAGGATTTCTCACAACCTGGTTTCTGTAATTTTCTTTGTTAAATATTCAGAAGTTTGGTTTAATTCACCAATTTCTGCTAGTTGATGACGAAACTTTTCGGATTCTCAAAACTAGTGGGGATCCCATAAAACTTTTAAAAATTCTAGGACGTTTTTCCAAATATTTTCGAAATGGAAATCAGGCGAAACTGGGGGTTTTTTAGTATTTTATATTCGAATTTTCTATCAGTATTTTCAGCCCCTCCCCTCACATTCTTGTATTTTCGTTCGCTTTATTTTCGTTTAATTTTTATTAAACTTATAATAGAAAGCTTGATTTGTTGTTTTTTATTCAAAAGTTTGATACTTTTCAAAATATCTCATTTATTTTTTTTTAATTCATAGATTTCAGAGTTTTTTCTTCATTCGATGAATTTTCAAAGGTAAAATATGTGTTTTATGTTCACTGCACCATTTTGTGTTTTCAATTGGATTTCAAGGATTTTCAAAGGTAATAAATGTGTTTCATGTTCACCATACAATTTATGTTCTCAACAAATTTCGACACCGAGATCACATTTTTCTGCACTAGATAAGTGTTCTCAGTATCGATTGTAGTCTAGCCGCAGAATGGATTCAAACATGTTGCAATTTGCTGGATTTGGTGGAAAATATTGAGTGCAGGTTGAGAAGTCAGGTGAGAATTTTGATAACATAGTTCTATAGATTTACCATCTTCTAATTAGAAAAAAATAATCTTAGAGATTCCCAAAAATTGGAATCTCTCTTTTGATTAAAATGAAACATTTCAAAGTTAGTTTTACCTTTCTTATATTTTAATAGACCATTATTTTATAGAACTTCGCGGGAATTTGAAGCAATCAAGAATCTTCAACGAATCGATAAATTCAATAGGATTCCGGAGGCTGTTGTTGATATGCAGAATCGAAGTCATGGTAAGCGCTTTTTTATGATTTTCCGTGAATTGAATATTTACAAGAGAATTTCTGGAATTGAAATTTGAAACTGATAAAAATTGTTTTTCTTGATTTTTCCGAAAATCTTGAAAAATGGTTGATTTTATTAGTTCCAAATTGGAATTTCAGTGGAGATGCGGAAGCTATGCCCAAATTTTGAATTTTATTCAAACACTTAGAATTTTGAAATATCATACTTAATCGAAGATTGGGTACTTGAATGTTTTCTTTTTTATTACATGCCCCCACAGTCATTAATAATTTCATGCACCCACTCACCATGGAAGATGCCCCTACCCATTATCAAGCATAAAGTATATTAGCAACATATGTACTGTAGTTTAGCAACCCAGGTATTGTAGATTAGCAACCCGACCACTGTAGTTTAGCAACCCAGGTACTGTAGATTAGAAACCGACTTACTGTAAATCAGCGACCCGAATACTTTGAATTAGCAACCAAGGTACTGTAAATTAGCAACCCGAATACTGTAGATTAGCGACCGGGATAACTTAAGTAAGTGGGTTGTTGATCTACAGTACCTGGGTTTCTAATCTACAGTACCTGGGTTAATATTTTTCGAATTCAATTTTTTGGGCTTGACCTAAAAAAATAAAATCGTGACATTTAATAATTTGTTGGCACGTTTACGTGAAAATTCGAAAAACTGGTTGGATTTCGAGTGATGTGAGTTTCATTGGAAAAACTGAGTCAGAATTAGTGTAGATCATTCACAAATAATGTAAATGACTTCTGAATATTGTGAATTAAACATCCGGAAAAAGTAAAAAACTCATGCGAAAAATAATTGACCAAAACCAACGGAATCCACTTTTCAAAAGTTTTTAGTGAATTTTGAAAAAGTTTATGAAATTAGGAAAAGGGTTCCGCAGTATTTTTATTAGCACAAACCTCAGAAGCTACAAAACACTAATTTGTCATCATTTCTGACTGAAAAACTAAAAAAAAATTTTTTTGACCTACTCGAAATTTTTTGATCATTGATTTTTCGGGGAAAAAAACATTTTACAAGAAACAAACGATAATTTCGCGAAAAAGACATCAATATTTTGCGAATTTTAATCTCAACATCCCTGTGGCTTCCCTTGTCAGAAAAAATTAAATTTTCAATTTTTTAGCATCGGTTCGAATTTGGCAAAGAGTTGGCCTGTCGAAGAATTTTTGGAGTTTCAAGAAGATAAGTTTAATTTTGGGGAGTAATCTCATTTTATTGCACTTTTCGAGTAAAAATAGAAATTTCAAAACCAACCCTCGAAATATGAAGTGGTAAATGTGCGTTACTTTCTGAGCAAGTACGTTTACCAGTTGTTGAAACCCGCAACTATTCAAATTTGATAATTTGAGTAGGGATTTGTCAAAGAATCCTTTTGGAGAGCCGAAAGCTGTAGGAAAGTAACAGTTATCACGGGTTTTGTGCATTTCCATGGAGTTTTTTGGGGGCGTTTCGAAAGAGAAATTTAGAATTTTTGAAAAGAATTTGGAAAAAATAGAAGGCTGGTTGAAAATTTGATTGAATTGCAGCAATTCGTCGAAAAACACGTGGAACGTGGATGGATTACCTCAGTTTCACCTCTCAACAAAAATGCAGCCATTTTGGTGAGTGATTACTTCTGAATTTCTATCGAGAGAAATGTGTTTAGAGTCTTCTGAAATATCCAATTTTAAACTAATAAAATTTAAAGTTTTCTTGATTCTCTTTATGAAAATCTTGAAAACTTTGGATTTTATTACTTTAAATTTGGAATTTCAGTGGAGATGCGGAAGCTATGCCCAAATTTTGAATTTTTATTCAAAAACGTATTTTTTTCTATAGAAAATTCAATTTTTTGTTCCAGATTGGCAATCTGCAAATTTGCTCCATCAACAAATCTTCTCGATAATTACGGTAAGTATTTATATAACAATAAAAGAGAACTTCTGAAATATCCAATTTTAAACTAATAAAATTCAAAGTTTTCTTGATTTTCATTGGAAAGTCATGAAAACTTTGGATTTTATTAGTTAAAAATTGGAATTTCAGTGGAGATGCGGAAGCTATGCCCAAATTTTGAATTTTTATTCAAAAACGTATTTTTTTCTTTAGAAAATTCAATTTTTTGTTCCAGATTGGATGTCATCAAATTTGCTCCATCAACAAATCTTCTCGATAATTACGGTAAGTATTTATATAACAATAAAAGAGAACTTCTGAAATATCCAATTTTAAACTAATAAAATTTAAAGTTTTCTTGATTCTCTTTATGAAAATCTTGAAAACTTTGGATTTTATTACTTTAAAATTGGAATTTCAGTGGAGATGCGGAAGCTATGCCCAAATTTTGAATTTTTATTCAAAAAACTTATTTTTTTTCTTTAGAAAATTCAATTTTTTGTTCCAGATTGGATGTCATCAAATTTGCTCCATCAACAAATCTTCTCGATAATTACGGTAAGTATTTATATAACAATAAAAGAGAACTTCTGAAATATCCAATTTTTAACTAATAAAATTCAAAGTTTTCTTGATTTTCATTGGAAAGTCATGAAAACTTTGGATTTTATTAGTTAAAAATTGGAATTTCAGTGGAGATGCGGAAGCTATGCCCAAATTTTCAATTTTTATTCAAAAACTTATTTTTTTTCTTTAGAAAATTCAATTTTTTGTTCCAGATTGGATGTCATCAAATTTGCTCCATCAACAAATCTTCTCGATAATTACGGTAAGTATTTATATAACAATAAAAGAGAACTTCTGAAATATCCAATTTTAAACTAATAAAATTTAAAGTTTTCTTGATTCTCTTTATGAAAATCTTGAAAACTTTGGATTTTATTACTTTAAAATTGGAATTTCAGTGGAGATGCGGAAGCTATGCCCAAATTTTGAATTTTTATTCAAAAACTTATTTTTTTTCTTTAGAAAATTCAATTTTTTGTTCCAGATTGGATGTCATCAAATTTGCTCCATCAACAAATCTTCTCGATAATTACGGTAAGTATTTATATAACAATAAAAGAGAACTTCTGAAATATCCAATTTTTAACTAATAAAATTCAAAGTTTTCTTGATTTTCATTGGAAAGTCATGAAAACTTTGGATTTTATTAGTTAAAAATTGGAATTTCAGTGGAGATGCGGAAGCTATGCCCAAATTTTCAATTTTTATTCAAAAACTTATTTTTTTCTTTAGAAAATTCAATTTTTTGTTCCAGATTGGATGTCATCAAATTTGCTCCATCAACAAATCTTCTCGATAATTACGGTAAGTATTTATATAACAATAAAAGAGAACTTCTGAAATATCCAATTTTTAACTAATAAAATTCAAAGTTTTCTTGATTTTCATTGGAAAGTCATGAAAACTTTGGATTTTATTAGTTAAAAATTGGAATTTCAGTGGAGATGCGGAAGCTATGCCCAATTTTTGAATTTTTATTCAAAAACTTATTTTTTTTCTTTAGAAAATTCAATTTTTTGTTCCAGATTGGATGTCATCAAATTTTCTCCATCAACAAATCTTCTCGATAATTACGGTAAGTATTTATATAACAATAAAAGAGAACTTCTGAAATATCCAATTTTTAACTAATAAAATTCAAAGTTTTCTTGATTTTCATTGGAAAGTCATGAAAACTTTGGATTTTATTAGTTAAAAATTGGAATTTCAGTGGAGATGCGGAAGCTATGCCCAAATTTTCAATTTTTATTCAAAAACTTATTTTTTTTCTTTAGAAAATTCAATTTTTTGTTCCAGATTGGATGTCATCAAATTTGCTCCATCAACAAATCTTCTCGATAATTACGGTAAGTATTTATATAACAATAAAAGAGAACTTCTGAAATATCCAATTTTTAACTAATAAAATTCAAAGTTTTCTTGATTTTCATTGGAAAGTCATGAAAACTTTGGATTTTATTAGTTAAAAATTGGAATTTCAGTGGAGATGCGGAAGCTATGCCCAATTTTTGAATTTTTATTCAAAAACTTATTTTTTTTCTTTAGAAAATTCAATTTTTTGTTCCAGATTGGATGTCATCAAATTTTCTCCATCAACAAATCTTCTCGATAATTACGGTAAGTATTTATATAACAATAAAAGAGAACTTCTGAAATATCCAATTTTAAACTAATAAAATTCAAAGTTTTCTTGATTCTCTTTATGAAAATCTTGAAAACTTTGGATTTTATTACTTTAAAATTGGAATTTCAGTGGAGATGCGGAAGCTATGCCCAAATTTTCAATTTTTATTCAAAAACTTATTTTTTTTCTTTAGAAAATTCAATTTTTTGTTCCAGATTGGATGTCATCAAATTTGCTCCATCAACAAATCTTCTCGATAATTACGGTAAGTATTTATATAACAATAAAAGAGAACTTCTGAAATATCCAATTTTAAACTAATAAAATTTAAAGTTTTCTTGATTCTCTTTATGAAAATCTTGAAAACTTTGGATTTTATTACTTTAAAATTGGAATTTCAGTGGAGATGCGGAAGCTATGCCCAAATTTTGAATTTTTATTCAAAAACTTATTTTTTTTCTTTAGAAAATTCAATTTTTTGTTCCAGATTGGATGTCATCAAATTTGCTCCATCAACAAATCTTCTCGATAATTACGGTAAGTATTTATATAACAATAAAAGAGAACTTCTGAAATATCCAATTTTTAACTAATAAAATTCAAAGTTTTCTTGATTTTCATTGGAAAGTCATGAAAACTTTGGATTTTATTAGTTAAAAATTGGAATTTCAGTGGAGATGCGGAAGCTATGCCCAAATTTTCAATTTTTATTCAAAAACTTATTTTTTTTCTTTAGAAAATTCAATTTTTTGTTCCAGATTGGATGTCATCAAATTTGCTCCATCAACAAATCTTCTCGATAATTACGGTAAGTATTTATATAACAATAAAAGAGAACTTCTGAAATATCCAATTTTTAACTAATAAAATTCAAAGTTTTCTTGATTTTCATTGGAAAGTCATGAAAACTTTGGATTTTATTAGTTAAAAATTGGAATTTCAGTGGAGATGCGGAAGCTATGCCCAAATTTTCAATTTTTATTCAAAAACTTATTTTTTTCTTTAGAAAATTCAATTTTTTGTTCCAGATTGGATGTCATCAAATTTGCTCCATCAACAAATCTTCTCGATAATTACGGTAAGTATTTATATAACAATAAAAGAGAACTTCTGAAATATCCAATTTTAAACTAATAAAATTTAAAGTTTTCTTGATTCTCTTTATGAAAATCTTGAAAACTTTGGATTTTATTACTTTAAAATTGGAATTTCAGTGGAGATGCGGAAGCTATGCCCAAATTTTGAATTTTTATTCAAAAACTTATTTTTTTCTTTAGAAAATTCAATTTTTTGTTCCAGATTGGATGTCATCAAATTTGCTCCATCAACAAATCTTCTCGATAATTACGGTAAGTATTTATATAACAATAAAAGAGAACTTCTGAAATATCCAATTTTTAACTAATAAAATTCAAAGTTTTCTTGATTTTCATTGGAAAGTCATGAAAACTTTGGATTTTATTAGTTAAAAATTGGAATTTCAGTGGAGATGCGGAAGCTATGCCCAAATTTTCAATTTTTATTCAAAAACTTATTTTTTTCTTTAGAAAATTCAATTTTTTGTTCCAGATTGGATGTCATCAAATTTGCTCCATCAACAAATCTTCTCGATAATTACGGTAAGTATTTATATAACAATAAAAGAGAACTTCTGAAATATCCAATTTTAAACTAATAAAATTTAAAGTTTTCTTGATTCTCTTTATGAAAATCTTGAAAACTTTGGATTTTATTACTTTAAAATTGGAATTTCAGTGGAGATGCGGAAGCTATGCCCAAATTTTCAATTTTTATTCAAAAACTTATTTTTTTTCTTTAGAAAATTCAATTTTTTGTTCCAGATTGGATGTCATCAAATTTGCTCCATCAACAAATCTTCTCGATAATTACGGTAAGTATTTATATAACAATAAAAGAGAACTTCTGAAATATCCAATTTTTAACTAATAAAATTCAAAGTTTTCTTGATTTTCATTGGAAAGTCATGAAAACTTTGGATTTTATTAGTTAAAAATTGGAATTTCAGTGGAGATGCGGAAGCTATGCCCAAATTTTCAATTTTTATTCAAAAACTTATTTTTTTCTTTAGAAAATTCAATTTTTTGTTCCAGATTGGATGTCATCAAATTTTCTCCATCAACAAATCTTCTCGATAATTACGGTAAGTATTTATATAACAATAAAAGAGAACTTCTGAAATATCCAATTTTAAACTAATAAAATTCAAAGTTTTCTTGATTTTCATTGGAAAGTCATGAAAACTTTGGATTTTATTAGTTAAAAATTGGAATTTCAGTGGAGATGCGGAAGCTATGCCCAAATTTTCAATTTTTATTCAAAAACTTATTTTTTTTCTTTAGAAAATTCAATTTTTTGTTCCAGATTGGATGTCATCAAATTTTCTCCATCAACAAATCTTCTCGATAATTACGGTAAGTATTTATATAACAATAAAAGAGAACTTCTGAAATATCCAATTTTAAACTAATAAAATTCAAAGTTTTCTTGATTCTCTTTATGAAAATCTTGAAAACTTTGGATTTTATTACTTTAAAATTGGAATTTCAGTGGAGATGCGGAAGCTATGCCCAAATTTTCAATTTTTATTCAAAAACTTATTTTTTTTCTTTAGAAAATTCAATTTTTTGTTCCAGATTGGATGTCATCAAATTTGCTCCATCAACAAATCTTCTCGATAATTACGGTAAGTATTTATATAACAATAAAAGAGAACTTCTGAAATATCCAATTTTTAACTAATAAAATTTAAAGTTTTCTTGATTCTCTTTATGAAAATCTTGAAAACTTTGGATTTTATTACTTTAAAATTGGAATTTCGGTGGAGATGCGGAAGCTATGCCCAAATTTTGAATTTTTATTCAAAAACTTATTTTTTTTCTTTAGAAAATTCAATTTTTTGTTCCAGATTGGATGTCATCAAATTTGCTCCATCAACAAATCTTCTCGATAATTACGGTAAGTATTTATATAACAATAAAAGAGAACTTCTGAAATATCCAATTTTAAACTAATAAAATTTAAAGTTTTCTTGATTCTCTTTATGAAAATCTTGAAAACTTTGGATTTTATTACTTTAAAATTGGAATTTCAGTGGAGATGCGGAAGCTATGCCCAAATTTTGAATTTTTATTCAAAAACGTATTTTTTTCTATAGAAAATTCAATTTTTTGTTCCAGATTGGATGTCATCAAATTTGCTCCATCAACAAATCTTCTCGATAATTACGGTAAGTATTTATATAACAATAAAAGAGAACTTCTGAAATATCCAATTTTAAACTAATAAAATTTAAAGTTTTCTTGATTCTCTTTATGAAAATCTTGAAAACTTTGGATTTTATTACTTTAAAATTGGAATTTCAGTGGAGATGCGGAAGCTATGCCCAAATTTTGAATTTTTATTCAAAAACTTATTTTTTTTCTTTAGAAAATTCAATTTTTTGTTCCAGATTGGATGTCATCAAATTTTCTCCATCAACAAATCTTCTCGATAATTACGGTAAGTATTTATATAACAATAAAAGAGAACTTCTGAAATATCCAATTTTTAACTAATAAAATTCAAAGTTTTCTTGATTTTCATTGGAAAATCTTGAAAACTTTGGATTTTATTACTTTAAAATTGGAATTTCAGTGGAGATGCGGAAGCTATGCCCAAATTTTGAATTTTTATTCAAAAACTTATTTTTTTCTTTAGAAAATTCAATTTTTTGTTCCAGATTGGATGTCATCAAATTTGCTCCATCAACAAATCTTCTCGATAATTACGGTAAGTATTTATATAACAATAAAAGAGAACTTCTGAAATATCCAATTTTAAACTAATAAAATTTAAAGTTTTCTTGATTCTCTTTATGAAAATCTTGAAAACTTTGGATTTTATTACTTTAAAATTGGAATTTCAGTGGAGATGCGGAAGCTATGCCCAATTTTTGAATTTTTATTCAAAAACTTTGATTTTTCAGAGAGATTTCCTGTACCACGGATATTTTGCAGTTCGGAACTCCACCATTGCATTCGATTCTTTCACATTCTACTGTATTTCAATTTTAAAATTGTATTATAGTGTTTATATGTTCCTACTTTTTGCTTAAAAGCCAAAAAGTAGAAAATTATTGTAGTTTTCTCTCTTCAAGTCATTGCATAAAAGCCAATGACTTGTAGCTTTGTTTTTTTTCCTGGTTACTGTAAAAGTACAGTAATCTCTAACAGCAGTAATCAGGGTACTGTAGTTTTCGAGTCTACAATAAGATTACTGTAGTTGTTTTTCATCCTTCTCGAGTAGTGTTAGAATCAGGCCTGTGCCGGAAATTTTCCGAATTTTCCGAATTTCCGGATTTTCCGGTTTTTTCACGGAAAAATCAATTTTCCGGTTTTCCGGAAAATGTGCTCGGAAAATCCGGAAATGATCTCTAGTAGTAATATTTTCAAAATTGCCTAAATTTTGGAAAATTTTCTCAGTTCATGATAGAAAAATGAAATTTTCGGAAATTTTTTTTCAATTTTTCAAATTTTACTATTTTTTGAACGTAAAACGTCTCAAATAGTTACTAAATTACCTGTGAATAGAAGAATTGTAGATAAAAATAAGTTTTAGTGCCATATTAAGGCTGGAAATCGAAATTTCAGACTTTGAAAAATTTTCCGAATTTTCCGGATTTCCGGTTCAAACAATCCGGAAATTTTCCGACTTTCCGTTTTCCGGGTTTTGATTTTCCGGCACAGGCCTGGTTAGAATCTATGCAAAACTATGGTTATCTTTTAGTTTTTCGAAATCTGTGTTTCAAAAAAGTACTGTAGATTTATTTTCGGAAGATACAATAACTGGATTGAGCTACTGTTATTTTTGGATGAATCCTGATAGTTCTACAGTACTTTATCACAGAAAAAAAGTTGTGATGAAACCGTAAATTTGAACTGATTGCTGTAGTTTTGTATCGAGCAGTAGATTTTCTATTTATATCCCACGAGATACTCATTTTGTTTCCTTCAATAATAGTTTATCCTAAATTTAAATTACACAACATGCCAGCCCAATGAAAATTGGAAATCGGTGAGAGTGATGTAAAAATTGAGGATGACTTTCAGTAGCTTGGCACAGTGAAAGTTCAAGAATCTATTCTCAAAAATCAAGCTGAAGGCTATTTCTGAATTTCACAAATTCAACTCGCTGTAGATCACGCGGGATTCCAAAATCTTTTCGTCTCTTTCACTCTCACCGATTGCTTTTTGCAATGTTGTGAGTTTTTGCAACCTTTTCAGGAAAAAACAAAACATATATAGGGTAAACTATTTTTGGAGACAACAAAAAGCGTATCACATGGGAAAATCTCCTCTAATACGTGGATTTACTGTGATTCTTCCGAATAACAAAAGTTTCATGTATCTAAAACGTATTTTCAACTCTTGAACTAGCAGACCACTTTTTGAAAATTTCACGATTTGAACATCAAAAAATGACTTTTTCGAAAAAATTGGTACGATTCCGAATTTTTCTCAAAAAAATCCTTCAAAATCGGACCTAGCCTAATTCAAAATTAGCTGAGAATTATGATACGTGGATTAGGAAAAAGAAAAGATCAGAAAAAAATTTGAAGTAACCCAAATCTGTTTTTTTTCGAAAAAGTACTGAAGATTTATTTTCGGAAGATTCCGTAACTGGATACTGTTATTTTTTGGATGAATCCGGAATAGGGCTTTTTGAGTACAGTAATGTTTTTAGGAAAGTTGTTTTTTTAATTACCATAAATTTTGAAACAGTGAATTCACATAAAATCTTCTCAAGTATTTTCTTTGAAACATTATTTTTTTTTGGAAAATAAAAACTATTGTTCAAAATTGAGAACTTCTCTTGATAAATAAAAAAAAATTTAATTTGAAACTTGGCCGAAAAACCTATATATTAATAAAATAATTTTTCCACGTTTTCATATTCAAATTAAATTTTTTGGAATTTTGTAGAAGAACAAATAATGGCATCGAATTCAAAAGCAACAGTTTCCTCAAATAAATTCTTTCAAACAGTGAATTATTTTTTAAAATTACACCTGGAAAAAATTACATTTCACATTCAAAAAAAAAATCTGAGAGCTTCTCCAACACCAAAATAATTACACCTTTCCATTGTTCCTCATTTTTTCTCTCCAAGCTCAAAAAAAATTTCACCCAGAAAACTAAGTCAGCTGTTACCTTCTTTTTCTTTTCGTTTTCTGATTACACTAGGATATTTTAATCAATAATAGTTTTTTATTCACTAAATATGAGGAATATATTTATTTTAGGTAACTTTGAAACTTTAAATTCGGAAAAATATGAATTTTCAGGATTATTATTATCTCTAGGCTTAAGCCTAAGCTTAGTTAGCGCATCTGACGATGAAGAACGACTAATGGTTGATGTATTCCGAGGATATAACTCACTTATTCAACCAGTTCGAAATTCTTCCGAACTTCCATTAGTTGTCAAAGTTGGACTTCAACTCGTTTTATTGATTAATGTTGATGAAAAAGATCAAGTTATGCACACTAATGTTTGGTTAACTTTGGTAAATTTTTTTTTCTTTGAATTTTTGAATTTTCCATTGAAGTAGAAGGTTTTGCTTTAGAAATGGTATGATTTTCAAATGCGTTGGAACCCGGTGAATTACGGCGAGATCAAAGAGATTCGAGTTTCACCGGATAAAGTTTGGCTGCCAGATTTGGTGCTTTTCAATAAGTGAGTTCATGGAAAATTTTTGAAACAGCTATTTTTCAAATAAATTTGGAAGATTTTCGGGGTGTTACTTAAAGTTTGTGAGAACATTTCATAAATTTATCAAAAATTAATATGAAATTTTTGAAACAGTCAATTTTTCAGCACTAAATTTTTCAACTAATAAATTCACCACAATATTCTATTATTTTTCTGAAGCAGCAATTTTTTGTATAATCAAAATTTTGAAAAAAATTAAAACCGTTAATTTTTTAAAATTCACTATCGAAATTAGAAGCAACTTGTAAAATTATAAAAAATGATATGAAATTTTTGAAACAGTGAATTTTTTAATCAAAAATTTTTTTTTAATTTATCAAAAAAGCTTTGAAACAGTAAATTTTCTCCTATCCTCTCAATAAAATTTCCAGTGCTGATGGTAACTACGAGGTGTCATTCATGTGTAATGTTGTTATAAATCATAAGGGTGAGATGTTATGGGTTCCACCAGCAATTTACAAATCATCGTGTATCATCGATGTCGAATTTTTTCCATTTGATGAACAAACCTGCACATTGGTTTTTGGAAGTTGGACCGTAAGTTTTTCTGGAATTTTCTCACCAAATTCTCAATTTCAGTACAATGAAAACGAGATCACATTGGAGATGAATTTGGCAGATCTTATCGATGTTTCGGAATACTCACAAAGTTCTATTTGGGATCTTCTTGATGTTCCAGCCATTTTGGTAAAGAAACGATCAAGAATTGAATTCCAAATCAAAATCCGACGAAAAACCTTGTTCTACACTGTGGTTCTTATCATTCCCACAGTTCTTATGGCATTTTTATCGATGGCTGTATTTTATTTGCCAACAGATTCCGGGGAGAAAATCACATTAACTATATCAGTTCTCCTTTCTATTGTGGTTTTCCTGCTTCTTGTCTCCAAAATTCTACCACCAACATCTTCGACAATTCCACTGATGGCTAAATATTTATTGTTGACTTTTGTTTTGAATGTTATCACGATTTTGGTGACGGTTATTGTGATCAATGTATATTTTAGAGATCCAAGAACACATCGAATGCCACCATGGGTTAGAACTGTGTTTTTAGTCGTGAGTTTTGTTTGCAAACTTCGAAGGGAAAAGATTTTTCAAAGTGTGAAAATTGTTTTAAGTATCTGCCAAGATTCGTATGCATGGATCGTCCAAAATCAATGCACGAGCGAAGTGTTTCTCAACGTAGCGCAATTGCTCAACTTCCGGGAGTCGGCCAATTTGCTCTTCATCCATCAGCCCATCATCCGCTATGTCCATCTTCAGATGATCATCGAGGAACAAATAAAACGCAGCCAATGGTTGTGACAAATGAAACATCTGCATTTTATCCATTATCACCTGGAGCTTTGAGAGCAATTGAGGCTATTGAATATATTACTGATCATTTGAAACGTGATGAGGAACATAAATCGGTAAGTTTTCAGAAAATGAGGATTTTTGGGCCAAAGCATTTTTGAGATTTTCTAGAAATTCAAGAGTGTTTCTGAATTTAATTTTTTGCAAAGCTTCTGTAGAAGTCTCTAGAAAAATCGCTTTAAAAACCACGTGTCAACCCACCAATTTTTACAGTACCGAGACGATTGGAAATACGTGGCAATGGTAATCGATCGTCTACTGTTATACGTGTTTTTCGGAATCACAGTCGGTGGAACGTGCGGAATTCTCTTCAGCGCTCCCAATGTTTTTGATTTTGTTGATCAAGCAGACATTATCGAAAAATTGAAAGGTCAATATGCTTCAGCATCGACAACTAATGTTTGATTGCGGGACTTATTATTTATTTGTACAAATTTTATAATAAATTTTTTTTCAAAAAAAAAAACAAATTGTTCAGGAAACTAAGAAAAAATACGCTTCACAATTTTTATGAAGAAAAGCGGGGTTTGTTATTTTTGATGAGTTTTTTTGCTTCTATGAAATATTCTCCAGAAATTTCAGAACTTTTATAATTGCTCATATACTGTAGATTATAAAACTCATTTATAATCTACAGTAGTAAAAGTATGGAGGAAATTTAGTATTGCTCATATTAAACTGATTTTTTTGGATTCTCAAGAAATATGTCTTTTGAAAATTTAGCCAAAATTACAGTAACTCAGATAATGTAAAAGTGTGATTTATTTTTGAAAATCAGATTTTTGTGACAAAAAGTTTGCATCCACCAGGAAGAAAACGAGGTTTTTCAAAAAAATTTTTAAAAAAAATCCGAAAAAAAACCAAGAAAAAATACGTTTCACCATTTTCATAAAGAAATTCGGAATTTTCCAATTTCAATAACCTTTCGAGTTCTACATACAGCCCCAAAGATTACTGTATAATTTAAAAAAAAGTTTCCCAAAGGCATTCCCATGTCTAATATTTCAACACCAATGTGTGAAGTGCGCAATTTGGCGAAAAACAACAGGTGTTTCATCTGGGAAAAAGGGGGCGGGGCATTGATTTTGGGAACAAAAAAACAGGAAAGGCGTGGCTAAGGTTGTGCTATTTAAGGAAGCTATGGAATTGGATATTTATTAGTTCAAGAGCTTAGTTATTATAACTACTTTTTTTTTTTTGAAGTTTTTGTGTTTCTGTTAGCAAAATAATTTTTTAAAAGTTCTTTTTTTTTCAGTTGTCTGTTTACAAAATGTTTATATACATTAATTTTCAAATTTCAGAATCAACTATGCAATCTGTTGAGAAAATGTCAATCGACGAAGTTGCAGCAACTCATCCAATGCACAATTTGCCAGTTGATTGTTTTGGTCCAATTTTGAAACATGTGAGTTTTTTTTTAGCGAAAATACTAAATTCATAGATTTTGAAACTTTTTTTGCAGCTTGAACGAGAAGATCTTCAAAGCATCAGAAAGACCAACAAATTCTTCGAAGATATCTATAAAATGGATCGAAAAATGATGGCTGGACCAGAATGCGAAGTCGAAGTCAAATTAATCGACAACAATTTAACATTATCAATTCGTGGAAGATCATTTAATCTAACTCCAAAAATTGTGAAATTAGAAGAATGGAATTATTATTTCAAAAATGCAAAGTGCCAAAATCTATCAATCGAAACAAATCAGGAAATCTCAATGGAATTACTCACAAAACTATTGTGCTGTAAATCAATCTACAATTGTCAATATAATGGACCCAAAATCAATCAAGAAGTTTTGGAAAAACTATCAGAATATGTGGAAAACAATATTGAAGTCAAGGTTGAAAATTGGGATGAGACAAATATTGGAACATCAAAAACCAGTCAAATAAAAATATCTGAAAATATCGAGAATTTGGAAACTGTTGTTGGAATTATGAAAACTGTTTCGGATCTTAATATTTCGATGAAATGGACTAACTTCGAGAATTCAGTGAACTCATTGATGGTTAGTTTTCTCATTATATTTTTTTGAAACCTAAAAAATCCTGCTTTTCTTTCAGAAACTCAAAGATTCTCAAACAATTCCTGAGTGGCAAATAAATATCGAAGAAACCCATGCTGGCTCCCCAGTTCAAATAATTTTCGAAATCTTCGAGAATATCATCTATGATTTATTTGGAGATGAAGTTTATTGTTCAAAAGAAGAATTATCAAATGGTCAAATGTATATTATTGTTAAATCTTAAGATTAATTAATCGACTTACTAATTAACTAATTACTTTATATTTATTTGTTTAAAAAATGTAAAAATTGTTCAAAAATTCTTTTTGTTTTCTGTTATTTTGTTATTATTTGAAGTGATCAATAAAATTGTGAAATGAAAAAAAAATGTGTGTTTGATGATTCCAAAAAATTTCAGAAAAAAAGTTTCAGCAAACAAACCAACAAACATTACGTTTCACAATTTTTATATAGAAATTTGGAATTTCGAAATTTTAATAACTGCCTTTTTGTACTTTTGCACATATTTACAGTAACTCAGATAATCTTACTGTAAAAGCTGATTTTTTTGTTTGGAAAACTTGATTTTCAAGAACTTTCAAAATTGCTCAGATTAAACCCTTTTTTCATTTTCCCACGCCCTCTTCTCTCATTTTCATTTTCATTTTCAAAAATCATCTGGTTTTTATGATGCCCGCATTCATTTTTCATCTCATTGTTTTGTTTTACGAGTCTTCTTCGTTTTCCACCACCGCGAAGCCAACTAATACAATTTCATCCGTTTTTCTCGCACTATCTTCCACCAATTTCATTTTTTTCTGGTTTTGCTTCAATTAAAACATCAATTTTTCTTCTCCTTTTTTGTTCTTTTTTTTTTTCGGACCCCAATTTGCCTCCTCTTTCTCTCTCTTTACTTTTATGCATTTTTCGGAACCGGCAAAAATATTTAATCCAGGCAAAAAGCGAAAAGCAAAGAGGGCTTTGCCCGTTTTTCTACTCATTCATGCATCAACTCGCGGCTCTTCTTGAAATAATCTCTTTTGTTTTTGTTTTTCGCTTGCCAAAATTCATTTTTGAACAAATTTACGAGTTTTTGAAATTCATTGGATCAGAGACTCGAAAGCTTCAAATTTCGAACCCTTGCGTTTCAGAAATCCACGTGGATTAGTAATTTCGAGACATTTTGGGATTTCTTCGGAAATCTAGAAAAAAATTTTCAGGTTACCGAAAAAAAAGTTGTAACAAAGTTTTCAAAATTTTCCAATTTCAAGCTTTCGATTTTCAGATTTCCACGTGGATTCATAATTTCAGAAAAATTTCGAGAACTTAGCATCAAACATTTGGAATTATCAAACTTGTTCGACAAAATTTTAATTTAGAAAATTGAAAAAAAAGCCACGTAGCTTTAGAATTTCTGAAAACTTGAAGTTTTCGTTCTTCAGAATTTGGAAAATCTGAAATCGAGCCACGTGGATATTTTTTTAAGAATAACCATCTGAATTTGTGTGAAAATCATTTTTTTTTCAAAAAGTTTTCAAAAAATATTCATTTTTTTTTCAAAATCCACGTGGATTCTGATGATATATTCCGAAAGTTGAAGACACTTGAAAACTATACAATCTCAAAAAATTCCGAGTCATTTTTCAACTTTTCCACCCTCCCCGCTGCTCCGAAAAAATAAAACGTAACCGGATACCAATTAAAGTTCCTCCCTCCTCCCCCCAATTTTTCACTCACATCAAAAAATCTTCCACACATTTTTTTTGTCGCTCCGAAATAAATAAAAACAATAGAGAACTCTTCACAATTTTTTTCTTCTATTGCACAGATGAAGAAGAGAGGAGCAAAAAAGAGCAACAATAATAATAATAGTAATGTTGAAAAGTGCTCCATTCTTCGATTTTTCTCGTTTTGGTTGACAACAATAATAATAGTAATGGCGACTGGAGGTTAGTTGGCTTAAAAATTCACCAGGAAATTTTGGGCGCCCCAGAAAATCAGATACCTTTTCAGTAAACGCATCTGACGATGAGGAACGACTTATGGTTGATGTTTTTCGAGGATATAACTCACTTATTCAACCGGTCAAAAATTCTTCGCAACTTCCGTTGATTGTTAAAATTGCGTTGCAATTAGTTTTGCTAATTAATGTGGTGAGTTTAGGTTTTGGGAAAATTGTGAAATAATTTGAGTCGCGAACTTTTAATCAAGCGAGTTCCATAATTTAATCTTCAATATTTTTTTAAAATTGAAATATTGATTTTTATTTCCTAGAAGTTCTGAAAATGTTCATTCCATTTGTGAATCCACGTGGCTTCTTCAGAACCTTGAATTTTTTTTTTCAAAAATCAGAATTAACCGCTTGCAACGTCATAGCTCATTTTCAAACCCGCCTCGACTTTTTTCTAGGACGAGAAAGATCAAGTGATGCACACCAACGTCTGGCTAACCCTCGTAAGATTTTTTTCCCCAATTTCCTGTCAAATTTCAATTTCACATATTCCTATTCAGAAATGGCATGATTTTCAAATGCGTTGGAATCCGGTGAAGTACGGCGAGATCAAAGAGATTCGAGTTTCACCGGATAAAGTTTGGCTGCCAGATATTGTCCTCTTCAACAAGTTAGTCTAAGTCTAGAATTTCATTTCTGGAAACAAAGATTTTTCCAGCGCTGATGGTAATTACGAGGTGTCATTCATGTGTAATGTTGTGATAAATCATAGTGGAGATATGTTATGGGTCCCGCCGGCAATTTATAAATCATCGTGTATCATCGATGTCGAATTTTTTCCATTTGATGAACAAACTTGCACATTGGTTTTTGGAAGTTGGACTGTGAGTTCTAGATTTCCCCCTATTTCTAATAATTTCCAAATAATTTTCAGTACAATGAAAACGAGATCAAGCTCGAATTCGATCAGGCTGAACTTGTCGACACTTCGGAATACTCTGCCAGCTCGATTTGGGATGTTGTTGATGTGCCAGCTACTCTCACCAAGAAACGGTCTAGAATAGAGTTTCAAGTGCGGATTCGTAGGAAAACCCTGTTCTACACTGTGGTTCTTATCATCCCCACAGTTCTTATGGCATTTTTATCGATGGCTGTATTTTTTCTACCCACGGATTCCGGCGAGAAAATAACATTGACAATATCAGTTCTCCTTTCTATTGTGGTTTTCCTGCTTCTTGTCTCAAAAATTCTACCACCAACATCTTCGACAATTCCGCTGATGGCTAAATATCTTCTCCTAACTTTCGTCCTAAACGTCATAACAATTCTGGTAACAGTTATAATAATCAATGTATATTTCCGTGGTCCTCGAACACATCGAATGCCTCCTTGGGTCAGAGTTGTGTTCCTCAAATACCTTCCCAGATTCATATGTATGGATCGTCCCAAATCATTTCTCAAGCGAAGTTTTGTTCGTCAAGCAATGGCACAACTTCCCGGAATCGGTCAATTCTCTCTACATCCATCGGCTCATCATCCGCTATGTCCATCTGCAGAAGAGCATAATGATTCAAATCGTTTGCTGGCTGGCGCGGAATATTATCCATTATCTCCAGAAGCGATGAGAGCTGTTAGTGCTGTTGAATACATAACAGAACATTTGAAGAAAGGCGAGCGGCAGAAGGCGGTGAGTTTTGTTTTTTTTTCTATTTTTTAAGGGCCTTACCCTTGTTAGCCTATTTTCCTTTTTAGTATCGAGACGATTGGAAATACGTGGCAATGATAATCGATCGCCTCCTTCTATACATCTTCTTCGGAATCACAATCGGTGGAACTTGCGGAATTCTCTTCAGCGCCCCCAATGTTTTCGATATCATTGATCAAGAAGAAATCCTAAACAGTTTGAAGGCAAAGTTCAAAAGTCGAACTACTGAATAGTTGTATCTATAGATATTTTCAAACATTAAAGAAATAGACAACTTTTAAGCTACGGTTCAAAGCAGCCCAAAATGACTTTCTTCATACTATTTTTAACACATCTGCAAAACGAGAACTTTGAAAACCCACTCTAAACCTTTTTTGGAGCAAAATAAAAAAAATAAAAAACCCTCGTTTGAAAATAAAAAAATTGCCGCGATTGTGTGAGCGCAGTGTCACGCGGAGTCTCGTTGTTTTACTTTTATTTTTCGTTTTTTGGTGAAATCAAGAAACCTAAAGAAATCGGATAAAAACATGGAAAAATCTAGCAAATTCATTGAAAGAAACAGTTTACATAACATTTGAGTGAACATTTGAGCAAAGAGATGTTTGGATAGGCTTTGAAACTTCAAAAAGTGGCGAAATCTCGAAAATCGCAAAATTCGAGTATTATTTTGCGAATCATCACTTTGTTGAGCCTCCACATTCATTATTACCGAATATTGACGTCGTTTTCTGAAATTAGCAACAATTAAATCACTTTCAGATTGATTTTTCAATAAAAATTTGAAATTTGATGGGCTCACAGCCAAAATCGTTGCAAAACTAACAATTCCAATTGTTTTTTGTTAGATTCTGCCTAGAGTCACTATCATCTAGCATCAAAGTTGAACAAAAAACTCACAAAACATCAGAATCCGCTTGAATTTTCCATTTCCATCGAAAATCCTTCGAAACTTGTAAATAGTCGAGTTTTCCCTGAAAATGAACATGAAAACTATGAAATGTTTATGAAAACTCACCGAAATATCAACAAATACAATTCCTGATGTGCTGCAATACTCAAAACCCAATTTTCATCGCGAAATTCCTTTTTTTCGTGAAAAAAAACGAAAAAAAAAATAAAAGTAAAAAAATTGTCTGCAAACACGCGTTCAAATACACACCGTCGCCCAAAAATGCACTAGATTATCTAGAACTCGGCGGGCGTTCAAATTCGAATTATTTTTTTTCAACCCTGCGCCATTTATTTCAACGGGCGTATTTCGGATGATTTCTTATTGGAAAGTGTGTAGAAAAGTAAGAAAAATCAAAATATTGGGGCAGCCTGAAACTCAGTTTTAAAAGTTGTCTATTTCTTTAAGAATCACCTTGCAAGTACGAGTAATATAACAGGTTCTTAAAAATAGTTATTATTTTCATGTGTATTGTAAAATGAAGGTGTGAAAAATTAAAATTGTAAATAAATATCTACGAACCGGTTTCAAAGTGAAATAAAAAAAATGAAGATTTGGAAAAGATGTTTCGAGAAATCTGACGTTTACAAGAAAATTTGATGAAAAAAAACGTTCGTTAAATCTATTATGACATCACAAAAGGCGAATCATCATTGACCAATCTTTCGGCCTTGACTGACCTATTACATCAATCAGGTTTACTTAACTTCCCCAGTGTTTGTTATTCTGTTCAATTTCATTTTTTTCTTCTTCATTTCATTTCATTCAACAAACACATTAGAAAAAAAATGGGCGGCGATAAGAGACAACTTTTAAACTTTTCAAGTATATAAAGTAACCACACGGCAAAATCAAAGCAAAACAACAAACAAGATGAAACTATTTTTGCTGTTAGCCTTCGTCACCATTTCACACTCTCAAATGGTTCGCCAATGTGGGTGCGGTGAGGTTGAAGGATGTTTGGGTGGAGCGCACGCCGGATTCCTACAATGCGCCGATCAATGTCAAAACCACGTGGCGGCGATGGGTGCGAGTTATCCGGCTTTGCGACAATGTATGGTGCAAAAAGAGGCGGCGATTGGAGCGGTGGCGAATTGTCAGAAAGGAAGATTGGCTAATTCGTAAGTCTAATGGGATTGAAACAAGTTCGCTTTATTGCACTTGAAGTATACCGGTTAATAATTTCTCAAAATTCGCAAACTTCAAAATTTCAAGACACATAAATTAAATGGGGACTAGAAATTGAATTAGGCAAACCCTAGTCCCCCTCCTGTCTATAATCAATTTCCAGATGTTCACGCGGCGGCGGCGGAATGGTTCAAAAACGCTATCCAGAAACCTTGAAGCTCGCCGCATTCACCGAAGTCAATCAAATTTTGCAAAGAAGTGGAATTCAGGCGGAAGCCAAGGCTTTCATTTCCGTTGGTAAGAAATTCGCCACGTGTGTTATGAAGTGTATGGATCGCGGATCAGCCGGAGCTTGTTTCAAGAAACTCGGGTATGTTTTTTATATTATATTTAAAAAAACTTATTTTTTCCCAAAATACAAACCTGTTTTTGTTTCAGATGTGGCCTCGATCTTCCACCAGACAGTGTCTTGGTTCAATCCACCAAACAGTGCGCCATTTCCTCCGGTTTCAATACCGCCGGTGTTCGTCAACTCTGTAATTGTGTGGCTGGAAGTGGTGTTCGTAATTTGGCTCCACTTTGTAACCGAATTGTGATCTCCTAATTTAAAAATATCCTTTAATTTGTACATACATAAAATTTATTTACATAATAATAATATCACAAATGTTGACTAGCTGCTTCTAAAATCTTGAGTTGCTCCAAAAGTTGCCATTTCTTCAATTTCTCATGTTTCGAATTCAGAATTGTTTGCTGAAGTTGTTTGATATTTCGGAACGTCTCCAATTCCACCATATGATCTTTGTAGATTTGAAATGATAGTGGATCTCGAACATCAGGCTCCACCGGTTTCAAAGATGGGTCTTGGAACGAAGAAAGCGTGGAAGTTGTTGGGGGTGGTGGAGCTGGACGAGATGGTGTGATGATAGCTGCGACACTTTGCGAGCGAACACCTCGCAAACCAGGAATCTCTGAATCAGAATCGATTATTCCAAATGTATCACTTCCAGTTCTCCGATGGTTTTTCCTATTCGAAACATCTAGATGATCTTCAGCCTTTCCAATTTTTAAAGGAACATCGCCATGTGGATATTCTTTTTTCAGAAGTGTAAAATATTCAACAGCTTCTTTACTAGTTGGTCGAATCTCTGGATTTTGATGCCAACATCTTTTGTAGAATCCGGAAAGAATGTAACTACATTGAAGCTCAGCGGGTCGATTATTATTCCCTGCAACGTGGTAGACAAGTTGCGCTAAACTGTCCACGTTTGGATAAGGTTCTCTACAAAAATTTTGATTTTTTAGGCGGAAAAGAAACTCCACTTACTGTCTCGATAGTATTTGCCACATAATAATTCCAATACTGTAAATATCACTCTTCATATCGTATTTCTTGTCTCCGCGCATCACTTCAGGTGACATTGTTACTGGTGTTCCAAGCCCCACAGTCATTGTACTTTTGAGAGCTGTATAGGTTCCGAAATCGCAGAGTTTTAGTGTTCGATAGTGATCACAGAGTAAAATGCTAGAAATACAAATATTTTTCGAAAAAAAATATAAGAAATATTTAACAACTCACTTTTGGACCTTGAGATCGCGATGAATTTGATTATACGAATGAAAAAATTCGACAGCCGAGCAAAGTTGCAACATCCAACTGGCGAAATGTGAAATCGTATATTGAATATTATTATTGTGTAAAAGTTCCGCTAATGATTGACAATCCATATATTCCATAACGAGTCCACATCGGTTTGCGTCAATTTTGTAGATTCCATAAATACTGATAACATTCGGATGTTCCATCAAAGTCATCATGATTTTCGCCTCATTTATCAAAGTTCTTGTATATTTTTGATTTGATGCATATTTGATTGCCACATCGATCGCTTCTGAGGTAGGAGTTGGTTTATAAATCGCTTTTTCTACATATCCATATGTTCCGCATCCCAAACTTTTACCGGTTCCTTTTATTTGGTCCGATTTGATTACTGGGATCTCCGTTGTGTCGAAAATCGATGATTCTCTTTTTGCAGGCGAATTCATATTATATTTTTTTCAGAATATAAAACTAAAAAACTAGAAAATATCGCATAAGTGAAGTGGAATGAAAAAAAACTCACATGTGGCCGAGAAAACCGCCGCTTACTTCGGCCACATCGAGAGAGCGAGGAGACGCAGACATGCAACATTTTTGGCTAGTAGAAATACGGTAGCTAAAGTTTAAACTTAACGATTTGGGGTTGAAATGATGAAAAATGAAAAAAAAATAAAATAAAAATCGATTTTTGTACATGGTTAAAGGCGCATATGTTTAAAGTGTGTGTTGGGTCTCGTCACGCTTTGGGATTCACCGTAATTTTTCTTGGTTTTTTTTGTTTTTTTTTCTCGAAAAAAAAGTTTAGACGCGAGAAAACTGTAAAAATGGAGACGAATGAGTTGCATGAGGTTAGTTTGAGGAACTCACGATTGTAAAAGCTGGTATTCTTTATTTCAGTTTGGTATAAATGATGAACAGGAAGTTTCAAAATGCGGATTGTGTGAAAAGACATTTGCAAGCTTGCGAGGTCTTCAACAACATATCGGAATTCACAGCGAATTCAAACCATATCAATGTGATGTTTGTGCGAAACGCTTCAAATTCAAATCCAACATGTATGAGCACAGATCAATTCACACCGGATTTCACCCTCACAAATGCCCGTTTTGTGACAAAACTTTTCGATTGAAAGGAAATATGAAGAAACATATGAGAACTCATGTTAGCTCAAATGAAGAACTCGAACAAGTATTTCGCCCATTTGCTCACAACAATCGTAGCCATTATTCCCCACCGCCTCCGCCGCCACCGGAACCACCAAAATTCGCCGATCAACATGAAATCAAACCGCGAACATCTAGAAGTCTGAAACTTGGTCGAAATTCGACGAAATGGATCGAAATGTTGATACGAAATGAGCTTTTGCCAATTTCGACGATTGAGGAAAAATTGGAACACGTGAAGGATTTGGTGGTTTTTAACGGGGAAGAGGAAAATAATGTGGATACGCTTTTTGAGGATTGTAAAAGCATCGAATTCGAAATGTATGTTTCTTTTAGTATTTGAGAGGGGGAGGGTAAGGATTTCGATTTATGACGTGGCAAGTTCGAAAAAAAGTTTCTTGAATTTTTTTTTCATTTTTCGAGCCAAATTTCATAATTTCAGTCTGAAATTGATTATAAATCGTTTGTTGAGAATATTTGGATTATTTTCTTCAAAGGAAACTTTTTTGGCAAACCTTTCTTTCGGTCAAAAATTTGTAAATCTGGAAGGTCTTCCAGTTCTACAAATCCATCATTTTTCGAGCCAAATTTCACGATTTCATTCTGAAATTGATTGGAATTCATTTGTTGAGCAATATTCAAAGAAAAAACTATTTTTTGATCAACTTTTTGTCTTTCAAATAATTTTTTCCACGTGTAATAAAATCCCCTCATTTTCCAGCTACAATTGTCCATTTTGCAAAACAAAATGTCGCGGAAAACTCGCCTGCGACTCTCACATTCGCAAAACTCACGCGAAAATTCGCGAAAACGACGAATGGTTTTGCGACACGTGCGTTCGCCATTTCACCAGCGAAAATATTTATTTACAACATCAAAGTTATCATACACGAATTCAATTGATGCTTCAGAATAACCATGTTAAGGTAACTCTTTTTGAACAAGGATTTTCATGGTAAATACAAAATATTCCAGGCTTTCGATAATCCAACTGTTTCAATCGATCAGATAGCTTATCACCGTCTTGATTTTTCCAACAACAATCATCAAGAGATCTAATGAACCCCCCTAACAAAGTGCAAGTTTAATAAATAAAATACATTTATTTCATATCATATATATAGGGAATTTTGAAAAAGGCCTAATATTTTTCAGCAGCGAATTAAAGCACATCCAAAGCTACAAAAAACGTGGGGAAAAAACATTGCACGGGTTCGAGAAAATCATCATTTTGGAATGGGATAAAAAATCGAGTCAAGGGAAAAACAAAACACAAATACATATCGAATTCTTTGGAATGCATGGGATAAAACAACTAATCTATGGGAAAAACACACGTAGACACCGAAAAAGTTACAAGAAGTCCCTCTTTTTTTGTTGTTGGTTGGGGTTGAGTAGAAGAAAAGGCGGAAAGATGGGTATTTCCTTATTAGAAGAAGAAGAAGGCAGATGTTTTGTAGTAAAACATATGAGAAAAAATGGGGAAGGCTTCTGAGATTTAGCCAGAGAAGACAGGTGGCTCATTAGTTTTGGCACATTTCGCAAGGGCGAACTAACGATCGGCTTTAATACCTAAACGTGTCGTTTTGATTTATTACATATAAATCTCTAAGATTTTGGGAGGAGAGAAATATGGGAAATTTTGGTTTTAAAAGAATCCACGTGGATCTTGGGTCTTGAAGCGAATTTCCGAAAAAAAATCGATTCGAGACCCGAAAGCCAAGACTATTTCCACGTGGCTTTCTCGAAATCTCTCTTCAAAACCACTCTGTCTTCTAGCTCTCATGTGCCTTTAAACAGTTTCAAAAACCGTACCATATTGTTCTTCTTCCTCCTCTTCCTTTTCCCATCAATCTCATCTAGGTCAATGACCGCAAAAGAAGGGGAAAGAAATACAGTAGTTGGCACATAGTTAGTTACATTAAAATACTGTCGACATCTGTTCCTTCTTCTTTTTCTTCTACTTAACCAACACAAAAAAGAAGAAAAGAAAAAAAGTGACTTATTCAAACTATGCGGAGGGAGACACTCTAGAATCCTTGTTGAGCAGCTTGCAATTGCGCCAACATGAATTGCGCCAAAAGTGCCGGATTGAAGAATGGTTGAGGTTGAAGTGTTGGTGTGGTATTTTGGGTGGGTGCAACCAACATCGATGGATTTGGTGTTGGTGTTGAGAAGGCGAATGGTGGCATTTTGAAGATTGGCACAGATTCAGCGACGGGTGGAGAAGATGTTGTTGGTGCAGAAGGTGTTGGTTGAATTAGGGTAGAAGCGCTGGATGTTGAGGTGGCAACATCAATATCTTCATCAACAGAGATGTTCTCCTCTTCTTCCTCTTTCATCACTTCTTGTTTGATGAGAGTTGGGGCGAGTTGCATTTTGATGTTTTCGTTCTGAAAAATTGGAAATTGAAAATGAGGTTGAGAGAGGAAAGTTCAATTTTTTGAGCAAAAAAGTTTTTGTTTTTCAAATTTTAATGAAAATGTGGGAAATTTTATCAAAAATATGATTTTTAATAGAAAAATTCAAAGATATCTAGCTAATCGAATAAGAAATTTTTTAAAGAAAATTTTAGATCTGAAAAATATCGATTTTTGAGCCTCAGACATCGGTTCAGCTCAAAAATCGCCATTTTTCATCTGAAAAATCAGGATTTACTGGAAATTTAGGCAATCTCTGAATGGGGCCCCTGAATGGGGCCAGTTTCTGAGAAAATGGGGCCACCTGAATGGGGCCACTTGTGTGGCAAATTCCCTCAATGGGGCCAGCAAGAAAAAAGTAAGAATTTCTCCCTTTTTCCTGAATGGGGCCACCTAAAAAGATGAAACACATAATTTCTGCATAATTCCTCAATGGGGCCATGTATTTTTTGTGCATTTCCTGAATGGGGCCCATCTTTTCATTTTTATACATCTTGTGACGTCATAGTGATCGTGAATTGAAATTTCATGAAAGTTTTCAAATTTTTAATAATGTTATTATGATGTGGTTTTTATTCTCAGCATTGAAAACGTTTCGAATGTAACTTTTTCTCAAATTTTCAGTCTCTGATGATGAAAATATTTAAATTTTCCTCGAATATTTCGAATAATTTTTCTGGGTAAACTTTTACATTTCTTGCCCAATTATTTTCTCTAATCAAATTGATGTTTTCTTCTAAAATAAGTTGTTCATTTCATTAAGTTTTGGTTATTATCGTATTCTTAGCTAGTTGACAACAAGTTTTTTGGATAACTTCCCAAAAAACTCATCTGGGTCTCCAAAAAAACACACTTTTTTGCGCGATGTCTGTTTCTTGTTTATGGACAAGGTGCCAAAATATCAAGGTGTGAAAACTTATATGACATGTTCTTCAATAGTTTTCAAACTTTATGTAGAATTTCTGTGAGAATTATCTAACGAACTACTTCCAGATTTTGGTTCAATTTTCAAAACATGCTTCTGTGAATATTTTTCGAATTGTTTAATGCGTAGCAACCCGAAAATTTGAGATAAAACATTTGACATTTTTTCTCCAATTTTTGAAAATTCTGAATTTTCTCTGTGATTTTTGATAGTTTTCGAGTGTTTGAAAAAAGCAAGACTTGAATTCCAAAAAGAAATATTTCATTTAATTTTACTATTTCAAAAATTCATGAAACTGGGGAATTTTCATGTAAGAGAGGCTCCATGCCTTCAGTACCCAACATTTGCATACGTGGTAAACATCTGAGTAAGTTATAACTCACATACGCTATTAAAAAATTTGAAAACTTTCATGAAATTTCAATTCACGATCACTAAGACGTCACAAGATGTATAAAAATGAAAAGATGGGCCCCATTCAGGAAATGCACAAAAAATACATGGCCCCATTGAGGAATTATGCAGAAATTATGTGTTTCATCTTTTTAGGTGGCCCCATTCAGGAAAAAGGGAGAAATTCTTACTTTTTTCTTGCTGGCCCCATTGAGGGAATTTGCCACACAAGTGGCCCCATTCAGGTGGCCCCATTTTCTCAGAAACTGGCCCCATTCAGGGGCCCCATTCAGAGATTACCGAAATTTATGGGATAATTAAAATTTTTCGTGAAGTTTCTCAAATTTTTTTCAATAAATCCAACCCCCCCCCCATTTCCATAATAAATCAATAAAACCAACCTTTCTATCTTCCTGTTCAATTTTCACACTACAAGCAGTTCCTCCTCCCAATCCACAATTATTCCTCGACAAATTCATCAACGCATCCATCATAGCTCCAGGCGGTAAAAGTCCCATCAAATTATGTGCATTGAAAGCACCATTTCCGAGTTGTGCTGATAAATCGAGTGGTGATTGACACGAATCCAAGTGGTTGAAATGTAGTTGTTTTGGTGGGGTTTTCATTCGATGCGGCGTCACTTTTAGGCCTTTTCGAGCGAGTTTTTCTTGATGCGCTACTGGACAACCGGATAGACTTCGATGCGATGTTCGATTGCCGTTCACGTGTCCTTTGCCAGAGCAGCCAGGTGTTGTGCAACGGAGAACTGTGTCTTGGCGAAGGGCGAGCACTGGAATTATTTGGATTATTTTTGAGAGAGTTTTGGACATGGGAGTAGAGAATATTACTAAAAAATCAATATTTTTATTCTGGTTTTTAATTTCATCGGAAGATCGAAAGAAATTTTCGAAAATAATTTTTTTCAAAATTTGCGCAAGCTACTTATTTTGAAGGAAAAATCGACGTGTCAAAAATTCTGCAATTTGTTGGCCAAAAACTTCACGTGGCAAAATTATTTTTGAAATTTTAATTTTTTGGCTGAAAATTCGTGAAAGATCTAATATTCGACCTCAAAATTCCACGTGGAAAACTTTTTGCCGAAAAATTAGAATTAGAATTGTGAAAGTTCATTAAAAATTTTGCCACGTGGACTTCTTCCAGCAAAAATTAGAGTTTTTGAGAATTCACAGTTTTTTCAATTCTCAAAAATCAAATTTTTCTGTTTTCTGCCAGAAAAATCCACGAGGCATTTCGAGAAAGCTCTCCGGTCCCCCAGAAAATCTCGCAAAAGTTCCTCCGAGTTTAGTTTTCATCGCTTTCGCCGCCAAAAATCGTTCAATCTTCTCGGTTTTTTTTGCCTTCCAGGTTCGCCCCTTCTTTTTCCAAACAAAAAATGCATGAAATTAGAAAGGCAAACAAACATTAATATTCGTCTTCTTCTTCTTCTTTTCTCGTACTTACTTTGAATCACAGTTTTATCGGGTCTTCTTGGACATCCGCTCAAACTTCGATGATGTGTATAGAGTCCAGTTTGGTGTCCAGATCCATCGCATCCAGGTGTCGGACAAGCGAGTTTACCTTCTGAAAGTTGGGACTTAGTATGTGATATTAACAAGGGGGAGTGAGATTTTTGAACTTTCGAAGATTGTAACTTTACTAGGCTGAAATTAGGTTCAAAATGATTTTCACTCAGATTTGCATGCAACTTTCGCTACTTACAAATCCAACTCAAAATCAGTGCCCCAAAAATCCCCCTTTTGTGCGAGTGAAGTGGTTTCTGTGATTTCATATTAGTAATATTATAAAAATAAACTTGTTAGTAATGAAAAACATGTTAATTGAGTTAGTTGAAGAAGTTGGTGCGAGTGTATGAGGCCCATATGTGTGTTATTCAATTAGAAATCTTCAATATATTCAGAAAATGTTTTTTTTGTCCCAACTTTCTTTCGAAAAAAAGCCTACCACGTCTAATGCTCCACGAGTAGCCGGTTCCTGGTGATGGAATACTTCCATTCGGTGTAAATGAGATGGTCGGTGTTGTCGAGATTGATAACTCGTCGGACAAGTTGCTTTTTGGAGGGGTGCATGACGGTGAAGCGATTTCCGAGTGTGGCTAAAAAATTCAAGTTTTATTTTTTGAAACAAACATGTGTGCGGGAAGGATCGCTGCGAGACCCAAGCGAATATTTGTGTGCGCCTTCAAACTCCTACTGTACTTTTATTTATTTTTTTTGCAAAAAAAATTTTTGTTTCAAGATTTCCCCATTATATCTACCGTAGTTGAACGAGGCGAAAACTTTAATTATATCCTACGCTTCCCCAAAGAAAAGTATACTTATTTATATATCTAACATTGCGTGACCAATGACACCGAAAACCGAAAGATTATTATTATTATTTTGCTCGATGTGTTCGTTTTCAACTTGTAAAATAAATATGATGGATTATTGTTATTGTTATGGTCCCAGAAGCAAAAAATATGAGTTATTTACTACGGTATTTGAATTTTGACTACATTTTACCCAAAAAAGTGAGAATAGAATTTGCATAAATGTCAAAAATGTCTTCTTACCTTTGACGAAGACGAGATGTCAGTCTCGGTTTCAGCTGGCGAATTATTTAAAGGCGCAGAGGCTACAGCAGCAGCTAATTGTGATGATGTGGAAATGTCATCAGATGATGATGGACCATTTGACGAATTTGAATTTGTTGCCGAAAAATTGGATGTCACTCCAGATGTCAGAATTCGAAGTTGCTCGTTGAAAAAATTGTTGGGGAAGGTCTGCAAAGTGTTTTTCTCCAAGTGTATCAAAAAAAAGTTCCCTATTCACTTTAATCCCTTTTTTATTCAAAAAAAAAAAACAATCTGTCTAGCATAAGGCGACCACCTGCCATCGCCCACCAACTTTTTTCCATGTTTCACCCCCGAAATTTTATGACTTTCTACAAATCCTTAGAGATAACATCTAATGAGTCTCTAATGCCAAAAAAAAAAAATCAAAAAACAAAAAAAAAACATCTGCGGATTTTGGATTTTCCGGTTTGGTGGAGGATTTGAAAGTTTTTTTGGGTGGCAAAAAAACTTGGTGATGGCAAAGAAATTTGAAATTGGAGAAAAATCTGAACCTACAGTAATCCTTTGTGAAAAATGTTTGATCTAAAACAGTATCCGTCCAAAAAAAATCTGAATTTTGACCCCTAAAATTAGGATCTACAGTAATTCAAAGATTGCTAGAGCATTTTTAAGTTTGGCATAAGAAATAAGAAATTTGCGGCTACAGTAACCTCAAAATTCTTCTGCAAAATTTGAAAAACCATAGGATCCACAGTAATCCAAAACTTATATAATTAGGAATTCTAGCGTCAAAAATGGAGGGTCTACAGTAACCGGAAACTCTCGGTCTACAAAATTATTCAAAAATTCACAACCCTAAACCCCCCTCCCATCTACAGTAATACTCTCTGCCTCCCTTTGAAACCAACCTCTCCAATTCTGTCCGAATCACAAGTCATCTCCGAAACTCGTACAATATTCTTGGCTGCAAAAAAAACACAATCAAATTTCTGTCAAGTGGGTGTACACCATCTGTACACCAGCCCTCTCCAACTTTTATTTTTTTGATTGATCACCCCAAAACGGATTACTGTATTCTTATAATACTGTCCCGCCCATCTCCGAAAAAAACTATTTTTTTCTCATTTTTTCAATAGGATACACCTCATCTCACCCAAAAGCCTCATTAAATATTCATAAAAAGAAAAGAGTGGGGGATCAAAGGCGCCGCGCCGCGCCGCCAATATTTTTTTGGCGCAGCAGAGATTTTTTGTTGTGTCTCGGGTGAAAGTATTTTTTGATTGATGGTGTATTGTTGGGTGGTGACATAAGGTGACAAAATAGTGTGAAGAGAGGAGATTAAGTTGAGATTAACATAAAATACAATAAAAATATTATGATAATAGTGTGACCGTGATATATGGTGGGAAAATCAGAGAGAGAAAATCTGGAAGTGATTTCAGTACTGTAGAGTTTTGGGAAAACATTTTTTTGATCTACAATTGGCGGGGGAAGTTTTTGGCGGGGGAAGTTTGATATGTAAAATTTTCATAATTTTTCTTCTAGCTATACAGTACCTCATTTTTCGCGCCCAATTTTTTTTAATCTACACAAAATTTCTAATTATCCCACACCCTCTCCCCATTCCTCCCTTCAATTTCCTGTCCCGCAAAAACACGTGCCGACATTACGTAACTCTCATCAGTCAGTCATTCAGAAAAGGCAGGAAATTGCAACTTATATATTAACACATCATCATCATATGTTTCTTTTTCTTTTGCCTAATTAACCCCTCTCCTCTCTACAGTAACCCATGCAAAAAAGTAGGAGCGACAAAAAAGAAGGAAAGAGAGCGACGAAATTAAGTGTCACGGTGATTTATGCAGATTTTTTTTGACTTGAAGTTTCTTTTTCTCTTTGCTTGGGGTTGTGAAAAACTAGGGAAACATGAAAAAAAACAAAAAAAAATAATATGATCTACATGTTTGATAGAAATTGGCTAGAATTTTGCAAAAATGTTGGCTAATTCATACATTCATGCACTTTTTATATAGCGAGAGAGGAAATGACGATTGTCACGATATTTTGGTTAAACTTGGTTGTTTGTTAGAAAATATAAAAATAAAAAATATTCGTCATTTATGACTGAAAATATGACAAAAAAAATAAATCAGCAAAACGCCCTCACTAGGAATTGAACCCTCCACCTGTTGGGTATACCTTCTACGTAGAAATCTATCGCACAACCACTGCGCTACGTGTGCACGTTGGAAACCATACTCAATTTTCAAGTTATCTAAGTGTTCCAACTTTTTTTCAAAAACATCTGCGCCTAGAAAAAAGTCGACTGACCTCGAAACCGGTGTGATTTTTTTGGTGCACGGGTATATTACTATATGTATATGTCGACAGATGGTTCAACTTTTCGTCTTTTCCAAGCCCCCCAAAAAAGGTCACAGCCTGCTGTTTAAACTTTTCAATCAAAAATGACCAAAAATAAAATATAAAGTAGTATTTTTGGTGAACGAAATATTGCAATGGTCAAATGTTTGAGCAGCTGACTGGTTATAGTTGGGACACACGATTTTGGTTGAGCTTAGCTTGAGCTCAGAAAAAAGGGGAGACTGGTAGTGGAAGCGGACTATTTGGTAAATAAAGGTCACTGTACTTTTTGTTTGATTTGATAGAAAAAAGTGTTTTGAAATTTTTGAGGAGCAAATTTGTTGCGGGAACTTTCAGAAAAATAGGAAAAGTTTAAAATTTTTAATCTTAGCGCGAAAATTTGAATTTTTCTAGTAAAATTTAAATTTTCGAGTAAAAATAAGGGCTAAATTCGAAAAAAAAAATACAAAAGCTTTAAAAATATCAACAAAATATTCAGAAATTCCCGGACCTTTCAAAATCTTTAAACATTATTTTTTAAAGATCTCTAAAAACTTTCTCAGAGATTCTTCAGGGTCTTCAGAAGTTCCCAAGCCTTCCCACAAGTTTTCCAAAATTAGAATATCGTCCAAATTTTTTAAAAGATTTTTAGGACCTCTAAAAAATTTCCCGAACCTTCCCAAAGATCCCAAAACTTCCCCGACCCTCCCAAAGATCCCCAGATGCTTCCCAGACCTTCCCAAAGATCCCACCAACCTTCAGGTTTTCTCCTTCTCTTCACCGGCGGCTCCACATCTTCTTCCTGCACCTCCTTCACAATCTTCTCTTGGCGCTCAAAATCACCCTGCTCAAAATTCTCCTCATCCTCTTCTCCTTCTTCCATTTCGCCACGTGGCATCGGCGGCGATTCGCTGCCATCCGTGTTCGAGTCTTTGGGCGATTTTTCGCGCGACGCTGCTGCTGACGTCAAAATTGACATGAGCAATTTGGGATCGTAGCTGGCGAATACATCAGCCATTTTGTTTGCTGGAAATTTTTGATATAAAGAGAAAAAAAAAAGTTAGGCGAATTCCAAGAACACAGGAAAAATCTTCCCAAATAAATACAAAAATGAGTACAAGTGCGTAGTAAATACCATCTGCGCATGCACCTGCCACACACACACACAACAACTACTAATAGACCACGCCCCCTTTTTTTGGACTTGGCATAACTTTTTTTTTGTTGAAATCATTTTTACAGAGAAAATTCAAATTCAAATCACAGTTGCGAAAAATTGTGGAGAAGAAAAAGTGAGTGAAAAAAAGCGAGAAAAGAGCCTTGTTTTGCTCACAGCAGCCACGCCCACTTTTTTCAACTATTGGACGAGGGGCGGAGAGTTAGAGGAACTAAGTCGAAGGAAAAACTCTATAGAGAAAACCAAAATTATCAGGATTTCGAAAAACAATGATGACGTCGAATAGTTTGACCTACTAACCTGACCTAGTTTTGAATCGGCGTCGCCACGTGGATTTTTTTTTTCCCAAAAAGTTTTTTTTTGCGCGTTTTTTTCTGGGAAGATTTTGAATTGGAGTTTTGGTGAATGAAAATTTGAACTTGAATTTTAAAACTTAGCGCTGAAAAAAACTAGAAAAGAATATTTTCAATCGAAGAGAACATTTTTCGAATTTTTGCGCGAGAATTACCGATTTTGAAGTCGAAATTCGAGAATTCAGAGCTTTTAAAAAATATTTTGAGATTTACAGTAGGCTTTTAGAGTAGCCTAATTACTGTAACTACGATTAAATTGCAATATTTGAAAATTCACCTCTCTCTATTTCTAGAAAAAACTAAAACTGTGCCCTAAAATTGCGCGCGAAATTTTCAAATTTGAATTTGCATCTTGAAAATTTTCCCGCCAAAACGTTCTAACCTTGAAAACTTTTTTTTCTTCATTTTTCCAAACAAAAAAAAACTTTTTGTTTTCAGACAGATTGTTAATTTTCCGCCCAAAAACTCACCAAAATTCAAAAAATCAATAAACTTCCACGTGGGTAAAAATTTTTCGAAACTAAAAAATTGTTGCGCCAACACTTCTTTTGCCACGCAGCAACTTTGACAAGTGTCACGTGAAAAATATGTTTTTTTTTCACTTTTTTTTCCCAAACTTCTTTTTTCTCTAGAGAGTATTCACTTAATTATTCACCTCATAAACCTTCTTCTTCTACTACACTACTTGCCTAAAGTGTCCAAATTTTTTATTCCTTTTTTCGCCATTCACACACACAAAAAAAATGGAAAAATGGAAACATTTGGCGCCCATATAATATACGCATTTCGTGACACATTAAAATGCAAATTTTCACCAAGTCAAGTCTTTTGTTCCACACAATGTGTTGTTTTTTTGGTGGTGGTGGTGATGAAATGTGTGCGGAGGAATTGCGAAAATGGGCGGAGCTTAATTTTTGATGAACTATAGAAAAACTGTGCGGCAAAATTGCAAAAGCCTCAGGAAATTTTTCGGCTGTCTGGAAATCTGTGCCCTTGAATTGCAGGAGACACGCCCATTTTTGCAACTCTGGCACACTTTTTTTCTGGATTCATTTCAGGTTTCGAAAGTATTATTTTTCGACGTGGATTCTAGAATCAAAATTTAAAAAAATTTCGAACGCGGAAACTACAGTAACCTGGGGCCGCATCTGAAAATCATGAAATTGTGGATTTTGAGCTAAAAATTTCGAAAACTGAAAAATCTGGAAGTTTTAAAAGCCAAGTGGATTCTAGGCTCAAAAATTAACAACTTCAGACTTTTAGAATTTCTAGAAAGCCACGTGGCTTTTCAGCCTAAAACTGAAATATCTGAAAATTATGAGTGCATTCTGGGCTCAATTTTGAAATTCTCAAATTCTCAAAGCTACAGTATCCGAATTCAAAGGAACATACAGTAATCAACACACATCTCCATAAAACAATTATTCAAAGTAGTTTTTGTTATTATTGTTGTCGCTCTTCACTACAGTATCCCCGATGAACTTTTTTTTCGAAAATAACAAAATCTACAGTATGCTCAAAACTTACTTACTTTGTGTGTATGTGGAAAAATAAATAACACCCAAAATAAATGGGGGGCGCCTTTGTTTTCGACACTCACACTTGCATACACATGAAATTTTGGAGGAGGGCGGAGTTTTTTTCAAGGAATATAACAAGGAATATATGAAAGAAGAGAATGGGCAGAGCCGCCAACAAAAAAATATAAAAAATTGGTTGACACACACACACAAAAAATTGAGATGAAGAAGAAGAAAACAACAAGATATTATTGAGTGAGAGCCCAGGAAATTTTGAAATTGGTAACTTATTGTTAGGGCATCAAAGAAGGGTTACTGTAGGTTTCGGCGCGGAAAAATTTGGATTCAAATTAAGGGCTAACGATCAGAGGGGTACTGTAGATAAATTTTTTGATCACTAGAATTTCGAAAAAAAAACTTTTCAATTAATTTTTTTTAAGCTCAAAGCATTTTACCTGTAAATTTGTTGAGGTCAAAAATCCTCATCGAAAACTTTTCTCAGACTAAATTCCAAAATTCCCCTCAAAACCCGGAAATCTCCCAGGTTTGTCTCAAATTTCATCAAAAATCTTGCAAAAACTTCCAATTTTATATGTCTACAGTAATCCTCTCCAAAATGTTCACACTTTGTTCCAATTTTCTCGATAAAATCTCTTCTCCTCCTCTTTTCCCATTTTCATCATAAATCCATTAAACTAAACACCACAAAAAATAATTTATCTAACTATGTCCACAAAATTAACATATGTGTGAAACATTTCAATTTCAATTTCAATTTTGATTAATTACTTTTAAATGTTCATTTTTACTCCTCGACTTGATTTGGCAAATATTTTTTGTAGTCAAAAAAAAAGAGGAAAAAGTTTGCGATTGGTTGGCGGCCAAAGTTTTGTGGGCGGGGTTTATTTTCTCAAGTGCCGGGGAAACTTTGCGAGTATTTTTGGCGCCAAAATGTCTAGTATGCAAGCTTGGGGAGTCGAACTTTGGTGCTATGAGCGGAAATCAAGAGTGTTATCACTGCGAGAATCAATTTTGAAATTTTCAAGAAAATTGAAAGAGTTCAATAGAGCGCATTTGCAGAATTGTTTGAAAATTCACGGGAATTCAAAAACTTTTTAGTTCCATAGAGCGCATTTTCTCCATTTAGAAAAAAACAACTAGAAAAAAATCTCAAAACAAAAAAAAATAGCAATTCAAAAAGTATTCACTTCATTTAACTCGGCACAAAACTAATCGCCTAAATGCGTTGGTTAATTGAGTTTTTGTCACATTACCCAAACTTCACTTTTCTTCTTCTTCTTCTATTTTGCCTCAACTACGGTAACTTATGTAGTAGTAACTAAAAGGCAAGAAAAAGTCAAAAACGAAGAAGTTTGTAACTTGATATCCACTTAAAGATGCCAAAAGCCCATAGTTGAACATTTGCGCGGCGACGACGGCCGGAAAGTGTTATCAAGTTTCGTTTTATTTTTCGCTACTTTTATGAAAACTGGGGAAAAAATGAAAAGACGTGGAGGGGATCGAACTCGCGACCCATTGATCGCCGGTGCAAAACACTACCACTGCGCTAAATATGCGCTCGGGAGGCTGGGAGAGATTTTCTAATAAAGGACTAGATTTTTCACGCGGAAATTTTCGAAACGTATATTTTTCGGGAAAAAACAAATCAGCAACCCTGGCACAAAAATAGTGTGCCAGGGTTGCAGAACTCCAAGAATTGTGTTTCAATTGTTAGCCAAAAACAATATGTCGACATTTGTTTCTCCAATTTTGTAACATGATGAATGATCAGGCAGTCAGTCAGTTGTATAATTATGTGTTGTTCAATTTTCCGCCTTTTATGTGTTCATTTAAAATTACCGTCTTCTTCTCTTTTTCTCAAACAAATGTTGTTTTATGCAATTTTCCATTTTATTTTATTCCTTTTTTCCACAACAATAGACAGAGGGACTCATAAAATGGAATCACGTAATTTATCCTCTTGTACTAACTATAGTTACACACCTGACTGAAACAAATCCCTTTTTTATGTTCGGAGCTCGAGAAAACATCTGTTTTGCTATAAAGCCATGAGAGGAGAAAAAGTTGCGCAAGAGATCTGATTTTTTAATGAAAAAAAATGGATTATATGGGAGAAGAAGAGGAAGAGGGGATTTGGGTTGGGATTACATTTCGTGTAACTAAAAAATAACTAACTAGAAGTAATGTTTTTTCGTTTTGAATGAATGGAAAAAGTAGACAAGCAGGATTGGGGAATCGAACCTTGGTGCTTTGAGCAGTAATCAAGAGGGTTACCACTACGCCACACGAGAATTAATTCTGACAAAAAAAAATTGAAAATTTGAATTTTTCAAGAAAAAAGGGAGAGTTCAATAGAGCGAATTTGCTATTTTTGAATTAAAAAATTGGAGAAAAATTGTGTTGTTATCAAACTTCGTCAGAAACCATGGAATCAGGCTAAAATTTGCTCTATAATCACAATTTGCAAGTGAAAAATCGAGGAAAAAAATATGAAATTTTGTATTTCTCATGAAAATTTGGAGATTTCAATAGAGCGCATTTGCTAATTTTTATTCAAAATCTAAGTATCATTCTTTAATGATTTTAGTCTCAAAATTTTGCCAATTTTGTTGAAAAATATTTCGCGCACATCGGGAGTCGAACCTGGGTGCCTTGAACAGAAATCTAGCGTTTTACCATCACACCACACGATCAAGAGTTTTCACGGGAATTCAAAAATTCTCGCAGATGTTTTTATGATTGTGATGCCATAAAAGGCGGTATATCCTTTCAATTTTGCCAAAACCCAGGTGACTTGAAAGAAAGAACATGCATGCAGATGGCTTGCTTTTAATTATTATTCATAAAGGTTTCTCCTCTAATCTCGCCTAATAAAAAGTTGCTCTAATTTCCTTTGAAGAAATGAAGGAAGGAAGGAAGGGTGGCAAAAATGAAAGTTAATTGAGAAATAGACCCAAGGGATTTCCAAGAAACCTAAAAAGCTGTAAGTATTTACTATACAAAAAGGGGGCCTCCTTAAGGGGCTTCTAAAAGCTCCCCCTTTCAGTTCTTATTTACTATACAAATTTATAAATGAGATTTTCCTTTACAGTATACCCCACTTCCTTTTAAATAAATCTGGCTGGTAAGCCAATTTGAGTTGAGTGACATCGGAAATTTGCGCATCTTGTTGTTTTTTTTTCGAGATTTTATTGTGAGTGAGTGAGAAATGATTTTTAATTTCGCGCCACAAAATGGGGGACACCAAGTGCCACTTCTTCGGCTTCTTTTGCTTTTTTCCAACAAAACGGAGAGGATATTGCATAAAACCGGATGTTTTTTATTGTTTAGATGACACTTTGTTGTTTGAAATCTGTCTATCTATCCAGAAAAAAAGGAAGGAAAAGGGAGAGTAATTATATATATATCTACAAAAAACAACAAAACATGAGATAAGATCAAGAAATATGAAACATACCATATTATATTTGGGTTATAATAACATGGTGTCATAATTATATTTGGGTCATCGCCAACAATAATTACACACCAATTTTCAGTTTTCACACGCTTGTTTGATCAGGGAATATTGATAATAAAGTTTATTTTTTAACGAAAAAAAACAAAAAAGAAAAAAGTTTGAAGATGGCCTAAGATACGACGTCGGATTCTAGGCCATTTTTGTAAGTATTTTGTTTTTTTTTGATAGAGAGAGAGAGAGAGAGAAGATTCTGTTTTCTGGGTGAGATTGACTAATTTTTTCTGGGATTTTCTATAATAAATATTAAATTTTTAGAACTTTTCCCCAAAAAGCCCTGTCTTTCCAAAATCCCTTCTTCCCAAAACAACTAACCTCTGATTTCGCCCCAAATTTCCTCGAAACACACATTTTTGAGTTCATAGCCAATCGATAATCGAAAAACCGTTGATTCGCAATCCGTTTCCTACTATTTTCGAGTCAAAAATCAAACATCACCAAAGTTCTGTAATAATTTCTCAACCTAACCAATGTTTTCAATCAATTTTCAAATCGCTACCAACCTGAACTTGCAGCTTTTCCACTATAAAATCGCATTTTTCGGTGCAATTGATTGTTTGATGCTGAAAAAACAATAGCATAAACTTTGGAAAAAAAGACAATTTGAAAGTTCGCAGTTCAGAAAACAGTTATTTTTTTGCCTGTAAAAAAGCAGAGAAAAAAACCAAAAATAAAAAATGACAACTTTCCTGCTAAACTATGTGCAAGCGGAGTGTCGTTGCGTCGCCAAAATGGAGTTTTGTTTGACATTTTTTTTCCTTGAACTAACTTTGAAAATTCTAGAAACGTAGATTTTTCGGGAATTTTTCAACAATTTTCTCTATCCAGCTGTTTTCTTCTCCAAAAAAACGCAATGAAATAAAACCCAATAAAAACAATGATTTCGAATCACCAATTAATACATTTTATCTCTATAAAATCTCCCATCAAATTATCATTTTCGAAAGAAAATGAAAAACTTTGTTGGATTTATCAATTTTCTTTGCGCTTCCATATTAATTCCAACACTGGCTTTTACTATATTTTTATTCTATGAAGTTGGAGAATTCAAGAGAGATTCTATGGAAGGATTAGATGAGTTTAAGGTTGGTAACTAATAACAACGATGCTCCGATCTTACACCTCTTAAGATCTACGCTGACGATGCTTGGAATCAAATGTATCCAAAAAGAATTTCTCGATCAACAAAATCTCATTGCCAATGCGCGCTGCTTCCCTCAAATTGCCCGCCTGGCCCACAAGGCCCACGTGGAAGACCGGGCCTTAAGGGAACAGATGGCCCTCACGGCTTGCAAGGTCCAAATGGTAAAAATGGTGTAGAGTTCAAGAAGATTTGGGATGAAGAAGATCGGAGTTGTATTCCATGTCAGCCTGGAGAACTTGGGCCACCTGGAGAAGATGGACCAGTTGGAGAGCAAGGAGTTATTGGACTTCCGGGGAATATTGGACTGGAAGGAAGGCCCGGGGAAGCGGGAGAACCCGGAGAAGATGGGTAAGATTTGGATTTATTGGAAACATTAGCGTTTATACAATTAGTTAAGCAGTGGGGATTTGGATCTTATGATTTTTTTGAAGCGTATTTCTCACAGGGGTATTTTTCAACAAAAAATAACTAATTGGGGAAATTTTTTGTTCCGAGTCCGAATTTTAATTAAAATTTTAATTATAAACCTAACAATAAATATAAACTTTTTTCCAGTGACATTGGATTCCCCGGATTTCCTGGAATGGATGGCCCCGACGGAGAGCCTGGTCGAAACGCAACTCGAGGTTCTGGCCCACCTGGTCCCATCGGCCCGCCAGGCCCAATTGGTGAGCCTGGAATGCCTGGAGTCACCGGAGAACCGGGAGAAGATGGGAAAGAGGGACCAGAAGGGCCTCCGGGTCCAGAAGGAAAACGTGGCGAGCGACCGGAAATGGGGCCAGATGGTTTGCCAGGGCCAAAAGGGCCACCAGGTTCTGATTCGGGGTATTGTCCATGCCCGAAGAGATCGAAAAATAAGGACGCGGTGGTGAAAATGAATTTGGAGACTACAACTTCGACTTCGAGAATCGAGACAAAATCGGATTTTGAATCGATTGAATTTCTAACATCAGCAGTTGAGGGATATTCCAAAAAGGTTGCTTGAATAAATAAAAAATTTTTAATTTTGAAAAAAAGATTAACAAGTTTTCGGGCAAACATTATCAACACTAGTTGGAGCATAAGTATGACGAGCAATTCTGCCATTTCGAATCGGACCACTTTCCACGAACTGGAATTAAAATGTACCTACACATACATAATCGCAATTTGAACTTACATTCCAAGTTTGACAATCAGTCAAATCGAATCCATTGAATTTCTGCGTTGGAATACTTACAACCGCGTTCAGCACAAATCCAGAATAACTGATTTGACTTTGGGTAACTTGAGAATTTGCGTCGAGGGTTGGTGGACCATAGCCAGTTGTGATGCCGGTTCGAACACTGATTTGATAGTTGTTGTTTTCGAAGATGATTACACTGAGGTCTTGCTGGAAAAAACAGATTGTCAATGGGGCGCATTTGCTTTTTTTTCACAAAAAAGTTACAAGTTCGCTCTAATGAGTTCAATAAAAATTGACAAAAATAAGCAAATGCGCTCTAGAGCTACATGAAATTATTTCTCAATTTCCAATAGAGCGCACTTGAAAATTTTGAAATATAAATTGCAATTCGAAAATTCTAACTTGAAACCTGAGTTCTCATTGGAGCGCATTTGTTACTTTTTCAATTTTAAAATTTGGCTGAAAACTCGCTAAACTGATAAAAATTTCCCGAATCTACAAAATTGAGCAAGTGCGCTCTAAAGCAAATTGCGCATTTGAACACAACCCAGAATCAATGATATTTGAAAATTCTCCCTAAAACTCTGATTCTCATTGGAGCGCATTAGCTTCGTTTTTTTAAATTTCTGAATTATTTTCTAATTTATCAATAGAGCGCACTTGTCTATTTTTCAAGCTGCAACTTCGCTCTACGGATAAAATCCCCACACTCACCATCGATTTTCCAAACGCAACCGCCGTCCAATGATCATTCTCCAAATACGAATTGGTGAAGTTGATTTTCAGCGAACTTCCCGAATTCTCCAAATTCCAGTTCGCCGTGATTTTCGACAATTGGAATGTGCAATTTTGAGTCGAACAGAAGTTCAAAACCACCAAAAATATCACAATTTTTCGAAACATTTTAGGAAGCTTGATAATTAATAACATTAATTGATAATTTGAGCCGGTTTTTAAACTTTTTGCTAATCGCGATAATAAAAAATGATGACATTTCGAATTATCAAAAACGAGCCCAAAGAGCAAAAAACTTCATATTGTACAGAAAAGAGCAAAAAAAAAATAAAATAGATTAGGAGATCAAATCAAGTAAAAAAATTGGATTTTATAAAAGTACTTATTGGAAAATAGGTTAATTTGGGGCGCGAAAATGGGGATTTTGAAAAAAAAAAAAAAAAGAGAAGAGGTTAGTCAGATGGAGCACCTTGGAGGCGACGAGCTGCTGCTCTTTTTGGACGAGGTTCAGAGGATGAAGCGGTACGGGTGGTTTCTAGAAATAAAGATTTGTGACTGAAATTTTGGGATTCCCGGTGATTTTTCAAAAAATTGAAAAGTTTCAATAATGCCACACAACAAATTATTTTTTTTTGGGTTTTTGTATCAAAAAGCTCTAAAAATTTGAAATTTTCAGCATATTTGATCTAAAAATTCTTGAAATGTTCGGAAATCTCCAATAATTTTGGTGCCAAAAAATACACTTTGAGCTCAAAATGCTCCAAAAATTTAGAATTTCAGAATTTCTCATCTATTTCAAACCTTAGGTAATTTTAATGATAAAACTTTAATTCAGAAAACAATTTTTCACTTCAAAATGATTTTTCAAACAAAAAAATCAAACTTTTATTTTTACATTTCTAGTTTCTGCTTCAAAATTTGAGGATTTTTTATTTCAAAAATTTCCCTAAACTCACTTTTCTTAGTTGTCGTAAGTTCTCTGGGTGGCGAGTCCATCAATTCTCGAATTTCCTGCACAACATTCACCGATTTCGAAGCAGAAGCCTAGAAAAACACTCAAAATTATCTAACGATCAAAAAAAAATCCCCAAACAACCTTAATAGTCGTATTTCTACTATTTGATCTCGATTTCGTCGCACTTGCAGCCGGAACTTCAACTTCATCCAATGGTTCTAATTTGACCTCAATTTCAGCCGATTGCACAGCAGCCGAGCTACTTGGCACATTTTCCTGCGCGGCTGCAATATTTGCCGCATTATTCGTTCGATCACTGATTCCCAACACTTTCATCAGCCTTTTTCGGAATTTTCTGATTTCGCTCAGTCGATTTTTCGGATCATCTTCAATGTAAACCTGCAAAATTTAGTGTGATTTTCGAGTTTTGCACGTAATTTTGTGTAGTCTTTCATGATGTTGATTAGATTATAATTAAAAAGAAGAAGAAGAAGAATAAGTACTTGTTGGGTTTTAGTCGATGAACTTTGATAAGAGAGAAATAATGAGCAAAAAACCATGGAAAAATCACGGAAAAATTTTGTCACAATCAGAGAAATGATAGATAATTAGAAAATGACGTGGAATTTGAATTTTCCAACAACAAAAAAACGAATTTTGAAAACCTGCTTGAAATTTTTTATAATACTAAAATCCACATGTAACTTGAAAAATAAAAAAATCAGTTCCGAAATTCAGAATTTTTTCAAACATGGCAAAAACATTTTTAGAAAATATATTCCCAAATTATTTTTCCACCCAAAATCTCGCCTACCTCAATCAATTCATTAACATCATCATAAAATCTGGCTAAACTATCGCGTCTAAAACAATCCAGCTCGATCAACGGCATCACTTCACAATAATAATTGGCAGCGCTCGAGTTCTGCAAAAATATTGATTTTAAGGGATTTATTCTTCCAAAAATGTGGTCTTCAGCGAATTTTGATGAAAAATCCAAAAATCACCCACCTCATTGATCGACAATTCCTTCAATGCATCTTCCAACAATCTCTCATGACACGGTGTTTCGGCCTGTTTGTCCGGCATCAAAATCGAATGTCGGGTTAGAATTCCGAAAAGTGTTGCGCATCGACAAAGTCGTTGATAGATGTATTCGTGAGCTCCGGCATTTTCGATGAGATTTGGATTGTGATCCCATTCGGTGAAGAATTCCTTGAAACAATTCACCAAGCATTTTTGATTGTTGCTGCAAAAATTGGTTCATCATTAAGCTGACGTTAATTTTAAGAATTTTATTGGGATTTAAAAGTGTGAGACAACTTAGGTCTAATAATTTTCAGGCTGCCACTCACATATACAAACTCGCAAAAAACTTCAACATCGTCGTTATAATACTTCGACATTTCGCCGAAAACACTCCATCGAGTTTATAATTCAATCTTGAGAGCAACGTGATCAGCGCCTTTTGCCACGTTTTGTTGTCGGGTTCGATGTTTTCGTGGAGAAGGATTTTGCCGAGACCTTCACAGCATTTCAAGACGACTTCAGAGTTTTTGATGTCGGGCTGCAAAAATGGGGGTTTGATAGGAGGATTTTTCAAAAATAAAATTGTTTTTGGTTCTTTAGGCCACCAGAATACTGTTGTTGTTTTTCTAGGCCAGAAAAATACTTTTTTTGGTTTTCTAGACCTCCAAGATAATCTTTTTAGTTTTTTCCCTCCCTCGAAAAACTCACATTTTCAGTCAAAATAACATCACACATACTGGCGACAATTCCATTATTATTAAAATCTTTCGGACTGCTCTTCCTTCTTGTTCCTTTTCCTCCACTTCTTCCAACAATTTCATCAATAACCTCAGTTCCATGCGAAACACACAAATCCACAATCATTGTATAATAGCACGATTTGACTTGAATGAATTGATCATTTTCAGCGATTTCCCGACATAGTTCCAGTTCGTTTTTGACCGTGTCCAAGTGTATCATTCCGATTAAACCAACACATTCCATGGCGACGATTCGTTCATCCATTACTCTGCTTGTTAGTTTCGGAACAGCCTGCAAATTTCTGATTGATTCATGACGTGGCAAAATATTTCTTGAATCATGTTTTCAGGCCAAAAATTCTCTGACACGTGAACAATGACATGGCAAATTCGGAATCCTCATTTATTTCAAGTTCCCACAAATAAAACTTTCTTTCCAAAATTTAATCACCTTCCCATATAAATTATTTCACATATAAATCTAATCAAAAGCTCAAAAATAGTAGATAGAAAATTATGAATCTCCTCTTTCTAGTCTCATGTTTTCTGATAGAATTTTCTCAATCTTATCTCGATCCATACGCTGAAAAACTGATGGATCAATATTATCGGGGTGTTATTCGAGGGCAGAATCGAAGTCTGCTGTCAGAGATTTGTGATGATCCGATTAGAATTATCAAAAAGAATGGGGATGTTGTTCTACAGAGTTTGGATCAACATTTCGAGGAGATCAAAGGTGAATTTTCGAAATTGCTTACATTGTTAGAAGAAATGGTAAGGGGATAAGCCGAGAAACCGGACCTATTCAAAAAAAAAAAAAGAATAACCCAATCTCCGAAACCTCAAGACCTTTCAGATCTCAAATTTCCCAGCATGAACAAACTTCGACCAGGTGCCGGTTGTATGCTTCGCGATCTTTCCGAATTGATGTTCGAAGCAAAAATCGATGGAAAAAGCGACGCGTTATTCTTAGCTTTTGCGGATCCGGAAAAACCTCGCGGAACTTTTAAGATTCACGCGAAGAAGTTGGATCGAAGCAACGCTTTCGATTTTGCAGAATTGAGAAAGGGGTTTAATATTACACATTTTGAGTGATTTTGGAGGTTTTCGGGATAAAATAAAGGGAATTCGGCGAAAATAAAAAATGTTTCATCTAGATATTTCTTGAAATACGAATATGATTTAATAATAAAGAAAAAACTCGTTATTTTGAATATAATAATGGAAACGTAGATTTTCCGGGAAATTTTTAGCCGCCTTATTTCAGCCCAAAAACTCACCAAACTCTGATATTTGGATGTTAAAATAGTCTCAATCCTCTTGAAAACCCCAGTCTTCAAAATCGCATTAAAAATCAATAATTCATAATCAGTGATAGCCGACAGAACTTCTCGATCCTCTTGCGAAACAAACTTCGGCTGAGCACTTCCAATAAAAACCGTCTCATCTCTCATTGTTTGATCTCCAGTTGTAACTCGATGCAACATATCCGATATACTCGATGCCACGTCACTCAAAAGACCAACCGCGTTTTCAGCATAGAAATATTGTGCCAAGTCTTGAATTATAATATCGACTACTGATTTGGTGTTATTGATGTTATAGAGAATATCTTCGAGAAGACTTTTCCATGCAACTTTTCCACTTTGTTCTTTGTCGAAATGACGGAATGTGACGAGAATGTTTTGAAGGATGTTTGATTGTTGGATACGTGCCAAATCCCAGTCGACAATTTCGGAACCATCATTGTCTTTTCCTTCGAGCTCCATTTTTTTGAAACTTTCCAAAACTCTGGAAATATTCAACTGTTGCAGGGAATTGATATTTCAAATTTTGGTTTTTTGCCACGTCATAGTCAACAAGGTTTTGATTTTTAAAAAATCTAATTTCCAGGCGAGATTTTTTGCCCTATTTTTAGACCTCAAAAATAACTCACCCTCTAACCGTACTACACATCTTCACCATTTTCGGTGCAAATCTTTCCACCGCAAACATCGCATCATTCGAATCTTTCGCTCGTTCAACACAATATTCGATGAAAACACGCCAGAAGAAGATCTCAACACTTTGTGTTCGCAGAGTTGAAATCGCTTCATACATATCAGAAATTGTGGAACGGGTGATTAGTTGAATGTCACCACATTCGACGATATCTTCGACGACTGAAGTGGCGAATAGATCAATTGGTTCGCGGTGGACATTGTAGAGTTGACGGACAATATCAAGAACATGCATCATTATGAAACGAACTTGGTGGCGGGACTGGGAAAATTAAAGTATTTAGGAGATGAAGAGGTTTCAAATTTCGAATTTCCTAAAGAAATTTCTAGAAAATTTTCTAGAAACTCACATCAACTGATATAAAATCCAAAAAGTATACAATGAGCAATGCGGCATACGCATATCCCATAACTTTAACTTGTTGAGTTTCTTGCACCATTGGCTCACCAGTCGCATCCGTCTCAATAATATCATCAGAAGCCGGAGGCTTTTTGAAATTTTTCGCGTAAGCTTTGGCCAATCGATTTATCCAAACTTCAATCACATTTTTCTTGACAGCGTCGCGAATTGATACTGTAACACAAATGAGAATTGAATTTATCTTTGTGTTATAGCCTAACTTACTATCATGATCATTCAAACACGTATACAACAATTCGACTTTCAACGCATCATCCGAACATCTGAACAAGAGTTCTCCGTATTTTTTGAGAGCCACACAACGGACTTTTGGACATTTATCGTAGAGAGCGAGTTGGATGATGTCTGCGGAAAAATCGCCGGTCGGTTGGAAGACATCGATTGCGGCCAGGCGACATTCCCATGATTGATCGCGGAACGAGCGGAGAAGGACTGGAAAAATGCAATTGGGATAGGTTAGGAGGGAGAGAAATGGGAAGGGACCCTCTTATAGAGGATCCTTCCATTTATTTGAATACAAAACATTTCTCTAATAGTTTTTCACCTTCCGATCATACCACGTCATAACTCAACTTCAGAGTTGTGATAAGTAGAAAGTAACTGTGGAATTATGATCGGAAGGTGAAAAACTAATGTTTTGTATAAGATTTTTTGATAAAAGTTTAACTTTGCCACGTCATAACTAAATTTCCCTTCGGACTTATGATTTCCGAAATTTGATTCACTAACTTTCCCTGGGCATTCTCGCCATAGCCTCCTCAAAATCCGTCGGAATCTCACAACTTTGCAAAACCGAAACAGCACGAATCGCCGAAACCCGAACCGCCGGTTTATCCATACTAAAATTCAACAAAAATGTGTATAGCTTTCTGGTGTATTCCATCTCAAAAACTGCGAATCGATCATCCTCTTCCATTTCTTCGTCTTGACGTGGATTTCTAGCATTTTCTCCATCCTCTTTTTTCTTGCGGATCAAACCACTTTCGAAAACATAGCCGATGAATGAGGCGATGTTGACACGATGATCGATTTCGACACTTTTTGACCACTGGAAAATTGGGGAAATTATTTATGATTTGCAAGTTTTGCCAAATCTTACAGTATGGAAGCATTTGTCAACGAGAAAATCAAGAATTGCAGTGTCGTTGGATTCATTAATAAGATTGCAAGCTGCTTGAGCCACAACTTTCATGACTCGAGCTCGAGATTCGATAACAGTTACAGCTTCAATCTGAAAATAATTATTAGAAGATAATTTTTTGAAAATTAAAAAACATTCTTACAATCATGGTGAGTCGACAATCTAGCTCATTAAAGAATATATCTGTATTGATTGAATTCTCTCCTTTACCGCCTTTCAAAGCTTTTTTATATGCAGTTAATAACTGATTAGTTGAATGTTTAATAATATCCAAAATATTGGATCTAGCTTGAAACGCTTGTCGAATACTTCCAGTTATATTATCGCGCAACGCCTTTTCCGCATTCTTTTTCTTCAAATTTCTCACAGATTGTGTGACAGTTTGAGATGAAGAACCTTGCTCCAGTTGTTGTTGTCCATTATCAAGATTGTCTAACTCGGCATCTTGCTCTTCCAACTCTTCAACACTTTTTTTCGTTTTTCCTCTGGTTTTTGGCGCGGGTTTTGGTGGTAGTTCAACGGTTTCGTCTTCTTTAACTGGTGATAGTCTTGGTCCGCGGACTCGTTTTTTGGGCGGCATGTTTTATCTGAAAATTAAGTGGAATTTGAAAAGAAACTGCAAAAAACGGCGGGAAAATTTTGAATTTGTTTATTCATTTTTTGAAAATGAAAAGCCTGCTAAACCAAACGCAGGTGTGAATAGCGGAGTGTTGTTTGCAAAATCTTTTCACCCGGAAAACTGAAAAAAGGAGCCGTTTTGCAGATAAAAGGGTCTTTCTCTAGGAAATAAGTGAATAATCCTAATTGCAATGAAAAATCTTATGATCCAGCTGCTCACGAAATGAAATAGCAGGTGTATATATCCTCACCCGAAAAAACTCACGGATTTCAACTGCGAAAATCCCAAACAATGACTTCCGTGGTCACGTGTGAAAAAAAACAAAAAATAAAAAGATTTTTTAAAGACGCACAAAAAATGTGTTAGGCGCGATGAGACCTTCAAAGGTGCACAAGATATTTTTCCCGCGGAAAATTATATTCAAAAATTTTTCTATTTTTTCATTTCTTTTTTTTTAGTCCCGAGACACGAAGCAAAAAAATGTTAATTTTTTTTATTTCTATTGGCCAAAAGTCCCAAGTTTATTTTTGAATTTTTGATCTTAAATAGGCTTAAACTGCGTTCGGCTTAAACTGAGATTGTGAATAATTTATTTTTCCCATTTTCATTTTCATTTCCAAAATGTCTAGTTTTCTGACCACACTAAAAACAGAGACAAAAGAAAATAAAAATCATATGCGAATTGTTTCGCTAAGAAATGTAGTTAATTTCGATTTTCTGCACGAGTTATCCTATCTCGAAAATCGCATTCAAAGCTTGCGAAATTCCACGTGGAATCCGCTGATTTTTCCAAGTTTGGAGGGGATTTTGGATACCTCTTATGGTATTTTGAGTCCACAGGAAGTTAGGGTAAGTTTTATAAATAGCACTAATCGCTTTTTAATATATTAATTTCAGGCGATGTCAGGTTGGCCCTTATCACAGCAAGATTTTGGCCAAAAACAAGGAGAACTTGATTTTATTTCGATAAGAGCTGAAAATGGGTTCAATAACCAAGCTGTAAATATAAATACGTAAGATATGATCAACCTTAATTTTTCCTAAAAGAAAATAACAATTTTTCCAGAAAACACTGGCTAACTTGTGACATTTTCCTATCTTTGGAATACTTGAAAACTTTCCAATTTTTCAAAAATCTGAAATTCAGCGATCGATTTATTTTGGCGAAAGATGTGACGATTTTAGTGCAAACGTTGACATTTGTCTACACGTCATTTGAAGCGAAGTCGGATTGTTTCAAAACTCCTGACGGATGCTTTTTTGATGTTTTGAGTTTGTTGCAGGTTTTGAGGATGTTTAATGGGACTTCTTTGTGAGTTTTTGGGCTTTGGATTACTAATTTTTGCCTTGAAATTTCCAAAATCTCTTAGTTTTCCAGAAATCAAACAACCCAAGTCTTCAAAAATCACATCAAATCAAGTCAAAACATCTTCTCAACCCTAATCCGCGAAAAAATCACTAAAACTGAATATATTCTCCTCAAAGCTCTTGCCATTTTTTGCGGCTCAAACTTCTGCAAACTATCAGACGATGCTCAAAAAATCATGGCTCTCGAAAAACAAAAATATGTTCGAGCACTTTTTGAGCACCTGAAAATGAGACCTGATAGGCTTTTGGTGCTTTTGAGTTGGCTCAACTTGATTTTGGTGCATCAGAAGAGTTTGAGCAAGTTTATGGAGTTTATGCGGATGTTTTCGGGGTATAGAATGGCGGAATCGATAAGGAAGTTGGAGGATTTGGTGCTGGGAATTGAGAAAAACTAGATTTGTGGTAACTTTTTGATCTTCCGATTAAAATTTTCTCATCTAATCCGTCTAGACTATGATGTTTAGCGCTAAAAGTAATCAAAATTCTTCTTCATCTTCTTTATTTTTCTCTCATTTTTTCAAAAAAACAATCATAAGTTAGGTGTGTTTTTGTGTGTGGGCCGAAAAAAGTGACATAAAAAAAGATTATTTTCTTCCGAATCGTGGTTTTTGAATGCCGTCGATTTGGCGCAAAAATCCCGACATGTCTTCGAAACCTTCCAACGGGGCACGACGATCTTTTGATGGAACTCTGCAAGAAATTTGAAAATGTAAAAGTGCAAGTTCGCTCTACCGAACATTGGAAATATTTTTTTTTAGAATTTGAATTTTTGTTGCTTGGATACACTTGGCTACAGTACTTTCAGAAAACTTTTATGCTAAAAAATATACATCTGAATTTTTTTCGCAAAAATGTACAGTACTCCCCTAGATTCCTAGATTCAAATTTTCGCGCCAAAAAATCCACCGTACCTATCACCAGATTCCTCAAAAAATCTTCGTTGCGGCGCCTCAATAAATCCATAGTAACGATCGTAGTTGAAAGCGTTGACGCAAGCGAAAAACAAGAAGAAAATTGCCAAGATTTTTGAGGAGCACATTTCTCTGCAAACACCTTTAGTTAGGTACAGTAGTCAAAAATTATTCTGAAAATGAATGCAGCGAGGTGGATAAATGAGAATGTGTGGTTGAAATGTCAAGTTATATACAATTGTGACACGCGATTTTCCTGCTTCCAGGAAACAATTAAGATATCAGTCAATCAAAAACAAGAAACATGCAATTTTTATTATTATTTTTTTGTGGATTTTCGTGACTTGAATGATTTTACCGGTCGAGAAAAATAATAATTTTATTTTTTGAAAAAAAAATATTATTCGAGTTTTTTGTTGTTGTTGAGATCGAAATAGGTGCCCGCATAGTTTCGAAGACGATGAATGCCGATGTGATGGAGGAACTGTAGACAAAAAAATATATATTGGGAAGGTGCACGGTCTTTCAAAAATAGGGAAAATTGAAAAATGTTTTTCAAATTTTTGTTTTTCAAATTTTTTCGAATTCAAAAACTTTTCCCGCGTTTGGTTTTGAAACGATAGTTCAAATTTTTCTGAATTTTTGAAGAATTCTTCTCGTTTTCTTTGCGTCTCTCTCGATTCACATTGTAAAATGCGGTGAGAGTGTCAAAACTGAGAGATTTAGAGAAACACATATTTTTGATCTACCCAGAAAATAATTAAGTCATGAGGATTTTGTGGTTCAGAAATCATTCTGTTTTTTTTTCTGAAAATTTGGATCAAGAAAGAAAATTTGTATCAGAAACTAGGAAGGTTACTGTAGTCCAGATTCAAGATCTGGATCGAAACTTTTGTATTTTCAAATTTGTTCTCTACAAAATTGAAAATTTCTGAAACTTACAGCATCAAAGTATTCCATCAGCTGATAATTCCCATAAAACTCCTGTTCGACTCTCGCCTTCCTTTTCAATCTCGCATACGGTCCCATCGATGGTTCAAAAACGAAATCCCTCAATATCCTCAACATCGAATCGTGTTTATATAAATTCTCATAAAATTCGGGTGCCAACGCGCGGAGTTTCGGTAAATCTCTGCCAGGAATATAAGGGAAATCATGATGTTCAACGTGATATCCGACATTAAAAGTGCACAAATTCCAAATTCCATAATAGCTAAATGTCTCCTGATCTTCTTTGAATGCATAATGTTCGGATATGAAATGTCCTGCACTTGGATGTAATCCCATACTAATAAGTGTACACATTAATAGATATATTAATGATTTCCAACCGAAGAAATATAAAATCACAAAATCGAAGCCAAATTGAATAACCGCGTTTAATATTTCCATATCAGTTGGTGCTTTTTTATAAATAATTAGAGGCCGAAAGCCATAAAAAAGTGGTTGCAAAGCCAGCCAAAGAAACTTGCGAGGAGTTGTTGTGAAAAACTGTGCTTCAAATTGTGTTGGAACATCTGTATCCAACCCATCTTCTCCTAAATATCGATGATGTTCCACGTGATATTTTTTGAAGGAAACTGAGACGGGAACTGATAGGGGAAGATTGGCGAAGATTCCGAAAAATCGATTTTTTAGGGGATGTTCATTGCCGAATGCTGTGTTGTGTGAGATGTCGTGGATTGCTAGAGTTAGAGCGTGATTGATTATTCCGCCGCAGAAATAGGATTCGAGGAATATTAGCAGCCAACTTGCGTCTGCAAACATTTATTTATTGAGGTTATTGATATTTTTTATATTAAAAAAATCCCGGAAAATATACGTTTCAAAATTTAGATTTGAATATTTCGGGTTAATCATCAGATTGATACAGGTATCTGATGCTTTGAAAAAAAATCTAAAGCTCTAATTTTTGAATAGAATCTGAAGCCAGAATAAAATTGGAGAAATTTAAACCTAGAGTTACTGTAACCCGTGAATCCCAAAAAATTGTTTCAGATCTTTTGAAATTTTTTTATTCAACCGGAAAAAATACGTTTAAAATTTAGATTAAAAACTAGGCAAAATTATCACACTGATATGTAAATCATTCAATTTTGGATATATTTCTGTAGCAACCAGAAAAAACTCAAACAAAATTTGAAATCTAGAGTTACTGTAGCTTTTGATTGTGAATTTCAAGAAGCTTTATCTTTCAAAATTTTCTCAGGAAAATTTACGTTTCAAAATTTATTTTTGAATTTCAGGAATATTATCAGATTGATTTTGTGAAAAAAAATGTTTGTACCAAAACTTCCGAATTTTCCTGGGCCTAATTTTTTAAAAAATAAAGTTTCAGATTTTTTTTAGATTCTAGAACCTTAGCCCCCTCCCCAAATTCTAACCTTGCAAGAGCCAGCACATAAAAACCTGCACAGCAACCATACCAGCCACCACATATTTCAACGATTCATCAACACCAAACAATTTTTTGACCTCTGGATATTTTTTCACAATCGCTTCACGTCTTGACATATGCGGTTGTTCAGTCAAAGTCCAAATGAAATCATCCCTACTCACACTTTGACCCATTTTTCTATAATTTCTAGTTATAGTTTATGAAGTGGAAAATGCAACAAAATAAACAAATATGGTCATGGAAAAACGAAGAACGCTGCAAACTATTGATAAGAAACACCACATTTTCTTTTTGATATGAAAAAATGGGTGACTAAGGCCCAAAAAAATATATAATTTTTTCTTTGATGTCACATTTTACGACTACACGTAATATTTGTTTAACTAGCTTTTTTTTCGGGAAATGAAAATAATGTAGATCAAATTGAGAGCAGAAAAGAAGGGTTCGGTAATTTTTGACAGGAGAAGACGAACTTTCTAGTCAGCTTTTTAAATCAAAATTTTCGGATAATTTTTGATGAAGTAAAAAAAAACAATTTTAAAAGATTAATTTTTGAAAAAATTGCTCTTTTCTATTTTTTTTCAGTAAAATTTTTTGAAGAAAAAATTATTTGATCCAAGTTTTCAGATTTTCAAACCTTGAAGCTCTATAACTTCTTTCAGGTGGTTCTTTTCAGGCAAATTTTCTCACTTCTCGATTTTTTTTTCCGAAAATCAGAAGATCACCATAAAGTTCTTATTATTTTTTGAAGTACAGTAATCTAATTATCTTCAACAAAAAAATTAACACGAAAACTTTCGTGACATAATTTTCGAAAAAATAAAAAATTCTTGGTAAATCAAATTGAGATCAATTTTAAAGGTACACTTAATTTTTCAACTAAAAAAACTAACAAATTCCCCCCCCCCCCCCCCCACCAAAAAAAAAAGAAAATTCAATTAAACCCATAAAAAACCATGGTGGTTTCCAAGGTAGCTTAAGCAAATGTGAATTTACAATGCAACCAGCAGAAATGTGCACTTATTATAACGAGAGGAACGAGAAAAACGAGAAAATTGGCAACAAAAGCAAATAGTACATTCTCTTCTTCTTCTTCGGTCAAACACAAATAATACAGAAAAAAGAAATATATTGCGGAGAGAATTTTTTGTGGGGGGAAGGAAAATGGGAAATGGAATAAGCAAACTGGAGAGCTACGTGTGTTTTTGTAGAGCTGGTGTTTCTGACAAATTTGAAATCTAGAGAGACACAGAGACAGAAAAAATTCAGAAAAAAAATTTGAAAGTTCAAAAAATCCTGCTCAAATTTGAAGAAAATGCACAAGTGCGCTCCATCGCCAAAGACCACCAACGAAGATTTTTTTGCAAATTCACAAATCAGATTTTTAATCTAGGAATTCAGAATCACAGACAAGGAAGAAGAAGAAAAAATGAAGAAGCGTAATTTTTGAAACTTTTTGTACTCATTATTGACAAAAGACCACCCACATGGTTTTGGAATTGATGTTTGAGCATGTGGAATTTTTTTTTTTGAAAAAGGAAATTTGAGATAGAGCCACGTGGAAAAGGATAGTTCAGATTTACTCAAGACCTCCCCAAATAATAGTGTATGAAAGTTATAGTCCAAGAGAAATACATACAAATATCTAACAAAAATTATGTGTGCGATAGAGCAAACTTGATTGTCTGTTTTTTATGTGTGGTGATAGGAAATAAATGTTTTTTTTTTTTTGAAAAATGGGACCTTTTAGGGCCTAATTCCAAAATTTTTGGATTTTCAGAAATTCCAAACGCCTTTAAACCGTTAAGTCGTTAAGGGCTTCTCTAAAGGAAGTCTCTCGCAAGACCTTAAGTCTTTAAGAGCTTACAAAGGGGCTGTTAAACCTTAAAGGACTTCTCCATTTTTAAAAAAATTGTTCTTGTACCAATCTGTTCCATCATCAAAAGTTCATCCCCCTCCCATCCTAGCTTTCTTCTATCCAGATCCAAATCTTTTTCATTTCATCCACCCTTATTATGAGATTGCGATCGATTCTCTACCTTTTCCCTATTTTTCTCCTATTTCTTTTGCTTATCGTTATTTGTATTGATTTTTCAGATAGAAATGTGAGTCTTTATTTATTTAAATTTTCACTTTTCAAATATTTCTCTAGGACTTGAGAAAAGGTCCAAGTTTTCCGATTTCACGGCAAAATGTTGACTACAAAGATGATATTTTGATTGTAATGGTTGTTAAAAACCTGGAAGATGCTGAAATTGAATACAGGTTGGATCTTAGCTGAATTCTGAGAAAGAAAATCTGAAAAATTTTCAGCATTGCCCTGAACTCTGTGAGATGTTATGCGAAGATGCAAAAATACACGTTCGAGCTCATTGAATCGTCAAATTTTGATAAAATTTGCACGCAAAGTGATGTAAGATCTAGAGGATTTCAACTAGAAAACCCTGAAATTAATTGAAATTAATTTCAGTTCATGTTCCAAAGACATTGCATAGTTGCAGAAGTTCTGAAATCATCGGGCAAAGATTGGGTCCTATTTTTAGATGCCGATATGGCGGTGGTTAATCCGAATGTGTGAGTTTTTGTGGGGGGAATTTGGGAGTGGGAGAAATTGGAATTACTTTCAAAAAAGTACTATTTTTTACAATAATTTTTTGAAACAGTGAAAATGTTTTTTCGGGAAAAGTCTTGACAACTGTTTTTTCTTGTAAAGTAAATTTTTGAACATTAATATTTCAGATTTTTTCAAGGATAACTTAAATTTACAAGATCACGAAACGAGGGACTTTCGAGAAAAAAAAATAATTTTTTACAAATATTTCTTGAAACAGTAAACTTTTCAAAAAAAATTTCTCTGGAAGAAAATTTTCGGAACTGTTCGCAAAGAAACAATACTTTGAAAACTAAAAAAATATCATACTAATTTTTTGAAACAGTAAAATTTTTTGTTGAAAATGTCTTGAAAATCACTGTCCTTGTGAATTTAAGTTTTTGAAACAGTGAAAAATTGGGGAAAATTTATTTATTTTGAAAATTTCTAGTGAACTTCTTAGAACTCCGGGTAAAAATTATATACGAAATTGTGAAAATTTCAAAAAGATCTTATGATTAAAAAAATAATTAGGAATTAGAATTTTTCGATATATCAACTTGCAAAAAACTATTTCTTCGATTAAAACAGCTGTGAAAAAATTTTCGTCCCGAAAATCTAATTTTAAGCCGAATCGAAGAATATCTTTCCACACACGATTTAACATTTTATGATCGATTTGTGAATTGGGAAATCGCCGCAGGCTCATATATCGTCAGAAATTCCCAATATTCCTACGACTTTCTTCGAAAATTCGCGGATTTCGAAAATTTCCTACCAACAAATAGTTTTCATGGAACAGATAATGGCGCAATTCACGTTTATATTCAACAATTATTTTATCCAAATTTATCAGAAAATGCAAAAATTTGTATGAGAATTTGGGAGAAATCGAGAGGTTTTGATGATTTATATACATTTGAGGCTTGTATTCGAGCAATAATGGGAGAATCGAGAGAATTTGGAGATGGAAAATTGAGAATTTTGGGGAAAGGAAGTGGATGGGTTAGAGATATTTGGTTGAGTGATAGTGAATGGAGTCAGCAGAGAGATTTTATGTTGCATGGCTTGAAAAAGGAGAATCGAATACCGTGGTCGCAGGGATATTTGACTAATTTGTGAGTGTTTTTTGGCAAATTCGGATCAAAAGCTGCTTTTGTTACACATTTATCAAACGTTGGGACTCACGAGAAAATTTAGAGAATTTCATGAAACGTAAAATTTTCGGGTACAATTTTTGTTGAATTTTGAAAAAAAATTTCTGGATCATTTTTAAACCATATTATTTTGAGGAACTTGCAACATTTTTTGAAATATAAAATTTCAGTCGGAATCAAAGGTTAGGACTTACGAAAAAAATTAGAGAATTTCATGAAACGTAAAATTTTCCGGAACATTTTTTTTTTGAAATTTTGGAAAAAATCCTAGATTATTTTTGAATCAAAATATCTAGGAAATTATCGGATTTTCTATAAATATCACAAATTTCTTATAAACAGTACATTTTCCCTTTTTTTTTTAAGTTTGAAGTTCGAAAAATTCTCCAAATTTTTGAAGCAGTAATTTTTTTATTTCAACAAACTATCTACCTATCAATATAATTTCGATAAAATAAATTGTACTGAATTTTTCGCAGCGTATTCTCAAATTTCAACTGGCGATCTCCCTTCAAATCGTCGTTTGATCTCGAAAAATGCGAAACAAACACAGAAAATTGGAAACTGAAGTATGATTCAAACCTAATTGTTTCATCGACAAAAATCGAAAGATATTTGGAGCGGAAATATGTGGAAATTGAAAAGAAAAGATGGAAATTTATGAGTTTTGTTAGCGATTATTTATAAAGTTTTTGAAATTGATACATATATAAAAGGAGAAAGAGAGCATATAAAAATAGCGAAAAAACTAAAAACAATCAAAAGCAATGTACGGCATTCAAGACGGACATTGAAGTTGCATTGGGTATCACAACGATGTTTTGAAAAACCCCTTAATGAACTCAAAAAACCCCTAATTGTTAGAACCTAACTACTAATTTTCTAACTAATATTTCTCAAATAAAATGAGGAATTCTAAAATCAAAAGTTTCCTTAATATTACTAAATATCTAATTAATAAATCTCTAATCAAAAAAATAATTAATTCTAAAAAATAAGTTTCAAATTAAATTCAAAAAAAAGGTTAATTTTTGTGAGTTTCGAAAGTTTTTTATAGATCGAGTAGGTACTGCCTCTCGATCCATTTATAAGTTGAGAGGTACTGCCTCTCAACTCATAACCTTCGAAACTCAAAAAAACCCTCTAATGAATTTTAAAAAAAACTTAATTTTTAGAACCTAACTACAAATTTATCACTAAATTTCTACTTAATATTACTCTAATTAAAACAAAAATTAATTCTAAAAAATAAGTTTCAAATTAAATTCAAAAAAAGGTTAATTTTTGTGAGTTTCGAAAGTTTTTTATAAATCGAGTAGGTACTGCCTCTCGATCCATTTATAAGTTGAGAGGTACTGCCTCTCAACTCATAACCTTCGAAACTCAAAAAACCCTCTAATGAATTAAAAAAAAACTTAATTTTTAGAACCTAACTACAAATTTATCACTAAATTTCTACTTAATATTACTCTAATTAAAACAAAAATTAATTCTAAAAAATAAGTTTCAAATTAAATTCAAAAAAAGGTTAATTTTTGTGAGTTTCGAAAGTTTTTTATAGATCGAGTAGGTACTGCCTCTCGATCCATTTATAAGTTGAGAGGTACTGCCTCTCAACTCATAACCTTCGAAACTCAAAAAAACCCTCTAATGAATTAAAAAAAAAACTTAATTTTTAGAACCTAACTACAAATTTATCACTAAATTTCTACTTAATATTACTCTAATTAAAACAAAAATTAATTCTAAAAAATAAGTTTCAAATTAAATTCAAAAAAAGGTTAATTTTTGTGAGTTTCGAAAGTTTTTTATGAATCGAGTAGGTACTGCCTCTCGATCCATTTATAAGTTGAGAGGTACTGCCTCTCAACTCATAACCTTCGAAACTCAAAAAAACCCTCTAATGAATTAAAAAAAAAACTTAATTTTTAGAACCTAACTACAAATTTATCACTAAATTTCTACTTAATATTACTCTAATTAAAACAAAAATTAATTCTAAAAAATAAGTTTCAAATTAAATTCAAAAAAAGGTTAATTTTTGTGAGTTTCGAAAGTTTTTTATAAATCGAGTAGGTACTGCCTCTCGATCCATTTATAAGTTGAGAGGTACTGCCTCTCAACTCATAACCTTCGAAACTCAAAAAAACCCTCTAATGAATTTTAAAAAAAACTTAATTTTTAGAACCTAACTACAAATTTATCACTAAATTTATACTTAATATTACTCTAATTAAAACAAAAATTAATTCTAAAAAATAAGTTTCAAATTAAATTCAAAAAAAGGTTAATTTTTGTGAGTTTCGAAAGTTTTTTATAAATCGAGTAGGTACTGCCTCTCGATCCATTTATAAGTTGAGAGGTACTGCCTCTCAACTCATAACCTTCGAAACTCAAAAAAACCCTCTAATGAATTAAAAAAAAACTTAATTTTTAGAACCTAACTACAAATTTATCACTAAATTTCTACTTAATATTACTCTAATTAAAACAAAAATTAATTCTAAAAAATAAGTTTCAAATTAAATTCAAAAAAAGGTTAATTTTTTGTGAGTTTCGAAAGTTTTTTATAAATCGAGTAGGTACTGCCTCTCGATCCATTTATAAGTTGAGAGGTACTGCCTCTCAACTCATAACCTTCGAAACTCAAAAAAACCCTCTAATGAATTAAAAAAAAAACTTAATTTTTAGAACCTAACTACAAATTTATCACTAAATTTCTACTTAATATTACTCTAATTAAAACAAAAATTAATTCTAAAAAATAAGTTTCAAATTAAATTCAAAAAAAGGTTAATTTTTGTGAGTTTCGAAAGTTTTTTATGAATCGAGTAGGTACTGCCTCTCGATCCATTTATAAGTTGAGAGGTACTGCCTCTCAACTCATAACCTTCGAAACTCAAAAAAAACCCTCTAATGAATTAAAAAAAACTTAATTTTTAGAACCTAACTACAAATTTATCACTAAATTTCTACTTAATATTACTCTAATTAAAACAAAAATTAATTCTAAAAAATAAGTTTCAAATTAAATTCAAAAAAAGGTTAATTTTTTGTGAGTTTCGAAAGTTTTTTATAAATCGAGTAGGTACTGCCTCTCGATTCATTTATAAGTTGAGAGGTACTGCCTCTCAACTCATAACCTTCGAAACTCAAAAAAAAACCCTCTAATAAATTTTAAAAAAAACTTAATTATTAGAACTTAACTACTTAAATATCACTAAATTTCTAACTAAATTACTCTAATAAAAACAAAAATTAATTCTAAAAAATAAGTTTCAATTTAAATTCAGAAAAAGGTTAATTTTTTGTGAGTTTCGAAAGTTTTTTATAAATCGAGTAGGTACTGCCTCTCGATCCATTTATAAGTTGAGAGGTACTGCCTCTCAACTCATAACCTTCGAAACTCAAAAAAACCCTCTAATAAATTTTAAAAAAAACTTAATTATTAGAACTTAACTACTTAAATATCACTAAATTTCTAACTAATATTACTCTAATTAAAACAAAAATTAATTCTAAAAAATAAGTTTCAATTTAAATTCAGAAAAAGGTTAATTTTTTGTGAGTTTCGAAAGTTTTTTATAAATCGAGTAGGTACTGCCTCTCGATCCATTTATAAGTTGAGAGGTACTGCCTCTCAACCTATAACTTTCGAAACTCAAAAAAACCCCTTTAAAGAATTAAAAAAAAACTTAATTATTAGAACTTAACTACTTAAATATCACTAAATTTCTAACTAAATTACTCTAATAAAAAATAAGTAATTCTAAAAAATAAGTTAACTACTAAAATATCAGAACCTAACTACTTAAATATCACTAAATTTCTAACTAAATTACTCTAATAAAAAATAACTAATTCTAAAAACTAATTTTCGTTAAAAATTTTGAAATTCTTAATCTAAACCCAAAAAATAAATAAACTAACTGTTCTGCAAATGTCGTCGTCCTCCTCCTCGTCGTCGATGTGTGGCATCCGAGTGGTGCAAATTGGTGGTGGTGGTGGTGGTGGTGTTGAGCAGCGTCGGAGTGGAGAAGACTGACTGAGCAGTGGCGATATTGGCAATTCTGGAAAAAAAATGGTTAGTATCGGAATTTTGGGAAAGTCAGTCGATTGAGGAACCTTTTTATGAGCTCGAAATCACCACCAGCAACTGAAAACACGGCGAGTTGAAGCGACGACAAGTTAAAGCGACGGCGAGTTGTTGAGACGGCGAGTTGTTGAAGCGACGGCGAGTTGTTGAAGCGACGGCGACTTGAAAACACGGCGACTTGATGAGAAGAAGGCGATTGTACAGCAATTTGCTGCCAGGAAATGAAGGATTGAAGCAGCTGGATACGGTTGTGGTTGTTGCTGGAAAAAAACAAAAAAAGAACAAAAAACGAATCACTAAATGTCTTTATCACTAAATTTCTAACTAATATTACTCTAATTAAAACAAAAATTAATTCTAAAAACTAAGTTTTAATTTAAATTCAAAAAAAAGGTTAAGTTATGTGAGTTTCGAAAGTTTTTTATGAATCGAGTAGGTACTGCCTCTCGATCCATTGTTAAGTTGAGAGGTACTGCCTCTCAACTCATAACCTTCGAAACTCAAAAAAACCCTCTAATAAATTTTAAAAAAAACCTAATTTTTAGAACCTAACTACAAAATTATCACTAAATTTCTAACTAATATTACTCTAATAAAAAAATAAGGAATTCTAAAAACTAAGTTTCAATTTAAATTCAAAAAAAGGTTAATTTTTTGTGAGTTTCGAAAGTTTTTTATGAACCGAGTAGGTACTGCCTCTCGATCCATTTATAAGTTGAGAGGTACTGCCTCTCAACCTATAACTTTCGAAACTCAAAAAAACCCTTTAAAGAATTTAAAAAAAAACTTAATTTTTAGAACCTAACTACTTAAATATCACTAAATTTCTAACTAATATTACTCTAATAAAAATTAATTAATTCTAAAAACTAAGTTTCAATTTAAATCCAAAAAAAGGTTAATTTTTTGTGAGTTTCGAAAGTTTTTTATGAACCGAGTAGGTACTGCCTCTCGATCCATTTATAAGTTGAGAGGTACTGCCTCTCAACCTATAACTTTCGAAACTCAAAAAAACCCCTTTAAAGAATTAAAAAAAAACTTAATTATTAGAACTTAACTACTTAAATATCACTAAATTTCTAACTAAATTACTCTAATAAAAAATAAGTAATTCTAAAAAATAAGTTAACTACTAAAATATCAGAACCTAACTACTTAAATATCACTAAATTTCTAACTAAATTACTCTAATGAAAAATAACTAATTCTAAAAACTAATTTTCGTTAAAAATTTTGAAATTCTTAATCTAAACCCAAAAAATAAATAAACTAACTGTTCTGCAAATGTCGTCGTCCTCCTCCTCGTCGTCGATGTGTGGCATCCGAGTGGTGCAAATTGGTGGTGGTGGTGGTGTTGAGCAGCGTCGGAGTGGAGAAGACTGATTGAGAAGTGGCAACTGGCAATTCTGGAAAAAAATGGTTAGCATCGGAATTTTGGTAAAATCAGTCGATTGGGGATATCAAAAACACATTACAAAAAAGTATTTATTATTTTATTGTTGAGCGCAGAATGCGCTAGCGGCAAAATCCAGAAACAGCCCGATTTAAACCAGAAAAAAGGAAATTTCCAGCATGCTGGAAATTTCTTCAAATTTTCTGGCGAGCCAGGCATGTTTCTAGATTTTGCCACTCGGCGGTGACTCGAGCTCGAAATCACCACCAGCAACTGAGAACACGGCGACTTGATGAGACGGCGAGTTGTTGAAGCGACGGCGAGTTGTTGAAGCGACGGCGAGTTGTTGAAGCGACGGCGAGTTGTTGAAGCGACGGCGAGTTGTTGAAACGACGGCGAGTTGTTGAAACGACGGCGAGTTGATGATACGGCGATTGTACGGCAAATGCAGAACTGAAGCAGTTGGATACGGTTGTGGTTGTTCCTGGAAAAAAAAAACAAAAAGAGAACAAAAATCTAGAAAAATGAACAAAAACTCATCTGAACATCGATCCTTCGAGCAAAACAGCATGTCGTGGCATATTGAAGACGTTTGGCGGCGGAAGTCGGTGGCGGCAGGAGGCGGGAGACGGTGGCGGCGGCAGGAGGCGGGAGACGTCGGCGGCGGCAGGAGGCGGAAGACGATGGCGGCGGCAGGAGGCGGAAGACGATGGCGGCGGCAGGAGGCGGGAGACGTCGGCGGCGGCAGGAGGCGGAAGACGATGGCGGCGGCAGGAGGCGGAAGACGATGGCAGGCAGGCAGAAGGTTGACAGCAGGCAGTGAGAGAAGAGGAGAATATGCCAAACAACGCCGAACGCTCCCCTTTTATACCCCAAACTAGACTATAGTCTAGCAAATTCAAAACTTCCCGCCGCCGCCCACCACCAAATCAGATCAAAAAATATTTATTTATGTGTCAATTTTATTTAAAATATTTATTTATGTGTCAACACGGTTAAAAGACTGGCGCATTTTCCGTCGTCGCTTTTTATTTATTTTTTATTTTTTGAATTTTTTTCTGAAAAAAACATCGTTTTCCATCGGTTTTCAGCTGTTTTTTGCGTTTTTCATATTGTAAAAAATCCAGAATTGTGCAGAATTGCAACACAATTGTGTATTAGCTAAGCACCTAGGTGAATTTCAAGAATTTTAGCGGAAAAAATTGATTTTTATTTTAAAATTTAATTGTTTTTTCGAGTTTTTCTGTCTAAAATTTATTTTTTCACATTTTCCTATTGATTTTTTTGAATTTTTTCTGAAAAAAAACATGGTTTCCAGCTGTTTTTTGCGTATTTTCATTTTCAAAAAACGAAGCGTTGTTTGCACGAAACAATTGATTTTGTTTTTTTTGTAAGGAAGAGATTATTTACCCAGAAGATTGATGAATAATAAAAAATGAGTCAGTTCTCTCCTTGCATACGTCAATATCGAGTCAAACAAGCACATGCACCAAAATTGTTATCAGTAAGTTCAGTTTTTCCTCTCCCATTTTTTCTCACGACCCGTCTTGTTCTACTTCCAGCTTTATCGATTTTTGTGTATTGAATTGAATGATTTGATGAATGGGTGCCAAGCATTCAGCACACGATCATAATAAACAACAGAAGCCGCCAAAAACTGGAAAACAAGCAGTTTTTCACGATGATAATAATGAGGCGATTTTTAAACCCAATTTTGGACTAGGATGTGAGTTTTTTTCTATTTTTTGCAAAAAGGGGAAATCAAATTAATTCAGCTCACCATCGGGCGCCATCAATTCGACCGGCTCCAAAAGTTCCGGCTGTCCCGATTTCTCCACCACCCGCCACAACACCACTACCCTCTTCAACCCCGCAAAATCATCTATTGCCTGTGCCATTTCAAACTGAGCCCCAGTCCCAGCCACATCCGAAAACCTCTCGATCATTAAGCAATTTCGATCCACCGCCACCAACTCCACCTCGACACCATTCAAAACCGCCGCCAATTCCCGAACATTCGTCCACCAAACTGAACAGAAGTAATGGAATCAAAGGGACGAAGAGTTTGCCGATTTTACCGCCAGAAACGAGCACGAAACCTGCATCGCCGAAATTAAGTGCGGGATCAGGGGGAGAGCATAATTTTTTGAATGAGCGTCCACTTTTTATTGCGAAACATCGATTTGTGGCGAAATCGAGGAAAGAAGTTAGCTTGGAAGAGGGAGATTTGGTGTATTTGCTGAATCCAATGAAAGGGTACGTTTTTTGTGGGCGTGGTTTGATTGCAACCGCCGCACACATTTTTCAAACTTTATGAAAACTTAAAAATTCAGGGATTGGTGGTATGTTGAAACAAAAAGCGGATTTCAAGGATTTGTGCCAACAACTCATGTAAAAAGAGTTGAGGTTCGAGAACCTTGGTATGCTGGAAATATTTCACGAATCACTGCTGAAAGACGAATCATGCAGCCGAATCTCCCGATCGGAACATTTTTGATTCGCGAAAAAGAATTGAATCGATTGGTTTTGACGGTGAAAAATTCGGAGGATTCATTGAGCAGTTATATGATTTATAAAAATGAGCATGAGAGTGGATATTATATGAAAGATGATAATGATGAGGTTTCGATCACATTTTTCTCGCTTCAACAAATTGTTGATGTTTTTTCGAGTGGGTTTTTTGGGTTTATTTTATTATTCTAGAAAAATCGGGAACGTTTCTGAAATATTTAATTACAATTTTTTTGAAACAGTAAAATGTTTTATTTGAAAAAAAAGATAAATTTAGACTTTTCATAAGTTTTAAAATAATTTTTGGAAAGCTCTGGATTAAAAAAATTAAAATTGTAAAATAATTGTAGTTTCCAGTTGAAAATAAGGCTCCGAAAATCCATATTTTACAAATTTTGAATGCATTATTATACCATCGATATTCTAGAATCAAAATAATTTTTTGAAAAATTATGTTATCGTAATTTTGAAACAGTTAATTTTTTTTTTAATTTTTTAAAAGAAAATTTGAGAGCCTAAATTTTTGAAGTTTGAAATCCACGCGGAACATTTTCATCCCGACAGAATGAAAAAAACTATTGAAATTTGATTTTCAAAAAAGCTGTACTGATGTGACAATAGTATTTTTCTTCTCTGAAAAAATATACTTTTTTTTCAGAACCCGGTGACATTCAACTTTGCACACTTCTCAAATCACCAGCTCCACCTCTCGACACAAGACAAGACGACAATTATTCGATCATGACAAAATGGGAGATCAGTCGAGATGCGTTGAAAATTTGGGAGAAAATTGGAGAGGGTCAATTTGGAGAAGTGAATCGAGCAACATGGAAAAATATCGATGTGGCGGTGAAGAAAATGAAGAGCGATAATGATGATCCGGATGAATATAAACAGTTTGTAGAGTGAGTGCGGGTTAAGATCTAAATTAAAAATTTCCAATTATTTTTCAGCGAAGCCAGAATATTGACAAATTTAGCGCATCCAAATCTAATTCGATTATTAGCTGTTTGCACCAAAAAAACACCATATTATATAATAACAGAATATATGAGAAATGGAAGTTTATTGGCATTTTTGCAAAAGGATTTATCGATCAATAAATTGAATACGGAATCTGCAATGAATATTGCAGCACAAATCGCAGCCGGAATGCAATATTTAGTCGATAATAATATTGTGCATCGAGATTTGGCTGCTCGAAATGTGCTTGTTGGTGATTTTTCAGTTGATCATATTCCGCATGTGAAAATTGCGGATTTCGGTTTGGCGAGGAAGGTTGATTTGGAAGATCCGAAATATGATATGAAAACGGATTTGCCGGTTGCTGTGAAATGGATGGCACCGGAAGTGTATGAGACGCAGAGTTTTAAGTGGGTTTGGGGGGGGGGGGGGTTTTAAATAAATATAGCATTCAATTTTTTCAGTCAAATGACGGATGTTTGGTCTTTTGGAATTTTGATTTGGGAAATCGGATCACTTGGAGAAAAACCCTATAAAGGTAACTCTCTTTTCACAACTGATCAGCAAAAAAATTCCATTTTTTCAGAATGGTCAGCAGAATACACAATGCAACGAGTTAGAGAAAACTACAAATTACCCGCACCAAAAGCCGTTCCAAAATATGTATATGATGAAGTTTTTCTGGCTTGCGTCGATCTAGTTCCCGAAAATCGACCGAGTTTCAGTCAACTTTTTCAATATTTCGACGATTTCACACATATTGCACCAATTGAACGATCTCGAATCAGACTGTCAAGAATGAATTCACCTTTTTGATTTGTAAAAAATAAAACTCTGATTTATTACATGATTAATCTAATCTACAGAAATATTCGAACCTGGTCTTCTTTTTCGCTGCATCGGATATATTTTGACAGGAGAGGCTGGCCGTTTTTCAGCAGATCGGCTGACTTTTTCGACTTTTTTCATTCTTCCAGAAGTCGGTAGGGATAGAACTTCTAAATATCGCTTCACAGTTTGACATTCCTTCTTTATCGCTGGAAGAAAATAAAGGTTATACCCTGAAATTTCACAAAATACTTACGCTTCAATTGCACACCAGTTATAAAAATCTTTGCATTTTCCAAATCCTTCAAAAATGATTTCAAACATTCTTGTAGCTGTTTAGCATTCATACGAACTTGCATTGTTTCCGGTGGGCCAGTTAGAACGCAGAAAAATGGATACAACATATTTTCGCCGTTTTGGAAAAGCACCTCGTAATAGACTTCGGGTTCTTCGGCTGGCAATATATATCCGCACTGAAAATAATTCTGGATACTTATAAAAAAGTTTGATATGCAGTGTCCAAAGTAAAAAATATAACAAAAAATGCGAAAATATATCGTCCAAAGTCTAACTGTCTGCGTCTCTCGAATATACACACTATTTCTCTGTTTCGTGTCTGCGTCTCTCGAATACACACACTATTTCTCTGGTATATATTCCGAATATAAGGCGAGCTTTGTACGATATATTCTCGCATTTTTTGCTATATTTTTTACTTTGGACACTGCAATACAAAATAAAAAATTTCATACCGTGTTCTTCCAATATGCTTTGATCTCATTGTATGATTCGAAGGGAGAGGAAGTTGGGATTTTCCGATGAATTTTGATGATTTGACCACGTCCCAATTTCGGCAGACATGTTACCCAACGAGGTTTGATTGTTTTTGAAATTGGGCCTGTTTTTATCGCCTTCTCATCGAATCTTTCCGATTTTTCTAAAAGCCAGTGCTCAAATGGGAAAATTCTGATGAATTCAGCGTCGAATTTCACAAAAATCTCGGATTCGCTGGTGCAATGAACTTTGATACAGATTCTTGGAAGATTTGTCAATTTCCATGATAAAAATCCGTGTTGGACAAGCGAATCAGACATTTTGAACCATTTCATTTTTTCCATATAATAGATGAAGGTGAATTTGAAGCATTTTTCGATTGAAAAACCATCGCATGGGTTTTCCAATTTGATGAATATTCGTTGGTCTTTGAAAAAATCTTTGAATCTTTCGCTGTCAATTGTTTCCTGTTTGGAAATTAGGTGAATTGTTGAAAGATCGTTTTGCGGTTCAGCGAAGCAGCCACCAAATCCTTCAGCAAGACTCAATAAATCTCGACATAATTTGTTTAGCATGGCATGCGGGCAATTTTTGCGATTGTCGAATTCCATGTCTATCTGAAAATAAATTCTTAAATATTTTGAATTTTATTTTACTCCAAATCAGAAAATGGTGGTTACCTGGAGATAATACGACTTCAGATCTTTCATTTTCAGCTTTCCCAGTGACAAAATCGTCGAGCACATCGTTTTTAGAGGCGAAAAAGTAGAAAAAAAATTTCGAAAAAAGAAAAAAAAATTATATATACCGTAGTTTCTTAAAGGTACATTCACTCTCCATGCAAACTCTTGCAGCGATTACAGTAGTTTTTATCAAGGGACATGTTGTTTGTTGCGTTGGTCTCGTTGAGATGCGCGGTAACTATTGAATTTGCATACAGTTTTCATTCTCATTCTCACTTTTGGGAAGTTTCGGGTGATTTTGCACCATAAAACAAGGATGCAAACACCAAATGGAGAGTATTTTATGAATGATCCGAGCATGTTGGCGTATATGCAACAAGCAGCGCTTCTCCAATATCCTTCGAAAAATATGTTCTCTCATGGTTTGTTCGAAAAATTTTAGGACATTTTTGAACTTTTGATTTTGTTTTCAGCCGCGCAACTCCAACAACTTCTCATGGCACCCCAATCTTTGCCAGCTACACAACAACAACAATTGAGAATTGCGGCGGCGATGCCAGATTTCGAAAAATCGATGAATGATACAATTGTGACTGGATCGGCTAATTATCGCGCTAGTCTCAAAAATTCTACATCTTCTATCAGCGAGGTAAGAATTCTGATCAAGTGAAGATATTCGAATACAAGTTTCTTTTCAGAAATCGCAACAATTTACGCGGAGAAATTCGCCAACCTGGGAAACTCTCACTGACGACGAGCGCGATTTAGTTCAACGTCAAAAGAGAAAAGAGGAAGCCTTCAAGACAGCTCTTTGTGAAGCGCATAAAAAGACTGGCGTTTGTCCATATGGAAATGGTTGTCGATTTGCGCACGGTGAAAACGAACTTCGAATGCCATCACAACCTCGCGGAAAAGCTCATCCGAAATATAAAACACAATTGTGTGATAAATATTCGACTTTCGGTCATTGTCCATATGGTTCAAGATGTCAATTCATTCACAAACTCAAAAAAGGTCTACCATTGCTCGAATATAATCGTGCTCTTGCTCAAGGCGCAATTTCTCCAGCTCGTTCTGATGAAGTGACGAATCAAGATGACTCTGATCAAAGTATCAAAGCTTTGACTCATGTTATTCAACGTGGCAAACGATCTAGTCACGATTTATCAGATGATGGAGGAAATTCTTGCCGTCGTGTATTGTTAAATTCCGAAGAGGTCACGAAACAAGAAAAAGTTATCTATCCACCAATGCAAGTTATCAATATCGAAATGGCTACTGGACGGGTTTCCAAAAAATATCGTCCATCAAAAATCTTTGAATCTTCTCAATCCGATTATGAAACCGTCGTAATTGATGGAAATCTGTTTGATCCGGAAAACAGTCGAACATTCAGCACATTGGCTCGCGCTGCTCGTGATGAAAATTCCAAGAAAATTGGCAAAAAGAATGTTCCGATGAGAAAGGTGAGGAAATTTTTCAAAAATGAAAAATTACCCCTGTAAAATTATATTTTTGCAGGAACTCTCACTGATTAGCGAAGAAGAATCAATGACCGAAACAAGGCACACAATTTCCACAAAAGTTGAAGAACCACAAAACAACGAAAACGCGCCGTGGTATGAGAAAATTTTCGGAAAGAAGATGACTGTTATTCGAGAAGAATCGGTGTATGAGGACTCAACTCTTCAGGTAAATATTTTTGAGTTCAAATTGTTCATCAAAAGTTCGTTTTCTCTTTCTAGCATGAAATGACTGGAAGCCGTGAATATAGCGAATCCGAAACTCGCCACAATTGAATTTTTGTCTGAAAATGTAAATATTTGAAATATCCCCAAGTTTATTCTTTTTTCCTTTTTTCTAAAAAAAATTGCTCCTAACCTCTTATCTAACTTATTTTCTTCTTCCTAACCCCCCTTGTTTTTAAAATGAATAACCAAAAAAACCACCATATTGTGCAAAAATTTATTTTGTGATTGTCATCGAATAAATTCTTCAGTTTTTATTTGAAAAGAAAAGGCACATAAATATTTGAAGTTATAGAATATTTGAAAGAAATCAGAAGCCCCGTGAATAATTAAAATAATAGATAGATAATTAGAAAATCATAATATAAATAGCTCAATTCCTCGGCAAACTTGTGCTTCTTCTTTGCTGAATCGGTGAGCTGGTGACCATTGGGCGGAAAACACCATCGGCCAAATATTTGCAACATAAAATTTCGCGCCTATTAAAAAGTGCCATGTACAAAATATCATTCTTGGTGCATATTCCGAGAGCTTCTTGTGGTTTGACGATTTCTGGAAGGGGAACTTGTTTGAGGCGGCGAACACCTTTGACGCCAGATAACAGGATCCAAAGTTTGCCATTTGCGTAATCGAGGATTAGAAGATTGCCGTTCTATAGAAATATTCAAATATTTTGAGATAATAAATAAAATGAGAATAAATACCTTATCAACAATCGCTGAAGCTGGTGAATGAATATGTTCTTGAAGTCGATAGGTTTTACTCAAATCATATTCATTTATCAAACTCATTGAATGATCGACGACGAAAAGAAGGAGACGATTATTGGCAGCATCGCAAGTTAGAAGAACTACCGCTCTGCAAAAATAGGAATTTTGAAAGGAAAATTTACTGGAAAATGATTTTTATAGTAAAATAATTTCAAAAAAAAATCCACTGTTTCGAAAATTCATTATTTCCAACATTTGAATTTTGTGAGTATTATATGTTTGTAATGTGTGGGTCTTTCAACTCAAAATTTCACTGTTTCAAAAAATAAACAAGTTACTCAATGAAAAATGCATTTCACAGAATTCAAAAAATTGAAAAAAAATCCACTGTTTCATAAAATATTTAAGACTTTCAATGAAAAATTTGAAAATGTTGGATTACCTTTGCATAAAATTAATTTTAAAAAATTCTGAGAAATTGGATTTTGTTTCTCGACAAACAAAAAAGTTTCTCAATAAACAATTTTGAGTGTTCGAAAAATTGAGGAAAAAATCCACTGTTTCAAAAATTATACAAAATGTTCTATAAAATTTTTAAAATATTGCTGATTGTCGTTGTCATGAAATTTATTTTGAAAGTTTTTTTATACAGCGAAAAAAATGTTCAGCGTTAAAAAATTTGGGAAAAAATCCACTGTTTCAGAATTTACTTATTTTCAACTCTCGAAATTTGTGAGTAATCCTTGGATTGAATTTTAAAAATATGTTTTTTCAACTCAAAAATTCACTGTTTCAAAAAATATTCAAGTTTTTCAATGAAAATTGTTGATGCTTTTTCCTCGCTTACGTTTAGTTTGAAAATTTCTGGAAAATTTAATTTTTATGCAGTGAAAAATCCACTGTTTCAAAATTAAGTTATATTCAACATTCGAATTTTGTGAGTATTTAGATTATCTACTTCGATTGAACAAAAATATGTTTTTTTACTCAAAAATTCACTGATTTAAAAAATATTCAAATCTTCAATTATTTGAAAATTAAAGTTTGGTAACTACACAATTTCAACAATTATATAAATCTTAAATTGAAATATCTTAACCCAATCCGAATCCCACAATCCCAAACTCACTTATATTCAGCTTGATCCTCAGCCACATTCAAATATTGATACCTAGATTTTTTCGATTCCTTTAACAATTTCCACGCTTTTTTACTTCGAATATATGTCCAAAGTGCACTTTTTATATTATCTCCACTTGTCATAAATAAATGTCCACGTGGTCCTACAGTAATCCAACGTGTTCGGCTCATTTCAATTTTCGGGTCTTTTGGACATGAAATCACTTCGACTTTTTTACAGTCCAAAGCAATATCAAAGACATGAATTGATCTACCTTTTGATTGCATTACACTTACATATCTGCAAAATTTTCCGATTTTTTGGTATATTTTTCTTGAAAATCTGAAAATTTTCAAAATACAGTACTCCTTGCAGCCTGGTTACAGTAACCCTTCTAGTCTGGTAGCATTGAAACTACACTATAATTTGATGATGCTACAGTAAAATTTGCAGTCCCGGAATTACAGTATGTATTTGCAGTTTAAATTAACCCTAGTCTACAGTAATCCCTGCAGCCTGAGGCCACCGTACTCCTTGTAGTTTAGAGCTACAGTATACCTTTCAGTCTCATATTTTTAATTTATAGTGAGTCTTGCAGTCCGAAATTTTTTTTTGATTTTTCAAATCAGAAAATCCCCCGTTGACTTACAATAACTCATTCTTCTCATCCACACAAATCGAACTTGCTGATGAATTTTTTATCAAAATATGTTGCTCAATTTCGCCATTTGCACTTGTTATATAAACACCTAAACATAAATATTTCATAAGGTTCCCTTTTCTTTCTAAATGTCAATTTCCTTACCCCCACAACTATCTGTAATTGCAAGTCGATTAGGTTTCGAGGCTGTGCTGAATGCTTCGACGCAAATCGGACGAGTCAGATAGCTTTTGCCGAAACAGTAGATTTCTTCGCGTTGCGCGGCTTCGTCTTCGTCGGCTTCACGGGGTGTTGGGGTTATTGAGGAACTCTGGAATGTAAAGAAGTTTTGAAACGGGATTTTCTGATATTCTCGAGAAATATAGAATTTTTGAATTTTCATTGAAACATATGAATCAATAAAATACTTTGAACAAAAATAATATAAAATTTTTGAAACAGTAAATTTTCGTGATTTTTTAAAAAATAACATTGGATTTTTTTTTTGGAAATCGGATGAAAGACGCTACATCATAACAAGAAAAGGTTGAACAAAAAATTATATATCAAAATTTTGAAACAGTACATTTTTGAAATTCTCAAGAATCACGGGATTTTTGAACTTTCATTGAAACAAATTTCGAAAAATTCATATCATCCAATTTGAATCAATAAAATATTTTTAACGAAAATAATATAAAATTTTTGAAACAGTAAATTTTCTAGATTTTTAAAAAATTTTATTTATTAAGATTGGATTTTTTTTTGAAAATCGTATGAAACGACATTCTAACAAGAAAAAATTGAACCATAAAATCAATATCAAAATTTTGAAACAGTACATTTTTGAAATTCGCAAGAATCACGGGATTTTTAAACTTTCATTGAAAAAAAATTTCAGAAAATTCATAGGATCTCCAAAACTAATCAAAAAATACTTTGAACAGAAAATATCAAAATTTTGAAACAGTAAATTTTTCTAGATTTAAAAAAAAATTTTATTTGGATTTTTTGTAATTTGAAAAATAAAAGCGTTATCAGAACCAGAAAAGATTGAACTAAAAAATTATATATCAAAATTTTGAAACAGTAAATTTTTGAAGTTCTCAAGAATCACGGGATTTTTAAACTTTCATTGAAAAAAAAATTTCAAAAAATTCAAAGGAATCAAATCTCCATAACTAATCAATAAAATATTTTAAAACAAAAAATAATATAAAATTTTTGAAACAGTAAATTTTCGGAATTTTTTAAAATTATCATTTGTTAAAATTGGATTTTTTTTTTGAACATAATAACAAGAAAAAAATGAACCATAAAATCAATATCAAAAGTTTGAAACAGCAAATTTTGTGGATTTTTTAAGCTTTTCAAAAATCCACCCAAAAATCCCAAACCCCTCAAAACTCACCAAAATACTGCTTGGATGTGATGTATAATCACTCAAAGGTGGCAAAGACGAAACATTTGTTGATAATTTCTCATAAGCATTTAAACTCGACGATGAAACCGAGCCAAATCTTCCATCTTCAATTGGTATCGATTTTTCACGAAATGAACTGACGTATGGAGTATCGCGGACAAAACGAGAGGACATTGAAGAATCGACAGAACATCCACGTCGACGATGTTCTTCGGTTATGTCACTTCGAGATGAGCTGCAAAAATATGATTCGGAAAAAATTCACTGTTTCAAAATTTTTGTATAAGGGTTTGCTCCAAATTTTGGAATTAAAATCTTCCAGAAATCTAGAAAAAAAAATTGAGAATTAATTACTGTTTCAAAATTTCCTTTAAGTTTTCTCGGTTTCAAATTGGAATGTTGAACCCATTCAATGTTCGTGGAAATCGTTTTAGATTCAGAAAACACTACATTTTTTATATTGAAAATCTCTGATTTTTTCCCCGAAAATTCACTGTTTCAAAACTTTTGTATATAAAAAATAAAAGGGGTTTCTCCAATTATAGAGGTTTTTTTCATCAGAATTAAAGATCCAGAGAAAAAGCGTTTGAGAAAAATCACTGTTTCAAAATTTTCCTAAAATTTTCACGGGCATGCTCATAGAAATCTTTGTGACTCAGAAAACACCAGTAAAAATCCTAGATTTTTTTCCCGAAAATTCACTGTTTCAAAATTTGCATGTGAGTTATGTATGAAAATTGATGGTGCTAGTAAGTTCATTTATGAGAATTTCAGAAATTTGATTTCAAATGCTGAATAAAAATTTGAAAAAATGTTTAACCTCCCCAAACTCACTCATGAACAACAAACGGTGTAATTCCAATATTTTCACATATAACATGAGTAATATATCTAGCATCCCAATCAGCAGAATGTTTAATTTCCGAAATATCATCAATACTACTCGATGTTTTCGGAATCCTCATAATATTCGAAGTCAAATCCAAAACTTTTTGCATTTTATTCGGATCCGAATCACTAAGTGTCCATGTTTTCCAAGCTGGTCGAGATGGCGATGGAACATGATAAATTGAAGGTCGCTCATCTTTTGCATCAATATTGATCAATTCTCGATTTAATCTTGAAATTAGACGACGATCTGGTTCATTTTTTCGCTCTACAAATCCGGATAATTCATTAAGTAACATTACTTCGATTTTGGCTACAAATTGCTTGACGGCCATTTTTTGTTGATGCGAAACTTCGCTTCGACGAGAACATCGACCTTCGAGAGCTTGAACACAACTTCTGGAAAAATGGAGAGAGTTTTGGATTGAAACTGTAATTTTTCAAGTTTTTCAACCAAAATTGAATTTATTCCCGTCAAAAGGAAAGCCGATTAAAAAATATGTGACACCAAATAATGTATTAAAATTTTGAAACAGTGAATTTTTTTGCAAAAGAATTTTTCGCAAAATTTTTTTAAAATGTTTCCTAACTCACTCGACTTAAAAACTGGTCAGAAATATATTAATTAAACTTGAAACAGTAATTTTTCAAGTTTTTTAACCAAAATTGAATTTATTCCTGTAAAAAGACCGATTAAAAAAATAAATAACACCAAAAAAATTAATAAAATTTTTGAAACAGTGAATTTTTCGCAAAAGAAATTTTTTTCAATGTTTTCTAACTCATTCGACTCAAAAACTGGTCAGAAATTTATAAAATAAAATTGAAACAGTAATTTTTCAAGTTTTAAAATTGAATTTTAATTTTGTATTCAAAGCTGTTTCAATTTTGAAAAAAAACGACGCCAGAAAAATAAATACAAATTTTGAAGCAGTGAACTTTTTAACAAAAGAAAACTTTCAAAATCTGAAATGTTTTTGTTAAAAACAACACCTCATCAAAAATTTCATCCAAATTTTGAAACAGTTAATTTTTATTTTCCCACTTCATTTGAATCATCATCCCCCGAAACCTCACAAAATATTCATTAAAAATTTGAAACAGTGAACTTTTGTCAAGTACTTCTTTAGCACGCGACCCCCAAAAATTTTATGTCATTTTTTCTGTGTTGAAATTTCTGCTTATCTTCTTACGGAGTATGTAAATATTATCACTTTGACACCTTTTTTGGTTTTTTTTAGAATGTATTGAATACATTTTAGTTTCTCAGAGATTTAAAAATATTTTGAAACAGTGAAAAATTTCAGATTTTAAAATATTCTTTGCAAAAATCGATTATCTATTGCTTCATCAAAATACCCCACCATAAATTTATTTTCCCAAATTTTTGAAACATTAAAAAATTCCCCAAGTTCCTTCTGCTCACCTCAAAACTTCTTGCTCTTTCCACTCATTTGTCCGATGTTCACTATGTCCTTTGAGCAAATGGCATTGTCTGAAACGAGAAAAGTTTTTTTGGGTGGTTTTTTTTAGCAAAAAGGAAAAAAAACGTGATTTTTTTCATGCTCCATTAGCTTTTTGTTGTCGGTTTGGTTTATTTGGTTTTGATGTGTGTACTTCATTTTTTTGTTGGGTGAAAAAAGTGAGTAAAAATTTTTTTTGGGATAAAACTTTGAATTTTACTGTTTCAGCAACCGTTTATGATTTGGTAAAATTTTTTCACTGTTTCAGGGATTTTCTAAATTTTGTTCAAGTAATTTTTTTTGATAAGTAAAATTCCTCGAATACTTTTTATTAATTTCCAGAAAAATGAAATCCAAATTTTTTACTGTTTCAGTTTTTTTTCCAAAAATCAGCATTAAAAAATTTCTCGTGATCTGATCTTAAAATTCAAAAAAAACCTTCAACATTTCATCATTTTCTCTCTCAAACCTCATTCAAAATTTATGTGAGAAAAAACTGAAATGAATTTCAAAGACCACTGAACTTTTCACTCAAAAATTCATATTTTTTTCAACAATTGTTTGTTTTTTCGGAAATCAAACACATTTTTTTTAAATAAAGCATCTAGTGAATTTTTGTTTAATTTTTCTGAGCAAAATTTGAACTTTAGTCTTACGAAAAAACTTGAAATCTGAGATATTTTTTGAAAAAAATGCACTGTAAAGTTTTTTCAGAAAAAACGAAATGTTAGATTTTCTATGAATTTTTGAGTTCCTATAAAAATTTAGAACTCAAAATTTCCACTGTTTCAAAAAATTCAGAAAAATATTAATCTATAAAGTTTTTTGATAGAGCTTCAAGATTGATTTGTAGACAAAAAATCAAAAATTTTAGTACAAAAAACAATATAACTTGAATTTTCAAATTTTTTTGAAAAAATTCACTGTTTCGAAAATATTTTGAATATTCCAACAATTTTTGAACGATGATAAGTAATCCCAGTGAAGAAAGTTCAAATTTTTTGAATCAAAAACTTTAGCAGAAATCATTGCTCATGTTATATACGTTTTGGATGAATTTCTAGAAAAAAAAATTTCACAAAAAATTTTATTTTGAATCTTTGATGATATCGTTCGATTGCGGATCATAAAATTACAAGAATTACATTTTTCGGGAAATCATTGCTCATGTTATTTATTTTGTTCAGAATTTTGAAAAATTCCTCTTTTTCATCAAAAAAAAATCTCACTGTTTCAAAAAAATCCCAAAAATTTCAATTTAGAAACTTTTTTGCTAAAAAATCCATTTTCAGTCAACTTTTGTTAAAATACAAATTTGAGTGCAAAAAAAAACTACGTTGAATTCTATTCCCTTTTCAAAACTCCCCCCTCATTCTCTGACTTTTCTCCATTTTCCTTCCTTTTTTTTGCGCCCATTAAAAATGCGTGATTTTTGTGCAATTTTCCAAGTTGTTGAAAGTTAAGACTCGCGTGAAAATTGTCGCCTTTTCTGCTATTTTTTCTTCTTTTTTTGTCGTTTTTTTTCGACTGACTAACTACTAAAAAAGGGGACTAGAAAGCTATGTAAATGAATTATTGAACAAAGAAAAGCTTTCCTCCTTCTTCTTCTTCTACTCTCCAATTTTTATTATTAGAAGACTTGTTCATTATTTTTTTGTTGGTTCAGAGATTATTCAATTCACTGAAAAATCATGAATAAATCAAAGGCACACCGTGTTTTTTCTCAAAAAAAATCAACCGTGGATAATTGTTGTGACACGTTTCCGCTTCTTTTGAAATTTTTTTGGAGCTAGAAATTCTATTGAATTTTGACTTAAAATTTTCCAATGAAAAATATATGAAATTTTTGAAACAGTTATTTTTTCTCTAGAATTTTGATTCCTATAAATATGTGTACAAAGGATTGGTTATGAATTCACTGTGAAATTCTTTGAGGTTTTTTTGATACGTAAAATTTTGGGGGTATTTTTTCAAGTACACGCATGATTTAATAAAATCTGAACTCTCACAGTGAAGGTCGAGAGTTTTTGAAACAGTTAATTTTTCTAGAATTTTCATTCAGGGGATCAGCTCCAGAATCAATTTTTTTCTGCTTTTTTTAAAACAGTGATTTTTTCTGGAATTACTTCTTATAAATATGTATATAAGGGATCAGCTCTGAATTTTCTGTGAAATTTTTTGTTAACTTTCTGAAACGTAGAAATTCTGGATAATTTTTCAGATATCGTTTTGCTGTTGTTTTTTCTTGAATATATGGAAAACAATAATCAATTTCAAAATTTCGCATGAAAATTTATGAAATTTTTGAAACAGTAAATTTTTCTAGAATTTTGTATTCATACAAAATGTATATAAAGGATCAGCTTATGATTTTTGGGAGTTTTTTTCGGAATAAGATTCGGTTCTCTAATAAAATTTTAATTCCTTCCGAAACTTATACATTTTTTGAAACAGTGAATTTTTTGATAGCACGAACTGTCTTTTTCAAATTTTCAGAATTTTTTGAGGAATTCAACAATCTTCACTGTTTCAAAATTAAATCTGAGAATTCTAAATATGTGATTTCGAAAATCAAAAACTTACTGTTTCAAAAAACCAATAACTTTCCGAATAACATTTGAAAACAGTAATGTATTCTTCGACCAAATTACCGTAAAAAATGTTCCCGAATCAACAAAACAATGCTCGACCAAAAACTAGCTCTCACTATTTATTTTTGTATTTTTTTTTCGAGCCAGTAACCTATCCTACTTTCTTTCACTCACACAGATAAATCTATCTTTTTTTTGTGGGGTTCTCTACTCATCCTATGTAAATATCTGCTCATTTTCCGCTCATTTCCAATTTTTTTTCATCTCTTCTTCTTTTTTTTCTCTCGATTTTTTTGCCCAACCCACTTCATAATATTCTCGTCCTTGACTGACATGTTGAAAACTAATTTGACTTGTCACAAAAATTCCGAAATTAATTCATTTTTTTTCAATTTTTTTTCAGCTGGGAGAAAAAGAGTAGTTGAAATTTGATATTTATTGGATCTGGTTTTTTTTTTGTTAATTCTGAAATCTGATATTTTCGGGCCTTCAGAATCTGGTTTTCAGAATTTTTTCATCGCCCTGAGAAAACCCATAAATTTTCCTTATCATTTCTTCTTTTTTTCAAATTGTCACTTCCATTTTTCATTTCAGAATACGACATGTACTAACTTCTATAAATAAATAAAAACAATTTCGAATGTCAAAAATGCGAATTTCCATTTTTTCCCTACAATTTCTAGTTGTCCTAAGTCTATTTTATTTTTGCGATGCAATTCAATCGGAACAGGAGATTTTGAAGGATTTGATGAAAAATTATGATAAAAGAGTTCGGCCGCCGGCAGCTAATTCGACAGGTAAAAATTGAGAAACAGTGGAAAAATTTGGATATAATTTTCTAAAGTAACAATCCAAAAATACGGGGTAAAAATTAATTTGATACTAAAAAATTTCACTGTTTCAAAAAATTCAGAAAAAGTTTATTTGGTACTACCTCATAAAATTACAAAATTAAATTTTTTTTGGCAAAATTAATTTGAAAAATATAGATTAATTGAATTTTCCAAATTTTTTTTGAAAAATTCACTGTTTCAAGAATTTTCGAATTTAAAAAATTCCTGGAAATCATTGCTCGTATTACATCCTATTTTAAATTTCAATTGTTTGCATTAAAATAGTTCACTGTTTCAAAACTTGTTCCTAATTTTTGTAGTAAGCTTGAAAATTTGATAATAACTCGAAAATTGAAATTTTGAAGCAGTGAAATAATTGAGATATAATGTTTGATCGACTTTTTGAATTATTTATTTTTATTCATAGAATTTGGTGCGAAGAAAATTCGTCAGAAATTGGGATTTTTCTAAATCTAAAATTAATTCCACAAACCAACAGGTACCTTAAGAATTTGCTAATTAGAAATTAGAATTTCCACTGATAAATTCTACTGTTTCAAAAATTATTCAGAAATGTTCTTGTGAATTTGGAAGTGTTTCAGTGTCTAAAATCCATAATTAAATTCAAAAATTTTCACTGTTTCATAATTATTTCAAAAGTTCAAACTCAAAAAAAAACAGATTATTCCTGCTTGCGATTTCACTGGAAATAAAAATGGTTCTAAAAATCACAAACAGCAACTTCAAAAATTTCACTGCTTCAAAAAATACATGACAAATCTCAGAGCTTGCAGTGAACAATTTGTCCGTGAAAATATCCACAAAAATACGTTTCAAAAAATTTAGAGAATGTTCTCAGACAAATCCCCTCGATTTTTTTTCCAATTTCATCATATATTTTTTGAAGATGGCGCTGTCCGAGTTCGTGTAAATATGCTTATCCGAATGTTATCAAAAATCGACGTAGTCAACATGGAATACGCGATTCAAATCACATTTCGAGAACAATGGATCGATCCCCGATTATCGTTTGCGAATCGAAAAAACGCTCCGGATTTTCTAACAGTTCCTCATATCAAAAACGATGTTTGGATTCCAGACACTTTTTTTCCAGTGAGTTTTATCCTGGCTTTTCCCATTTTCCCCCGAAAAATCTCATTTTATTAGACCGAAAAAGCTGCACATCGTCATTTAATCGACATGGAAAACATGTTTTTACGAATTTATAAAGATGGAACTGTGAGTTTTTTATTTTTTCGTTTTCAGCGAAAAAATATGACTTGAGGGATTAATTAATTTGAATATTCATGAGAAAAATGGCAGCGAACAACAACAAGTTTTGAAAAATTATTTTTATTCGAATTTTATTATGGCTAGAGATATAGAATTTTTTAGACGGGGGAGCTGAGCTGGAAATTATGGTTTGGCGGGGGAAAAAATTCACTGTTTCTAAAATTTTAGAAAAATAAAAAATAGGAAAAACACTAATGTCTGATTTGGATGATTTTTGCGCAGAAACATGGCAAAATTTTGATATTGAAAAAAATTGAAATTGAAAAAATTTACTGTTTCAAAAAATCGATACCAAAATGTTAATTATAGAAAAACCAATGAGATGTTCGAATTTAATTTTAAAAAATAATTTCACTGTTTCAAAAAATTTTGAAAAATAATTTTCACTGTTTCAAAAAATTATTCAGACATTAGAAGACTGTTAGATTAGGAAAAATCTACTGTTTCAAGTTTTCTGGAGCTGAAATTTATCAGAAAACTGATCACTCTCCAATTGAAATAAATTCACTGTTTCAGAAAATTTATATGGAGAGAAATAAAAATAAACCTATGATAAATGGTACGCAATTTCATGCACTTAATAAAAATCACTGAAAAAAATCACTGTTTCAAAAATTCTAGAAATAGAAAGAAATGAACATAAACCAATACAGATGAAATATTCGACAAAAATAATTGCAGAAATTTTTCACTGTTTCAAAAAACTATTATGAAAAAATTGTTCAGAATACCATATTAATGTAAGTGGTTTTTGCTGAAGGTTCAGATATTCAAAAAAGTCAGAAAAATCTACTGTTTCACGAAATTTACAACTAAAATTACACCTAATATCAAATCTTTGCAGATCCTCTACAGTAGCCGTATCAGTCTAACCGCTTCGTGTCCAATGCGCCTTCAATTATACCCGCTAGATTATCAAATGTGCAATTTCGACATGGTTAGTTATGCACACACAATGAATGATATTATCTATGAATGGGACCCGGTTGCTCCAGTTCAATTGAAAAAAGGTGTTGGATCGGATTTACCCAATTTTCAATTAATTGATACTCGTGTTAATGATGATTGTACAAGTCGTACAAATACTGGAAATTATGCCTGTTTGCGATTGGAAATGATACTAAAAAGACAGTTTAGGTGAGTGAGAAGAAATTTTGTAATTCCAACAAAAAATTTTCATTTTCAGTTACTATTTGGTGCAATTATATGCTCCAACCACAATGATTGTTATTGTTTCTTGGGTTTCATTTTGGATTGATTTGCATTCAACGGCTGGAAGAGTTGCTCTGGGAGTTACTACACTTCTAACAATGACTACTATGGTGAGGATAAATATGTTTTTATGATGGAAATTGGGGGAATTGCCACGTGGCTTCTCGTCCTTAATTGAAACGGCTTTAAAACTTTTTGAAATAGGTTTGCCACGTGGATTTTTAGCTTTGAATTAACCTAACTTCATACTCGAATTCAAAAATAGGAACATGTGGATTTTCAACGAAAAATTATCATAAATTGATTTGTAATTTTCGGAAACAAGAATTTTTCAATTGAAAAAATTCACTGTTTCAAAATTTTCATTTGAATTAAAAATCAATGATAATTCATTCAGAACAGCATATTATGAAATAAATAAACTTTATTCAAAAATCCACTGTTTCAAAAATTACAATGATTATTTTTGGAAATGAAAAAACTGGTAGGCTCAGAAACCAAAAAAATCAATGTTTCAAAATTCTCGAAAAAATGAAAAATTATAGTTTTCCAAAATTTTTTCAAAAAAATTTACTGTTTCAGAATTTTCATGAAAATGATTTGTAGTTTTGAAAAAACTGATGCTTCGCTGTGTGTTTATTCAAAAACGAGAATTTTTTTCAATTGAAAATCCACTGTTTCAAAAATTATAGAAATTATTTCTGGCTAGTGGAAAAAAACTAATGGGATTACTCCACTGTCTTCCAAAAAATCCACTGTTTCAAAATTTTCATTTGAATTACAACTCAATGATAATTTATTATCTATTGTTTTCTACATCTTTTCAATAAAAAAATAAACTTCAGCTCGAAAATCCACTGTTTCAAAAATTATAGAAATTATTATTGAAAATACGAAAAGCTAGTACATTAGTCAAACAAGCCGACTAAAAATTTCAAAATTCTCAAAAAAATGAAAAATTATAGTTTTCCAAAATTTGTACGAAAAAAATCAATGTTTCAAAATTTTCATTTAATTAAAATTCAATAAGAATTTATTGGCATAGAATTGATCCTGTGAAAACAATTCAGCTCGAAAATCCACTGTTTCAAAAATTATTAGAACTATTTTTGAAAATGGGAAAAGCTAACAGATAATCCAAAGACCAACTAGATATTTAAAAAATTTTTTCAAAAAATGAAAAATTATAGTTTCACAAAATTTGCATAGAAAATTCACTGTTTCAAAAATTTCATGAAAACAATTTGTAGTATTAAAAAAACTGATGCTCCGCTGTGTGTTTATTCAAAAACGAGAATTTTTTCAATTGAAAAAATTCACTGTTTCAAAAATTATAGAAAATTATTATTGAAAATACGAAAAGCTAGTACATAATTCAAACAATTCGACTAAACATTTCAAAATTCTCAAAAAAATGGAAAATTATAGTTTTCCAAAATTTGTACAAAAAAATGTACTGTTTCAGAATTTTCATTTGAACTAAAATTCAATAAGAATTTATTGTTGCAATGTTGATCCTGTGAAAACAATTCAGCTCGAAAATCCACTGTTTCAAAAATTATTGAAACTACTTTTGAAAATGGGAGAAGCTAGTAGGCTCAGAAACCAAAAAATCACTGTTTCAAAATTCTCGAAAAAATGAAAAATTATAGTTTTCCAAAATTTGTACAAAAAATCACTGTTTCAGAATTTTCATAGAAATAATTTTTAATATTGAAAGAACTGATGCTTCGATGCGTGTTTATTCAGAAACAAGAATTTTTTCAATTGAAAATCTACTGTTTCAAAAATTATAGAAATTATTTCTGGCTAGTGGAAAAAAACTGATGGGATGAAATTCTCATAACCAAAAACCCGTATTATCCCAAATGTTCCTACGCCTTTCCCCATCTCAAAATCATTCCAGCAATCCGCAATAAATGCCAAATTGCCCCCAGTCAGTTATGTAAAAGTAGTAGATGTTTGGTTGGGAGCATGCCAAACATTTGTGTTCGGAGCCCTTCTTGAATACGCTTTTGTCAGTTATCAGGACAGTGCTCGACAAAATGATCGAGCCAGAGAAAAAGCGGCGAGAAAAGCGCAGAAACGAAGGGAGAAATTGGAGATGGTTGATGCGGAGATTTATCAACCACCGTGTACTTGTCATACGGTAAGTGACAACAAGAACATTTACTGTTTCAGAAAAAAATTGAAAATTATAATTAAAAATTGATGAAACAGTATCTAAAAATGTCCACTGTTTCAAAAAATGCTCGGTCAGAAAACGGCGGAGTCGCTACACGTTTCGGGGAACTAAAAACGTGTAGCGACTCCGCCCCGATCGGTAGCGACTCCGCCGTTTTCTGACCGAGTGTATACATTTTGGGCAGAAATTTTTTACTGATGTAATTTCGTCCGAAAATGTATTTACTGTTTCAAAATTTTTGTTCCTTAAAATTTACATGACAAATTCTATAACAAGCTATGTTTTCTATTGAAAAAAAGTTTTTTAAATTTTTCAGTGATTGTTTAAATTGAAAAACACATCAAGTCTGCAAAATTCCAAAGTTTTTTTGCAAATAAAAAAATCACTGTTTCAAAAATAATTGAAAATAATTATTCAAGACGTAGAATTAATTTATCGATTTCTATTCCTCTAAAATTTTAGAATTTTTCACTGTTTCAAACATTTATAGAATTCAGAAAAGTCAAATAAAAATATATATTTCAAATCTTTCAAATACTTCAAAAAATTCCTAAATTATTTTGATCTCAAAATTATTTGACTGTTTCAAAAAATAAATGAAGCTGGACTAGTGTAAAAAATTTCATTACCGACATTTTTACTGATAAACCTAGTAAATTTAGAGAAATATCTAAAACTAGGCCTAAAATATTTCACTGTTTCTAAGCTCTTAGAAAGTCTTGAGCAAAAACAATGATAATTGATTACAATATTTCATTTTACTGTTTCAAAAATTCCCCTCAATCCCACTATTTTCTTTTAGTTCGAAGCAAAAGAAACATTCCGCGATCGTCTCCGCCGCTATTTCACAAAACCCGACTATCTTCCCGCCAAAATCGACTTCTACGCTCGATTTTTGGCGCCAATCGCATTTCTCACTTTCAACATAATCTATTGGACTTCGTGTTTATCAATGTCGGCTGACGCGAATCCAGTCAAGAAGTTGGCCTAACTTACTTTTCGTTAGTCTCATTTTTCTGTCTAGTTTTTTTGTGTGAACAACATTTCTCGGGTAACAATATTTGATAAAACAAATTAATAATAAAGATTTTTGATATTTTTTAAAATTTCAAAAAACAAAAAAAACTAACTTGCAAATTGTTGAAATACAATCCCTACACCACCAAATATTCACTGAAAACTCTTTTTTGGATGTCGATGGATTTGATGTGTCGAGATGTTCACCGCAATCATCACAGTCGACAATCATTTTTGCATCTGGAAGAAAAATTTGAAATTTTGAATTTTGGCGGGGAAAGAGAGAGAGAGAAGGTTAGAGAAACAGAGTGAAGATAGAGACAAAGAGAACTAGAGATGGGAGAGTTAGAGAAGCAGGGCATAAATGGAGGTAGAGAAATTACATTTCTAGAGAAAAAAAGAGAGAGAGAGAGTTAGAGAAAGAGAGTGGATAGAGACGCAGAGAAAATACACAGTATACTGTACCTTTAAGCAATTTTATTATGAATACTCCAGAATATCTAGCATTTTCCAGAAAATAAGAAATAAAAAATGATGAAAAAATCCACGCAATTTTAAATTTTGAGAAAAAAATTGGGTCACGTGAAAATTATTTTTTTTTCTTAAAATTTTTTTTTGTGAAACCTACAGTACTCTAAAAACGTTTAAAGGTATATTAGAGAAAACTTCAGAAATATTAAATGAATCTGGGAATTTTCAAAAGAAATTGGAAGTTACTACAACTTCAAAAATAGCCTATACAATCAAAAATTGCAGAAAATCCCTAAATTCGAGTTTCAGTCATAAACAAATCCAAGGTAATTTCAAAAACCAAAAATATCCCGGAAAATTCTATGTAGATCACATTCTGAAAAGCTAAAAACCCAGTCAGACCGCAACATTTTTTCTCACAAAACACTTCGCTTATCTTATCTATTTGATATCTAGAAACACCTTATTCCAGACCAGACATGCAAAAAGAAAATTCCAAAGAAAATAAAAAAATAAATAAAAAATATTCCGGATTTTTCATAATCGAATCATAAATAATTAAAAATGAAAGCAGGTGCAAAAAGTACAATTTTCAATTAATCTTGATATAAATATAAATATGTACAACCCAAAAATTCCTAAATAGGAAAAGGTTTGGTTGAGTAAAAAAGGCGGCAAGGTCACTCTGGGGAAAACGGGAACAATGTACGAAAAATTGGTACAAATATAAATCTCATAATTTTTTTTTGAGAAGAGGAGAGGAGAAAAATTGCATATTACATTTATACATTTGAAATTATATTTATGGGAATGGTTATGGTTATTTATTGATGGGGAATTATGCTAATTTTTTGAGGGAGGCAGAGTTTTTTTGAAACTTTACAAAAAATGAATTTTTAAAATTTGTTTAATTGTATGAATGACATAAAGAATATAATTTTCATTCATTACACAACTTGAAACAGTGATTTTTTGACAAAAAAATGGATGAGTTTTAAAAAGTTCGATTATTTTTCAATGAAGTTGTTGCAAACATCGATTGAAAAAAGTTACGAAATTTCTAGCTATGCAAATTTAGAAACAATGCATTTTTTACAACTTACAATTTCTAAACATGTTCAGAAACTAAGAAAATTTTATATGAATTTTTTGAAACAGCGAAATTTTCGAACATATAATTTATATCGGTTTTCAAGCACGAATCGCAAAAAATAAGGAGATTTCTAGCTATGCAAATTTTGAAACAGTGAATTTTTTAAAATGATTAAAAATCCTAAACATTTTCGGAAACTTTGGAAAATTTTATATGAATTTTTTGAAACAGTGAGAATTTTTAAACATTGAATTTATAAAGACAACATTCAAACTACGATCGAAAAAATGTTATGAAATTTCTAGTTATGCAAATTTAGAAACAGTGAATTTTTTCGGTGAAAATTTTATTGAATTTCAGATTATTGAACATTGTTATCAATTTCAGAAACTTTGAAAGTTTTATATGCAAATTTTGAAACAGTGAAATTTTTCAATTAAAGATGCATATTTGATTTTCAATTAACCAGCGAAAAAATTATTAAATTTATAGCTATGCAACTTCTGAAACAGTGATTTTTTCAACAAAAAACATCTAATTTAAGAACTTCATTACGCTAAAAACATTGGCATCGATAAGAAAAATAGTTTTAGAATACTATTAAAATGGTGAATTTTTTTCTAGAAAAATTAAAAGATACATTAATTATTTAAAACAATGAGAATTTTCAGGAAACATTAGATGGCAGTCCAATAATTTTTAAATTCTCTTTCATTGGATAAAATATTTTTGAATTAGTGAAACTCAAAAAACCCAAAAAAACACCCACGAAGCCACAAAAATAATAAAATAAATAAATAAAATAATAATAAACTAGCAACACAGCATAAGATAAGTCTGTCTGTCGACATCTCTGCGTCTCTCACTTTCCTTCTCTCTCTCCCCCACTCTTTTTCTTTTTTTCTTTTTTTCACATTTTCAAATGAAAAAGAGCTCTCTTATTATTACTTTTAACTAACTCTTGGTCAAATTTTAAAAGAGAAGGAAATTTGAGAAAGAGAGAGTGTGTGATTTGAAGAGACGCAGAGATGTTTGATTGAAAAACGAGGGGACAAATTTAATTTAACTTGAAACTTTCAAAAGCTTTCTTCTTCTTCTTCGAAGAAAAAAAGAAATGAAAAAGTTCGATTTGAAATAAAATTTGGGAAAATGAATGGCACAAGAAAATAGGGCAAAAATGACAAAGGCGAGAAAAATTGCGAGGAACAAAAAAAATAAACATTTTTGTGGGGGGAAATTGGAAGAAAAAAGGAAAATGAAAAGAAATACATGATTTTTCATTTCATTTGTTTTGTTTTTGACATGAATCAGCAATTTTTGAGAGAAAAAAATTTTTCATCATAAAATTGCATTTGCGCTCTACTGAAATATTAAAATTCACTGTTTCAAAATTTAAATTTCATAAAAATTGTAATATTCATCTGCTAACAATATAATTTCAATTTTAAAACACAAAATTCTTGAATCTCCCCAGATTTTCTCAAAAAAAATGCACTGTTTCAAAAATTTCTAATAATTTTAGCTGTTGTTCCCCATTTTTGATAAAACTCTCCTCAAAAACTTCCATAAATTCTAAAACATTTTTTTTCTTTCTTTCCTTTCAAAACCACAGAACATCTGCTATTTATTTTCCTGCGATTTTTTTATTTTAAAATTGTTTTTTAAAAAATTTTCAAATCTATCTATACAACACATCCGTTTCCTTCCTCCCCCCAAAAAATATAGAATTCAATTTTTTTCACCACAAACAACAACAACAAGAAAAATGTTTTGAGGAACAACACACAACAAAAAGAGAGGAGAAGCTGATAAAAAAGTATTTACAAAGATTTTTTTTTGGAAGTTAGAGACTATGGGATTTCGAAGAGACGCAGAGAGAAATAAGGAGGAGCAAAAAAGAGAGGAAAACGAGTGACCAGTGGGACCACAACATTTTAGGCTAATGATAAAATGCAATAGGGTGAGAGGAAGAGATTTAGAGAAAAACATAAAAGAATTCACGTTTTGTTGATTATTCGCGTGAACTCTTGTCGCCTCGCTTTATTTTTCAAAAAAACAAAGAAAAATAATACATGTGTGTATAGCGCTTGGCCATTTGTTTGATCAATGTCGGCAGTACGTTTGAACGACCTCTCAGAAAATGTTCGAAAAAATGGAGTTTTTGTTCTCATTTGAGCACGTTTGCCCACTAAAAACGTATGTTTTCTCTAGAATCTCTCTCCTCTCATCCAATTGCGTTTCGGAACGTTGTGGGACCTTGAAATATTTTTTTGTGGTTTTTTTTTGAGAAAAGTTGAGAATCTTGGTGGAAAGAGAGAAAGAGACGCAGAGAATTTTAAAGGGGGTATACCCTATTGTCTCTCGTGCAAAGTGTGATACATCATTTGATTCAGAATTTTGTGTTATATATGCACAAAAAATTTTAGCTCTCAAAACGCATTCTAAGTACACGTTTTTTGCGTCCAAACAGGACCAAAATCTGCTCGAAATGAAAAAAATAACACACAAGAAAGAGAGACGCAGACTCTCGCTGTCTGTCAGCCAGCCAGCATGTGTGTTGTTTTTTTTTTGAATTTTGTGTTCAACAACTACAGTAAGTCTGAATATACTGTAATAAACTTTAAAAAATTTAAAAAAAGAAGAAAAAACTACACACATTCTGGCTGGCTGACAGACAGCGAGAGTCTGCGTCTCTCTTTCTTGTGTGTTCTTTTTTTATTTCGAGCAGATTTTGGTCCTGTTTGGACGCAAAAAACGTGTACTTAGAATCCGTTTTGCGAGCTAAAATTTTTTGTGCATATAAAACACAAAATTCTGAATCGAATGATGTATCACACTTTGCACGAGAGACAATAGGGTATACCCCCTTTAAGAATTACGTAGATGATGTAACATGATCAGAATTTCAGAAAATTTAATAATTTTTATTGAAACAGTAAATTATTTTTTTGAAAAAAAAAATTTTTAAACAAAAAATCTGAACTTATTCATTAATATTTTCTGAAATTTTAAAATTCATTAAAATTTTCTGAAACAGTAATTTTTTTTGAGCAAAAATTATATTTTAAATTTTGGCAATATCAGATCATATCACAGTTTTCAAAAATAATTTTTAAATTTTTTTATTTTCTCAAAGTGAATTCATAGTTTTATGAAATATTTACTCGGGTGAACGATTTGAATCACAAAACTCTTATTCATCAAAACACAAATTCATCAAAATTTTCTGAAACAGTAAATTTTTATATCGAAAAACAATACTCGAATCGACAAAAATTGTAAGCTTACACCATTGTCTGGTGTAAAAATGTTTATTTGCCCATCCTTTTATTTTTCGTTTAGATACATTACATATAAAACATACATAGTTTGTTAGTTTAAGGGATTACTCGTCTCCATTTTCCAAAAATGCTTTTTGTAAAGTTTTTTGGGAACAGGTGATTTTAGAACATGTTTGTTTAGCTGGTTTTTAGAGGGAAAATGAAAGGGATTTTATTATTGATAAATTTTGAGTGAAGATTTTTAGAAATAGTGGACATTAAACCCAGCAAAAAATAAAACCAAAAATTTTATCATATGTTTTTTTTTGAAACAGTGAATTATTTATGAATGACTCAAGCATCTTCTTCTGTGACGGAAGATTTCTAAAATATTTCCCAACAAAAAATTTGACAAGAAAAACTATTCGAAAATCATATAGAAATTTCGAAACAGTGAAATTTTTCTTATATGGAAATCGCTCGCAGACAAATTTTTAATAAAATATGAAAAAACAATGTTTTTCTATAGAAAAGTTGTGAAACAGTGAGAATTTTCAAAATTTGAGATGCTAAAAAATTATGATTTGTTTGTAAGTCACTTCAATGCCTATTTGATTGGTTTCAAAAATTTACAAAATATTATCTAGAATTTTTGAAACAGTGAAAATTTCTGAATTGTAAAATGTCAAGAAAACACGCAATTCTATTTGTTTTTGTATTTTTCAAATAAATTTCAGTTCAAAAAGTGAGTTTTAGAGACGCCCAGACACTTCATATCAATTTTAAAAAATCCATCAAAAATTATCTAGAAATTTTGAAACAGTGAAAATTTGTGAATTTTGAAATGCGATTTTTTATCTGGTATTTTCGTATAAATTTCAGTTCGACATATTTTGTATCATATGCTAAAGAATATCCGAATCAAATATGAAAATCCATCAAAAATTATCTAGAATTTTTGAAACAGTCAAATTTTCGCAACGTGACCCAGCCTACGTTTCCACTAGTTTTTCTCCAGTTTCCCCTAAAAATCCCGACTATTTCTAATTTTTTCAACCAACTATCACTAATGATATTTGAAATGTTTCTATTCAATTATAATTTCACGCTAAATTTCATCATATTCATTATTTTCTCTATAATAAATTGCTCAAGCTCATCTCAACCAAGAAAACAAACTCGATCTTCATCTTCCTCTTCAGGCGGATCAAATGAGCCAATTCGAGGAAGTGGCACATTTTCACCAATTTCACCTGCCACACCACGATCACCCAAAGAGCCCAAATCGGATTTCCCAGTTGCGACAACTCGAAAATGTGAGAAGGACAAAACATCGATAAGTTATGTGATTGTACCTCACAAATCGCTGAGAATCACAGAATCTCGTGAAAATTCGGCGCTTCAACTCGAAAAAATGCTGTCGGCTGAGAAACCGGAAAAGGTTTGTGAGAATGCGAGAAGGGAACCTGTCGAGAGAACTTATTTTGATAATTAATAAATTTTTTCTTGTTTTTTTTTGGGGGGATTTATGCAAACGACGAAGAACAGGGTAATTTTTTACGAAAAATTATTATGAAAATTTTGAAACAGTGAATTTTTTTCAAAAGATATTCAACTATAGCACATCAAAAATAGTTTTTCCTCCGGAATTTTTAAAAAATATTTTGAAACAGTGAATTTTTTCCTGAAAATAAAAATTTTTATTTCTTTTTCACTGTTTCAGAAAGCTGGAAATTTCCAGACTGTGAAAAATTGTGGCTCAACTAATAATTTTCAATCCAAAAAATGTATATGAACATTTTGAAACAGTCAATTTTTCATAGCCAAAAAATTTGAATCAAAAAATAATGTGAGAAAATTTTTTGAAACAGTGAATTTTTTTCTGAAAATATAGATACTAAAAATTTTTATTGGTTTTCAAAAGATGAAAATTTCCAGACAGCGAAAAATGTAGTTTAAGCTAGATGTAATAATTAATGCATTAATAATTTTTAGCGAAAAAATTCATATAAAAATTTTGAAACAGTGATTTTTTTTCCTTAAAATATAGATACACTCAAGAAAATATATATTTGGAATATATGGAATCAATGAAAAAAATCACCTTTTCAAAATAAAATAATTTTGAAACAGTGAAAAAAAATTTTCAACAAAAATGAATCATCCATCCAAAATACACACTTAAGTCTCAAGTCAGAACAAAACAGAAAAAGGAAAGTCATCCAAAAATGTTCCGGCCGAGTAATTGTAAACATTCGGCTCGGCTCTCCAAAAACATTTATGTATTTTCCAAAAACCCCAAGCCGACTCCACTTATCCTCCTCTTAGATATTTCGCTCGCTTTCTTGTATAAACACATATAGATTTGCACTTTTTGAATACAAAAACACAACAAAAAGAATAATTTATGCGCGAGCTCTACAATCTTTCTCAATATAATATAGATCAAAATACAACTCGTCAAAATACAAATCATCCGCTTCAAAATGCCAGCATTCATCATCAATCTTCAAAAAAAAAGGCACTTGGGGAATGCGAAAAAATGGGGAAAAAACTCACAGTCAATAATTGACTAATAAATGAATACAATATCGATAACATGGTTCAAGAATGAATATAAATAATAATAAATGAGAATGAGAATATAATATTTTTACACATAAATAAGAAAAAAAATAATAACAATTGTTTGATAGTGTTTCTGTTTCTGTTTGTGTGTGTGTAAAAAATTGGGAAATCAGGTGGTTTGGCAGAGGAAAAAGGTCAGAAAAACACAGATTATTGTTGGGATGGGGTTTCTGGCGCGTCAGAAGGAGAAGTTTGTTGGCGGACGAGAAGACTTGTTGTCCAGGTTGTCAATTCGGCGATGCGTTGACGAGCTTCGCAAATTACCTGGAAATTTTTTTTTAAACAATGAATTTCGTTCAGAGTGCATTTAATATTTGGAAAATCCATAATTCTCAATTGGTAATATTTTGAAACAGTGATTTTTTTGAATGTGCTTTTCAGCGCGAAAAATAGTGTAGTTGAAATTATGGAAAAAATTCATTTCCTACACTATTTCGAAAAGTACCTCTCAACCTTTTCAAAACGCTGTGAAACGTATAATTTCCTAGATTTTTCAAAAATCAAAAAAGCGTTGCCCCGAACCAGGATCGAACTGGTGACCTTTAGATCTTCAGTCTAACGCTCTCCCAACTGAGCTATCGAGGCACATAAAAACTGTTGACAAAAATTATGCGATTATTTTTTGTGTCCAATTTATAAATCATCTTTCCATATGGGAAAGTACAATTTTCAATTGAAAATTTGTTGAAACAGTGAATTTTTTAACGATTATTTTTCTCTCTTCATATGGGAAAGTACAAAAATAAACAAAAATTATCGCATAATTTTTGTCAACAGTTTTCATGTGCCTCGATAGCTCAGTTGGGAGAGCGTTAGACTGAAGATCTAAAGGTCACCAGTTCGATCCTGGTTCGGGGCAACCTTTTTTGGATTTTTGAAAAATCTAGGAAATTATACGTTTCACAGAATTTGAAAAGGTTGAGAGGTGCTTTTTGAAACAGTGTAGGTAATAATGCTTTCCAGAATTCCAAATTCATTCTATCCTGGTTCAGAGCAACTTTATTTTTTTGAAAAAAAAGCAAATTCACCTCATCTCGAACTTTATAAACATCTTGCGCATCTCCCAAGCTACTTTCCAAATTTTCCAAATAATCAATAGCCGAATCGATTCGAGTTCCATCGCCAAAAACCTAAAAATAGAAGATTCTTATCAATCAAAAAACATGTACTAAAAACAACCAACATTTTGTCCTTTTTCGCGCAAAGATTTGAGTCTTGCGCCAAGTTGCGACGAAGTATTACGAATACTTCTCATCAAAACCTCTTCCGGTGCCACTTTATATTGTGCTGCCTCATTTTCAAATTGTTTCTTCAAATCTGACACCGACGCTGACAATTCCTCAACTTTTTCCTTTACCCAAACTTGTTTTGATCGCATCACATCAACCTGACAAAAAATAAGAGATTAGGGAGGGATTTTTTGATGAGCGGAGGGCTTACCAAAACAAAACTTCTGCTCAATTGTTCGAGAAGAACACGAACTTGTCCATTTAGGGGGTCGATGACGTGGTTGTGAGCCTGAAACTATTCGGATTTTAATTTTGAAACGAGAATTAATTGAACATTTTTAAAACACAGAATTATGTAAAATTCTTGTTTTGTAATATTCTCAGAAAATATTCATCCTAATCAACTAATTTTCAAATTTTTTATAATATATATTTTTCGAAACAGTAGATTTTTTCAAGAAAAAAAATTTTTTTTTTGATAATTTCATAGTTATTTTTCCCTTCCTTTCGAATACTTATGGGCCTATGCAGAATAATATTTTGTAATAAAAAAAACATTTTTTTCCTATGCAGAAAAACGTCGAAAAAACAAAATAAAGACAACGTGAAATTGAGAGAGCGCAGACATAAAATGGGTTTTTTGTCTGCACTCTCTCAGTTTCACGTTGTCTCTACTCAAAATAATAAACTGTATATTTTGTTTTTTCGACATTTTTCTGCATAGGAAAAAAAATGTTTTTTTATGTTTTTTTATTACAAAATATTATTCTGCATAGGCCCATTATAATTTTTGAATTCGAGAAACTTTTTTGAATTCGAAAAAGAGAATGTTCAACGTCGAAATCGAAATGATTTTACAATTACAAGTATTGAATATTTTTTGAAACGTAAAATTTTTGTTTTTTTTGTGTTAAAAATTCCGTTCTGACATCTCTTCCGCTTGAGAATTTTTTTTACTTCTCAAAATTAATTTTAGCCTCAAGGTTGAAGGATTTCAGAATTAATTCCGTCAAAAAATTTGAAACTTTTCTAGAAAAAAAATTTCACAGGGTTTTATATCCTAAAAATTTTACTGTTTCAAGAAATTTATGAGATTTTTGACATTTTACTTTTATTCACTGACAAAAAAAATGAGAAGGCTAAGGGCCAGAAAAAACTCATAAATGAGAGAATTCTGATCACTGATAAGTGATCAAATTCTCTGAATTTTCAAAAATCATAACAATTTTGCAAGCTCAGCATTTTTACAATGTTTTTTTGAAAACGATTCCGATACAATTTTAAAAATTGGTCTAAAAATGTTGATATTTAGACGAGACCAACGACAAAACTAACCTTATTGCTCAATCCCTTCACAATAACTCCAGCCAAATTAGAAATTCTCTGACTGATAGTAGCATCAGCTGGATTAGTGACTTGCAATGCCAATGCTCTCTCAACTGCCGCATCCAAAATATCCAACAATGACATTGTATTCTCGGAAATCTTCTCAACTGGAACCATTGCAATTCTTTGTGCTTGTTGAACAGCCGAAACAATTTTGTGTTCGATCGCAAGTTCGGCATCTTTCAAAGTTGAGATTGCGCTGCTTCCGAGTTGTTTTGCTGAATCAACTTGATCGAGGACTAAAGCAGCTCCGCCGGCACTCAAGGCAAGGGAGAATTGAGTTAGCACAACTGCTGCACCGATGCCGAAAGTTCCTCCGACGATTGCTGCATTTTTGCCAGTCTCAACAGCGTTGTAAGCTTTCTCCGAGCCTGGAATATTTTTTTTTGAAAAAAGCTTCCAGAAATGTCCCTCACCATAATTATAAGCTTCATAGGCGGTGTTCTTTGGCTTCACATAATATGAATTATATCCTTCAACAGCTTTTTGAGTTGCATAATTCGAGACAGCCGCCACGTTATTTTCAGCAGTTGTCAATGTCGAATTAATGATTGGATGCACTTCTTTGGCACTTGAATACACATTGATCGCTGTTTTGACATAAGGATTCTCCAAAATTTGATCATAATAGGTTGAGGAACCGTTTTCAATGTCCGCCATTTTTCAACTAGAAAAACAAGAAAATTGAGAGGGTTTTATAGGCGGAGGTGTACTTTGGACGGGTGGTATGATAGAGGAAGAAGATACCAAACATATGTTTCACTAAAACGTAGCCTCAAACTATTTCAAAACGCTATGAGTAACAGTGAAATCGCGAAAAATGAAAAGCAAACTACAATCTAGCCTAGAAAAAGGGAAATTCAAATGTTCGCGCGGCTCGCTGTGAGACCCAAATATAAATTCTCATGCGTCTTTCGAACACACCGTATTCATGATGACTATTATTATTTTTTCATTTTTTTCCGAATCAAATCAAAAATTGGATGAAAAGAGAAGATAGTGAATAAAAAGGTAAGTGTTTTCAAATTATTTTGTATATTAGAAATCGATGATATAGATAGAAACATAGAGAAAAAAGCAGTTTTTGTTTGTCGCAGCAGAAAAAAAGAAGAACGATTTCGCAACAAAAACAACAAATGTTTGTGTTTTGCAGAATTTGGTGGAACGTTCTCGAATGCAAGTATTTCGACGTATGGTTAATTTGACAAGAATGGCACCGAAAAAGAGTGTAGTTAGCGAGCAGAAAAAGAAAATCGATGAGAGTTCAATATTTTTGGATGAGGAAGGAAGAATTGGTTTGAGAATTCATGCAAAACCTGGGGCTAAAAAGAGTTGTGTTGTGGGAATTGGAGAGACGGAAATTGATATTTCAATCGGAGCACCGCCTCGAGAAGGAGCTGCAAATGAAGAACTCATTTCATATTTAATGGGAGCCTTGTCTTTGAGGAAAAATGAGGTGCAGTTTGACAAGGTAATTTAATGTATCAAAGTATTTTTTCTTATCAACAAAAAATGTTGTTGCAACAATTGTCCAAAACAAAGTACACAGTGTTTCAGGGTGCAAAGTCTCGCTCAAAAATTGTGCTGATTTCAACGAATAAATTGACATTGGAGGAGGTGAAAAAGAAGCTTCAGGATGAAATTGGCAATTGATCTTTTCCGATTCTTCATAAATTTATCAATTGCAAGGTATTTATTTTTGCTGGGGGAGTAAACATCAAAAATCTCAGGACAATTTTTCACATGTTTTTCATGTGCCTCGATAGCTCAGTTGGGAGAGCGTTAGACTGAAGATCTAAAGGTCACCAGTTCGATCCTGGTTCGGGGCAACGCTTTTTGGGGTTTATTTTGAAAATTCTAATTTTCGATCGAGTTTATGAACATTTTTGAAAGATAAACTTGAAAGTGTTTGATTTCAATTCTGAAATAATTTTTCCAGAGTTTCCATGGGAAAAAATGCATAGAGAAAATGAATTATGAATTTATAGAGTTAAATCACCAGTTTAAAACCGTCAAAACTATAATTTCGTCATTTTTTTCATTTATCAACAAATATTTTCGTGAACAGCAAAATCAAAAAGCCAGAAAAACTCTTTTCATGATCAGGGGAAATTTACGTTCCAAATGTTTTTCCAGAAAGGGATGATATGAAAATTGATTTGAAAAACATGACTCAACCTTTTCAAAATTCTGTGAAACGTATAATTTCCTAGATTTTTCAAAAATTCAAAAAAGCGTTGCCCCGAACCAGGATCGAACTGGTGACCTTTAGATCTTCAGTCTAACGCTCTCCCAACTGAGCTATCGAGGCACATGAAAACTGTTGACAAAAATTATGCGATAATTTTTGTTTATTTTTGTACTTTCCCATATGAAGAGAGAAAAATAATCGTTAAAAAATTCACTGTTTCAACAAATTTTCAATTGAAAATTAGATGTTTCAAAAAATAGTATGAGTGCTTTTTCAATTAAAATTTTTCTAGAATTTTGAAATTCTTAATATTTCACAAAACTATTCAGCTCGTTCAGAAATAAATCCCAAAAAATCACTGTTTCAACAAATTTTCAATTAAAAATTGGATATTCCAAAAGTATTATTATACCGGAAAAAATTTTCAAGATTTTTTAAATTTCAAAGTTATAATAAACCTTGAACTATTGGGTCAAATATTAATAATTTTTATTTTTCCTTTCTCATTTTTTTTGTTTTTTCACAACATTCTAGCCTCAAACCTTCTAGACATGACGTATGCTTTTCAAAGTTCTCCAAGTTCTTGATTTATCATCATTTTCATCTTTCTTATTTTGTTCCAAAGTTTTGTTGTGTTCTCTGTCATTAGATATCAGCAGCTAACTAAACAAAATAAACAAATAAATATATTTATTTTGATTTTCCACCTGCATTCAACGAAATAATCTTATCTTCCTAACACTTTTCTCCTTTTTTTGCTGTTGTCTGGCTGGCTACCCACATTTTTTTCTCCATTTTCGTTCCAAATATGAAATTCCTTATCTATATAATAATTATAGTTATATTATGCAATCATGTTTTTGCGGTCAGTTTGTTTTTTTTGAAATTGTTTTCTGAAATTTATTTTCAGATTGTAGTGGATTCATCAATTTGTGAAGCTTATAAGGAAGTTGAGAAGGAATTTCATTGTGGATCTAGTGGTTATCCGATTAATTATGGTTATCGATATTGTATGAGTTTTACAAGTGATAGTGAGTTTTTTAAAAGGGACATTGGAGATTTCAAAAAATTAGAAAAAGCTGGAATTTTTTTTGGAAGATGAAGCTTGAGAAAATCAAAAGTTTTACAAGATTGTAAAAGATTTCATCTGAAAAATCTGAAAGAACTTCAAGAGCTTATGAGTCCAAGCTCCAAATTTTGAAAAAATTAACAGTTTTGTCCAAAATTCCCTGAAAAATTTATTTTTTTTTAAATTAAAAAGAATTTGGGATCCTGGAAGTTCTATAAGAAAATCCGGAATTTTTCTGAGATGCTGAAATTCATGATTTACTCTAGAAACCCTTGAAAAATCAAATTTTACACAGTTTTTCAATTTCTTTGATTCATTTCCTCTGAATATTTTTTTTTCGTTAATCAAAACTTGTCGAAATTTTGAATTTTTTTTTCAAATTAAAAAAAAAAATCTAGGAATTCTCGAAAGTCTATCAAAAACTCCGAGCTCTCTATAAAAATTAGTTCGAAAACCCCTGAAAAAAAAATGTGAAATCTCTTTAAATCCCCCCATATCAATCCCCTTTTTGACCTATGATTTTTCGCAACACTTCATTTCCACAGGCACATCTTGAAACAAATATATATAAATTTATATAAATATTTTTATTTTCAAAAACAAGAAACATATGTCAAAAGTAATAAATATTTGTTCGCCTTTTCCCCCAATCATAAAAAAGTCCCGCGCTTTTTATTTTTTCAAAAAAAGATGAAGAAAAAGAAGTTTTCTTTTGCAATTAAATAATTAATGCAATTAACATGACGCAAATGTCAAAACCTAAAACATCTCCAATCAAATTATCATCAAAATGATGAATCTGTCATGATTTGATTATGGTTTTTTTTGACGAAATACTTGAAGAAAGTGTGTATTTGCAGAGATTCGAGAAACTTTCGACAATTCTGGAAAATCATTCATTGATTGTACAACGAAATGTTTGATTGACAAGATTTTGACAATCGCACAGGTATTTTTGACCTGTTTATTTATAGATTTTCCTAATTTTTTCGAAAATAGAAATCAAAAACGTGTCAACAAGTTCAAGAAAAAGCGTTTCATTCACACGTGGATTGCTATCTAAATTGTGATTTTTGCAAAGTTTGCAAGACTCAAAAAATACCACTTATGAAGAGTTATGATTGGTCGGATTTTTTGTCGTTTGATGCCACACATCAAGTTTATTCGATTGTGAGAAAATGCGGTATTTTTAATTGTTTCATGTAGTTTGGTGATAATAAATCTTTTGTGGAAGTTTTTGCAGTGTTAAAAAAATCAGAAATGGTTCAACAATGTTTGGAGAAGATAAGTAACACGTGGATTTCTTTTTTATGTCTAAAAAAAACGACTCCGGAAACAAAATGCAATTATTTCTCAAACCTTGAAAATTTTTTGAAACAGTGAATTTTTACATTTTTGAATTCCAAGATTTTCAATTTATAGTATTTTGAAATAGTACGTTTTTTCAATTTCAATGAACTGATTTAGAAAAAAACGACTCAAATTTTCAAAATTCTGTGAAACGTATACTTTCCCAGAAATTTTTCGAAATTGAAATAACTCTTTCAAAAGTTCAAAAAAGCGTTGCCCCGAACCAGGATCGAACTGGTGACCTTTAGATCTTCAGTCTAACGCTCTCCCAACTGAGCTATCGAGGCACATGAAAAGTGTTGACAAAAAATATGCGATTATTTTTCGTGTCCAAATCATCTCTCCATGTGGGAAGTACAAAAATAAACAAAAATAATCGTATATTTTTTGTCAATATTTTTCATGTGCCTCGATAGCTCAGTTGGGAGAGCGTTAGACTGAAGATCTAAAGGTCACCAGTTCGATCCTGGTTCGGGGCAACGCTTTTTTGAATTTTTGAAAAATCTAGGAAATTATACGTTTCCCATTATTTTGAAAGGCTGTGTCGTGTTTTTCGAAATAATGGTGATAATTCATTTTCTCTAGAACTAATTATCTCTTTTTCGTCCTGAAAAGCATGAAAAACATCTCCAAATATAGAACAAACAAAACGTTTTATGTAATTTTTACATTCTTTAAATAAGGGAGGGAATATATCACAACAAGAAATGGATAAGAAGTTGAGATGAAGGGGAAATAGGGAAAATGGAGGCAGAATTGGGGGAAAAGCACCAAAAATAGGGGAACAATTATTAAGTAAGTAAATATAATTAAGAGACCATTTGAGAGTGTTTGGCAACCGGATGTGATGCACAATTAAAGCGACGACTAGCCCAATTCAAGTTAATTTTTGAGAAAAAAAAAATGAAAATGTAGAAAATGATTAAAAATAAAAAAAATGAATACTATGATGGTGGTGGAGTGGTTAGAGTTGGTGTTTCGGTATTCGAATTTGATGATGATAGATGCTCCTTGAGATGATTCTCCAATTCATTCGGATTTGCGCAAACTTTATTGCACACCGAGCAAACTGTTCGCCAAAGCATCATCATCATTTCCATAGGCATTGGTTGTCCCAACATAGCCAGCGGAACATTTTGTGCAGCGACTGCTGCGGCTGCGGCGGCTGCTGCTGCAGCTGCCATAGGGTTTGGCATGGCTGGGGTGACGGGTTTTTCAGAGCCCGGGGAGACGTCGAAGATTCGCCGGCCTCTTCGCGATGGGCTTTGTTGCCACGCGTGAGTTCCCATGTGGACTTTGAGGTTTCCACGAGTTGTGAACGCTCGACCACACATGTCGCATTTGAACGGCTTGTCGCCTACAAAAACAAGCATTTTTCAAATGTTTTTACTACTTCGAATTTTTTTCGGGGTAGACACCACCCTTAACCTGACCCACTCTTAACACAACCTTAATCCCTTAAGTCCTACCCTTAATATCTTATTGGACACTTTACTCCCGGATCTTTCAAATTTCGTACATTGTTTTTGTACACTTCAGTCTTCCCGCTTTCACACTCACCAGTATGCGTTCTCATATGAATCTGCAACGCTGAACTCGACGAAAAATGCTTAAAACACACGCCGCATTGATGTTTCGACAAAACTGGCATCTGACGTGGCGGTGGCGGCTCGGTTTCGGCCCACATTTTCTGCATTGCCAAAAGCGGATTCTCGATTTTCACCGGATTGCATTCGGTTTGTGGTTCGGTGACTTCTTCTTTCAGCAATGGCTTTTCATCGATCTCATTGCAATCCATTCTGTAACAAGGGTTGGGTTGGTTTGGGTTTCGAGAGAAAAACAGAAACTTACAGCTCTTGTCTGACACTTGACGAACTTTCACTGCTATTCGTCGGCGAAAGCGATGCCATTTTTGGTCTATCCTCATGCTTCTTCTCTTGCCTCTCCTCCTCTTCTTGCTCTCTAATAATCTCCTCAGTTTTGATCTCTTTAGTCGAAATCGGCGAGATATCCTTATTATTCATATTCGACAAAATATTCGCTAAATTGAATTGTGTCGAGATATCAGTGGCATTCAATGAGGGAGGTGTGAAGAATGGGGGAAACGGGAAGATCGGTGTTCGATTTGGCGCAAGTGGCGGGGTTATTCTAGGCGGTTGTGTCAGCGAATTGCGATGTTCTGCGATATGCGCAGCGAGTTCGGCGGTATTCATAAGACGTTTCGGGCAAATCGGGCATTGTTGAGATTGCTGCACTTGGAGTTGAGGTGGTTGTTGGTGTTGATGTGCAGCAGCTGCGGCTGCCGCAGCCAATTGCGGTGCAATAGACATTGGAAGATTTCTAAACGAGTGTTTTGTCCGATGCACTCCCATATGTGTCTTCAAATTTCCTTTGGTTGTGAATGCTCGTTGACAAATCTTACACTTAAAAGGTCTTTCCCCAGTATGTGTTCGATAATGCATTTGAAGTGCAGATTTACACGAAAGAACTCGTCGACACAAAATACATTGATTTGGATCAGTAGTCGGTATCGCTTTATCGCCAACCAACGCTCTGATCTTCTCACTCTCATCACTTGTCGATATTTCCATCAACGCCTCCCAATCATCGTCATTTTCATGTTGTGATTGTTGTTGTTGTTGTTGGCTACCTTGATGAGCGGAATGACGAGCCCCAAATATATCCCGATTATCTCCAAATTGCATAGGTGGTCTTAGAAGAAAATGTGGCGGTGGCATGTTCGGTGGGAACATGCCGAATTGATTGGGGAGGCCGAAAAATGGCATTCTCGATTTTTCAAAACTGTCATCGTCCTCTTCATCGATGTCTTCCTCGTCGAATTTTTGAATCGAACTTGTTGATGTTTGTTCATTTATCGAGAATTGCGGAGCTGGGGTAGCTGGCACTGATAGGAAACAGGATTGTGAAGAGTGCGAAGTTGGGGGGACTGATGAACATCGGGCGGACTGTTTGTGAGTAGCACATCGGTGCTCACGAATCTGGAAGGGAAATAGGTTTGAATGAGTTATAGAAGGAAGGGGGTCTTGGGAGGGGGATTTTTTTCAAGATAGAAGTCCCATAGGTGTTGGGGTGAGAACTATCCTTGTATGTGGGGATTTGAGAGCTCACTCAACTCGAGATTTCTGAACTGGCAGAGACTGATAATATATCTAGGGATTCAAAATGACCCTGTGGGTTAAAAAAATTCTTGTATCTGGGATATCCATAGATCAATAGATTTTGAAGTCCTTGTTTAGAAAGTGTTTAGGGAAAAAGGTCCCACAAGCCTTTTTTCTTACCTCCTGCCCATTGGAGAACATAACTCCACACGAATCACACGAGAAAACCTCTTGCTCATCCTCATGCGCCTCCAAAATGTGCCAAGTGAGCGCGGCCGACGATCCGAAGCTCTGCAAAATTCTATGATTTTTAGTTGTCTTTCTCCCGATTCTCAACTTCCTTCACATCCCCATGTAACCTATTAAAAACCATTTTTTATTTCAATACACATATACATACATAGGTCGAAAGAAACGCGACATTTCATTTCATTTGACAACAAAAATACAGTAATTTCATTTTTATTGGTTTTTGTCGCAACAATCTCGTTTTTTTCTTTCCTTTTTCGTAACACACACACACACAATGAAAGAAACAACCTTCGACATAAAAATAATAGCATTAAATGTGAAATAAAAATGAATAAATGTGTGAGGAAAAAAGGGTGGAAGAATGAGAGAGAGATGGGATTGGCACAAAAAGGTACACATCTAACAAGTACAGTAAGACACAAAAGGGTAATTTGTTTCATGTTGATGAACTCGAGGAAATTTATGAGGAAAGTGAAGCGAGGAGATTTTGAGATAAGCTGGGGATGGAACTTTTTTGAACTTGAAAGTTTTTAGATCGAAAAACAGAGCTTCAGATTTCAGAGCTTTAAACTACCTGAAGGTTGAACTAGAGAATCTACAGAATATTGATTTTCTGAGCTCTGAAATTCAAAGCTAAAAAAATCCACGCATATTTAACTACAGTAGCCCAGAGAAAGCCAAAAATAGAACGCGAAATTTCAAACTTTAGAAATTTCTAGATACATTTCAAAAGGTTCTGCTCAGAACCTCTAAAACTCAAAAAAAAAATCCAGATTTTTAGATCTCAAATTTCAAGATGAAAAAGATTCAAAGATTCAAAATTGCTGAAATATTTTCTCTGAATCTTGAAAAAATCTCAAAGATCTAGAGCCATATTTTTCTGAAACTCCAAAAAATGAGATCAATTTTTAGAATTCTTCAGAATCTCCAACTTCAAATTAATTTTCCCAAATGCCTCCCCCTTTCAAACTCCAACCTGTGAACACGATTGAATTGGACACGAAGATGTCGAACTCGCTGACGACGAAACATTTCGGCTTCCCAATTGTGCGCATAAACTCAAAAAATGTTGAGGATTTGTGAATGGCAAATTCGGAAAAAAATTGGATCGATCTTCCAATGGAATCGCTGCCTTCGTTTCGCTATCAAACAGCAAATTTTTGGTGGACAAATCGATTGGTGACATCATCGCATCGCCTTCTGCAAATTTTTTTTTTTCAAAAAAAAATTTCATTCCCCAATTTGTTTCCAAATCAAAAATTTCCTCTTTATTATTTTTCTCATTTTTCTTATTTATCATGTAAATGAAACGTATTTCATCTGGTTTTTTATCCAAAAAATGGAATAAATTTTGCGTATTTTACGACCATTTTATTTGCATTTTCATCTATTTCTTCAAATACAGTATATTTATCTATCAACAAAATTTTTTTATAAATAAAAATAAATATCTAAAGATATATATTTTTTGTTACACACAAGGGTCATAAAAATCGCAACAAAAGTGAGGCTCGTTAACTTTTTTCATCTTCTTCTTTATTGTTTTGAATCGCAAAGCAAAAATAGACAATTTTTTAATGGGGCAAGAGAGATTAAGAGACGCAGGCACAAGGTAAAAAGTACTGTAATAAAAACGAGAGAAAGAGAAAAATTGGCCGAAATTATCAAAAAGGTTAAGTACGCTCTATTGGGTTTTGATTTGATTAAATATTACAACCAACATGAAATAAATGAAAATGAAAAAAAAAAATTATTTTTTTTAATTTGGAAATTGGAAAAGAAGAATGAACTTGATGAGAGTACTGTAGTTATTAAAGGGAGAAGAGAAATTCCAAAAATAAAGAAACTTGTTTGAAAAATTTTTGGGGTTTGAGAAAAATCACTGTTTCAAAAATGTATGAATTTGTTCTAGAGTTGAAATCTACTAATGACAGTAAGGAGTACGAATAATTTTGATTCTAGTAGAAAATCCACGTGGATTTTTTAAAAATATAAATGCAATTTTCAAAGCCACTTGGATATTTTTATTTCATAATTTTGTGCTCCTAGAAATTCTTGTGCACTTTTAGATTTTTGAGATATTTCACTGTTTCAAAAAATTCTTATTCAAAAAATGAAAAATAGAAATTTAATAGAAAGTCGTCTTCGAAATAATATAAAATTTTCTCAAATCGGAGCTCTGAAAAATCAATGATTCAAATTTTTACTGTTTCAAAATTCCAGATATTTTAAAATTATATTTTCATCATGTTGACGAAAACTTGCAAAATATTTCACTGTTTCAAAAAAATTTAGAATTTTTAAAATCAAGCTCAGCTTCGTTAGACGAGTTCTTGTCGTTTTCAGGAAAAATTAACTGTTTCAAAATTTCTAAAATTTTTGTGGAAGTTTAACTCGGCCCTTTAGCTTGTCGTCTGAGGAAAAACTCCACCTGAATTTTCGTAGCTACAAAATTTTTTCACTGTTTCAAAAAAAATATAATTATTTTTGAAATCAAACTCTGATAATTCTAGGAAAAATTAACTGTTTCAAAATTTTCATAATTTTTTAGAGGAAAACAATTCAGTGCTTATTATTGTTCTTCTTAATCAAGGGTAAATCCACGTGGCATTTTATTGCTCCCAGAAAAAAATTGCACATTTCTTGGGTCCCGGAGCGATCTACAGTACCCCCATTCCTCACATATTTAGTTCCCCGTTTCTTGTCAACAACAATTAGATAAAAATAAAAATGTTACAATTATATCCTCGGCAGCCAGATGATAATAAAATAAATAATAAAACAAATTAATTATCTTTATATCTTTTTCCTATTTTCCAACACACACACACACTCAAAAAAATCGCGACACAGCGTTTTGTCATATAATTTATTGCTCAAAATTGTTGTTTGGATTAGATGATGGGGGGAATCTAGAAATCCATCTCGCGATTCATTCATTCACTCATCTCATTTATTATAGTGTTTTGTTGTGTTGTGTAACAATCAAAAATGAGAAGGAAAAGAAGAAGTGTGTGTTGAGAGCACAAATTGAAAATGATGATGGTGTTGGAACAACAAGGCAAAAAATTCAAAATGAAACATTTTTTTGGATTTTTGAAGAGAGAGAACTAGACTGTACTTTGGAGTATTCCATTTTTTGGAATTTTTTTTAAACTTGATAGGCCAAAAAAACATTTTTATTTTTCAAAAAAATTCACTGTTTAAGATTTTTTATAAGTTTTGGAACGTTTTTTGAAAATTTGATTGGTAAAAATTTTTCCTGATGAAAATTTTCCTGATGAAAAATTCACTGTTTCAAAAAATATTTGAATTTTTGGGGTAGTTTTGTAACTTTGATAGACAGTTTGCAAAATTTTAAGTTATCAAAAAATTCACTGTTTCAAAAATATTTTGAACATTTTAGATTTTTCTTCAAAACTGTTATATTGAAGTGTCACTCAGGACCAAAAATTGCTATAGAAAAAATTATTTGAAAAATTCGGGATTTTTATCCTTTGAGATTCCACGTCATTTCCACGTAGTAAAGTAGAAATGTACATATTTTGTCGAAAAAAATTGACTGTTTCAAACATTTCTTTAATTTTTTTGAAATTTATTCAAAACTGAAAAGCTATTCAAGAAAAAATTTAAATAATTTTTAAATTTTTAAACCAAAAAGTGTTAAATTAAAAAATTCACTGTTTCAACAAATAATTGAATTTTTCTGAACTTTAATTTGAAGCTGATTTGCTTGGTTGATACAGATAAAAAAAATTATTGTAGATTTAATTTTTCCTCATTAATCCCACGTCATTTCCACGTGAAAATTTAAAATTTGCATTTCTCATAAAAATTCACTGTTTCAAAATTTCTTTGATTTTTCTGGGTTTTTCTTCAAAACTGATATCGTTTTAAAATCAGCAACAAAAACTACTCAAGAAAACTCGTGAAAAATTTAATTTTCATCAATCTCTCTTCAAAAATTCATAAAAAACCACCGTAATCCCATCTCCATATTTATTTTCAGTCCCTCTTTTATGCATGTCCACAGAAAAAAAGGCAAAAATTCCTCGAAAAATTGTTGATTTTTGTCAGTCAAGCTGCATTTCGCATAACTCGTCGCGCATGCACATCCTTCCTTCCGCCTTCCTTCCGCCTCTTCCTCTCACACACTATTTCTCTCTCTCTCTCTCTCTATCTCTCTATATGTTATCTCTTACTCTCTCGCTTTTATAAAATATATATATTTTTCTCTCGCGGTCGCTTATGATTGGTTGAAAATGTGACAAAATGGGCGGAGCCGCGATATATATGTTTTTCTCGCGTTCAATCATAATTTGAAAAGGGAGGAGAGAGGATTACGGTAGTTATTAAATTTTTCGAAAATGCTGAAAGCGTGGGGACGTGAGAGAGTTAGAAAAACGGGGCCCTGAAGGTGTCACGTGGTGTAGAGGTACAGCTCTTGCTTTTGGTGCAGACGGTCAAGGGTTCGATCCAGCCGCGCGCCTAGCCTTTTTATTTTTTTTATTATTTTTCCAATGTAAAAATAAAAAAAAACCCCTGCACTTTTCAACAAAAAGAATATTTTTGATTTCGAAAAAAAAACAATTTTTCATCTCTCCTCCTCAAAAATCGCCTCCTTTCAGTGTAGTTTTTCATCATTTTTTAATGTTTCGCGCCAAGGTCGCATGTCTGCGTCTCGCTAATTAACACGCTATTCGCCACGATTTTAACCATAGGGGGTAAGAAGAAACAAAAGTTTTTTATTATCGCTTTTTGTCTTTTCATTCTTCTTCTTCTCTCTTTTTATGCACACCGACACATACACAACTGGTCATTAATTTGTGATTTATTTGATGGACAGGAAGTTGCGATATGACTAACTTTTAGAAGGAATTTTTTGAAATGAGAAATTTAACCGCTCAAAAACTATAAGTGCAAGTGCGCTCCACGGATAAACACTTGGCTCAGCAGGTTAGACACGCGTTTGGTAATCAAAAGGTCACAAGTTCGAACCCAGCTCAACAGGGGTATTTTTTGAAAAATAAATTTTCAGCGGTGAAAGTGCAAGTGCGCTCTACTGATAAAGAAGATCTCGTGATTTTTTTTCGAATTTTTGGAAAATGCAAATGTGCTCTACTGATAGGAAAAATTGTCAGAAAGAGCAAGTGCGCTCCACTGATAACAATATTAATTTTTTCTATTTATGAAAGTGCAAATGCGCTCTAAGCTATTATAAGCTTCACCTATTCATGATCTCATAGCTCAGTCGGTTACAGTCCTGCCCCTCAACCAAACACCCCCAAGTTCGAACCTACCTCCGGACATTCTTCGCGGCTTCGATTGTTTTCGCCGTGAAACAGCGGCCATTTCGGCGAGCAATTCATTCATGCCTGGAAAAAAATCCGATATTGATTTTTATTTTTATCTCATATCTTAGAGGAGCTCAAAAAAAATCTCGACAGACAAAAATAATGAAAATGATGAAGATGATGATGAAGGAAAAATAGGTTTTGTTTCTTTTTATCTTTTTTTTGAGGTGAAAAATGAGGGGAGCCTGAGAAGAGGAGAGAAGAAGAAGTGGAAAAACCTCGACACTATTATCTCATATAATGATCAATTTCGTTTTTTGGCGGTGTTTGAAAAAAATCGTCAATTTTCATACGGTCAAAAATGAATGAGTGAGTGGAGGTAGAGATAAAATGAGAAATGTTGAAAATGTTTTGAGTGCGCGAATGAGGTCGATTTGAACTTTTTTGTGGGGACAAGGAAGGGAAGAGAAGTACAGTAATCAAGATTCGGGATCGATTTTATTTTGGAAACACAAAATTTGGTTGTTAGGCGATGTTGCAGATGAGTTTCTCCTCCGAGGAGAAATGAGGAGAAATGGGGCGAAATTCGAAAAATACATTGTTTCGCCTCCACCTGCAACACATTTCTCCTCTTTCTCCTCAATTAGCTCGGGGGAGAAACTAATCTGCATCATCGCCTTACATATAAGATATTAATCAAATTGAACTATCACTCTGAAATCGAACTGAAAAAATATATGAAAATTTTGAAACGTAAAATATTCGAGATTTCTTCAGGTAGAGCTAGAAAATTCCAAAATTTTGGAACAGAAATATTTTTAGAGAGAATATTTAAGGAATAATGAAATTTGGAATTTCACAAAATTCTTAAAATTATTTTGAAACATTCACAAAAAAATTTCAATAAAATTTGAAACAGTGAAAAATTGGAAGTTCAGAGATGACCTAATTGTTTCTCAAATCGAATATGTCCAAAATTTCACGAAATTCTTTGTAATAATTTTGAAACAGTAAAAAATTGGGCAAATTTTAATCTGAACCATGTTCGAAATTTCACAAAATTATTTTCCAATTGTTTAAAATGCAGCGATTATCAATTCTTAAATTTTGAGCTGATATGAAACATTTGAAACAGTGAAAAATGTGAGCTTCTAAATCCTGATTTTCGATAAAAAAAATAATTTCTCATTCATCTTCAATATAAAATTCAGAAAATCAAAAAATATTTCAAATAATTTTGAAACAGTGAAAAATATGAGCTACGAAATTTTGATTTTCAGAAAAAAAATAAATGGTAATTTTATTAAATTCAGAAACTCAAAATTCTTTTCAAAAAATCAACTCGGTGCATTTATAAATTTCCAAAAAACATTTCTGAAGCAGTAAACAAAATTCCAATCAATAAAAATTCCTCAGAAAATAAAAATAAGAGAAACACATGACAAAAAAGAGCGTGCGCGAACTGAACTGTTTTCGTATTCATTCAAAAAAAAAAAAGACCCATAACATCTGGGAAACTTATGTTAGCGTAACTACAGAAAATGAAGCAAAAATTGTTAGGGAAAATTTTTTCCTTGATCACATAAGTACAAAAATTCAAGCTTTCAACACAACTTAAAATTATTTTGCTTAACTTAGGCTAACTATAAAAATAAACAAAAGTAAGTAACAATTTAGTTCCCACCCAACCCAAAAATTATGAGTTTCTTCTCAAAATTCTCTCTTCTCCCCCGTCTTCCCCTTCTCAAAACTCCGCCCACAAAATGAAAATTTTCGAAAAAGCTCCGCCCACTTTTTCTTCTTTTTTTGATTCTCATTTTATAGTGTAAGTACTTTGAATAATATATTCAATTACAGGGTGCGCCATAAATACGTGGACAGCTATAATTCAATATTATTCTCAAATTTAGAACAGTTTTTTGTATATCGTTTTCAAAATACTTAATTAGGTCCCTAACGAGTAAATTGGAACCAATATCTCTTAATCTGGTCGGTTCTGCGACCTGGGAAATCTTGTAGAACTTCGGGGAAAATTTCATCACGGCACGCAGAACAACGAAAAAGTGACATCGCTATTTTTGAATGGAATTATTTTTATTGTGAAGGCTTTATTCGAGCTGTATAATGTTTGAGGGGTTGTCAGAGAGTCCCAAGAAGCCAAGAAAAAATATAAAATTGTCCACCATGTCTCACACCAAGTTTGGGTGGTGATTTTTGAAACAGTCTGATTGATTGGGAGAAATCATTGATTTCCATTGATTTTGGGGTCAAAATCGGGAGTAAAGTTGAAATAAATGTATTTCTGGACTGATATATGTAACTAAGAATAAAACTCAACCTCGATAACAAATATCAAGTGCTCCAGCCAATCACAGTACACAATAAAAGATAAAATCTCCCAAAATCGCTGTTGAGAAACAATTTTTTCGATTTGAGCAACGTTTTTAAATTGATGTTATTTTTGTCAGAAACCAACCCATTCCATAATTCCTTTCAAATTAGTTATCGGAAAGGTTCTAGGTAAACCTCCAATCATGTATTTTGACTATACAGAACCTAGGTTTCAAGTATTGGGACAATATGTCCGACAAATGGCAGCGTGCCGAGGTGAAATTTTCCCCGAAGTTCTACAAGATTTCCCAGGTCGCAGAACCGACCAGATTAAGAGATATTGGTTCCAATTTACTCGTTAGGGACCTAATTAAGTATTTTGAAAACGATATACAAAAAACTGTTCTAAATTTGAAAATAATATTGAATTATAGCTGTCCACGTATTTATGGCGCACCCTGTATGTTGAATTGGAAGAAAAAATGGGCGGAGTTTTGGAAAAATGGAAAAAATGGAGGAAAAAAGATTGATTTTCATTATGAGGATGGGTTGTTAGAAGGGGAAACGGGGGTAATAAAAATTGAATCAGAATTAGAAATTGAAATTGAGGAAAAAAATGGAGAATTTTGAATTTGGAAATACTGTAGTGCTTGAAGAAGATTTTTGAGAAATCACTTGCGTAAGGGATTAATGTTGAAAATGATAAAAAATAAATTATTGCAATTTTGAAACAGTAGATTTTCCTGTTGTCTTTTTTATATGGAATACCTCGCGTACACATCAAGTATACAAAAATAAAATACAATTTAGGAAAATTTTGAAACAGTAAATTCTTTCACGAACATCATATTGAAATTCTACAAAGTTCCAAATATTTATGAGAAATTTGAAACAGTGAATTTTTGAGAGATTCAAAAGTTACTTAATTTTTCAGTCACACCAAAATTACACATATCAAAACAAGAAAGTGTCTAAAAAAAGATATGAAAATTTTGAAACAGTGAATTTTCGGTTTTGTTTCAACAATAAGTTATATCAGATAGCTTAGAAAAATAAAAACAATACAGAATTTTAGATTTTCAATAAAAACTCAATTTTTCTGGAACTCCAAAACAACATTGACTATCAAAATCAACTAAGAGCTTCAAAAAAATGGGAAAATTTTGAAACAGTGAATTTTTTCACATCGAAATTGTTTATATTTTCTAGGAAAAAATCAGTGAATTTTTCAAGATTTAAGTGTTTGCAATTGTAAAAAAGCGAAATGCATATAAAACTCAAAGTAACATGAAAATTTTGAAACAGTGAGAAATTTAAAATTTTGGCCACTGAAAAATCCTACTGAAAATTTGATATTTATTTTATCAAAACTAGAAAGAATAGTCTAATAAAACCAATCGGAAAAATTAGGGATATTTTGAAACAGTGAATTTTTCTCCTGTAAATCAATATATAATTTTATTTCTAAAAATTATATATTAATTTACAGTACCTTCCTTCACAAAAATTATTCAAAAGAACAATAGAATAAAATCAAAAAAATAAAATAAAATTATCAAATGTTTTTTTGTGATTGGCGCGCTGATTTGATATGAATGAATTAAATAGAGACGCGCGCCGCGCCAAGCAAATTACGAATTAATGCAATGACTTTTTTCTCTCTCTATTATTTGTCAATTTAGGGTTAACTGAATTCGAGAACATCATTTTTGGTTCCTAATTTCGACATTTTTATTTTCAAATTCCAGTTCAGGGTCAAAAATTTCCCGAATGAGCCAAGGCTACATTTCCTTTGAAGTTTTGGATGAAAAGAAGAAGCTTTTGAAATTTTGAAGCAAGGTCACGGGGTTTTGTTCGCGAGTATGGGAAGGTTATTTAGATTTGTATTTGTCATATTTTGGGGAAAAAAATATTTGAGAAGAAAATTTGGGGAAACGTGGATTTTTGGCACAAATTCAAATTCAGGTTCGGCTAAACAAGATTTAGAGTAACTCAAATGTCCCGTGCATTTTTGAGCACAAAATCCTTTGGCTCAAAAATTTCAGAATTTTTTAAATTTTCTAGCTCCACGAGCTCAATTTGCCACGTGGATTTCTGGGCTCAAAATAAGACTTGAAAATTTGAATTGCCACGTGGCATTTTGAAACCAAAAAAATTAACTGTTTCAAATTTTCGATCAAAACAAATCTAGCATAAATCGCCACGTGGAATTCTAATGCCGTTAAAAAAGTCCACTGTTTCAAAAAATTTCGAAACACGAAAAAAAATGTGAAAAAAAAGACATCGATGTTTCTCAAATATGACTTGTACAAATATACAATAACTCATCATTTTCCCCTCGTTTTTTTTCCTACTTTTTTTGCTCCGAAATTCAATAAATCAACATCGGCTTCTTCTTCCCGCGCGCGCGAAAAATTACTAACTTATTTTATAATAAAACATATGTATGTATGTTAGAAAGAAAAAGCAAAGAAGAAAAAGGTTTGTACTGGCTAGTGTCATCTTTTTTGCGAGCAGCGCTAAAAACAAATATGAACAATTTAAGTATATTATTTTATATTATCTACTTATTTACAATGTTTTTTTGGAAACTATCAAATTTCATTCACACGTTCATCACGACCCTAATTGATTCTCATATGAAAAACACCCATGGTTTCCAAAAGGGTCGCATAGCTCAGTGGCAAATCTCCAGCTTTTTGCGCGCGAAGCCATGGTTCGAATCCCCATGCCCCCTACTTTTTTTTCTTTTTTTTTCTCAAAGAAAAAAAGATATTTAAATTGGTATAAATAAAATATTCATCATTTTCAATTTAAACAAAGAGAATTCCGACCGCCACCAAAAAGACAGTAATTTGTCGCAAAAAGGACAATTATTCATGTTGTTGAGCGGATTATTTTACATTTTCTTCCCCCATTTTTTTCTCAATTCATTTTATTTGGAGAAAAAAGGCAAATGGAAGTCCCAAACTTAGCTTCTTTCCAATTTTCACCGAGATTGAAGAAAAAACAATAAAAAAAATGCTTTCGAGTATATTTATTTATTTATTTATCCATGCTCATCTCTTTTTATTTCAAAAAAAATTCCCCTGAGAACTACCATGGATCCTCCTTTTCTCTTTTCGTTTTTTTTTCAAAAAAAAATAGAAAAAGGCGCCAATTATTTGATATACGGTATGTCATTTGATATGAATTGGATATGGAAAAAATTCTTTTCTTTGTGGAGCACAAAATATATCTTATATGTAAGGGATTATATATATAACATATAGAAGAGCAAAAAAAAGAAGAGGAAAATAATAGGAATATAATGTGTTTTATTATAGAATGGGCCAAAAAGAGGAATAATTAGAGAATTTTTTGAATTTGTATGCTAAACTTTTTTGCATTCATAAGGAATATCAATTTTTGGATAAAATTTTTGATGAGAAATTTGGGAGGTCAGAAAGTGTACAAGTGAAGTTTATGTAAAAAAAAAAGAATGGACGACCAAACGAAATAATTTTTGTACAAAAATGTTAATGGGAATTTTGAAACAGTGAATTTTTGACACTGAAAATAAATCAAAACGATGATGAGATTCGGCTCGAAAAATTGGAAAAGTTTTGAAACAGTGAATTTTTTCTTCGAAATTTTCAAGTTTGAGTAAACTACTTGGATCGACATAAAATTATTTCCACAGAATTTCGAGAAATTTTGAAACAGTGAATTTTTCTAATAATAAAAATTATTTTGCGATAATCGAATAGTTATGCCATCAAACTCAAAATTTATGGAAATTTTGAAACAGTGAATTTTTATGAAATAAAAAATTACATTGAAGTTATCTAAACACAAAAAAAGAACCCTATACAAGTGAAACGGAAATTTCCAGAAAAACTTTGAAATTCTGAATTTTTTCTCTTTAAAATTTGTTTTTCCAACAAATCAAGAAATATCAAACTCAAAATTTCAGAAGAAAAATTCATATAATTTTTGAAACAGTGAATTTTTCTGATTTTACGAAAACTTATTTTTCAAAAAAATTTGATTTTATTTTGATCAGTGGATTGTCTTAAACATCGAAACTTATAGAAATTTTGAAACAGTGTATTTTTAAACTATAAAAACAAAATTCAGAATATGAATTCTAAATACTGTATCCACACTATTTTTCAAAACCCTGAAAATTTCGCAAAGTTCCCCAGACAAAAGCAAAAATCAATGAAAATTCTGAAAATTGCGACATCGTCTCTCGCTAATCTTCTCTTCTTCTTTTTCTAACAAATTTTTTGACATTCGCCCTCTGCGCACAAAAAAATAGCACACAAAACAGAGAGTCGTGCGTTTCCCTTCCAAAAGCTCCGCCCCATTTTCCAAAAGCCGCCCAATAATATTAATAATATGACTACAGTAGGCACAAATATTGCTTGGCTTGTTTGAAGGCGTGGTTTTGAGAAGGAAAAATGGGGGGAAAAGAAGGCTGTGAGGGTTAATTAAAAATTTGATTTTCGCAACGCTTGGCGAAAAAAAGAGAAAAAAAGGAAATTAATTCTCATAGATTTTGAAATGATGATTAGAAAACGAAAAAGAATAGAAAAAATAATTAAATGGTTTATGACTTAAAATTTTTCTTCTCTTTTTTTTCGCTATATAAAATGACCTTTCACGGTAGGTTTTCAGGGGTTGAGAAAATTTGAAATAGCCGTGGAAAAAAAAAAATAAAAACCATCGCCCGCAGCAAAACCCGAACCCTTGACCTCTCGCGCAGCAATTCAGCACACAACCACTGCGCCACGCGCTCACGTTTCGATTTCATTTGATTTGTCATATTTATTATTCCCGTTTGAAAATCGAAAACAATTAAAGGCACATACAAATGAATAAAATATAAGATTTGTGCTCTTCTTCCTGTTTTTGCTCTCCTTCAAATATATTTGATTTTGCTCGTCTCTTTTTTTTCGCCTTCATATATTTTATTATTCAATATTGTCAATCAAAATACACACCCTTTCCTCAAAATCCACCCAAAACAGTTGGCGGAAAACGGGAGGGCGAAAGGTGAAAGTCGTAAATATTATGGCTTTTTCTTCTCGAGAATTACACTAAAAATATAAAGTAATAATTTATGCGTACACCAAAAAAACGTGGTTTTTTCAAAAAAAAATATTTAAATCAATAAAAATACCAAAGGGTTTGGAAGAAACGGGGATTAAAATCGAAAAAATCGGAGGAAAAATCACAGGCGACAAAAAAGAGAACAAATTTTTTTTTAGAAAAAATGGAAATGGAGGCAAACGTCTGGCTTTTACAAAAAAAAATTAGCAGAAAGAAAAACAAAAAGTTCTAACTAAAGAGTTATCTGGGAGTGTTAAGAAGACGTTCGACGGCCGCATTCAAATCGCCAAACGATGCGGTTAGCGCGGCAATGTTTGCGGCGCGGTTGGAGAATCCCATGCTTTGGAGTTGCTCCAATTGAGCAGCGTATTGTTGTTCGGGATTGACGGCGGCTGGAGCAGCGGCGGGTGCCTGGAAAATTTGAGAATTTTGTGGTTGGATTTGGGGGGGCTGAATTTCAAAGCGGGAGCTCAATTTTTTTCAGAAAAAAATCAATAGTGCACTAGAGAGTTTGCCCTTTCTGTTTCCGGTGAAGAAATGAAACTTGTTTTCAGAAAAAAGTTTGAATTTTGAAAATTCCAGAAAAACAGACATTCTTGTGATTTCTGCAAAACTTCTTCGGAGTAATCCAAAGTAGTGAAAAACCGGCGTGATTTCTGACAGCCTTCTCTCAGATAACCTTTTCTAGCTAATGTTTCAAAAGTTTCCCAAATCCAAAGTCCATTTCTATCCCCATTTCCATCTTCCACTCATGATTTTTCATTTTCAAAATCCATCCCACATACAATTGTTTTCTCATCATCAAGAAAGAAAATATGATATCTGAAGCATGGAAAAAATGTCCAAATTGAATTGTAATTTGATGCCCAAATTTATCCCATCTCAACATTAATTCCATCTTCCCCTTCTTCTTCCTCTCCTGGAAGAGCTTCGACACAACTTTTGGCTGTTGTTTTAATAATAATAATTCGCACCTTGTGTCGAAATATTAATATTTTGACCTGCTCTGCGAGTTTAAAGCCGCGCGAGCTTTTGATGTCTGACGGCACGATCAATCAGTTTTTGTTGATAAATCGAGTAGATGATTAGTTTTGTTCGTTCGAAAAATATAATAAAAAAAAGCACAACTGTTGTTGCATTTATACATAATACATCATTAAGCACTCGACACACAAAAAGGGTAAACCGCCGTGTGTCGGTAGGTAGACAACAAAAAACCATGGGGGGAACACGAACGGGTTTCGTGTGTTGAACCGATTGATGCGTGATTTATTGGAATGTGAAAAGCTATGGATATTTTCATTGCATTTTTCGAAATGTTGCGGTTTTTGGTGAAACAAATTGAAGGGATACGGTGGATCAATTGGGCGTGAAAGAATTTTTTGGAGCTTTTTGTTGGCGACTGGGTAGGATTTTGTGAAATTTTTGAAACGTATAAATTCGAGGAGTTTGAATCTAGAACATTTTGACTAAGAAACCAAGCATCTTGAGAAACTCTTCGCTTCTTTCTCGAAAATTCAAAAAACATGCTCCTGACTACATACATAATAACATAGACCTGTCAAACATCATTTGATGCACGTCAAGCTGTCATCGAAAACTATATATCCTCAATTCCAACCTAATTCCAATCCCATTTCGTTTCCATAATCCGTTCATTCTACCGTACCCCAAATTTTCAATTTGCCAAAATAAAAAAAACTCGTCGAAAAAGAAGGCTCCTGATTGAAAATACATCTTCTTCTAACAAATTAACATTTCCTTGGGGGATTCAACCAAAAACAATTTTATAGCCATACACACAACGACCGGAGCACCAAAAACTTAATTGTTCAATTACAACATTCTTTCCTTTCCTTCTTATTCATTTGTTTTCATAATATTAATAAAAACAAATAGAAGAAACATGAGGGAAAGAGGAAGAATTATCCATAATTACAAGAATCTTTGCGTCAGATGCGCGAGAAACACGAAGGGAGAGAGTCTTTTATTCAATTTATGCATTACACCACAACATACTTAGGTTGTGACAACATGCATTAAGTGATACAACAAGGCTCCAACACACACATGTTCTCAAGAAAATACCCTAATTAATGAGATGATGATGATTGAAATTATTGTTTTCCTATATATGTCTTTTCAAAAACTACAGGGGGGGGGGGAACGATTTCAGAAGCCCAGAATTTAGGAGGTTTCGAGATAAAGTTCTGGAAGACTTATGCAAAGTCTAGATCCATCAATGAAGACTAGAGCTTCTAGTTCAGCTTCTGCCTAGTTTTCAGACACTTCAGGTCGGCCTAAGGTCTTGAAGGCTTCCGAATATGAGACAAACTCTGGTAGTCTAATCCTTGAGCAACTCGAGCTTAGTCCAGCTTGGGATCAGGCTCTACCCGACTTGTAAGATTTCGAGAAGCCCACCTCGGCCAATCCGTGGTTGGTCAAAGTACAATTTTGAAAAAAATTGAGAGACCAAAACTGAAAAATTCACAGTTTTCATACTTGTAAAAACTTAGAGTTAAAACTATTTTGGCCGAGGTGTGAGTTCGAACCGAATTGATTGAAACTTCGGAGAAGTTACTGTCAGGAACAGCCTATAGTCAGCTCGAATCACGGAGGCCCGAGGTATCCGGCCCTTTTACAAAGACCCTAAGGCTTCAGGAAAAAGCCAAGCAACAGTCAGGTGGGAGACTAGACCGTCCAAAAAGATTCCGATCTCTCAAGAAACATGTCCGATCAATTTATAACCACCGTAATCCCACTTGAGTTGTGCAACAAAAAGTGCAAAAATTTCGCGGTCTTTCAAAATCCGATAAATCACAACTTCTTTTTGGCTACCAGTTCTTTCTTTGTACACCCTTCATAAATCTCCGAGAAAAACACTCGACACCACACAAATGATAATAAATTATTTGTTTCTATTCATTTTCGCCACCTTTCTCTCTTTTTTTTCTTGTGGCGCTCACAACGAACACATTTTTTGACAATTTTTTTGAAGAAGTCACGAGAAGAAGATATGAGGGATTGTTGAAAGGAGCAAAAACAAAAAAAAGAAGAAGAAGATTTTTAACATTGATAATACGAGACAATTAATTGATATTTCTATGATGACAACTGATGATCGAATGTCACAACAAATAAAATGAAAAGGTGTAAATATTGAGACTTTTTGAGCGACGAGAGAGGGATTGGCACCATTTTGTAATATTCCAATTATTTTGATAGAGTTATGACGGGGGGATTTTGGTGGATGGTTTTAGCTTCTAGAAAACAAGAGTCAACTGAATTGAAATTTCCGAAGAAATTTTTCCAAATTTATAAATTTGAGCAAGATTTCTAGAACTTCAGAGTTTGGTAAAATCCAAAATTCCGATTGGAACAGAAAGATCGGAGAACATTAAAACAAAATCTATAACTTGTTAACGTCAAATTCAAACCATATTTCAGCTCAGAATCACCAGAAAATCAAGCAACATTCCAGTTTGAAAATCCTGATCTAGACAGGGCTCGAGACACACGACATCTCAATATTCAAGAGTACAAGCTGCTTTCCCAAGTTTCTAGAGTTGCAAAATTCTATCAACTAGAACTTCAGAACTCCAGAAATCCGAAAACAATTGGCCAAACGAAGTCAACACGTGGATTTCTAGGCGATCTACAGTATCCCAATCTAGACAGAGCTCCGATGAACTAGGCAATCGGGATATCAAAGTTCAGGATTATATATAAAGCTTCCAAACTTCATTCCTAAGTTTCTAGAGCCAGAACAAGTTTAGAACTTTGTCGCAAAATCATGTCTAGAAAAGTAGAACTTCAGAAGTTCAGAAATCCAAAACCTCGTCAATTTTCAGATTCCACGTGGATTTCCAGACAATCTACAGTAATCCTCTCCAAAAAAGCCTCTCTTCCGCTGCTCCCCTCATAAAGCGCGGATACATCAAATGCTCGAGAATCCCATTACAGTCTATTTATTCCATCTGTCACCGCTTATAGTTAATAAAAAACACACACAAACAGGCAGGCGGCTCAATTCAATTAGCCACTCTTTCAATTTCGAATTTCATAATACCTCGACCGGAAACCCAGCTGTCTTGTAGAAAGCAGCATAAAAAGAACAGATTAACAACAATTGTATAAGCGGTTCTTCTTTTTTGCTTCCTCTTCTGTTGCTCCGCTCCCTTCTATCTCATTTTGCCCATCTCTCGCGCACTATTATATTACACAACACAACCTATTCTCATGCCTCCCCCATCAAAAACAATCGTTTAATGAGAGCATCAAGAAAATATGTTTAGGGAGGGGGCAGAAAATAGCAGCAAACACAATAAAATGCATCATGTAAATTTGATATCAGATTAGCATTTTTGTTGGTTGGGGGGACATGACATTTGATACTCTTTTATACAATGTTTCGCTTCGTTTCGGATAAATATGTTGCCAAGAATTTCGGGAAGGGAACAATTAATTTGATTATGAAAGAGCAAGCTTGGAGCAAAAGCCAGGGATTTCTAGGGACTTAGAGCTCTGGACTAGAAACATTGGAGTTATGGTAAATTTTGAAAATTGGAATTCTCTGGCGGAAAATCCTAATTGCAATCCAAATTTTCAGAATTTCTAGAAAAAACCAAGTTCTTCAAATCTTCAGTTTTACCGATTTTTAAGGGAAATCGTACAAACGTTTCTAGAGATCAAAAAAATTCAGAAGTTAATTTCAAAAATTCTGAATTTTCAAGCTAACAATATTCTGAAATATGTGCTTTTTGAAATCCCCAGAACTTTATTTTCCAGAATCTGGAATTCAGATCCAAACTAAAATTTGAACAAAACCAAATTCTGGGGTAAAAAAAATGGGCCGAAGCCAATTTTCAGACCAAAAAAATCTAGGAAAACTCAAGTTTTTTTCAACTTCAGCTAAACCTGTCTAAGCTATTCCTAGGTTTCAGAATCTGAATTTTCAAACTGAACTTGAGGATTTCCATTCCACGACTCCAAAAACAATGAACTTCTGCTCCTCAAAAAGAATATTCATCTATCTATTTCTCCATGCCAATGTGTCCTTTTCTAATATCATTTTATTTTTATGCGCCCATCATTCACACATGTACACACACATTTGAAAATTAATCGAAAAATGGATATATATCCATGTATGTCGAATATATAATAAAAAACGAAAAACGACGAAGGATGGGCAACGAGAAAAAAAGGGTCGCGGAAAAAAATGCGACACAAAATTGAAAAATCTGATTTTTATATGCTTTGGCCAAATTATTGTCTTTTGTTTCATCGGAGAAGGAAAACGGGCTCAAAATTGACTTCAAAATACTGTGCAGGGGGAAATTTAATGAAAAATCTCAATGAAAAAATTCGAATTATTTCCTGAATTTTCTACGTTTCAAAATATTTTGAAATTTTTTTCTTGGAATTTATTAATTGATGAATCAACTTTGTTTTCAATATTTTTCGGAACCTTCAATATTTTTCGGAAAAAAAATCTGGAAAAAATCAGGATCGTTTTTCTAAGTTTCAGAATATTTGAAAATTATTTTGTAACTCAAATTTGCAACCTTAGAAACAGTGAATTTTCGCAAGGCCAAAAATTTCTCTTTTTTTGTTTCTACTAATTGAAAATGAGCAAAAAGAGCTCATCATCTTCATCTTGACCACCAAAAAAAACCAAATTCCAACATTTTCTCGTGTGTTTGTTTGCGTGATTGATTGAAAATGAATGACGAGAAGATGAGCCAATGCGATACATATTCAGAAGCACAAGAACATGCCCAAAAAAATTCGGAGGAAAAAAAAAAAGAAATAATGATACACTCGGGAATTCATTGTTTTTCAAACACACGACAACGAGAAAAAACATATTAGATCTTCTCATTTTTCCATTTTGATTTATTAAATTTCAAATTATTAGATGGATGAGTCGAGATTTGAGATAAGCCAAAAAATGCTCGAAGGGAAGAAGAGCATAAAAAGTAGTCAGGAAAAATGGAAAATAAGGATGAGGAGGAGGAAAAATTAAGTGTGTTACATATTTATGGACCAGATAAAAATGAAGGAAAATATAGGGACCATCTAGATTTTTTAAAATTACATATAGAGTTTATTGTTGGAATCGGTCGCTTAAATTACAATTTCTTCAACTGAAAGTTTTGAAACAGTGAATTTTTTTAAACAAAAAACAGAATTTTTGAGGTGACAATTTTTCGAACCACTTTCTCCTAAAACAATTTCTGACAGATTTTAATAGACAAATTCAGCAGCATAAAAATTAAAAATTCTTTAACTAAAAATTCTGAAACAGTAAATTTTTCCTCAACAAAAAAACTTAGAAATTTTGAGTACAACACATTTTTTCCAATTTTAATATTTCCATCATGAATGTGAATAGAAGCATCAAAAATTAAAATTTCTTCTGTTAACTAAATTTTGAAACAGTAAATTTTTTACAATTTCAAAGGTGATTTTTGGAATTTTTGACTAACAATAAAACTCAAAATTTCCAAATTTTCACGGAAAAATCGTTGAAAATTTCAAATAAAAAATTTTTTAACCCTTCAAATTATTTTGAAACATAGAAAATTAGGAAATTTCGATCAAGATCTAAAATTATTCACTGTACTGTTGAAAAATGATCAAAAAACAATTTGAACATTTCCTGAAACCTATAACATCCAGGATTTTCTCATGAACCATATTTTTAAATGTCAGTGAGATTAACTGTGACGCAATGTGCTAAAAAATTCTAAAACTCATTCATGAAAATTTTGAAACATATAGAACCCAGTAATTTTTCTAGCGCTTAAAATGAGCAATGTTTCCGAGCTACCGTATATGATAATTGTTGCCTTCTCCAATTTTCCCTCTATTTTTCACCCTCACATTATCTCCTCATGTCAAAAATGTTGTACATAATTCAGAACACTTTTTGCTTTTTCTCAAAAGACGACGACAACTTCCGACTCATCACTTCTTTTTCCAACAAAAAAGGGGACTTTTCAAATAAGAAGAAATAAAATAAAATAAAAAAGAGAGGGGGGACGATTGAAAAAATCGAGGCAAGATTGAAATAATTAATCATTTCAAAAATCTATTATTTACACTTTGCCAGGCATGGAAGAGAGAAAGACACCAGCTAATTGTATGTTCCATTTTTTGTACAGCTGCATGCACACTTTTCAAATTATCTCAATCATGAATAATACCGTATTATGTGTGAATTTTAGATTTGTGTGGAGAAGAAACAGAAATAGGGATCTAAGGGTCCAGAAAATCCCGGAAAAAACTCACAGCTGCACCACCAAATCCAGCATTTCCAAACATTTCAGCCAATCGATTGATATCTGGAGAAGCCGCCGCTGTTCCAGAAGGTCCAGTGAAGTTTCTGCAAAAAAAATATTGAGAAATTAGGACTATGGCTTTAAAAGTGATTTTGAGCCCAAAAATTAGAAGATTCGAAATTTGAAGCGGAAAATTCCAATTTTTTTAATTTTTCAAATTGAAATTTAAATAGTATATTTTCACCTTTTATTTCTACAGATTTAAAATTTTTGTCCAAACTAATTTTTTTCCGAAAAGTTTCTGATCTTCTAATCAATTTCTCAGACCTCCAACATTCATTTGTACTTTGATCAAGTTAGTTCAAATACCAAGCTGTTTTTCTTGTTCTTTAATCGTCTTGGTCACACACCACGTATATTTATCATCATTTACAAAACTATATAAACAGAGAGAAACTACCAGATTTTTATCTATCTTGTTGAAAAAAAAACTATGGGTCGGTTCACTGATAAAGTCGCAATTATTACTGGCTCCTCTAATGGTATTGGAAGATCAACTGCTATTATTCTAGCGAAAGACGGTGCAAAAGTAACAATTACTGGAAGAAATGCTGAACGGCTTGAAGAGACAAAGCAGCAAATTATATCCGCTGGTGTAAGTGCTGATAATATAAATTCAGTTGTTGCTGATATCACAACTTCTGCTGGACAAGATCAAATAATCAATTCAACTATTCAAAAATTCGGAAAAATCGATATCCTCGTGAACAATGCTGGCGCTGCAATCACCGATCCTTCTGGATCAAGTGGACTCGCGCAAAACATTTCAGTCTATGACAAAACTTTTGAGCTAAATGTGAGAAGTGTGATCGAATTGACACAAAAGGCGAAACCACATTTGATCGCATCAAAAGGAGAAATCGTAAATGTTTCGAGTATTGCAGCAAGCCCACAATCAGTAAGTTATTTCTCAACAATTTTCTGGATTTTTTTTCCAAATAAAAAATTTTTAGCATCCAGACTTCAACTATTACTCAATGTCCAAGGCTGCCTTGGATCAATTCACAAGAAACATCGCAATCGAATTAGTCAAAAGTGGAATTCGTGTAAATTGTGTAAATCCAGGATTGGTGATAACCGGTTTCGCTCAAGCAATGGGTGCACCAGTTGAAGTATCAAGTAAACTCTACAGTTATATGGGATCACATCCCGATTGTGTTCCGATTGGTCGAGTTGGTCAACCAGAAGATATTGCAAATATTATCGCCTTCTTAGCTGATCGCTCCGCCTCATTTTATATAATCGGTCAAACGATCACAGCCGACGGTGGATCAACATTAGTTATGGCAATGAATACACACAATCTCACTGATCTTTTGCAAAACAAATAATTTTTTGATTTTCTGGTTACTCATTGTTCTATGATCTTTTCCGATTTTTTATTTCTCACAAAACAAACTGTGACCTTTTTTATGTGTATAAAAGTTGTGTGAATAAACAGAAATATTTACTATACACTCTTTTTCTGTCAACTTTTTCTGTCGACCAAAAAATGGCACGCTTTTCAAATAAAGTCGCAATCATCACTGGTTCTTCAAATGGAATCGGAAGAGCGACTGCTATTATTCTGGCAAAAGATGGTGCAAAAGTAACAATTACTGGAAGAAATGCTGAACGTCTCGAAGAAACAAAACAACAAATAATTGCAGCCGGAATTGGTTCAGAAAACATTAATGTAATTGTTGGAGACATTACAACAACCGAGATTCAAGACAAAATAATCAATTCAACAATCGAAAAATTTGGAAAAATCAACATCCTTGTGAACAATGCTGGTGCTCCATTTATGGATAGTGTCGGAACTCTTGGATTCAGTCAAGATATTTCAATCTACGATAGTACTTTTGAATTAAACCTGCGGAGTATTGTAATTCTAACTCAAAAAGCGAGACCATATTTGGAAGCAACTAAAGGTGAAATCATAAATGTCTCCAGTATAACTTCCGGACCACAAGCGGTAGGATCTAAAGTTTCAGATTTCAAAGATAACAATTTTTCAGCATTCTGGAATTCCATTCTACTCAATGTCAAAAGCCGCACTCGATCAATTCACAAGAAACATCGCAATCGAATTAATTCCCTTTGGTGTTCGTGTAAATTGTGTTAACCCAGGTTTAGTTGTTACTGGTTTTCCTCAAGCTATGGGAACACCTTTGGAAGCATCAAAAACAATCTACGATTTTATGGGTTCAAATCGTGATTGTATTCCAATTGGAAAAACAGCGGATCCCTCAGATATTGGAAATATAATTGCATTTTTGGCCGATCGTAGTCAATCTTTCTACATTGTTGGTCAAACAATTCAAGCCGACGGTGGAACAACTTTAATTATGGCAATGAATACTCATAATTTAATGGAACTTTTGAAATAATATTTTAAAACTTCACAATAAATCTTTAATCCTCAAAATATGTTTTGCTGGACAAATTTGAATAATCGCTCAATTTTTATTTTGAAAAAAAAAGTGTTTTTTGTAGTCAACTCGATCTCTGACCACTTTTACATCTTTCCTATCAAAATTGTTTGGAAATCATCCAGGTGTGATGGGGCGTCCAAAAAAATTTTCATTTTTTGATTTTTGGACGCCCCATCAATCCTCAAATCAAATTGTCGGGGGGTAAATTCGAACGCTCGCTCGATTTTTATTTTTTAAGAATGTGTTCTTTGTAGTCAACTTGAACACAAGCTTTAGTCACAAAAAACACAACAATTTTGGAAATCATCCAGATGTGAGACCACGATCGAGAAAAAATAAACACACAGAGGAGGGCACACACCACGAGATGTGATTTGATATAAATAGTAAGCAGTTTTTCTAAACATTCAAAAATGCCTCGATTTTCGAACAAGGTTGCAATTATTACTGGTTCTTCAAATGGAATCGGTAGAGCGACTGCTATTATTCTGGCAAAAGATGGTGCAAAAGTAACAATTACTGGAAGAAATGCTGAACGGCTTGAAGAAACAAAACAACAAATTATTGAGGCAGGAATTGATTCCAAAAACATCAATTCAATTGTGGGAGATCTAACATCTATTGAGATTCAAGATAAACTCATCAACACAACCATTCAAAAATTCGGCCAAATTGATATTCTCATTAACAATGCCGGTGCTGCAATTATTGACCCAACAGGAAGTACTGGAATTGATCAAAATGTCTCGATTTACGACAAAACTTTTGAATTAAACGTGAGAAGTATTATCGAGTTAACTCAAAAAGCGAAGGCACATTTGATTGCATCAAAAGGGGAGATTATAAGTGTATCAAGTATTGCATCTGGACCTGAAGCAGTGAGTTTTCCTTCATGTTTCTCGGCAGAAAAAATTAATAATAATTCTAGCATTCTCAATTTCCCTATTACTCAATGTCCAAAGCTGCATTAGATCAATTCACAAGAAACATCGCAATCGAATTAGTCAAAAGTGGAGTTCGTGTAAATTGCGTGAATCCTGGATTAGTAAAAACTGGAATCATTCAAGCAACCGGTGCTCCCACTGAAGTATCAGATAAACTCTACGAATTTCTTGGTTCGAATCCCGATTGTGTTCCAATTGGTCGAGTTGGTCAACCAGAAGATATTGCAAATCTAATCGCATTTTTGGCTGATAGATCAGCCTCATTTTACATAATCGGTCAAACAATTAAAGCTGATGGTGGATCATCATTAATGTTGGCTATGAATACTCATAATTTGACAGATTTTCTGAAATAAATTGTTTCGTGTTACTTTGATTGCAACAAGACACACACCACAAAGTTTATTGTTTCTATCTATCTTCTTTTTTCTCTGATATAAATAGCGAACAATTTTCAAAACTTGTGCCAAAAAATGTCTCGTTTCACTAATAAGGTTGCAATTATTACTGGTTCATCAAATGGAATCGGAAGAGCAACTGCAATTATTCTGGCAAAAGATGGTGCAAAAGTGACAATTACTGGACGAAATGCTGAACGTCTCGAAGAAACAAAACAAGAACTTCTGGGTGCTGGAATTAGTGCTGATAATATAAATTCAGTTGCGGTTGATGTTACAACTTCTGCTGGACAAGATCAACTTATAAATTCAACAATTCAAAAATTCGGAAAGCTCGACATTCTCGTCAACAATGCTGGAACTGGGGTAGCCGATCCTTCTGGAACAACTGGAATTTCCCAAAACATTTCAATCTACGATAAAACTTTTGAGTTGAATGTGAGAAGTGTTATTGAATTGACACAGAAAGCAAAACCACATTTGATAGAATCAAAGGGTGAAATCGTCAATGTCTCTAGCATTGGATCCGGACCACAATCAGTAAGTTTCTTTTTGAAAACATTCTGAATTAGTTGACGGGAGTATTTTCAGCACCCAGATCTTCCATTCTATTCCATGTCAAAGGCCGCAATCGATCAATTCACAAGAAATATCGCAATCGAGTTGGCCAAAAAGGATGTTCGTGTGAATAGCGTGAATCCAGGATTAGTTCAAACTGGTATAATGCAAGCGATGGGTGCGCCAACTCAAATATCGGATAAACTTTACGAATATCTTGGTTCAAATCGTGATTGTATACCAATTGGAAGACATGGTTATCCAGAAGATATTGCAAATATAATTGCATTTTTGGCTGATCGTGAAGCTTCGTTTTACATTGTTGGTCAAACGATAAAAGCAGATGGTGGATCAACTTTAGTTATGGCAATGAATACACACAATCTCACTGATCTATTGAAATAAATTGTTATATTTACTTTTATAAGTTCATTAGAGGAATCTCCATACCCGAAAACGCAGAAATCCATCAACACCCCGAAAACCAGGAACTAATTTTTGAACGAAAACCGGTTTGAAATGAGTGCGCGACCCAAAACAAACAAGTTTCGCTCGGTTTGTTTTGAACAATATCCGAGTATAGTAGAAACAGATCCAATATTTATCTCTTTATATCATATTTTCGAATGATATAAAAAGCGAACAATTTTTTAATAGCATCATTCAATTGAATAGAAATGCCGCGATTCTCTAACAAGGTCGCAATCATAACTGGTTCATCAAATGGAATCGGAAGAGCAACTGCTATTATTCTGGCAAAAGACGGTGCAAAAGTAACAATCACTGGACGAAATGCTGAAAGGCTTGAAGAAACAAAACAACAACTTCTGGCTGCTGGAGTTAGTGCTGATAATATAAATTCAGTTGTTGCTGACGTCACAACTTCTGCTGGACAAAATCAAATAATCAACTCAACTATTCAAAAATTCGGTCAACTCGACATTCTCATCAATAATGCGGGAGCAGCTTTTAACGATCCAACTGGAGTCACCGGAATTCGTCAAAACATCGAACTTTTCGACAAAACAATCAATATCAATTTGAAAAGCGTCATCAAATTGACACAACTCGCAAGACCATATTTGGAGAAAACCCAGGGAGATATTGTTAATGTCTCTAGTATTGCCTCCGGACCACAAGCGGTAAGAGAAGATTTTTATTTATAGCGTTATAGAAACTTAAATTTCAGTACGCCACCTTCTCCTACTACTCCAATTGCAAAAGCGGCTTTGGGTCAATTCAGCAGAAATGCCGCTATAGAGCTGATAGAACACGGAATTCGAGTAAATTGCGTGAATCCTGGGTCAGTTGATACCGGATTTATGGGAGCAATGGATATACCAGATGCAGCCAAAAACAAAGTCTACGATTTCATGATGACCGACAAGCATTCTTTACCAGTTCGTAAAATTGGTAAACCAGAAGATATTGGTCATTTGATCGCATTTTTGGCCGACAAAACAGTTTCATCTTATATTATTGGTCAAACAATCACAGCTGATGGTGGAACAACTTTGATAAATGCTATGAATAGTCATGATTTCTTCGAAATGTTGCAAAAATAAATAGGGAAAAAAATTCACAAGAAATATCGCAATCCAGTTGCATAAAACGATGTTCGTGTGAAATGAATACACACAATCCTACTAATCTATTGAAATAAATTATTTTATTTACTTTTTTAAAAATCTAATTTCAAAGGTTCATGGATAGAAAAACTGATTGATATTTTCCCATCATAAATCAGAAACCGTGCCAAAAATTGCGATTCATTTTTTCAACCACTATCATATTTCTCCGGATTAAAATGCTTCACGAAAAACAGACCACGTTCGAAGTTAAAAGTAAACACACAAAACAAGACACAAACCACGAAATATACTCTCTTTTTATCATCTTTTCGATTGGTATAAAAGGCGAACAATTTTTTAATAGAATCATCATTCAATTGAGTAAAAATGCCTCGATTTTCCAACAAGGTTGCGATTATTACTGGTTCTTCAAATGGAATCGGAAGAGCGACTGCTATTATTCTGGCAAAAGATGGTGCAAAAGTAACAATTACTGGAAGAAATGCTGAACGTCTTGAAGAAACAAGACAACAACTTTTGGCTGCTGGAATTAGTGCTGACAATATAAATGCAGTTGTTGCTGATATCACAAGCTCCGATGGAAGAAATCAACTAATCAACTCAACTATTCAAAAATTCGGTCAACTCGACATTCTCATCAATAATGCGGGAGCAGGTTTCAACGATCCAACCGGAGTAACCGGAATTCGTCAAAGCATCGAACTTTTTGACAAAACAATCAATGTCAATTTGAAAAGCGTCATCGAATTGACACAACTCGCAAGGCCATATTTGGAGAAAACCCAGGGAGATATTGTAAATGTCTCTAGTATTGCCTCCGGACCACAAGCGGTAAGAGAAGATTTCTCATTGCAAAGTTATAGACACTTTAATTTCAGCACGCCTCTTTCTCCTACTATTCCATGGCAAAAGCTGCCTTGGATCAATTCAGCAGAAACGCGGCCATCGAGCTGATCGAACATGGAATTCGTGTAAATTGCGTAAACCCAGGAGCAGTTGATACCGGATTTATGGGAGCAATGGATATTCCAGATGCAGCCAAAAACAAAGTCTACGATTTTATGTTAGCCGACAAGCATTCTTTACCAGTTCGTAAAATGGGAAAACCAGAAGATATTGGTCATTTGATCGCATTTTTGGCCGACAAAACAGTTTCATCTTATATTATTGGTCAAACAATCACAGCTGATGGTGGAACAACTTTGATAAATGCTATGAATAGTCATGATTTCGTCGAAATGTTGCTTAAATAAATGAGGGAAACAATGATAGATGTAAATTGAAAATAAACTATTGGAAGATGAAATAGTTCTAGTCTTGAAAAATACAATCAAAAGTGAAAATTCAAATTTGTTCAATATAAAAACTTTGAAACAGTGAGATTTTTTTGCTGCAAAAATTTCAATAAATTCAACATAACTTGTCCAAAAACTTCTAGGATATTTTTTGAAATCAAAAATTGATTTAAAAAAAATTTATTTTTGATCTAAAGCATTCTGGAATTTTTCAAGCCAAAAAAAAAAAAGAATTTTGCAGTGACAAAAATTTACTGTTTCAAAATTTCCACATAAAAAATGTTAGTTTCTAATTTTGATCGATTGTTTCCGCCTAAAAACTCGACAAAAAAATTCTAAAATTTTCAGAAAAAAATGTTGAATTTTGACTCAAAATTAAACATATTGGCAGTGAAAAAATCTCACTGTTTCAAAATTTCCACATCAAAAAAAATGTCTAATTTTGATCCGGTGACGATAATCAGAAGTTTTCGGTCAAAAAACCTTTTCAGAAATGAAAATATCCTGGAATTTCTAGCCTAAAAAATATTTTTGGCTTAAAATTCAAAATTTAGCAGTGAAATTGTGCACTGTTTCAAATTTTTAAAATAAAAGAAATTCATTTTCTAATTTTGATTATTAGTTTGAACATAATTTTAAATTTTTGCAGTGAAGAAGACACTGTTTCAAATTTCCACCAAAAAAGTTCCCAAAAAAACTCACCCCATCATTCCAAGAAGTTGTGGCGCTTCAGTTCTCAAAATACTCACACCTTCTTGAATTTGTCGAAAAGCTTCAGCCACTCTTGGATTCTGCATAGCTTGAATCATTTCAGGATTTTCCATCTGCAAAAAACTTTATTTATTTATTGATGTGATTTTCAAAATCCAAATACCATTTCAAGCATTTCGGGAAGACGTTGTCTCATCAAATTACTCAATTGTGGATTTGCTTGTCCGGCTGGACTTGCTCCAATAATCGAATCCATTAGTGATGGATTACTTCGCATTGTTTCTCGCATTGTTCTCATCATTTCTGGGCTGAATAATGATCGAGTCATTTCGGGATTCGACATCATTTGTTGCATAAGTGAACTCATTCCGGGTGAGTTGAGCATTCCTGGAAAAATTGGAAATTTTGGCGAGAAATTTCACTTTTTTTTCGAACCCTGGATATAGGTTTGTGAAATATTTTTCTAAAATTTTCAGGTTTTTAGTTATGTCTCTCCAGAAATCCTGTGAAAATTGAGATTTTTGAAAATTATTAAAAATCTAGAAATTTTGAAACCCAGAAAATCAATTTGGCGAAAAATTTTGAATTTTCAAAATATTTTTCTAAAATTTTTTGATTTTCCGGTTTTTCAGAATCTAGGTATTCCATAATTTTAAAATCTTTCTATAAAAAATATAATGGGCCTATGCAGATTAATATTTTCAGACAGAAAAATTAATTATTCTGTCTGCGCTCTCTCAATTTCAAGTTTTCTCTCCTGAAAAATAATAAACTGTATATTTTGTTTTTCGACTTTTTCTGCATTGGAAAAATTAAGGTTTTTGTGAAATTTTCAGAAATTTCAAAATATTTTTCTACAAGTTTCAAAATTTACGGATTATTCTAAACTTATTTTTGTGTATCTCAAAAATCCCTCACCTCCCAATCCAGGCACCGGTGTTGGTTGTTGATTATTTCCCACACTCTCATTACTAGCCGTTCCTGTCGCAGCTCCCGCACCAGCTCCCGCCGGTGGTCCCCATGGATTCGGAAGTGCTTCACTATTCTCCTGTCCGGCTCGATCACTTCGATCTCTTCCCGCCTCATTTCTCAACGATGCAAATGGATTATTTCCGCCGGTTGTTGAGTTCAACAATGGTGCTTGAACATCGTTGTAAAGTCGTTCGAGGGCGGCTTCTCCGCCGGGGATTCCTTGAAGATTTCGCATTGCGAGATCGTGATTTCTCATCATTTCTTGGAACATGTTTGGATTGCGGATCATTTCCATTGTTTGCCGCATGATTGATGGATCGTTCAAGATATGACCGACTTCTGGATTTCTCTGGAAAAAAACAATGTTGAGTTGAAAATGAAACATATGAACGTTTGGGGAACTTTGGTCTAGAACTTAGGCTTGCCCAAAGAATAAGCCTGGGCCAAGACCTGCCGCAGCGTGGAAGAATCCAAATCTTGCAAAAAACAGTTGGCCTGTTCCAACTTTCACTCTAGATTTTTGTAAAAATATGTTTTCTAGTAATTTTGACCCACTGATAACGATCCCGCCATTTAAAATTGCAGAACTCAACTCCTAATATGAGTTATGACGTGACAAAGTTCGAAATTCTCGAAAAATTGGAACTTAGGCAGTTGAAAAATAGCTTTAAAAATGATTTTTTTTTGAAATTCTGATCAAAGCGTTGTTCAGGAGGCTCGAAATCAATTTTAAAGCTATTTTTCAACTCCGAATGTCCCAATTTTTCGAAAATTTAGCACTTTGCCACGTCATAATTCATATTAGGAGATGAGTTCTGCAATTTCAAATGGCGGGATCGTGATCAGCGGGTCAATAACTACTAGAAAACATATTTTTATAAAAATCTAGAGTGAAAGTTGGAACAGACCAACTATGTTTTGAAAGCATCCGATTCTTCCGCGCACCCGGAATTCTAGACCAAAGTTCTCCCCAAAATCCCAAAAACTCCCACCTCAAGCATTTGTTGAAATTGTGGATTCGATGTCAACATGGTTCGCATAAATTCCGGATTGCTCAACATACTTTGAACCATCGGATTATCCATCACTTGTCTCATCATTTCCGGATTATTCATCATTGATTGAGCCGATGGCATAGCTCCGGCTCCAAAAATATTTGGTGTTGGTTGTTGTGGTGTTGGCTGGGTTGGTGCAGCTGCTGCTGGAGCTGGACGAGGAGCCGCAGCACTTCGGACCACCAAATGAACTGTGTATCCATCACCGATTTCTGAATTTTTTATAAAAAATCCAAAAACATTTCCAAAAAAAAATAGAAAAACTCACTCAATTGGTCCAAAGTTTCCTCATCTTTCAGAATTTTACCAGTATAAATAACACATAATTGAGATTTTGTGGCGTTGGCGACTTTCGTTAATAGTTGATCTTTGAGCTCTGAAACTGTTGCTCCGGGCGCAATTTCGACATCATAAGTGGCTGTTGGTGTTTTTGCGTTTATCTTGATTAGATCAGTCATTCTGAAAAAAAATTAGATTTGAAAAAATAAAATAATATGCGAGGAATCTATACGAAGAATGAAGCTTCAGAGAATTTTCTCGAAAATTGCGAAATTCCAGTTTTGTTTTGTTGTTTTTTTTGCAAGGGACGAGAAAAACAAAAAAGAGCAATAATCGATTGTTTGGTTTTTTCGGCCAGAAATGATGATTTCTCTTCCTCGGCCGTAAAAAAAACTGGGCAGTTTAGAAGCGTGGCGAGACCAGTTTTTAGAAGCGACGAGAGATGTGGGCGGGGCTGCGGTTGTCATTGGCCACCAATCAGAAAACTACACATCTACCCCACTCACATAAAGCAGGTCGTCGTGCCAGTTTGTCAGAGGGCGACTAGCTTGATAATAATCGACGTGTTCATTCAAAAACTAATATGTATAAATTGGTTCGATTCAAACCAAATTATGCAAATTTATGACTTTTTTTAAAAAATTTTTCGCCCGTTTTTTGTCAAAAACTGTTGGGGAAAGCCTGTTTTTAATGGCGAAAGCGCGTTTTTTTCAAAAAAAAAATGAAAATAAAAAATCAAGGCGCACCGATTTACCACCCAAAAAACTTTCACAGCGAAAAACCCGCGGCGCACACGCAACGCTCCGGACGCACTTCATTCGGCCCCGTTGGAACTTTTCTCTCGTTTTTTCGTCCACTTTCCCACGTTTCGACCAATCGCACGTATCAAATTTCATCATCAAAAAATTGCAGGTAATGATCGGGGCAAAAACAGCCTTCTTCGCCACACTTTTGGCCGTTGCCTATGGTGCTGGAGCAGTTCTCGAGTACACTGATGGAAATTTCGATGATCTTATCAAGACTCACGAGCTCGCTCTCGTCAAATTCTACGCACCATGGTTAGTTTTAAGTGAATTTATTGTCATGGCAACGAAAGTCGTGTTTCAAAAATTCACAGCACGAGATGGGTTGAAAACAATGCATTTTGAATTATCTTGCTAAAATATGCATATAGAAAGGTTTTGAAATATGTGGAGAACTCATGGAATTTGTGAAAACTGAAAAAAAGCCAAGGAAAATAGGATTTAGGCCTATATCCTAGTTTCAGCTCTGTTTTTGTTATTCCATGGTTAGCGAAACGTGATCTTTGATTTTATTCCCTGCTCCTTCCTAAGCTAAAAACCCTCCTTTGAAGTGCACGTGAACTTTCAATTTTATCTCTATCTCCATTTCACAAACAAAATGGCTATCTAATTGATAAATGAATACGAAACAACTGTCAAAAAATTGACCTTTTCATCAAAGATCAATATTTCCAGGTGCGGACATTGTAAACGTATGGCCCCAGAATTCGAAAAGGCTGCTCCAAAACTCCTCGCCAACGATCCACCAGTTGCTCTTATCAAGGTATGCGATTATTTGTTCATGGCCCAAATTGACCTTCCTACTGTGCAAACAAACTATTTATTAAAATAGTAATAATGGACAAATACATATAAAGGGGAATTATTTATTGGAAAAATTCCAACTGTTCAACAACACAATAGAACTTTTCAATATTGAAAATTCTAGTATCTATATTCAAATTTAAATATTTTGTTTTCAGGTCGATTGTACTGTTGAAAAGACTGTTTGTGAAACCCATGGAGTCAAGGGATATCCAACCCTCAAAATCTTCCGTAACGGAGTTGTTGCCCAAGATTATGATGGACCACGTGAAGCTGATGGAATCATCAAGTTCATGAGAGGACAATCTGGACCATCATCAAAGGAATTGAACTCGGTTGCTGATTTCGATAAGATTATCGCTGGAGACGAAAACGTTGTCATCGGATTCTTCGAATCGGAGAGCAAACTCAAGGACTCATTCCTCAAGGTCGCTGACACTGAACGTGATCGTTTCTCATTCGCTCACACTTCAAACAAGGACGTTCTTAAGAAGGCCGGATACACTGACGATATTGTTGTCTATGTTCCAAAGAAACTCCACAACAAATTCGATTCCAACGAGTTCAAATACGACGGAAACTACGATACTGACAAGATCAAGAACTTCTTGGTTCAAGAAACTGTTGGATTGGCCGGAATTCGTACTCAAGGAAACCTGTATCAATTCGAGAGCAAACCAATCGTCATTGTTTACTACAATGTTGACTATGTCAAGGATCCAAAAGGTATTGATTCATCCCAAAAACAACTCAATTATATTTATTTTTTAGGATCAAACTACTGGCGTAATCGTGTTCTCAAGGTCGCCCAAAACTACAAACGCAAGGTTCAATTCGCCGTCTCAAACAAGGAAGAATTCTCGCAAGAAATTGAAACCAATGGATTGGGAGAGCGCAAAGACTCTGACAAACCAATCGTTGTTGTTCTCACCAACGAAGGAAAATTCCCAATGGACCAAGAATTCAGGTAATTTTTTTTAGTTTTCACAATTTTCAGAAATTGATGTGGAGAACTTGAAGAGTACTGTATCTCATGGTATTCAAAAATATGACGGAAAATGCAAATTTTTGCATAATTTTTCTGTGAGATTCTAATATTTCCTTAACTTTCGGGAATTCCATCTTGGTTTTTCGGCAGAATAATTTTTTATAAACTCACGTCTCATAGCAGGAACCTAATTGATTGTTTGGCGTTTCCCATTAGTAGAGTTAAATACAGTCAATAGCCAAAATTTTTGAATTCAAAAATGAAGGCATTTGATTTTTTTTATTTTGTTTTCAAAAAAAATAACCAGATTGCCACGTCACAAAAGTTCACGTCTATTTTGTAAATTTGGTGATTTATTTTTAGAATTTTAGAGTTTCTATTTCATGACAGTAGGGCTTATTTGATATTTTTGTGAGAAATGTTCGAACCTCGTCTTCTTAACAATTTAAAAGGAGTCTCAAATTTCTAACATTTAGAAAATTGAGAATTATAAATTATTTTAAAAAGTTTTCAATCCAAATTTCAAATATTTATTTTTCAATTCAACATTTTATGATAAGTTTCAAATGTTTCTTATTCTGAAGAATACTTTAAAGGGGGTACGGGCTAATCAAAATTTTATGGAAAAAACTATACCACCTGAAAGAGGAGGTTCCGTTTAGTATGTTCCCAAATTTTCATAATTATTTTTCACGTTTAAATACCATTTTTTCACGCGCAAACACGAAAAAGTTGCGCTCGATCTCAGAGAAATAGCATGCAGACACGAGAGACACAGCGTATTTAGGCCCCGCCCCCTTCTATGCGCTGTGTCTCTCGTTTCTCTATGCTATTTCTCTGAGGTCGAGCGCAACTTTTTCGTGTTTGCGCGTGAAAAAATGGTATTTAAACGTGAAAAATAATTATGAAAATTTGGGAACATACTAAACGGAACCTCCTCTTTCAGATGGTATAGTTTTTTTCCATAAAATTTTGATTAGCCCGTACCCCTTTAAGTTTCATGAGAATTATAAACTTTGGGATTTCAAACGTGTTAAAAAACTTCAAAAAAGTTTAACATGAATTCTGAAAATTCAACAAATTATTAAATATGTAGTTTTTTTTTTGAATAACTGAAATTGGAATCTTCTTTTTCAATTTCAGTTTTTCGAAAAACAACACATATAAATATTTGTTGAACTTTCTGAATTCAAGTTTAACTTTTTTGTTTTTTTAAATTCGAAATGTTTTCAAGTTTTAAACTTTTGAAATGAGTTTAAAAATTCAGAATTCTTATAGAATTTAAAAGTCAAGATTTATCAAAGAAATATTTTAAATCGTATTTCAAATGTCTAGGGTCTAGGGTCTAGTATCTGGATTTTGAAGTTATTGTTAAGATTTCAAAAACTTTGAAAACGATATAATTCTTTGATATTTCCAAAATTTCAATGGTCATCTTTTGAAAACTATGAATTTCACTTTGAACTTATCTGAACTTTTTTTCAATTTAAAAGTTCTTTTCATATTTCTGAATTTGAAATTCATACTTTGCAGTAATCAAGTTCATTATGATAATGAATTATCAAATTGAAGTTCACATTTACTTTTATCAAAGTTAAAATTGATTTTCATACTGTAGCAATAGAAAATTTAAAATGAAATAGTTTCAAATAACTTTTGAATTCAATATTACAATTTCAATTTTCAGCATTGACAACTTGCAACAATTCGTCGATGAAGTTCTCTCCGGAAATGCCGAACCATACATGAAATCGGAAGCAGTTCCAGAAGAACAAGGAGATCTTAAGGTTGCTGTCGGAAAGAACTTCAAGGAACTCATCCTCGATTCGGATAAGGATGTTCTCATCGAATTCTATGCTCCATGGTGTGGACATTGTAAATCATTGGCTCCAAAATACGAAGAACTCGCCACCAAACTCAAGGATGAAGATGTTATTATTGCTAAGATGGATGCTACTGCTAATGATGTTCCACCACTTTTCGAAGTTAGAGGGTGAGTTGAAGAATCTCGAAATATAATCAGTTAATTAATTATGATAATTTTTGCAGATTCCCAACATTGTTCTGGCTTCCAAAGAACAGCAAATCCAGCCCAGTTCCATACAACGGAGGTCGCGAAGTTAAAGACTTTGTCAGCTTCATCTCTCGTCACTCAACTGATGGATTGAGAGGATATGCTCGTGATGGAAAGAAGAAGAAGAAGACCGAATTGTAAAAACACTCGTATATATTATTGATTATTCTCGCACCCCTACAATATAATATTGAACTTGTTGAATTTTATATTTAATTTATTTATTTGAATTCCCTAATTGCCCCGTTTCTTTTTTCTCATCGCATTTAGGCACGGAATTAGGGATTTGTTCACGGTTGTTTGACGGTTTTAAGCTATTTTTAAGATTGTTTTATGGAATCGATTGTCCATTTTCTTGTTTAATAAATATATCTGGTCAATTGAACGAGTTGTCTTCTCAACAAACACACAAAAATCAATTGAATTTGAATTGCCGGTTGAAAACGAGGTCTTTTGTTTGCGTGCGTGTCGCGTTGCGGTTCGTCGAGGTGTTCATTCCTCTTGGCGTTTTTATTTTTGAGTTGCCCATCTTTTTTCGATGAGTTTTTGGCGGATTTTCAAAAACTTTTCGAAGTTTTTGTGATTTCTGAAGATTCTTATAGATATTTGAATTGTATTAAAGCTAATCTTTCATTTGAATATGCATTCTAACAGCTGAAAATTCGAAAAAACAATGAGAATTTCGTCAGAAAAATTTTCAAGATTTTCAACTTTGCGGGTCTATAAAAAGATTTGTAGAAGGTCTGGAAGGCTGAAACCAAGTTTATTTGATAGATAAAACCTTTAGCTTTCGATTGATATCAAAATTATTGCAAATTTTAGGCCACACGATTTTTAATTATTTTTTGAAACTCATCGACTCGAGTGACTTTTACAATGAATTCTGGAAATATTTTCAGGTTCTCGGGATTTTTTCTGATAGTTTCTATTGTATTTCAGCTTATTGAAGCTGTAATTTATCAGTGAAACCTGAAAACCCAGAGAAATGTGCTTTTTGGTCTAATTTTGTTATGATTCCTGGTACAGTGAACTTCAAGGCTGCGTAACTTTCTGAATCTATACTTTTTCGTGTTGAAACTTATTTCATCTTGTAGCTCTCGAATTGCTCTTCAGAATGACACTAAATATGATGCAATTTATTGATCGCTGAATTTTTGTGGATTTTTTGAAAGTTTATGACTCATATCATATATAATAATAATTTTCGGGGATCTTCAATGAGAATCTGAATGTTTCTGATGGTTTTTGTTGGATTTCAGCCTATTGAATCTGTAGATTATCAGTGAAGCCTAGGAATTCCAAAAAACTTCATTTTTAGTCTAATTTTGATTGGACTGTGGTACAGAAAACTTTAGGGTGCTGTAACTTTCTGAATCTAGAATTTTTCGTGTTGAAACATATTTCATTTTGTAGCTCTCGAATTGCTTTTCACAATGACACTAAATATGATGCAATTTATTGATCGCTGAATTTTTGGGGATTTTTTGAAATTTTATGACTCATGTTAACTGGAATAAAGTATTGAGATCTAATAACTCCAAATGAGAAAAAAATAATTTCAGTTTCTGTGTTGAATTTACTCAAATTATTTAGATGCACTAAGTTCACGGGTTTCATGAGTCTCCAAGAGATCAGAAAAACCCAAAGTTCACCCTGATTCTATCAAACTTTGAGACTGTGTAACATTTTGATATCCATCCCTTTTGCTTTGAAATCTATATCATTTTATAGCTCTCGAATTCCTCTTTCAAATGATATCAAACATGATACAATTTATTGATTGCTGATTTTTTTTACGAATTTTTTTGTATTGCAGAATGTGGAACGATTCTGACTCATCGTCGGGTGGCAGCGACGCTGAAAAAGAAGATAAAAAAGCAAAAGTTTCAGAGTCAAGTGAAGATGAAGAGGAATCTCCAGAAGACAAGAAAGGTGAGTATTCTATATATTTTCAGCGAGAATTTCAGCAAGTGCGCTCCATTGAAATGCATTTTTTTGCAGAAAGTTCTTCTTCACCTTCTTCAACCGAAGAATCAAATTCAAAAGATGAAGCTGAATCTAGTCGAGAAACAACTCCAGAAACATCGAAAAAACGGGGAGGAGGAATGGATGAAAAGACTAGAAAATTGTTGGAAGATGAGAATATTTTGAGACGATCAAAACGAGCCAAAAAACAAGAATCATCGGAAGAAGAAGTTGAATCAGAAGATGAAGAATCAGACGAATCAGAGTATGAAAAACCGCGAAGAACTGCGAGAAAACCGAAAAAGGCTTCTGCGAAAAAGAAGGCGGCTGTTAGTGTTGTTAGAAGGAAGGCGGCTAAAAGCAATGTTAATTATACGGAGAAAGAATCTGATGATGATGTGAGTTATTAGGGGGTTTTGGGTCAAAATTCATCGAAATCGTTAAGCTTGGAGCATTTTTAGCCCAAAAATGAAAATATTGAGCCCTGGAAGATTTTCAAAAAAAAAACCCGAAAATTCACTGTTTCAAAAATTTCGTATAATTTTTTTGAAGGTGTGCTTTCTAATGTTGTAGGCGAAAATGCATTAAAATTGTGCTCAGGGAATTTCTCCAAAATTATTTAGCCTAACGAAACTGAAATTGGGTGCATTTTGAGCCCAAACATGAACATTTTGAATCCCTGGAAGATTTTCAAGAAAACCCAAAAATTCACTGTTTCAAAAATTTTAAATTTTTTGGAGGTGTGATTTTCAATTTTTTCATGCTTCCGTTTGGAGTCTCTAATTTTGAAATAGATTTTGAGCACAAAATGCATTAAAATTGTGCTCACAAGAATGATCAAAATTGATTTACCATTTTAATCTAAAGCACTATGAAAGTTGGAGCATTTTGAGCACAAACATGAAAATTTTGGAGCCCTGAAAGATTTTCAAGAAATTCTGAAAATTCACTGTTTCAAAAATTTCATATATAATTTTTGGTGGTGTGATTTTCAATTTATTCATGATTTTTCCTAATTTTAAATCAGATTTTGAGAACAAAATTAATTAAAATTGTGCTCACAAGATGCTCAATATTAATTTAGCCTTTCTAAACTGAAACCTCGTAGAATTTGGAGCATTTTTAGCCCAAACATGAAAATTTCGGAGCCCTGGAAGATTTTGAAGAAATCCTGAAAATTCACTGTTTCAAAAATTTCATATATATTTTCTGGAGGTGTGATTTCTGATGTCTATTTGATCACAAAAAAATTTTAACCCAAAATTCGCTGTGCACACAAAAATGCTCAATATTAATTTACCCAAAATAATATAGGGCTCTATGAAATTTGGAGCATTTTTGAGCCCGAACTTGACAATTTTAGAGTCCTGGAAGTTTTTAAAGAAATCCTGAAAATTCACTGTTTCAAAAATTTCATATGTTTTTTTTTTGGAAGTGTGATTTTCAATGTCAATGTGATTTTTGCAAAGGAAAATTTTCGCGAATAACATTATTGAGCCCAAAATGCATTAAAATTGTGCTCACAAGAATGCTCAAAAATAATTAACCCTAAATCATCGAACGCTCCATGAAATTTGAAGCTTTTTGAGCCCAAACTTGACAATTTTGGAGCTCTAGAAGTTTTTCAAAAAAACCCGAAAATTCACTGTTTCAAAAATTTCATATATATTTTTTGGAAGTGTGATTTTCAATGCCAATGTAATTCGAAATGGAAAATTATCGCAAATAACATTATTGAGAACAAAATTAATTAAAATTGTGCTCAAAAGAATTTTCAAAATTAATTTAACCTAAATAATCTAAAGCACTATGAAAGTTGGAACATTTTGAGCCCGAACTTGACAATTTTAGAGTCCTGGAAGTTTTTAAAGAAATTCTGAAAATTCACTGTTTCAAAAATTTCATATATTTTTTTTGGAGGTGTGATTTTTAATAACACCATAAAAACAGGAAAAATAGAAATTGAAATTTTTAAGTCGAAACTTCGTCAAAATAGTGCTCAAAATTAATTTAACCTAAATAATCTAAAGTTCCATGAAATTCGGAGCATTTTGAGCCCAAAAATGAAAATTTTGAAAATAAATAAATAAATTTTGTAGATCGATGATGACGATGTTCTTGAATGGGATGAGGAGCCAGAAAAACCTTTAGACGAATCAACAACTTCACATCCAGCCACCGAAACAGTCGAAAAAGTGATAAAATGGAGATTTGGAATTCCTGGAGCAACTGGCTCACCAACAACTTGTTATAATATTGCGGAAAAAGGCGATCCAAATGAGGCAGAAGATGGTGGAGAGAAAACAGAAGCACAGTATTTTGTAAAATGGGTTGGTTGGAGTCATTTACATAATACTTGGGAATCTGAAGGATCGTTGATTGCAATGGGAGCAAAAGGATTGAAAAAACTGCAAAATTATATCAAAAGACAAGAGGAAATTGCGAGTTGGAGAAGAACTGCGGATAAAGAATATATTGAGTTTTTTGATTGTGAACAAGTTATGGCTGAAGAATTATGTGAAGAATATAAAAAAGCTGAGAGAATTGTTGCACATCAAACATCTCGCGATAAAACCGCTGATGGTAGTGTAGCTCAAGAATATCTTGTAAAATGGGTTGGACTACCGTATTCGGATTGCACTTGGGAAGATGTCAAATTGATTCCACCAGAGAGAATCGAGGAGTATAATCGGAGAATTGCCAATTTGAAGTCGCCCAATAAAAATGCTACGGTTTTGCGGAAAAGGCCGAAATTCGAGAAATTTGAGACAATGCCTGAGTTTTTGAAAAATTCGGAGAATGGACAACAATTGAGAGATTATCAATTGGAAGGATTGAATTGGATGAATTATGCGTGGTGTAAATATAATAGCGCGTGCGTTTTTTTTTTATTTTTGAAATTTGGAAAATCCACATTTTTAGGGGAAATTTATTTTCCGAAATTCGGACAAATTTTTAAACTCAAAAAATATCTGGAATTCGATTGGAGAAAAAATGGGCAAAATTTCAGCTAGACCTTTTTTGAAGCTGAAAATTAAGGAACCTAATTTTTCAACAAAAAATGTTGACTTGAAATTCCATCATTTATTTTTTAATTTTCAATTTTTATTTATTTTGAAAAAGTGAGTTTTCAGAAAAATCTGAATTTCAGCAAAGATTTTGACTAAATTTCAGCTAGACTAGAAAATTTCAGAAACTTTAAAAAAAAATCTAAAATTTAATTTTTGAAAATATGTTTTCAGACAAATCTGAATTTCAGATGATTTTTTAACCGGTAAAACTAGAGCTTGAGAAACCTGAAAATTCTGAAATTTTGGGACCAAGTGTTCATATTTCTACACTTGGCTCACCTGAATTCAATTTTTGAAAAATTCTCAAATTTTCAGATGTAAATCTTGAGCTCCTAGTTTCACTTTTAAAAAAATCAAGTTTTTAATTTTGAAATTTTGGTCTGAAAATATTAGGTTTTTTTCATAAAATCCAAAAATTCCGCGAAATTTCCAATTTAAAAAAATTCCTAATTTTCAAAAAAAAAATATTTTTTCGTGAAATTCAGAAAATTCATTTTCAATTTTTTTTCATTTTGGAAAATGTGAGTTCACAAAATTTGCCTTAATTTCTCCATTTTCCAGAATCCTTGCCGATGAAATGGGTCTCGGAAAAACCATCCAATCCATCTCATTTCTCGCCTCCCTCTTCCATGTTCACGATCTCGCTGGTCCCTATCTGGTTGTGGTGCCACTTTCAACAATGGCAGCGTGGCAAAAAGAATTTGCACAATGGGCTCCCGATATGAATCTTGTTGTTTATATGGGAGATGGCCAATCGAGAAATATGGTAGGCTTCGGGTGGATTATGAAATTTTAAATTAAATAGCATTTTTTTTGTTAGATTCGACAATATGAATGGTATGTTGGAGGAACGAAAAAGCTGAAAATCAATGCGATTCTAACAACTTATGAGATTCTTCTGAAAGACAAAGCCTTCTTGTCATCTGTGGATTGGGCTGCTCTTTTGGTTGATGAAGCGCATCGATTGAAAAACTATGAATCACTTTTGTACAAGTGTCTGATTCAATTTCGATTCAATCACAAATTATTGATCACTGGAACGCCGCTTCAGAATTCGTTGAAAGAATTGTGGGCTCTTTTGCATTTTATCATGCCGGAGAAGTGAGTTTTTTGAGGGGGATTTCGGTAGATTTGAAATGGATTCCTGTAGATCTAATAGCTAAATTGAAAAATCCTGAATTATTTCTAAAATGTTATTTTTCAGTGGTAGAAAATCTTTGAGTTACTGTAGATCAGAAAATTCTCAAATTACTGTAGATAATTTTGAGCGCACAAAATGAGTTCTCTGGATAACGGTAGATAAATTTTGGTCTCAAAAATTGGGAAACTAATTATGACTAGGACTGAGGTTACTGTACTGAGGAAAAATAGGGCGTAGCCAAATCTGAGCAATCTTCCGCGAAAGCGGTTCGAGCGGAGCAAGTGTGAATTCGAAAGTTTCCGCATGCGCGGAGCCTTGCCTTCTCTAGCTGTCTAAAAATGGACCTCCCATTCTTTCACCTCCAAAAATATCCCCCAATATTTTTTGCAGATTCGATAGCTGGGATGAATTCGAATCAGCTCACAATGACACAAATCACAAAGGAATCTCATCGCTCCACAAAAAACTCGAACCATTTTTGCTTCGCCGCGTCAAAAAAGATGTTGAAAAAAGTCTGCCACCAAAACTCGAACAAATCCTCCGAGTCGATATGACTGCACATCAAAAACAGTTCTATAAATGGATTTTGACGAAAAATTATCGAGAATTGTCGAAAGGTGTGAAAGGTTCGATTAATGGATTTGTTAATTTGATAATGGAATTGAAAAAGTGTTGTAATCATGCGAGTCTTGTTCGACAATATGATCATATTATTGGAGATGCACAAGGAAGATTGCAACAATTATTGAAATCTTCTGGAAAACTCATTCTTTTGGATAAATTGTTATGTCGATTGAAAGACACTGGACATCGAGTATTGATTTTCTCACAAATGGTCATGATGTTGGATGTTTTGCAAGAGTATTTACAACTTCGACGATTTCCAACACAAAGATTGGATGGTTCAATGAGAGCGGATTTGAGAAAACAGGCGTTGGATCATTTCAATGCGCCGGGTTCGACTGATTTTTGCTTTTTGTTGTCGACGAGAGCTGGAGGATTGGGGATTAATTTGGCGACGGCCGATACGGTTATTATTTTTGATTCGGATTGGAATCCGCAAAATGATCTGCAGGTAAGTATTGGAGAGAAATCAAAAAAAAATTTGGGAAAATTATTGAATTTCTGCCAAGAAGCCGCCACTTTTCAATTCAAATAATTCAGTTTTTGTGATTTGCAGGCAATGTCACGGGCACATCGAATTGGTCAAACACGAACTGTGAACATTTATCGATTGGTCACCAAAACATCGGTTGAAGAGGAGATTGTTGAGAAGGCGAAAAGGAAGTTGGTTTTGGATCATTTGGTTATTCAGAGAATGGACACGACTGGAAAAACGGTGAGAGCTTGGGGTTGGAAGAAAAATTGAGATATGAAAAATGCTCTCACCTGGAAATTTTAGGGTTGAAATTTTACACGTTTTGATTATCAGTAGTGTAATCGAAACTCGAAATTAAGTTTTTTTTTTTTGGAATCTGAAATTTATCCACGCAAAAATTCTGAATCCTGAAAAATTTCTCAATTTTAATATCGAAGAAGGTGGGTTATCAGCTTTCAATTGTAATTTTTTGTTTTTTGAAAATTTTGAAACGTAAAAATTTCGGGTTTTTGGAATCTGAAATTTTAACAGGATTATGAAATTTTTCAATTAAAAATAAATCAATTTAGAGATCAATGAGAATCAGCTTTGAATTATTTTTTCTTGTTTGGGAAATATTTTGAAACAGTAAAAATGTTGGGAATCTGAAGTTTTTTAGCTCAAAATTCTGAATCCTGAAAAATGTCTCAATTTTGATGTTGTAGAAGGTGGCTTTCAATTGTAATTTTTGTTTTTTTGAAAATTTTGAAACAGTAAAAATTTTGGGAATTTTTTTTTGGAACCTGAAGTTTTTAGCGCATAATTCTGAATTATGAAAATTTTCTTATTTTTTAAATAGAAATATCAATTTTCTCGGATTAGAAGAATTGGAATAAGCTTTGAATTATTTTTCTTGTCTTGGAAAAATTTTGAAACAGTAAAAATTTCGGGATTTTTTTTTTGAAATCTGAAGTTTTTTAGAGCAACATTCTGAATTATTAATTTTTCTCATTTTTCAAATAGAAATATCAATTTTCTCCATTTAGAAGATTTGGAATCAGCTTTGAATTATTTTTCTTGTTTTGGAGAAATTTTGAAACGTAAAAATTTCGGGTAATTTGTAATTCGAATTTGAAAAACCTTTTTTCCTAAATTTTTCCAACCCAGCACTTTGATCACTGAAACTCTTAAAAAATTTTCTAGTCATAGTTTGCCACGTGGCAATTCTTATTTTCATTTGAAATTTTGAGAAATGGGGGTAATTGTTAAATCAAACTTCAATTGTTTTTTTTTGTTTTGTGAAAATTTTGAAACAGTATATATTTGAGGTTTTTTAATTTTGAATTTGAAAAACTGTCAAAAATTCAAATTTCGAAATTTTTCTAATTTTCCAACCTAGCAAACTTTGATCACTCAAAACCTCTTCAAATTTTCCACGTCTAATCTTTCTTTCTTTCATATTTGCTCATTTTGCTCTCTGACCTATACCAAACTAAACTAAACAATTGTTCATCACATGTCATTTTCCCATCTTCCTTCCATTTTTTCTTCCTCAATTTATTTTCTTGCAGGTTTTATCAAAAACATCAGCTGGAAGTGTGCCATTCGATAAAAACGAGTTGAGCCAAATCCTGAAATTCGGAGCCGCCGAATTATTCAAAGAAAAAGAGGGTGAAGAACAAGAGCCGGAAGTGGATATTGATCGAATTTTGATGGGAGCTGAAACGAGGGAAACTGAAGATGACACAATGAAAGAGAACGAATTGTTGAGTTCCTTCAAATATGCCACGTTTGCGATTGATGAGGAGAAAGATATTGCGGCGGCGACTGATGAATGGGCACAAATTATACCGGAAGCGGATAGAAATCGAGTATTGGAAGAGGAAAGAATGAAGGAATTGGCTGAAATGAATTTGGCGCCGAGACAAAGAGGACCGAAAAAACCGCATGTTGAATCGGCGGATGAAGGAGAAAAAGATGATGATGAAACGGATGATGAAGAGAAGAAGGAAAAGAAGAGGAGAAAGGCTTTTGGCAATTTTAGTATGACTGAAATTAAGAGGTTTATTCGGGCTTTTCGCAAATTTGCACATCCATTGGAGAGGTTCGTTTTTCCTAGAGTTTGAGAGAGAAATTTGAAGAAAATTTTGATTGAGAAAAATTTACTGTTTCAAAAAGTTTTGAAGTAATTAGCTTGCAGGGAAATTTTTAATACAATTTCCATGAAAAAATCATATAAAATTGTAATTTAATTTTTCTCTGAAAATTTTACGTTTCAAGAAATTTGGAAATATTTTGATTGGACTCAAATTATCAATTATTTTGTTTAATGGTTTTTAAAATGTTCGCTAGAAATAATTAAATTGAACAAGAATTACTAATCTCTTCGAAGTTTTAGATGAGATTCTCATCATGAGAACAATTTACTGTTTCAAAAAAATTTGATATGTTTTGATTGGATAGAAATTTTAATTAATTATCGCCTTTCTTTCAAACATTTTCACTATTTCAAATATTTTAGAAATAATGAAATTAAACAGAAATTCCTAATATCTTCCTGATTAGATTACAAAAATTTACTATTTCAAAAAAGTTTCGAATAGTTCAATTTTTCAATCTTTACAATTCGTTATCAACAATTTTAAGTTCAATAATATTTCACTGTTTCATGAATTTTTCAAAGACAATAAGAAACTACGATTTTCAATGACGGGATAATTTGTATGATAAATTATATTAAATTTTCAGACTCACAGCATTTCAATTTTATACTTGAACTTTTTTTTGAAAATTTCACTGTTTCAAATATTTCAGAGATGATTCAATTGAACATGAATTCCAAAAATTCTTCCCAATTTGTAATAATACTGTTTCAAAAGTTTACCATCAATAATTTTTAAGTTGACTTTCAGACTCGAAGCACTTGCACAAGACGCGGAACTCGAAGAGCACAGCACAGAAGAAATGAAAAAACTAGCTGAAGGAATGATTGATGCGTGCAAAAAAGCGAATGAAGATTTTGAACAGCAAGAGGCGAACAAGAAAGAAAATATCGATAAGGATAAGAAATTCAAGTTCGCAAATTGTGATGTGAATTTGAGACAAATCGAAAAAACCCAAAACGATCTCGAACCCCTTCATTTAGCATTATCCGATGCTGTAAAAGCGTCTGCTTGGAAACCGCCACGAAATGCAAAAGAGCAAAAAGGTTGGGATGTTGAATGGACTTGGATTGATGACGGAGCTGTGTTATGGGGAGTTTATAAATATGGGCAAGGAAGTTGGGAGGCGATTAAAATGGATCCGCAACTTGGATTGGCTGACAAGATATTTGTGAAAGATAAGACGAAGAAACCACAGGGAAAGCATTTGCAACAACGAGTTGAGTATTTGTTGAAATTGATGGGGAAAAGTGAAAATGGAAATAGTGCAGCAGCAGATGGAATTAAGAAAAAGCGGAAAATTGAAGGAACAAATGGAGGACCTGTGGAAAAAAAGAGGAAAGTTGAAGGTGAAGAAAAGGAGAAAAAGGTCAAGAAGTCGAATTCGTTGAAAGAACAATTGGCGGTTGTATCAATTGAGAAATCATTGTATGGTGGAGCATTGGATGATAACACTGCGAAACCATTTATGGGTGAGATTTTGGGGAAAAATATGGGAGCTTGAAAAAAAAATACTGTTTCAAGAATTGTGAGATAATTTTATTCAAGAAAAATTTCGAATAAATCTAGAATTTGAAAAATGTTCACTGGAAAAATTAAGATTTTTTGTTGCCTGTAAAATTTTCACTGTTTCAGAAATTTTCAAAGAAATTTAATTGAACATAAGTTCTCGATAAACAAAGAACTAATTTGAAAAATATTCTTAAAGTCGAAAAAGTATGAGAATTTTTAATTTTCTGTTCAGAAAAAATTATACTGTTTCAAAATTTTAGTAATATTAATATTTCCGCTGTTTACTGTTTCAAAAAAAGTGAAATAATTTTATTCAACAGAATATTATAATTTCAAAACATTTGCTTCTCCAAAATTTTATAAACAATTAAATTGAACAGAAATTTTTTTGAAGTATGAGCATTTTTAATTTCAGAACTAAATTAATTTTATACTGTTTCAAAGTTTTCAGAATTTTCTTCTCTTGCTTGAGAAAATATTATTTTTAATATAATTTTTTGAAACTATAATCAAGAGTTTCTGAATTTCTGAATAAACCTTACTTCAATATTTCACTGTTTCAAAAACTTCCCAAATTTTAAAGTGTTTTTGGAATGTTAATTAATAATTATTTATGAAATAATCGAAAAATGTAAAATTTTCTAGTGTTTCAAAAGTTGTCATTTTCCCATATTATTCTTTTAAAATTGATTTTACCCGGATTTTTTCATTCTTTTGACAAAATTTAATTTTTCAAAAATTCTAATTTTTCCCCGGATTTTTTATGTTTCAAAAAAGTAGTAAAAAAATTATGAGTTTTGAAATCTGTCAGATAGTTAATGTTTGCTACCCATAATAATGTTCGAAAAATTCACTGTTTCAAAGTTTTCACGTTATGTAATTTCGAAAGATTTTTTTATTACTTTGACAGAACAGTTGCCCTGATTTTTAAAATAATTTTTGTTCTTAAAAAATTCACTGTTTCACTGTAAATTGAACAAATAATTTTCATTCACAATCACAAATTAATGAAGATAAAAAGTGAATTAAGTAGGAAGATGTAGAATAAATAATAAGGGCGAGAAAAAATTTCAATCATCATTTTTGCAGAATGCGTCAAACTGTGCAAACCTGTCCACAAATACATGAAACGTCTCAAAGAAGCCCAAGACGCAAAAAACAAACCAGAAGAAGATAAATATATCCAAAAACTCGGTGATTCGTTCCTCGAAAGTATTGAAGTTTTGATGAAAAAGAAGCCAAAAACGAATATTCGAAAATGGTATAATTATCTATGGATATTTCTTTGCAAATTTGTCAGTCGTGAACCGGGAGAACTTGTTGAAAGATATCGAAGTTTGACAACTGATCACAAACACAAAAATCATCATCATCATAGTAGTGGACACAAGAAATTGGAGACTCCTTCGAAATCCGACAAAAAATCACATAATCACAATCATAGTCATAGTCATAGTTCTTCATCTTCTTCACATCATCATCATCATCATAGATCTGATCATCATAGGACCACTGAACATAAGGTAACTTGGCTTTTTTTGTTTTCAGAAAAAAAATTGAATTTTTTTTCGCTCTAAAATTTTCAGCCACAAATTCAGCCCTCAAATTTTTCCAGGATCGTCATTCTTCATCGTCAAAACGATAGTCAAATATCAAATCAAATTTGAATTTAATAATTTCCCGCCCAACACTCTTATCTTTTTTCTCAAGAAACACATCTCTCGGGTATACTGTATTACTGTAATTCAATTTCAATTTCAAATCTCTCTCTCTTGAAAATAGGAATCCTTTTCGGGTTGTTTTTTTTTGTTTTGTTGTTTTTTTTTCTTTTTTTGTTTAATACACATATATGAATTTATCACATTATTAAATATTAATTAATTTTTCTTTGATTTACAATTCTTCGATTTCAATATTGTAGCGAAGTTGTTTGGCGGAAAACCACGAATAATAGTTGTCGAATTCGAGAACATCTGAAAAATCGATATTTTAATGAGGATACAAATTTTGAAACTGACAATTTCCGGGTTTTGAGACATCTAAATGGCCGCTGATTGGAACATTTGTGCATTCGAGACGAATATATGGGTATACGGTATCCATGTCAGTTAATTTATCGCATGATGCGGTTTTGTCGTAGTGGATTTCGAAACCGATGTCGTCTTCTTCGGTCATGTATTGCCAGCTGCAAAAATTGGGAATTTTGAAAAAAATTTAAGTTAAAAAAATTCACTGTTTCAAGATTTTGTTAATCACAAGTTGATTTATAGAAATTTCGTTCACTGCGGGGGTTCCTGATTGTGAGTAAAAATTATTTCAGTTCTAAAAATTCTACTGTTTATTTTTCATTAGAAATGAAACTCAATCAAATTTTTTATTAATTGCTTTGAAGGAAGGTCAATTTTATCAGCAAAAAGTTCGGAATTAAAAAAAAATATTTTTACTGTTTCAAAATTTTGAGGCCAGTTTTGTTGCAAAAAAATTCGAAAATTTTTTTTCGGAAAAATTCACTGTTTTAAAAATTTTTTTAAACTAAATTTATTCATATATTTTTTAATTTTTCGATTTTCAATTCTAAAATTTTGAAATAAAAATTATTATTCATGTATTTCAGGAAAAATCTGGGATTTCTGAAATAAAATTCAAATTTTCAGTTTTAAAAATTCTACTGTTTCAATTTTTCATTAAAAATAAAACTCAATCAAATTTTTTTTGATAAAGTTCTTCAAAAATTTTTGAGACCAGTTTTATTGCAAAAAAATTTAGAAATTTTTTTTCGAAAAAATTCACTGTTTCAAAAATTTTTAAAACTAAATTTATTCATATATTTTTTAATGTTTCGATTCTTGATTTTCAATTCTAAAATTTTCTAATAAAAATTATTAGTCATGTATTTTCAGCAAAAATCTGGGATTTCTGAAATAAAATTCAAATTTTCACTTTAAAAAATTCAACTGTTTCAATTTTTCATTAAAAATAAAAATAAATCAAATTTTTTTTGATAAAATAAGATCTGTTATCTAGTTTTTTTGCAAACAAATTCGGAAATTTTCTTTTGAAACTTTGAAAATTCACTGTTTCAAAAAATTTTTCAAACAAAAATTTTCAAATATCTTTTTAATAAGTTTGTTCTAAATTCTGAAATTTTGAAATAAAAATTATTAGTCATTTATTTTCAGCTATTCAGCAGAAATCTAGGATTTCTGAAATAAAATTAAAATTTTCAGTTTTAAAAATTCTACTGTTTCAATTTTTCATTGAAAATAAAACTCAATTAAATTTTTTTGATAAAGTTTCTTCAAAAATTGTTGAGCCCAATATTTTCGCTGCAAAAAACTCGCCATTTTGTTCGAAATAATTCACTGTTTCAAAAATTTTTCAAACAAAAATTTTCAAAAATTTTTTTATTAGTTTGTTCTCAATTCTAAAATTTTGAAATAAAAATTATTAGTCGTGTATTTTCAGCTTTTCAGGAAAAATCTAGGATTTCCGAGAAAAATTTCAAATTTTCAGTTTAAAAAATTCTACTGTTTCAATTTTTCATTGAAAATAAAACTTAATTAAATTTTTTTGCTATAATTAAAAAGTTGTTTCAAAAAATTGTTGAGCCCAAATTTTCAGCAAAACAATTCGGAAATTTTTTGAAAAAAAAAATTCACTGTTTCAAAAATGTTTGATATAAAAATTGGTGAGTTATAGTTTTTATTGGTTTTCGATGTATTGTCGAATAATTTCCTACCTTATCCTAGACGGCCTCTTAATTTTGATCGAAATCAAATGTTTATCTCCCGCATAAACCGTCGTCAATTGATCATAATCCGCCATCGCCTTTTTCGGATCCACAAAGTACGACTCAGGAATCGGTCCGGCTCCATATTTTATACGTGACGGGCATTTCGGATCGCCGTTTTCCACCAGATTTCCTCCCCAATACATTGGCCAACCATCGAGATCCACGATTTGCGCCAAACTCCACTTCCAATCCGCCTAAACGTCAAAATTTGGAAAATTTTCGAAAAAAAATTTAAAAAAAAACGGGTTTTCGCTGCGAGATATTTTACAAGTTGTGTGTGTTCCTTGATACCGTATACCCCGCGCGCCCGCGAAAATTTAAAATCGTGTGTTTTTATTTTTTTTCGCGATGAAAAATTCAGTCGTCTTCCTGTTCACTCTCCCGAATGCGGTTACTAATCCTAGCTCTTTTTGCTTTTTCAGTAAGTTCCTACAGTCTTTCTCAAGTAGAACAGATTCTCAATGTAATCTTTTGCAGACTGTAAATGGCTTAATCATAAATAATACTAACAAAACCTGCGACGCTCATTCGGAATTTGATTGTAATGGCGACGGGAAAAAGTGTGTTCCACTGGATTGGAAATGCGATCATGTTGAGGATTGTGAGAACGGAAGAGATGAACGCAATTGCAACTACATCCACGAATGTCCACCCGGTTTAATGGCTTGCGGTTCTGGCGAATGTGTTGCCCACGAATTCAAATGCGATGGTGATCAAGATTGTTCGGACGGAGCCGATGAACGACATTGTCAAGAATCGGAATCGCATTTTATTAATATGCTGCAAGTTCGACATCACGCAATGATTGAACATTTCCGACGATTCGAAGATCGCTGTGATTCGCCACGTTTCAAGTGCAAAAGTGGACAATGTATTAGTCGGGATTTGGTTTGCGATGATTCGGAAGATTGTTTGGATGGAGATGATGAAGCTGGATGTTTTATTCCACATCATCAAATGTTCTTTTCTCTTTCAAATGCTTCAAAGCCAGAAGAAGATAAGAAGGTTAGCGCGGATGAATGGAGACTGAATCGCGAGCTTCCGCATAGCTGTTACGCGGAAGCTTGCGGAATCTCAACTGTGGATATAAGCTATGACGTGGCAATTTTCAAGAACTTCACAAAGCAATTTCTTCCTTTTAGTATTTTTGAAGAAAGAAATTGATCTGTGAAGTTTTTGAAAATTGCCACGTCATAGCTCTTACCCAAGAGTAGCACTTTTTCACCTCTACAATTTCAAACCAGCTGGGTTTCTAATGATAAAAGTAGTAGAAAAACCCTATCCGGAGCTTAAAACTTCCCATAAACCAAAATTATTCCAGGAAAAAGAACCTCACTGTCAATCTGGCTACATCGCATGTCCTGACAGCTCAATTTGCCTTCCAACTATCTTTATGTGCGACGGCGAAGAAGATTGCGAAGATGGAAGCGATGAGAAGAATTGCAATATCGATGATCATCTTGACGAAGAAGACTTTATGACTGGCAATATTGAAATCATTCAAAATTGCACAGCTCAAGGCAAATTCCATTGTCAAGCAGTCGATGGTCAATTACCCACGTGTATTCCAATGAATGCCACGTGTAATGGTATTCGAGAATGTCCGAATGGCGATGATGAATCGATGAAATGTTCGGAATGTTCGACAAAACATTGTGATCATAGTTGTCTGAATTCTCCACACGGTGCTAGATGTGTTTGTCAAGAAGGCTACAAATTGGATTCGGATGGTTTGACGTGCGTGGATGAGGATGAATGTGCAATCAGTGGACACAATTTATGCGCGCATTTTTGCGAAGATCGAATCGGTAAATATGTTTGTCGATGCGATTCGGGTTATACGTTGGACGCGGAAGACGGACATACGTGTCGATTGACACGCGGAAGCCACGACGGTCGATTGTTGGTGAGCATTGGCTCGGAAATTCGACAAATGGCACTGCAAGACGCGCAAGGAACGTATACGACGGTTCAACGTGTCAGCGGGCATGGCGCATCGAAATCTATCGATTATTTGCAGAAAATTGATAAGATTTTTATGGCTATTGCGCATCAGAATGAGCCGCAAGATGGAGAATTGGTAGGGGATTGAGAAGGGGGACTAGAAATTTTGAAAAAATTTGATTTTTAGGCCGTCGCCGATAAGGGAGTTTTGCGAGTTCTTCGCGAAAAAGTCGCTGGAATTGGACATATTGCTGTTGATTGGATTGGAAACAATGTTTTCTTCACACAAAAAGGTAGCTATGACGTGGCTTAGATTTTCTATGTTTTGACCCTTTGAAAATCGGGAATTTTTCGAAAAATCGAATTTTGAGACCGAAAATATCGCGAGAATTTTCGAGTTGAAAATTTTCTGATTTTTTGAGCTTCTGAATTTCAAGTTTCAATAGCTTTTAGATTTTCGCTTGAAAAATTATCAATTTCTGCTTCAAAAATTGAAGAATCTGCTGAAAAAGCCTAAAAATCTGCCAATTTTCGGTCAAATAATAGTCAAGTTTAATTTTCTACCGTTTCTAAAAATGACTGAAAATCTTCAGATTTTCTGCTTGAAAATCTGAAATTCACAAATTCTCCTTCAAAAAATTGGAGAATTTCATTTTTTTTGTTGTTGAAAATTTGGAAAATCTAGAAATCTTCAATTTAAAAATTCTACAAATCCTCAAAATCTTCAGATTTTTGTCTATAAATAGTTCGAAGCTAGAATCTCAAATTCCAAATCACAATATCCTTTTCCATCCAAAAAAATTCGAATTTAATTCCAGCCCCCGCCAAACACATCGGTATCACCGTCTGCCGCATCGACGGACTTTTCTGTCGCTGGATTCTCCAAGGCCGCGAAGCTCCCCAAACCTCCTCAACCCTTTTCGGCGTCTCCACAGCCCAACAAAACTATCGCGGTCTCGCCGTCCATCCACTTCGTGGTCTTTTAGTCTGGATCGACTCATTTATGGGTCACAACAAAATCATGGCTGCTAATATGGATGGAACCGATGTTCGTGTGATCGTCGAAAACAAGCTCGAATATCCCTCCGGTTTGGCAATCGATTATATTCGACACGATGTGTATTTTGGTGATGTTGAGATGAAGATAATTGAACGAGTGAATTTGGATAGCAAACATCGGAGTGTTGTTGTCTCGCAAGGTGTTCATCATCCATTTGATTTGGCTGTTTTCAATGGTTTTGTTTATTGGTCGGATTGGGGAAGTGAATCATTAAAGGCGCATCAAATTGCACATCATCACGATCATTCAACAACTCAAACTCTTCATTCATACAATCGTTTTCCATATGGTCTTGCTGTCAATCATTCAATGTATCAACCACAATCCACCTCAAATCCTTGTCAATTTTTGAATTGTCCATGGATTTGTGTCATTGTTGAATCTCAACCAAATATCGCTTCTGCTAAATGCATTTGCCCGGATGCATATAAACATTCGATTTTGGACAACACTTGTGTTCCACCGAATGAGCAAGAAAGAATGGAGATTGCTGGAAACCTTTCGCATGTTAGCGCTGCTTTGATGGCCGAATATTGTGATGCTGGTGTGGCGTGTAAAAATGGTGGAAAATGTGAGCATTTGAAGAATGAGCACGGAAGAGTTCATCAAATTCAATGTCAATGTCCCGAACCGTTTGATGGCGAATTTTGTGAGCGATTCAATCCGGAATTGGACAAATTGTTGAGGGAACGAGAGGCGACTGGCGCATTGTGGGCACTTGTTTTGATTGCATTGCTCATTGTTGCATTTGTCGCGATTGTTTTGTATTTGGTGTGTGTTCAACGGTGAGTTTTTTGAAGGGATTTTTTACCGGGAAAAATACGTTTCAAGAAATTGCTTCATTTCAATTTCACTTTTATTTTTTTGATACTGGGGTTTCAAAAAATTGCTTTATTTCAATTTAAATTTCATATTGATTTTGCGATAAATTTTTGATATTCGGAAAATTCAAATATAATGACTAAGCTAAGCGATGCTCTGAAATCTAAAGAATTTCAAAAATCGCTAAATTTTAATCATTTTTTGACTGAAAATATTTTCCCGGAAAAATACGTTTCAAGAAATTTTTAATTTCAATTTCAGTTTTATTTTTTGATGTTGCAGTTGTCTGCTTGCAAATCGAATAAAAATCAACTAATTTGAGCAATGCTCTAAAATCGTCTGAATCTTAAAAATTCCTGAAAATTCTTCCCTGCAAATTTGGGAGCAAATCCTACAGAATTTTTCGATGGAAAATTCCTGCACCAAATACGTTTCAGAAATTCAATATTTTCGGAATTTCTAACCAAATTCATTCACTTATTGATTCATAAATTAAAATATGTTGAATTTCAGCGAAGCCACATTGGACGCAATCACTTGTGCTCGAATCCGCGTCGATAACATGGCTCGAAGCGCCGAATCCGCTGCCGGACCCATCGTCAACAAGGTCAAAAACATTGCCGGAATCGGTGGTGGCGCCGAAAAATCGCCGCGCGCCGGAATCTATCAGACAAATGTGAATTTCGTCGACGAGACTCATCAAGATCAGCAGCTGCCACGTGGCGATCAACAAAGACAACTATTCATGGATTCGCCGTCTTCATTCCGCAATCCGATCTACGACGAAGTTCCCGCCACCGCAACCTATACACAAATCGGCACGGAATCTTCCGGAGCGTCTCCAATTTCCGGAAGCGGTGTGATTCGTTTCAATAGTGATGGTCTATTCTAAGAAGCGCCCCAACCAATTGTGAATAATATTACGACTAATTAACAATTGCATTTTATATATATAATTATTATATATTGCTCCCCCAACTAACTTAAACTCACTTGTAAATATCTCTATATTCTAACTATTATTTTTTTATCGTTCTTCAAATAAATGTTAGATTTGATAGTCCCGCCCCCACTAACCTCTGATGGCATATCAACTAGACGAGTTATCGGATCTTGAAGAATTGCTGTGATTGAGGCGTAGGCGATTCGAGCCATTTCGGGAGCACGGATGATCAAAATTCGACGCAATGTTAATGGATAATGATCTTGGAACAAACTGACGAGTGTTGTGAATGAGGAGGCGAATTGTTTGCTGGAGAAATGAGCCGAGGAGATGTGCTCGAGGTCGAAGACGAGAGTTAGTTGTTCGAATGGTCGACCAGACTGGAAATATTGGGAATGGTTATGACGTGGCAGTTTAGAAATTGCATTGTATAAATTGCCACGCCATCTTCGAACTTTTCCAAAATCAAGAATTTGTGCGAAAAAATGATGACGTGGCAATTTGGAAATTTTATTTTTTTTTTTTTGAAAATGTCACGTGGTTTTTCTCGAAACTGACGTGGAAATTTCATTTTCTAATTTCCACGTCATCATTTTTCAGGTTAAAATCAGAAAATCTCGAAAAATTGCACAATTTTGTGGAGAAAATTCTCGATTTTCAGAAAAATTTTTGCCACGTCATGACTTTTTTCGAAAAAATTTCAGAAAAAAATTGTGTTTTTTGTTTATTAATTGTGAAAACTGAATTTGATGACGTGGCAATTTAGAAATCGAATTCTTGTCAGGAAGCTGATTCTACAGTAACCCCAAAATGTGTACTGTAGCTCAGAATTTCTTTAAAAAATTGGAATAAAATAAAGCAAAATCGAAAACCTGCCAGAATTTTGGAAAAACTACAGTAGCTGGGAAAAAATCAGAAAAATGAAAAATTATCTGGAAAACTACAGTACCCCCAGTCTATTTACAATCTATTTTCAAATAAATATCAATTTTTTTTCGCATCCCCACAAACCTCTTTGGCTTTTTCCTCACACAATTTCATTCCCTTCTCAATTGCGGCCAACGAGAATTTAATATAATCCAACGAGGCGACCGATCTCAATAATCCCTCAACATCCACATTTCCCAACAACGACATCAGAATCGGTCGACCCTCGTTGTCGCCGAGCAAACCGTAACCACAATATTTTTCGAGGCACTGGAAAAATTAGCAAAAATTTTTGGGGCATCTTTTTCAACTTCATTTGCCCCATGATTCGATATGCGCGCTTGGTTCAGTGGTAGACGTTTTTGCTGCCAGTCACAAGACTCGAGTTCGAGTTTTCATGCGCGCGAATTTTTTAAATTTTTTCATTTTTAGGCTTTAAATGCATTTTCACCTCTGGCGGGGTCCATTGATCAATGGTGTCCAAATGCCAAGCATTTCTAAAAACCACGTGTTTTCTCAATGAATCCACAGTCTCATCAAAATGTCCGGATTTGGCGCGAAGCCAACGAAGAATATAACCATCGTTGAGGTTTTGAAGTTCTGGCAAAATGTTCCTGCAAATTTCATAGATCACTACAGTAATTTTTTGAGGAATTTCTCGAAAACCTACCTGAGATCTTGAATTGATCGGTGTTCGATAGCCGTCGCGGCCGCTGTTGGTGACACCAACATTTTTACTACTTGAGATAGATAGATATAAAATTGGAAGAAAGAAGAAGAAATGAAAAGAAGGAGAAGAAAAGAAGGAAGGTCTTCTTATTTTTGTATTTTTCACTCGCGCTCTCATGAATTCTTATACTATTTCATCAATACTGTAGTATTGTCTATGTGTAATATCTCGATAAATCTGTCTTTTCGCCTGTCTTTCCATTTTCCCGTCTTCTTTTTTTCGGGGCCTCGAATCGATATGAATCATGGATTGCAAGAAACACGTCATTTGAATTGTGAAATTCTATGAAATTCCAGAAAAATTGAATTTAAAACAAATATCATGATCACATATCACAACTTTTTTACAAATAGGAGATTCTCACAAGGAAAATCCCTTTAAAAAATTTTCCAGAAATATTTCAGCCTTGTCAACGCATCATTATTTATCATAAGTTCTCCAGTTGAACTTTCTTACGGTCTTCAAACAAGTTTTTTTGTTTCAAAAAAAAATTCCGGGGGAATCCCCCTTCTTCGAATATGGCCGTGGCCTAGAAACCGACAAGTGTGGTAAGTGCGCTCTAGTGCAAAAATAGGCGAATGTTCAGGAAAATGTCGATTTATTCCCTTTTTTGAAAGGTTTTTGTCACCAAAAAATGGGGAAATTTTGCTGTTCTTATCGATTTTGTGTACTTTTCGGCATGCTTTATTGTTCTTTGAGTTCTTCTTTCCGTCTTCCTCTTTTTTATTGTTGAGAATTTGGGATTTTGTAACAAAAAAAACGTTTTTCGTTTCAGGTATCCTCAAAATGGTGAAAGATACCAAATACTATGATATTCTTGGTGTCAAATCAGATGCAAGCGACAGCGAGTTGAAAAAAGCCTACCGAAAATTGGCGTTGAAATTCCATCCAGACAAAAAATCCCGAGGGAGCCGAACAATTCAAGCAAATCTCACAAGCCTACGAAGTATTGTCAGATGAGGGAAAACGGAAAATCTACGATCAAGGTGGAGAAGAAGCGCTTCAAGGCGGCGGTGGAGGCGGTGGTGAAGGTTTCCACAATCCATTCGATATGTTCGATATGTTCTTTGGTGGAGGCGGAAGACGAGGACGAGGTGGAGAGAGACGGGTCAAACCAACGGTTCATCAAATGCGCGTGCCAATGACGAGTTTGTACACAGGAACAACTAAGAAGTTAAAGATTTCACGAACAGTTAAATGCAAAATTTGTGAAGGTAGAGGTGGAGCAGAAGGAGCGGCTAAAGAATGCAAAACTTGTGATGGAAGAGGTGTTGTTATTCGAACTGTTAGAATGGGTCCAATGGTACAACAAATGCAATCACATTGTCCATCTTGTGAAGGAGAAGGAAGTGTGATTCCAGAAAAAGATATTTGTAAAGGATGTCGCGGTAAAAAGATGGTCAAAGACGAGGAAATCATCGAAATCCATATCAAACCAGGAACCAAAGATGGCGAAAAAATCTCATTTGAAGAAAAAGGAGATGAAGTTATTGGTATTAGCAAAGCTGGTGACGTCATTATCGTTATTGATGAGATCGAACATCAGACTTTCACAAGAATGGGCGATAATTTGTGTGTGATTCATGAGATTTCAGTAGCTGATGCGCTTTGCGGTTTTGTTCGGGTCATTCAAACTCTTGACAATCGGCCGATATATTATCGTGTTTTGCCGGGAGAAGTTATTGCACACGGTTCCAAAAAGGTGATTTTTGTTGAGAAAATCCCGCCAAATTTCTTACCTGATAGAAAAAATGAGAAATGCTCGAACACATTTCTTTTTTTCAAATACTGTTTTAAATAGAGCACGTTTAAAATTGTTATTAAACAAAAAGAATTGAGCATTTCTAAATTTTAAAATAATATTTACAAACATCCAATATTTTAAAAAATCAATATTTTTCAGGTGATTCACGGCGAAGGTATGCCAATGCACCGTCATCCATCAGACAAAGGAGATTTGATTATTGAATTCAAAGTTGATTTCCCATCCAAATTGAGTCCTGATGTTTGCCGGAAAATTGCTGATTTATTGCCTGGAAAAAGTAAGTTTTTCTGATTTTCTATTTTTCCCAAGAACAAGAAATTTACACTCTTATTCAATATGAAAATTGGTAGTCCCTGAAATTTTTGGACCAAATCAGTAACCTATAATTATTGAATTTTTAATTATTTTTCTCATTTCGAATTAGTATAACTCTCAAGGGATCAGTCTAAATAAGTTTATTTATCAAAACAAAATTTATTTCTAGAACAAGTTTGAGGAATATCGATTGGGAATTATACCAATTAGAATTCGGGCGCCGATTTTTGAGCACCGCAAAATTGAAAAAAAAAACTAGAGCTGAAATTCCAAATAAAATTTGAAATTTTTCGCAAAAAACATGGTATTATACAATTTTTAAAAATCAAATACGATGAAATTTTCATGAGCCATTTTCAGAAAATGGTTACCTGACATCTTGAAAATTGAATTTTTCACAAAAAAATCCAAGTTCCAATTTTTGCAGGCGAAGAAATCATTGACGACGAAGCAGATGAAGTCGAATTGACCGCTTTGGATCCAAACGCATCTCGCAGACAACGCGGAATGCACGGAGGACATGAAGACGGACATCCGGGTCAACAAAATGTTCAGTGTCAACAATTCTAGAGCTTTCACCATTTAGGATATCAAAACTTGGGAAATCTTCGTTTTTCACTCAGGTTTCCTTTTTTCACCACCCAAACTCTCTCTCCCACACATTCTACTATCTATATCGACATTTCCTTCCATACTGGAAGAACTGTGATTCGTTGTTTTAAATACTTTTGTTTTGTTTTTTTGTGTTGTCTACAATTTTCTCCAAAAATCCCCGTTCCCTCATTTATTTTTTTTCTTCAATTTTTCGTCCCCCTTTTTTCCCGATGGAGATTCCAATGGTCTCTCGTTTATTCGATTTTTCAGAATATTTACCTATAATTTTTTAATGATGATGATTCCTGTGCTGATAAATATGAATGAATAAACGGATTTATTATTATTGTGGTTTGAGTTGTTTTGGAGAAAGTGTGAAAAGAACAAAAGAATAAGTGAAAGGTGGAAAAGAAAATAGAAGAAAAAGAAGCCAAAAATGTGAAGGAGGATGAGAATCATAAATGAACAATAAAATGAGAAGAGTTGAAAAAGTATGAGAAATTGAGGAAAATATTGACAAACTTATTGGTGTTATTTTAATACACATAATTGAGAATTCGAGAAGAATTAGAATTATTGTAAGAGTTAGACAAACTGTTAAACCAATTCGAGATTCTTCACTTATATCTGCATCTCCAATTATTGCACTTTCCAAAATTCCTTCCTAAATTAATCTATTTTTCTGAGAACACTATGAGCAATTTTCTAAGCTCACAAGATATTCTCGACAAAAATACCAACCTGATTGAATAAAACTGTGAAAACCATACATAAATGACCAACTAAACATAGGAAATAGTTAGTTATTGTATCTGTTCGAGAATACATTCTATCTTTAGAAACTTTCAAAAAATTTGATGAAAACCTTGGATTTTCTGGTTTTGTTGCCATGACAACGAAAATTTCTTATTTTCTATTGAAAACGTTGCGCGAAACACTCTATTTCGACTATAACTATATTTTACACTTCCCTTTTTATTCAGTTTCTTTTATACTCCTAAAAATCCGTGGAAACCGCGTGAAAAACGGTGCAAAATGTGAAAAACTTTGAAAAAAATGAAAGAAATTGATTAAAGGCACACAAGTTAGATACGCATGTACCGTAGTCCGCCACACTGCCCTCCCCTTTTTTCCTTTTCCTCTTTATTTTTTCGAAATCCTAAAGAATTTTTTCTTTTTTTCCCGTGTTTTTGCAGGTTTTTGCGAAAAATTTTGTGATTTTGACATCTGAAAAATTAATTCAATGCTAGTTGAACGCTTTTCGCTATGTTGATTTCCGTAAAATTTGGTGAAAATTGAGAAAAACTCGATTTTTTGCGAAAAATAATTTTTTCTTGGAATTTTTTCTTTCAACGTGTGTATTTTTCTGATTTTCAGGGTTACACCATGACTTTCAAGAGGAGAAATCACGGAAGAAACAAGAAGAACCGCGGACACGTCGGATTCATCCGATGCACCAACTGCGGACGTTGTTGCCCAAAGGACAAGGCTATCAAGAAATTCGTCGTTAGAAACATCGTCGAAGCTGCCGCCGTCCGTGATATTGGAGATGCTTCAGCATACACTCGTGAGTTCCTTCTATAATTTTTCTAAAACTAACATTTTACGTCCGTCAATTCTTCGGTTTATGAACGAAGAACGTGGATCTCAAACTATTCACCCTACTTTTATTTGCTCATACTTTTACAAAATAGTGTCAGACAACTAAGCGTTGTTTGGAAAACTCTTGATCAAAAAATGTTTTTCATTTTTTGACAATCGAGATATTTTTGAGACAACCAGAAATTGTCCGATGATTTTTTTGTTTCGGGAACTCTTCTTAATCAAGTTTGTTTGAGTGATTTTTCCAATGACCGAATTACTTGACCTTCAATTAAATCTTACGAGTGTTGAATTTTTCAAACGTTAGTATTGGGCTATCTAGGTTCGTTTTTCGTTAGGAAGTTCTAGAATATCTCATAGATATCGAGATAATTTCATTTTTGTCAAGTTTTTATTTTCAAGGCTCAATGAAACAATTATTCCTAAAATTTAATCTGTAAAAATGCACCATTTTCAATTTTTTGATTTTCAGAATACGCTCTTCCAAAGTTGTACCACAAGCTTCACTACTGTATCGCTTGTGCCATCCACAGCAAGGTCGTCAGAAACAGATCCCGCGAGGCCAGAAGAGACCGTAACCCACCACCACGTTTCGGACAACGTACCGCTCAAGCCCGCCCAGGAGCTGCCGGAGGACCACGTCAATAAGTTGTTGGTTTTTTGAAAATATAAATGTTTTGTTATTTGACAAAGCGTTATTGAATCGAAAAAAAAACATCCTTCATTTCTAAATAGCGCACGAACCTTTCAAAAAAGTAATCACCGTTAAAAAATTGAAAAAAAAAATTAAAAGTAAAAAAGACGACGTATCAATATCAACAGAAACAACAATTAAAGTGTCATAAATAATAGATGGTAAGAGAAAATAAGTGAATTATCTATACCCGAACTGAATGGTTCTGCTCCATTTGCATTTTGTATGTGCTCAAATACACATTGTGTGGTGCCGATTCAACAGTCAAATCACTCTTCTCATCCTCCTCTATCCGCTTTGCCTGTGGCGAACAAGAAGGAATCGAGATTCGACGAGTTTTCGCATTCTTATCGCTCCACTTCTTGCCGCCACGCTTCTTCGAAATATGCGGATTGTCTTGATACAAATTCTTCAATTTATACATCCGAAGCTGCGTGTAAACACGCTTCAGTTCAGCCTGAAAATTTAAATTTTTAGAAAGAATTTAGGATAAGCAAAAACGAACTCGAATATCTTCAGGATTCATATCAACGATCGGAACTTCCGCAAAATCGATAGTTCCATTCAGAATATTATCTCGAAGTTTTGCCAAACTTGGATGTGCTCTTCCAGAATGTCCACCCAAAGTCATCGATCGTCGACTCGGTTCGCCATTCGATAAATAGAATTTCGGCGCAACAATTATGACAATATTCACGGAAACTGTTAATTGGAGATGCACAAATGAGACTATGAATAATGTGTCGGCTCGACCAGAATTACGAATTGAATACCTGCAAAAATCGAGGGGAAATGTGAGTTTTTTGGGGGGAAATTTAAGATTTTCTTGAAATTTGTTGAATTTTCAAAAAAAAACTGAATTTAAAAAATAAAATATCAGAAAAATCAGTTTTTTTTTCAAAAATTTCAGATTTTCTGCCTGAAATTTGAAAAAGATTGAATTCAAAAATATTCAAATTTTGGCTCAAATCCAAATGTTCAGATTTGACGTCAAAAAATTTCAAAGTTAATTTTTTTCTGAAATTCAAAAAATTTAAAGATTAAAATAATTTCAATCAGAAATTTCAGAAAAAATCGAAATTAACATAATTTTTTCATTCTGGAATCCAGCTCACCTAATAAGATTAGCCATAAGTGTAATAATAGCCTCCAAACAAACAGCAACCGTAAATTGCCATCTTTCCAACCAATCACTATTTCTCGCCTTATAACACAATCGAACAGCATATAAAAGGAATAACAACTCATAACCATGCCAAATAACATGCCATCCTTGCATATGACATTGTGGCCAAGCGGTTTTCCATAATGCCATATCACCCCATGAACCAACTGTCCAAGCCATTAAACCGGTTACGGTTAGAGCTAACATTGCTGCCAAATATTTGAGCATATCTTGTTCGCGAACTGATACATGTTGCGCTTTTCGGACACGGTATTCTTGAAGATTCCTGAAAAAATTTTGAAGGGATATTTATTTAATTTTTTTTTGAAAACGTTAGAAGGTCGAATTGGAGAACACACAAAAATATTTTAAATTCAATATTTTTTGAAACAGTGAAATTTTTTAGTTGAGAAAATAACTTGATTTTTAATTTAAACAGTAGAAATTTTGTGGAATTCTGAATTTTTTACTTGAATAACTTGAATTGATCATTGTAGGGCACAGAATATTCTAAATTCAATAATTCTTGAAACAGTGAATTATTGTTTGAAATTTTTTGCCGAAACTAATGCGAATGAAAAACTGGTCAAAAAATTGTACATCAATAATTTTTGCAACAGTGGAAAAACGTTATGTTTTAGACACTGCGAAGCTTTTTTGATTTTTTTCCCTGAGCAAATTCATAAATACTCATTTTTTTGAATTTTTTTTTTGAACAATTATAATTTTCACTTGTAAAAATTTCTCCACTATTCACCTAATCAAATTTTCAATTTTCTTAATAATTTTCATAACTATTTGAAACAGTGAAATTTTTTAGTTGAGAAAATAGCTTAATTTTTAACTTAAACAATAGACATTTTCTGGAATTATGGATTTTTTACTTGAATAACTTGAATTGATCATTGTATGACAGAGAATATTTTAAATTCAATATTTTTTGAAACAGTGAAAAAAGTATTAATTTTTTTTGACACTGAAGCTTTTTCCGATTTTTTTCTTCTGAAAAATTCATTTTTTTTTTGAATTTTTTTGAACAATTATAATTTTCACTTTTAAAAATTTATCCACATTTACCTTAAAAATCTTGGTAATCAAATTTTCCATTTTCTAAATAATTTTCATAATTTTTGAAACAGTGAAAAAATTAATTTTTTAGACATTGCAAAGTTTTGAAAAATTATTGTTGTTTTTTATTCGCTAAATAATTTCAAATGAGAAATTGGAACCAAAACAATCTAACATTTTTCGAGAATAAATTATTTTTGAAACAGTAAATTTTCAAACCCAAATAGTGATTAAATTGAACCAAAAAAAATTGTTTTTTGAAAAGATTGTTTGAAACAGTGAAGATTTTCAGTTGAGAAAATTTCTGAATTTCTGGATTTTTTTTTCACATAAATTATCGAAACAGTGGAAATTTATGGGATTTCTGGAATTTTAAATTGAAAATTATTTTGACGATCAAATTTATCCAAAAATTATAATTTTCATGGAAGCAGTGAACATTATTATTCGGAATAAAATTTTGCCCGCATCCAATGAAATGAATGGAAAAACTGCTCAAAAAATTGTACATCAATAATTTTTGAAACAGTGAAAAAAGTTGTTTTTTTATACCCTGCGGAGTTAAAAAAATTGTTTTCAAAAATATTGAACTGAATAAAATTTAGTTGAGTAAGTTGTACAAGAATAATTTTTGAAACATATTTCTTTTAAACATTTTTCCACAACCAAAATGATTTAATCGACCAAATTCAATTACAACGGAGATTTGTGGAATCGTAGGATACACGAACAATTTAAATTCAAAAAAATTTGAAACAGTGAAAATTATTTTTTTGAAAATTGTTTTTCTTTTGAAAAATCAATAATTGTTGAAACAGTGAAAAGTCGACACTGCGAAGATTTTTTCTGAAATAATTCACCCCCAATTTTCCAAATGCCAAAAACTAACTGAATAAAATTGTAACGGTATTGAAAATACCGTAATCCTAGAAATGATTTATTTAATCTTATGTCCAGAGAAGGATGGTAGACCTGATTGAAATAACCAAATATGAAATTTCACAAAAATAATTTTTGAAACGTATTTTTTCCATTTTTCCCCTCAAATCCAAAATCTCCCTCATTTTCACATAAATATCTCTTCTTTTTCTTCTCTTCAAAAAAAAACATTTCAAATTCTATCACGCAACAAAATGTTGTTTCAAATTAGTTTTTTGTTCTCTTTATCGTCCTTTCTCTTACTACATCCAAAATGTGCGTGTAAAATGAGTGATGAATTGAAATTGAGTTCAACGAAAAAAAAAATGGCTGACCTATAAATTTTGAGCACAATTGATCCATAGAAAATCGAAAATCCAATTTGTCGCAACCAAACCGCAACACAACAACCAGCTTCGGGCGGAGCTAACCAATCCAAAAATAACTGCAAAAAAATTTGAAATTTTGGAAAAAAAAAATTTTTATTTATGAATTTTTCCGAAGCTACAAGAAAAGAGCAATTTTTGAATGAGAGAACAAATTTTTTTTTTTTGAAACAGTAATTTTTTGAGATGAACAAAATTACTTATTTTTCCAAAAAGGAACTCAAAATTAGATAGCTATGAAAAATTAATGTATTTTTTGAAACAGCGAAATTTTGAAGATGTTCAAAAATATTCAAATGTGTTTTATATCTGGGTGAATTCATGTTTTGCAGAAGACAGAGCAGAGTTCAAAATAAATAACAAATATTTGTGCATTTTTTGAAACAGTGAATTTTTTCAGTTGGAAAATACTTTTGAAAAAAATTTATATCATCAGAATTTTTATTTCCTGAATTTGGGTAAAAACAAAATCTCAATATTTTTCAAAAATTTACTGTTTCAAAATTTTCACATATTTTTCTCGATTTTCGTGGAATCCAATATATGTGTTGGAAAAAGAACATAGTATTTTTGAAACGGTAAAAATTTTCCAATTGTCCAGAAAAATTGTACGAAAAAATTTACTGTTTCAAAATATAGTGAACTTTTTTAGTTTATATAAAAAGTAATTTCTTTGATTTTTTTATTCATTGAAAATTCTAATTGAAAACATTCAATATTTTTAAAATTGGGGTTTTCTGTCAGAAATAATCCAAATCCTCTTATCTGGGATGATTTGGAGTAATTTTTTGTGAACTTTAAGTTTTGTTAAGTCTAAAATCAATATTCAAAAAATTTCAACAAAGCCTTTCGACAATTTTTGAAAAAGTAACCTTTTTTCTCATTTTCAAAAAAAAAACTCACAATGGAATATAAAATCGATGCGCCTAACAAAAACAATTCCATCAATGCCCAGCCTCGAACCTGAAATTGAAATGTAAAAATTCAGTTTTTTTTCAAAATGACCGTACCTCATGCTGTCTTTTTCGCTGATAACAAACAATTGGGATCAATGCCAGACAAACGAATGCGCAAACCGAATTGAATGCCAAAAGCATATGGCGACCTGAAGAAATTTGGAGTACTGTACCCGCCTTTAAAATTTATAGATTTCTCTGTGATGTGAATGAAAAAGTGATAAATTCTGAATATTTTTGTGTGTGTGTGTGGTAGAAGCACAATAAGACACAATAACACCAAAAAAGGAAAATCAGTGTGCGATAGAGCGCACATGGTGTTTGTTATTGTGTCTTTAATATATATTTCCCGAAAAAAAAGAATTAAAAACGTACTTATAAACGAACCTCGTTCGCCATCACTTCGACACAAATAACGAGTATTATTCAAGGGATCGGGAGCACAACACGCTTTTGCCGAAACACGCAAACCACCGTGAACTGTCCATGTGCACTGGAAAAATAGAGATATTTATTGGATTTGAGAGATTTCACTGTTTCAGAATTTTGCTAAAATAGTGCTTGCTGCTTCCAACAATATAAATTTACAAAAATTTCACTGTTTCAAAAAATAGTTATTTAAATTTTTTCGAGAAATATCTAGTCCTGTTTTGTTTTGTTTGTCAGATCGCACAAAATTTTCAAACTGAAAAAATTCACTGTTTCAAAATACTGTTTTGAATTTTTCGAAATTCTTTGAAATAATTATTTGCATATCTACGCATCAAAAATTTTACGAAATTCTAGTATAAAATTACTGCATTTTCTGCATATTCATTGATTCAGAAAATTATGAGCTGAATTTTTTAATTTATTTCCCGATTTTGGTTTGGAGATTTTTAACTGTTTCAAATCTTTTCGAAATAAATTCTAAAATTCATTTTGATGCGTCACAAAACTTCAAAACTGTCCCCAAATCTTCATTTAAAAAATTATTTTTTCACTGTATCACATGAATTTTTTATTGAAAAAGTTATATTCAAAAAAATTGACTGTTTCAAATTTTTTTTGAAAGAAGAGATTAAGTTTTACAATTATTAGGATAAGATTTTTCTAAAAAATCAAAATTCAGAACTCACAAAATTTTTGAATAATTTCTTAAACTCTAAAAAGTAAATGTTTTTTTCGCAAAAAATTTTTTTTCGAAAAATTCTGATCTAGTTTTTTTTTTTGAAATTTCACTGTTTCAAAAAATTGTTATTTCAATTCTTGAATTAATTTTACTGATATACACATTTTCTGTGATTCCCAAAAATTTACTGTTTCAAATTTTTTAGAAAGAAAAAATTTGAATTTTTCTCTTTCAAATTTTGTTTCCCAAAATTCCCACTGTTTCAAAAAAACTGCTCATAAAATGTTTATTCCCTCTTGTCACATCTCGCTCATCTCAAAAAAAATCTGCATAAAAAGTATGTGCAAAAAAGAGAGAAGTGTGTCCCAAAACTTTTTTCTTCTTCTTCTTTTTTCCTTCGCCGTTTTTCGGTTCATTTCCTTTTTCCCCCTTCTATTTTTTCTGTGCTTTCTTTGCTTTTTTTTGTGCTCTCCGGGTCCCAAACAACACAAAAAGAAAAGATAAATCGGTGTTTATATGCTGCTAGGCTTGAAAAAACGAGAGAGAGAGAAAAACTCTCTAGGGAACACCAGAATATCTCTGCGTCTCTCACTTCCTCTCGCTGTCTGAATCCAACTTCTACATACTTTTTTTGGGGAGCAAAGCATTATTGTCCAAAAAAGAAAGAGCAAGACCGGAAATTCGGCACTCAACCATTTTTTGATGGGAAAATTTGACATATGAGAAGAGGTTGTCTTACAAGCCACTAAATATTTGAGATAAGAAAATTAAGAGGGGAAATGCAAACGCGCTCCACCGAACACTACAGTAAAACAAATCGAGAGTTGTTTTTCACCGAAATTTGAGGTATCGAAACCAGCAACGCGCGTGGTTCAGTGGTAGAGCGTTTTGCTGAGAATCGCGACACCCAAGTTCGAGGAACGATCCCCGCGAACTCTTTTTTTTTTGGAAAATCTTACCTTCGTTTGACATTCGACTTTTCCACACAAATCAATATCGAATTGCTTGACATCAACTGTTAAATAATTCGTTGTACTGTGATTTGACGCGAAAACCAAACGTGGCAACCATTTTCTGGAAAAAATGTATTTCAAAAAATTTTTCTCGGTCATGAAAAATCGTGTTTTTTCTTGTTTCAAATCAAAATTCAAGAAGAAGCATAAAAAAATTTAATTTCCTTTTCTCTCCCTCTTTTTTTCTTTACACTTCTCCCCTTTTTTTCTTCATCTCATGATTCTCATCAAATATAAATCTCTGTGAGCTTTGTTTGTTTTCATTTATTTTTTTTATCACAAGACACTTTTTCACGCTTCATGGAAAAATTTGGAAATTGTCAAAGAGAACTACACAAAAAAAAACTAATTCGGTAGGAGATATTTTCAGAATTATTTGTGCGCCTTTGAAAACTACGGTTTTTGATTGAGGGAAAAATTGAAAAAAAAATCATCCGAGAGAACTACACAAAATAATTTCGTCTCAAGATCTTTGAAAAACTACAGTTTTTCGAATAAAGCTTCCCTGGAAAAATCAGAAAAATTTTTTTTTTTTTCTCCGAGAGAACACGAACATATTTTCGCTTCAAGATATCCTATGTGCCTTTAAAATTTGTTCCAAATTTTTGTTGTTCTCCCCCATTGTTTTTTTACACGTTCGTTCCGCCGTAAAAAATCAATTATTCAACAACAAAAAGCCCTCAAAACTCGCCAAAAATGGGGGAGAAAACACAACATGTTTATATGAAATTCGATAGTATTTTTTCTTTTTCCCATTGATCGAGCCTATGCTAATTTTGGGACAGAATAGAAAAAGAAATTGTATTGGGGGACCGGAAGTTCTCACGGTTTATTAAATATGAAAAAAATTTGTTTATGTGAGAACAAAAACAAATTTGGGATTTTTTTGGGCAGACACGGTGTATTTTTTTTTCAAAATAAAGTCAGCGCAAAAGTGAGAGAAACATATTTTTGATCTAAATGCCACGAAAAATTAGATCACAAACCTTGTCTTTTTATCACCATCTCCACAACTTAATTGCAATCCATAAAAATATGGTTTCTTTGGTGTGAACGTGACATTGAATGGTTTATACATCGAAGTGCTTGCACCTTCCAAAATCTTTTCCGGTTCAACACTTCGTTGATCAGTCAAAAAACGTGCTAGTGGAATAATTCGAGGTATTTGATTCGAAACCGCCGCCACTAAAAAGTGTTCAGCTTCATAAACATGTCCACATTCAACTTGTTGATCCAACGATGTTAATAATTGTGTCAATTCAACTGGTCCCTCAACAATTCGATGTGTTTCACCAGTAACTGGTAGTGTTAAAAATAGAAAAAATATGATAAAATATAGAAAAAATATTAGGCCAATATCGGCCCTCATCGCAGAGGGCCCTATTTTCATTGATTCACCACTGCTTCTTTTTTTTAGAAGAGGGAAATGGGAGGGCGAAGATATATTGTGTGAGTGTGAGTGAGGCGAGAGACGAGAGAGAAGAGGGAGAAGAGTGGCGAGAGAAATAGAAGAGCCGTGTATTTCTCTAAAACTCTTGCTCGTTCTTTTTTTTTCGATTGCCTTCCTTCAGAAGACGTCGACGACGTACGCGTTTTGCTCCTCGCTCTTGCTTGCCAATATTTTTCTTCTTCTTCTTTTTTTGAGGAGAAAAAGAAGAGGGTCTCTTCCGACGGCGCCGTACATATTTTCTATATATATGTATATGTATATATATATATATATACAAAATATAGAGGGGAAAATGATAGAAATAAACATTTACTGTGAATTATGTACAAGGAACTTGGTCTCGCAACGATGTAATTTCGGGAGAAAAAATTTTTCGAAATTTAGATTTGAATTTTTTCAAGTTCCAGAAAATGCTTTGCATGAAAACAAATTGCTTTAAAAAAGTTTGAGGAATAATTTTTTTCTATTTTTGCTCAAAAAATTACAAAAAAGTTATTTTAAATATACTGTAGAATACAAGGAACGTGGATTGATCTCGCAACAACGAATATAATTTTTAAATGTTGAAAATTTGGATTTTAGGCGTAAAAAAACCAGAGAAAATGAGGAAAAGCTCAATTTTTGCTCAAAAAATTGAAAAAAAAATTTATTTAAAATATACTGTAACATACAAGGAACATGAAAGAATGAGAAATGGTCTCGCAACGATACACAACGCAGGCAATGAATGTACGCAGCCAATTTTGAATTTTGAATTTTTTCTTGTTTTTTTGTCCCGCAAAAACGGTAGAAAACTCGAGCGAAAATGGTTATATCGCTATCGCAAATAACGGGAAAAGATGCTCAATTAGCACTTATCTGGTTAGTAGTTTCAAGGTTTTTCGAAATTTGTCAAAACAACCAGGTAAAATTTTAGGAGACTTGCAACGATGCGAAATTCAAAACTTGGAACGATTAATAAGCGAAATGTTATGCAACATGATGTTAGAAGCAGTTGGTGAGTAAATAGAAATTGGTTTTTGTTAAAGAAAACATGAATCTGAGTCACGATGTTTTGGGAAAATGTTTTTCAGCAAAGCAATTGTATCGATGATTGAAAAAAGCCAGGCAAATCGCGAACTTTTGTCACTCTACATCATGGCTCAACTTGTCTACGGTACAACTGTTTTATTCTCTCGTCAAGTTCAATACCTTTTCATCGATGCGAATGAACTTGTCGCCGCTGTCAAAAATCACTATCTGATCAATATGCCGAAAAAAGAAGTGAAGAAACGAAAAGGAAAAAATGTGGAAGAAAACGATGAAGACTTTCAAACACCAAGAAAACGTTCGAAGAAGAAGATCAGCGATGATGATGATTTGGATCTTGATTGCTCTCCAAAATTGTTGCTTTCACAAGCTCGTCCAGATCTTATTACACTTCGCGAACAACTTCCAGTTGCTAGCAATCTTTTTGATGTGAATCTTGTTGATGATTTGGTTCCAATATCAGATGCTGATTTCAATAATATGTATCAACCTATGTCATTGTTAGTTTATCTGATGAATTTTTAGAGAAAAAAAAATATAAATATGAATTTTTTCCACAGAACATTCACGGATTATCAAAAATCGAGTGGAACTGGTGAGAATAATAATGATAATCCAATCGAAGAGATTCGCAATGCGAACTCATTTCTCGATGAAAACCTTCTACCAATTCAACCACCTGATGTCGAATTCCTTCAACAGGCTATCACAACCCCGGTGAAAAATCGCTCAGATGATGGAAGAATGATGCCAGCTCCCGGTCTTGAAGATATTCTATCAATGGGATTTGAGAATTTCCGCAAACCAATTTCAAACGATTCAATGGATCTTGAAGAAGAATTGGAGCATTTGAAACAAATGAATCATCAAAGAGAAGATCAGCCGTTCATTCCACCATCAACACCGGAAATTGTGGCAAGACCTGCGAGTTTCGAATTGTCTGATTTGACGCCGTCTGAATTGATGAAACAGACACCGTTGAGAACACCGGCGAAGAGAGGAAGAAAATGTGGAGATACACAAATCACACATGTATGTTATTCGTTTTTATTCAGAAAGTAATGAAAATTCTTGAATTCCAGACAGAAATGCGTGAAATGCAAAACGACTACGATTCTCTGCTTCAAACCAGCGAAAAATATCGGGTCAAAATCAAGAAATCCTACGAATTGAGCTTGAAAGAATTGATGGATCCAAAGCCAATTGTGAACAAGTATAATAGTATGATTTTTGGGAGGAATTAGAAACTTCTGTCCAGAATAAATAACAATTTTCATTTTTCAGCACTGGCGCCGGAAATCGCTGAAATGTATCGAAGTATCTTGGAAAAACCGGCGAAATTCGACCCGAATATGGGAACTTGGATCGACGACAAAGTGGAAAGTGACGATGAAGACGGAGAGATTTCAACTGCCAAAAGTCGCCCGAATCTTCCAATGGTCGAATTGGATATGGAGAATTTGAAGTTCCTCGCAACACCCATCAAAGTTCAACAAACACCACCGTAAGTTAGCTATAATATGAGAAATCCTAGAAAACATTTTTTAGGGAAACGCCACGTCGAAATGCGAATGATTTGCAACTTGATGAAATTCCCCAAATTTCACCACTTTTTGCAACTCCACTTCGATCAATTCCGGATATCGATTATGGAAATCAGACAAGATTCAGTGATTCTTTGAACAAGATCCAAAGCCCGCTGAATTCACAGGGGTGAGTCTAGCGAGAAATTAAAGATAAGAAATAGAACACGTGAGCTAAATGACGTGGCAAAAAGATTAAAAATCATTTTCATTTCTCATTTTCAGCCCCTCACCCAACGATATTCCGGGAAGCGAGATCCGCGAGAAGATTGTGAAGGCTTGCGAGTATCGAGCACCATTTCCCGCTGCTTTGGACGATGTTTTGAACTATGATGATGGGAAAAGAATCGCCGCAAGAACATTCTATGTTCTCCTAGGTTTGTGTTTTTTTATTTTGAAAATTGCAAGAACTCGGTGAATTTTCTTTGGAAATTGATTGATGAAAACTCTTCAAAATCTAGTTTTATCCGTCTAACAATAAATTCTAAAGATTATGAGCACTTTTAAAATTATTCAAATGTTGATGAATGAAACTTAAAATGCACCTACTTCACAAAAAATTGAAGTTGAACAGAAATTTCAGAAAAAATGAAAAACTAAAAAAATAAAAGATATATGTGGCCGAGAAATGTCGGGAATTTGGCCAAAGCAACAAACGCGCTCCAACAATGCGAATTTTTGCAACATTAGAGCGAGTTTGTTTCTTTGGCCGAATTCCCGACATTTCTCGGCGACACCTCTTTTTATTTTTTCATTTTTTCTGAAATTCATGCTCAACTTCAATTTTTTGTGAAATGAGTGCATTTTGAGTTTCATTCATCAACATTTCAACATTTTTGAAAATGCTCATAATCTCCGTTGTCGGGCCATTCAACAAAGTTTTTTTTCGCAGAGATGACAAAAGAGAGAATCATCAACGTTCCAGTCCAGGAAGAACCATTCGGAACAATCAAATTCAATTTGCGAACCGAAGACACGGAAGACGACGATATTGAAGATATCGTAAGTTCGCAAGAGAACAATAAAGCATTCATTGCATCCTCCGAAAACAGCTAAGAATTCCCCTTGTACCATACACATGTTTTTTGTTGTTTAGATAGAGTTTATCAGATTTTTTATTTGTTATTTTGTTGCCTTCATTCTTTTTTTTCTGTACAATTATTATCTGTTTCATTTTTCATTTTCCAATACAAAATTTGTCGAAAATATGATCCAAAACATCTTCGGCAACCAAATTAGACGTCAATTCGGCGATTTGTTGTTGTGCCGCATCGATGTTTGAGCACATAATTGCGGCGTCGCGGGAAATTGCAGCCAATTCGAGATGGCGCTCGCATTTTCTGGAATGGGGTGAGGTTTTTTGGGAAGGGGGTGGGGGAATTTTTAGCTGAAAATTGCCTCGTCTAAAAATACCTCAAATTCCACAAGGATTTTTCGACTAATTGTTTTTCATTGGAATTTTGAGAAAATATATTTCAAATTTGGCTGAAAGTGGAATGAAAATTATGAAAAAAATCCTCCAAGAGAACTACACAAAAATATTTCAAAAAACCTCACTCCAAAATCGCTGAATCCACCAAAAACGAGCTTTCCGGACACATTTCTTCAACCACTCGATTTAGCTCAACTCGCAAGCCTTCTAAACCATGCTGGCTTACTGTATTCGCCATAATTTCTGCCCCACTGCTCCTTGAAATATATTTGGGATACTGTAGCTGCAGATCGGTTTTGTTGAAAATCGCAAGGATTTTGGATTCGGGGTTGGATGTTTTTCGAATATCTTCTAGCATTTGGGATAACTCGAGTTTTGAAGTTTGTGGATCGATAACGAGGAGAATTATGTCAGCAGATGAGATTCTGGAAAAAAATTAGATTTTTTTCCGCGTAGCGGCACTATCTTCCGCTTCAGCGGCCAGGTTCTCTGCGTCTCTCACTCTATAATGATCTCTAAATCTCTGGGTCTCTAACTGTACAGTGTTCTCTAATTGTCTGTCTTCTCTGCGTCTCCAACATTTTACGGTCTCTAGTGCAATTTTTTTGCAAAAAATTTCAATTTTTCAACAAAAAAAAATAAAAACGTGACCCAATTTTTTTCCAACAAAAAAAAACAATGTTTTTTTCGAAACCCAAATATTTTAGTTTTTTAAAAAAGTCCAGAAATTGGAGGCAATTTTTGTTGGTTTCAAATAGAAAAAAAATAAACTGGACTTTCAATTATTTTTTTTGTAAATAAATTGGATACAAAATGAGCGAAGCATCGAAAAAGGCCAATGCAAGTGAGTTTAGGGTACTGTAATATGAGCAATGAGGTAATTTGGGGGATTTTCAGACTACTGTAGTTTTTGACGCGAAAATTTAAAAAATTCAAAAATTATTTATTTTTTCGAAATTTCTGAGATACAGTAGTTTTAGACACGAAAATTTTGAAATTCAACTTTTTCTCGAAAAAAATCTTGATAATCCTCTGCTAACATGAGCAATACAATATTTCTTGGCGCGAAAATTTTAAATTCAAACCTTTTTCAACTAAAAATTCATTTCAAAAATTAATTACGATCAAAAATCCCCAATTTTTTCAGCAATAATGGAAAAAACAATGGATGGCGATTCAACACCAGTCAATAATGAATTGACAATAACAAATAAAGAATTGGGATTAGGAGAAAGTGAGCTGGAAACAACGACAACTTCAAAATTGGAAACAAAACGAGAACTTTTTTCAAATCAGGCTGAATTTATATTAACTTCGCTTGGTTTGGCTGTGGGAATTGGAAATATTTTGAGATTTCCGACAAAAGCTTATCAATTTGGAGGATGTGAGTTGAAAAATTGAGAACTCAAAATTCTTGCAATCATAAAAAATCCACTGTTTCAAAAAATCTTGAAATAAACTCGATCAAATAGTAAATTTGCTCTACACTTCTTAAGACGTTAGATTAAAATTTTAAATTTAAGGTTGTTAAGGAACTTCAGATAATGTTTTTTGATTTTATCTTAGCAAAGTTAGATTTTTCGGACAGAAATTAATGTTCTAGAAATTATGGAGACCCAACCACATTGATCAATCCCTAAATTTTCAAAAATTAGCCTTGAATACAATTTTTGAAACAGTACATTTTCCTGGATTTTTAAAAAGTATTTTTTCAAAATTTAAAAGATATTTGCAATTTTTGTAAGTACTTCTGAAGAGTTTTTTTTCTAAAAAAAAACCACTGTTTCAAAAAAAATTTAAGAGATTTTTTGGAGAAAAATCACTGTTACTACAAATAATTTCAGGGAAAAGCAGCAATTCTCAAATATTAGAAATTTAGCTCATAAAATTTTGAAACAGTAAATTTTCTAAAGTTTTTTTTCAAAATTTAAAAAATTAACTGCAATTTTTGTAAGTATTTCTGAAGAGTTTTTTTTTAAATCCACTGTTTCAAAAAATCTCGAAAGAAACTGGTTAAATAACAAATTTGCTCCAGTTTGTTTATACCAAAGAAACTTTTCAAAATTAAGGTTCTTAAGAAACTTAAGGTAAAGTTTTTGATTTTTTGTTAGGAAAGTGAGATTTTTTGGGGGAATAATTACTGTTCTAACTATTTCGGAGAGCGAAATCAATTCTGAAATATTCGAAATTTAGCTCATAACATTTTGAAACGTAAATTTTTCCGGATTAAAACCAAAAACCATTTTGTTGGAAAAACATTGGAACATGTTTTTAATTTTTGAAAATTACACTAGAGATCCCAGAAAGTTAGAGACACAAGTGCTTAGAAATTTAGAGTAACTCTAGAGATTATTTATAACTGCCATGTCATATCCGCTCACATTGTCATTTTAAAACCGCGAAAAATTATATGAAAATTTTGAAACAGTGATTTTTTTTTCAAAAAAAAATTCCAGGATTTTTTTTCAAAAATAATTCAAATTTACAGCGGCCTTCCTAATCCCCTACTTGATAGTCTCCTACATTTTCGGCCTTCCCGCAGTCTATTTCGAACTTCTTCTCGGCCAATATCAATCAACAAGTCCACCAATTGTTTTTCGTCGAATTATGCCAATTCTAGAAGGTGTTGGTTGGCTTTCAACAATAACATCCGCACTGATTTCGATTTATTACGCAGTTGTGATTTCAATGTCAGCTCTTTATACAATCAAAGTTTTCCAAGGTGATTTCAATGTTTGGAGTAGTTGTGATAACTCGTGGAATATTAAGAATATTTGTGTTGAAACATTGGCTCAAAAACAATGTCAGAATGAAAATAATGGAACAGATTCGAGTCTAGATTTAATATTTATCAATGGTGAATGTCGAAATAAAACAGATTTTGAAGGGAATCATTTGATGCTTCCAACAGAACAATATTTATTATTTCATTTGAATCAATTATCGAGTGGAATGTGGGATATTAGCAATATTAATTGGCAAGTTTTTGGAGCGATTACGGTGGTTTGGATTATTGCTGGATGTTTGGTTTGGAAACGAATTGGAAAAGCGGGTTATGTGAGTTTTTCCGACTTTAGTGTGTTCATCAAAAATACATATCCCAGTTTATGTTTATGAGAATTTTGAAACAGTGAAATTTTGGGAATTTGAGAAAAACATTAAGAATAAAAAAATTCATCACTAGCATCAGAAACTCCCAATTCAAATATAAAAATTTTGAAACAGTGAAAAATTACTATTTCAAAATGGTTTTGAATATATTTTTAATAGAAGAATTCATCAATGTACGATTAAAAGTAGAAACTGCATATGATTTTAAATAATTTTTGAAACAGTGGAATTTTGTGTATTCCAAAAAAATCTTTCAATAAACGAATTTAGATCGAATTCGTATTAAAATTGTAGTATTTTTGAAACAGTGAATTTTTGGGATTTTCATAATTCTACAGAAAAATGAGAAAATCTGTAGTTTTGCAATTTTTTCTTTTGAAAATTACTGTTTTAAAGCATCCGCATGCATCAAAATCAGAAGCTCCAAATTTAATTATAAAATTTTTGAAACAGTGAAAATTTGAATTGAAAAATTGTCAGAATTGAGATCCCGTAAAAAAACTATCAAACTAAAAAAATTCTTGAAACAGTAATTTTTTTCAAAAAAATTTTCCGTATTTTTTTCAATAAACGAAATGAGATAATCGAAATCATATTAAAATTGTAGTATTTTTGAAACAGTGAATTTTCACTATAAATTCAGTATCATGATAAAAATATTGAAAAATGTTTTTTTTTGAAATGAAGCTCTGTTCACCAAAATTCAAAAATTATCCCTAGATTCATGAAAATTTTGAAACAGTGAAAAATTAAATTTAAAAAATTGTCACAATTGAGATCCCGAAAAAAACTATCAAACTTTTAAAATGCCTGAAACAGTAATTTTTTTCAAAGTTTTTTAAAAGCTATCCAATCAGATTAATCGAATTCATATTAAAATTGTAGTATTTTTGAAACAGTGAATTTTCACTATAAATTCAGTATCACGATAAAAACATTCGGAAATGTTTTTTTTCAGAATAAAAACTATGTGAGCACTCAAATTCAAAAATTATCCCCAAATTCATAACAATTTTGAAACAGTGAAAAATTATTATTTCAAAATCGTTTTGAATATATTTTTAATGTACGAAAAATTATTAAAAGCAGCATTAAAAGTAGAAACTCCATGATTTTAAATAATTTTTGAAACAGTGGAATTTTGTGTATTCCAAAAAAAATTCTAATTGCTCAAAAAAGAATAATTTCTCATGGAAAACCTGTAGATCTGCAACTTTTTCTTGAAAAAACACTGCTTCAAAAACTTTATGGATAAAATATGAATTTTTAAAATTTGATCTTCTATGTTCAACTAGCTTATCAAAATCAGAAGCTTGAAATTCAATTATTGAAATGATTCGTGGTTCAATGACTCTAGAAATTCCAAATTTAATAATATAATTTTTGAAACAGTAAATTTTTGGGATTTTCATAATTATACAGGAAAATGAGAAAATCTGTAGTGTTGAAATTTTCTCTTTTGAAAATTACTGTTTCGAAATTTTTATAGAATGTATTGATTGAAGAATTGAAAGCAGAAGCTCCAAATTTAATTATAAAATTTTTGAAACAGTGAAAATTTTAATTGAAAAATTTTCAGATCAAGGGATTTTTTAATCCCCAAAAAACTATCAAGCTAAAAAAAATGTTCCGTATTTTTTTTCAATAAACGAAATTAGATAATCGAATTCGTATTAAAATTGTAGTATTTTTGAAACTATAAATTCAGTATCATGATAAAAATATTCGGAAATGTGTTTTTTTTCGGAATGAAATCGATCTCATACATAAAATGTGTCCCCAGAATCGGGGTGAGGGGCTTAACTTTTTTCGAAAATCTGAAGGGAAGGGTGCCTAACTTGGCCAATTTTCTGCTGATAATTTACCAAAATTCCCAGATTTGTCCAAAATTCGCTCAAAAATGTGAGGAAGGTGTTTAACTTTGGAAAATTTTCAAGGAGGGACCCTAACTTTGAAAACTGACTCGGTGGACCTTTTTTATGTATGATCGATCTACTCACTAAAATTCAAAAATTATCCCCAAATTCATACAAATTTTGAAACAGTAAAATTCTGCCTCGCACAACAATCCAATTCAATTTCAGCTCTCCATAGTTCTACCATATGCTCTAATCCTCGTCCTATTTTTCCGTGGAGTAACACTTGATGGCGCCTCAAAAGGTCTCGCCTACTTCTTCCTATCTCCCAATATTTCTCTCCTATTTTCCCCAAGAACATGGTGCGAAGCTCTCAAACAACTATGTTTTTCATTATCTTTGGGACACGGTGGCCTAATGAGTTTAGCTTCATACAACAGAAGATCGAATAACTGCTTCAAAAATGCGGCGATTATAATCTTTGCTGATACTTTGATGAGTTTAATCGGAGGAGCCGCCGTTTTTTCGATTCTTGGTTTCTTGGCTGTTCAGCGGAATGTTGAAGTGCATGAAGTTGTGGAAAGCGGAGTGTCGTTGTCTTTTGTTGTATATCCGGAAGCGTTTACGATGATGCCGGTTCCATTTATTTGGGCGATTATGTTTTTCTTGGTGCTGGTGTTGTTTGGGTTGAATACGCAGATTGGTAGGTTCGAGGGGGGATTTAGGGCAACTTGGAAAAACTAAAATCTTCACAAGCTCAGTTAGGCTAAGTCCTAGGGCCCGTATCGAAATTCGGAATTTTAAATTCCGAAAATCTAAAAAAAATATTTTTAAAATTTTTTGTAACTCCAAATTCCAGCAGGCCTCAGACCTACCTAAAATCCTAAGCCTAAATAAGGCCTGGGTCCAGAAAAGTTCAGAAGGTTCGGAGCCATTTCAGTAAATCGCAAGCTTCCGCGCAGCGGCGCTAGCTACCGCTTCAGCGGCCACGCAGTTTACTATGACGTGGCAAATGACCCAGGAAGGTTCGGAGCCCTTCCAGATGCTTGTTTCTTTTGAATTCCGAATCCCAGCAGGCCTCATGCCTACCCAAAAACCTAACGAAAATCTCCGGGGACTGGTCACACATTTCCCTCGTAAGCCTAAAGGGCCTTATCGATTATTCACGCGTATTAAGGCCCTAGGCTTGCCCAAGATATACTGGGCCCAAAAAAGTTTGGAAGGTTAAGAGCCCTTCTAGATGCTTCTTTTGAACTCAGGATCCCAGCAGGCCCGAAATCCTAGGCTTTCCCAATCCATCCCCAAATTCTTCCAGCTCAAGTCCAAGTGTTTTGCACATGTCTCTATGATCAATTTCCAAATCTTCGAAATCGTAAATGGCTTGTCACATTATCATATTGTCTCCTGTTATATCTCCTCACAATCCTCTTTTCAACAAATGCTGGTTTTCATTGGTTCGAAATGTTCACCGAATATATTGTTGGTTTTCCATCAGTTTGTGCGATTACAATTGAGATTATTTGTGTTATGTATTTGTATGGAATGAAGAATTTGCGGGAGGATATTGTGGAAATGTTTGGACCGGCGAGCAATAAATTTGAGCAATTTTTGGGATCACATTCGATATATTATTTGATTAATTTGAAGTTTATTAGTCCGATTATTGGAATTGCGATCATTTGTTTCTCATTTATCCCACATAACAATTCCCATCGAAAAAAATCAATTTCATATGATATTATTGGTTGGATAATTGCACTTCTTCCCCTTATAATTATCCCAATTTTCTCGCTTCGAAATGTTCTTTGGTTCAAAAAACATGGATTTTTGGCCAAAAGCACTTTGATGCTTCAAAAACAGCATCGCTCGTTTTCGAGAATTCATCCTGGAGCACAAATTGAGAATACGAATGCCAAGTTTTTGCTGCCGAATAAGGAACCATGGGATTTGCGGAAAAATGGGGAATCTGGAGGAGCGAAGGGTGGTGACGTGGCATTCACGAAAATCGATATTGATTATGATCATTTGGCGATGACGACACCCACTATGAGAAGTGAGATGAAGACACAGAGGCAGCAGGGTGGAAGAGGTAAGTAGGGGATTCTTCTGCAAGTTTCCGCCTAGCGGCACTATGCGGAAACTCGCGGATTACAATTTGGTGATTAGAAAGTTAGAGTAAGTTTAGAGATGATTTTCAAAAATCAGAACACGATGATCAAATAACTATCAACCACGAAAAAATATATAAAAATTTTGAAACAGTGATTTTTTTCTAGGATTTTTTCTTAGAAAAAAATTAATCTGAAAAATTCGGGAAATTTTAATTAGAATTTCAAGAAATTTTTTCTGATCTCAATAGCAGCTATCGGAATATTATCAATCTAAAACCACGGAAAATTATATGAAAATTTTGAAACAGTTTTTTTTTGTAAAAAAAATAGGAGAAAGTTTATAATTTTTAGATCAAAATTTTAAAATTGAAAATTTACAAAGATAAAAAATCTACTGTTTCAAAATTTGAAATATTTTCAAGCAGGAAAATTATCCTTTAAGCAGCTTATTGAAATCTTCCAAAATATTAGACTTTTTTAGAAACAGTGATTTTTTGTGAAAAAAAAATGCCAGAATTTTTCATTTGTGAATTTAGAGATGATTTTCAAATTTTCAAATTTGGGAAATTTTTATGATAGCAGATGAATTATCAAATTACTATCAACCACGAAAAATGATATGAAAATTTTGAAACAGTGATTTTTTTTGTCAAAAAATTTTTGGGATTTTTTATTATGAGGGAAGTTTAGAATTTTTTCCCTAAATTTTGAAATTGAAAAATTACAAAGCTAAAAAAATCTACTGTTTCAAATTATTTTATATTTTGAGACTGGAAAATTATCCTTTACAATTAGTTGAGCAGCTCATTGAAATCTTCAAAAATATTGGATTAATTTTGAAACAGTGATTTTTTCTTATAAAATACATTGTCATCATGAGTTAATTTGAAAAATTCGGGGAATTTTAACTAGAATATCGAGAAAGTATTAAAGAAGAACTATCATCAATCTGAAACCACGAAAAAATATGAAAATTTTGAAACAGTGATTTTTTTTTTGTCAAAAATTTTTAGGATTTTTTATTATGAGGAAAGTTTAGAATTTTTAGACCGAAATTTTAAGATTGAAAAATTACAAAGCTAAAAATCTACTGTTTCAAATTGTTGTTAACTTTTAATACTGGAAAATTATGCTTTGTATTGAAAATTTCCTCTCTTCAAAAATATTGGATTAATTTTGAAATAGTGATTTTTTCTAGAATTGTTTCTTATAAAATACATTGTCTTCAGAAACTAATTTGAAAAATTCGGGGAATTTTAATTGGAATTACAAGAAATTTTCAGCAGTTATCTTACTATTATCAATCTAATCTAAAACCACGAAAAGATATATGAACATTTTGAAACAGTGATTTTTTTTGTCAAAAATTTTTTGGGATTTTTTATTATGAGAGAAGTGTAGAATTTTAGACCAAAATTTTGAGATTGAAAAATTACAAAGCTAAAAAATCTACTGTTTCAAACTTTTTAAAAATATTTTCAGGCTTTATCCTTTGGTTGAGCAGTTTATTAAAATCGTCAAAAAAATTAGACTTTTTTGAAACAGTGATTTTTTTCTAGGATTTTTTCTTATAAAATACATTGTCATCATGAATTAATTTGAAAAATTCGGGAAATTTTAATGAGAATTTCAAGAAAATTTTTCTAATCTCCGTAGCAGTTAATTTTTTACTCTCCTTAGTGCTCCTTAGTGCTATTATCAATCTAAAACCACGAAAAATTATATGAAAATTTTGAAACAGTGATTTTTTGTGTCGAAAAATCTTAGGATTTTTTATTATGAGAAAGTCTAGAAATATTAGACCAAATTTTAAGATTGAAAATTATCAAGCTAAACATTTACTGTTTCAAATTTTTGTTAAATTTTCATGCTGGAAATTTTCATGCACAGTGATTTTTTCTAGAATTTTTTCTTATAAAATACATTGTCATTATAAATTAATTTGAAAAATTCGGGAAATTTTAATTCGAATTTTAAGAATTAAATGAAGAACAATTATCAATCTAAAACCACGAAAAAATATATGAAAATTTTGAAACAGTGATTTTTTTTTGTCAAAAAATTTTTGGGATTTTTTATTATGAGAGAAGTTTAGAATTTTAGACCGAATTTTGAGATTGAAAATTTACAAAGCTAAAAAATCTACTGTTTCAAATTTTTGTTATATTTTCATGCTGGAAAATTATCATTTGATTAAAATTTCAAAGTAGATTTGACTAAAACCAGCCACGTCATTCTCCTAAAAAATTTCTAAAATTTCCAGAAGAATATGAAAATGAAATTGAAACGGTCAGTGTTTACACGGAAATTCTCAACGATTTACGTGTGGAAGTTGGTGGAATGAGAAAAGATATTCAAAAGATCAAAGATCAATTGGAAGATATTCGAGAAGATTTGACGATGGGAAATATGTCGGCGGGTACGAAAGCGAATTCAAATTCGAACTCGAAATCTGTTGAACCCGTGAAAAAACAAGTGGATTCGGCGGTGAAAAGTGTGAAAAAATCGGAAACAACGAATATTCAGCCGAGTATCAAAAAATCAAAATCAAATTCGAAGATTAACAAATAAAGATTTTTATGGTTTGAGGCGTTTTGCTTTTCAAAAATTTCGCAGTTATTTATAAGACCTCCACAATTCCAATACGTAGCAGAATTCTTGAAAACTAAAGAAACTTCAGGGATTTTTGAAACAGTAAATTTTTATAGAATTCGAGGAATATGAATAAAAAAGATAAAAAAAGGAAGCAAGTTTCAAAAATTTTAATACTTTTTTGAAACAGTGAAATTTTTATGGAAGTTTTTTTCGTCAGAAAATCGACTATGACGTGAAAAGCCTTCTTTGATTGAATAGCAACGAAACAGTAAATTTTTTATGTAGTAGAAAATTCATATGAATTAAAAAAATAAAAAAGGAAGTAAGTTTTCAAAGTTTTCAAAAATTTTAATATTTTTTTGAAACAGTGAAAGTTTTTCAGATTTTTTTTTGATACCAAAAATTGAATATGACGTGGCACAACTTTGATCCAAATGTAGCAAAACTTTTGAAAACTCAAAAAAACTTTAAAGATTTTTGAAACTGTGAATTTTTGGAAATGAAAAATAGATGGAAAAATCAAATGTAACGATTTTCCGAAAAATTTAGTATTTTTTTGAAACAGTGAACTTTTCTTACACCAAAATTTGACTATGACTTGGAAAAACACCCGCAAATAGCAAAACTTTGGAAAAAGGCGTTTTAAATTTAAGAATTTTTGAAACAGTAAATTTTTATGTAGTTAAAAATTCATATGAAGAAAAAGATGAATAAGGAAGCAAGTTTTCAAAGTTTTCAAAAATTTTAATATACTTTAGAAACAGTGATTTTTTGGATTTTTTTGACATCAAAAATCGACTATGACGTGGAAATCCTCACATGTTTGAGCAAACATTTGAAAAAAGTGTTGTAAATTTAAGAATTTTTAAAACAGTAAATTGTTATGGAAATCGAGAAATATGAATTTTATTACGGAAAAAAGGATGAAAGAATCAAATGTGATAATTTTTCGAAAAAGTTTAATATTTTTTCGAAACAGGGAAAATTATTGGATTTTTTTGACACCAAAAATTGAATATGAAAATATCGTTCAATACTGAAACTTTGGAAAAGGCTTCATAATTAAATCAGATATTTTTGAAACAGTGAATTTTTATGTAGTTAAAAATTCATATGAAGAAAAAGATGAATTAGGAAGCAAGTTTTCAAAGTTTTCAAAAATTTTAATATACTTTAGAAACAGTGAATTTTTTGGATTTTTTGACACCGAAAATTGAATATGACGTGGCAAAACTTTGATACAAATGTAGCAGAACTTTTGAAAACTCAAAAAAACTTTAAAGATTTTTGAAACAGTGAATTTTTGGAAATGAAAAATATGAATTTTATTTCAGAAAAAAGATGGAAAAATCAAATGTAACAATTTTCCGAAAAATTTAGTATTTTTTGAAACAGTGAATTTTTCTAACACCAAAATTTGTTTATGATTTGGAAAAACCCCCTCAATTAGCAAAACTTTGGAAAAAGGCGTTTTAAATTTAAGATTTTTTGAAACAGTAAATTTTTATGTAGTAGAAAATTCAAATGAATAAAAAGATGAATAAGAAAGCAAATTTCCGAAGTTTTCAAAAAATCTCAATATTTTTTTGAAACAGTGAATTTTTCTGGCACCAAACTTTTAAAAATTTGAATAAAAACTCCCCAGAACTTTTGAAAATTCAAACTATCTTGGAAAATAATCTATGCACCTTTAAAACCCCCCCTCCCCAAAACCCACCTCTGCTTGGCTCTTCGAATTCCTTCCAGCTCAATAATATCCTCAGTGCTCGTTTCATCTCGAATTCCAGCCGTGTCAGTCAATCGACATCGAACTCCACTAATCTCCACAACTTTCTGGAAAAACAAAAATACTTTCTATACACACAAAACCAACCAAATTTGAGTAAAGTAATGGACACAACAATAAACAGAACATCGGTTATGAGAGATCTCGGTTTTTATATCTCTGAGAATTTGGATTTTAGTGACCACTGGACTACATTCACAAAAAAATCTAATTCCCTTTTATATCTTCTTTTTAAGTCATTCACTACCAAAAATCCAAAATTATACTTATCCCTGTATAAAACACATATTCGCTCAATTCTCGAATATGGTTGCGTTGTCACTTCCCCTCCTGATAAATCCACCTCGGATATGATAGAGAAAGTGCAGCGTAACTTCACGAGAAAATTATATGGTAGAGTGACCGGTAAATTCATCAATTACCGAGATCCAGGCTATCTTACTTATGAGGAGAGGTTGGATGTGTTTGAGTTGGAGAAGTTGAGTGACAGGAGGAGAAGATTTGATCTCCGTATGCTTGAAGACATTCTTTCGGGTAAATCTAAAGTAAATTATAAACCCCTCTTTCAAATTCAGAAAACCTCATCTAGATCTCGCCTAAATCTTTTATTCAAAGTCCCCAAAAAGAAAATCCGAAAAAACTTTTTTTTCCATGAGAGTAATCCCGGAGTTTATTAAAGGCATCAGACAATATTCAGATGAGTTTCTGGATACTATTACCAGAGCTTCTAACCACTGATCCGAATCTTGATAAAATTAAATTCTAAATTTTAATTTTAATTTTAATTTTAATCCTTCTAAAAACAAGAGGAAAAACCTTTGTGTCTCACAATCAATACTCAAATTAAAGCCATTAATTCATTATAAAAATTTTTGTGCAAATTCCAAGATCTAGTACCACTCCAAAACAGTCAAACCAATGTGTCATTCCCTTTCTTTTTATACGGTTTCTCTTTTTGTTTTTCTTTCTAACTTTCTTTTTTTTTTTTTTTTTTCCTATTCCCACCCCCCCCCCCCCCTATTATTATTTTTTCCTTTTTTCTTCTTTCTCACCGCCATCATAATGTAAATAATTCTTAAAAATCAAACCCTACTGGTTAAATTGTGATCACCGCACCCGTGATATTGCTATTCATTTTATCACTTTTTTCTCACGATGTACTTTTCCTCTCATCGTAAATAAATAAATAAAAAATAAATAAAAAACAGAAAAATTCCACAATTTTCTGGAAACAGAAAAAACCGCTACGCGGAAGCTTCCGGAAAAATAAAATTTTTTGCTTACATCTATACTATCCCGCGTTGTTCCAGCAATCGGACTCACAATTGCCACGTCATCGTGCGCTGAAAATGTTATTTTTTATTTTTTGTGGTGGACACTTGGCAAAAAACACATGTTACAAGTAACAGGCACACATTTTTGCCTTGAAAAACAAAAATTTTGTGTAAAAAGTGGGCGGAGCCAATGATTCTGGAAAATCTGAGAAAACAGAAAATGTGAATAATTTTTTTCAATTCGACATCTATACTGTCGACATTTTTATTGAAATTTATTGATAAGGTAAACTATAGAGAAAGAAACCCATGAAATTCGAAATTTTTTAAATTTTCTTAGAATGATTAATGAACGAGTGGCCAGAATGATAACTCTGTATGAGAACATAACGACCATTGAAAACTGTCAATCAGAAGCAACAAACGGTAAGAGTTAGAGGGTTTTAGAGAGAATAAAGGGGTTTTTCAAGTAAAAATTACTTTTATTTCCTAAATTCTCATACTTATTTTGGAATAATAACAAAAAAAACTTTAAAAATTTCAGATGAATCGATTTCTGGAAAGTTATATTAACTAACTTGAATTCGACATCTACACTGTCGAAATTTTTTCATCAACTGTTTGGAACTGAAATCTGTGAGGCCGTGGGGGTTTAGAGAGAGAAAGAACATATGCTGTATCACCGGGCAGTGGACACGCCCTCCGGATGAGAGATGAATATAATTGTCGTTCACTTTTATCTTTTGATATCTTTTATTGTGTGCGCTTCATTAATTGCTTATTAGTAATCTAGCAGTTCCTAGGCCAAGGAGACGGGCACTCCCCCGATCTCCACAAATCCCGTAGCGAGTAATGTTGGGCCCCTTGAGCACGATAACAAAAATAACTACAATATGTACTCTCTATCATTTTCATTATTGTTTTTCATTTATAAATGCTTCATAGTAAAGAATGAGCCCCGTTCAAAACCCACCCTGAGCCCCGTTCAACCCCTGAGCCCCGTTCAAAACCCACCAAGTTTATTCAAAATGCTGCTTTTTCCCGAATTCGGTTTTCCATACAACACAATATTCAAACCCCTCTGTGTTTTTTCGGCCATTTTCCAAGCGTTCTTCAAAATTCGACAAGTTTTCAGAATTTCCAATATATTTTTTCGGGCTTCTTCGATTTTCAGCTCAACGTGTTCGCCGAAATCCATGATGACGTAGAGTTGAGAAATCACGTGTTTTAGTTGAGATCTGGGAATTTTTTGGGCTATGGGCAAGGAAAGAACAATAAAAAAAGTCGAAATGGATTTTTTAAAGAAAAAATTTTGAAACAGTGAATTTTTTCAATTTTGGAAAATTGAAAAAAATTATTTTTGGGGCTAAAAATAATCCGGAATTTTATGAATTTAACATTTAAATTTTGTAAAAAATCAAAGAATCCACATGGCAAGATTTTTAAATTGAAAATTTAGAAAATTAAAGAAACTTTGTGATTTCTTGAATGTCACGTGGCATTTTGTTCAGAATTTTTATTTCATTTTTTTTTCATGAAAGAATATGTTGAATTGGAATCAAAAAAAAGTAGAAGTGGATGTTTTAAAGAAAAAATTTTGAAACAGTGAATTTTAATTTTGAAAAATTGAAAACAATTATTTTGGGGCTAAAAATAATCCGGAATTTTATGAATTTAACATTTAATTTTTTTAAAAAATCAAAGAATCCACGTGGCAAGCATTTTGAATTGAAAAATCGGGAAATTCAGGATCCTTAATGCCACGTGACATTTTTGGCCAAATTTTTGAATTATTTTATTTTTTGCCGTAAAAATTAAATCATCAAAACAGTTGAAGAGGATTTTTTAAAGAAAAAATTTTGAAACAGTGAATTTTTTCTATTTTGAAAAATTGAAAACAATTATTTTAGGGGCAAAATCAATCGAAATTTTCAGAATCTAAAATTTAAATTTTTTTTAAATTTTTAAAAGAATCCGCATGGCAAGATTTTTGAATTGAAAAATCTGGAAATTTAGGATCCTGAATGCCACGTGGCATTTTTGGCCAAATTTTTGAATTCTTTTATTTTTTCGCCCTAGTAATGGTATCATCAAAAAAGTTGAAGTGGATTTTTTGAAGAAAACATTTTGAAACAGTGAATTTTTTTCAATTTTGAAAAATTGAAAATATTTATTTTTGGATTAAAAATTAATCGAAATTTTCAGAATTTAACATTTAAATTTTTTTAAAAATAAAAGAATCCACGTGGCAAGCATATTGAATTGAAAAATCTGGAAAATCAGGATCTTGAATGCCACGTCGCATTTTTTTTTAATTTTTGAATCTAGAAAAGTTTTGATATTTTTTTGGAAATAAACTGGTACCTGAATCAAAAAAGCTCTTTTTTAAAATCAAAAAATCAAAGAAAATATTTAAATCAAAGAATCCAGATGACAAGATTTTTGAACTGAAAATTTAGAAAATTCAGGATTTTTGTGATTTCTTAAATGCCACGTGGCATTTTTGGCCAAATTTTTGAAGTCTTTTATTTTTCGCGCTTGGAAAGGATTCATCAAAAGAGTTAAAGTGGATTTTTTAAAGAAAACATTTTGAAACAGTGGATTTTTTTAATTTTGAAAAATTGAAATTAATAACTTTTGGGGATAAAAAAATCCGGAATTTTCAGAATTCGAATTAAAAATCCAAAAAATTTTTAGAGAATCCACGTGGCAAGCATTTTGAATTGAAAAATCTGAAAATTCAGGATCCTGAATGCCACGTGGCATTTTTTGAAATTTTTGAATTCATGTTTTATTTTTCAAAAAAAAGTAGCAATAATTTTTCAGACCTAAAAATTCAAATTTTCCCTCCAACCCTAAATTCCACGTGTCAACTTACCTTATCTCAATCGCCTTTTCACCGCCTCTCATTTGTCCAAACGCAATTTTGCGCTCTTTTTCGCTTCGAGACCTAATCAAACTATTCAAGCCTTGAACTTGTGCCAAATCCATTTTCCCATTATAAAATGCTCTTCGCGAAAATTCACCGCGTTTCGCTTCTCGAACATTATCGATTTTTGCAAGAGTTTCAGCCAATTTTCCAGCGATTGCAGTTGAACCGTGGATGAAGATTTCGGCGGTGTCTTCGCCGGTGAATGTTTTTGGACCTGGAAAAATTTTCAGATTATTTTTTAGATGGAAAGATAATATTTGAGACATTCTGTACATGAAAAAATATCAGGTTTTTATGATATTTACAAATAAAAAACATTTTTATTTTTGAAATACCAGTACTTCCAATTCGCCAACACCAATAAAATAAATTAATTGCTTGCTCATCCATCTTGTACCACTAAATTTTTCAAGTTTGGTTCCACCCACTTTTGTCTGGCTCATTTATTCCATTCTTTCATCGAATATGAACAAGAACCTCCTATTTTTTATAGTATTGATTTTTCCTAATTTTCACATCGGCACTCAAGAAAAGGTTCCCACAACAAGCATGAGACCATCGAAAAACTTGTTCCCTGCTCAAAAACGTCTTTATCATGACATTTTCAATGATTATGACAATAAACTTGCACCAATTATATACTCCGAAACATATAAACAATCATTCTTCTTTTCCGGTTATAACAAAACAATTCATGGGTGGATTTTTAAGATTTTAATCAATCAAATAAAAGTTATCGATTTGGACGAACCTCAAGAGTTATTCACAACTTCTGTCGATATTTTAGTACAATGGCTTGATCCAAGACTTATGTGGAATATTTCAGAATATGAAGGGATTCAACTTATGTACATAAGACAAAGTATGATTTGGAGTCCGCCGATAGGAGTATTCTCAGCGTGAGTGAACGGAAATATTATTCTAGGATTCTCAAGATAAATTAACTTTTGAAGAAGTGATTTGAAAGATCTTCGCGATCTCGACTTTCGAATCGCCAAACTACAATCTCGTGGATTATTAGAACAGTACACAACAATGAGATTAACAACGAACTGTGGATTGAATATGGCCAATTTCCCATTTGATATTCAAAGCTGTGAAATTCATTTAGGATTATCGGGTGTTCATTGGCGGCTGTATAACATTTCAATGGTTTTGCCAGCCATCGATGATGAATTCTTTTGTGATATGGTAAGACTAGAATTAACTACATGATATATGTTATAACTTATTTTGTTAAGAGTAATTCAGCCTGGACTATTGTTAATGTTTCGATTGGTACTTTAAGACTGAACCCTATTCGTGATATATTATATCGAATTGGAGTTGTTCGAGTAATTCTCAAACGAAATGCAACATTCTACATGTATATGATAATATTACCAACATTCACAATAAATATGATAGCAATTGGTGGAGTATTTTTGAAGAAATCGACTAAAATGGAAAAATTAACAATTGGGTTCACACATATTATGACAATGACATTTATATTAGGATTGGTATCAGAAAAAATACCAAAAACTAGTGAAATTCCGTTATTGGGAAAATATATTGTGTTCGGGTTATGTTTGATGATGTTTGCGTTGGTTATTTCAACAGCATTTGATAAATTTTGCAACACATTAGAGAATAATCGGTAAGTTCAATCATGATCTTATGTAATCGTTGATATGTTCTCGTTATTGCAGACGATTTGGCGACCAAAAAATTATCAAAACATTATGCATGTATATTCTTCATTGTCTTAATATTCTTGCAATTTCCTATATGATTCATCGATTTGTTTTATTCGAAAATTCTTATGGAACACACCGCAATTGTGATTTGAATAACAACGAGAAAAATCGTTCAGTATATTCCGATATGTCGACTGACTTATACGAGACATTCAATTCAACAACCGGATTTTGATCATTCAGATTTTTTCAACACCGATAAAGTAAATGAATTGCTCTGCATTTCATCTTGTACCACTCAAAAATTCTTCATTTTAGTGCAACTCATTTTTTTTTGTTCTTTGAATATCAAAGATGCCAAAGAACCTTTCACTTTTTTAAAATGTCATCTATTAAACCTTGAAAAATTTACTGTTTCAGAAAAATGATTAAACTCAACAGCTAAATTTTGAAAATAATGTGTCTTGTACTCCATTCAAAATATAAAAATCACTGTTTCAAAAAATAAATATGATCTGAACATGTTTTTGAAGTTTCAATGCGGGACAAGAATATTTTCTTCAAAACATTTCCAAAATTCAACCAAATAAAAATGTGCTGTTTCAAATATTTTTGAAATCTTGAACTTGGATATAAATGATTAATTATTGTAGTCGACAGCAGAAAAAAAATCTTGAAAAATTTACTGTTTCAAAATATATTTGGAGCAATATTTTTGAATATTTAACTTTCTCCGAAAATTTTCACTGTTTCTGAAATTTTTAAAATTTTATAATTATTTTTCAAATTTTCGAATTATCATTTTTACGACCACGATTTTTTTTTTCGAAAAATTTGTTTAAAAAATTTCAACTGTTTCAAAAATTATCAGAAAATTCACTGTTTCACCGAAATCATAACAGAAATCATAGATTTTCCACCCATTCCCTCCCTAAAAAATTTCCCGCAAAAAATACCTGGCATAAAAACACTCATCGCCTCATCGATCAATTCCCTGTCCAAATCATAAATCCTCGTAAATTCCAACATTTTCGGCGTCCAAACTTTCCTTCTGCTAATTTTCTTCAAAACTTGGAGGGATTTCGGGCCGGACAGGCGAAAAATCGCAATTGCGCTGGGAAGTTGACCAGAAGACAGTGCAAAAATTGTGGACATCTGGGAAATTATGAAAATTCGGAGAAACCCGGGGGAAAAGAAAAATGTTAAAGGTTTCAGCAGCCTTTTTGAAGGAATTTTGAGAAGTTTTTGAATAATTTGAACTTTATTATTTTTTTAATGAAGAAATAATTACATAATTAAATAAATAAATACATAAAAATACACGTAAAATTAGCAATTTTTCAAAATGTTTTCAATGCTCGTTTCTTTAAAACTTTCTCACATTCTTCTAAATCTGGAATAATCCATTTAGAATGTCTCAAATAATCACGAACAATCGGAGAAATCAATTCAAATTCGAGATTTGACGAATTCGAGCATCGAGTTCGAATTGCAAATCGGCAAAGATATTGGAGAGATGGAAGAAGTTCGCGTTTTGTTAGAGGAGTTTTTAGATGAACTCGTGAGGCTTCTGCTTCGCCGCCACGTCGATGGATTAGGATTTCGTGTTGGCCTTCGCGGGATTGCTGAAAAAATATTTTGTTAAAAAATTCACTGTTTCAAAAAATCAGAAATATTGTAGTGAAATATATTAATTAGTTTAATGTTCATAAAGGCAATTAAAAAAAATTATATTTTTATCAGAAAAATTTACTGTTTCAGAAAATTGTTAAAGAATTTCGTGAAATAGAAAAAATTAATTGCCGGTATTTTGAAACAAAATAATTTATTTCTTTAAAATTTACTGTTTCAAAAAATAAGAAAATATTGTTGTGAAATATAATAATTAATAAAAATAAAAATTTCATCAGAAAAATTTACTGTTTCAGAAAATTGTTATAGAATTTTGTGAAACAGAAAAGTCGTTCTGCTTCCATTGCGCAAGATTAAAAACAAAAATAATTTTTTTTTGAAAATTCACTGTTTCAAAAAATGTTTGTGTATTTTTTCGAAATCCGAACTGTGTTTAACAAAAAATGTAAATTGAAAAATCATGGAAACCAGATTTTTTCCCAAATAAATTACCTATTTTTCGATAAAAAATTCACTGTTTCAAAAATTGATCAATTTTTAAAATAAATTTTCAGTTTTAATCTAAACATCGGCATTTTTTTCTGAATTTTTACTGTTTCAAATTTTTCTGATTCGAATATATGATAACTGTTTGAAGATCTATTAATCAATAAAAAATTTTTTTCAAAAAATTTCACTGTTTCAGAAATTGAATGAATAATTGGTAAACGATCTGATCTGAAAAAAATCTGTTAAAAATTACCTGCACAGATTTCTCAATAATTTCCGTCAATTTCCTATAATCAATCGATAAAAATGGTTGTTGACTTCCCAATTGTTGACGTGAATTTTCGAGGGATATTCGGGTGTGCAAAACTTTTCCTGGAAAATAAATTGAGATTGAATTTTCAGATATTTACTAAATGGGTGTTTTTTATTATAATAGAGGGTTTTTTGTGAAATCACCAAAATTCTGAGGTTTGAAAAAATATGAAATTTTTGAAACAGTGAAAAAATTACAAATTTTATTTATTCAAACTCATATGCAAATCCTCAAATCAAATCAAAATGAAGTAAATAAATTTCATGAAACAGTAAATTTTTGTTTAACAAATAAAATAGATTATTAAAAAAAGTTATTTCCAAAAATTTGGAATTTTCCTTTGATTTTTTATTATGGAAAACAAGAATGTGCGAAGAACTATTTACAAATTACAAATTCAGAAAAAAAAATTTGAAACAGTGTTATTTTTTAAAAGTCAATTTATAGTTTTCGGAATTTCAAAAACTTTTTGAATTATTTTACAAACACATCAAGATTGGAAAATATTTTCAAAATATCAGAAGTCAATCTTTTGAAACAGTGAAATTTTTCAAGGAGACAAATTTCGTTAAAAAAATGACTATGACAATATATTTACACTTGAATCAAAGAAAAAACTATTTTTTTGAAACAGTAAAATTTTGTGAGCTAAAAAATCCCGGTAAAATGATGTGAAACAGTAAAATTATCAATTTAAAAATCGCAAAATTTTTGATTTACCGATAAAATTTTAGAATCCATCGAAAAACTAAGTAAAAAATTCTACTGTTTCAGAATACTGTCTTCATGCGAAAAATTAGATTTTTTCGATTCAGTTGGTTAATACACCCACCTTGAACATGATAAGAGACCGTGAACAAATGTGTTTCGCTTCGACTGTCCCTCACCAAAAAGCAACCATCTTCACACAGCAACAACAATCGTTCAGCCCATCGCCAATCCAAATCACCCCAATACCTGCAGAAACAATATTTTTTGTTTGGATGAAAAATATTTTTGTGGAAAAAACCTACCAACTACAATCATACAATTCACCTCGACACGTCATAATTCTGGAAAAATTAAAAACATTTCATTTTCGGCCCGGAAAGGTCTGAAGAATCCCTAGGGCCCTGAAAAGCCCAATATTTTAGCTCTAAAATTTATATGGCCCTAGAAATCTCTATTTTTTAGTCTAAAAATCTTCTGGGCCCTAGAAATCTCTATTTTTGGACCTGAAATCCCGTGACCCTTTTTTTGTAGCCTGAAAAATCAGCACGTTTAAAAATCGCTGAAAATGCTGAATTTCTAGATTTTTCAGCTACTTTTCTCGCGCTAAAAATCCAAATTCAAATGTTCAATATTTGGACCTAAAATCCCAATTTTTCTCAAAGATATTCAGAAGTTCTAGAAACTTTTTCCACCAAAAAATCTTATCAAACCCAAAAAAAATAACAATTTCATTGTGAGATCTAATAAAATCAATCAATATTTACATAAATCAATAAGTTAGTGCATTTGTGGATGTTGTTGTTGTTGTTGCTGCATTGGATTTTGCGGTGGATAATGTGGTGTCATTAGATGTGGATGTTGTTGCATCATATATGGATGATGTTGTTGCATCATTCCAGCTTGTTGAGCTGTCATCATTGGATTCATATGCATTCCGGCTTGTGATGGATGATGTGGCATACTGGAAGGAAAATAAATTGAAAATTCTTCGAAAAATTCTACTGTTTCAAAATTCTATCAAATATTAATCGTTGAGAATTTCTGAGATCTTCTCTTATATTTGTGTTTGTGAAAAATAATTAATTTTGGTTATACGTTTCAAAATTTCATCAAATATTCATTGTTAAAATGCTCTGCGATTTTTTTATGTTTTTTATCAAACTACGTTTTTCTCATAAGTTTTCATTATTTTCCCCCAAAAAATCAACTGTTTCAAAATTTCATCAAATATTTATCGCTATTTATTTCTTTGATTATTGTTCTTTTTATTCTCAAAAATAAAAATGTTTTTTCCATACTTTTTCAACATGGTCTTTTAATAAAAATTCTACTGTTTCAAATGTTTATCGTCAAAATTTTTTTTTTGATAATTTAGGTTTCTATTTATTTATTCATTCATATCACATTTTAAATTTACAAGAAATTGGAAGAAAGAAGAAGATACATCTTTAAGCCAAAATAAATATTTAAATAAAAGAAGGAGATTGGAAAATATAAGATGACAAGATTTTTGAGGTTAGTGATTTAGAATATAAGATGGACTTTTGTACCCGCAAGAGTACGGTAGTCCAAATGTGCATAGTGAGATTTATGATTAGAGAAAATGGTTAGATGGCAGAGACTTCAGATGTGGAATTATATTATGAGGGAGACGAGAATGGGTTAGTGTTTTTGAGGTTTTATTCCAGAGAGAAATGTGTTTGTGCAGAAATGAGTTGTTTTTGCGAGAACCAATACATTTTAGGTGGAGGGGGTAGCGCTGAGAGGTGGAAGATGTAACAAATAGGGGAAGGGAGGGGAAATGACTAGAGTTAGTTAGGATTTTATAATACATATTTGTGATAAAAATGAGTTGCCTATGTTGGGTAGTGATTAGATTGAATTGGGAGAGACGGTTTTGGTATGATGAGTAGGATAAATTGCATCTTTGGAAAACGCGCCGAGAAAACAATTGAAGGGGTTTTTCCAGTTTTTGGATTTGTGAAATTGAGGAGGGATGGTAGATCTCGCAACCATAATCTAATAAGGGCATGACATAAGAATAAAACAATTTAAACAAAAAATTTGGGTTTCTAGATTTGAAAGAATACAATAATTGGCGACATTTTAAAAGGGCAATATTAGTGATGTGGGAAATGTGGTATTCAAAATTTAGGTCATTATCTATAAAAACACCAAGATCCTTGGTTCGATTTGTGGGGGAAATAGGGAGGGTATTGACATGATATTTGAAGCTTGGATTTTTCTTGCCAAAATGGAGAACACTGGTTTTGTTCTCAGCAAGTTTCAGTTTCCAAACACCACACCAATTACAAATAATTTCGATACTTTTCTGGAGGGATTGAGGGTTTGTACCGTAAATTTTGAGGTCATCGGCAAAAACAGAAAAATGAACATCAGGGGGGAATAGGGTGAGTAAATCATTTATGTACACAAGAAATAGGAAGGGACCTGAGACGGTTCCTTGAAGGACACCCGAGATAATTGGAAAACTGTTAGGAGATACATAATCTTCAATTTTAATGTGGGATTTACGGTTAGTTAGAAAAGATGAGAAATATTTACATAAGCGATCGTCAAAACCAAAATTAGATAATTTACAGATTAAGAGATTATGGGGAACTGAGTCAAAAGCCTTACAAAAATCGAAACATATACAATCAACAAATTTGTTTTCTGATAGGTATTTTTGGGTTATGGATATGAATTCTAGATTAGCCAAGGTGCAGGAGCGGGAATTTAGGAAGCCGTATTGGAAAATAGAGAAATTTTTGGCGAAAACAGGACGTAATTGATCAATGATTACTCTTTCCATTATTCTAGAAAGGGGATGGGTTAGGGTTATGGGGCGATAGTTTTTGGGGTCGGATTTAGATCCTTTTTTATGAAGGGGGATTACATATGAAGATTTCCAGGATTCTGGAAAGGTTTCAGCAAAATAAGACTCGGAAAAAATAATGGAGAGCGGGATGGTAATAGAATCTGAGCATTTTTTGACAACATAATAAGAAATATGAAATATTATCACCAGAAAATCCTAACTTACATGGGATTTTAGATATGATTTAGGTTTCTCCTTCTTCATTAAAAAAATATCTAGACTTTTTCTTACTTTAAAAAATCCACTTTTTCAAAATTATATCAAATATTCATCGGTTAAAATTTCTCACATTTACATTAGATTTTCGATTTTCTTTTAAAATTAAAATTAATTGAACTAAGTTTTCTCTCATAATTTTTGATTATTTTTTCAATATAAAAAATCCACTGTTTCAGATTTGCATTGAAAAATTTAGTTATTTCTCTCTTCTAATTGTTTCGATCTTTACAATCAAAAAATAATAATAAACTAGAGTTTTCCGAAAATTCAACTGTTTCAAATCTTATTGAACATTTTCTATGAAGTAATAAAGACAATATGAAATGTCTGAATACAGATCCAGAAAATTCCTAATCTGTCTGGAAAAAAACCTTGGCAAAAATTCACTGTTTCAATTTTCATCGAATAATTTCTAAAATAAGGAATATAATACACAACATTTTAGGCTAATGATAAAATGCAATAGGGCGAGAGGAAGAGATTTAGGGAAAAACATAAAAGAATTCACGTTTTGTTGATTATTCGCGTGAACTCTTGTCGTCTCGCTTCATTTTTCAAAAAACAAAGAAAAATAATACATGTGTGTATAGCGCTTGGCCATTTGTTTGATCAATGTCGGCAATACGTTTGAACGACCTCTCAGAAAATGTTCGAAAAAATGGAATTTTTGTTCTCATTTGAGCACGTTTGCCCAGTAAAAACGTATGTTTTCTCTAGAATCTCTCTCCTCTCACCCAATTGCGTTTCGGAACGTTGTGAATAATTAAAACCAATAATATATAAGTATGATTGATAGAATTTCAAAATAAATCCACATTTTCGAAAAATACGATTTTTCATCTAGTGTCAGAAGACCAATAAAAAATACGTTTCAAATTTAAAATATCTGAAAATTTGAGGTTTCAGAAAATAATTTTTGAAACGGTGTACGAATAACTTAATTTAAAATTCACTGTTTCAGGTGAAATTCATCTTCAAAAAAAAAACAAACCCATGTGGCATTCCATAAGGCGGCATTGCAGGATGTTGTAAATGCATTTGTATTTGATGATGATGCATTTCCATACTATTCATATTCATATGTGGCATATGTTGTTGATGAATTTGTATCTGATGTTGATGTTGGTGCATATTCTGATCATGTTCCATCATAACTTCTTGATGTTGAGCATGATGAACCTGTTGATGTTGAACTTGAGGAGCTTCTTGTTCATTCGCGTTCGCATTTGAATTTGTTGCTGTCAGAGGTTCCTTCACAGTTTCCTTAGCTTCTTTCGCTGAACTTGTACTTGGTTCTGAATGCGACACATAAAACTTCAATCGATCTTGCATTCTCGGCGATAATTTGGCGAATTGTTCAATGGCAGTGTCTCGCAAAAAATCGCCGGCAAAAACATATCGACAATTGTAAAAAAGATCGCATAAATGATGTTCGTACACGAATTCAACGCCATTTTCAGCCAGACTTCCGAGTTTTTCGAAAATCAATCGGAGGATGAAGAGTGGACCGAATTTTTCGGGATTATTTCGGAGATGTTTGAAGGAATCGGATTGTGATTGCCATTCGAGGAATCGACGGATTATTGGGACAATTAGGCGGAGAGCATACCAGAAATCGTTTTCCGTTTTTACGAGTTCCATGATTTTTGGCACGTGGCTTTGGGCGAACGAGTTGAGCAGACACTGAAAAAATAACAAAATTGGTGGATTTTTGGACACATTTTTCAGTATATTCTGTTGCTATTTTGTCACGAATCGGAGAAAAAATAAAATTCGAAAAATATAAATTTCCTGAAACAGTGAATTTTTGGAGAATTTTATTTCTGAATTCTAAAAATCCAAAATTTACAATTTTTTTGTACATCAAATTTTTTATAACAATATTTTTTTCGGAATGAAACTATTACGTTTATTTTGAAACAGTGAATTATTTTTCAAAATTTTCAGCGAAAATCAATTTGACGACCAAAACCTAATGATTTTCAGATAAATATAACTTTGAAAACTTATTTTTCTGGAAATTTCAAGGCTCAAAATTTAGATTTTTTGCAAACAATTCTAAAATTCCAAAAAAGTAAAATTCTGCCAAAAATTAATTTTTCCATTTTAGCCTGGTTTTTGTATTGAAAAAAATGAAAATCAGGAAAAGTAATTCTTTGAAACAGTAAATTTTTGAAGTTTTATTTTTTTTTTATTTAAAACAATTTAAACTTTGCCACGTGGTTTTTTTGGCGCGAAAAACTTAATTTGAATTTTAAAAATCCAAAATTTTCAATTTTTTTGTGACCTGAATCATTTGGCTAGAACAATATTTTTTCGGAATAAAACTATTAGGTGTATTTTGAAACAGTTAATTTTTTTCAAATTTAGCAAAAATCAATTTGAGGAGCAAAATCTGATGATTTTCAGACAAATATAACTTTAAAAATTGATTTTTCTGGAAATTTCAAAGCTCAAGTTTCATTTTCAGCACAAAAATTCCAAAAAAGTATAATTCTGCCCAAAAATAATTTTTCCATTTTTCGCCTGGTTTTTGCATTGAAAAATAATAAAAATTAGGAAAAATAATTCTTTGAAACAGTAAATTTTTGAAGTTTTATTTTTTCAAATTCAAATCAATTACACTTTCCCGTGTGGATTTTTTGGCGCGAAAAATTGAATTTGAATTCTAAAAATCCAAAATTTTCAATTTTTTGTACATCAAATTTTTTATAACAATATTTTTTTTTTCGGAATAAAACTATTAGCTTTATTTTGAAACAGTGAATTATTTTTTCAAAATTTCAGCAAAAATCAAATTAAGGAGCAAAATCTGATAATTTTCCAACAATAAAAATTGATTTTTCTGGAAATTGCAAGGCTCTAAATGTACTTCTATCAAAATTGGGCACAAAAATTTTAAAATTCCAAAGTATTTTTTTTGTATTGATGGACAACCTCAAATGTCATTTCATTGTTAAATTTTCATCTCGGAAAAATTTAATTATTTTTTGAAACAGTAAATTTTATAAAAAATTTTTTCGAATTTATGCTCAAAATTGCAGGAAAATGAGATTAATTTTGCAGATAAATTCAAATTTTCAATTTTTCATTCCCCAAAAAAACTCACAACATTACAATGTGACCAATAAGCCTGCGAAATAACATTAATAGTCAACGCCCTATTCGTAATATGCAACAACTGGGATTGTTCAAAATTGTCAAAAACCAATTCCTCAAATGTCATTTCTTTCGTCGTTTCGCTTTTCAAAACCTCGAAAAATTCCTGATGCAAAACTTGCGAAAAATCATCAGGCAAAGCGGTTAACATCAAAGCAATCAAATTGACAACATTATAAGGGCGAGAATGTGGTTTGATGTGAAGAACATTTATAAGAGCTGGCACAATTGTTTCGTGGGAATGGGGACTTGCCATAATTTCGATGCAGGATAGATAAAGTGTTTGAGCTCCGGGGCTGAATTCTGCTGTTTTCCAGTCTTTACACACAAATGGAGGAGGGCTGAAAAATTGAGGTTTTTGGGTGAATTTTAAAGGCGCATAGGATGCAGTACAGGATACAGTACAAATTTTAAAGGGACATAGAGTCCCCAAAATTACAGAACCTATTTTAAAGGAACATACAGTACTTCTACACAGCTCAAAAAATATTTTCGAGTTCTGAAAATTCCCTGAAATTCTGTCAAAACCAAACGCACGTCAAAATAAAATCCAAACTCGCTGAAATTCGATCAACCAACTCCAACAATATTTGCTCTTGTGTTCCATGTTGATGATTATATTTTTCGAAATTCTGTGTCAAATTAACATCCTCAATTTGTGCGGCCAAAGTTGTGACAAGTGTTCGTGCCAGCGGTTTTTTGACAAGTCCAAACATTGTGAAGAGTGTGGAATAGATGAATTGAATGGGTGTGGCTGGAAATAGAGCTTGGTTAGGACGTGGTGAAATTTGTGCACAATTTTGATGATTTAAGTATCAATATTACGGATTTTTTGAGAAAACATACATAAGAAAATCTTGAAACAGTACATTAAAAAATATTTTCATGATTAATTTCTATAATTTCAAGTACAACGGCAAAATCACATTTCATTAGCCAGCCAAATATTATAAGAAAATTTGAAACAGTGAACTTTTAGGTTAACATTTTCTGTAATTTTGAATTTAGACTTTTCCTGGACAATTTTCATGAATTGTATGAAAATAAACCATAGATCGCATCGCTCCCCCTGCAGGGGCCATTAGGGTCTATCACTTTGCAATTTTTCTAAATTGAGGGGGTGTATCACTGAGGTTCAATTTTTGTATGGAAGGCGCAAGCCTTCCATTAAAAAAAATTTTTTTTTGTTCTCAAAAAAAAAATTTAAAAATTTTGCAACACCATTGCTCTTAGCAGGAATCGATCCAGCGACTTTCAGCGTGATAAGCTCGAGCCCTAACCACTGCGCCAAGCTTGCACTTTTCTTCCCATTCTTCTTTTTTAAAGATATGATTGGTGAGATGAGAGATAGAAAAGAGAAGAGATCATCAGCTTGAAGAAAATTTGCATATTTTCAGTCTGACAATTGTCAAAATAATACTTGAACGAGTAAAAGTTGAAACATGAAACTTGGCACACATAAAATTAAGCGTATTCTGAAGGATATTGAACAATAAAATCGGAGGGGCAGACCCTAGAACTCAAGGTGCACACCCTGTCCACTGAAGAGGCCTTTTTTGACTAGTTTAGGGGACCGGGTATGCACCTCACTTCTGAGTCATTATTTCGTGTAGAACTTTTTAGAACTTTATAGTAGAGGAAATTTGCTAACTTTCCATTCAAAAATATTCTAGAAAACCTTACTAAAATGTCATTTCCTTGAGGGGTGAAAATGTGCATTTTTTACAAAAAAAATTTTTTTTTGAAATTGAAGGAAATTCAAGATTTGATTTTCGTTTGTTCTTTAAATCAAACTACTGACTTAATTTAGGCCACTGACCAACGTGGTGACCTCAAATACTACCAGAAACTTTTCCAAAACGAGTTACAGTAATTGCCAAAAAGATGGATACTTTTGATTTTTGCTATTAACCACTTAACCTTTTTCAAATCAGGCACAAAATTTTTTTGAGCTATTTGGGTCTCTAGTGCATACGATTCTGAGATATTTTCTGAAACTTTTTTAGTGGTGGCCTTTCAGATCATTAAAGCTGATTCTGAAAATTTTCAGTTTTTTTCAAAACTAACTTGAAAACTTCAATTTTGCCACAAATAGTAGTTTACTCAGCCTATGCCTTAATATATATATATTACACCTATTAATTCCAACTCTGATACTACATTTTCATTCATTATGAGATCTATTCCGATAGTTCCAGTGAGACCATCTAGAAAAATTGTTATGACCCAAAAAATCGATTTTCATGGCATATTATTATTGGATTTTCGATAAAACACTTCAATTTGAGCATGCCTAATCCTAAACATCATTATTGAATCGAAACGCGATGTATTTTGTATGATTTTGACATTGATGGAATTCGGATGTTTCTCTCGATCTTCGACTCGAGACCATCGAGGAAATCAAAAATTGATGGCCACCACGTTGGTCAGTGGCCTAAATTAAGTCAGTAGTTTGATTTGAAGAACAAACGAAAATCAAATCTTGAATTTCCTTCAATTTCAAAAAAAAATTTTTTTTGTAAAAAATGCACATTTTCACCCCTCAAGGAAATGACATTTTAGTAAGGTTTTCTAGAATATTTTTTGAATGGAAAGTTAGCAAATTTCCTCTACTATAAAGTTCTAAAAAGTTCTACACGAAATAATGACTCAGAAGTGAGGTGCATACCCGGTCCCCTAAACTAGTCAAAAAAGGCCTCTTCAGTGGACCGGGTGTGCACCTTGAGTTCTAGGGTCTGCCCCTCCGATTTTATTGTTCAATATCCTTCAGAATACGCTTAATTTTATGTGTGCCAAGTTTCATGTTTCAACTTTTACTCGTTCAAGTATTATTTTGACAATTGTCAGACTGAAAATATGCAAATTTTCTTCAAGCTGATGATCTCTTCTCTTTTCTATCTCTCATCTCACCAATCATATCTTTAAAAAAGAAGAATGGGAAGAAAAGTGCAAGCTTGGCGCAGTGGTTAGGGCTCGAGCTTATCACGCTGAAAGTCGCTGGATCGATTCCTGCCAAGAGCAATGGTGTTGCAAAATTTTTAAATTTTTTTTGAGAACAAAAAAAATTTTTTTAATGGAAGGCTTGCGCCTTCCAGACAAAAAATTAGGGTGTATCACTCGCGAATTTTTTTTTGAAATAGGGTGTATCACTTTGAGGTTCAGAGGGGAAGATTGCGATGTATGAAATAAACAAATAAATTTTGCAAATCAGGAGCAAAATTTTTTTAAAGAAAAATTTGAAACTGTGAATTCTGGAAAAAAAATGTTGAAAAACTAGGGTTTTTCCAAATTCAAGAGAATAAAAATAAATTTTTAATTTCTTCTAATAAAAATATTTGAAACAGTGAAATTTTTCTCTTCAAAAAATTTGCTGTTTCAAAATTTTAGTAAAATTGATTCGAACAAATATCAAATCGCTACTTTCCTGTATTCATTTATATTTGAAACAGTGAGATTTTCCCCGCTCAAAAAAACTCACGATGATATTTATACAAAAGGCACAAATTGGTCAAAATCGGCAAATGATTGAAAGATTGAAAAATCTGTTGTTCCAACGTGACCGAAATAATAAAATCGGCAACTGGCAACAATCTTTCGATCAAACATCCATAATAAGTTGGCATATGAACATTTGAAAGTGGTTCATGTTGTGGTCCTCGAATCATTTCGATTATTTCATGTTCCGGATATAAATGGTGATATTCAACGATTTTTCGAATATATTCCGTGTGATTGTGCTCTTTTTTCGGCACATTATCATTGAACCATTTTAGACGACAAGCGAATTCGGGCATTGTACAAAATTCCTGCAAAATTAATTAATTGGAGGTAGGTAGATCGAATTTTCGCGCCAATTCTTGGAGGTTGAGGAAAAAACTCACATGAACAATCAAAATGGAAATATGCGAAGTTTCATCACAAGTCGGATGCATAACAAGTGAGATCAATAATCGATCAGCTCTCAAAAGATACCATTGAAAAACCATTTTCGATAAAATATTCGCCATATTGTTGAATAATTGATTATTTCCAATTTCATTTTGAGCTTCCGAAATAAGAAAATCGACGAGGAAATTGGTGGCAATCACCATTTCTTGAGCGGTTTTCTTGCCAACTACTCTGCAAAAAATTGACTTCTAGAATTGTTTTTTTTATGTAAGACAAAATTCTAACTGTTTAATAAAAAATTTGGAATAAAAAATCCACTGTTTCAAAAGTTTTAAAATATTTTAACTTCATTATGAATTCATTAATTCATCAATGACTTTTTTGTAAAATGTAGATTTTTTTTCGCTGAAAAATCCACTTTTTTAAAAAGAAATCTATGATTTAATGAAAACATTATATGAATAATTTTTGGATTGTAAATGTAATAATTGACTAAATTTTTCCACTGTTTCAAAATTTTCAAAAAAATATTCGGAATGTAATCATGGGGTTGAAATTCCCCCATCCACTTCAAAAAAAAACATTAAAAAATCTTCACTGTTTCAATTTTTCATAAAATAAAATGTATTATTTTTGAAAATGTTCCGGTCGAAACTGTGTTTGAAAAATTGTTAAAAAATTTTTTTCCAAAAAATCAACTGTTTCAAAATTTTATGAAATATTCTTGATGAAATTATAAAGTTGATACATTTGGTAACTTTTCTCAAAATCTTCACTGTTTCAATTTTCAAAATCATTTTTAGCCCCTCAAATTCCCAGAGAAAAAACCAACTCATAAAACTCAGGCGTCAATGCCAAATTCGCATCCAAATTCTCGTGTAAATATTTATAAATCACAGCCAAAACAGTGTGAGTTGATATTGGATTAGAACTGCTGTGTTCGAATGATTGAATGAATTGTTGAGGAGTCATTGAGGCGTGTAAAGTCAGATTTGTGCGAACAACTTCCTGCAAAAAATTCAATTTTCATCAATTTTCCCAGCTCAAAAGATCCCAAACCTGAATTTCCGCAAAATTTGGTTGCATCGCATCCGTATTATTATTCGCAATCAAATCCAACGCCCATTTCGGAAAATATTTCGTCATTTTCTCGGGCCACGGAAATCCGGTTATCAAATATGGAAACATCGAACTTTCCAACGTCAATTCTTGTCCTGTTATCTTAATAGCCCGCATTAGCGTGATAACTTTCATTCGGAAAATTTCGGGGCAAATCGGGAATTTTTTGCGGTCTCCAGTTGAAGCGTGAATGAAATCATTTGGAAATTGCAATAATTTGGCCGTCGCATTTGGGGGTAATCCAGTTTTTGATGGTCCAAAGGTGGTGGTTGCGTTCACAATATTCTCATGGAAATTAGTCCAACACCATTGTCTCATCAAATATTGTTCAAGAAGTTCGTATAATTGGTGATTTGGTGCATTATCGATGTATGGACCATTTAGAGCTGAGATTATATTTGTGACAAAAACGTGGCGAAGTGAAATTGAGATTGTTGGGAGTCTGGAATGCAGAATAGGGGTTGAGTTGTATACAAAACATTTGGGAACATTTTGAAACGTATATTTCAGGGGCTATGCAGAAAAAGTTTGTTTCAATTTTCTGTCTAAACTCTCTTAATTTTACGGTGTCTTTGAATAATCCAATAATTATCAAAGAATTCAAAAATTCACTGTTTCAAACAATTATTAACAATTTTTCAGGGCAAATATTTTCAGTTTTATTTCTTCTCCTGCCCGAAAAACTTTGATTTTGAATCTTGAATTTTTAATATTTTTTCATTATTTTCAAACGTAGAGACAACGTAAAATTGAGAGTGCGCAGACAGAAAACTAATTTTTCTCTAGACTCTCTCAATAATACGTTGTCTCTAATCAAAATAATTTAAATTATTGGTATATTTTTAGGCATTGCTCATGTTAGGCTTGCCTAGAAACTTGTTGTTCAGATCATAGAAATTTTTGGATCATTGCTCATATTATTCTTAAGTTCTGAAGGTTGCTCATGTTAGGCTTACTCTTGAAAATCATCTTAAGGACCAAAAATCATTTTTTGAATTTCCAAAAAATGTCGAAATTTCAAATTCCCTCTAAAAAACCCACCGATAACACAAAAAATCGAACAAATAAAAGCATTGATCTCTGGCTTCAGTTTGTGCCGAAGTCACTGCTAAAAGTGATCGATGTGAAATATGAACAACATCTTTGGCGGCTCCTTCATGATCAATTGATAGACAAATTCGCGCAACTGTGTCTAAAACAAATATTATTATTCCTATAAAGAGAAAAAAAAGAGCCAAAGAAAAACAAACCAAAAACCGCTGGACTCGGCAATTTGTCGCTAATCGTTGTTCTCAAACAATTGAAACATTGCAAAAGTAGCGCTTTTTTGGCGCGAATTGTTAACGCGTCCAAATATTCGACTGAAAATGCGGTCATTTTATTGATTGCTTGTCTTCCATAAGAGAGTGTGAAGAGAGAAGAATCATCGGAACCTTCGAGAAGTTGAGCATAGACTGGCGGAATCATTTTTCCAACTTTGCTGTCAGATCGATCTGAAATTTTTTGTCGGTTTAAAAAAATTGAACATAAGTTTATGAGGAGTGGAAAATTATTATAAAAATTTACTGTTTCAAATAATTTTTAATTTTTTTCAAACTTTAAATTGAATATTAAACCATTTTTTTTATCGAAGAAAATTCACTGTTTCAAAATAATTTCATGTTTAGTGTTCAGTTCTAGAAGCGTTCGTCTAACTTTGAAATACAAAAAAATCTGATTTTTTCTCTAAAAATTCACTGTTTCAAAAATGCACCAAATTTTTGATTTTTTTTCAATGTGGTACATTCGCTTTATGACAAATTAAATTCAATTTTTTGTAAATTTTACTGTTTCAAAAATTCTTGAATATATTTTGTAGGTTTGAAAATCTGATGTGTGGTAAATTCATAATTTTTCATGCTTGCAAAATGGTCAAAAAATTTCTTGTTTTGAGATTTTGAGCTTCTCCAAAATTTCACTGTTTCAAAAATTGATTAAAATCTTGAATCTACGACATATAAAGTTAGAAAAATGATAAATATTTCAAATAAAAAATCCTTCAAATTTTCACTGTTTCTAAAATTCAACCAATTTTCTATTAGAATTTCGCATTTTTTAATGCATTTGAATATCTATAATTAAAAAAATCAAAATTTCTAAAGGAAAAAAATATTTGAAAATTTCACTGTTTCAAAGATTTGGAAAATACCGACTTCAGTCATTCTTAATTCAAAAAATTTAGAATTACAAAAATAATTCAGAATTTCTCTGTTTCAAAAATTCAACAAATTTTCTATTAGAATTTCGTTTTTGTTGATGAATTTGAATATCTATAATTTAAAAAAATCAAAATTTGAAAAAATATTGGGAAATTATACTGTTTCGTAATGGGGTGAGTCAATTTTATTTTTTGTCAATTAATTGACACAAAATGTGAGTCATTTTTGTGCGATTTTTTCACGTTTTTGTCGATTAATTCCATCTTTTTTTGCAATTAATTGCATTCAAAAATGAGGAATTTCAATATGAAATAGAATTTATTTGACCTCTTTTTTGAAACGTGTCCCAAATTCACTGCTTATTTTTTGAATTCATTTCGAAATGAAAGAAAATTGAGAGAAGACAATTTTTTTGTTGATAATTCCAACGCATATAGGTCACGTTTTAAAATATAGGTCAAATAAATTCTATTTTTTATGCAATTAATTGCATTTTTTGCCAAGAAATGAAAGCGATGAATTGACAAAAACGTGAAATTAATCGCCCTAAAAGACTCACTTTTTTTGTCAATTGATCGCAAAAAACACGTCGATTAATTCGATTGACTCACCCCATAATAAAAATTTTAATTTAAAAAATAATTCAAATTTTCACTGTTTCAAAAATTCAACAAATTTTCTACTAATCATTTCTTTTTAGTTGGTTGCTTTAAAAGTCGGTATTTAAAAATCAAAATTTCTGAAGAAAAAAAATTGAAAATTTCACTGTTTCAGAGATTTTACAAATCTCTACTTCGGTCATTTCTAATTTAATAAATATAATAATTTTAAAAAAATCCTTCAAATTTTCACTGTTTCAAAAATTCAAAAAATTTTCCACTTATCATTTCTTTTTAGTTGGTAGCTTTAAATGTATGCAATTTGAACAATCAAAATTTCTGAAGAAAGAAAATTTCACTGTTTCAAAGATTTGACAAATCTCTACTTCAGTCATATCTAATTAATAATCTAATCTTCAAAGTCTCAAAAAAACTCACAAGCATTCGCCAACGCCGCCAACATTGCCGTATTCTGTTGATCAAAATTCTCGGCACCATCGGTAATAAATCGAATATGCGATTGAATAGTTTCACTCGGCGGTGGTAATTTATCCTTTCCTTCCAACATCATCCAAGTACTCGGAGCTGCCAAAAATCGAGCAAAAACCGCCGGATGATCAGAAGCGCCCATCCAAACAACATCTCCCGAAAATAGCACTTTGTACAACTCAACAATTTCTGGAATCGCTTCATCGAACGCCGCATTACTGCTAAATGTTCCGACGATTTGAAAAACTATCCACATAACTTCGTCGCGTGCTCGAGTATAATGTGTTGATTTGACCAAACCGCGCAAAACTGAGAAGAAATTCGAGGGATTTCTGGAAAACAAAAAATCTTTGGGAGATGGATTATTTGAATTCTGATTGTGAATTGAAAAAAAATTAGTATATTTTAACCTGCTGATCACGATGTTCTGGTGAAAAACAACTTAGTTCAACTCTGAGTTGTGACGTGGCAAAATGGCTAGATTTTCACGAAAATCATTTTTGACGCTAAAGTTTGTGAAATTTTTTGATTTTTCGCAGAAAAATCGATAAATTTTGTCAATTTTATTTGAACTGAAAATTTGGCGCGAAATTCGTGAAATTGGAAAAATTTGGAAAGAAAAGTTTTTTTTCCAGAAAAATCGATAATTTCTGTGCCACGTGGCACAAATTCTGAGCCGATTTCGTAAAAGTTTAGAATTTTCAAGAAATTTTGAACTTTTGACATATCGTCCAAAATTTTTTAAGCTAGCGAATTTTCAGACTTTGCCACGTCATGAATCACATTTATATTTGAGCGAAGCTATTTTCAGCAGGTCAAAATCCTCTGGAAAAATATGAAAATCCTTACAAAAGTTGTTGAAAAATGCCATAATGAACAATATTGACAATATTATCCCATTGATATCTTGGAATTGGCTCATTTTCACTCAAAGACTCAGCTTCGGCCATTGCTTCGCATATCATAACAGACAATAATCCATCCCAATGTGATTTTGTTTTTAGTTTTCGTGATGCTGGGTTGAACTGGAAAAAAAGATAGAATTTTTGACTCAAAAAACAAATCAAAATTTCCTGCGTGAACTAACACGTGGCAATCTATTTTTGTTTTCAAAAAAAAAAACAAAAAAATCCCGTCATTTCTCACCGAATCTTTTCCCCTTGGCTGCCGCAAAATCATATAAAGTGTATAGAGAAAAGTGGAAGTATGTTCTGGTCGATAAGGAAGCATGTGATGTGATTGAACAAAAGGAGTTTGAACACTGGATTCGGTCTCCCAAAACGATTGAGATGGGACGAAACCGGGATGTTGGGGGATGGGATAGATGTAACTGCGGCCACAGACGTGAGTGAGATCGGCGATTGGGCGAAAGTGGATTGCGACGAGCGCGAGTTTGGCGGAGAGACGCTGGAAATTGTTGGGGTTGGGTTTGAGATGTATTAAGGAGAGTCCAATGAGAGCTTGCGGTTTACACTCGCTGCTCTGCCTCTCGTGAACATAATTTCGAGCGGAGCGAGTGTGAACCGCAATCTTCCGCGTAAGCAGTAATGTCTACCGCTTCAGCGGCCACGTGGTTTGCTATGACGTGGAATCCTTAGTTTTTCGTGGAATCCTTAGTTCAATTAGGTTGAATAAGAATTTATTTCATTTTTCCAGCCTCAACCTCCCCTACCGGCATCATATGTGCTTGATTCGACATTCCTCTCATTATCTCACTCAAAGTCATCAGCGGCGGCAATAAATTGGCATCTCGATCAATAATTTGTAGCAGAACATCTTCAACAATTCGCAATTCATTCACTTGTTCTGACGTCAGAAATGAGGGTAGTCTTTGAAGTTGGGATTCGAGCAAAAATCGAAGAACATTTCGATTTCCCTTATAATCAATCTTCACAATACTTTTTTGAATATATTTCCATTTTCGTTGATCAATTCGACTTCTCATTGTGAAATCTGTTGTCATTACAAGGCCTTCGATGCATTGTCTAGAATAGGAATTATATTTAAAAGGCTAGGAGTCCTCTCAGAAAAACTCACGTAGTTGTGATAACATTCTCATGCAAAGCGTGGACAAAAAGACTATCAACCGTAGTTTCATAAACATTACTAATGTGGATATTATCAGCAGCATGATGTTCTGTGCACTCATGAACTGTCTTGATAATCTCCATAATGAGATTATGTTTCTCTTTTTGCTCCATTTTTTGGATGAGAACCACGAAAAATGCGCATAATAATGGATCTGGACTCATTATATCGCTTGAAAGTGCGACAAATGTTCTTCGTAGCCGATTATCTTCCTGCAAAAACTTATGGAATTGTGAAGAAAATTGAGGGGAAAACTTACGATATGATCAACGAGCCGTTTTCGCATTCTTTTGACTTCGTGAAGAAATTGCGGTGAGAGAGTATTGTCATATTCTGATCTTTCTTCATTTTCCCCCATTTTTCCTGTAATTTTTAAGGTTTTTTATGGAGAAAACTCAAAAACGCGAAAAAAAAAGAAAAAATAAAATTTTTCGGCATAACTCTTGGTTTTCTAGGCCATCCCGTTTTTCGGGAGGATAACTCATTTAAAAATGGATTTTAGTGATAATTTTTCTACATAAGTAGTTTCAGAACACCTCAAAACATACTAGCTATCAAATCCATTGCTCTGGATTACTAGACCCAGGGTCAAAATCCAGGGAAAACAAAAAAAGTCCATGTTGGCCTAGAAAACCAAACATTTTTAGCGCGAATCGGAAATTCAAAATTTTACTTTTCTTTTTTCCCGCAAAACCCTATCATTTTCAGCATGGATAAGGATGATATTCTGGCACAGGCAGTTGAAAATGATGCAAACTACAATGATAGACTTCAAGTCATCAAATCCAACGATCACATTGATGCAAAATTCGGTTTTGTGAGATATACAGGAATTGTGGAGAGAAAAGGTTTCCTCATTAATATTCAACCGGTAATTATTTTATTTGGGAACTGATTTGATATAAATATGCTTTAAATTTTTCAGTCAGAAATGGTCGATGAGCAAACAAAAGCAATTATTTCCGTCGTCGATTATTTTTTCATCAGTGACATGGACGAACGCTTCAAAATCTCCTATCCGTTCCGCCCATATTTTTATATCTCAACTCTCGATGGTTGCGAATTCCAAGTCTCCTCATATTTATCCAAAAAATATGGCGGATCCACCACAATCGAGCACCTCGAAAAAGAAGATTTGGACTTGAAAAACCATCTTTCTGGCCTCAAAAAAACATATATCAAATTAACATTTCCAAGTTCTGTGGAATTAGCCAAAGTGCGGAAGGATTTGATGCCTTTAATTCGAAAAAATAAGGAGAAAATCAAGAAGGAATCGCAGTATGTTACGTTTTTGGCAAATAATATGGGAGGAAAAACTCAAGCGGAATATAAGGATGGGGATATTTTATCATCAATTGTTGATATTAGGTGGGTATTTTTTCAGAAATCTCCTAACATTTCATATTTTGTAGAGAATACGATGTGCCATTTCATATGAGAGTTTCAATCGATGAGAAAATCTTCGTAGGACTTTGGTATGATGTAAAAGGAGTTGGCCCAAATCGAATCCCAACAATCATTCGAAAAGATCTCGGCAGTTTCCACGCCAAACCAAAAGTCCTCGCATTCGACATCGAAACCACAAAACTTCCCCTTAAATTCCCGGACAGAGAAAGTGATGAGATTATGATGATATCTTATATGGTTGATGGTCGAGGATATCTAATTATTAATCGAGAAATTGTATCAGCTGATATTAATTCATTTGAATATACACCAAAAGAAGAGTATAAAGGGGAATTTGTAGTTTGGAATGAGAATGATGAAAGTGGCCTGATTCGACGATTTTTTGATCATTTTTTGGAAGTTCGTCCAAATATTGTTGTCACTTATAATGGTGACTTTTTCGATTGGCCATTTGTTGAAGCGAGAGCTAAGATTCGAGGTTTTGATATGGAAAAAGAAATTGGATTCTCCAAAGATTCTGCTGACGAATATAAAAGTCGAAATGCGATTCATATGGATGCTTTTCGTTGGGTGAAACGTGACTCATATTTACCGGTTGGATCGCAGAATTTGAAAGCGGTGACGAAGGCGAAATTGAGATATGATCCGGTGGAAGTGGAGCCGGAATTGATGTGCAAAATGGCCAGGGAACAGCCGCAGGTACTTTTTTAAGCTTGAGCTATGACACGGCAAAATTTGGAGTTTATTTTTTGAAAATTTAAATTATCTGAACTTCATAGTCAAATTATTTATTTTTTGAAACAGTAAATTTTTAATAGTCAAAAGCTTTAACGGAAACCAATCAACTAATTCGAAATTTTTCTAGTTGATATTAATTTTTTGAAACAGTCATTTTTTCATTTTAAAACAATTTTAATTTTTACTGAAAATTTGTTATGGATTCACATTTTAAAAAAATTTTCATTTTATTGGAAAAACTATAATGGTAACCAATTACTTGAATTCGAACGTTCTAATTGATATGGATTTTTTGAAACAGTCATTTTTTTAATTTTACATTTTTAACATTGTCAGCTTTTCAAATTTTGCCACGTCATAACTCATTTTCTTCTCTCACTATTTTCCAAATCCAACTTTTTGCAGCAACTCGCGAATTATTCAGTATCAGATGCAGTTTCAACATATTATCTCTATATGAAATATGTTCATCAATTCATTTTTGCTCTTTGCACAATTATTCCATTAGGAGCTGATGATGTTCTTCGAAAAGGTTCGGGAACATTATGTGAAGCATTGCTCATGGTAGAAGCATTCCATAACAATATCATTTTTCCCAATAAATATACGGGTTTGGATGAAGCGAGTTTCTCCAAAGATGGACATCGAATTGAAAGTGAAACGTATGTTGGAGGACATGTTGAAGCACTTGAAGCCGGTGTATTTCGAGCTGATATTCCGGCGAGATTTCGAATGTCGGTGCCGGCGTTGACGAATTTGAAAAATGAAGTTTGTGAGACGTTGAAAAAGGAATTGGTCAGAGAATTTGGTGTCACTTTGGATCAAGTTTTGGATTTTGAGGAGAGGGTTTGTTTTTTTCTTTTGAAATTTTGAAAATGGGGTGAAATTTGACATATGAAATTTTTCACTGTTTCAAAAAATTTGTAAAGTATTTTTCTAAGTTTTAGATTTAGTATTTCTTGTTTAATTTCAGAAAATAAATATTTTAGCCAAAAAAAGGTGGAATTATTATTGGAGATACTGTGAAAAATTCAAGCTCACAATCAAATGAAAAACAATTTTGCAATTTTTTTAAGAACTGAAACAAAATTTTTTTGAAACGTTTTTTTCATTGGTAGAATTATAGGAGTTGTAATCATTAAAGTATTGTGATCTTTCAAAATTTGGAAATTTTTTGAAACAGTGAAAATATTTTTGGGATAAAATTAAATAAGAAAAAATTTAGAGAACTTTGGTTCAAAAGTAACTATTTCCAATTAATTTTTGAATTTTCACGTTTTATTCTCCTATCGAATCATTTTTCAAGATTGAGAATTATTTTATTCAAAATTTGAAACGTATTTTTTTAAGGCTCAAAATTTTCAGATCAATATGATAACAAACTTTATTTGAAACAGTGAAAATTTTTTGAATTAAATTTTCTTTTGCATCATTTTTTTCAATAAAAGATAATTAAATTATCAAATAACATGCATAAAATTGAATAACAAATTTTTTTGAAACAGCGAAAAAATTTGTTTTCCAGTGCGCTGAAATCCACGAAACCTTTGATGGTCTTCTCGCCGCTCCAACTCGTCTCGAAAATCCACGAATCTATCATTTGGATGTTGGAGCAATGTATCCGAATATCATTTTAACGAATCGACTTCAACCCTGTGCCATGGTCAACGAGGAGATTTGCATGGGTTGCTCTTTCAATAAACCCGATGCGATTTGTAAACGAACAATGGCTTGGGAGTGGAGAGGAGAATTGAGTGAGTGAAAGGGTTTTTGGGGTCTAGGGGATGGTTTTGTCTTTTGAAAGACTCAGAAATTTAAAAAATTGATAGTTTTCAGAAATACACGTGGCGAAGGCTGAAAGAGGGATTTCTAAAATTTCAAACATCAAAAAAACTTACGCATAAATCATTGCCACGTGGCAAAACCTCTTGAATGAGTTTTGGGCCGAAAAACGGCTGAAAATTCAAAAATATGCCACGTGGCGAAAATCTGGAATTTTTGAGCTCAAAAATATATTCTTGAAAATTTGGAAATCCAATTTCTCATATGCAAAATACTTGAAAAAAAATCGAGAATTAACTTTTTGAAAAATTCCCGAAAATATAAAACTTCTTCAAAAAATTGCCAGAATTTCCAGAACTAATTAAAGGGTTCAAACTTTAATTTAACAACAAATTTCACTTGGCAAAATAACTGCATTTTAAAATTTAAAATACCAATTTTTTAGTCCCGGCAACACGTGGTGAATATCAACAAATAATGCAACAACTCGAAGCCGAATCATTTGGCAAACCGCCAAAACCATTTCATATGCTCGAAAAAGCCGAACGAGACGCCATCGAAACGAAACGTGTCAAAGACTACTGTCGACGTGTCTACGGTAAAACACATTTGACACGACTCGAAATGCGCGAAACTATGATTTGCCAACGAGAAAATCATTTCTATGTGGAAACGGTGAAAGCATTTCGTGATCGACGATATGAATATAAGGATATGTTGAAGAAATCGAAGGGGAAATTTGATCAGGCGGCGAAGGATAGTGATTTGGCGACGATGGCCACGGCGAAATGTGAGTTCGGAGGGGGATGTGTGATTTGGAATCTAAAAATATTTGGTTTGAGAATTGGGAAAATTTCAAAAGACTTCTAAATTTCTGGAAAAAAAAGCCTTGAAAATTTACCATCGAAATTCGAATATTATCAGCAATATTTGATGTGTTTTTATGTTTTTGTTTAAAGGTGGAGTCCGAGCAAGACATACGTTGTGCTAATTTGAAAGATCATGTTCCAATTAGTACAATCCTCGAAAGATTTTTTCTGGAAGCTTCTCAAACATTAATTAAAAAACTCTAAAGTTCGAAAAAACAGTGAAACACCGTGTAAAATGGCTTGAAAGTCCATATCTCCAACCGTTTGGAGCTGTGTTTCTCTAATGTTAGAGAAGCTTTCAGAAAAATCCTTCGAGGATTGTACTAATTGCAACATGCTCTTTCAAATTAGCACAACTTATTTTTTGCTCGGACTCCACCTTTAAAAAACCTGAAAAATATACGTTTCAAAAATTCTATATTATTTTGAGAATTTATTTTTTTCGATAGTATGTTTGTTTTCCGATCTCTTCTCAATTTTTGCAGCCAAAAAATCCTACTAAATCACATTTTTTTTTCAGTAGAAATGGTGCTCTATGAATCACTTCAACTTGCTCACAAATGTATTTTGAACTCATTTTACGGATATGTAATGCGAAAAGGAAGTCGATGGTTTTCGATGGAAATGGCTGGAATTGTATGTCATACTGGAGCAAATATTATTCGAGAAGCTCGAAAATTGGTGGAATTGATTGGAAAACCGCTGGAATTGGATACCGATGGAATTTGGTGCCTGATTCCGGCGAGTTTTCCCGAAAATGTCACTTTCAAATTGCAAAATCATAAGAGAGATTCGGTGAGTTTGGTTATGACGTGGCAAAGTCGGAAAAAATTCGAAAATTTGAGCTTCTCATCTCATTGAGAAATTCTGTAAATGTTCAAAATACCACAAAATTTGAGTTTAAACAATTTTTCAAATGTTCAAAAATAAAATCCTTCAAAATGAAAACATTTTTGAAAAAATATTAAAAATTAATTTCAGGTCACTGTATCTTACCCCGGAGCAATGTTAAATGCATTGGTTTACGAAGGATTCACAAATCATCAATATCAAACTCTGGAATCAGATGGATCTTATTCAACAAAATCGGAAAATTCGATTTATTTCGAAGTTGATGGACCATATCAATGTATGGTTTTACCGGCTTCGAAAGAAGAGGGAAAAAAATTGAAAAAAAGATATGCGGTATTTAATTTGGATGGATCATTGGCTGAAATGAAGGGATTTGAATTGAAAAGACGAGGAGAATTGAATATTATCAAACATTTTCAAAGTTCCGTGTTCAAAACATTTTTGAGCGGTCAAACATTGGAAGAAACGTATAATTGTGTGGCGGCGGATGCGGATCATTGGTTGGATATTCTGTATACACATGGATCGGATTTGGCCGATGAAGAACTGTTCAGTTTAATCTCGGAGAATCGGAGTATGTCGAGAAAATTGGAGGATTATGGAACACAGAAGAGCACGAGTATTAGTACGGCTAAACGGTTGGCCGAGTTTTTGGGAGAGGAAATGGTGAAGGATGCCGGATTGGCGTGTATGTTTATTATTTCGAGATATCCGATTGGTGCGCCGGTGACGGAGAGAGCCGTTCCGGTCGCCATTTTTAAGGTGCGGGTTTTTAGGGCTTGGAGGCCCCAGAGGAAAGGGAGGGATTCGGGATCTTTGGGAGAAAATTTGGCTAAATTTTGGGGAATTTTTGAAATTGAAAATTTCAATTTTGAATTTTAAATCCACGTAGAAAATGATGGCGCAAAAATTCGAAAAATTCTTTAAATTTTCCAGTTTTCCACGTGGTCTAGTTTTTGCAACAGTTCGGCCACGTGGATTTTCCACGCGAAATACTGGAAATCCAAATCTTTTGAGAATATTCACCGAAATTTGCAAAGAACAAGGCCACGTTGGTTTTCCCAGCCAAAAATTCGAAAAATTCACATTTTCGCGCCCAAAAATCCACGTGGCCTAATTTTTGCATTACAGTTCGGCCACGTGGATTTTCCAGCGAGAATTTCAAAAATTCGAAAATTTCACGTTTTCGCGCCCAAAAATCCACGTGGCCTAGTTTTCTGAAAATTTCCGACATAGGCCTGTTAAAGATATTGTCAGTTTCCCCAAAAAATTGTTTTGTAACTTACGCTGACAGTATTCTTGGATTTCAAATAGTTAAATAATGGATGAATGAGATTTTTTAGTGGTGAGAAAAATATCAAAATATTTTGAAACATACAATTTCCCGTAATTTTTGAAGGTAAAATTTGAAGCAGGTAAATAGAGCTTCTAAACGAATCCACGTGGATTCCCATTAGCAGAGTTGTGACGTGGCAAAAATTGTCACATGCCAAATTAAATATTTTATTTTGATTTTGTACTATAGTTTCAAGGTTACATTTTTTTGTAGGAAAATCAATGTTAACAAAACGTCAATTTCATCCGAAAATTTTGGGATTCTTTTGAAACGTAAATTTTCCTGGATTTTTTTTCTCATTTTCCAGGCCGACGCTAAAGTTCGAGGACACTATTTGAGAAAATGGACGAAAAATCATGAATTCAATGAGGATACCGATATTCGAGATGTAAGTTTTCAATATTTTTTGAAAATTTCTTCTTGATTTTTCAATTTCAGCTTCTCGATTGGGACTACTACATCGAGCGATTCGGAAGTTGTATTCAAAAAATCATCACAATTCCGGCGGCTCTTCAAGGTGTCAGTAATCCAGTGCCACGTGTTGCTCATCCAGATTGGCTTCAAAATAAAATACGAAACAAAGTTGATGCTCACCGCCAACCGAAAATTAACGCGATTTTTGGAGTTTGCGAGAAACCTGTGGCCGGAAAACGAAAAAGAACTCCGGATATTGAAGAGGCGGATAAGGAAAATGAGGGGCCAAAGAGACAGATGGAAAAGAGCCGAGAGAAAGAAGCTGAAGAGCAACCACTGGAAAAGAAGACTTTGATAGATCATGGATTTGATGAATGGTTGGGATTTTTGAAGAAGAAGTGGGCAATTCAACGGAAAGAGCGAAAACAAGCGATGTCAAATAGAGATTCGGAAAATGTTGATGCAATTGTGAGAGGGATTCGAGAATCAGAAAAGGAAAAAGAATGGCAGATTTTGAGTGTTGAACCCACAAAAGATGCATCATTTTATAATGTCTGGTTGAGTATTAATGGAAATATGCACAAAACTACAATTCGGATGACTAGACAATTATTAGTTGATTCGAAAATTGAGAAAGATGGGAAGGAGACGATTCGAAGAATCCTACCGCATCATAAACCTTCCAATTTTTTGTATGAATATAAAACCGATGAAACACATTTGAATTCACTTATGGATAAATTATACTCGGAGACTTGTTGCTCGTCGATTGATGGGATTTATGAATCGGAAACTCCGCTGGATTTCAAGGCGTTGATTCAAATTGGATGTGCGGTGAGAGCGGAAACATTGTCATCTTCCGCCTTGTCTTTGGAGAATCTTAGACCAATTGTCAATGAGAAATTTGTGTATTTAGAGCAACCCGTGCGAACCATATTTCTTTATAAATTCTCGCAGGATTCACGGCATGTTTGGAGTTTGATTGATTCGAGTGGAACGAATGGATATTTGTATGTGGTGAATAATGGAGATATTCAATTGCCGAATATGGATGTGTTGTATGCGACGGCGTTTGGGAAAATGTGGGTTTTTTGGGAGGAATTTGTATAGATGTTCTATTGAAACAGTGAAAAAATGAAAAAAACTAGTTTTTGATAATTCCTCCTACTGTTTATTAATTTTTTGAAACAGTTGATTTTTTTGAGAATTTTTAAAAGTTGGTTTCCTATAAATAATTCAAAAATAATTGTCAGAAAAATTAACTGTTTCAGAAGCTAGTGTTATTATCTATATAAGTTTGATCAATGTTTTCAAAATTATACCAAAAATGAATGAAATTAAATTTTTTACTCCGACTAAACCGAACATCAATAAAGTTAGATGGTTATTCATTTATTTTTCATTTTTGAAACAGTCAATTTTTTGAAAAAAAAATTTTCAAGATTTTTTATCAGTTCTCTATTCAATTTCGAATGTTATTCTAAATTTTCTTAACGTCATATTTATTTTTTGGAACAGTATATTTTTTAGAAAACAATTTTTCAAGTTTATTCAAACTTCATCGATAAATCAATAGTCTATTTTTTGAAACAGTACATTTTTAAAGTCCAAGCATTTAACGGAAACCAATCAACTAAATTGGAATTTTTCTAGTTGATATGAATTTTTTGAAACAGTGATTTTTTCGCCATGAAAATTCAAATTTGATAATGCGTTTCTCCAAAATTGCATTCCTGTTTTATCACTAATTTTTTGTATTTTTTTGAAACAGTAGATTGTTTTGAAAATTTTTTGATGCTGGATTTTATTGAAGATTCTCAAATTCCGAAAAGAAAATTCTGATTTTTACTTTTTTTCAACTAATTTTCCGAAATATTTGACTGTTTCAAGAGATTTATTTTTTTCTTGGAATATTTCTAAATTTGATTTGTATTTTGAGCAAAAATTATGAAAGAAATATTGTTTGCTTTGAAAATTTCATGCTTTTTATTCAAATTTTAAAATTTTACGAAAACATATGGTAAAAGTGTGTGATGAAACTAAAATTTAATATTGAAAGTAGTTCTAATTTTTATTGATAATATTTTTAAACAGTAAATAGAAATTCTGGTTTTTTTTCGAAAAATTTGAAAATGTTTGTTAATATTTATTCTTTGAAACAGTGAAAAATTTATTTTGCAGAAAAGGAACCGAAAAAGAGCAATTATGCTCAGCCGCCGAGCAAATTCCATTTACAACAAAACGTTTTTCATCGGCCACAGAATGCGAAAAAGCAGTTGGAAAAGCATTGCGAACATTTAGAGAAGCAACATCAAAAACAACAATTATAGTTATGTTATCAGATACGGATTCGATGAGAATTATGAAAAAAGTGCCGAATTTGGGATTATTTCCACAATTACAATTGCATATCACTGAACCATCTTCTTTGTTGAATCAAATTGATTGGCAAAAAGTTGTGGCGCGGCGGATTATACAACACTTTTTCAATTCCTTCTTCTTTGTTGCTGTGAGTTTTTTAAATGGAGTTTATATGTTGAAAGAAATTATTAATGTTAGAAAAATAGAGATTTGGGAGAAGGGTTTTTGAAACAGTAAAATTTTTGTTTTTATAAAAAAGTTTATTGAAAAAAATTCAATTAGAAATTTTTGATTAAATTCATTGTTTGTTATCAATTTCGAAAATCCCTAATTTTATAAACAGATAATTTGATACAGTAAATTTTCTGGTTACGAAAAAATTGAATTTTTTTTGGATTTTTATTTTGAATTTTTCAACTTGGTTGCATCAAATTCTTATCAAAAATAGCTTTTCCTAATACAAATTTTTTGAAACAGCATATTTTTGGTTACGAAAAAATTTGAACTTTTTTTTTAAAATCGAAATCTCCGATTTTTCAAACTTTTTTGGAACAGTAATTAATTTTAGCACATTAAAAATTCCGCAAATGTGAAGTAATTTGTTGTGAAAAAATTCAATTAGAAGTTTTTGGTTAAATTTATTGATGTACGATTTGCCCCTTATCAAATTGAAAAATTCAGAGTTTAATAAGCAAACATTTTGAAAAAGTAGATTTTTTGGTTTCCAGAAAAATTTGTTGTTAGATCAATTTTTTTGTTGAGAATTTCATGTTGATTTTTTTTGCAATTAATTGAAATCTCCGATTTTATTTCAACCTTTTTTGAAACAGTAATTAATTTTAGCAATTAAAACATTAATTTTTATTGAAAAAAATTGAATCAGGAATTTTTGGTAAAATTTATGGGACATCAATTTTGTTATCAATCTGGAAAATCCAGAATTTAATAAGCAGATATTTTGAAACAGTAGATTTTTTGGTTTCCAAAAAAATTTAGATTCATTTTTTGTTGCAATTGATTGAAATCTCTGATTTTATTTTAACCTTTTTTGGAACAGTTATTAATATTAGCAAATTAAAATAATTAATTTGTATTGAAATAAATTCAATCAGGATTTTTTGGTGAATTTTCTGGGACCTCATTCTGTTTATCAAATTGGAAGACCCGGAATTTAATTAACAGATATTTCGAAACAGTAGATTTTAGGTTTCTCAAAAAATGTTAATTTTTTTAAAATTTCAATTTTTAAATAAAAGAAGCAGAAAAAACAGTTGGAAATATCTTTTCCTAATACAAAATTTTAAAACAGTAATTTTTTGCACATTTCTTCAAATTTTTGGACTCTTATGCCTTATGTCAATAAATCATTATGGAAAAAATCTTTATATTTTGAAACAGTAAAATTTTCTGTTTTTGGAAAAATTTGAAATTCATTTTTTGAGATCAAATTCAACAGCTCATCAAAATTGTTCGAAAAAGTTTTTCCTAATATAAAATTTTGAAACAGTAAATTTTTAAGAAATATTTTTTTACTTTTTTGGCTTCCTATAATTTGTCTGCCCCAACCAATCATTCTTCTCTTTTCCAGGATTACCTCGAATGGTGTCGATATCTTCGAATTCCTCTCGGCAATCTTCCATCCGATCATTCCCTTTTCGCACTCGATTTAATGTATGCTCGACACTTGCAAAAAGCTGGTCACGCCCTTTGGGCTTCTCGATCAAGTCGACCCGATTTGGGAGGAAAAGAATTGGATGATGTCAGATTGAGTATTGATTGGAACCCATTATCGATTGATGACACGGTTTTGCTGAATCGACAAACGTTTTGTGAAACTGCGTGTGTTGAATTGCAATTGAGCGCTGTGGCGGTGGGTTTTTGGGCGAGAAAATGTTTTACCGCGTCGAGAATATAGGAAATACCAAATCTGGATCTCTGAAGCGTTTTAGAAATTTTCTAAATTCGAAATTTCTCAAGAAAAGCATTTTTGAAAATCTCTAAGAAAATGTATTTTTGGAATTTTTTGTTCAAAAAATATGTCTAAAAAATTTACTGTTTTAAAATTTTCAGAAAATCTTTGATTGAAAGTTTTCAGTGATATTTATTTTCAAAAAATATGCCAAAATCTTGCTAATTTGCGGGATTCAATTTAATAAAAAATGTATCCCAAAACGTCACTGTTTCAAAATTTTAATATAAATAATTGATTAAAAATTTTCAATGATTGTGCTCATGCTTCGAACAAAATAATAATTAAAGCTATTGGAAATTTCGGAAAATATTCACTGTTTCAAAAATGCTTTATTATTTTTGTTGGAAAATTTTTGGGGATACGCGGTTTCCCCGGAAGTATGTAACATTTCAAAACCAAAACACAATTGAAATATGCATTTTTCTCATCTTCGAATAATCCACTGTTTCAAAAATATGTTATATTTTTCCTCAATTTAATTTTCAAAAAGGTTTATGGTTAACAACTATTTGGAAGTAAAAGAAATATTTTTAAAAATCCACAATAAAATTTACTGTTTCAAAAATTATATATGAAAAATTCGCCTTTTCAAAAATTGCTTCTACAGTCTCCTCTTCATAATCAATATGTTTTCCTTCAGGTAACTGCTCTCGTTCAACGAAGTCGAGTTTTGGAAGCGGAAGGAGCTGATGATGTTGTTGCATTCGATTCAGCAAATCAACTTCCATCGCAAGCACTTCAAGGTGTAAAGTAAGAATAATTTTTTGAAAGGGATTTTCAGAGGAATTTTCTGTGCCCTAAAATTTTGCCCATTTTCCAGAAACAGTATAGCTTGTTATGACGAAGGTGCTGCAGTTGATTCAAGTCTAAAAGTGCTCAAACAAATGCTCACCGAATGTGTCCGTCAAATTGCTCATTTCTCAAATGCTCGAGCCGATGAAGTTGTAATGACAGTCGGAAGATGGTTGAATACAAGATCGGCTCTATTATTCGACTCAGCTTTGACTCGATCAATCGCAGTTCTCGAGAATAAACTTGTTCTATTGCTATGTGCGGAATGTGAAAGAATTGGAGCACGAGTTATTCATGCGACTGCACAGAAATTGGTATTGAATACCGGGAAAATGACGAGTGAAGAGGCGAAATCGTTTACTGAAATGTTGATTCAATCGTTGAGTTCGAATATTGTATTTGCCGCGTTGCATATTACGCCAGTCAAGTATTTTGATGCAATGTTGTGGATGGATGCATATAATCATACTGGTTAGATTTGGGAAAGGGTTTGGGGCGAAATTCTGGGAATTTTATCTGAAAAATTCATCCAAAAAAATAGAATTTGATAAAAATTTCTAACAAGAAATCCAGTAAAATTTCTAAAACCTGGCTATTTTCTAGAAAATTTTGAGAAAATCCAAAAATTGTGAAGTTTCCAGCCAAAATTTTTTGATTTTCAGACTAATTTTTTGAATATTTGGCCGGAAAAAAATGAGCCCGGAAAATTCTTGGGTTTTTTCTAGAAAAATGAAATTTTCAAATTCAGATTTTTTCGAATTTTCAGCCTGGAAACCTGGAAAATCTCGATTTTGAACCTGACATTTAGGAAAAATCATGGTTTTTGGAGAATTTTGACCCGAAATATCCAAAATTTGAGCTACAGTAATCTCACAGATTTAGCCTAACTAGAAATTTTCTTGTTAAAGTTTTCACTACAAAAACTGACTACAAATTGGATTGTCAGACATTTTTGAATTTTTGGCTGAAAAAATCAGCTCTGAAAACCAAAGTCAACCTTTTTGCCTTCAGGAATCCGCGTCAAATCGACTCAAGATTCTGAAGAATCTGAATCTCCTTCAGAATCTCATCCAGAAGACGAAGATTCAATGGAAACTGAAAATATTTGGAGAATATCGGATGAAATGCCTGAAGATGGAAATGTCAAAGAATCATTTGAACAATTGATTGTTGGATATATTATGATGTTTGTGGAGAAAAATCGAGAAATTGTGAGTTTTTAGATTCTGAAACACGAAAATTCGAGTTCTGAGGGTTACTTTTGACCTATTTAGGCTAACTCCGGAAAAATATTCGAAAAAAATTTTTTAAATGAAAATGTTCAAAAAACTCAAACAACCTCAGAAAATCTCAATTTTTCCTTTGCAGAATTTCGATTCGGAAACAGCGATCAGTTTTCGCTCAGATTGTATCACAAAACACATATCACATCGACTTTATCGAATTGTCAACAAACTGGTGCATACAAGTGCTGAATGTGCACATTCGGCTGTTTATTTGGTTGATGCTGTGAGTTATTTTTTATGCATGAAAAAAATTCACTGTTTCAACAAGTTTGAATAATATTTTAGATGCTTTTTGTTTTCGATATCTTTATAGCTAAAGGTTCAGAGAAAATATTTTGGAAATGTAACTTTAAATTTCATTGTTTCAAAAATTTTACATAATATTTTGCAATTATAATTTTTTGATTGATAATAGCAATTTTTTGGGTTATTCAGAAATTTTTTTTTTCATTTTAAAATTCACTGTTTCTAATTTTCCTTATCCTTTTGTGATTTGAAAGTTTCAAAAGTGTCATAACTTTTTTTTGGAAAATTTAATAATTTTGCATAATATTTCTAATGATTTTTTGTTAAAAATATGCTTCATTATTTTTTTTTCAAAATTTCACTGTTTCGAAAATTTTGTATAACATGTTTTTTCCATTTTTCGATGATAAATGTAGCTGATTCGAAAATAAAACCCAATTCAATTATTTGTTCTGCATACAAAAAATATGAATTAGCTCAAGTTTTCATTTTCCCCTCCCTAAAACCTCTCATTTTCAGCTGTGCCAAGCTTTGAATTGTGATTCATCGTGTAATTTGGCGATTGAAGGAGTTCAAGAAAATGCGAAACGATTGTTGGATAATTCTGTTGGTGAGCAATTTTCAAATTTTTACTTCAATTGAGTTAGATGGTGTCATTAGTAAAACAAATTCAGTTTTCGAATATTAATAATTTGAAACCTACATTTTCGAGGTTTTTTTGTGGAGAAAAAAAATTGATTTTTTTTGGAACAATAGTTTTCAAAAAATATAACATTTAAAAAATCACAATTTTCCACGTCAAACTTTGAGTTATGACGTGGCGAAATTTGAATGTCTGTTTTTTGAAATTGTATCGATATTTCTCTTGAAAATGTGAGAATTCAATTTTTCAAACTGAAATAATTTTTTTTTGAGAAAAATTGAAATTTCACAGAATTATTGCATTTTCTCAATAGAGCGCTTATGAAATTTCGAATTTTTCAAGTTCTAACCCTATTTTTCAGTCGAAGCCGATATGACTCATGATTTATCGGCTTGCATGTTCATCGCCAATGTTTTCTGTGGTTCTTGTTCACAATCATCAAATGTATTCTTGACACCATCAGCTGAAGTTACAACATGTTCCACGTGTCAAAATGTGAGTTTTAATTACTCCTAATTTTTAAGTTTCCACTAATTATCTCATTTTTTCTCCAGAAATTGCCGAATGATTTGATCGACACAATGATTTGCGATCGATTGAATCAATTATTAACAGCCTATCAAATTCAGGATCATTCTTGTGGCAAATGTAAATCGGTAGGTTTTTTTTTCATTGAACTTTGTCTAATTAATTAATTAATTAATTAAAAATTTCCCTAGGTCCGCCACGATAATATGTCACAATATTGTGAATGTTGTGGACCATTCAACCCAACAATTGCTGGAGAAAAACTGAAAATTGAGGCGAAAACGGTGGAAAAAGTGGCAAAATGCCGTGATTTATCGCTGAGCGCTGAACTTTCGGCTTGGATTTTGCAAACAATTTGAGAACGGGTCTAATTTTTTGATTTTTATATTTTCTTATCTTTTAAAAAACTGTGAAATAATTTTTGGAAAAAAAAAACTAAAATGAATTATCTATTTATATCGAGATTGTTATGCAATATTCATAACGAGGAAAAAGAGGAGGGTAAAGCGAAGAAGAAAAAAAGGGGATACTAATCGTTTGAATTATTAGAATTTCAAAAAAAGACGAAAGAAGAAGAAACAAAGAAAGATACACGAGGAATTAGGCCAAATCTTTGACTCTTGCGCACACGTCGGCTGTGAATGATGAACATGTTCCGCTGCCTCCGAGATCACCGGTTTTTGCGCGACCATCGGCGATTGCGTCAAACACGGCTTTTTCGATGCGAGACGCGTGGCTTGGAAGATTCATATAACGGAGCATCATGACGGCGGAGAGGAGAAGAGCGGTTGGATTGGCTTTGTCTTGACCGGCGATATCTGGAGCGGTTCCGTGGACGGATCTGGAAGATTGATTTTGCTTATGAACATGGTGCAAATTCTTGTTATTGGTATTTTGCAGATATTTTATTTTTAGTTAAGAATTGTTCTGGAATCGTAATATTTTTTCGAACATAGAATTGAGGGATTCTTGAAACAGTAAAAATTTCAATTTAATTTCTTTGATAATGCAAGCTACCAATTAGATTGAAAATTAATTTTCGAATATCAGAAATATTTGAAACAGTGAATTTTTGGAAAATATCTGAGAGACACATATATTCGAAAAATTGAGAATTTATTGAAACAGTAAAATTTTCTAGAAAAATACAGAAATCTTTTTCAGATCGGAGAGAAAATTCATAGAAAATCAATACAGTAATTTTGAAGTATCAGATATATTTGAAACAGTGACATTCAGGGAATGAAATTTATACTAAAAACGGTTCAATTAATCATGTGTAAAACTATTTTGGAATATCTGAATAATTTGAGACAGTGAATTTTTGGAAAAAAGTCAACAAAAATTAAAAAGTTTTGTGAATATCTGAAAATAGCGAGATTGTCCATTAAAAAATTTGGTGAAAAATAGAACATTTTTTGAAACAGTGAAATTTGAACAGTGATGACGAATATGAATAAAAAAAAATAATTTTGGATTATCAGAGAAATTCGAAACAATTTTTGGGAGAAAAATGTTGACACGAAATATTCTCGATCATTATAAAATCTGAAACTTTCTGCAAAATTTCAGTTGAGCGCGATAAATTCGAGAAAGTGAAATCATGAAAATCTTCTCAAATTGAAATAATTAATTTTTGAATTATTAAATCAATTAGATATTATTTTGAAATATTTTTAATTAAGAAGAGAATATACTATTCAATGAGATTGAAAAATAATTCTGATATATCAGAGAAATTCGAAACAGTGAAATTTTGGAAATGAAGTCGTGGGAAAAATGTATTCTCGAGCATTCGAAATTTGTAATTTTCACAAAATTTTTGGAAAACCAAATTATGAACATAAACACAAAACTCTTCTTTGAAACAGTCAATTTTTCAATGTTTTTTGATAGCGCACATATCATACATGAATTAGATGGAAAAATAATTCTGGAAAATCATAGAAACTTGAAACAGTGAAATTTTAAATGAACAAAATTTGTACAATTTATTTCCGCAAATTTAAAATTTCTGAAAAATTAATCAGAAAAATAAGAGGTTATTTTTTGTTGATAATGCACCGTACCAATTAATTTGAAAACTAATTTTAGAATATCAAAAAACTTTGAAACAGCAAAAAAAAGCCCAACTCACTCAAACACGGCGGCTCCTTTTCCAATATTTCCAGATGGAGTAACACCAAGCCCACCAACAAGTCCAGCGCACAAATCCGACAAAATATCTCCGTACAAATTTGGCATCACCAACACATCGTATTGTCCTGGATCTTGGACCATGTTCAAGCAAACAGTGTCCAAATAGGCTTCTTTGAATTTGATGTCCGGGTAGAGGGCGGCTTGTTCACGACAAATGCTCAAGAATAATCCGTCGGACATTCTCATGATGTTGGCTGGAAAATTGAGGTGAGGACAACGATTTTCAGCCCATGGCCACGGAGAGTTGAGCTAACTCCTAACTCACCTTTATGAACAGCAGTCACACATTTGCGTCCATTTTGACGAGCATATTCGAAAGCGAAACTGGCAACATTTCTTGAAGCAGTTTCAGTGATCAATTTGATTGATTGAACAACTCCGCTGACGATCTGAAAACATTTTTATTTTAAAAATAAATAATAGAAATTTTTTGTTCGATCTTTGAAATTGAAAAAGAGATAGACTACAAAGAACAATCATGTGACGCAAATATGATAGTGCAAACATATAAGAGGAAAAGTTTGCAAAATTAATGAAACAAAGTATAGGCTGGAAAAAATCACTGTTTCAAGAAATAATGAAAAATTTTAGATGAGATTTTATATTATTAACATCTCGGCAAGCACTTGAATTGAATTTTTGTGAGTAAAAAAATTGAAAATAAAATTCTGCCCATTTCTAAATTGCCACGTCATAGTTCACATGGTTTTATGAAGTGATAGGATTATTTTTGGGCCAAAATTTAGATTTTTTGTGGATTTCAAGATCTGGGAGATGATATTCTTTGAAAATCCACTGCTTCAAGCAAATTAAGAATTTTGGATTGGATTTTATATTATTAAGATATCTCAGAGCATTTTAATTGAATTTTTGTGAGTAAAAAAATTAAAAATTATTTTTCTCAGCATTTCTAAAATTCCACGTTATAGTTCACGTTTGAATGGTTTTTTTTGACAAAAATAGGATTATTTTTGGGCCAAAATTTAGATTTTCTGTGGAATTCAAGATCTGGAAGATTATTTTCTTTGAAAATCCACTGTTTCAAGAAAGAATTAAGAATTTTGGATTGGATTTCATACTATTATTATCTCGCAGAGCATTTTAATTGAATTTTTGTGAGTAAAAAAATTGGAAATTATAATTCTGAGCATTTCTAAGTTGCCACGTCATAGTTCACGTGGTTCTATGAAGATAAAAGGCATAATTTTCATGAGAATTCCTGAAGCCTAACTCAGAAAAGCTAAAAAAAAGGTTTTGACACCATGAACGAAAAAATTTCCTCTTTCAGCGAAACCTTAGTTTAAAACCCAGATTTTCTATCTGAAAAGTTATTTTCGCTCAAATTTTATATTTAAAATTTTTCAAAATTCAAATTCTAAATTCTTTTGAGCAAATTTTTGAGTTTCACAACACTTCCATCAAAAATTAACAAGGATTCCGAAATTTTGGCCCTAAACCCCAAAAGCCTTGCTCACCTCGTGCTCAATTCCAGAATACTCTCCTTCAGTATTCTCACGAATTGTAACAACATCGACATTATCATACAAAGTCTTGTGTCCTTCAAGAGAACGACATGGACGAACATTGGCATAAAGATCAAACTCTTTTCTCACAGCCAAATTCAATGATCGATGTCCTTTTCCGATTGGAGTTTCGAGTGGACCTTTGAGACCGACTTTGTTTTGATGCATCAATTCGATGCATCTTGATGGAATTCGGAAAATTCCGTCACGTCCTTTGACTGGAGTGACATCGACTGGATCCCAAGCGATTGGAGCGTTTGCGGCTTCGAAAATCTTTTGGACAGAGTCCGAGATTTCTGGACCGATTCCGTCTCCTGGGATGAGGGTAACACGACGGACCTGGAATATTTTGATGGTTTTTGGAGGGAAAAAAGGTCCCGGGTTGGGGAAAATAGTAATTTAACCATTCCGATTACGATAATAACACTGAAAATGGTCAAAAAACCACTTTTATAGAGGGTTCAAAAATAAACATGCGTTTTCATTTCTGCTCTTTTCTCTTTAACGAGTGAAAAAAACAAGTTAATGTTGCTCAGCTGAGGAACATCATCCAAGTTATGTTATAGAACTGATTCTTCACCTCTGGGTCTAGATGATCAGATCCACTAGAGGTGTAGAATAAAATTTCAAAACTTGGACGATCTTTCTCAGCTGAGCAACATTAACTTTTTTTTCACTCGTTAAAGAGAAAAGAGCAAAAATAAAAACGCATATTTATTTTTGAACCCTCTATAAAAGTGCTCACGTCGGTTTTTGCCCAGTTTCTACGTTATTATCGTAATCAGCATGGTCGAATCAGTACTTCTATGCAAATTCCAAAAAAACTCACTTCTCCCGAAGAAGCATATCTTTGCGAGATGGTTTGTCCGATGGTCGAGACAGTTGTCGCCTTTTTCATACACTTTGCAAGCATTTTAACCCTAAAAAACTCGGTAAATTTCGCTAGATACTGTTGCATTCTTAAGTTACATCTAATAATAAATAAAACAAAAAACGATGTATTTTTGAAGAGAAAAAAGGCGGAAATATCGATTATAGAAGGGCGGCTGCGAAACGAGAGAAGAGAAAAGAGAACAGCGGACAAATATTGGAAAGTTGCCAGCCATTGGCGTTGGAGCGAATTTGCCGCACCTTACACTTTTGTGTTGGATTCTTCTTCTTCTTTTTTTTGTTAGCAAAAAATTCTTTGTGGAAGAATAGATATGATAACAACGTATAAAATTATTTTTATGTGAGGTATTATTTTTTTTGACATTATTTGATATATGTAAATAGAAAGTAGGAGGTTTTCAAAAAAAAATTAAATATTCCCGGATTTCTTTTCAAAAATAAACCGGTTTTTTCTGGATGGCAAGCTGGATAGATGTTCCATACGATAAAATATATGACTCTTTTTTATTGATTTAACACCTACGCCTATTTTTCAAAGATAAGAAACCCCCAAAAACCCGTGAAAAAATGAAAAACTTTTTTTTTTTTCAAGAAATGAACAATTTTTTGCACTGCCTGCATACAGTAGCCTTCCACGCGAGACCATTCCACGTTTCACACATCATGTTTCTTATACTGTGTTTTTTGTTTTTTTTTTTGAAAAAAAAATTTTTTTTAATTTTTTCAGAAGGTAAATGACGATGGGTGAAGGTTCTTCTGTCGAACAATTTGCGATGCGTTCACGAGCCGCAAGAACTTCATCAAATGAAGGGCTCAATGATCAACCAACATTCAAGGATATCGTTTTTATTGAGAGAAAAGTGAAAAGTGGAGATACTCTTAATAAATTAGCTATTAAATATCAAGTTAATGTAAGTTTTTTTGTATATTTAAAACAAAGGAAACCCTTGTTTTTAAATATTTTAGGTAGCTGAAATAAAACGTGTAAATAACATGGTAAATGATATGGATGTGCAAGCCTTGTCAAAAATCAAAATCCCAGTCAGCAGAATGCGAATGGCATTAGGTGTACAAACATCGAGTCAAGATGAGCAAGAAGATGATGATGTTCTTATTGATATTGATGATAGAACACATTTGCTATCGAAATCGAGAGATACAAGTGTTGAGGATATTTTTAGCAAAACTGATTCGAATATTGCACAAGTTCGTGAGGCTTTGCCGGAAGATGGGATAAATACGGGCAGTTTTCATTTTGTGACTGCGCGTGATCCAAATTCTGGCAATATTTCGGTTTGGCTTGTTGTTGTTGGTGAGATTTTGGGGGATAATGCAAAAATATTGTATTTGTGCTGGAAATTTTTGAATTTTAATGTTTAAACCACAAGTTTTGCGCTAGAGCACATTTGCTTTTCCACATTGAAAAATCACAATTTTTAGCTGAAAACTTGTGAAAAATGAAATTTTTCTCATTGGAGCACATTTTCTCGTCCGAATTCGAAGCAAATGTGCTCTAATGAAAAATATTGATTTTCTGCTTGAAAACGTATAATTTTCAGCCAAGAATCTATATTTTCTCAGTGGAGCGCGTTTGAATCTCCGAATTCAAAATCTAAATCATTTAAATCATGATTTTCATCAATTTTTTTGAATTCGGAGGAGCAAAAAATGCTCTAATGAGAAATTATAGATTTTTGAAGCAAACATTCTCTACTGAAAAACCACCAAATTTTCCCTGAAAATCAAAACCCTTCAAAAATCCACGTTTTTTTCCAGCCGTCATTCTAATATTCTGCATTCTCCCTCTCATCCTAACAATCTACGAAGAAGAAGAAGCCGCGCATCAAACTTGAATATTTTTTATTGATTAAAAATTAATTATCAAATTTAATTTGGGTACTGTAGTAATTGTGATTATTTCTTGTGTTCTGCGTTTAAAAAGCATAATCTAAAATATTTATTTATTTATTCAAGTATAAAAACTGTTTCTAAATACTTATAATAATAATCACAATAACCAAATAATCAATTAATTAGGACAATAATAATGCTTCCCGTTCAATACACGCAATACGGCAAAGTTCTTCGAGACCATCTTTGGGATATCTAAAAGAAAATGGATTTTGTACTAGAAAAATAAAAGTCAAACTTACACCGGTTTAATTTTTGCATAAGCTCGCATTGCTCGTTCATAAGTCATTGATTTGTAAATAGTCAAACACGAAATCATACAATGAGGAAGTATAATAGAGCTAATAATATGGAGTGAAATAATAAGTGAAATATTTGGATTCCGTCTACGAATCATTTGTACAAGTCGATCGACAATATTGTCGAAATCAGTGGCTGCAATGAAAATTATTGATTTTTTGAGAAACTTCGGATTAGGGCATTTCAAAATGATAAGAAAATTTTTAAAAAAAGTATTGTTCCAATGAAAAAATGTACTGTTTCAAAATTTTTTCATACAATTTTGGTGTTTTAAAAAATTGATCCGAGGAAATCCTACAGAAATTACTGTTTCAATTGTTTTTCTTAGGCTTCTAGGATTTCCTCAAATAGCTAAACAACAAGAATATTAAAATCGGATTTTTAATTAAATATCTCTGAATTTTCCATCAAAACTAATAATATCAATTTATTTGAAATATTTGCTGTTTCAATGTTTTTTCAAAGAATTTCGCGTGTTTTGAAAAACTGATTTTACTATATACGCCAGTGAAAAATTCATATAAAAATCACTTTTTAAAATTTTTCCCATAGAATTTCAAAAAATCGTTAACTTATCCAAATCGCAAAAATTATTAATTTCGGATTTTTAATTTCTTTTGAATTTTTTCACCAACATTTAAAAAGAAGGATTTTTAGAAAAAAAAATCTTACTGTTTCAATCTTATTTGATACAATTTTGGGCTTTAAAAAATGATCTGAGCTTATTTTTAATTATTTCTGAATTTTCCATCAAAACTAATAATATCAATTTATTTGAAAAAAATTTGCTGTTCCAATGTTTTCTCATACAATTTTGGTGTTTTGAAAAAACTGATTGAAGCTTAATAATCTCTTCAAAAATTTCCAGAAAAATCACTGTTTCAAATTTATCTTATAATGTTTTCTATTGAAAATTCACCGATTCCAATTATATTATATTTTGGAAAGTTTTATTCAAAAAATCGAGGATTTCTGGTTGTTTCAGGTTGTTTTTCAAATACTGTTTTTTTTAATTCAAAAAAATTGTCTAGCTTCATTTTTTCAGACAAGAATAGCCAAAAAAGAATTCTTTGGCTTATGAGGTCTCAAAACTTTCAGAAAATTGAGAAAAATATTTTTTTAAAACAATTTTAAAACCCAAACTCACCAGTTAATAAATTATTTCTAAAACTAATCGATAATCCATCGCGTTTCGGTTGTTTATACATTTTAACTCTATCCGATTGCCACATTTCATCGAACCAATGTTCAATATTTTCATTCATAATTGCCATCACTTCACGACTTTTTTGCTCCAAATTAATTGAGGAAGTTCGATGACGATTGATTTTTGGGGTGATTGGTGGTGATTCCGATTGTTCTGAAAAGGAAATTCTCATATTTTTGACTATTTTCAAGGTTTTTAGGTCATTTCTCATCATTTTCGATGATTTTTGAGCCCCAAAACCAACTTTTCTTGGCTTCAGTTTCTGACAAACTTGCAGTTGTTGTAGCCGAACACGATGCATCATCCTCTTCATCATTTTCATCCACTTCGCCTTTTATCAACAATTTTTTGATGGGCGATGTAATGTCGGCTGGCGACGAATTCGATGATTTTCGTTTGTTTGGTGTTGGTTGTGGAGTTGGAGTTGGTGGATCTTGGCGAGAACGAATATCGCTTCCCTGTAATGAGAACAAAATTGAAAATTTTAGGAATTATTTATGGTTCTTAATTTCCGGGTAAAATTTGTACACATAATTCCCAGGTATTCAAAAACTTCAGTTTTATCTATTTCATTCGACGGAGTAGCTGTGGAAAAAGAAAATAAAGTGAATAAAAATACTTTGAAACAGTAATTTTTTTCGGTATTCAAAAACTGATTTTCCCATCGAAGAAAATAATTAATCAATATGAATAGATGAAAAATTAACAATTTTTTTTTTGAAACAGTGAATTTTTCGGTCTGTTGAAAAATAAACCAAACTGAAGTTTTTTCGATCAAAAAAATTTCATTTATATAGTGATGTGGCAGATTTTCGTTTTTTTCGGAGAAGAAAAAAACATTTGTAAAAAACTTTTTGAGGTTTTTAAAATCTTTAACTTTTTAATTGACGGACGAGATGTGAAAAAAGAAAAGAAACCAATCAAAAATTCTTTGAAACAGTATAATTTTATCGGAAAAATTATTTTGACGCTAGAGGAAGTAAAAGATCAATATAAAAATGTAGATGAAAAATTAACAAAACATTTTGAAACAGTAAATTTTTGAAGAAATGTTTCATTCTAAAAAAGATAAGATTTAGTTGCGAATTTACTTTTAGAAAACCAATAAAATGTTGAAAATAAGAAAAAACCAATAAAATCTTTGGCTTCACAAACTTCAATAGAAAAATTTTGAATTTTTGAAAGTGAGAAAAAAACTAACCCTTCTCATTCCTCGATTCCTCATATAATTACACGCAGCCAAATATGCATTTTTCAGCTCCACATCCACATTTTCGCCCAAATCTTCGTTGAAGAGAAGAGCATAACAGAGCTGAAAGATTTTTAATTAAGATAGGGTTGCTAAGATCAACTTGGCTCAACTCTAAATAAGAGTTATGACGTGGCTAGAAAATTTTACGATTTTCATATGGTAACCTATTTATTGTCTTGTGTAAAAACTTTGCCACGTCATAAATATGTTTAAAACTGAGCTAGTGTTTGCGGCAAGCTTCCGCGTCAGCGGCACTGTCTACCGCTGTGCGGAATCTTCCGCCTAAGCGGAAAAACGCGTGTTTGGTATCAAAATGCACCGAATTCTACGATCTTTCTGTCAAAACCCAGATCAAAAAGCTCACCTTAGTGGCACAACTAAAAGTGCTAGTTCGGCTAACTTGTACACTCTCATCAACCGGAAAAAATATATAGCTGACTTTTTTCGAATAAGAATTTTGAACAAGTGCCGGCCACATTGGATCTTTTCGATATGGCACCCAAATGACATCGCCTCTTTTAACAGCAGACATTTTTTCTCTGAAAATTATTCAACCTGTAATTAAAATTGTTTTTTTGTTAAAAAACCAGATATTTCAGAGTTGAGTTAACTTCAAACAAACTCTATAAATCCACGAAAATCCAGCAAAAAAAGTGAAAAATCTTCATGAGCAATAAAAATGTTATAGAAATTCTTGGCACATTTTCAGAGAAGACACAACGTAAATATTTACAGTTTCGAACAATGAAATGAAGGGGACAAAAACAATGAAAAATGATAAAAAATCCTATTTTCTTTCTATATTAAAATAAAATTCTGACTAATTCCGTGAGACAGCAAAAAACACCGAACAAAATACTATAAAATGCAGTGGAAAATTTGGGTTGAGCAACAAAACATCGAAATCTATCGTTCGAATCGATGGAAAAGCTCGAGAATCTGGAAAAAATCAACGATTTTTGGGGAAAAAATTTAGGATTGTAGAAAATTTATCATTGGAAATAACTCAGAATCTTGAAAATAACAAAAAACTTTGAAACAGTGAGTTATTAATTTTCAAAATAAACGGAAATTTACCAGAATTAAAAATTTTAATTAAATTAATTTTTTGATGAAACTTGGATTTTACCAAAATTTTCTAAAAATGTTCAAATAACAAATACTTTTTGAAACAGTGGAAAATTATTAATTTTCAAATTTTCAAAAAAAATACAGGGATTCACCGAAAAATTTTTCTCGTTAGAAAAATTTTACTAAAATTTTAATTAAATTAATTTTATGATGAAACATGGATTACCAAAGTTTATATAAAAATGTTCGAATAACATATAACTTTTGAAACAGTGAAAATTATAAAATTTTGAAAATTTCAACAAGGAAAAAAACGGAAATTTACCAACATTCAAAAAGCTAGTTAAATTAATTTGTAGAACCTGGGTATTACTAAATCTTCTAAAAATATCCACATAAACAATTATTTTTGAAACAGTAAAAATTATTGATTTTTCAAGATTAGACCTACGCATCAAACAAATCTTGACAGCAAAAATATTTTTAACTTCAACATCAAGTTTGGAACAGTGAATTTTTACCGTGTTTTTTTTAAATTCTTTCACCCATGGTCTAACTAAATTATTCAAAATGTTAATATGACATTTTTGAAACAGTAAAAAATTTATAAAAATTTGTAAAATAAAAAACGTCGATATTACCAAGGTTTCTATAAAAATGTTCAAATAACATATAACTTTTGAAACAGTGGAAAATTATTAATTTTCAAATTTTCAAAAAAAAAATACAGGAATTTACCGAAAATTTTTGCTGGTTAGAAAAATTTACTGAAATTTTTAGTTGAATTAATTTTAAGACGGAACATGTATTTTATTAAATCTTCTAAAAAATATTCACATAAAGAACTATTTTTGAAACAGTGAAAAATCATTAATTTTGACAATTTCAAAAAAAATTTAGGAATTTACCGAAATTTTTTGCTGGATAGAAATTGTGTACTGAAAAGTTTTGATTAAATTAATTTTACGATGAAACATGGGTATTACTAAACCTTCTAAAAATATCCACATAAACAATTATTTTTGAAACAGTGGAAAATTATCGATTTTTCAAGATTAATTATCAGTGAATTTTCATGTTGTCTTGTTTTGAATGTATTACTGAACTAAATTCTTCACAATTTTCTGAATGAATATGACATTTTTGAAACAGTAAAACATATATAGAAATTTGTAGAATAGAAGTATTTGTTTAAATAAATTCTTTGTTAGCAAAGTTCTTCGAACAATTCAAATAAATATTTAATTTTCGAAACAGTGAAAATTTTCCATAATAAAATAATTTCTCGCCTTTTTCATTGAAAAATGCTCAATATAACTTCGAAACGGTGAATTTTTACTTTTTCAAACAAAATTTCTCAGATTTTCAGTGTTTTTCTATATGGATGAAACATGGTTATCAAAAAACACTTCAAAATTTTGAATAAAAACATTTTTTTGAAACAGTGAATTTTCTAATTCTGTAATTTTCTTCATTTATTTTTTCATGGGGAAAGAAGCGAAAAAGCAGAATCCCAGTAAAATTCTAATTCATAATTTATTTTTGAAATAGTGAATTTTTTTTAATTTAAGTGTTTTCCTGGTTTTTTTCTTTCCTGATTTATTTTTTCACAGAAGCAGAATCCCAGTGAAATTCTAGTTTATAACCTATTCTTGAAACAGTGAATTTTTAAATGACCAATTTCACTGTTTTGACTTATTATTGAATTAAAAATACGTGAGAAATAAAAAACTAGGTCAAGTGACGTGGATTTAAAAACAGTATAGGTAGCCATGTCGTCAGTTGCGATGCGTGTGGGCGACACGTTTTTAGAAATGAAAATTTGGAAAATTCAATAGAAAATATCGAGGTCAACACGCAACGCAGAACCGCATCGCGACTGACGACATGGCTACCTATACTGTTTTTAAATCCACATCACTTGACCTAGTTTTTTATTTCTCACGTGTTTTTAATTCAATAATAACATTTCATAAGCCTTATGTAATTTTCCAATGTTTCTAATTGTGTATTATCTTACATCAATTAATTTTCCAAAATCTCCATATCAGAAGCAGAATCCCAGTAAAATTTTATCTTATAACCTGTTTTTGAAACAGTGAATTTTCAATACATTTAATTTTTTGTTTAATTTTTCCCATCCTTCCCACAAAAACTGCACCAACCTTCTCATAAGTCGTAAAAGAAACGCCAACAGCAATTGGTCCTTTCACCCAATTCATACTCAATCCTTTATACAATCCTCGTTTCAATCCTTCCGTATGATAAACATGCATCATAGCTCGGAAAGGACTCCATCCATTTGGAATTCTTCCAGTCTGCATTCTTCGCCGAACAATATCCAATGGATATGATGAAGTTTGTCCAATTAAACCCGCCAACATTCCAAACAACATTCGGAATCCCGAATTTTCTGTTGTTCCAAATCGATCTCGATACACTATTTTGAGCGTTTCATAGGTGAAAAATGAGGAGCCAGCATATGGAACAACGCCTTGAAAACGGAAAAGATTTTTGATGAAAAAAAATGAGGGGAGAATTTATTTCAATAGAGCGTGTTTTCCATTCATTTTAGGAAAAAGGAAAGCAAAAGTTCGTATGAAAAGAAAGTTTCGAAATTCAAACATTTTCGAAAAAAAAAATTTTTAGGCGCTAAATTGTAGATCATTTCCTCTTTTTTTTTTCGAAAAATTGATATTTTCAATAATTTTTGCTCCTCACCTATCATAGTCGGATAAATACCCCGATACAATAACCGAATTCCGCCCTCTTTATACGTTTTCACAAAAACCGAAGTCAGCGAACTATATTGTAGTTTGGAGGAGACCGATAATCGTGCTTTAGCCGTATCAAGTGGATATGTCATCATTGTTGCTGTTCCGGCTGCCAAACTACCAACAATATATCGACGGATTGGGGTTCGAGTGCTGGAAATATAGAGAATATTGATTGATTTATTGATTTTTCAGGAGATTTGGGGGGGGGGGTAGATTTCGCAAAAAACTGTGAGCTATACGTGGCAAACTTTCAACACGGTCAAATTCTGATGAAAAATGTAATTCCCTTTGTTTGAACCTTGCCACGTCATAACTCGTGTTGATTTTTGACAAATGTTAGGAAATCTAGTGGAATTCGACCTGCTGATCATGAAAACTGAGCTATGACGTGGCATATCTCGGGTTTTATCACTTCAAGATCAATTTTCATCAAAAATCGATTGATTTTTAGTAAAAATCAAGAAAATCTTGTTTATAACTGGATTTTTTAATAAAAATTGATCATAGCTCAGCTTTCATGATCGGCAGGTCAAAGTTCACTAGATTTTCTAGCAGGTTTTGATGCGGTTGTCTTTTCTAGTCTTCTTTGCCACGTCATAACTCATATTCACATTTCACAAGCGCAGTTTTTACATAAAAAAAAGCAAGATTCCTCACCCATTCTCATCAACTTTTAATAATGTTTTATATTGCTCGAAAGCTGTGAATTGTATAGATGCATATGGTATAACTCTAGCCATAGTTGCCGAATTTCCTCGATATAACGCGAAAAATCCATGCTCTTTATAGGTTAATTTGATAAATTTTAGTGCTGATCGAAAAGAGTAGCCGCGAGTGCTCGAAACTTGAAAATAGATTTTTGTGCGATCTAAAGGTGCAATTGTTGTTTTGGCAACTGCGCCAGCAATTGCACCCGACCATAATGTGACTGCAACTCCTGGTGTCTTCTGCAACGAAATTGTTATATTTGAAAATGAGAAACCTTTAACCTACGTCATTTTGTTCCTTCATTCAATTCTAGAAATGACGTTGATTTCGTTACCCTAGCAGATTTCACGCTGAAAAATAAAAAAAATGTTTTTTACAAGTTTTTTTTTTCGAAAAAACAAAACATCGTGAAAAACAAATTTTTCGACACCAACAAACACTCGAAAAATTGATCATTGATAGTGTGTAAAAAATGCAGTGAGAGAAAGACGAGAAAATGATAAGGAGAGATTGGACTATGGCCCATATGCCGGCCGGCCCAAAACAAATAAAATCACGTGGCCTAGAAATGTGAGCAAGCAAGTGTGCTCCATTGACAAATAAAACTCGGCCATGTTTGGTGTTTGTTTTTTTTTGTTTGCTCTGAAAATTCAAACTTGTTTTCCCTGCAGAAATGACTGAAACCTGGCCGAAAATCGAGCGAACAACGATTACATCATCAGTTCCACACGCGCCGCACAATTTCATCGAAAAACCGCCCTTCAACCGCACCATCAACGTCTATCCATTGCCGAATTATATTTTTGGAACAAAAGATGTGCAAATGGAGAAGGATAAATCGGTTCCGGAAAGATTTCAAAGAATGAAAGATGAGTATGGAGTGGTTGGTATGAGAAGATCTGTTGAAGCCGTGCTGATTGTCCACGAACATTCATTGCCACATGTGTTATTGCTTCAAATTGGAACTACTTTTTATAAATTGTAAGTTTTTTTGTTTGACATGTCGAAAAAAACCCCTTTTCACTTTCCAGACCTGGTGGCGAGCTCGAACCAGGCGAAGATTATGTTGCTGGCATGATTCGATTATTAAACGATACCCTCGGCAGAACAGACGGTCTACCAAATGAATGGTCAATCGAAGATGAGATTGGAAACTGGTGGCGACCGAATTTCGACCCGCCAAGGTATCCATATATTCCGGCACATGTCACAAAACCAAAAGAGCACACCAAACTATTGTTGGTTCAACTCCCAGCCAAAGGTTTGTATTTAGTTTTGTTTTCAAATTGTTTTGTTCTCTTCAAAATCATTTTCAGCCACATTCGCTGTTCCGAAAAACTATAAACTGGTTGCTGCTCCACTTTTCGAACTCTATGATAATTCAGCAGCGTATGGTCCATTGATCTCAAGTCTTCCAACAACTCTCAGTCGATTCAATTTCATTTTCAATGATGAATCAGATTAATATCGAATTGTAAGCATAACAATTATTTATTTTGAATCAATTTTCTTTTTTCATAAAACGTGTAAAATAAATATTTTTGAGTTAAAAAAAAGTTATATCTGATTGTTAGCTAGCAAAAATATTGAAATCCAATTTCTTACAAATATTTAGGTCTGCCACAGTGCGAGAAACTACGACACTCCGTTTGTGCGCTCTCCCGTTGTTTAGCGAAATAAAAAGGGTTTTGTGTTTCCCTCTTAAATATCCAGTGTAAACTAACAAAAAAAGTGATCTGTAAATATATTTCACGTGCCACGTAGACATGAAACGTGGCAATGAGTATTTAAAGAAGTTGAAATGCAAAAAAAATTCAGTTTTTGTTTCTAAATGAATGCCTTCATCCTTCTATTCCTACTTTTTGCACCCACTTTCCAATTGAATATTCGTGATGAAAGCTTCTTGAGATTCTGTGGTAAAGTCGGCAGTTTAACAACTACAACAGGAACCAATTTGGATGGTGTAACATGTAAAGTGATTTGGAATATTGCCACAAACCTGGTGAGTTGAGTTGGAACGTTTGGAATTACCACCTGGAATTATTCATTGTTTTCAGGATGATGTTGAACAAATTTGCAAAATCAAGGCTCCATATCCTTTGAAATCATTTGCCGTCGACAGTAGCAACAAGGCAGAATGTACATATGAAAATGTCTATACATGTCGACCGGATTATACTCAAATCAATGGATATTGTTATCGAATTATGTCGGATAAACTTATCACATATGCAGAAGCTGGAAAATTATGCGATTCGCAGAAAATCTGGCTAGAAATATCTGGAAAAGAAGTGAAAAGTGCAATTGTCGATCTCTTTGATGAAGATCTCATTCGATTATTTGAATGTACGACTGTTTTTCAAAATTCAGTGAAATAGCTATTTATATTTTTCAGTGTATTTCGAAGAAATGCGTTCAATTTGGATTCAACCAAAAGAAGATTTCAACGAAATCGTCGAATACAAAGGGGATGGTCCAAATTATGCGATTGTTTATGGAATGGCAACATTTTATAGTGTCGGACCGAATTCATTGATAAAAATGCCGAAAAATCATCGAGCTCAGGCAATGTGTTTTTATCGACCAGAAGAGACGCCAAGCAGTTTTGGATACAAAGCCAGGAAATTGGGAAAATATTATTATCCAATTTTGCAAAGAGCAGCATTGACAGCATGGAGAACTTTGGGAGCATACAATTATTGGTGGGTTTAGGGCCGGTGAAGATCCACAGAGTGTAATTACCCCCAAAAATTCAATTTTTGATTTTTTCAGGTTTCAAAATCAAGACAAATATTTTGCCATAAATCAATGCAAAAATTCAATGTCTGCAATCGCTGGAAATTCAGAAATCGACGTTTTCAATCCAACAAAAGACAATATGCAACTTTTACGAGAAAACGTTGAAGTCAAAGAATCATTCATCAAATCCTATTCACCATCATATCTCTGTTGTTATAGTGTTTATCATTACAGAGATTACGGCAATTCATATTACAGCTATCATTCAAGATTTCTTCATTTCTCAAAAAGCTATACAACATTCAATTGTGAATCTGGAACTACATTACCCGAAATGACCTCTGTGTTCTACAGTTTTTCAGGACAAAGTCATGGAGATCACTGTAAGGAAAGATATGGAACCGTTTTGTTGTATCCTGAACCAGTGTAAGTTGAAATGATGAAATTGTCTTTGAATATATTTTTTTCTAGAAGTGGCATTGATAATTTGGAAGTTTACAATCGTCAAGAAGCTCCACTTCTATGCTCAATTTTCCACAAAGATATCAAAGAACGAAAAAAATGTCCAAATGGTTGGAGAAAGTTTGGAAGAGCAAGTGGAAGAAATGTTTGTCATCGATTGTTTTTGGAAGAGGTTAATTTGTCTTCTCGAAGAGAAAAAATATGTGTTTATTTTCAGAAGATTTTCGACGATGCTCAAAAATCTTGTAGATCAGAAGGCGCCGAATTATCCACGTTCACATCTCAAGAAGAATTTGATTTCCTGAAATCTGAAGTTTCCAAATGGATTGGTCTTCGAAAAAAATCGAGTTGCACGGTGTCTCAGCCGACTGGAGAATGCACAAAACAAAATGTAAAGTTATTTTTTTATATTAAAAATATATATTTCAATGATGACTTCAGATTGTTGTTTGGGATAGTGCTGGATTCGAAGATTATTCGCAAAATGTCAAGGAATTGTTTGGAAAATTGTGGCCAGCTCATGAACCAAATAATGAAAAAGATAATGAATATTGTGTTCATCTTCGAGGAAAAACTCTGCTTTTGAATGATTATAAGTGAGTTTTTGTTTTTGAAAACTGGAAATAACAATTTGTCCAGGTGTGCTGTCACAGAAGCCTATTCTTGTGTCAAAGATGCTGATTATGAATGAATACTGGGATTTTTTGAACCTTTTGTTCAAATAAAGAAGTTTGAATCTTGAAATGTTTACTCTACTTTGATATGTCGCAGTTAGGTTACTGTATCTCGAAATTTTGTAGTTCAATGCACTGGAACTTATTGTATCCGGAAAATTTGCAGTTCGGGTTACTGTATCTAGAGGTTTAACGGTTCATTGCAATAGATCTCTAGAGCTCATTTCATCTTTAAAAAATTTGCAGTTTGCGTTACGGTGTCTAGAGGTTTTGCAGTTCAAATTACTGTACCCAGGGATTTAGTAGTTTAGTGCAATCTATCTTCAGATCTTATAATATTTGAAAAATTTGCAGTTTGGATTACTGTATCTAAAAAATATCAAAAAATTGCCAATTTCCAAAGGGCTGACTTGTGGTGCTCCCTTTTTAATTAATTATGTCAAAAAATAATAATACAAATCTTTTATTAAATATTTTTCACAGTGCGAAAAAAAATTATGAAAAAAACATGAGTCTCTTTTCCGGACTAAAGCCATGTATGCTTGACACATCCTTTGAGTGTTTTGAAATGTAACATTGAAGTATCTGGACGAGTGTACTTTCGGCATGCTTTGTTTTCATACATACCACCAGTTGCGCTAAATATCTTTTCCCATATACCAAGATATTCATAATACACCTTATACATCACTTTTCGATCCATTTTTCTTTTCTGACTCTTCATATTGTCATTTTTCCCGATTCGGAAACCTTGCCTTCTTATTCTCTCAATTAATTCTTCAAGTTGATTTTTAAAAATAATGCGAATTGCTGGCCATTTTTTGTCTAAAAATCGAATTGCTGTGATCACATCCTTGTCAGTAATTGCATAATTTTGAGCATCGTCGCCTATTTTGCTCATTGTTATCCATTCAAAATATTCTTCTAAATTTGAAGTGCTTTTAAATTCTTCTTCTGATATAGGAGATTTATAATCTTCATATGATCCAGAATACTGTGGAATTCCAAGAGCTTCTCGTAATTCTGTTTGTCCAATAACATCTATAGCCATACTAATTGTCGGTGAATTGAATAACGTAGCCCATCCTCTTTTATATTGATTTCCTGATAGTTCGTTATGCTCTTCATCCGATAGACAAGTTTTTTCAATTTTTTCTAGTTCTTCGGTCATGTTAAATGACGAAGAAGTTGAGACAACTCCTAGAAAATTCATATTCTTGAGAGATATTCCAAGATTCTAATAAATGTTTACCTGCATTTATTTGGAGTGCAAAAGATAGACAAAATATTAGTGTGATTAACATATTCACAAGAATAATATAAGTAGCAACAAAAATTAGAATGAATGAAGGATATTGGTGACATTGACCCGCCCGTTTTTGACATTGACCTGGGTTTATTGTGATAATACCTGGATGCTCATACCATTCAACACAACATTAGGTGAACAGTGGAAAACAATGTGGAGGACTCAACGGAGACTTTGGGGGAAGGTCAATTTTTTTAAAAAGTAATTTCGCAAATTCTTATTGAATTTTGCAGACTTTTCAACAAACAAGCGATACCACAATCATAGAAAAACTATGTTTTTAATTCAATACATTTTGAAACAGTATTTTTTTTTGAAATAAAAAAATCTCAGTTTTTTTAGCTGAATAGTGTGAAATAAGTACTGCAATTTTTCTGAATTCGATTTTTTCACCATTTTTTTGAAACAGTGAATTTCTGTGATTAAAAAATGTTTTTTCAGCCTTATGTTAGGTTCAAAAACAATCGACTAGATGATTGGCGGTGGCGAAGCTATCGTCAAAATTTTGGGAATATAGTTATGACGTGGCAAAAACGTTATTTTTTATTTATAAAAATCTAAATTGAATTCAAATTGGCAACTGAACAGTTCGTTGAAGATGAGCTATTTGATTTTTCTGCAAAAACTGTTCAAATTAATTTTTTCTTCCGAAAAAAAAAACCTACAAGTTGAGCGATTTCCCTGTCTTTGGCTTGCAATTTATCCGACAAAACCAAAACCGCACCGGTCGGTTTTTCTTCTCGACCTGGAATTGATTTTTATTTTAAAAAAAATGTTGGTGAAAAAATTACCTGATCTCAATTTGAGCCGCTCAAATTTCTCATTCAAATTCAAATAATCCTTCTCCATTTCAAGCAATTTTTCCTGACTTTCAACAAATCGATTTTCCGTCTGAAAAAAAATTAATTAAATTAATTTCAGGTCAAAATTAAACTCACAACTCTTAAAATATTCCTAACATCTTCTTGATTTTTCGAAATCTCCAAATTCACTTGAACTTTCGCATTCTTCACTGATATTTTGGAATGATCTACTTTTCTGATATGCTCCTTTAAAGTAGGTACTGTAGTTGTTTGAGTTCCAGAACATACTGTAGATTTGACAACTTTCTTTGGCACAACAATTTTTCGTTGAATTTCATCCTCTCTTTTCTGATATTTTGCTTCTAATTCAGTTATTCGTTTTTGCCACGTGGAATTCAGTTGATTTTTAATTGTTGTCACATCAGTTTCTTTCAATTTTTTCGATAATTTTTCAATTTCCTGATTTCTTGTATTCTGGTCTCTTTTCAGAGTTTCAATAATTTTTTCGCGTTTTTCAATTCGATCTAGAAATTGTTTTTCAGATGTTTCCAGAGCTGAAAAATGAAATGTGACTATGAGTTACCCGAACTACAAAATTGTTACATACAGTAACCCTAACTGTAAATTTTTCAGATATTATAAGATCTAGATAAATATTGAATTGAACTAAAAAATCTCGAGATACAGTAACTCGAGCTACAAAACCTACAGTAATCAGAACTGCAAATGAAAATGTATCAGATACAATAAGTTCTAGTGATAGATATTAGTTAGGCATTGAACTGAAAATTATCTGGATACAGTAACCCGAACTGCAAATTTTTTTTGGGTGCAATGAGCTCTGATCTACTCCAACGAATTGTTAAACCTCTAAATACAGTAACCCTAACGAAAAAAATTGTCGGTACAGTAACCCGAACTACAAATTCTCTAGGTACAATAACATAAGCTACGAACTTTTTACGGTACTTTTTCCAAAACAAATTGTGTTTCCGAATTTGAATTTCGAACTCACATTTCAGGCGATTTCTCAAATTCCCAATAATTTCTTCTTGTTTCTTCCGCTTCTCCCATTCTGTCGCAGATTCTGCCGATTTTCTCGCATGTGATTCCGAAATTGGGCGAAGTCGCGTGATCTCTGTCTTTAGAGTGTCGTTTGATTGACGAAGTTGGATTATTGTAGATTTGTGACGCTCGATTTCGATTCTGGAAATGGATATTTGGGAGAAAAAAAAAGAATATTTCAGAATTTTCAGTTTCCAAATGAGCCGAAATTTTTCAAAAATCTCAGATTTAAAAAATCACTGTTTCAAAAAAAATGTTGAAAAAAAATAGTATTTGACACTATTGAGCTAAAAAACTTCGAGATTTATTTTATTCAAAAAAATACTGTTTCCAAAATTTATTGAATTTAAAAAATAGTTTTGCTGAATATTAAAGGCCGTGAAGACAAAAACAATAATCACATTAATTTTTTTCACTGTTTCAAAAAATAATAATTAGAAAACTCGAATTTCCGAAAATTTGGTGATTGAACGTATGTATTAGCAAAAAAATAAATTTTCGAATTAAAAAAAAATTACTGTTTCAAAAATTTGATAAACAAAAAAATTGCTTTCCCGAGTGCTTTCTCAAATGCTATCTTATGGAATTAAAAATAATAAATGCCAATTCAGAATTCTCGTAGTAATTAGTGAATTTATCAAAGTTGTATCTAGAAGTTAACTAACTTTCTGGAAATTTACTGAAATTTTCAAAAAATTTCGTCTCAATTTTTCACTGTTTCAGAATATTTTTGAATGAAAATTTGTAATTTTTACAGATGATTTACGGAGATCTTCTACTCAAAAATTATTCCTATATATTTTCTCAGTTTTTAAAACTTTCAAATGAGTTAGAAACCTCCCCTACCCTTAAATCTAGAATAACCCACCTCATTGCAGATATCCTTCTCTCATCCGAATTCTCATTATTCCTCCTGAAATTCGTCAATTCTTCCATCGCATCCTCTTTAATCTTTTCACAAGTTATCAACAATTCTTTATTATTTTTTGATAATTGCCTGAGTCGTCCTTTTAAGTCTCGAATTTCAGCGCGAAGTTGGAAATTTTCAAGGCGAAATGTCTCTTTTTCATTGTTCTCTGGGGGCTCTTCTGCTTCCTCTTCTATTTCTTCGTGGTGTTTTTCAGTAAGATTTTCAGAAGTTTCCAATTCAGTCTGACATCCAATTTCATCAAACTCCTTTTCAATTTCAACATGTTCTTTTCTCTCATTTCTCATTTTCTCCAAAACCTTTTCCGCTTTCTCTAATTTCTCCAACAATTTCGGATTATCCACCTCAACCTTCCTAATCTCAATTTTCTCCACAATCTCAATCTGCGCTTCCTCATCGATTTTTTCAGCCAAAAGTCGTTTATATCTCTCGATCGCCTGATTTTTCATCTCAATTTGATCTTTGTACCCTTGAAGAGCAATTTGTGCAGAATCTCGAAGTTCTTTGATTCGATATTCGAATTGTTCCAGATTGTCTTGAACTATGGTTCGAACTATGACTCGAGAGGAATTTTCGCGAGAAGATGAGGATTCTGAAAATTTTTAATTAATTAATTAATGTACAAAAATTGAAATAAATACCTTCCGATTCATAATCACTTTCTTTTTCTTGTTCAATAATTGGCGGAAGCAAAATTTCACTCTGATTATCTTTTTGCTGTTTCAAATTATCAATTTCTTTCGAGAAATCTTGTAGCCTGAAATTCTCCACGGCTACTAATAATTCCATATTCCATTTTTTGAGTTCTTCCAGTTCCTCGTTGAGTTCTGTCATTTTTCGCTCTTTCAGATGGATCTGGAAATTTTTTAGATGTAATTGGAACATGTGAAACAATTTTTTTTGATTTGGAAAAAATATTGAAAATCTATTGAAACAGTGATATTTTTTGAAACATATTTATTTTCGATAATTTTTTTTTAATTTTAAGGAACTTGCTACATTTCAGAAAATTGATTTTGTGATTTTTTTCAGAAATATTTAAAAAAATTTTAAAACCAACTTGCTCTTTAAATGTTGAACCTGAATTTCCAAATTTGAATGGATTATCAGGTATGAAACTTGAATTTATCGAAAAACAATGTGTTGAAAATATGTTGAAACATTAATATTTTTAATAAAATTTTGTGATACATTTTCCGTGATTTTTCGGACTTCAGAAAATTGATTTTGTGATTTTCAAAAATATTTTTCGATTTTTCAAATAAATCTGAAAAATTCAATGGGAAATTGGATATAGTGATTTTGTCTTGCTTTCATTCTAGACCATCAGGTTTTTTTCTTGAATAAGTATTGAAAATGTATTGAAACAGTGAATTTTTCTCCGAACAATTCGCCAATTTTTATGTGAATTCTTCGAACTTGCTTTGTTTCAGAACATTGGCTTATGAATTTTCGATTTTTTAAATTTTCTACTGAAATACAAGTACAATTCTTACCCCCCCCTCCCCGTTCCCCGATTCCAACTCACACTTTTCTCCAAAATCCTACACTTGGCTGCTTGCTGTGCTCCATTGAAAAACGCATGTTGCAGTTGTCTAATCGTATTCTCCGACAATTCCTGATTATTCTCACTTTCCAGCACATTTCTCAATGATTTCGCCATCAAATATTCATTATTTGTTGATTCTTTCAGATTTTCAATCTCATTTTTCATATTATTGCAAACCATTTCATTTTCATGCGTTTCGATTATTTTATTTCTCAAAATTTCGAGTTGTTGTAAGCTGACACTTCCCATTGATTGATTGCGAATTATCTGGAAGTTTTTCAAGTGGGCGTGGCCTAAATGCAACTGCCGCACACTTTTTTAGCCCCAAAAATTTAGGTTACCTTATTCTCCCTTTGCAAAACATTAATAACATTCAACAACGTCACCCGCTCCATCTTCAATTTCTCAAAATCTCTAACTCTCTCATTCTCCAATGTTCTCTGCCTCTTTTTCTCTCTCGCTGTTTGCGTCTCTTTGTCTCGTAGATCACGAATTGTGTCGAGTAAACGGCGCTCTATCGAACTCAACACACTTTTCGAATCATTTTCGTTTTCAAGATCTTCGAGAAATTGTTTGAGTTCGTTGTTTTCGGCTTGAAGAATGTCGGCTTCGCGATTCCAGAATTCAGATTGACCGGTGACGATGTCTAACATCTTCTGAAAAATCGGGAGGTTTTGAAGTTAGATAGAAATTCCAAACCTTCAACATATCTTCTCTTGCTTCAGCTTCCGATTCTTGAACTGATTTTGTGAGGATTGAAATATCTGGACGAGGAATGCTCTGCAAAATTTTTCGGGCGTAAAAATTTTGTGGACACCAAGTTACCAATTTTATTAAAAAAATGTTTCTTGAAAACAATTTCAAAAAAATTGAAACAGTGAATTTTTCTGAATGAAAAAATTTTCATCGAAATCCATAAGTTTTTTTTAAATCAATATCTACACACTCAAACTAAAAACTATTTCTTCAAAAAAAAGTTTCAAATAAATTTGAAACAGTAATTTTTTTCAAAAAATATTTGTCTAGATTATTGACCTATCACTTTTACAGCAAAACTTTGTTCGCCAAGAAAAAATTGAAAAAACGTTGAAACAGTGAGAATTTTTTCAAAAAAAAAAAAACGTTTCTTGAGAATGAAATTCAAAAAGTTATCTAATTTTTTTTTTGAAATGTTTTTCTGAATTAAAAAAGTCAACGATGTATTCAATATCGTTTTTTTTTATCAAAAAATATCATAAAAATATTGAAACGTATTTTTTCCATTTTCAAAAAATTCTTTTTGAAAAATATGTTTTTCTTGAGAATCAAATTCAAAAAGTTTTGAAGCAGTAAATTTTTTTGAAAGAATCGACATTGGATTTACTGACCAAATTTTAAACTGGCTAGAAAAGTGTACCAAAAAATGTTGAAGCAGTGAATTTTTTTTCGAATTTGTTCTCTACAAAAAAATGACCTTAGAATTGAAAATGTTTCTTGAGAATCAAATTCAAAAAGTTTTGAAACAGTAAATTTTTTCCACAGTTTTTCTAATTTTTTTGAAATTTTTAGCATTTTTTGTGAAACTCAAAAACTCAACTTGTAAAAGTGAATCCGCATTACTATTATTTTTTAAATAAAATAATCTAAGGTTATAAAAAATTTGAAACAGTAACTTTTTTTTTTCGAATTTTCTGATTCATAGCCGAACTGATAATTTTTCTTGAGAATCAAATTCAAAAAGTTTTGAAACAGTAATTTTTTTCACAATTTTTCTAATTTTTTGTGAAATTGCTAAAAATTTATTATTTATTATAACCGTTTCAAAAATACAATATAATGTTGAAACAGTAAATTTTTGTAAACTTTTTTTTCTCAAAAAAAAAAGCCCCCCCCCCCCCCGCCCCCCAAACCCTACCGTATCACTCGACTCCACTCCAACCTGTTGCTTCAACAATCTCTTATACTTCCTCATCACCTCATCATATTCCTCAACCCCAACACTCTTCAAAATCCTATTCTGCAATTTTCCAATCTCACAAATCGCCAAATCCAATTCCCCCCTCAAATGCACAATTTGTCTCGCCGTCTGCGTCTCCCCATCTCTCATGCTCTCTCTGAGTTTCCTTCCCGCCCATTCTAATCTCGAAATCCTTGACTTCAAATTATTTGCATTCCTAGTCAATCGAATTCGTTCCATTTTTTCAGTTATCAATTTCCTCGTCACTTCCCCCAATCTTCTTTCCATTTCAGTTCCATCAATATTTATTGATTCAACTAATCTTTGCAATTCAATTCCTTCTGTATAATTCATCTCTTTCTCTATACTCTCTTCCACTTTTATTCTCTCTTTTTTCGCATTTTTCACTTCTTCATACGCCATTTCCAATTGACTTTTTAGTTCCAAATTTGATTTTTGAGTAAGTTTCCAATTATTATGAAGTTCAGCTAATTGATTATCCTTGATTGAAAGTTCTTCCAAAAGTTCCATCATTTCATAATACAAATTCGAAATAAGCATCGCCTGGCTAGCAACTTCCGATAAATCTGGTTTCTTCTGGGGAGTTACCGCAACTCTTTTGGAACTTCCATCTTTTTTTCTTCGCTTTTTATTTCGATCTCGACTTCAGCTTCAGACTCAACTTCAGGCTCTTCTATGACCTTTACAATTCTAGGCCCAGTTGTAGGCCCTTCAGATTTCTTAGGCCTTGGCCCTTTCCTAACCTCCTCAACTCTCTTATAAGTGTTATCCGCATATTGTCCTAACTCCACTTGCAACAATGTGCAATGTTGTTGGAGCTCCGAAATTTGCTCATTTCGAAATTTGATTTGTGTCTCGAGCCGAGTTATTTCATCTCGTGAACTTCCGAAGATTTGATCTTTGAATCGATTGAGTTCAGTAAGGATTTCCAGATTTTTCTCGTCTTTGTTTTCGATTGTGAATTGCAGTTTTTCGATGGTGTCTTGTTTGGCGGAAAGCTGGAAATTTTGAAAATTTTGGATTATTCTTAGAATCTAATTTTAATATTTTCTAACCTGATTTTTCTCACTCAATTTTCCGTTATATTTTAGAAATGACTTATCAAATTGAAATTTAAAATTAAAAACGTGTGAACAAAAACTGGGTCACGGAAATTTAAAAATTAAAATTAATTTTTTTCAAAATTTATTTTCGAGATTTCCAATAAAATTTTTTTGAATTTATCAAAAATGAATACGATATTCTACAGTAATCCAGAGAATTTCAAATCTAAAAAATACTATCCCAAAAATTTAAAATAATGTTATTCTGTGAAATAAATTGTGAATAAATCATCTGAAAATTGAAGTTATCCTAACTTTTATTCATTTTTTTCTCAAAGAGATTCTAAAATACTTTTGATTGAAATTTGATTCTTGTTTTCAATTTTCCTCGATTCTCACCTCTTCCTTCATCTCCTGAATCGCTTGTTCCAATTGCAAAATCCTCATCTGCAACGTGGTCGTCGGATCCTGTCCCGGTTTATCGGACATCGCTTCTCCGAAAAGATTCCTCGCCAAAGTTGTCGCAGCCATCAATTCCTTCTTCAAATGCTCCAATTCTTGCTCTTTCTCACCGGTTCGATCTTCTCGAATCATTGATCGTAATCGATTTGATTCTTCCTATAAAAATTTGTGAATTGAGGATCTCAAACTTCTCAGAGTCAAGTTCGATTCAAAACTACCCAAAAAATGTCCCAAAAAATTACCACAACATTGGATAATTCCTCCTGAAGCGCTTTTATTTTATATTCCGATTTTTCCAATTTCTCGAGCGCCTCTTTTTCAGCTGTTAACCCCGTCGTATCTTCAATCTCTTTCTGATCTTTCAAATTCATCAAATTCGGCATCAACATTCCAGCAAGCGACCATAAAAATCCAACTTTATCCGAAGGTGTTACTGTTCCATCAGCGAATTTCTGAGCAGCTGCCATAACATCGGGAATCATTTTGACAACTTCGTCTGGAAGTCCTTCTGTCAATTGTTTGTTTTTCTTTTCCAAATCTCGAATTTTTGTTTTTCCATTCTCGAAATCGATGGCCAATTCGGAGTATCTGAAAATATGGAATCTCAGAATTTTAAGATTAAAAGTTAGGAAAAAAAAAGTTAACCTGGGAACAATTTTTATGGAAAATTTTTTTTGAAAACATTTTTCATCTGCGAATTTTGCCACGTGGATTTTACTTTATTTAAAAAAACTTTTTTTTAAAAACACATAAAATTCCAAATTCCTCCACGTGGCAAAATTTTCCAAAAATTTTCAAGCTAAAATTCGTTGCCACGTGGCATTTCTTTAACAAAAAAATTTCGGAATTTTTTGAGCTGATTGTTTTTTTTTTGCCACGTGGCATTTATATAATAATAGTTTATTCATAATACATAGTTATCTGACCCGAGCTCGTACCCTATGAATTTTCAGCATTTTTTCAGCTGAAAATTTTTTGCCACGTGGATTTCTTCGTCTCTCAAATTTCAAATTTCCTTCAATTTTCCACGTGGATTTTTCACGTTCCAAAAAAATTCGCGCTAAAAATTTGACTATATAAAAATGTTTCCAAACTTTTTGAGTTGAAAATTTTGACATATACAATTTTGCCCGAATTTTTTACGTTCTAAAAATTGATAAAAAAAAATCTCGGAAAAATTTTTTAGTTCCTGGTTTCCTCCAAGGACATATTTTGGCTGATGCAAAAGGTCAAGAATTGCAAAAAAAAACAAGATCAAAATCTGCAGCTTCAGTTTTCTCATCAGATTTTCATGTGAATTGAAAATGAGAAAAAAAATTTGTTTACCTCCTCAAAATGTTTTTTTTGCGTCTCGAATCGAAACAAACACTGATCAAGGTCATAATTAAACATCATATTTAAATGAAGCAAGTCAATTCTATTGTGAGAGATGAAGATTTACATTATATTTCTAATTTTTGAAACTTATTATATATCAGCGTTTTCTGGTTTACATGAAGCTGAAGTTGGAAAATCTACTGTTATTGAATTTTCGAGGGAGAAAATCAGAGGATTTTCGAGGATTTTTGAGAATGGAACCAAGCAGATTTATGATTTGAATGGGAATTATTGGAAGGATGAGGTGAGTGATAGAGAAGTTGGGCTAACTTGAATTTTAGAAAAAATTTTCTCAAAGATCTATACAGCGTAATTGCGTAGTGTCGTAATCAAGTCAATTTTTTTCACAGAACGGCAATCCTGTTGGCAATTCCGGAAACTACATTTTCACGCCTCCCGGTTCTCTCCTAATCAAAAAAGTCACAAAATCCGATGCCGCGCACTACAATCATATTCCATGGAACCTCCAAGATCTCACGATTTCCCCACCGGGAGTTCAAATTGATCCAGGACAAACCGGCATTTTTCTACATGTTTTTTGAACTAAACTGGCTGAAATAAAGATTGTTTTGTCTAATGTGGATTAAAAAAAAAATTTAGAAACATTTTCTAGATTATCATACATTTGTTTGAATTACAGTTCAAGAGCTTTTGAAAAAACCAAGATAAGATTTCCTGATTTTTCCTATCTCCGCCCTTTTTTCTTCATGATATTCTCTATTTTGTGTATAAAAAGGAACTGTTTTGTTAAATGGATTAGAAGAAAAAATGAACATTTTTTCATTTCTTGTTTTGATTCCGGCGGCCTTGGCCGTTGATTCTGTACTTCTAGCAAAGTACGGTGAAAAAACCACTATTCAAATTTCCAATGAAAAAGTCAAGGCGTTCACAAGAGATACAGGATCTGATTTGGAAACCTATAATATTGAGGGACCGAATAAAAACAAATGGATTGATAAGGTAACAATTTAAGAATTTTAAAAGTTTTTAAATTATACAATAATTTTTTGAAGAAAGGCAATACCATCGGAGACCCGAAAAACTACGAATTCAAGCCACCTGGAACATTAATCATCAAAAAAATTTTCAACACTCGATGGAGGGCATTATGATTATATTCCACTTGTTCCACCACCACCTCTTAATTTGGAACCAGGTGTTCATGTTGATCCAGGAGTCACAGGAGTTACTATTCTTACTTTAGAAGAAACTAAAGACTAAAAAAACATGGAACTGAAATAAAGATTGTAAATAATGTCTAACGTGGATTTTTTTTTATTTCAAAAAAATGCATTTCTAGATATACAGTATTTAGTTTGAATTTCAGACTCGCATTCCAAAAGTTTTTGAAACCATGTTTTCTAAACTCAGAAAAAGTTCAGCAACTGATTTTTCCTAGCCCCGCCCTTTTTTTCATGATATTCCGTGTATAAAAAGAAACTATTTTGTCTTATAGATTAGAAAAAACATGAAAATGTTTTTATTTCTTGTTTTGATTCCGGCGGCCTTGGCCGTTGATTCTGTACTTCTAGCAAAGTACGGTGAAAAAACCACTATTCAAATTTCCGATGAGAAAATCAAGGCGTTCACAAGAGATACAGGATCTGATTTGGAAACCTATAATATTGAGGGACCGAATAAAAACAAATGGATTGATAAGGTAGGAAGATAAAGTTTTTCAAAATCTATAAACATTTTTTATAGAAAGGGAAAACCATCGGAGACCCAAAAAACTACGAATTCAAGCCACCTGGAACATTAATCATCAAAAAATTTTCAAAACTCGATGGGGGACATTATGATTATATTCCACTTGTTCCACCACCACCTCTTAATTTGGAACCTGATATTCATGTTGATCCAGGAGTCACTGGAGTCGATGTTGTTACTTTAGCAGAAACTAAAGACTAAAAATGAAGCATGAAACTTTTGAAAATAAAAGATTGTAAATAATGTCTAACGTGGATTATTGAAAAATTTCAGAAAAATGTACTTCTAGATCATCATACAGTAGTAGTAGCAGACCTGGAAACTATTACATTTCACGTTTTTTTCACAGGTTTTCACCGTCAGTCAAAAACACCTATAGTTTATTTGAAAAAAATGTACTGTTTCAAAATATATTCATAATTTTTGATAAAAATCAGAATTTTGATATCTAAAGGCAAGACAATTTTCATAGGATTTCAAAAAATTTCCTCTTATTTTCTTGAAAATCTACTGTTTCAACATTTTCTTATAATTTTTGGTAAAAAGGAGAAGGAGATTTTCGATACATTGAATTTGGAAATTTTCAAAAAAAATTCTTGGCGAAAATCTACTGTTTCAAAATTCATTTTTAATTTTTGATGAAAATGATATTTTTGATACTGCATACTGCATATTTGCTTAAAATGTTCAAAGAATTGAAAAAAAAATCCCCAATATTTTTTCGCGAAAATTTACTGTTTCAAATTTTATTTATAATTTTTTTTGTAAAAGGAGATTTTTGATGATTTACGAACTTGAGTTTCAAGAAGTTCAATAAAAAATTCTGCATTTTTGAAACCAAGTATTCTAAATTCAAAAAAAATCAGCAAAATACTGACACCTTTTTTCCCTGGCGCCGAACTTTTCTCAATCAGAAACCTTAGTGTTTTGATTCCTGATTCTTCCTAGCTCCGCCCCTTTTTCTTCATGATATTCTCTATTTTGTGTATAAAAAGGAACTATTTGGTTTGATTAGATAGATCAAAATGAAAATATTATTTCTCCTTTCTGCTGTTCTGATTTCTTCGGCCTTGGCCGTTCCTTCTCACCACACCACAAAAATCGGAGAAAAAACCACTATCGAAATTGCCGATGAAAAAGTGAAGTCTTTCTCAAGAAGTTCAGGATTTGGAACTCTTCAAACTTATGATGTTGAAGGGCCAAATAAGAACAAATGGATTGATGACGTAAGATTTGAAAATTGTAGACTAAATTTATGTAGATCCCATTTTTTTCTAGAAAGGAAAAACCGTCGGTGACCCAAAAAACTACGAATTCAAGCCGCCTGGAAGTTTGATCATCAAAAAAGTATCATCAATCGATGAGGGACATTATGATTATATTCCACTTGTTCCACCAAAACCCCTTGATTTGCCACCAGGAATTCATGTTGATCCAGGAGTCACAGGTGTTACTGTCAATGTTTTCCCAGCAAGAAAATAAAATAAAGATTTCATGAAACTTTTTTTGAAACAGTAAACTTTTTCAAACCCAAAAATTAACAGAAACCTTCCTACCTCTTTGCACTTTGCTCAATAATCTTGGTCGCTTCTTCCAAAGCATCACTAACTCTCTCAATTTCCTCCCGAAGTTCATCATTTTGTGAAACAACCGCTTGCATTTGCCTACTCATTGTTAAAACCTGTTCATTCCTCAATTTCAGCTTCTTACTTTCCCAATCTCCTCCGGTTTCTTCAGTTTTTGACGAAATTCGACGATTTAGTTCACGGATTGTATCTTCGAGGTGGACTTTCTACAAAAAATCGAAATTTCCTCACAATCAGTGCTGAACTTTTCTTACATGATCTGATAATGCGTCTCTTTCTCTCGTCAATGTTTCAACTCTCGCTGCCAAATTTTCAAATCGATCTCTCTGATCAGCCATTTCTCTATCCCGATCGCGATTTGATTGCTGAAGTTGTCGATTTTCCTCTTTCAAACTGTCGATTTGTGCGCGGAAGGCTTCTGTCGAATCACCGATTTCGGCTTTTGATGTGATTCGCTCGCGAAATTTCTCAAGTTCTTCCTGGAAACATTTTTTTCACTATTTTCTTCTAGAAATTACGATCCGGGGTCTCATACTCAGTGGAAAACCTTCTTATTTCAATGAAGAAAAAAAACCATCATTTCAAAAATTATTTCTTTTGAGCAAAAATCCATTTGTGAAAATTCGAACCTCGAGAAGGAAATACTACAATAAGAAAAGGATACTGTAATATCAAATCGAATTATCCAGCAATACCATCAATATTAATGATATTGTGGGTGTTGAGCAAAAATATTATATAAGGAATACTATTTTCTATGTTTTTATGTGTTTTTTATTAAAATAAACAGTGATATAATATTTCTAGTAAATTTTAATGGGAATTTGAAATCCTGAAACGGTTTCCATTGAACTTTGATGAACAATGGATGTTATACAATCGATTTTCATTCCATCTTCTTTTGCATCACAAGTCGAATCGATCGTGGATCCAGCTAGACAGTTATAGATAGGCTTTCGAATTTCAACATTTTCACTGATCCGAAGAAATGTTGAATTTGAAGAAGAGTTAGTGATTTTGGTTTGATCTGCACTCGATTTTCTGATGTTATGATGTCAAAAACGGTTCTCGAATATGGCAGCTTCGTTCGATTGGATATTGAACTCAAGTTGTGCGTTTTGCATCGGCGTCGAACTTGGCAATTGCACGCCGATTCGGGAAATACACAATTGAATTTCTCTACCGTGGTCGAAAAAAATACTAGAAATATTGTATCACCCTGTATTAAAAAAAACACATAAAACCATAGAAAATAGTATTCCTTAAATATATATTTCTGCTCAACACCCACAATATCATTAATATTAATGGTATCGCTTGATAATTCGATTTGATATTACAGTATCCTTTTCCTATTGTAGTATTTCCTTCTCGAGGTTCGAGAAAATTATATCGTTTCACAAAAAATAACTTGTCCACCAAAATAAACATTTTCCCGGTGCAATAAAAAAATTTGAAACGTATTTATTTATTATTTTTGAAAAATTTCACTGTTTCAAAAATTCTACTTCAATTCTAATAGATTTTTTTCTTTGATAGTTTAGTTGTCGGTGATTTAGGCTAAAAAATTCAGAGTTTATTTTCACAATTAGGCTTGAATTAGCTAGTTTTCCCCGGTTGAATAAAGAATATTTGAAGCGTATTTTATCCTTGAAATTTGATCAATTTTCTGACAAGCAGTAGAAATTTTCGCGAAAAAAATCACTGTTTCAAGAATTCTATTTCACGTCTGATTAATTTTTTTCTTTTGATTCCCATCTGAATTTTTTCCAGATTTCAGAAAACCAGATTATTGATTGATTCAAAAAAAAATTCGTTTTGAATTAATAAATTATTTGAAACAGTCAATTTTCTGTGAAATTATTTTTCCTCTCAATTTTGTCGGGATTCAAACCAATAAATTCATTTTTTCCCGTAAAAGAAAATTCACTGTTTCAAATCTATTTGATTTTTTCTTTGATGATGAAATGGTTTCAGTATTCGGCTAAAAAATATTGGACATTTTCAGAATATTATCACAATTTGCTAGTTTCAGAAATTTTAAATTTGTGGCGAAAACTTAATTTGGATTGTAGAAGAAAGGCTGGATCTTATAGTGATTGAAAATAATTTGTTTTGAATTTGTAAATTTTTTGAAACAGTGAACTTTTTGAATACTTAACTAAAAATAAATATTTTTTTTTTTTTTATTTATTTATTTACGATGAGAGGAAAAGTACATCGTGAGAAAAAAGTGATAAAATGAATAGCAATATCACGGGTGCGGTGATCACAATTTAACCAGTAGGGTTTGATTTTTAAGAATTATTTACATTATGATGGCGGTGAGAAAGAAGAAAAAAGGAAAAAATAATAATAGGGGGGGGCGGGGTGGGAATAGGAAAAAAAAAAAAAAGAAAGTTAGAAAGAAAAACAAAAAGAGAAACCGTATAAAAAGAAAGGGAATGACACATTGGTTTGACTGTTTTGGAGTGGTACTAGATCTTGGAATTTGCACAAAAATTTTTATAATGAATTAATGGCTTTAATTTGAGTATTGATTGTGAGACACAAAGGTTTTTCCTCTTGTTTTTAGAAGGATTAAAATTAAAATTAAAATTAAAATTTAGAATTTAATTTTATCAAGATTCGGATCAGTGGTTAGAAACTCTAGTAATAGTATCCAGAAACTCATCTGAATATTGTCTGATGCCTTTAATAAACTCCGGGATTACTCTCATGGAAAAAAGTTTTTTCGGATTTTCTTTTTGGGGACTTTGAATAAAAGATTTAGGCGAGATCTAGATGAGGTTTTCTGAATTTGAAAGAGGGGTTTATAATTTACTTTAGATTTACCCGAAAGAATGTCTTCAAGCATACGGAGATCAAATCTTCTCCTCCTGTCACTCAACTTCTCCAACTCAAACACATCCAACCTCTCCTCATAAGTAAGATAGCCTGGATCTCGGTAATTGATGAATTTACCGGTCACTCTACCATATAATTTTCTCGTGAAGTTACGCTGCACTTTCTCTATCATATCCGAGGTGGATTTATCAGGAGGGGAAGTGACAACGCAACCATATTCGAGAATTGAGCGAATATGTGTTTTATACAGGGATAAGTATAATTTTGGATTTTTGGTAGTGAATGACTTAAAAAGAAGATATAAAAGGGAATTAGATTTTTTTGTGAATGTAGTCCAGTGGTCACTAAAATCCAAATTCTCAGAGATATAAAAACCGAGATCTCTCATAACCGATGTTCTGTTTATTGTTGTGTCCATTACTTTATACTCAAATTTGGTTGGTTTTGTGTGTATAGAAAGTATTTTTGTTTTATCGCCATTTAATGCCAATTTATTTTCAACGGCCCAAGAAACCACTTTGTTTATGGATTTCTGCAGGTTTTCAGAATCCTTCCGGTTTTTTATGGATGAGAAAATTTTTACGTCATCCGCAAAATATTTAAAAATATTCAAAAAAAAACTGACCTTTAATTTAACCTTTTCCTCCTCCCATTTATCCTCTTTCTCAGCCATAATAACAGCTTCATGTTCAGCAACATCTCTCAATTCTTCAGCGGCCGTAAATGCAAAACTCATCAAATATCTCGCACCATTGAACAATATCTCAATATCATTCGATGTTTCGGATCCCTCGATTTCATATTCCAATAATTTATCATACCAACTTCGAATCTCTTCATCACTCGCATTTTCTTTTTGCAAAAACTCTTCGAGGTTCGCATAATTTATCGCAGTTGTTTGCGACATTTTTGGTTCAAAATATGTAGAAAAATAATATATTTATAGCCGTGCAACGAGGAAAAAATAGGGAATTTTAATAGTACAAGTCTCCAGATTCTCGGATGGTTGTCAAGGCGACGAGAGAGTGTGTGGAGGCGAAGAGACGCAGACACAAGAATAAAAAGTCCGTCCACGAAAAAAAATTATCGGCAGCAACTTGTAGATCAAAAAAATTTTGCAAGTCTAGAAATTACAAATTTTTTGAAAGTTTCTCTCGGAAACTTATAAATTTTGAATTTATAGTAACTTGAAAACAACAAAATGATTTTTGATATTTTTTTCATTGGAAAAATTTCCGTTTGTGGCAGAAAAGTCATATTTTTTGTCCAAATTTGTGCTTTTTGATAAATATGAATTTATTTATTCTTATCAATGTATTTTTGATTTTGTTTGTTCCATTTGGAATTTTTCTCTATAGAATTTTGTTTGAAAAGAAAATTAGCGCTTTTTTTTACCGCGAAAATTTCGGAGGAAATTTGAAATTTCATTTATGATTTTGTTTGTTTCATATTTTATTCACAAGTTTTTCCACAAATTTTTTAGTGGAAAATTCCAGAATTAAAATTTAAAAACTACACTGTAGTTACTTTAGTAATATTTTTTAGTGTTCCCAAATTTTCAAATAATTTCTCAAAAAGTTTATTTTTTAATTTTTGCAATTTTCGGTCGAAATTTGAATTTGGAAACTTTCAGCACAAAAATTCCTAACATTTTCGAATTTTCTGGAAATTTAGGATACAGTAATCTTTCTGAGAAAATTCAAAATTATGCAGATTTTTTTTGCAAAAATTGAATCATTTGATTATTCCAAATTTTCACAGGGTTTTTGCTCTCGAAAAATCAATATTTTCCCAAAATCCCCCGCTGCAAAACCATTTCGCGTGACAAAATTTCACATCTGTGTCAATTTTTTGTTATCCAAATACACACAATTCGTGTTCTCTGCGTCTCTCACTCTCTCTCTCTTTTTCATGACCCACACTCTCTTTCTCTACTATTTAGTGTCCTTTCATTCATTTTTTGCTGCTGCTGCTGTTTTTTTTAGTTACTCTATTTTTTAGCGCATTCGCATTTTTCATTCATTAGAAATCATTAGTCATTTTTATTTAGAACTATGTACTGTAGAGAGCTTTTTTTGATAAATTGAGATCTCAATCGCAGGTCAATTGAAAAAAAAAACATAAACATGTGAAAAGAACAGCTGTTGCAGAAAAAGAAAACACATTTTTCCAAAAAAGTTCGCTACCGGCCTCGAACCCGCGCTGCAAAACGTCCTAGCTTTAAAAGCGCAGCGCTAACCGACTGAGCTACACGTGTGTTTTCAAACACCAGGGCAAATTTGTCTAGATATATTCGATGACTTTGCGAAATCGCATGTCTCATCTTTCGCTCGCTAAAAAACCCGTTAGCTATCCAAAAATTCAATCTTTTTCAGCTTTTCACAGTGTTTTTCGTGTCAATGGACTAATCGATCAATAAACAAATATAATAGTATCAATGTAAGTTTTGCGCTTCCCTTTTTTTCGCTCGTGGGAAATAAAATCAAATCTTTATTCAGATCAAATTATTGATTGATTGATGCGTGGCGCTTCTGGCGAATCAGGTTAGTTTTTTTTTTAAATATTTTTTCGGGAAGCAATCATAAAAATGCAAATTTCTTTGAATTTGAGACATAAAATTGTTTTTTTGCTAATTGTTTGTGTTCGGAAAAAAAATACGTTTCAAAAAATATTTATGTTTTTTTGTACGTTTTTAAAAATGTTTATTTTCCTTTCTCACCTTTTGAAACATCGTTCTTTGAATTTGCAAAAAAAGTTCGTTTTCAATTATGTGTGCGATAGAGCGAACTTGCTTCAACATATTTTTTCCCGCAGAATCATTCCTTCTGGAGCCACGTTCGTCAAAATCTCCCGAAAAACTGGTGGCCGATTTAACAAGCGACGAAGAAGAAGACGAGGAATTATTTTTCCGAACCACTCATACACAAGAGTTATCGCAAAGGTATGTTTTTGTTTCCTTGTGAATGAATTCCGAGAGAACTACACACAAATAATTCATGTGTGCAATAGAGCAAACTTGGTGGCCTGTGTGTTATGTTTTTCGTGTTTTAGAAAAAAAAAGAAAAACATTAAAAAAAAGATTTTTCACGTAAAAAGTGAAATTTTTTCATTTCCCCTTCAAAACCTCCCCATTTTTTTGCAGAGAAATGGTGATTCGTATATTCCTAATCGCTCTGCTTTATTATCCACTCTCAATTGCTCTCACATTTTATCAAAAATGGTTTATTAAGAATTATCGATTACCACTTTTTGTCGTCAGCGGCCATTATGTTCTCAAATACGTGTTTGCAATTGTTATTCGATTTATTTATGAATGTTTTAAAGGAAAACGAATGCGAGTGCCGCTGAATGAACAGCTGAGGTCAGTGGAGCGCGTTTGCTCGGCCGATTTTGAAAAAAAATTTTTATTTCAGATGGCTAGCACCGATTGGAATTTGCGCATCAATGGATATTGGGTTATCAAATTGGGCGCTAGAATATGTAACTGTTAGCCTTTACACCATGGCAAAATCATCGTCAATTCTATTTATCGTCGCATTTTCGCTGCTTTTACGCCTCGAAAGATGGCGATTTTCACTTGGCTGCGAAACGGCGCTCATTGCATGCGGATTGTTTTTGTTCACCTGGAAATCGTCGCAATTGGATTTGACGGGATTGTTTTTGGTGGAATTGGCGGCTGCATGTACAGGAGTACGGTGGGTGAAAATCTTGAGATTGGTTGCTATGAAACGAATAAAATCCATAAATTCCGAAAAAACTATTCAAAAAAAAGTTTATTTATTGTGAGATGTAAAGAGCGGTCACCAATCAAATTTCACAAATTCATATTTCACAAAAAAGTTTTCTTGAAACAGTGACTTTCTTTCGAAAATTGTGAAATTTTTCTGAAACAGTAGATTTTTTTGGAATCAATTTTAATATAAATTATTTAATTTTCTTGAAATTTTAAATCGGGATTTATTTATTTATTTATTCATTCATACCAATCAAAATTCAAAAATTCAGATTTCACAAAAAAGTTTTCTTGAAACAGTGAATTTTTTCTGAAAATTTTACAAAACAAAAAAAAATTAAAAAATGTTGTTATCAGAAAAAATCTAGAAATTCTGAAACAGTAGATTTTTTGGAATCAATTTTTAAAAAAATTATTTAATTTTCTTGATATCTGAAAGCAGAGTACCAATCAAAATTCAAACATTTATATTTTACAAAAAATTTTCTTGAAACAGTGAATTTTTTCCGAAAATTCTGAAAATTTTCTGAAATAGTACATTTTTGGACTCAATTTTTATTAAAATTATTTAATTTTCTTGAGATTTTAAATCGGGATACCAATCAAAATTCAAAAATTTAGATTTCACAAAAATTTTCTTGAAACAGTGAATTTTTTTCTGAAAATTTTACAAGACAGAAAAAATGAAGAAAATTTTGTTATTAGAAAAAAATCTAGAAATTTTGAAACAGTAGATTTTTTAAAATTAATAAAATTTTTATAAAACTTTTTTTTTAAAATTTTCTTGAGATCTGAACTCGAGTTATCAATCAAAATTAAAAATTCAAAAATCCAGATTTCACAGAAAAATTGCTTGAAAAGTGATTTTTTTTGTTCTAAATACAGGATAAACAATGAAAAAAAAAATGTTGTTATTACAAAAAATCTACAAATTTTGAAACAGTACATTTTTGGACTCAATTTTAAAATTTTCTTGAGACCTAAAATCGGGTTACCAATCAAAATTCAAAAATTCAGATTTCACGAAAAGTTTTCTTGAAACAGTGAATTTTTTCATGATTTTTTTTATTCCAAGATAATTATTAGTCAATTTCTCAAAATTTCATCCAAAGTTTAATGTTTTGTGAGATTCACAGTCAATAATAAAAATTCTTTGAAACAGTGAGCTTTTATGAAAGATTACAATGCGACAGTGAAATATTTTTTGAAATTTTTCAAGCAAGGAATATCAAATCTCCCAACAGCTAATTCAAAATTAGAATAACTTGAAACAGTGGATTTTTTTTCAAAAGCCAAAGTCATTCTAAAAAAATCATTCCTCATATTTTTGCAGTTGGACAGTTTCCCAAATGATAATGCAACGAGATGATTCATCAGTTCGTCATCCACTTGACATGGTTGCTCATGTTCAACCATGGATGATGATTCCAATTATTCCAATGATTTGGATTTTCGAGGGCCCTGAACTAGACTGGAATACCGTATTCTCGTTTCAAGGAACATATGATCCATGGCTAGTTGTTGGATTGATAGCCGCCGGCGGGTTTTTGGCTTTTTGCATGGAGATGAGTGGTAAGTTATCAAAGAAAAATGGGGAGAGAGGGGCGATAATAAATATAAATTTAACCCTGCGTTTCCTCGTCGCGTTCGTGGTGTAATGGTCAGCATGGATGCCTTCCAAGCATTCGACGGGGGTTCGATTCCCCCCGAACGCAGATTTTTTTTTCAAAAATGGTTTTTTTGCAGAATACCTCCTACTGGTCCACACTTCTGGAATAACTCTCAATATTTTCGGAATTTTCAAGGAAGTCGCCACACTTTTACTGGCGCATCTAATAAATAATGATAAATTATCGCAGGTCAATATTTGTGGTCTATTATTATGTTTAACGGGTATGATGGTGCATGGAGCGAATAAACGAAGGCAAAGGTGAGAAATTTTATTCGTTTTTTTTGTTTTGTACCAAAAGTATATTTTTCAAGATTATTGGAATCTGATAAATATTCACTATTAACAAAAACTGCATGAGTTTTATTTATTTTATCATTTTATTTTATTTTATTGCACATTACAACTTCTTATTATTTGCTTTGGGTTAGTCTTAATTATTTTTTTTTGGAAAATGTGGGAAACTTTTTGGAACTGGTTGAAATAGTGAAATTATTTCATTTTGAGGAATATTGATTTTTTTTGAGTAAAATTTGAATTACAACTGAAATTTTTGGAAAAACAAAATATTTATGATTTTTTTGAAGCAGTGAAATTTTCTAAATGTGACCTGAAATTTACCTCAAATTTTAAAACTTTTGTGCCATAAAAACAGGTAATTTTCTCTGCCATCCTGAAAATTTTGAAAAAAACTTTGTGTGAGATTTTCTGTTCCAAAAATTACAGATGTGAATTTTTTTGATCTAACAACAAAACAACCAACAAAATTTTTATGTGATAAAAGAAATTATCAGAATTTTTTGAAACAGTGAAATTTTTTTTTGAAAAATTTTTCTGAATTTTTTTGAGTTCTTATAATTCGCCATTTTTTCAAATTTTAAATTTGTAAACTCAAAAAAAAAAACAATTTCTTGTAAATTTCAGAATTTCGGGAAATATTGATTTTGAATCTCGTGAGAACAATAATTGTTGAAATAGCAGAAAAACCAATTTTTTGAAAAATGTTTCAAAATTTTTTGAAACAGTGAATTTTTTCGCAAAAATTTTTCTTGAAAAATCGATTAACCATGAAAATATGACCTAGAATTCAACTTTAATTTTCTCTCTGCCATTCTGAAAATTTTGAAAAAAAAACTCTGTGAAAATCTGGTGTTCCAAAATTACACATGTGAATTTTTTGGTTTTATATCTGAACAACCATCAATTTTTCTGCGATAAAAGAAATTATCAGAATTTTTTGAAACAGTGAAATTTTTTTTTTTGAAAAATTTTTTAGGTTTTTATAAATCGCCATTTTTTTCAAATTTTAAATTTGTATACTCAAAAAAAAACAATTTCTTGTAAATTTCAGAATTTTGGGAAATATTGATGTTAAATCTCGTGAGAACAATAATTGTTGAAATAGCAGAAAAAACCAATTTTTTGAAAAATGTTTCAGAATTTTTTGAAACAGCGAATTTTTTCGCAAAAATTTTTCTTGAAAAATCGATTAACCATGAAAATATGACCTAAAATTCAACTTTAATTTTCTCTCTGCCTGAAAATTTTGAAAAAAAAAATCTGTGTGAAAATTTGGTGTTCCAAAAATTACAGATGTGAATTTTTTGGCCTAATATCAGAGCAGCCATCAATTTTTCTGCGATAAAAGAAATTTTCAGATTTTTTTGAAACAGTGAAAAATAATTTTTAGCTGAAAAAAGAATTTAGATCAATCAAAACTTAGCAAATCAAGATCTCGTAATTTTTTTGTTCATTTTGTATTAACAAAATGTGTTTTTTTGCATAAAAAAATACATGCTTTTTTGAAACAGTGAAATTTTTTCAGCCCAAATAATCTTCAACCAGTTCCAAAAAAGCGTTCCCCCTCGAAACTTCCCTTAAAAATCCACATTTTCCAGATCGCGACTTCCAACAACATCCAATCATCAAGACGATTCACAAAAACTTCTAGAAGATTCATAAATAATCATTTTATCACAGAGCGAGAAAAAAAAGAACACTAATAAAAATGTATGTAAATAATAGAAAATAGTGGTTGTTAAAGTTTCTCCCAATAAAAATCCAAAAAGGCACGAAAAAAAGAAAAAATAAAAGAAAGGGGCAAGCTACTCAGAAGAAAAAACGGTTCCCAAAAGAAGAAGAATACATAGCTAAAATTCCCGCATATGTACAAAAAATGATCGAAAATCCATCACAAAAAAGGGGGGGGGGTTGAATTATTTTTTGAAAATAAAAATAAGGAAAAAATCATAATATTACCGGTTTGTTTGCAAGAAAAATGTGTAGTTTGATGTGTTTGGAGTGGAATGTGGAGGAATTTATCTGAAAAAAATTGGGTTGAAAAGGGTAGAAAAAACAATTTTTTTAAATTCTCAGGAAGAAAAACTTGGTACAATTTTTTGGAACTCAAAATTAATTTCAAAGGCAGATTTTGGGAAGGTGGATCTAGCTATACATTCAGGCAGGCCTAAATTATCAGGAGCCTGAACTTTGTCAAGCATAATTTTTTTCAAGCCTCAATTCTTGACAAGCCTAAATTTTTAACAAACCTAAATTTACCGAGCCTTAATTTTTAACAAGCCTTAAATTTTCTGAGCCTATATTTTTCCAAACCTGAATTTTTTTAGCCTAAATTTTTGACAAGCTTAAAATGTTCCCTAGTCTAAATTTTTGACAAGTCTGAATTTTTCAGAACCTAAATTTTTACAAGCCTCAATTTTAACAGGTCTAAATTTTTCTTAACTTAATTTTTCACCAGCCTAAATTTATGCCAAGCCTAAATTTTAAAAAGACGTTTCAGGCTCATCCTAAATTCAGGGTTTTCAAACAATAGCCTATCAAAAAAGGCCCTATTTCTTCTAAATCTAGGCTCATCCTAATTTCAGGCACACCAAAGTCCAGCCCAAGCCAAACTCACTTGCTAAATGCCTCAAAAACAGCCCACATCACATCGTTACCCTTCTTTTCAGCTTGTTCGTCGTATTGTAATTCCAATAATGTTCGTACACGTTTCATTGCAATCTGCAACATTTTTTGGGATATTTTTTGTTGTTATATATTTTTGATCTTGGTCTTATCAATTTCTTATCAAAATTTCAAGAAAAATTGTTTTGATACAATTTTTTTGAAACAGTGAAAATTTTAGTTCAGGAAAAATAAATCTTTTGTCGAATTTTAAAGAACATTTTTTTAAAGCAGGTAAGATTCAAGCAATTGATTTTGGAAAACAAAAACTTTCACAATTTTTTGAAACAGTTAAAATTTTCAAAAATGAAAAAATCTACTGTTTCACTATAAAACCATTAATTTCTATGAAATCTTGGAAAACTAATACAATTTCCGCTTTCATGTGAAAAAAAAATTGAAAAAATTCACTGTTTCAAAACTTCACATGTTCAATTAATACTTCGCTTGATCTTGATCACAGTTCAAATTTCACAAGAATTTAGTAGCTTGTTAGGAAACTGTGGAAAATATGTATTTTTAAATAATTTTCAACCAAAAATTTTTTCCCAAACAGAAAATCTCTCACCTCGTAATCCTGATCATTCAATGGCGCAAATGCATTTTCCAAAACATCACTAGCGTGTGCCAAAACAATCAATGACAACATTTTCTTATCCATTCGGTGCACATCATTTGTCCATCTTCCCAATACAACTTCTTGAACTTCCTGCAAAAAATACAGAAATTTTGAGAAATTTGAAGCAAATATGTAAGAATCGATGCGCTTTTATTTCCTACAATCTTATGAATACTTTGAAACAGTGAATTTTTCACTACTGTTTTTATTAATTAATCAGTTCTTACTAATTATTTTTCTGGTTTAATTAGATTTGACAACAGTATATAAGAGGACTTTAATTTCATCAGGCAAATTATTTCCAAATATAAAAATAATTTTGGATAAATTTTTGTACTTTCACAAAAATTTCCATTTTTTTTATTTCATTCAACAATATTGTACAAAACAATATGAATCAGATTCATTGTACAGATTTCAGTCCTCACAAAATAATATAAAAATATTTATTCAAAAAACAAAAAGCGTTATTTTATGAAATGTACATAACTCAAGATTTTTCTGAATTTTGTACATTTTGCGAAAAAAAATGTACGAGAATAGAAAAATTGGGCAAAAGTGTACATTTCGAAAAAAGTAAAATAGAGCAATTTTTTCACGTGAACATTGTAAAATGTACTGTTTTTCCGGTTTTCTCTTATTTTGTACATTTTCCAGCAGACATTTTTTCCGGTGTTTCTTGTACTTTTCGTCGCTTCAATCAATCCATCAAATGACTTTGCTAGATAATCTCGAGTAAATGCTGCTGACAAAAATAAGGTTTCCAGTTTCTATTCAAAAGAGTTTGATTTCTTTATTCTGACACTCATGTCAGTGATTGGGAAATTTTGAAAATACAATCTGTAATATGTGAATGTCTCATAATGAAACAATTATGCAAGAAAACTCACTCCAACAAGATCAAAACTCCCCAAAAATGTGAAAAATAAATGATAAATTTTTTGAAATGAAATAAAAATGAGCTGGAATGATGAGGTCATTTAATTTTACGTGAAAAATTAATATGACGTGGACTGCATTTTCAGTTTTATTTCGAATTCTTTTTCTTATTTTTCACATGGATTATTTCCTTTTGATCTTGTTGAGGTTAGTTTTATCAATAATTTTGTTTCTCACGAGAAATTTCCATTTTACAGCGTCTTTTTTCAAAAGAATCCGAAGAATGATTGTTGCGAAAACAAATAAATCGGTCCAAATCACCCCAAAACTAATTTTGAGGATGAATCATCAACAGCATTTACTCGATATTCGCTAGCAAATCGATAGCCCTACGATGGATTGATAAAATCGACAAAAACTACAAGAATTATCGAAAAAAATGTCTGCTGGAAAAGGTACAAAATAAGAGAAAACCGGAAAAACAGTACATTTGACAATGTTCACGTGAAAATTTGTTCTATTTTATTTTTTTTCAAAATGTACACTTTTGCCCAATTTTTTTTATTTTTGTACATTTTTTTGGAGGATCTTGAATTATGTACATTTTTTCCAATATGATTTTTTGTTTTCCAATTATTTTTTACATTTTTGAAAAATGTAATATTATTTTATGTTTTTTTGTGAAAATTGAAAAATAAATTTTGCTTGTACATAAATATACTGTTTTTTTCTGCAAACTATATAAAAAATTTGCCTGATGAAATTAAAGTCCTCTTATATTATCTTTGAATTCTACAATCTCAGAAAGTTATAAAATTTCTGAAACAGTAGTTTTTTTAACAATGTATAAGAAAAAAGTGTACATACAACCAAAAAATCGCGAAAAACTTCATAAACACTTTGAAACAGTGAATTTCTGTAAAATTATAAATTCAGGATTAAAAGGTTCTAAAAATTATATAGATTTTGTTGAAACAATTAAATTTATTAGATGACCAGTTGGCTTAACTATGTGAAAAGTTACTTTACAAACTATACATAGATTTTGAAACAGTGAATTTTCGTGAACTGAATAATAAGTTCATCTGGTGAAAATTGACAGTTTTTCAACAAATTAATAACTTTGAAACATTCACAGTGACAAAACCATGACAAATTTCATGTTTGACTGAAAAAATCAGAATAAGACCAAATATCTATGATTTCGAATTCAGAAATGTCAGATTTCTCCTTTTTCAAGTTGAAAGTATCTGAACAAAGTTTCAGTGGATTTTTTTCAGAAAAAGTTCTGTGAATTCAAACTGAAAAAAATTGACCAACTATCTTAGAAATCACTTCAAAAACTACATACAAACTTTGAAACAGTAAATTTTCGCAAACTTAATAATAGGTTCATTTAGTGAAAATTATTCATTTTAACCTAACATTTTGAAACAGTGATGTTTATGAGATCACATTTTTGGGTTGGTTCATCATAGAAATCGGACTATCATGAAAATCATTTCAAAAAATATTTAAAATTTTTGAAACAGTGATTTTTTAACCTATAAAAATTATAAATGTATCAGATTTTTTTTTCCTTTTTGAACAATATAAAAAATTTGAAACAGTAAATTCTTGTAAAATAAAAATAAGTGAAAATTATTAGATTTTTTAACAAATTGATAACTTTGAAATAAATATTCTTAACATCTGAAAAATCACTTCAAAACTCATATTTAAACATTGAAACAGTGAATTTCTTCATAACTTCCATACATACTTTACTCCCCAAACACCCTCCTACCTTGATCAATTTGGTCTTCTGATTACCATCCGACAATGGATGTGTCGTAATTTCAAACAACAAAAAGTTCTGTTTGTCCGTCGTCAAAACGCCTTTTTCAACCAAATTTTTGGCGAGTCTTTCTCGAACATTTCTCAATTGATAGCGCAATTTGAGCGGATTCCAAGTTTCTCCCGACAAATATTCAATCCAACTTGTGACGGTTTCTGGTGGATTTGTTTCTTTCATGTGGCGAAGTGCTTCATCTAATATTACATCACCGGTTGGTTCACTGCTTTTTACTGTTACCTGAAAGATTAGAACTTTTTTGTGATAGAGTTTTATTTGGCAGAAATTGGCAAAAACGATCAATACATTTTTATTCTTCAAAATCTTATGAAAATTTTGAAACAGTGAATTTTCATAAAACTCATATGGTTGCCACTGATTTTTACTGTTATCTAGAATATTTCATTTTTTTTGTTGAAAAATTCGATTAGGGAAATGTGAGAAACAATTTTTTCCACATAAAGTAATTTTTTTTGCGATAATTTAAATGTGAGTTTCATCGGGAATCATCAAAAACCCTATCGATACATCTGTATTCTTCAAAATCTTATAAAAATATTTAAACAGTGAATTTTTTCAAAAAATAAGATCACTGCTTTTTACTGTCGCTTGAAGAATTTTTTCTGACAAATTCGATAGAGGTATGGTTACAAACATTTTTAAACCACTTTTTCAAAATTAAATTTTTTTCGATAATTTTAATTGCAAATGAGAGATAACGAAGAAAACGAAGTATTAGTACGTTTTTATTCTTCAAAATTAAAAAAAAATATTGAAACAGTGATTTTTTTTTCAACAAATTTTCTTATCCAGTACATTTTTAAAGAGAACTTAAAATTGAGAAAATACAAAGAAAATTCAACTTTTCGTCTGTGCTCTTTCAATTTTACGATTTCTCTAATCAAAATAATATTCTGTATTTTTGTAACAATTTTCCACAATCAATCAACTCACTTTTCTATTCAACAAACTTTTGCGTCTCATTCCACCGCCTTCCAATTGAATTCGTCCACGAAGTGCCAATTCGATTAAAACACATCCACGAAGACCTGATGAGATACAATCATTCCAGAATGATGTATAACCCTGCAACAAATGAATTCTTTTTTTTTTGCAAAATTAATGGGGTTTGGGGAAATTCTTAAAATCTTTAATTAAACTAATTATTTCTAGGGGAAAAGAGTGGAACCTTCTCAAAAATAAAAAATTTTTATGAAAATTATGATAGCGATATTTATGAACGAAGCTACTAGTGGTGTTTCCATTTTTGAAAATCATAAGAAATTTTTGAAACAGTGAATTTTTTCGAAAACGATTCTAGGACTAAAATTTGACACTTTTGGTATTTTTAAAAATTCTGTATTTTGTTTTGAAAAATCACAAATGGGATTCGCCTAAACTCAAAGAAAATCTGAAAAATCAAATTTTTTAGTCTAAATTTTAATTTTTAAATTTTCGCAAAAAACAAACAATAGCCCAAAAATTCACTGTTTCAAAATTGTAATATTTTTTTATCAAAAAAATTGGAATTTGCTAAGTTTTCGAGTTTTACATAACTATATTTCTACTGTAAATTTCAAATTTCAGTCCTGAAACTCCTATTCTCAAAAATCGCCCCGACTACAAAACACAAATGTTTATCGAAAAAATTCCAAATAATTTTTAATAACACGATAAAAATCTCCGATTTTTCCTCCATTTTTTGTTATACAAACCTCTCTATCTTTCAAACCAAGCAACAAAATCTGCTCCATCAAAGTCAATCGAGTTCCTTTATCATTGTCTTCTTGATCTGACGAATGTGCAGAATCACCGCTGTTTTCGTCATTTTTATCAACCGGGGCCTGGAAAACAAACATTTTTTGAAAATTTTGAAACAGGAACTTTGCCAGATAGAATTTTTCACGCTGAGAAAGTTCCTGAGCTCAGTTTTGCTCAAAAATGAGCTAGAAATCAAGGAAAATCGTATTTTTTGGAAGCTTAGAAGAATTGTTATCAAAAACTGTTTACAGAACGTTTTTCAGGAGCGATTCGGTTAGAAAATATCGCTCTGAACTCGGTTTTTGATAGAAAATCAATAATTTATAACCAAATCGCTCCTGAAAAAACGTTCTGTGAACAGTTTTTGATGAAAATTCTTCTAAGCTTTTCAAGAAATACGATTTTTCTTGATTCCTGGCTCAATTTTGAGCACATCAGACATTTGTTCAGCAAAAACGGGATCTTCAAAATTTCCTCCGAAAAAAATCCCGTACCTCCTCATTTTTTCGTCGTCGTTGAACAACTCCCGACATGTTTTTGCTCGAAAATCAAATCAAATACAAAAATATTTCGTCGCTTCTTCCGGGACCAAAAATGCTAAATAAAACAAATTACTTAAATTCAAAAAAAAAACACGTTAAAAGTATGTCACGTTACGAAAAAAAAATAGGATTTTTTGACAATTTTATTTTATTGCATCGGATTTAGTTTCAAATTGAAGAAGATCTCAGATGTTTATCCGGGGGCCGGTTTTTGAGGGGCTTTTCGGAAAAAAAGATCTCAAATTCTGATTAGGAAAGACAAAAAAGAATAGTTTCTTTTGGAATGATTTTTTGAGGGAAAATGAGGAGGAAGGGGGCTTGAACTGTTGGACTTTTTTTTTTGAAAAATCATTTTGTGATTGCTAGGAGATGAGACTTGGTTTACTAGTTAGATTTTTGCTAGTAAGGTTCAAAAGTTCAAATTTGGACTGGAATTAAAGACAACCTAAAATTGAGAGTTTCGTCTGCGCTCTCTCAATTTCACATTGTCTCTATTTAATCAAAACAAATTTCTGTATATTTTGTTTTTCTGCATAGGTAAATTCATGTTTTTTTAATAAAATATTAATCTTCTTATATCCTTACCTAAATTTCAAATTTCGAATCAAATCTGAACTTTTGAACCTTACTAGCCAAAAGCCAACTAGTAAATCAAAAAAGAAGAAAAAATCCAGTTTTACTCTCCTGAACACACATTATACATGTAAATAAAATACAGAATATTTGAACAGCTTTTTCGTCTTTTCCATGAATTTCAGGCGAAAAATCGATAAATGTATCGAAACGTGTGAATTGAATGATTGAAAAGACCAAAAAAAGTGAGCAAATAAAAAGGATGGAGAACTTTTATCAGTAAAAAACTATTTTTTCGTGGATTGATCAATTTTTGGGACTCGGTTTTATAACAAAATTCGAATAATTTTCATTGGAATTTATATGAATTTATTAAATTATATATTTTTCTGGAACAAAGTTTGTATTTTTTTTTTTTTTTAAAGTCGATACAATGACCTAATTTTAAATAGAAAACAGGCAAATGTTCCTGTCGCAATCTCTTTTATATCAAATCGAAACCAAATAAAATACTAAATTTTCACACGAAACACAACTAAAACATATGAAAAACCCTCAAGAGAAAACGAAGAAAGTCAGGAAAAATAAAAGATAGATAGAGCGAAAGGAGAGAGAGTGAGAGACGCAGAGCATTTCCACGAGGACCGCTTCGCCGATACGCATCGCCATGAAAAACCAGAGAGACAATAAATGAAAAATTGAATTGGAATGGAATAGTGTGTTATTATGATGAAAGGATATAATGTTAGAGCACATGGGGGATTAAATATGGGATATTGAAACATGTTACAGATAGACAAACAATTCGCAATTCGAAAATAACAGGTTTAAACTAAAAAAAACCGATTTGCGCGTGAAAAAAAACAAAAAATGAAAAGAAAACAACGAGATTCCGCTGTTATTTGCCTGTTGTTTAGCGCTAAACTGTTGGCAAGCGCAATCTCGTTGTTTTACTTTTATTTTTTGTTTTGCAAAATTTTGAAAAAATCCAATATTTTATTAGACAAACCCGAAGAGAGATCATTTCGCCCAATCTTTCAAGTTGCATTTAACACCTGACTTTCGATAGCACAAAGAGCTCTCAATTTCTCCAAAAAAAAACCACGAGACAGAAAATGGCATATGGTAGGCATCTGGTGTTTGCAGACTCAGCGTGGCCACGCCTCCTGCATTTATTATTTTTTTTCTCGATTTTTGAAAATTTAAATTGAAATTTGTATCGATTTTGAATTGAAAATGAAAAATCACAAACAATTATGGTTTTCAGATGAAATCACGCGATGTTTTGAGTAGTAAACAACGCCGTTTAACATATTTCACACAATGTGGAGCTTGTAAATGTCCCGGATTTCAACCGGTTGTGGAAAAAGAGAAGAAGAGAGCGGTTTCGACACATGAATTGGATACTTTTAAAGATTCACGGAATCTACAACACGATTTGGAATATTTGGAAAGTAATGAGACTATTGAATGTCAATCTTGTGGACATTCGATTTGTGAGTTTTTTTTGAAGGGCTTTTCCTTTTTTTCAAAAATTATACAATTTTTTCAGCTTCCCACGCTGAGAGACTACATTCAATGCCAAATGAAGAACTAAACCTATACAATCGAAAAATCGACGATCTTCTAAAATGTTGTCAATTAATCGTGGAAACCCCAGAAACCGAACCGCTCCAATTAAAAGTGTATTATATAACCTATCAACTTCTCATAAGTTCCCTGCGCACCAAGAAACCCACAGAATTTGTGACCTTCGAAAAGAAACCGAAACCTCAAATCGAAATGACACCGCATGCAATTGTTCGAAAATTTATTGCATCCAAATCTCCGGAAACATCGAAACAAGCGATTGGAACATCTTTTCTATCAGAGCTGAATTTTTGGAATTTACCGGAATATAATGTGTATTGTGAGACAACGAATGAGCACGTTGAACCGGGAAGATATTGTATTATTTATTCGCATATCGAGTTTTATGTGTCGATTCCTTCGAAATTCAAAACATTGAAACAATATCAAACAGTTGAAATTGCTGATGAAAAATTCATTTTGCTATTTTTAAATTTCTTGATAAGCGCGATTCAAAAGAAGATCTACAAACCGGCGATTTTAACACAAAAACGATTTGAGGAACAACAAACTGCGCTGCTCAATTTCTCGAAGGATTTGAGAGAATTTATTTTGAATGGGGAGAATATTGAGACATCGAATCGAGTTACGAGAAGAGATTCGATAAATGAAACAAATATTGTGCTAAAATACGAGAAACGAGGGAAAACCAGTAGATTTGTGGATGATAATTTGGATCCAGAAGAGGAAGAGGAAGAAGAAGAGGAGGAGGATGAAGAGGAAAAAGAGGAGGAAGAAGAAATAAGTGAGGAAATACAAGAGGATGATGAAGAAGAAGAGGAGGAAGAGGAGGAATTGAAACCGCGTAGAAGAACACGAGAATCATCGAATCATCAAGGAACTTCTTCAAAATCGAGTGGTGAAAATGATATTGCGCTGAATCAGATCAAGGCGATTGTTGATCTTGTTAACTCGGTAAGGTTTTTTTGTGGGAGGTTGAAAATTTTGATGAAAAATTTGGGGCATTACGGTGCGATAGCATAATTCAAATTGTAGAATTTCTATTCTTGAATTCTTGCAACAGTACATTTTTTCAATGTTTTTTTTAATTGCATCAATTGAGTGATCGAATTTTTCGGGAGATAAAAATTGAGAAACATTCCTAAAGTAATAAAAGGTGAATAGCATTTTTTTGGAATTTCGAGATTTTCATGAATTTTTGAAACAGTAAATTTTTTTCTTCATAAAATTTTGATTCTGGCAATTTTTTCAAGGTTTTTTTTTTCAAAAGAAGTTTTAGTAAAGGATAATTGAGTTTTTCGGGAGCGTGAAAATCATTTATGGGTTTTTTGAAACAGTGAATATTTTCAAATGATTCGAGGTTGGAAGTTTTGATAAAAAGTTGAGAAACATTCCTAAAGTATTTAGAGGAGAATAGAATTTTTTGGAATTTCGAGATTTTCATGAATTTTTGAAACAGTAAAATTTTTCTTCATGAAATTTCAATTTTGGCATTTTTCGTTTCAATCCCTTATGGGGTGATTCAGTCGAATTAATCGACGTAAATTTGTCAATTAATTGACAAAAAATCCGAGTCTTTTAGGGCGATTAATTTCACGTTTTGTCAATTCCTCGCTTTCATTTCTTGGCAAAAAATGCGATTAATTGCATAAAAAATAGAATTTATCTGACTTATATTTTAAAACGTGACCTATATGAGTTGGAATTATCTACTAAAACTCATATTCTCTCAATTTTATTTCATTTCGAAATGAATTCAAAAAAATAAGCTGTGAATTTGGGACACGTTTCAAAAAAGAGGTCAAATAAATTCTATTTCGTATCGAAATTCATCATTTTTGAATGCAATGAATTGCAAAAAAAGATGGATTTAATCGACAAAAACGTGAAAAAATCGCACAAAAATGACTCGGATTTTCTGTCAATTAATCGTTAAAAAAACGAATTGAATCACCCCTTTATCGATTTTTTTCCGAAATTTGAAAATTTATTATAGATTCTATGAAACAGTGAATATTTTAAAATCAAAAATAATTTTAACAGATCATCAGAAGGCATTCATCAATTTATTTTTTTAGTTTTGAATTTTTCATGAATTTTTGAAACAGTATATTTCTTAGGAATATTTTTTCCGCGAAAAATTCAAATTTTATTATGATTATTATTCCAGGAACGCAACCCGGACACAAAAATCGATTCAAAATCAAAAGGCGACATCGATTCAGTATCTCTAGATGTCAGTCGCGGTCAAACCGCAATTCAAGAAGAACAAGATGGTCTCATCGAATTTCGAGTCATCGGAAATAATTTGGACCCGTTTCAAGATCGCGAAAAACTTGTGCAACTTGTTCAATTACAAACATTGTTTAGTGTACAATTGCCAAAAATGCCCAAAGAATATATTACGAGATTGGTTTTTGATGAGAGACACAAGAATATGGTGCTATTGAAGAGAGGTGGGAGAATTTTTTTGGAATTTTTCGTCAAACCCGAAAATTCACTGTTTCAAAAATATAGCAAATAATTTTGCGAAAATTTGAGTTTTTGATTATTGTTTCTTTTATATATTCAACTCAAATATTTGCAGACAAAGGTGTAATTGGTGGAATTTGTTTCCGTCCATTTCCAACTCGCGGATTTGTCGAAATCGTATTTTGTGCAATCACAGCAAATGAACAAGTCAAAGGATATGGAACACATTTGATGAATCATTGTAAAGATTATCAATTGCAGAATAAAATTATGCATTTATTGACATTTGCTGATGAATTTGCTATTGGATATTTTACGTGGGTTTTTTGGGGGGAGGATTTTGGAAATTTCAGTAGATCTAAAAAATTTAGAATCTGATTTTATTGAATTTTGAAATTTAGTTCATGTTTGTTACTGGAGCGGATCTGCTTCATGTTACCAAAAAAAATTGTGACAAACATCCACGTGGAAATTCAGTCTTTAAAAATCGACTGTTCAATGGAGCGCATTTGAATATTCTATTGAAATTTTCAACTGAAATCTTGAATTTTTATTCAAGACTTCTATTGTCACTGGAGTTCACGTGGAAAAATTGATATTTCAGTAGAGCGCATTTGAATATTATGTTCAAATTATGTTTCAAAACGCATTTTTGTTACTGGAGCGCACTTTCTGTAATTTACAATTTTAAAAAATACAGCGATAAAATCCACGTGGAACATTTTTTTGAAAAAAAAATCTGATAATCGATATTTCAGTGGAGCTTAGATGAATTTTCTGTTCAAATTTTGATTCAAAATTTCTCATTGTCTTTAGAGCGCATTTGCTTTATTTCTCCAAAAAAATTGCGCTAAAAATCCACGTGGAAAAATCGATTGTTCAATAGAGCGCAGCTGAATTTTCTGTTCAAAAACCCCGCATTTTTTTCCAGCAAGCAAGGATTCTCGAAAAACCTCGAAATCAATCGAGCACAATATCAAGGATTCATCAAAGATTACGAAGGAGCAACACTTATGGGATGCCAACTACATCCACAGTATGATTTTTTTTCCTGAAATTTTAAATTTTAAATTTAAAAAAATTCAATCATTTTTTTTCTAGAATAAACTACACAAAATTTGCGACTTATTCGAAAAATGTGCGAGATATTCATCGTGCATACTGTAATGTGGCTGAAATTTCCAACCTTGGTCGAAAATATGGAGGATTGGAACATGTTTTTAGACAGCGTATGCTTTTTTTTCATTCTGAAGAAAATTTAATTCAAGCTAACGTAAAATCTTCTAGACACCCTCCCACTTTCGCCCAAATTCATCCCGGGACTCGAAAAATTGCGAGCGAAAAAATATTGTGAAGCCGGAGAACTTGATGATGAATTGGATTATAAAATCAATTTGATATTGAAGAAATTGCGAGAAGACAAATCGGCTTGGCCATTTTTGGAGCCTGTGAATGCACAAGAAGTTCCCGAATATTATGATTTTATTAAAAATCCGATTGATTTGAAAACGATTTCAGAAAGATTGAGAAAGAAGTATTATAAACATGTGAGTTCACAGATTCTCCAGGTTTTCAGATATGAAATTTATTCTGGGGCGTCCAAAAATCAAAAAATGAAAATTTCACACCTGTCCAATTTCTTTTCAAACTAAATTTTTTTATTCAAAGTTGTATTATAATGATCAGAAGTCAGTTAGCTACGAGTTTATCATATTTTTTATCAAAATTGGACAGGCAAAAACACAAATTGGACAGCTGTGAAAATTTCATTTTTTGATTTTTGGACGCCCCATTCTGGAAAATTTGAACGTTCAAGTATCGATTGGAAATTCTGAAACAGTGATTCTTTAGAGACATTCAATTTTTCAAAATTAAATACCAGCAATTTTCATCAGCGAATCTACAAAAATTCTGAGCATTTTTATAAACTTTAATTTTGAAACAGCAAGTTTTTTGAGAAATTTTCCCGTTATTTTTTGAAAATTAATTTGTTTTTGTAAAAACGGTTCTTGCTAACAGTGTATGGGGAACAGATTTTACTCGAAAATTTTGGATAAGGAGGCATTGAAAAACTGCATACTGTAAGTGTAATACTCAATGTCAGTTTTGTTGAACAAAAATATTTTTCAGATAAATAGTTCGAATTTTTCGCATGAAAATTTCGATTTTGAACTCGAAAATTCGATAATCAACATGCAGATTTCAATACAGGTTCTAATTTACCTATTGAATAAATATACCAATAAATTCCAGTTTCAATTGATAACCGAATTATTGTTCCACTCGTGGTATCACCGATCAAGTCAAATTCTTGAAACGTATATTTTTTCGGAAATTTTCAATATTAAAAAATTGTTTCCCCCAAGCCCCAAGCTTCATCCAAGTATTATAAAAGTAAAAAAATTTGGCAAAAAAAGAGAAGCCAGAAATTCAAATCCCAATTTCCCCAAGTACGGTATTTCTCTGCGTCACTAACACCGTTTCGAGACCACACCATTGGGCAGAGAAACAAAGTCAAAGACGCACATATGGGTCTCGCAGCGACTGAAAGAAACACCGTACTTGGGAAGAGTGTCATTTGAATTTCTGGGCTCCGTTTTTTTGCCAAATTTTTTTATTTTGATAATATCTATCTATTCTTATTTTTCAGCAACATTTATTCATCGCTGATTTGATGCGAATGTTCTCAAATTGTTATCGTTTCAACGGACCGGAGACAATTTATTACAGTTGCGGGCAAGTTTTTTTTTGTGTAACTTTTGAAAATGATCCATCTATTTTTTTGCAGATATAAATTGAATGAAGTCGGCTACAAATTGATCAAAGCGCATTTTCCGGACAGTTCGATGTTTCCCGATTTGCCCGACAAAAAACCCGATTATCAAGGATAAGATCTCGAAAAATGTATAAAATCTTATTTATTTTTAATCAAGATACCAGTACTTATATACAACAACATTTCAAAATTTCAAAAAAAAACTAGACAGAAATCAAATGACATAAATAACAAGTTTTTGCGCAATCACGTGTCATTGTAGTTATCGAATCTCGACACAAATTTGGTGAATTTTTGAGCCAAAATGAGCAACCGGATAGTTTATCGAAGCAGAGTTGTTGACGTGCACGGTGTGTTTCTACCTCTTGGTCTGCAAAAAAAATTAAAGAAGTTTTTGGAATAGAAGATTTCTATAGACATGCAAAGCCTAGAAACTAATGTTTCTAGATTTCTAGTTTTATTTTTTTTTAACGGAAACTTTGGTCGTTTGTCCGCTGATAAAAAATCGAGGTCGACGTGGATGTTGAACATTTCCAACATTGAGCTGGAATTTGTTTCTAAAGTGAGTTAATTCAATGATTCAATGGAAGAAAAAATTGACTTACAGAGATGAAAGAACGTCGAAGAAACCAGTTAAATTAATAACCACATTATTTTATTAGAATTCTGGTTTAAATTCACTGAAACGTAGATTCTCCAGGTTTTCAGAAATGAAATTAATTCTGGAAAATTTGAAAAAAAAAGTTTGAGAATTAAAAAGTTTTGAGAAAAAAAGTTGAGAATTCGGGTTGAGCCCAAATTAACAAGTTTTGGCTGAAAAAACTCTTTGATAACGATCTAAGAAATTGTTTCTTCTATCAATAACACATGCATCATATTGTCGAATTTTGCGTCGTTTTTCCTCCTCACTTTTCACCTTTATAATACCATAATCAAATTGTGGAATTTTCCGGATATGATCAAATAAGTCTCATGGCAATTCCAAATCATTATACAATTTTTCTTTTCTCATCTGAAAAACTGGCGATTTTTCTTTTTTGAGTGAAAATTATTTTTAAAAAAGCTCAAAAATTGAATGAAAAAAATAAATAATGACCCCGTTAACTGATCACGTGAAAATGTGGAATCAAAAAAACACTATTTCTATTTTTAACCAATAGACAAATGGCATCGAATGAAGTATTGAGCAAGAAAATTTTGGGAAGGAGGCATTGAAAAACGTATTTTTTCCGGGTTGAAAAATATGAAAAATAGAGATTTATTTTGAATATTAAAGGACGAGTTGTCCATGAATCGGATTTACTAGAAACCTTGAAAAAGTCACAAAATGTGACGGTTTATTCGAATAACTCTTTTTTTCCCATTAAAAAATTGGCAATCATTTTTTTCAGCCTGACGGAAATTGGACCGATTCTCATCAGGAAGATGCATTCAAATTTAAAGTTTTGGCTAGTATAGCAAACATGACCGAAAAATCTGGATATCTGAATGTTTTGCAAAATCCTTTTGCAATTCGCAATCATCTTCAAATAGTGAAAATTATGGAAAATAATGGCTGGTTAGTTTCAAGTTTTGAAAAAAAATGTACAGGAAGAACTCAAATCTACAATTTTTCCTTGAAAATTTCAATTCTTCTTCTACATATATCAAATTTTCTCCAACACTGTTTCTAACTATGAAATTTCTAAATCCAGTTCTTTTTCAGGTTCATATTAACTTGCTACGAAAAACAAATAATACTCGAACATTTTGGAGAAGGAGGAATTGAAAAACGTATTTTTTTCGGGTTGAAATATATGAAAAATTGATACTTATTTTGAATATAGAAGGACGAGTTGTTCATGAATCGGATTTACTAGATTCTACTTTCTCGTCTTCTGGTATCACACCATCAAACATTTCACTGCATACTGTAAGTGTAATACTCAATTTTATTGAACAAAAATGTTTTTCAGATAAATAGTTCGTATTTTTCGCATGAATCGATCGATTTTGAACTCGAAAATCCGATAATCAACATGCAGATTTCTATACAGGAATTAGTTTTATCCAAAACAACGAGAAAATGCGAAAGTACATTTTTTGAAGATTTGAGTGAAATAATTGGAAGTTATGGAGAAACGCTGAAAAATGAAAAAGAAAGTGAGTTCATAAATAATTCAACGGACCGAATAGAGGGGATTTTTTCTAATTTACCATTTTAATAAATATTCCAATAAATTACAGTTTCAATTGATCACTGAATTAAAAAAAACGAGTCCATGCCGAAAAGCCGGGTTATGATTTCAAAAATGTGAAGGAATTAAATTATCCAAATTAATTGGCTCAAAATTGCTCAAAGGCTTGACTCATGCGGTAATTTTCATTAGCGAATATCTACGTGATGGCGAAAATTATTTTTTTTTGGAGAACAAAAATTTTACAATAAAAGATATGGGAAAAATTCGGACGCTGTTATACTGTTCAGAACCAACGGCAATGAATGAATTGGAAGAATTCAAATTCTTGAAACGTATTTTTTCCCGAGAAAATAATTTTTTTCGGAAATTTTCTATTTTCAAAAAATTGTTTCCCCCAAGCCCCAAGCTTCATCCAAAGAGACAATTTATTACAGTTGCGGGCAAGTTTTTTTTCTGTGTAACTTTTGAAAATCATCCATCTTTTGAGTGTTCTTTTATCTAACAAGTTTTTCCATTTTTTGCAGATATGAATTGAATGAAGTCGGCTACAAATTGGTCAAAGCGCATTTTCCGGACAGTTCGATGTTTCCCGATTTGCCCGACAAAAAACCCGATTATCAAGGATAAGATCTCGAAAAATTTAAAAAATCTTATTTATTTCAAATGAGCCCAAATAAACAAGTCTTGGCTTATAAAAGAAAATAAAGTTGAGAATTCTGGTTGAGCCCAAATTAACAAGTCCCAAAAGCTGTCTATGAACCAAATTTTATCGAGGTTTCAAGTGTTGAGTAAAAAATGTTCAGTTTGTTGTTCAGCAGTTTGAAATTTTGACTATAATCTTTCCAGTTCTAAAATTGGTTTATTTTCAAATACTTTAGATCGTTTTGGGGATTTTCAAAAATTAATGCGGTTTGGGGCCACTTGACATAATCAAAATTGATATTTCAGATTCCGATGAACTTGTATTGAACAGTTCGTTGAAATGTATGAAAACTTGATATTTATTTTGAATATTGAAGGAAGAGTTGTCCATGAATCGGATTTACTAACTATAAAGAATTTTCAAGTCAAATTCTTGAAACGTATTTTTTTCGGAAATTTTCAATTAAAAAAAGTTGTTTTCCCCTAAGCCTTCATCCAAATTCTCAGTTGCGGGCAAGTTTTTTTTGTGTAACTTTTGAAAATCATCCATCTATTTTTTTGCAGATATAAATTGAATGAAGTCGGCTACAAATTGGTCAAAGCGCATTTTCCGGACAGTTCGATGTTTCCCGATTTGCCCGACAAAAAACCCGATTATCAAGGATAAGATCTCGAAAAATTTATAAAATCTTATTTATTTCAAATCAAGATACCAGTACTTATATACAACAAAATTTCAAAAAATCTAGACAGAAATCAAATGACATAAATTACAAGTTTTTGCGCAATCACGTGTCATTGTAGTTATCGAATCTCGACACAAATTTGGTGAATTTTTGAGCCAAAATGAGCAACCGGATAGTTTATCGAAGCAGAGTTGTTGACGTGCACGGTGTGTTTCTACCTCTTGGTCTGCAAAAAAATTTAAAGACATTTTTGGAATAGAAGATTTCTATGGACATGCAAAGCCTAGCAATTAATGTTTCTAGATTTCTAGGTTATAGAGATTTACGGAAAGTTTAGCCGTTTGTCCGCTGATAAAAAATCGTGGTCGACGTGGATGTTGAACACGCGATGAGATCAATCTTGATGTGCGATTTTCTGGGAGGATATTTGGGGATTTTTGAGGGATCAAAGATCTTTTTCACGAAACAGTGGATGTTTTTGAGGTTAAAAATATCACTAATTTTTGAAACAGTGGATTTTTTGAACTGGGATTCTTCTGATTACGAAACAAGAGATAATCAGTCAAATTTAAAAAAAATTAATGCAATTTTTGAAACAGTAATTTTTTGGGAAATTTTCGAGACTACAGAAATTTTTATTTTGTTGACTTTGAAAAAAGCAATACGATCATTTACATAGTTTTGAAAATTTTCATATTATTTTTCTGAAACAGTGGATTTTTTAAAATCCAGAGCATAAATATATCCTTTTAAAATATTTTGAATAATTAATTTTTACTGAAAATTACTCAAAAAATCCTTTTGAACAATCTGAAACAGTGAATTCTTACTCACTCAAAATTTATATAAATTTTCTTGAAAATCTCATAAATTTCTCTGAAATCTCGTTCCCACCCTCCTGGAAATCCCAACTAACTTCTCGAATGTTTCCACTGACTCGAAACCTCATCCAAAACCACACCAACTCCAGCCCAAGTCTCTTTTGCCGTCGGAATCAATTGATTTTTGTCCAAAACAAACCCGTTCCATTCTACAAAAACAAATATTCTTTTGAAAATAATTTTGTTGCTAATTGAAAAAAACTAATTATATAAAATCTAAATGACCTATAATACCTTCATAACCCGGTCGCAATTCGATTGTATAAGAATATTTGATTTTCAGAGTTTCTTTCGCCCAATCTGTTGAACCGCCCGAGAATGCGTCTGGAAAAAAATATTTTTGGGGATTTTCGAAAAAAAAAAGTTTGTTCCGGGTGAGTAGAAAAGTAAAAATCATCATTTTTTGTTATTTTAAAAAACTAGACATAAAATTTTTATTTTTGAAACAGCGAATTTTTAAAGATGAAATTAACATAGGAATTATCATTTTCAAAACTTTCGATAAATTTTGTATGTTTCCTGTGAAACAGTAGGGTTTTTGAACAATTTTTTTGACAAACGATTTTCTTTTCATAAAACTTTGAAACAGTAAATTTTTTCAAAAACAAAAAAAACTCACAAATTATTTCAGGTCCAGTTCCATGTCGATATTTTGTTCCGTACATTCTTCCCAATTCTTGAACAGCTTTTGCAGCAACTCGGCGCTGCAAAATTCAAATTTTGAGAAATTTCTAGGCTTTAAAAATTCTGAACAATGTTTGGCCAAAAATAAATGTTTTCTAAAAAAAAACTAGAAAATTGAAAATTTTAAAATCCCCCTGAAATTACATTTCGAAAAAAAAATGCCTGAAGCTTCCCCCAGACTTCAACCTACAGTATCGTCAATATCCGGAGCATAAGTAAACTTTCTATGAGAATACGAATAAATCCAAAGTTGCGAATAAGAATGCAAAGTGATATAAGCTTCGAGTCGCCCTTTTAAACTTGTCAGAAATTGCGAATATGCTCTGAAATATTTTTTTCAAATTTTTTTTCAAAAACCAAAAATAAAAAAAAAAATACTTGGTCTCTGGCTCGCTGAACGCTGAACTTCCGTGATAAATCTCCGAACATGGATATCTGGATGATCCGATTTCGGCAAAGCGGAAATCGAAATTTCGATTTAGGTCAACTCCTTGACAGCAAGAATTTCTGATTCCATCAAAGGCGCATTGTCTGGCGGAGCGGGATTTACGCCACATTCTGGCCTGAAATTAGAATTTGCAAAAATCTTCAAAAATCCATAAGTAATGTCAAATTCTAGCCTGAAATTAAAATTCAAAAATTTCAAAATTTCACAAACCCTTGGATTAGTTTTGTCAGTTCTCGTATATTCATATCCATCCGGATTCAAAACTGGAATTATATAAATCACCAGATTTTTGAGATAATCTTGAATTTGTGGATCGGTTTCGCGTGAGTTGACCATCTGCAAAAAAAATCATTTTTTCACTGTTTCAAAAATGTATGAAGATTTGGGGGATTTTTTGAGGGACTAATTGACAATTCGAATTAATTAATTCACAAAAAGGATTGAATATTTTTTGAAAAAAATTCACTGTTTCGAAATTTATTTTTTGAAAAATCGAAAGAAACATTTTTTGGTGATTTTAAAGTAGAAGATCGTGAAAAAATTCAAAAATTTACTGTTTCAAAATTTATTTTTCAAGAGTTTCTAAGTTCTGATAACATTGAACTATTATAATATTTGAAAAAAAAATTCACTGTTTCAAAAATGTATGAAGATTTAGGGGATTTTGAGGAACTTATCAAGTTTCTGGTGATTGGTGATTATTTTCGAGAAACATTTGCTGTTTCGAAATTTATTTTTAAAAATTGAAATAAAAAATTCGGTCACTAAAAATTGTTGTAGCTTAAAAAAAATTCAAAATTTCACTGTTTCAATATTTACTGAAAAATAATTGAAAGCTTTTAACAATATTACCAACATGCTTACAATAAGAATTAGAATCTATATAAAGAAAATTCTGCTGTTTCAAAAAAATCCCCACCAAATTAATAAAATAAGTGGCCGTATGAATAGCAGCCCATTCTCTCGAATGAATTCCAGCATCAATCACAACAATCTTCTTCTCCGGCGAATCTTTTCCAAATTTCAATCCCACAATTTTCCGTCCCTCAATACTTGTTCCAACTTCAATTAGCTCTGCAATATCCGGAAGACTCTCCGCAATTCTCTCGAGCCACGTCGAAATGACAGAATATGAATAATATTCGCCCATTCGGAGGCGAGAATGGAATCCACCATTTATATCATCGTTCAATCGCTGGTTCAGAAATGACGAGTCATTTGAGGCGTGAATTGCAAGATTTCCCTCTTTTTCGATTAAAAGTCTGCAAAAATTGGGGGAAATTTTTTGGGAGATGATTTGTGACGTGGCAAAAATTTTATTATTATTTTTTTCTAAAAATTGTGTAGTTCCCAAGAAAACTATGGCATTTTTGCCTACAGTAGTCTTGAGTTATTTAAAGGAACATATGTATGAGTTACAGTAACCATAGCTTGAAGGAACATAGGTGTAACCTTAGTTTAAAGGAAAAAGGAGTACTGTAGCTGCATAAGCTGGGGTACCGTACTATTGAGTTCTTTAAAGGAACATAGGGATAATCTACAGTAATCACAGTACTTTAAAGGAACAGAGGTATTCAGAGTACTGTAGCTGTAGTCTACAGTATTCTACTCAATTTTCAAAGGGACATAATCTGTGAAACCTCATTTTTCGTTAATTTTCAAAGTTAGATTCGAACTACAGTAATCCAGATCAAATTTAAAGAAACATACAGGTTTGATCTACTCTTACAGAGCTCGCAATGGGATTTACGTATTACAATTAAAGGAACATAGCTATATCATACAGTAATATATTCTACAGTACCCTTCCCCCTTCCTTTCCCTCTCAAAAAAACCAACTTTTTCAAATCCTCAATAGCAACTTGATAAGTATACTCATGTTTATCCAAATATTTCCTAAATTCACTCGTATGCTCCGGCGCAACCATCACATCTACAGTACCATTTACAGTACTTGGCGCGTGCCAAAAATCAGCTCGATCTGTATCGGCATTTTCAAAGAGTTGAATCATTTGTAGAAGTTGTTTATTATTTGTGGGCAGAATTCGAAATACTTGATATGCACTGGAAAAATAAAAATAAAAATGGAGAGATTTTTGAAAATTTGAAATTAATTTACTTACCCATTGCTATCGCAAACAATTGAATTGATAATTGAAAATAGGATAAAAACCCGTAAAATCATCTGAAAATTTGAGTTTTGTCCTTGAAACAGCAGAAATTATCTTTAAAAAAAACCGAATTTCGATCATTAGAAAAAAATTATCTCAGATTTTCGGAATTTTTTGAAACGTAGAATATGTGGCATTTTTTGAAGATTGGATTCTAGGAAAATTAATGTCGGAATTTTCAATAAATTATATTTCTGAAATTTTTGAAACAGTAAAAACATCTGAGGAAATTTATAATGTGTTATCAACAAATTATCTTAAAATTAAATAATATATTTTTTTCAAAATTTTAATCAAACTATAAAATGATCCAAAAAAAATTGAGAACTCGTTTTTTCCAAATTAAAAATTAAAACACTGCAAAAACTTGAAAAATTCAGAAATTTTAATTTTCGAAATGAAAAAACCTGAGTTATCAATTTCAAAACCCAATCTCAATATTCCAAATATTTTTGAAACAGTGAAAAATTATTTTTTAAATATCAAAACTTTTTTTTCAAATTCAATTAGAACAATTCTTGAAGCATTAAATTTTCCCCAACTTTTAATCAAATTAAAAATGATCCAAAAAATTTTGAGAACTCGTTTTTTTGCCAAAAAGTGTAAATTTAAATTGTAAAAAAAAACAAAAAAAGTACATCAAGATTAAAACCTGACTGTCTTTCAATTCAAAAAGTTCTTCAAAAAAAAATCTATAGAAAACCCAATGGCTTTCTGAAAGATAAAAATGATTAGTTTCACCTTGAAAAATGTTCGGTTGGCAGAAAAAAAAGTGGGGGAGAAGAAGATTAAAAGTGTAAAAAGACAGGTATCTCCATTTTCTGCCTTCTAAAAAAAAGAAGAAGCATATTGTAATGACTTCCCCCTAACCAGTTTGGCTATTCAAAAAACGAATTTCAGAGGAACAAAGGCGAGAAATTGAAAAATAAAAATTCGAGATGAAATTGAAAGTGACGATATCAAATTATTAAAAATTATTTTACAGAGAAAATAAATAAATTAGTACAAATATTTTTTTTTACATAAATTATTCATCGGCAATTCTAAGGGTTTCTTCAGGACTTTCTGGTCCATTATCATCATTTCGATCATTGTTTCCTCCTCCACTTGGATTATTTCGATGATAAGACGAGGAAGATGATGATGAATGATTTGATGAAGAACTGCAAATAATACTTGATTGGCTGGAAAATTTGAGGTTCAAGCTGGAATTTTGTTTTTTTTTTGGCTGAAAATTGAGGATTTTATTGAAAAATCTAAATATTTGCAGAAACATTTTTGTTGGAATTTCAGCTTAAATTTGAGCTTTTGCAGCTGAAAAACAAGAAGAACACAAAGTAGAACAATCTTCGAAGAAAATCTATCTTTTCAGTAGAACTTGTTCGTACTTTATGTTATATTTTAACATGGAGAAATGGAAGAAGAAAAAAAGTATTGCCACGTGATATGAGAATTATAGAACAGAATGTGATCTTTGAAGTTATTCAATTTTTTCTAGGGGAAAAACTTACTGTTTCAAGAATTGTAAGTATTTGAATTCAAAAACGCTGAGTTAATTGGGCTCTCGGCATTTTTAATTCGCTACTTTTTCTTTACATATCATTAGAAATAAATCTATTTTTGATATAAATATTTTTTGAAACAGTAAATTTTTAGAATGAAAAAACTAATTTGGTTATTTTGAAACACTCCAATATTCTTCGAAAATTGTCAGGAAATCAGAAAAATCCAGCAGCCTTTTGACTTATTTTGAAATTATTGAAAATAAATATATTTTTGATATAAATGTTTTTTTTTTTTTTGAAACAGTAAATTTTTAGAATGGGAAAAATCTTCTAGAAATTGTAATTGTCAGGTAATTTTTTACTTAAACTTTTGTTCTGAAAATCATTTCATGGAAAATTTCAAGCTTTTCCAGCAATGTTTGAAACAGGAAATTTTGAAATTCAAAATTAAAACCTTTTTGAAGCTGAAATTGTATTCCTGAATAACTGTTAGTTAATTTCACTTTTTTTTCAATTCTGATAACATTTCCATGGAAAATCATTAATTTTTCCAACACTTTCTGAAACACTAAAATTTTGCATCATCGCACACAAATCTATTTTTGATATAAATATTTTTTGAAACAGTAAATTTTTAGAATGGAAAAAAATCATCTAGAAATTGTAATTGTTAAATACATCGTTTTGAATAATTAAACTTTCATTCTGAAAATCATTTTAAGAAAATTTCCTAGTTTTTCCAACACTTTTTGAAACAGTAAATTTTTAAAACCAAAATTAAAACCGTTTTGAAGCTAAAATTAAATTTAAAAACTGTGAGACTATTTAAACTTTTTTTTCAATTCTGATAACATTTCCATGAAAATTCAACAACTTTTCCATCATCATCATCGAAAATAAATCTATTTGTACAAATCACGTGATATAAATATTTTTTTCTTGAAACAGTGAATTTTCAAAATGAAAAAAAAACCTTTTTTAAAGATAACTAGAAGTTGTGAGTGTCCGGTAATCTTTTAAATACATCGTTTTATTGACTTAAACCTTCATTCTAAAAACATTCCATGGAAATTTACCAACTTTTTCAAAACTTCTTGGAACAGTAAATTTTTAAAACCAAAATTGAACCTCTTTTGGAGCTAAAATTATATTTTTTAAAAACTGTGAGACCATTTAAACTTTTTTTTCAATTCTGATAACATTTCATGAAAATTTATCAGCTTTTCCATCATCATTATCAAAAATAAGCCTTTTGACTTATTTTGAAATTATTGAAAATAAATATATTTTTGATATAAATGTTTTTTTTTTAAACAGTAAATTTTTAGAATGGGAAAAATCTTCTAGAAATTGTAATTGTCAGGTAATTTTTTACTTAAACTTTTGTTCTGAAAATCATTTTAAGAAAATTCATCAACTTTTCCAACAATTTTTGAAACAGTAAATTTTAAAACCAAAATTGAACCTTTTTTAGAGATAATTATTCAGGAAACTGTCAAATTATTCCACCTCATTCTTGGTTTCATTAAAATTTCCCAGTTTTTTCAGCAATTTTTGAAACAGTGAACTTTTGATATGGAACAAAAGTAATTTTATTTTTTTTATAAACAAGGATAAACAAATTCTGAAACATTCCATGGAAATTTACCAACTTTTTGAAACAGTAAATTTTCAAAACTTTTCGAAAAAAATTGTAAAAATTGGAGGTAATCTTTTCAACTTTTTCTCAATCCCCAAACTAAAAACTCACTGATATCCCGGTCCTCCACCACCGCCACTACTACTAATCTCTCTAGCCAACGGCGGTCTAACCCATTGTCCCGACGCATACGGATCTCTTCCCGGCGGAATTCCTTGCGCATAACTCGCCACCGTCTTCTGATTATTATAATATCCCGTGTTGTTGCCCGGCGGCCCGTTATATCTCGGGTTCTGATTGCCACCCGGATACATGCCACGTGGCAAGGGTGGCGGTTGCTTTCGACCTTGATTTCTTGAAGAGGAAGAGGATGATGATGAAGAACTTGTGGAGGAAGATGAGGGAAGTGGTTGAGGTTGCGGTGGGAGCAGCGATTTCTTCCTGGAAGATGAAGAAGAGCCAAAATGCTCCGTAGAATCTTTTCTTGATATCGGAGCTGGTTCCTTCTCCTTCTCTTTTTCCTTCTCCTTTTCTTTCTCTTTCTCTTTTTCCTCCTCTTTCCCATCAGATTCCTTTTTCGGTATCCGGAAATTCCTCAAACTCAGTGTCGGCATAATATTCACAGCCGCAGCCACCGCTTCAGTCTTCAACTTCTTCTCCTTCGGCTCTTTTTTGCTTTTCCCTTCTCCACTCTCATTTTTCCGCTTTTTATTACTTGGCTCCTTGATTTTCTCCACTTTCTCCGCTTTTTCCTTCTTCTTCTTCTCTTGTTTTTCCAATTTCGGCATTCCCGAATTTTTCGAGATTGGTGGCGATGGTTTTTGCAGCTGATGTTGCTGTTTCAGGAGCTGTTGATCTACAGATGGAGAGTTTCGCGAGATTTTCGGGATTTTTAGCACCATTTTGGTGTCCGTTGAAACAGTGATTTTGCTGCTGACATCTTCCGGTTCGGTTTTTGGAACCAGTAATTCATTGGGTTTTGTTGGAGCTGAAGTTGAAGCTGAAGCTGAAGTTGTTGGTGGAGATGAAGATAATCCATCATCGAAGATATCGCTGAGAGCGCTGGAAAAATGGGATATTTTTTGGAAAGGTAAAAATAGTATCAAATTTTTCACTGTTTCAGAATTTCAAAATAATAATTTCAACTTAATTTTTAGCGTTAATATATGGGGAGAAATTTGAAAACAATTCAAACAAAAGTAATTTTTACTTTTTTTTTCAAAATGTTTCACTGTTTCAAATTTTCGTGATAATAAATTTTAACGTGCGGGAAACTATGTCGAAATAAATATATAAATTCCGAATTTAACTTCTAATTATAATTTGCAACCTAATTTAGAAAAATCTTGCTTTTGACATCAAAAAATTCAAGTGAATTTCGGTTTGAAAACTTTTTCAACATCATAAATTTTTCACTGTTTCAAAATTCCAATATCCAAGTTTAGTTTTTTGTGTTGCTGGTAATTCCGAAATTGGTTATATTTTGAATTTTTTTTCGTAATTCTAATATTTTTTTCACTGTTTCAAAATCTCATGATAATAAATTTTAAGTGAAAGGGGTAATCCCAGGTGAATTCTAATCAAAAATTCAAAAAAAAACTTCACTGTTTCAAATTCTCAAGAAAATAATTGATAAAGTTGATTTATTTAGTTTTTTTTGTGCTTCGGTGGAAAAAAGTTAGATTTCTCACTGTTTCAAAGAAAAATTCCAAAAATAACCAACCTAACTCTATTCGGTGTCCCTTGCTGTATTTGTTGTTGTTGATTATCCTGTTGTCCCAATTTCACTTCCTGATCTTTCACCAATTTCGAAATCATCGCTTCCAATCCCTTCTTTTTCTGAACAATCGCTGGTTTCTCCTCAACATTCTTTTGTTGCTCATTTTGCTGCTTGCTCAATTGCTCCAATCGCTGTTTTTCCGCAGCTTCCCACAATTTCCGCTCCTGCTCTTCTCTCATTTGCTGTTTTAACAGTTTGAGATCAGGCTTTATATCTTGATGTGCAGGTGAATCGGAGCCCATTCTTGGTGTGAGCATTTTGCTGTGTGGCGGTGGTGGTGGATCACATTCGTCATCTGATTCCTCTTCTCCATAATTGACATTTGGTGAAACGAGGTGTTGTGGAGTGGCTGCGCCGGCTGCAAAAAAATGATTTGCATTGAAAAAATACGTTTCAAATTTCTTAAAATTACGGAAAAAATGAAAGTTTTAAAGCTTTTCGGAAAAGAATTGAAGTTGGAAGTTCAGTGAAAATTAAAATATTGATTAAAGTTTCTAAATGTGATTCTGAAAGTTCAAAATCTTAAATTTTTTGTCTTGAAAAAATACGTTTCAAAAAATTGGTTCCCTTTTCTTTTCTTTCTAAAAAATAAAATGAAAATTACTATTTAAAATTATGAATAAAAAACCAAAAACTGTTTGAAATCAAAAATGAGTAGAGCATTTGTTTCTTGTACAAAATTCGGCGCTCAAAAATTTTTGTCTGGTAAGAAAAAATAAATTTCAAAATTTTCATGTCTACGAAACGACAATCGGAAATAAATGGCATTGAATTTTTTAAACAAAAATTTTGAAGCGTATATTTTTCTGGACAATTATTTCTTTTTTTTAAACTGTTTCTTGAGTACTAGGCTCTCAAAGTGCTGATCCTTGACAATTAGTATCTCTAGGCACCGCTACTTAAGAACAAGGCTCTCTAGGGATAACTGCTTGACAACTAGAATATCTAGGCACTGACCCTTGACATAGAAGCTCTCAAGGGCCGGCTTCTTGAGTACTAGGCTCCCAAGGCACTGATCCTTGGAAATTAGTATTTCTAGGCGCGACCACTTGACAGCTAGGATACCTAGGCGTGGCTACTAGACATTTCAAGTCTCTAAGCACTGATCCTTGACCCCCCCCCCCCAAAAAACCCACGAAAATCGCTAAACGACCGCTGCAACAACATCGGCTTCTGCTCATTCGCCAAAAACGCAGCAGCTCCAGCTCCAACTTCCGAACTCTTGCGACTCATAGACGAGTTCGCTCCTCCCCTCGATCTTCTCGCCAACGCGCCTCTCACACTTCCAGCTGAATGTGTGGCGGATGAGTTCGGTGACAACAATCCTTCGCGATCTCCAGTATTGCCAGGTTTTCTCGTTCGTGGTCGTCGCGTCTTCGGTTGTCCTCTTCCTCCAGAATTTCCGGCTCCAGCAGAAGGTGGACCAGTAAAACTCGAACTCGGCGATGATAATTGACTATTCGGACTTCCATATGATAATAAATCATCAGGAAAATCGAAAATATCCCTGGCATTTCCAGCAGAATTTGGTGTATGATTAGCTAAGGCGACCGCAGTTGCAGCACCCATTGATTGTTTCATTTGAAGGCGCGCAGTTTCCAGTGGACTCATTGCTGAATTCATGTTCATATTCATATTCATGCTCATATTCATATTCATTCCCATATTCATACTCGAATTCGATGATAATTGTGATCTCATTAGCGGACTATCCATCCCGGTGATTATTTTCGGTGTTCGACTCATCATATTATCATCTAAATCGGCTTCGGCCAACATTCGAATTCGTTCCAAATCCGAGAACACATTCGAGTTCGTCGAGTCGAATCGTTTGGCTCGCGGTTCGGGTTTCGGTTGCGGTTTGAGGGTCTCGTCGACTTCGGCGAACATTGCCAATAGTCCGCCGCGTAATTGATTGTCTTTCTGGCGACTGTATTTGGGCAGTTTGGCGGGTTTTGTTGGAGGAGCTGTGATTGTGGTTGTGATGGTGGTGGCGGGAGTTGTGGCTGGAAATTTGGGGAATATTTTTGGAGGGAACTTTTATTTTGACCAATTTGGGAAACTATAATTTAGGCTTCAAAAAATCGGAAAATATCTAGGATTATTTGTACTCAAAAAAGCATATACGAAAAAAATTGAATTTAAGCATTGCTCAGCTTACAATTTTTCTTTTTGAAAAAATTAAAATGAGCAATGCCTAGAGTTTATGAAACATGATAATTTGAGTATTGCTCAGGTAAAAAATCAGAAATATCGTAAAATTTTAATATGAGCAATGCCTAGAATTAATTTTCTAAATGAAAAATTAGGCATTGCTCAGATTTTTGTAAATAAATTTTGTTTGAATTTTGAAATGAAAGTTGATTAACATGAGCAATGCCTGAAAATTATGAATTTGAGCATTGCTCAGGTTAAAGCCTGGAAAAAATTGTTAAGAAAATAGATTAACATGAGCAATGCTTAGAATTAATATTTTTAATGAAAAATGAAGCATTGCTCAGGTTATATTTTTTAAATAGATTTTTCAGAATTTCTCATTTTTTAAATCAAGATTTTCAATGTTTTATTTTAAAATTGAAGATTTTTTGTCGACTTTTCAAAATTTTCCCATCAAAAATCAAATGTTTCAAAACATTTTCAAGCAAATCTCAAATTTTCAAATCCCAAAATCATTTCAAAAATCAGAATCTGGAGGAGGCATCTTCTCAAGAACTCACATCCCATTTCATTTCTACTCACCTCCTCCTCCTTCATCTTCCGATTTTTGTAGTAGTAATACATCTTGTTCTTGTTCTTTTTGTTGTTTTTTGTCAATCAACCAAGCACGTCCAACTTTATCAAAATAATTAGAAGAAGAATTTAAACTTGTCTCCATTTTTTCGTCTTCAGTTGTTTCATCATCAGCAATTGTTTGATTGATTGAGCATTTGAATTTGGAGACGAATTGGGAAAGTGTGCACGGAATGCTCCAAGTGCTGAAAATTGTAAATTTGTGGATTTTCAGGAATCTAGAATTTCCTGAAGTTAGGAAAACTTTCTACATTTTCAGATTTTTGAGAATTACAGTTCACGATTTTGATTAAAGCTTATTTTCATAAATTCAAAAAAAGAGCGATCTATTGATTCAAAAAAAATTACGTTTGAATTTTTATAGAATCGAGGCTAACCTGAGCAATGCTCAAATTTTCCTGTGATGAAAAATTACATTTTCTAAACTAGTTTCAAATATATCACCGCCTAATTTCACAAATTTACTGATTCGTGCCGATTTCCAATGAAATTTCATTCAAAATTGATGTTTTTATATAATTCGCGCTAGAACAAGCCGCCGCTGCAAAAAAGACGCTGCGATCGCGCTGGAACAAGCTGCCGCTGCAAAAAAGACGCTGCGATCGCGCTGGAACAAGCTGCCGCTGCAAAAAAGACGCTGCGATCGCGCTGGAACAAGCTGCCGCTGCAAAAAAGACGCTGCGATCGCGCTGGAACAAGCTGCCGCTGCAAAAAAGACGCTGCGATCGCGCTGGAACAAGCTGCCGCTGCAAAAAAGACGCTGCGATCGCGCTGGAACAAGCTGCCGCTGCAAAAAGACGCTGCGATCGCGCTGGAACAAGCTGCCGCTGCAAAAAAGACGCTGCGATCGCGCTGGAACAAGCTGCCGCTGCAAAAAAGACGCTGCGATCGCGCTGGAACAAGCTGCCGCTGCAAAAAAAAGACGCTGCGATCGCGCTGGAACAAGCTGCCGCTGCAAAAAAGACGCTGCGATCGCGCTGGAACAAGCTGCCGCTGCAAAAAGACGCTGCGATCGCGCTGGAACAAGCTGCCGCTGCAAAAAAAAGACGCTGCGATCGCGCTGGAACAAGCTGCCGCTGCAAAAAAAAAGACGCTGCGATCGCGCTGGAACAAGCTGCCGCTGCAAAAAAAAGACGCTGCGATCGCGCTGGAACAAGCTGCCGCTGCAAAAAAAAGACGCTGCGATCGCGCTGGAACAAGCTGCCGCTGCAAAAAAGACGCTGCGATCGCGCTGGAACAAGCTGCCGCTGCAAAAAAGACGCTGCGATCGCGCTGGAACAAGCTGCCGCTGCAAAAAAGACGCTGCGATCGCGCTGGAACAAGCTGCCGCTGCAAAAAAGACGCTGCGATCGCGCTGGAACAAGCTGCCGCTGCAAAAAAGACGCTGCGATCGCGCTGGAACAAGCTGCCGCTGCAAAAAGACGCTGCGATCGCGCTGGAATAAGCTGCCGCTGCAAAAAAAACCACGCATGCGATCGCGCTGAAATAAGCTGCCGCTGCAAAAAAAACACGCTGCGATCGCGCTGGAATAAGCTGCCGCTGCAAAAAACACGCATGCGATCGCGCTGCAACAAGCTGCCGCTGCAAAAAAGACGCTGCGATCGCGCTGGAATAAGCTGCCGCTGCAAAAAAAAGACGCTGCGATCGCGCTGGAATAAGCTGCCGCTGCAAAAAAAACCACGCTGCGATCGCGCTGAAATAAGCTGCCGCTGCAAAAAAACACGCTGCGATCGCGCTGGAACAAGCTGCCTCTGCAAAAAAACACGCTGCGATCGCGCTGGAACAAGCTGCCGCTGCAAAAAAAAAACGCTGCGATCGCGCTGGAACAAGCTGCCGCTGCAAAAAAAAACGCTGCGATCGCGCTGGAATAAGCTGCCGCTGCAAAAAAAAGACGCTGCGATCGCGCTGGAATAAGCTGCCGCTGCAAAAAAAACCACGCATGCGATCGCGCTGAAATAAGCTGCCGCTGCAAAAAAAAACACGCTGCGATCGCGCTGGAATAAGCTGCCGCTGCAAAAAAAAACACGCATGCGATCGCGCTGCAACAAGCTGCCGCTGCAAAAAAAAACACGCTGCGATCGCGCTGGAACAAGCTGCCGCTGCAAAAAAACACGCTGCGATCGCGCTGGAATAAGCTGCCGCTGCAAAAAAACACGCTGCGATCGCGCTGGAATAAGCTGCCGCTGCAAAAAACACGCTGCGATCGCGCTGGAACAAGCTGCCGCTGCAAAAAAGACGCTGCGATCGCGCTGGAACAAGCTGCCGCTGCAAAAAAGACGCTGCGATCGCGCTGGAACAAGCTGCCGCTGCAAAAAAGACGCTGCGATCGCGCTGGAACAAGCTGCAGCTGCAAAAAACACGCTGCGATCGCGCTGGAACAAGCTGCCGCTGCAAAAAAGACGCTGCGATCGCGCTGGAACAAGCTGCCGCTGCAAAAAAGACGCTGCGATCGCGCTGGAACAAGCTGCAGCTGCAAAAAACACGCTGCGATCGCGCTGGAACAAGCTGCCGCTGCAAAAAAGACGCTGCGATCGCGCTGGAACAAGCTGCAGCTGCAAAAAAAACACGCTGCGATCGCGCTGGAACAAGCTGCCGCTGCAAAAAAAAGACGCTGCGATCGCGCTGGAACAAGCTGCCGCTGCAAAAAAAAGACGCTGCGATCGCGCTGGAACAAGCTGCCGCTGCAAAAAAGACGCTGCGATCGCGCTGGAACAAGCTGCCGCTGCAAAAAAGACGCTGCGATCGCGCTGGAACAAGCTGCAGCTGCAAAAAACACGCTGCGATCGCGCTGGAACAAGCTGCCGCTGCAAAAAAACACGCTGCGATCGCGCTGGAACAAGCTGCCGCTGCAAAAAAAAGACGCTGCGATCGCGCTGGAACAAGCTGCAGCTGCAAAAAACACGCTGCGATCGCGCTGGAACAAGCTGCCGCTGCAAAAAAGACGCTGCGATCGCGCTGGAACAAGCTGCAGCTGCAAAAAACACGCTGCGATCGCGCTGGAACAAGCTGCAGCTGCAAAAAACACGCTGCGATCGCGCTGGAACAAGCTGCCGCTGCAAAAAAGACGCTGCGATCGCGCTGGAACAAGCTGCAGCTGCAAAAAAAACACGCTGCGATCGCGCTGGAACAAGCTGCAGCTGCAAAAAAAACACGCTGCGATCGCGCTGGAACAAGCTGCCGCTGCAAAAAAAAGACGCTGCGATCGCGCTGGAACAAGCTGCCGCTGCAAAAAAGACGCTGCGATCGCGCTGGAACAAGCTGCAGCTGCAAAAAACACGCTGCGATCGCGCTGGAACAAGCTGCCGCTGCAAAAAACACGCTGCGATCGCGCTGGAACAAGCTGCCGCTGCAAAAAAAAGACGCTGCGATCGCGCTGGAACAAGCTGCAGCTGCAAAAAAAACACGCTGCGATCGCGCTGGAACAAGCTGCAGCTGCAAAAAACACGCTGCGATCGCGCTGGAACAAGCTGCCGCTGCAAAAAAAAGACGCTGCGATCGCGCTGGAACAAGCTGCAGCTGCAAAAAAAACACGCTGCGATCGCGCTGGAACAAGCTGCAGCTGCAAAAAAAACACGCTGCGATCGCGCTGGATTCTTCTCGCCATTCTTTGTTCAATTTCACGGCGTTTCTTCTGATTTTCCAAAATTTTTCGTTGTTCTTCCTCTTTTCTTCGTTTCTCATTTTCAATCGTCGCATTTTTTTCCTTCATTTTTTCTTCCTCAACAAGTCCTCGAACAATTTGATCAATCACATTCGTCGATAAACTTTCAATAACCAAATTCATTTTTCCCAATTCTTCCATTTTTCTTCTTATCAATCCATTCATAGGGTCGCATTGGAATAGGTTCATTTAGGCTTAGAAAATCACGATTTAGGACAACTTGATCTCCATCCATATCTATTCTTAATCCATAAATATCAAGGGTTGATTTCAAATCGTCAATTGAATCATACGCGAGAAGCGAGCAAAATGTATCGAGTGGATATCCAGCATTTCTACCATAAGATGATGTGATCACATTAACAGCTTTGGATCTGATCTGATCTGAAAAATGAGATTTTGGATATGAACACGTTTTTTATTATTTATTATAAAACGACGTGAAATTTGAAACAAAATTGTCTCATTTCAAGAAATTTTTTTAAAAACAAACCTCGTTGAACAATTTATGTGATAACATCATACGATCGAAAATCTAGTTCATTAACACATTTTATGCCACGTCTCTCAAAATCTTCATACAAATGCCGCAATGTTTTCCCAAATTCTCATTGTTCGTTTTCTCATCAAAATCATCAATTATACCATCCGGTTCGTTGTTCAGCGGTTTCGGGGAATTTATCGAGAACTTGAGAAAGGAGATATGACATTGTATCGAAGTTCGTGGGGAAGTGGACGTTCTTGATCAGCGGCGGATCGAGCATAGTCCTAGTAAAAATGAATATTTTGATAATTACCAAAGTTTTTTAAAACTTACTTTCACCATCATTTGATGAGCCACTTCGAAAGTCGTCTCATCACAACTGGCGATGAACGTTTTTGCACAATTCTCATATATATATAACAAGCCGCCGCTGCAATCGCGCAAGAACAAGACGCCGCTGCGACCACGCTGCGACCGCGCAAGAACAAGCCGCCGCTGCAAACATTGAACAGCGCAAAAAATGCTGAAACCACGCTGCGATCGCGCAAGAACAAGCCGCCGCTGCGACCGCGCTGCGACCACGCTGCAATCGCGCAAGAACAAGACGCGGCTGCGACCGCGCAAGAACAAGCCGCCGCTGCAAACATTGAACAGCGCAAAAATGCTGAAACCACGCTGCGATCGCGCAAGAACAAGCCGCCGCTGCGACCGCGCTGCGACCACGCTGCGACCACGCTGCGACCGCGCAAGAACAAGCCGCCGCTGCACAGCGCATAAATGTTGAGACCACGCTGCAACCGCGCAAGAACACGCCGCCAAGATCGATGCCAAAAAAAAGAAAAAAACAAGCCGTTACATAAAAAAGGCAGGAAGTGACCTTTTCAAAACATTAGAATTCAAAAAATTGGCGCAATTGGCAGTGGAGCGCACTTGCTCGTTTTCCAATTCGAACACGTGTACTGCTCTGGTTTTTCGAATAATATTTTTGTGTCAACACGGCAACAAAGACTGGCGCATTTTCCGTCGTCGCTTTTCATTTTCTTGATTAATTTTGAATTTTTTTTTAGAAAAAACATGGTTTTCAGCTGTTTTTTTCATTTTTCATATTCAAAAAACGAAGCGGTGTTTACACAGTTGATGTGACGCCAAGTTTTCAGTAATTTCGTTTTTTATAAGGGGAGAAAAATGTTGAACTTTTTGAAGTTTTATCAAAAATCCCCAGTTTTTCCATAGAAAATTCAGAAATGTGAATAAAATGAACAAAAACTTCAAATCTCAGATTTTTTAATTAAGCGTTTGGGATAAACGTGAACTATGACGTGGCAATTTAGATTTTTCATTTCCCCACCAAAACCAACCAACCTCATCAAAACCTCAGTCATCTCTCTGTCCAATCCACCTTCTCCAAAATTCCCAACACACTTCACACTCCATTTTCCAATCTCATTCTCACAAATATTCACATTAACCAATCCATTCTCCGTCGAGAAGACGAATTCGAATCGATTTCGCGCAACAATCGTCTTCATCATCACCGCCGCCACATTTTTCTCCGGCGATTTTCCTTGGCACATTGCCAACATCGATTCCCATAAACTGTTATGCATCCATTCACTTCGAATTATTCCGATGACTTCGGCTAACATGTTCAAATCTTTGATGTATAATTCAACGAGAACCGGATCGTTTTCTTTCGTCAGACATTCGACATCAATATCATAACAATGTTGAGTGACTTTTTCAGGGAATTTCGTGATTATTTGCAAGTTTTCGGTCTGAAATACATTTTCTGACATAATGTTAAAATAGTTTTCAAGTAGCTAATCAGGATTGCGTTGCCAAAATCTGGGTAGCTCAGTTATGACGTGGCAAAAAAATAAAAATTACAAAAGGACCTTACAAAAATAAAAAAAATATTTTCAATGAAAATCAAACACCACAGCCTAGATCAGGAAGGTCCAAATTCACTCAATTGAACATAAATTTCAGAAATTACATAGATCTAGAGTTCTCAGCAATTCGAAGTGAGAAATCGGCGGATGCCAAGCGATTAGTCGTCAATTTTTGAGCGAAATAGCGTGTATTTTTAAGATACGCAGACTAAAAAAGATCCCGCGACTAACTTCCGAGTTTTCGTCGATTAGTCGCGGGATCCTTTTTAATTTGCGTATCCTAAAAATACACGCTATTTCGCTCGAAAATTGACGACTAATCGCTTGGAATCCGCCGATTTCTCACTTCGAATCGCTGAAAACTTTAGATCTATGTAATATCCGAAATACATGTTCGAGCGAATTTGGACCTTATTCAACTAGACTGTGCTGTTTGATTTTCATTGAAAATATTTTTTATTTTTGTAAAGTCCCAATTTTCAAAATTTTGCCACGTCAGAACTGAATAGCCCAGATTTTGTCAACGGAATCATAATCAGTAGATCGAAAACCACTGCAAAATAAACTAACAAATCTATCTTTTCCACTCATATATCTATACTGATTAGTATAATGTCGAATCAGTGGACTTTTCGCAATAAATCTCTCCAATTTCCTCGTTGTCTTATGCGAAAACAGCATGGCATGTGAGAATCTCAAACAAACACAAGCGTGTGCCTCAGTTTGCGCCCCGAACAATTGACAATTCGTCTCGTTGGCCACAAACGACACTTCGATATTCGGCAGACATTCGAGATTTTGCATATCGGCATGCGATTTTTGCTCGCTTTTCACATACATTGGTTCGGCGATGAAGAAGATTCGACCGGGTCGAAGTGGTGTTCGCGGACAGAAGAAACCGTATTTCGCGGAATTTATTGCCGAATATGAGGAATCCGAAGCGTCTTTGACCAAGTGTTGTTCGAGTTGATAGAGCGCTTTTTTACAAGCAAGACGGTCATTTCTGGAAAAAAATATGATGGGTTTTGTAGGAAATAGGGGGATTTTGCAGAGAAACTATGCATATAGTTGCATATAGGCCACGCCCAAAAAATTCAGTGATTCAAAAATTTTATTGAAGATCTAGATTTGTCTAATTGGGAAAGCAAAAACAACTGTTCCCGGAAAAAAAAACTGTGCGAGGGTTGCATTTTGGCCACGCCCACTTTTTCTTTGACAGATGTGTTAGGTTAATAGAAGTTAGATGGAATGAATATGCCAAAAACTATGAGAGGGTTGCATTTTGGCCACGCCCATATAATAAAATGCGGTAATCCATACATTTTATTGAAGGTCTAGACTTGTCCTGTGCATTTTCGAGATTTCTTGATCTGAAAGAGCGTTTTTGATAACTCGCAGGTTTTTTAGAGATATTAAAAAGGCTCTTCCAACTCAAGAAAGCTAAAAAAATGCACAGGACAAGTCTAGACCTTCAATAAAATGTTTGAATTACCGCATTTCATTATATGGGCGTGGCCTAACTGCAATCCTCGCACAGTTTTTGGCATATTCATTCCATCTAACTTCTATTGACCTAACACATCTATCAGAGAAAAAGTGGGTGTGGCCAAAATGCAACTCTCGCATGGTTTTTCCCGGAAACAGTTGTTTTTTCTTCCCATCACATTCATAAATTATTCCATTAAAAAATCAATAATCGTCCTTCCTCTCCCCATTTTTTGCCGATTTTCCTACAAAATATTATTTCTTATCAGCCAATATACTATAAAAGTACCTACAACATACACGATGTCTGCGTCTCCTTAAAAAAAAGAAAGAAGATAAAACTAGTTTTGTTCTCATTGTTTTTTCTACCTAAATAATTTCTACTTATTTTTTTCCTCTTCAAAACAATTTCTAGCTAAAACATTTTCAGCCAAAAAAATGTCGCTTCGTTTCATCGAATCTGTAACTGGTGTTGGACTCTTGGCCCATGCGATCTATCAATTCCAATTTAATCCATCTTGGTATGTGTACAGTCCGATATATGGTCTCGCAGCGATTCTGGCATTTATTCAACTTCCACAGAATTCAGTCTGGCGACTACTTTCCGCGGTTTCCGTGATCTCGGGTGGAGCTTTGAGCGCGTTTTTGCTATGGACATTTTTAACAATCGACTCCACACCTTCTTTGGATTTGGAAGAAGCCAAGAATTTATTACCGGTGAGTCTATCTATTTCTAGCACTAAATTATCTGATGTTTTTAGGTTGCTCTTGGTGCATTTTTGTCAACATTCATTCGAATTAGTAGCGATGAGACAACTCGACCAGTGCATTATGTTAGAAATTTTATTTTGACCTCGGTGCTCTTAATTTCCGCCGTTTCATTGTTATTTTCGATTAAATATTTGTGAATGAATATTTTTTCTGCTAAATAGTTATATGGTGAACTTACGCATTAACATTGGCTGGAATCAAACCAATAATCCCGAAAACCGCATTCCGAAATTGACCAAAATCGCCATTCCTTAATAATTTCACAACTTCTTCAGCATCAAACAATGGCTCATCCCAATATCCCAATTTACATCCAATTATTTTTTCCTCAATACAAGTGACTTCAATAGTCACATCATTGTTGCGCAAAAAATAACCGTCTGGTTGAGCAGTCAGCGAGCATTCAAGACTATCAGCGAGTTGTTTCATTTTCGCTGCAATCGTCGCGTTGTCATCAACTGGCATTTTCTTTCTCATAAATGAAATCGCTTGAAGAACATCTAGCCGGCCTTCTGCGTCGAAGGTTACACGTTTTTCCAAGAGATTTCGTCGAACAGCCTGGCCGAATCCGTCCCAGGTGAGTTTCGACGCATTTTGACGGATTTTCTCCATTCGAATCTCCATGTCGATTCTTTCGAGATTCAACTCATTTTCTTGCGGCTCCTCCACAAGCATTTTCCCGGAAAAATTGCCTGAAACATTTGATTTTGCTAATGGAACGGAATTGGACATCGACTAAATGACATTTTTATGTTTTTTTCAGGAAGTGAGTTGAAATATTGGGTTTTAATCATCTTGTTCATAGGATAGAACGGTATGAGACAAACCAAATTATATAAATTTTTATGACTTTACGTTATCCATAAGTAATTTAGCGACGTTTTGTCGATAAGCCGAGTCAATCAACTAAACGACGCTAAATCACTTATGGATAACGTAAAGTCATAAAAATTTATATAATTTGGTTTGTCTTAGACCGTTCTATCCTATGAAACAGATAAAAACCCAATATTTCAACTCACTTTCACAAAAAAACATGAAAATGCCATTTAGTTACATGTCCAACTATAGAACGGATTATCGATTAGCAAATTAGACTGACAATTTTAGTCACCGAATGCAACAGATTTTATTCACGGAAATGCAATAATACACGTATGAACACAAAATTTCCATTTAGTTCACGCTATTTATAAAAGCATTTTTCTTCCAAAAATTAAGAAGCATTTCATTTTCAGAAAATTTGCTATTTCGAAAACGTGAGTTTTTTTCGGGGTGCTCATTTTCAGCATCTGTTGTATCACGGCATCTTTTCCAGCCGGATGCAAGTTGGAAAATTTTCAAAAAAACTAGGAAAATAACGATTTTTCAAGGCGAACACAAAACAAAACACAAAAAATGAAAAAAGTGGGCGTGGCTAATTTCTGCAAGCGGCGGCGCTTTATCGCACACTTTTTCTGCAAATTGCCGCATGGTTTCTTGAAAATTGGATTTTTTCTTCTTTTTCAGAGCAAACTTTGCACTTTCACGGTAAAAATAGATCAATCTATAAAATGTTCTGTAGAAAATTACATACAACATGCAATTTTTATTCATTCATACATTATTTAACATAAAAATGGGGAAACTTTGGTTGTAGAAAAAGGAAAGAAAAGTATAGTAATTGACAAAGTTCACATGCCGCGAAAAAGGATATTATGGCGAATGGAAAAGCTACGATCGGATGAAAAAAAAAGTTGTTGAACCGTACAAAAAAAGAAAAAAGAAAGGAGATATGATACACTAAAGGCATAAAAAGGCGGCGAGAGCAAGCACATATTCACATCAGTGAAAGAGGAAATACATTAGTTTTTGTTCTTCATCATATAAATAATAACATCCAGATCTTGATTTACAACAAATTACAACTCCAGTTACTGAAAAAGCTCTTCTTTTGTCCGGCGCCATTCACATTAACTCGGCCAGAATTCGAATTTGTTCCACCACTTCGCATTTCATTGATTTCCATCTTATTTTTTATGTCTCTAGCCAATGTGAAAAACGCGTCATCAACATTCAAATTTGCTTTTGCCGAAGTCTCCATGAATTTTGTGCCATATTCGATTGCCAATTGCTCTCCACGTTCTCTTGAAACCTCGCGACGCTCTTCAATATCACATTTATTTCCAATTATCATTCTCTTCAACATCTTGCGCAGCATGCTCTTCAATATTTCTAATCCAATTTTTGATGTTCTCAAAAGACCGCTCATTTGTGATATCATACACCAAAATAATACCCATTGCTCCACGATAATAAGCAGTTGTGATTGTTCGGAATCTCTCTTGACCAGCGGTATCCCTACAAAGTTTTCATTTGATATTTCAATTCAAAATTCTCTCAAACAGAAAGAAACTTACCATATTTGAAGCTTTATTTTCTTTCCGTCCAATTCAATTGTTCTGATCTTGAAATCGATTCCAATTGTAGAAATAAACGAATTATTGAAAGAATCATCCGAAAAACGGAAAAGCACGCAAGTTTTTCCAACACCGCTATCACCAATTAAAAGTAGCTAAAAACTCAAATTTATCGAAAATCCCCTTCAAAACTCTTACCTTAAATAAGTAATCATATGTTTTGGCCATTATTTGCGCGGTAAATTGGCAACCCTGAAATTACGCAATTTTTTTCGGAAGACAAAAAAAGTGTGTGCAAAAAAAAACTCAAAAACTCGTGGACGCTTTTAGCGTAATCGCCGGTGTGTCGTTGTTTTTATTTTCGAATTTTTTTTCACGGATTTCTTGAGAAGTTCCGTGTTTTAGTGTTATCAGAAATTGAAATATCACTAATTTAATTTTTTTTATAATTCGCAGATTGTGAGAAAAACATCTAGGATATAAGATCTCTTAAGAGGACGCTTTGAAACTCAAAAAAGTTTAATTTACTGTACTTTTAAAGGAACACACTTTTTTGCTATTGACTCCCGCCACGATACACGTTTTCTGTACATCTCTCGGACAAATTTCATTTTTTTGTTTTTTTCCCTGTTCCCGCCTCTAAAGCTCTATTTTCAGGTGTAATTAAAGCAATGGAAGATGCTAAAGAAGTTAAAAATAGTGAGGACATTATAGCGGATCTTATAAATGATGTGAAATCTTCGGATAAACCATTCGCCGTCGATAAAATCGCAGGATTGGTGGTTTCAGAAACAAATAAAGCAGACAAGAAACATAAGAAGCACAAAAAGGAAAAACATAAAAAATCAAAGAAAAAGAAGAGCAGCAGGAGTAGAAGTCATAGGTCGAGATCTAGAAGTAGATCTAGGTCCAGATCTCCATCTCGAAAACACAAAAAACGAAGAAAGTCTTCATCGTCATCATCTGGTGAAGAACAAGAGAAAATTCCAGTCGATCCTTTTGAACCAAAACCTTGTCAAAGTGAAGTTAAAGAAGAGATAAAGGAAAATCAAGTAAAAGAAGAAGTTATTCTGAAGCCTCTTGTTTCGAAAAGCGACGAGGATGATTTCAAGGCAAAATTACTTGTTAAACGGGATACCAAGCTCTCTATAAATATAACAACTGTATTTCCAAAAGAAGAAGAAATGGAAGAAGGTGAAATTGTGGAAAAGGAGAAGGAAAAAAAGAAATCGAATGAGAAGAAGAGCAGGAAAAGAAGTCGATCTCGCGAAAAACATCGGGATAAAGATCGGGACAAAGATCGTGATCGAGAGCGCCGTCGATCTTCTCGCTCACCGAATCGACGAGAACATCGTGGAAGAGGAGATACATCGAGACGACGAACACCATCTAGAGAAAATCGACGAGGTAGAATCACTCGATTCGATAGCGATGATCGGAGAAGAAGAAGTTCAAGAAGTTTGAGTAGATCAAGAAGACGAAATCGCAGATCTAGAAGTCGAGAATATATTGATAAGGAGAAATTGTTGGAAATTGCGAAGAAGAATCGAGCGAGAATGTATGTGACTGGAGAACAGAGGAATAATGCGACGGTTGAGGATTTTGTTAGTGAGTGAATGGGCAGGTTATGACGTGGAATTCTAGAGGAAAATGTTTAAAAAATGTGAAAAATTATCGATTTTTGGAATTCAAACGTGTTAGGGCTGATTCACGAACGAAAAAAATTTTAAAAAATGTTTTTTTAACATCGAAAGATCAATTCACGAAAAGTCAAAAAAATGTCGAAAAAAACATTGTAGGCCAAAACTAGTTTTTCGAGTTTTTCAGCCAAAAATGATGACAAATCAATATTTTTCAAGCTTCTGGAGTAATTTCTGATGAAAATAAGCTTCCGAGAACCCTATTTTGCTGTATTTCATGAATTTTTTCGAAATTCATCAAAATTTAAAGTTTTTTATTTTACGAAAAATCAGCAAAAACTTCTGGAAAGTGAATTCCAAGGTCAATTTTAATCAGAAATTACTCCAGAAGAGTAAAAAATATTGATTTGTCATCATTTTTGGCTGGAAAATTCGAAAAACTAATTTTGACCTACAATGTTTTTTTCGTCCGTGAATCAGCCCTGTTAAGAAGTCTTCCTAATAGGGGTGATTCACGAACGAAAAAAAAATGTTTTAAAATGTTTTTTTAACATCGAAAGATCAATTCACAAAAAGTCAAAAAATGTCGAAAAACCATTGTAGGTCAAAATTAGTTTTTCGAGTTTTTAAGCCAAAAATGATGACAAATCGATATTTTTCAAGGTTATGGAGTAATTTCTGATGAAAATAAGCTTCGAGAACCCTATTTTAACTCATTTTATGAATTTTTTCTGAAAAATTTTATGAATTTTTTTTTCTAAATTCATCTGAATTTAAAATTTTTTATTTTACGAAAAATCAGCAAATCTCTCTGGAAAGTGCATTCCAAGGTCAATTTCTATCAGAAATAACTCCAGAAGCGTGAAAAATATTGATTTGTCATCATTTTTGGCTGAAAAACTCGGAAAAACTAATTTTGACCTACAATGTTTTTTCGTCCGTGAATTGATCTTTCGATGTTAAAAAAACATTTTTTAACATTTTTTTCGTTCGTGAATCACCCCTAATAATAATTATCAAATCTAATATTCTAGCATATTGTCAACGTCTCCAAAAACGTCAAGAAAAAGAGAAACGTCGTGAAAAAGGAGAAGCAGTGAGCTCTGATGATGATTCAGACACCGAAGCCAAATATAAACATCCCTATGCTCTCCCCTCAAATAATCCAATTCGAATCAATATTGTCACATCGGCCACCGCCACTTTGGCTCAAAAAGCACTAATGGCACCCGAGGAGAAGGTTTTGGGTCCCTCGGAACTTCGTGTTTTATTTCCCGTTTCGTCTGGTGCTGTACATAAAGAGAATGCTGAATGGGTTCCGGTGCCAAAAGATGATGTGCCGAAATCGTGTACGAATGAGCAGAAGAAACATGTGGCGATGACGAGTTCGGAAATTGAACGATGCAAATTGGCGGGAATTGTGAGTTTTTGAAAATTTTGAGTTATGACGTGGCTCCGAGCGCATTGCGCGAGTGTAAACCGCAAGCTTCCGCGTAGCGGCACTGTCTACCGCGAAGCGGCCACGCCCAAACTCAGGTTTTGTCCCGATCCTATAGTTTCACTCTGAAACTGACTGAAACTTTCAGATTTTTGTCTATTTCCAGCCGTAATTAAGTTTCGACCTATTTTTTGAACCTAAATTCGCCGTGCAAAATTTCTGACCAAAAACAGCTCTGGAATTTCAGCCGATTTCAGAATTAATGTTTTGAACTCATGAGTTTTCAGAAAGATTTTTGAGATTCTCAAAATTTATTTTTAATTGAAAATTTGAAAATTCTCAAAAAATAACCTTGGAAATTGAAAATTTTTGGAAAAAAAATGGCCTTAAAATATGAAATTATTTTTTCAGCCAATCCCTCAACCTCCATCAGTTCCAAAATTCCTCAACTCAATTCTACCTCCTCCACCACCTCCTCCTACAGAATTAGGCGATGAAGTTCCAGTGCTCCCGCAAGTCCTTTATCTCCCACCAAAAGAGAGAATGATCATGAAAGACACGGTCGCCAATTTGCCATCACCGCAAGATTTGAGCGAAACATTGCGTCTTCGAGTTGATGCGCAAAGAAGAATTGCGAGAAATAGCAAAGATTATGTGGCACATTATCAATTGGCTGAAGCAAATGAGAGAATGGAAGCATGGGCAGCGCTGAAAAGTTTGCCTGGTGAATATACGGGATCAACTGGGCTGAAATTGTTGACGGCCGATGAATTACAACCTGATAATCCTAAATATCATGCATGGGTTAAAAGAGTGAGTTTTTTTGGTGGTTTGATGTGGTTTTTGTTGAGATTTTTGACACATTCTGCGGTTTTTTTGGTGGCTCGAAAAATTGGGGAGCAAAATTTCGAAAAAAATCGATTTTTCGACATGAAAATCATGAAAATTGATAATTTTGATTGAAATTTGAGAAATATTTTTGGGCTGAAAATTGTTTTTTGATAATTTTAATATTTAAAAAATGGCCTGTATTTTAGGTTAAAAATTTTGAGTTTTTCACAAAAAACATTTTTTTTCGAAAAAAGTTCAGATAACCCTAAGATTTTGAGAAATCTGAATATAAACAACTCGATTTTTCATCTGAAAATCATAAAATTTAAAGGTTCATATTCGAAATTTCCTTTAAAAATTTCAAAAATCAAGATTTCATGGTTCAAAATTAGAATTAGAACTCTTGAATTTTGAACTGAACAATTTGAAAAAAAACCCTGAAATTTGAATTTTTTGTTCTGAAAATCGGGAAAATTGGAAAAATTTGAATTTTTAACCATAAAAGATTTTTTCAGTAAATCTTGAAAAATGATAAGTTTTCCGGAATTTCATGCTGAAACTCATATTTCCAGTGCAGTTTCAGACTAAAATTTTGAAATCCTAAATTCTCTGAAAATTTCTCACATTCAAAATTTTCATTAAAAACTTTCTGAAAATCTGAATTTTGAATTCAACTTTTTTCCATAGATTTTCTGGATCAGAGAATCTGCAAAAGTGCAATTTCAGTCTGAAATTTCTTTCCTCCCCAATTTTTCGAGTCAAATCTCTTTTTTTTCCACTAATTTTCATCAACTTTTCCTTACTAACCCAAGGAAAAGTTGATGAAAAATCTTCATGAACACACCTCGGCCAAAATCGTGGTTTCCGAAATAAAAAATTGTACGCTAACTTTTTACAGTACAAATATTGTGAATTTTTCAGTTTTTGCTCTCTAAAAATTGTGATTTTTCAATTTTTGACCTCTAAAAACTGAAATTCAGATTTTTCCAAAAATTGTACTCTGGCCAGCCACGGCTTGGCCGAGGTGTGTTCATGAAACCCTGCAGAATGTGTCAAATCTTCTTCCTCTTCTGCTTATTATTCTCCAAATTCTCCACGAGAACTTCTCAATCTCCAAATCTTCATCGTCTTCTTCTCCTTCGTGTTGTTGTAACTTCAAGTAAGTCTTTTCAAAATGATTGAAACAGGCAACTTTTTCAATCATTTTGAATCGACGGTTCTCATGTTCATTTTCAGGATCAGGATCAATTTGATTTTTCTCCTCACAACGGAAGTGTGTTAGGTCACCAACTAAACTTTTGATAAATCATATCGAAATATACAAAATCGACCATTCTGATCACGAATCCGAAGTCAAAAATTGCCACAAATGTCTGTGAGCACTTTTCTGGAGCTGCAGAGTCGAATATGATGAAAATGGGTGAAAACCAAAACTCAACTCAAACTTTGGAGCTCCAGAAAAGTGCTCACAGGAATTTGTGGCTATTTTTGACTTCTTTTGGTGTATTTTGATAAGTTTTATCAAAACTTTATTCCAGGACCCTATACACTTCCCTTGTCAAAAAATTCCCCCGCAAAAACTTTTTTCTTCAGGATCAATTCAAAAAAGCGGCACCTCAATTGGGTGGAGTTGGCCAACGATTAATGGAAAAAATGGGATGGAAACCGGGAGAAGGATTGGGAAAAGAGGCGGATGGAAGTCTTGAGCCATTAACACTTGATGTAAAAAGTGATCGGAAAGGATTGATGGCTGAAGAAGAGATGACGATGAAGCAGAGGAATAAATTGAATGGAGTTGTCCAACCGGCTATGGATTTTTCGAGTTCGTTTTTTTTCTGGGAAGGGAATTGGTTTTTTTTTCAAATATTAAATTTGGCGGGAAAAGTCGTTCATAAAATTCATTGTGGAAATTGAACAAAACCTTTAAAAAATAAGCATTGCTCATATTAAACTCTTCCAAAAAATCTCTTGAAAATAAGCATTGCTCATATTAAACTCCAAAAAACCTTTCGAAAATAGCCATTGCTCATATTAAACTCTTCCAAAAATCCTCTTGAAAATAAGAATTGCTCATATTAAACTCCGAAAAGTCTTTTGGAAAATGAGCATTGCTCATAATAAACTCCGAAAAACTTTCTGAAAATAAGCATTGCTCAGATTAAGCTAGAATTGACCTATAGAATATAGCCATTGCTCATATTAAACTACAAAAAACCTCTTGAAAATAAGCATTGCTCATATTAAACTTCAAAAAACCTTTTAAAAATAAGCATTGCTCATATTAAGCTAGAATTTGACCTATAGAATATAATCATTGCTCATATTAAACTACAAAAAAATTTTTTCATATTTTGTAAGGTTTTTTTTTTCAATTTTGAATGTCCACGTGGCAATATTTTCAGAAAATTTCGAATTTTTCAGATTTTGTAAAAAAAAAAATTCCACTTGACAATATTTTCAGAAAATTTTAAATTTTTTGAAGAATCTGGAATTTTCCCAGCTTCAAGTCCTTGGTGATGTGGAATTTTAGGCTTGAAAGTTTTTTTTTCACAATTTCTCAATTTTTCACAATTCAAGAACCTGTAGAATATTTCCCAAATAACAATTTATTAGAAATACAATACAAAATAATAGGAATACAAAATAAAACATAACCTTAACTCCCGTTATGTGATTTATATAAAGTTTAACTAATACGAATTTATCCTAAATATATCAACGATTATTCTACTGTAATTTGCAGCTTTTTTGCAGCATTTGCAAACGTTTTGTACGTTTGCATCTCAAATATACTTAGTATTTGACATTCCCGAGAAAAGAAAAAGAAAATACAAAATTATAACTAAAAATGTCTACGATAATATCTTCTATTTCTACGTCTAATTCTTCCTCTAAAACAAACTATTCCTAATACGATTCCAATTATACGAGGTCCAAACATAAAAATAAAAATCAAAAATAAAAGCAAATAGACAGCATTCATGACACTTGATGACAATTTTGACCATATATTTCCAAATACACCATCAAAAAATGATACTGAACCATCCACCAATTTTTCGAATATTGAAACAAAAACTTGTGAATTATTCATATTGAAAGTTGATACTGTTTCCAATGTTCCTTGAATTGTTACATATGTCCTTCTACCACAATCAAGCGAGCAATTGTATAATACTTTCTCCTGGTTCGAGTTGAAAGCAATTTCGGATCGAAATCCATTTGGATCACAAATAACACTCGTTTGGAAGGTTCCGCAATGTAATAATGCCTTCATAACAACCGTCGATTTGCAAACAATTGGTAATTTTGCACCATTCATACACGAGTGGCATCCTATGAGGCTCTCTGTTTGGCTGGCATTGCACTGTTGCACTATTGATAAATGAGCAATTGAAACATTGTCTAATTGTATGTGTAGTGATGTCAATATCTCTTCAGTAGAAATAACAACCACGTTTTGGTTTCTGGTTGTCACTTCATAATTTGCAGTTTTCAAAGGAATCTTTCCGTCATTTTTGTAGTCCGACATCTTTTTCGTCTTACAGTTACAAGTTGCTTTAGTTTCGAATCCATTGCATTGACATAGGAATTTATCAAACACGCATTTCATTTGTTGAGCTGTTTCACGATTGGCGCATTGAAATTCACCAATGGTCGATGCCATTGGTCTTCCCGGCGGAGACGAAGAAGTTGAAGAAACTGCGAACCATTCCGGCGCAAGTGATGTTGGTTTAAATGAGGCGATGAAATTTGAATCCAAAATTCGATGTTTCGGCATTATTAATCCAACTGGTGTGATTGAAATATTTGTTTTTGGGATTTTGAACTTGACACCTGGTGTCAATTCAGCTGACATCTTTAGTTCGCCAATTTCCACTGATACTTGAAGTCTCGTTTTCCAGGTGATACAATTGAAAATTTCATAGATGAAGTTGCTTGTCGGTTTCGCATAATATCGATAAAATATACAACTCGGACTATCGAGAAAGCATCCGCAGAAGAAACCTGAGCATCCTGGTAAACAATGAGTAAATCCAGGATGTTGTTTGGCTTCATTGGAAAATTCGTCCAAATTTTCATCCGGTCCAATTTTAGTACATTTGGATTCAGTGCAGCTTCCAGCACCTCTGCATCGATGAACAGTTTCGACGTTGAATCCAATATCTCGAGAAAAAAAATTTGTTTGTTTCTCACAATATGAAATAACTGCAGTAGATGTGATTCTTAAAGTCCACACTTTTTCACCATTTTTTCTGTTGATATTTAGACAACTTGTGCTTCCATTGGTTCTGAGATTGATTATAGACATCGAATTCAGTGTGCAATCGGTCTTGTTGTGTTCCACATCGACAGTGCAAGATTCATCGTTTGTAGTGATATGGGCAATATCATTGCAACACTGGATGCTTGAAATAATCACTATAATCATAATCACTTCTCTTTTGATATTATTTGTTTTGCATTTGTTAGAAATTCGATTTATCAACTTTCCACATAATTGAATTATGAAAACCAATAGTTTCCAAACATTTCTCCCATATTGAAACATCTTGATAACGATTTTGTTGACTGTAGTGATAGCATTAATTATTATACCACAAAAAGTGAATAGCATACATATCAACAAAATCCCAAATATTTTGTTGATAGTAATCTGAATTTCAGCCATTTGATCATTCATAAGACGTTGAATATCAAACCAAGAATGTTGTTGAGTAGTCGAATTGATTGATGAGGATTCATTTCCATAATAATATTCATTTGCATTGGCCATTGGAAGTATAATCAGAGTCATTAGGGCCAACGTGATTATCGCACTTGTTGGTTTTGTTCGGCTTCTTGTTCGACGAGAAATATGTTCTTGATCATCTTCTGTTTGTTGATGTCTATTGGGCAATTGAAGTCTTCCTTCATCATCATTGTTTGGCAAATCAAAATTTTCAATGTTGGTATCAATTTTTTCTGTTGTGTTTTCATCATTTGCAATTTCGAATTGGAATATTTTCTTGAATGGTCTCTCAATTATTCGTCTTGTTTTTCCATTTTTCAGAATAGCTGATCTTTCTTTCACTTCAATCACTTTTGCGAGAGGCCAATTTGTTTTTGGACAATTTTCTTCAAATATTAGAACAATATCTCCAATTTTGGGTGGATTCACAGTTGATAGACGATGTTGCTGATGTTGAGTAGTTAGACGTTGTTGGAGCATTTGAATATATTCTTCTTTCCATCTTTTCTCAAAACTATTCGTAATCGAACTTGTTCGCATCCAATTTTCCAATAAAACAGCTTTTGATGATGTTAGATGAATTGTATCAATTCCTTCATCGATTTTCAATAGTTCAGTCGATCTCCTCGTAGGATAAACGAAATCGATGGGACGCAGTGGTTGATAATCATTTGAATCTGAATCAATTGCAGTCAGTGGTCTTGAATTAACAATAGTTTCGCTTTCTTTGAACAGTGTTCGGAGATCATCTTCTGTCAAAAGTCTTCTTGTAGTTCCTGACTTCAACAAACATTTCTTAATCAATCCAACGATCCGTTCATAAAAACCACCAGCCCATGGGGATAAAGCGGGAATAAATTTGAAAACCGGCAAATCTGCACTTTGGATATTTGAAATTTTCATTTGGTGTTCTGCTTCTTGAACCGATTTTTGCAATAATTGATATTGTGCAGCATTGTCACAAGTAACTGTTGATGGAATCCCATATTGTGCACAAAGGCGTCGTATTGCGTTCAACAATGTGTCCGATGATAAAGAGTCAACGATTTCCACAGCAGTATATCTTGTTGTTAAACATGTCCAAACTATAAACCATCGTTTTTGTGTCTCATTGTTGACAGACACATTCAGTGGACCACCATAATCAGTTCCAACATTGGTAAATGGACGAGTCCATTCGATTCTTGAAGTTGGGAATGGTGGAAAATCTGGTTGTCTTGTTGGTTTGCTTTTCATTTTTTGACAAAACAAACATTGTTTGATACATTTTCTGACGAACGAAACACCTTTAGGAATCCAAACTTCGTTTCGTAATTTTGACAAGGTGTACATTGGACTTCCATGTTTGTTGCGATGATGAATAGCCAAGCACAGAAGTTTTGCAATTCGATTAGGTGGTAGAAAATGCACTGTTCTTGATGGAATTCGACTAGGATAATAATAGATCCCATTGATTTGTTGCAATTTCAAATTTGCACACGTTGCTTCATCCGGTGGGTTGAGTTGTTGAGCCAATTTCACAATATGAAGACGAGCTTTTTGGACGATTACTTCTTTTGGTTGTTTCGAAAATAATTTCAATATTCTTATTACAGTGTTGAGCATTCGATCATAACTGCTGAATCTTGTTGGATCCAAGTTCAAAATGTCTTCTGTTTTTTGAACTTCAATGTTCAGCGCTGTTATTGCAGATTCAATACTTGAACGTCGGATTGGTAATTGTTCATCTCTCAAAAACTTCGGTCCATTCCACCAAAGAGTGTTGTTGACCAATTCATCCATTGATGTTCCTCGACTAACCATATCCGCTGGGTTGATTTTTCCTGGACAATGTGAGAAAATGCAATCAGGCGCCAATTGTTGAATTTTTCGCAATCTGTTTCTTCCAAAAACAGTTGATGATTTTGTCAAATGAATTTGATCAATTGAAACCAATGAATCACTCCAAATAAATGAACGAGATATTTCAATATCCATTTCTTCTCGAATCAATTTGACCAATTTTGCAGCTGTTTCGATACCAAGCAATTCTAATTGTGGAATAGTCAAAGCTTTTCTGATTGGTGCAACTTTTGATTTTGATAAAACAAATGAAGTTTCGATTTTTTCAGCTCTGATTCTTCGCAAATAAGCTACTGCTCCAAATGCAGCTTCCGATGCATCCGAAAAAACATGGCATTCGAAAATATCACCTTTTTGGTTTGGAGTTGAAAAATATTTCCGCGGTCTGTGAATACTCGTGATGGTGTTTTCGTCCTCCATTTTTTCCCATTCTTTTACCAATGGCTTTGATAATGATGTGTCCCAAGATTGAGATTCACTCCATAATTTTTGTAGAAAAATTTTCTTCTTGATGATTACTGGTGCGATGAGTCCAATTGGGTCATAGATGGAAGCGGTTTTTCTCAAAACATCTCGTTTGGTTTTTTGATTGTTATTGATTTTTTGTGGTAGTCGAACATGAATTTCATCTGTTGTAGTGTTCCAACCGATTCCAAGAATTTTTTCTTCTTCTGATTCAATACTATCTTTGGCATTTACTTCAGCAATTTTCCCATTGAGTTCTCGTGAATTCGAGACAAATTGAGTCATATTCATCTTTGCTTGTTGAAAATAATCTTTCACTTTGTGGTATTTTTCCAATCCATCTTCGGTGTTTTCCACATTATAGAAATAATTGTCCACATAAGAATTTCGAAGAAGTTCTTCCGAAAAATCTGTGCCAATAGAATTGAGATGTTGTTCAGTGACAGCTCCAAGAAGATATGGGCTTGTGGATAGTCCAAATGGAACAACGGTAAATCGAAAGCATGTTGGCTCAGAATCTCCTTCCATAGTCCAAAAAAATCTAACCGAATCACGATCCTCTGGATGTAGAGCAACTTGATGGAATGCTTTACTTATGTCGCAACTTTGCAATATTTCATGACCGCGAACTCGAAGAATAACATTTTGAATTTTTGGCAAATTGCATCTTCCTGGTTGTAGAACATCATTAAGAGACAATGCATAACGATTTGCTTTTGCTGAACCATTATACACCGGTCGAACTTTCGAAGATTTCGAACTTTCTTTTATAACTGGATGATGACTCAAGTAATGAACTACACCTTGATGTTGATTTTCATCCGGCACTATCTCAATATATCCATTTTTCAATTGTTCCATGATGATATCATTATATTTCTTGTGCAATTCTGGTGTTTTCTCCAATCGTTTAATGGTTGATTGAAGTCTAGACAATGCAATATTTCGATTATCTGGCAATTGTTGTAATTTTTCTTTTCGATAAGGCCAGCGGCATACATATTGTCCATCCGAATTTCTGGTTGTTGTTTCATTGAAAAATTTGTCAGTCATTTCATCTTCTGTTGTTTTTGGATTTTCCATGATCCCATTTGATTCCAGACTCCAAAAATTTTCCAAACATTTGCGAAGAGCAATATGTTCAATATCTGGATCGAGATCTTGACGAGCAATTTTTGATTGTGCTACAAGTGTATTTCCAAGTTGATATTCTTCAGCCAAAAATGGAAATTTATCAAACAATATCTCTTCTGCAGTAGGATCCTCTCTTCCAGTAATCAAAATTCCACAGTTGGTCCGATGAAGTGTTGTGCCATTTGGTAGTTGTTCAGATGTTGTGTTTCCCAACAATGTTTGCATAAGATCCAATCCAATGAGTAGTTCGGGTTGAATTTCTTCTCTGGGTAATTCGAATGTTGCATCTTCACATAATTTACGAATTGTTTCCTCGTCTAATTTGGCAATTGTGACTTTTGTGGTGATATTATCCACTTCGAGAAGAGGAATATCCAATTGTTCTTTTCCATTATCGATTCTGACATTGATTTTTCTGGTTTGAATCAAGTTACCAGAAGTGTTTCCAAAAGTTGCCACATTCAGATTTTGATAACCAGATGACGGTAAATTCAACTTTTTAGTGATGTTGCTGCTGATATAACTTCTGTCACTTCCAGAATCGAAAAATACTGGAACTTTGATCGGTTTATTGTCCAGATCCATAATATGAAGATGTGTAGCCATCATCGCAATTGAACGATATTTTTGTTGTTTATCATTTTCATTGATTGGCTGTTCCAACAATTTTTCATCATCAAGTTCATTGTTGGCCAAAATATTATAATTCATCGCAGGATAAGTCATAACTTCTTCTCTATCATCCTCAACTTCTTCATTCGTATTACCACCGTCATCTTGATTCGTGATGGCAATATTTGTGTTACCATTTCTTCGGTTTTGTTGTCCAAAGTTTGGTTTTTGATAATTTGGTTTGGAATTGAAGTTCGATTGACGATTTTGATTTTGGTTTTGGTTTTGTCGTTGATGAGAGTTCTGTTGATTAGGATTCGGATTGTTCGGGCGATTTTGTTGAACATTCGGTTGATTTGTTGAACTTTGAATGTTTGGTTTCGCTTGATTTTGATAATTGCCTTGATAATTCGATTGATTTGTTTGATTTGGACTTTGATCATTCGAATTCTTGGAGGAACACAATGCGGTGTGATGCAATCCAATTTTGCAATAATAGCATTTTCTTTGAGTTGGACAATCTCCTTTTCGATGACCAGCACGAAGGCAAATGAAACAAAGTTTCAATTCTTGTGCTCGTTTTCGGCGGTCAGCTGGCATTTTGAACTTTGGGCATTGATTGTGTCGATGAAAATCGTTTTGTGATACACAAAATGCACAAGGTGTTTTTGGTGCATGTGCCATCGAATTTGAACCATTTTTCTGTTGTGAAGTTGTCACTTTCATCGTTGTTGCTCTGTGATTCCCATTATTTGCATCAAAAATTGTGAGAACCAGAGTTTCTGATTGAATAATTTGACGAATTTTTTCCAATAGTTGTGAAGCCGAAAAAAGTCCGTCAGGATGGTCGAGAAAAATTTTTTCGATAATCCTCTTAGGCAGTTTTCTGCTGATCACATCAGCAGTAGTGCGGTTATCACATTCACTATCAATCAGACGTAATTGTTCAAAAATTGTCGACGCCTCAGTCCAAAATGAATGCAACTGTACTGGATTTGTTGTATTTGACACAGTTTGCACATCTTGTAAAGATCGAATCAAATGATGACGAATTCTTGTCACATTACCATAGTGGCTTTCCAATAATTTCATTGCAATCAAGTAGTTGTTTGCTGTTATCGGAAGATGTTGAATAACTTGTTTTGCTTCACCTCTTAATGATGAGTTGAGATAGTGAAGTTTAGCCACATTCGATAGTGGTTGCGAGTCGATTAGGGTTTTGAACAATTCGCTAAATGATTGGAACATGGTGAAGTTACCATCGAAGGTTGGAAGGTCGATACGTGGTAATGAAATTGGTAACAATGCTCCTTGATTAGTTGGAGTTGGTGGAACATAAATTGGTTCCTCGGTGGATATGTGAAGAACATTTTTGAGAGTTTCATTGATGGTGTTTGATTTTTGTGTAAATTCTTTCGGCTGTTCTGATGTTTCTGCGGAAGAATCAATTGTTGGATAAGCAATGGCTTCTTTTGATCGGCTTTGATGAAGAGCAATCAACTTGTTTTGAAGAGTTTTCAATTTGTCCAGTACTTCGTTGGTTTTTTCAGTGATTTTCAAATATTCACTCTTCTTTGTATAAGTCTCGTGGATTGCGACTTCTTGTGGATCAGTTGACATTAATGCTAGCCATTTCTGATGATAGTTGAGAATCCTTGTCGATTCTTCTTTGATGCGGTTACCAGTATGAGCGATTTCGGAAATCTCATCTAGAATTTCATCATCCTCATATTCGGTAATCTCTTCATAAGTCTCGAACTGTGAAGCGAAATCGATTGCATCGACCAATCGTCGTTTCGCCAGGCCAATTTGTGAACGAATTAACGAACTCATTCAAAAGATATCAGCGTTGTTGGTGGTTGAGACGTTGTTGTTGAGGTGGGTGTTTGTCGCACTGATGTTGATCCGGGGCGCTAGTCGGACGCTGTTGAGCACAACTGGTGTAGACGGTTAGTAGCAGGTTTGGTGGGTCACCACTTTTGTAGAATATTTCCCAAATAACAATTTATTAGAAATACAATACAAAATAATAGGAATACAAAATAAAACATAACCTTAACTCCCGTTATGTGATTTATATAAAGTTTAACTAATACGAATTTATCCTAAATATATCAACGATTATTCTACTGTAATTTGCAGCTTTTTTTGCAGCATTTGCAAACGTTTTGTACGTTTGCATCTCAAATATACTTAGTATTTGACAGAACCCTCCCAAAAATTCCCACCTCAACATTATTTCCAATTTCAATTTCCAGCCAAAAATCCCATCTCGGTGCTCATGGAAATCTGCTCAAAACGTCGTTGGCCAGCGCCGCAATTCAATTGCGAAGAGTTCGGCCGCGACGCGAATCGTCAATTCATTTGGACCGTCGTCGTCAACAACGCCTTCTTCCGTCCGATGGGCGGCTCGAAATCGAAAAAAGAGGGAAAAGCGGTGGTGGCTCAGGTGGCTCTTCAATCAATGGGTTTTGTGCCAAGAGATCCGGATTTACCTGTTTGTATGTAAGATTTTCTATGAGAACTTGTTGTTGAGATAAAACGTGTTATGTTTTATGGTACAATATGACAACAAATTAAATTAATTAGCTTCCAATTCAAGAATCGCTGCTCTCAAATCTCCAGAATTCAACAATTTCTCCTTATCAACTGCTGTTTTTCTCTCCAAAACATCCAGCAAATTCGCCGCTTTTTCCACAACTTTTTCATTGAGTCCAACCATTTTAGCGACTTGTAAACCGAAAGAGCATTGAGCAACACCGTCCAAAACTTTGTATAACATATGAATCTCATTATTTTCGATTTGAACTCCCATTTGAAGAGCAACAGCGCCGTCTTGTTGAGCCAATTCGCCCATTTCGTGGAAATGTGTGGCGAAAATGCAGAGACATTTGATGCGATTTAGAATATCTCTGGAATTTTGAGATAATTAATCGGGGGATTTTGGGAGCTAATTAATTAAAAAAAAAAGAGCACAGGGTTTTCAATGGTCATAATTTGATCAGAAAAAATAGCATTTTCAAACAAAATTCCTAGAAAACTTCACAGTTTCCACGAAAATTAAAAAAATGCACAATTTTTTACACAAAAACCTGGTTTTTTTAAACAAAAAAAACAGGAAGAGCTGTAAAAACCCGAAGTCTTCATTTTTTGTGCTGAAAAGGTCCTTCGCCTAAAAATTCAAAAAGTTCTAAATTTTTTAATGGAGAAATCTAATTTTAAACAAAAATCGGAAAAGCTATAGCAACCTTCCCTTTTTGTGCTGAAATTCAGAATTTTTCTGAAAACTCTGACTTATTTCCACAATTGAGACTTTTCTGGTCAATTTTTCATGAGCAAAATCTGCCAAAAATTTGATATATCATTTTTGGAATAGTTTTTGACGAAATTTGTTTTTCAAAAACCTACTGTGCAATAGCTGACGCAATTCCATAACCATCAAAAGTCGACGTTCCTCTTCCCAATTCATCAATAACAACAAACGAATTCTCGCCAGCTCGTTGCAAAATCGCCGCACAATCCAACATTTCAGCCATAAATGTCGATATTCCTTTCGATTGTTTATCCGATGCTCCAACTCTTGTGTAAATTCCATCAATTACACTGATCTCAGCAGAATCGCATGGGACAAAACATCCGATTTGAGCTAATAAAATGGACAAGGCGGCCGATCTCAAATATGTGCTTTTTCCACCCATGTTTGCACCGGTTAGAACAATTAATCGATCATTATCTGGAAGATTAAGAAGTTAGAATTCTAAAATGACATAAATCAGGCTAGCAGCTGGTAATTCCGGAAATTTTCAGACCTATTTTCAGAAAATTGATATATGAAGTCTATTTCAGTTTCAGGCTTTAATTTCAGAAATTCAGAATGTGCTAAAATTTCAGTGCTCACCGAGAATAACATCATTTGGAATGTATGGTTTTGTGCTGGTTGATTCGATGACTGGATGACGACATTGAATCAATTTCAGTTTTTTGGATCCTGGAAAACATATTTGAGTTATGACGTGGCAAATTTTAGATGTTTGAATCTGTGCCGAAATTTGGAACATTTTGAAACCAAACATATTTGGATTACTGTAGATCAGAGGGGGGTACTGTAAATTCAGTAGATCAACATCTATCAAATTGTGCTGCGAAAAATCTACTCTTTTTTGGGTTACTGTAGATTTGGGGGTACTATATGAAACATTTTGAGACCAAACATGATTGGGTTACTGTAGCTCAGAAAATCAGTAGATCAAAATTTGGAGGCTCTCAAATTGAGCTCTGGGGGATACTGTAGTTGGGAAATATAATGTAGCTCGAAATTTGGGGCATTTTGAAATCAAACGTGATTGGGTTACTGTAGATCAAGAGGGTACTGTAGCTAGTGTGAATAGATAGGTACTGTAAGCTTCCCGAAAAAAAATATAAATTTCATGATTTTTTTCAAAATCGGCTCACCCATTGGCAACAATTTGGGTCTTGTATACAATTTGCTCGACATCTCGGAAAATGTGGCCATCGAAACCAAAACATCCAAAGTTGCGCAAATATTCGAAATCGCCGGAATCAGTGGAATGAATTCTTTCGATTTCTCGCACAACATTGCAACAACTTGTTCTTCAGCTTTGATATATTTCAAATGTAAATCCATAAATTCCTCATTAATATCAGCCAATTCGGGAAGATTGAATTTGATGCCGCTGCCTTTTGTGGTCTCCAAAATGTTGACTGTCGATTTGCGCAGAATTTTTTCGTCCTGGAAAAATGGGAAGAGTTTGAAACAGTGATTTTTTCAAATTCTGCTGATTTTCAACTAAACCAGAACCTCTTAATGAAATTTGAAGCGGTCAAAACAATTTATGAAAATTTTGAAACAGTGAATTTTTTCAAAAATTTTGTTTTCAATATTTTTTACTCTCGAATTAATTTAAGTAAATTCTGAAACAGTGAATTTTTCTTATTTAAAGGAACACCAAAAACTAAAAGGTCAACATCGCTAGGTGAAGCCGCGCATACCAAAACAGACACTTTAATACTCCTACTTTCATTCCCTATACTCACTTTTCGATGAAAAAATTCTTCTGAACTTTTAGAGGAAAAAATATTTTTCTGTGGAAAAATGAAAAAAACTCGAAATCAAATTGCCACGCCTTTTACGCTAAACACCAGGCGAGCGGAATGTCGTTGTTTTCTTTTTCTTTTTTTTTTTCGAAAAATATTTTTCGCGTTTTTCCGTTTTTTCTTTGTTTCTCATAGTAAACGACGATTTTAAGTAGTTAATTCGACATTCTAGTTATCAACAAAACGTATTGATTGCAGATTGGAAGAACATTCGTGGCGAAATAAGTAAATTTGGTAGGAATCTGCGTTTTCAACCTGGAATCGCGGATTTTGATCGTTTCTCCAACACAACCTGATGATATTCAAAATAAATATGACATCCACCAACTTCGAGCGCCTACAGTTGTTTTTGAATGGTCGGAGTTCTGATAAATTCGTTTTTTTTAAACAAATAAACCGGTTTTCATCAAATTTTATTGCAAAATGACAAAAAAACAGCTTTTAAAAGAGTAAATGTATAGAGTAATCGCGATCAGAACATTGATGAGCAGAATCGTCGAGGAAGAAGTGTTTTTGGTGAGTTTGGTTTGCAAAAAGGACGACTTTTGATCGAAACCGGCTTGAAATCATGAAAATCCATCAAATCTCTCCAATTCGCCTTGATTCATGACTATTCACAGATTCTTTCTTCTACTTCTACGGTTTTCTTCGATTTTTCAGCCGTTTTCATTCATGTTTCACATTGTTGAGCCTGGAAAACAGTGATTTATGAGAATAATCTGTAATTTCTCAAAATACTCACGTTTTGGCTGAAAATCGACGAAATTCCGCATTCCTCCGTCAAAAACATGATCGAGACAGTTGGGAGAAGAATTGCCAACATCAATTTACTGAAAAATATATGAATTCATTGTTGAAAAGTGAAAAACAAGCGAAAACTCCCGAAAAAACAGAAAAATAAAAAAAATAATTTTTTTGTGTGCATTCTGTCGTGACGGTGTTTGCACATTTCGCTCTGAGTCCTCTGAGGAGGGAATTCAAACGGTTTTTTTCCCATTTTTTTATTTTGGAGCAAACTTCACCATTTTTTCAAATTTTTTTTTACTTGTTGCGAACATTTGTAAATTGACATTGATTATTTCGAGTTCTGAAGTGTTTGTTCGGATACGCTAGAGTGACTATTAGCTTTTGGTGTTCCTTTAAAAAAAAAATTTCTGTTGGTTTTAAGAAAGGGTTTTCCTTGAAATCAGAGGCCCATTGAAAAAGCAACAATTTTATAGAAGAAATGAAGCGCAATAAAATTTAAAACGGTCAAAACAATTTATGAAAATTTTGAAACAGTGAACTTTTCCAAAAATTTTGTTTTCATTTTTTAATAAAACTTTTAAGCCTTGGGAAAAAGGCTCACAATCAATGAAAACCCGATTTTTTAAACTTTTTTTCCACGTGGCAAAACGTAATTGATATATTTAACGAAAAATATGAATATACCCATTGAAATTTGACACGATCAAATTAATCTATGAAAATTTTGAAACAGTGAATTTTTTCAATTTTTTTGGATTTGAAAAATGTTCACAATCCTTCGAAAAACCAAAATTTATCAAGATTTTTAAAATTTCTCCACGTGGCAAATTAAAATTAATCGATTTTATATATTGGTAAAAAGGTGTCCTCTTCAATGAAATTTGAAGCTAGCAAACAAATTTACGAAAATTTCGAAACAGTCAATTTTTTCAAAAAAATTAAGCTTTTTTTCAATTTCTGGAGGTTCTGAAAACATCTCACAGTCCTTTGAAAAACAAAATTTTTTCCACATGGCAAGATAAAATTGATATATTGAATCAAAAACCCAATAAAATTCGAAACGAAAAAATTAATTTACGAAAAATTTGAAACAGTGAATTTTTTCAAAAACATTTTTTTTGAGGATTTTTTCTTTCAATTTCTGCTGGATCTGGAAAAATCCTACGAAAAAGTAAATTTTTCCGAAATTTTGCCAATTGACAAAATAATCTTCATAATGAAATCTGAAATGATCAAAATAATTTATGAAAATTTTGAAACAGCGAATTTTTTCAAAATAAAATTTTTTAAAACTATTTTTTCCCACATCATAACCCAAAACTTACCTTCAACGTGCATCTAAAATAATACCCATATTGCGCATTTTTATCCAATTTCATATTATCAAGCCCAAGTCTCGCCGAATATTTCTTCCGCAATTTTTGCGCCAATTCCTCCACATGCTCCAATTTATCCTTAACATTCTGGATTTCAGGAACCAAATCAACACGAACACGAATCTCCTTATTCTCTTTTTCATATTCAAAATCGAAAAATTCTTCACAAAGTCCTTGAAATCTCACAACTTTCTCAAGAATTGTTTCCATATCTTTTTTCAGCAAATTATTCACAGCATTTTCAGCTTTTCCATCCATTGATTTCGCCAATTCATCCAATTTATGATCAATGTTATCCAAAATCATTGTCGCTTGATAAAACCTGTTCAAATCATTCAACATTGTTTTTCTCATCAATTTCCTTGCCAATTGCGAACAATCTGGCATTCTAGCCAATAACGAATCTCTCAATTTCAACCGAATCGAAGGATTTTCCATAAGTCCCTCAACAATATCCAATCTCGAATTAATTGTATCAATTTCACAAAGTGGGTGAGATATCCAATCTCTCAACATCTTTTCGCCAGGCAAAGTTTTACATTTGTTAATCACATTGAAAAGAGTTAAATTGGTATTTTTCTCCAAATAATTGTAATTGAGTTGAAAAAGTTCTAGAGCTTCAACAGCTCCTGAATCCAAATGCATAATTCCATGAGATCCATAATTATGAATACTATATTTTTCCATTTCTCCATATTCATTCGAATAATTCGCATGCAACATTTGAATGCACTCTTTCACACTAACACTTGTCGCTTCAAATTCTTTCTTGGAATTCTCAACAACACATTTCATAACTTCTTCCCAATCTGATTTTGGTTTCAAAGATTCGCCCAAATTTCTTGGTTTTTGGTAAACATCCATTTTGACAAACATATTTGACAGTTTTTTGGCTGCAGCAGAAGTGGAATCGGTATTCATTAGGATGTATTCAGTTGGGCAAAGTCCAAAGATACATTGCTCGACTTGTGAAAATGCTGGAGTGTCGTTGAATTCGCTGACAATTATTCGAACATTTGCAGCATCCCATGCGCACAATGTAACACGATTCTGAAGAAAATAAAAATTTTTAGTTTGAACAACATCCAAAGAAATGTTATGACGTGGCAAATTTCATTTTTAATGAATAATTTGCCACGTCATACTTAACTATTGACACTCACATCTGTATCAGATGGATGAAGATAAACTGCAAAAATCGGAGCCTGATCAGCCACTCCAACTTCTTGCTCAAAATCCACGGTGTTTCCGGGCGATCCGCGTTTCGTCATTGTCCAAACTCCACCCTGTGATTGATATAATTCCACTGAACAACGAAGAAGAACAATTGTCTCGCGAACCACTTTTTCGTATTGACCGCGGTTTACGGCAACATATTTCATTGTTTCACCGGCTGAAATTTTTACTTGAAAGCTGAAGTGTGAAGCTCGGGGAAAACTCACTTTGCAATGTGACATTTTTGAGACAAACATCACTTTTGAAGATGTTTGTGGCGACGAATCTTTCATCATCTCCATAAACATTGAAATATTCACCGCGGCCGAAAACTGCGATTGTGCTGCTCGCTTTATCCTTCAGAATTTTGAGCAAAGCTTCATCGTGCAACGCATCCTTATTCATTTTTCTCCCTGAAACCGGTTTTTTTTTCAGTTTTTGTGCCGGCAGCAAAAAAAAGAAAAAAAAGAAGAAAATTTCAAATTTCGATTTCGCGGGGTGTTCGATGGAGCGCGTTTGTCCCACTTCACAAAAATATTTTTATTTTTTCGCCTCAAACAATTTTTTAACCTGTAAAAATGCTTAGCGCACGGATAGTTGGCTTTTTGAGCACTTCCAGAAGTTTTGGAAAATGCTTCAATTTAACATCGCGATTCACACGAGATGGATTGCGCGATCGATTGCGTCATCAAGAGATGAAAGAATTCGCAAAAACACGAGAAGCAATCCCTCCAAAAATCCCATTGCCAGATGCAAGATCACTCAGACCAATTCGTGATTTAACGAAGGTGAGCTAATTCTATGGAGACATGTTAATAATTTGAATTTTTGCAGTGTCTCAAGTTCACAATTTTCACCGGCGTCACAACATTCACAATCGCAATTGCTCACGAAGTTTTGACACGAAAAGAGTCATTCGGTCAACAGGACATGTATAATATGGTAAAGCAGTTTTTCGTGATGCCTGATGGAACAAATGTTCGAATAGAATCGAAAACCAGAGAATTTACTGACGGAGAAAAGCACATTGCATTGCTAATCGGGTTGAATGCGCTGGTATTTTTGGCATGGAAGGTGAAAAAATTGGCGCCGATTATGCAGCAATATTTTACCAATAGTTTTGCATCGAAATCATTATGCTTACCAATGTTGCTCAGCGCCTTTTCACATTATTCGCTTATACATTTCGGGTTGAATATGTGAGTGGGCTTTTCAGAGCACGTTTTGAAATTTCAAGCATTTCTGAATCGTGAAAAATCAAGCGGAGAAAAAGATTTCCTCAGAAGCTTTCTGATAAATAAATATTTATAAATATAATTAAGGTATGTGACAACAACATTCGCCACCAAAATAATCGATAAATATCTCGGAGTTGAGCAATTTTGGGCATTCTACATCACCGCTGCAGTCGTCTCCTCATTCGTCAGCTTAATCGATAAAGCATTGGTTCGAAGTCCGATTCGTGCTCTTGGAGCAAGTGGAGCTATTCTTGCTATTTTAACTTATACTTGCATGCAGATTCCGGAAGCAAGATTATCATTGATTTTCCTGCCAGGATTCGATTTCAGTGCGCAAAACGCGGTTTATGGAATTATTGCATTTGATTTTATTGGTTTATTATTACGGTTCCGATTATTCGATCATGCTGCTCATCTTGGTGGTGCTCTTTTTGGAGTTGCATACGCGCTCTATGGACAAACTCATATCTGGGAGGGATATGGACAATATATTGAAGATTTAATAAGACCATCAAAATAAATTTATTTAAGAAATATATTTTCGAACACAATAATCGTTCTCAAAGTTGACTAAAAATAGACGATAATGAGAATAGTAAATATTCCTGAAGAAACCGTATCGCTTTTCAGATAAAAGTCTTCGAATAAATTGTTTGAATAATATTTTCTGATCTAGCGATGGATTATGAACTTCAAGATTGATTTGACAAATTGTGATTTCAGCATCATCTAATCGACCATTTCTATAAAACGCGTCGAAAAGTTGATATTCCGAATATTCAGAATCCATCCATAAATGATCAATTGTTTTCAAATTCAACATTTTATCCAAAAAATATACGAGATCCACATGAACAACTGATTCCATTTTATATTCATTTTCCACCAAAACACTTGCCTCCGAAAATCCAGCCTTGTCACCAATTGCGAATGGAAAATAAACACCAATTTTTGAGAAAATTTGCGAATTCGGTTCAACTATTGGATCCGCTCCATAGAAGACTGGCCATTTTCCAAGCTCATTCATTTGTTCCTTGAATTTCAATTCTGCAGCAATATCCTGGCCAATTCCAATTGTAACTACAATGTTTTCCGAAACATCATTTTGATTTTTCGGAAGGATCGCATGTTTAGTCTCATCCGAATTTTCAAAATCCTCAATTTTCAAAGGAACCAGAGTTTCACATCTCTCCATTCGATATCGAAATTGATCCCAGAACTCAAAAAATCGATCCTATATTTTAAAAAATCTCAAATCCTCACCCTATGTGGTTCATCATTAAATTCCAATTCTTTTTCAACACAATCCTGCCAAATTTCGAAAAACTGCATTTTTTCGCTGATTTTTTGTTGTGAGCAAGAATAATATTGATCGAAAAACAAGAAATAGAATAGTAGAAAAAAGCAACAAAAACCAAAAAATATTCGAGCCATTTATGTTGGAATGAAAATTTAATTAAAAAAATATGTAATAGAACTATCCCAGTTCAATATGAAAAATGAAATAAAATTTATTAAAAAATCGGTAGGCCTCAAAATGTTTGCTGTAGATCAAAAAATATTCTTTTATGTTTTTCTCTAAATCTCTTCCTCTCACCCTATTGTAATTTATCATTAGCCTAAAAATGTTGTTGTGGATAGGCGGAACTTTGAATCAAATATCGCCGAAAGGCGTGGAACATGCGATTTCAGCGCCGCAAGGCGAGTAAAATGTATTCTTGAAGGGCCGATAGGTTTTTCAACGGATATTTTATTTCCGAAAGGTCTGATTTTTGTGGCTCCAGTTACCATGAGTGACATATTTTGTGAAAAGTTGTAAAAATTCGATTTCAAACTCCCTCCCCCTTTCCTCCGCAATTGTGCGTCGTCGTGTTTGCACAAAAGATGATTGTGCGCTCCACGGTAAATGCGGTAAAACAGAAATTCAAAAATTTCTAGTTGCTCACGCCTGTTCGGCAGCGGAAATAAAAATTTCGGGTTACTGTACGCAAAAATGTGCATACACACTGACATGAAATTGCACACATTATTTTTATTTTTATTTTTTTTCGTTTTTTTTTCCGTTTCACTTTGCTAAGATATTTATTAGTGTTTTCTGAAGAGAAATCAGTTTTTACAGCATACATTGATTATTTTTTTCTCGGAGAGTAATGGTTAGGTGTGTATTTGAGCGAATTCACTCCGGTTTTACTGAAATTAGTGTTTGAACTTATATTTTTTGCTGAACCAATTGTTTGTCTATTCTCTATGTAAAATGTTTAAAATTTTCGTACATATTTAATATAGAGAGCAACAGAAAAACATCGTATTTCTTTATTGTTGTACGTTTTCTGCGGATTGTCTAAATTAGTTTTTTTTTAGATAATTCATGATTATAATTAGACAACATTTCAATATCAGCCAACAATATTTTTGTGGCTTGACTGGGCAAAACTCAACAAGACGAGCTATGTGACACCAACAAAATTGATGAATGGTTCATTCAACAGAACTTGAATGATTGAGAGTTTCATGAAGCGAGCAAGTTTGAATAAAACGACAGAAGATTTGGCGAATAACTTGTTGCTGTTATAAACAACTTCTGAATGCCATGATATCTCTGTGTTTCGGTAAGTATTTTTATATTGAAAATTCTTTCTAAAATCTTCAAAACATGAGTTGACATTTCGTGGTAAAAGGTTAGCAGAAAAAAACCGAAAATAATTCCAAAATGCTCACTCTAGTTGTTCGAAAAACGATTGTATTCATCCCTGAGTTTAATCGCCAGACCAATTAAGTCTGAAGAAAAAATCACACTATCGAAAAATTACTCGCTACAGAAACCAACTCAAATTTCTATCACGATTAATTTTTCAAGGCCGAATACGATGTAAGAAAATATTATGTTTAGTTTTCACAGAAAAGCTTACTCAATTAACTAACTAGTATTAGGTTCTGGACAGCAAGATTATCACTAAAAATGAAATATTCCAGAGAAATACTAATTGTAAATTTTCCAGATAAATCACTTCACATCATCCTTCAAACATGCTCACCATCTTCCATTTGTCAAACGATGGATTTCATTTTTTTTCTGCCATATTTTTTTCATAAATTAATTTATTATTATGTTTTACAATTGAAATGATTGCCATTCGCGAACTGGGGAGCAAATAATGAAGGTTCAATAAGAAAATTATTAAGATTCTACCTAAGATCAATTCAGTCTCGTTCAAAATAAGTGCTGAACTTTATTGGGAATAATTGCTGAATCGAAATTTGAAGAAATTCCAGATTTCAATAAAAACCTGATGTTTTTCACCGAATATCTAGACACAAACTCACCAAAGAACATTTCTAAAGTTCCAGGGTCATTCAAAACATTTGTTAATTGAAATCCGTTTTCAATTTAATGCAAGTGGGAAAAACAACGCATTTTTTCTTTTGAAAACAGCTTAAAATTGAGCTCAAAAATTTATAACCAAAGTTATTATCGCTATCTGAACAAATTAAACTTCAAAAAGTGAAATTCTATGATGAAAAAACTGAAAATTCAAGCCCAGATAATCAACACAGCATTCAGTTTTTGAATTACCTTTGTAAAATATGATTCAGGTAACAGAAAACATCATGAATTTAACCATTTTCTCACGCACTCAATGTCAGTTCATGTTTTGTCACATCTAAAGTTATTTTATATGCTTATATTGTCGGAATTCCCTCTCGAAAATGAGCTAATTACCGAAAACAAATATTTGAAAAAAACTATTTTTGAATTTCCGCAAACGCACAAAGAAACATGCTATTTTTTGAGAAAACGGGTCTCGACACGATTTCGTAAAAGCGCAGCAGGACCTTCGGAAAATACTTATTCAAAGAGATTCGGATGCGTAGATTATCGCTACGTTTTTAGTTTTTCGAGATATGGCCTGGAACATTTTCGGGCCGCGCCGCCAGTTTCATTTTGAAAAATTGATGACGTCACAAGCGTGGCCGAAGTTTCTTCTTCCCCGAACAGTCGTGTGCTGGAACCTCTGTAAAGAGCTGAAAATGCAGAATCGACCGGATTTCATAAAATGCCTGAAAAAGGGAGGGTCAGAAAAGTGAGTTTGCTAGAGAATCTGAGTGTTGGAAAAATAAACAAAGTTTTTTAGAGCCATTTCTGAGCTGAAGACGTTTATGCGAATCGAATTGACGAATATCGAAAATGATGAAGATTTGGAGGAAGAGGAATATCTGCTTTACATGTAAGAGATTTTATTTAAAAGAAAAAAAAATCAGAAATCACGTGAAATATAAAACGTGATCCAAATTCCCACCCGCTGCTCATTTCTCATCTATTTTTTCAGTGAAAAAGTGGAACTCGCAAATTTTGCACTGAAACTTGCTCGAAAACTACTGCGAAAAAAAGGATATCGTCGATTTTCTCGGCATTGCCATTGATTGTATTTGCTCATTCAAACAAGATGATATTTCTTCAGCGTTTTCGGGAATTTTCGAAACCCTGATCGAATCGAATTCCCAGACAATCCCAATTGTTCTGAACATCGCAAGTTGTGAGTCAATTCAGGTTTTTTTTTTGGTTATCTGAACCAACGAAAACCATTGTTTTTTTCTAGATTGCTTTCCACAATCTGGAATCGCTTCAACATCCCAGGAAATCAACACAATTCTCAGCTTCAAAACTCGCCAAAAATTGGAAAATGACGAGGATTTTTACTATGCTTCTCATATTTGCGACAATATTCTCGAAGGTGTTGCGGTTTCTGGAACAAGCAGAAATATTGACGGTTTCTGGCCACTTACACAATATCTATTGAAGCATAAATCAATCAATAAACAATGGATTGCTCAGAGTTGTTTATCTGCTTCACTTGCGATTATTGATCGATTTCCTGAAAGACAATATCATTTTTTTGATGAATTGTTGACTTTGATTGTTGAAGAATTGGAGCTAGAAATAAAATTGGAAAAAGCGAGGGATATGAAAAAGCTGGAGAATATTATGGAAAATTTTATGAGCGAGAACAAAGTTGCGTTGATTTATAAGAATGACACAAGAAATACGATTTTCAAATTCCTCCAATATTTTCTGGAAATGGATCTGAAAGTGGATATGTTTGTTAATTGGATTGTGAAAATTTCTAGTTTCTCGGATGTCGAAATTTCAAGAAGAAGATGTTTAGCAGTCATGGAATTGTGTGTCAAAAAATCATCGCTTCAACATGCATATCTCGATATTCTTGTATCAGTTATGAAGATTTGTAAGATCACAATCGCCGGAAATTCGATGTTCCGTCAATTTGAATCATCGGAAGCTCGAAGTTCTGAAAATTTTCTTCAAGAATTGTCGAAAGTGGTTCATCCAGATGCACAAAGTTTTGCGAAGAAACTATTGCCGAGTCCCGATGTTCTTTGGGCGAAATTGAGAAGCAATGAAGTGTCGAAGGTTTCAGTGGTCCGAAATGCGATTATTATTGGAAGTTGTCATTTTTTGAATTCGGAAGATGATAAGAAGCAAATTATTCCCATTTTGTTATTGACATGTTTGAATGTAAGAATTTTCTCAAAAAATGTTTTTTTTAACATCGAAAGATCAATTCACAAAAAGTAAAAAAATGTCGAAAAAAACATTGTAGGTCAAAATTAGTTTTTCGAGTTTTTCAGCCAAAAATGATGACAAATCAATATTTTTCAAGCGTTTGGAGTAATTTCTGATGAAAATAAGCTTCGAGAACCCTATTTTGCTTTATTTTATGATTTTTTTCGAAATTCATCAAAATTTAATTATTTTTATTTTACGAAAATCAGCAAAACCTTCTGGAAAGTGAATTCCAAGGTCAATTTTAATCAGAAATTACTCCAGAAGCTTCAAAAATATCGATTTGTTATCATTTTTGGCTGAAAAACTCGAAAAACTAATTTTAACCTACAATGTTTTTTTTCGACATTTTTTACTTTTTGTGAATTGATCTTTCGATGTTAAAAAAACATTTTTTTCGTTCGTGAATCAGCCCTTCTGACTAATGAACAAGTCTAGAGTTACTGTAGATTTTTGGCGCCCTTCGAAATCTGAAATTCCAAAAAATATATATTTTCAGGAGCTTCGCGAGAAATTTGGTCAAAAATGGGATAAATTCCGTCTTCACATCTCCGGAAGCTCCAACAAAACCCTCAGCGATTTGAGCGAATTCACCGACCCAATTCTAATGACTGATGAAAATCTGAAAATCGACGCGTTGAAATGTGCATTATTGATCGATAAAAAACCGCGACAATTGATGCAACTCGTGGCCGATATGACGATTTCAATTATTTCCAAAGGAAATTTGTTGGAAATTGAGAAGATCTTGCCGTTTTTACGAGTGTTTTTCGAGGAAAATCCGGCTAGTTCTACAGATATTGTCAAAGAGATTATGATATTTTTGTCGAAAAATGTTGCTCAAAACTCATCGGCGATTTTTCGAGTTATTCAAGAGTATCCGGGAGATATTGAAATGGAATTAGATGTGATTGAAAAACTCGTTGAGAATTATTCAAATTCACCGGATTTTCTCAAAGTTTTGTTGAAACTCTCGCAGATTCCTCCAAAAGTTTTTGAAAAAATCGAGATTTCTTTGGAAGAAAAGATTTTTATCGAAATTTGGGAAAAGTTTGCTAATGGAATTGTGGATATTGATGTTTTGAATAAGGTTTTTGAGAAGGAGAAAGGGCAGAAATTCGCGGGATTTGTGGAGAATATTAATATGAGCAATTTGTAAGGATTTCTTTTTCTTCAGGCAAATTTAAATATAATAGAATTTTTCCAGAGCCGAGGAAGTCAAAGTTACTGTATATTCAACACTTGGTGCACATTTTGTGATAAAAGATGATTTGACAAATCTCCACTCGCTCATCGGAATTCTCAACAAAAATCATATTTTTGAAAAAATATCATGCAATTTTCGCCAAAACTCTGGTCTCTCGTATATTGTTTGACTCAAAATTGACTGATGAAAAGGAAATTCGAGAGATTTTGAGGAATTATATCATGGTTATGGTGTTTTTGACGGGATTTGTGAATGTGAAAAGCTTTATGCAATTATTCCGACCAATTTTAATTTTTTGGTGTTTGGTGGAAAAGTCAGCAAATCGAAATGTGATTTATTCAATCTTGGATTTTGTTTGTGAAGAATTTTTGGAAGAAGAAGTCACGAATTCGCAAAGTGAAAAAGATTTGAAAAAAGAGCGCAAGAATATGATAACCAACAATTTCGCGCAACTTTTGCAATTTTGGCGATTCCACGATTTTGAAAATCAACAAATCTGGAAAATGTGTGAAGAATATTGTGATTTTCGAGAAGAAGATGTTCGAAATTGTATAAGCATATTTCGAAAAGATGTTGTTTATCGATTAATTATCGTGGGAATCGATGATTTTTCACAAAAACAATCGTCGAAAATTATGGAAATTATCAAGAAGACTTATGAGAGTTTACATCGGGGTGGAAGGCAATTTTCGATTGGGGCAATTGTTGAATATCGAAGTGAGGGATTGGATTTGCTTGCGATTTATAGGTATGGTTGGAGAGCTTCGAAGCACAAAAATGTTCCAAAATTTTGAAAATTCGCGGTTTTTAGTGCCTATAACTCATGTTAGAGACATTTTTATCAAAGACTGAACGCATGACGTTGTTTAGGAGGAACGATTTACCAAAGTCAACATTTTTGGTTGGTAAATCGGTCTCTAACATGAGTTTTGGCACATTTTTGTGCTCCTCAGAGAGTCGCGCTGCAAAAACGGGATATTTTCAGATCGTATATGACGCAAAATCGATATTTTTACCAACTCAAGTCTCAGGCTTCACGCAGTTTTGCCAAACTCCTGCCCCAACTTTCCCAGCAATTTTTCGACGAGAATTGGTGGAGTATTCTTCTGATTCTTCGACACATCTCCTCAAATCATGAAAGTGTTTGGAAATTGTTTATCGAGCGATTGGATTATTCGAATCTGCGATTGTTTTTGTGGAGAATTGTCGCCGATATTTCTCGAATTCCATCTCGATGCTGCATCAAGGAAAAGATCAATTTGACGATTTGGAATCGATTGAATTTCGCCGGGAAATTGGAGAATGATTCGATTTGTTTGAAGTATTTTTGGATTATTCCGAAGAGTTGTGAAAGAGATTTTGTGAAGTTGAGGAAATTTGAGGATTGTGAGTTTTTTTGCCGATGTTTAGCTAACTTTCATATGAAATCGAGATTTTCCAATTTTTTCCAGTGCTCCAACTTATGTCAGAATTCGAAAAATATCCCATCACTTTGTACTTTGAAAACATCCGCTTCTATATCGAACGTGGAAATATTTGGAAATATGATCTTCCCAGATTAGTCAACTCTTTGATCTCAATGATTGTCAAATGTGAAAATGAAGAGCAGCAAAAAGAAGTTGGACAAATCTTGAAAACTATCCCGATTTTGAGCTCGTGTCAGGTAACTTACAATAATTTATTCTCAAAATTTCATCGCAATTCTTGATTTCTAGACGGACACTGATTTCATCCGCTGGGATATGAGTGCGGAATTTTATCAGAATCCTGGTCAACGAACTCAATGTCTACTCGACGAATGTGTGCTTTTCATTGAGAAGATTTCAGTGGATGCGGATTTTTTGGAATTTTCTGATCGAACGCTGTGCGAAATTGCGAGATATATTGATGTGAATAATTGTGAAGAGTAAGTATTTTTTAATTTTCAATTAAAAAACAATCTTCCAGCCCAATGCGTAAAATCACTGGCGAAAGTGTGAAGATTTTCTACAGTCGAATGAATTGCACCGCAAAACCCGACCCTCAGAATCTTGTCCAGCCGCAATCGCTAACTTTTGAATTGTGGTTGACTCGAAAAATCATTGCCAGTTGTATTGTTGAAGAAGATGATCCACAATTTGTGAGCTTTTTACCGATTTCAAATGTCAAAAATGTTGGATTTTTGACGAAATTGGCTGGCAAATTTTTGATTCATGCGATTTGTAAGAAACGAGAGAATGTGCTGCAGAATGTGAGTTGGGATTTGGGGCTGATGAAGGGTCAGAAAATGTTTTTGAAAAATATAAAAAAAATTTATTCAATTTTTGAAACAGTAAACATTTTGTGCTGGATTTTTAAACGATTTTGTTCCCCGAGTTTGTTTTTCTGAAGTCGGTCAATTAAAAAAGAATTAGAAAATGTACAAGATTTTGTAGTCAGATTTTGATACATATGAATTTTATTACAACACTCATAAAAGAATCATATTTTCAAAAATAAATTTAAAGTTATTCAATTTTTGAAACAGTAAAATTTTTTTGAATCAAAATTTGACTGAAAACTCATTTTTTCAAATATAAATTAAAATTTTTAGAAATTTTGAATTACAATATCATTAAAATATCATTTTTTTCAAAAATAAATTAAAGACACAAGAAACACTGGAAAAAAACAGATTTCCCGCATTTATTTTCAAACGACGAAACCAGCATGTGCGCTCTAGTGACACACTGTGTGCACACATTTCGAAATTTCCGTCGGCTGAGCGATTTCAAAAACAATTATTTTATTTTTTGACTTTTTGCTAGACTCAAAATTTTTTTCCTGATTTTCATGAATTTCGATTACTTGAAAGGTGTTATGAAAGAATAACAAACTCATTTTCTGTTCATTTCTAGTGGATTGTGTGTCTTTAAATGTTATTCAATTTCTGAAACAGTAAAATTTTTTGTTGGGTTTTTGTGTTTTTGCCCCTCAAAATTTTTTTTGAGATTCTCATTGAATTCGAACTATTTTAAAAATATTCAGAAAATGTGTAAAATTTAAATTCAAATTTTTTCAAATATTATTTATATAAATATAAAGCAATAATCATGTATCATTTTTTCAAAATTGAATTAAGAATTTTTTGAATATTAAGCAATAAAACCAGGTCTCGGTTTATCAATTTTATCCATAGAATTAACAAGGGAAGTGTATAAGGTCCCGGAATAAACTTTTGATGAAACATATCGAAATATACCGAATCGACCATGCTGATCACGAATCCGAAGTCAAAAATTGCCAGAAATGCCTGTGAGCACTTTTCTGGAGCTCCAAAGTCAAATTGAGTTTTGGTTTCTGGCCATTTTCACCTTGTTCCTGGGTGAAAAATCAACTTTCATATTTCAAATAAGGTTGTTCATCACATTCGAAAACCTATCAGCTTTTTTAGTTTTTCAAAAAATATGAAAAACCAGCTGAAAACTGCAATTTATAAAAAAGTCCTGAAAATAAACACAAACACACACGTTTTTTGAAGTTTTTTGTGCATTTTTTGAAAATTACAGTTTTCAGCTCGTATTTCATATTTTTATTTTTGTAAGCTATATTTGACAATCGCGAAAACCTCGATTCATCAATTTTCCAGCAAAAAAAATAAAATATTACTCAATTTTTGAAACAGTAAAAATTTTTGTTCCCAAAAATTTCTCTCTAAATTCGAATTCACAACAATTTTTCAACAAGAAAAAAATTTATTCAATTTCTGAAACAGTAAAATTTTGAGCTGGATTTTCGTGTGTTTATCCTCAAATTGGTTTTTTTTCAGATTCTGACTGAATTCGAGCAATGTCTCCATAATGCAATTTCTCAAAGAACCACAAGATTGGAAAGAAGAACAGCAACTTTCGTTTTCTACATTTTTGATTTTCTCTATTTCTACTCGAATCAAAAATATTTGCAAAAATCCCAAAAATCGGAAGTTGACGAATTTTGCAAACGAATCATTATGAATACGATAAAAGACGAACATGGACATGATATTCCGTTGATTGTCAAAGTTGCCGAGAAATTTGGAATGGAAAAACGAGCGATTTTATGGATGGAAATGTTTATGGAATTGAAGATGGAAAATGCGAAAGGGGAAGAGATCAAACATGTTGAGACTTCTGCATATTTTGTGTTAATGGTGAGAGAATTTTTTGAAAAGTTCCAAAAATTGTTTTCCAATTAAAGTTCTGAAATTCCAGGTTTTTGGTCTAATAATTTAAAAGTAAGGCGATAACTGAAATGTAAACAATTCCAAAACGAAAAAATTATATAAAATTGAAACGTACAATTTTGGGGTTTCAAAAACGTAAATATTTAATTCTTCAGTCAAATAAACAAACACTTTTTAACCCCCCTGATTTTGCCACGTCATAACTCACCTCAAAAAATTGCAGAATCTCTATGCTCGAATTGGCGGTTTGAATGGTGTCACCGGATCCTATAATCGTTTATCCAAAAATCAAGTAGATCACATTTTCGCCAAAATTTTGTTGAATGAAGCGCATGGAAAATTATCGGAAGCCAATGTTCTTTATCGATTTGTTGAGCAAAAACGAGCATCGGAGCCGCTGGAAATTGTGCAAAATGCGTTGGAAAATGTGAAATATGATGAGGAAGAGGAAGAAGAATGTAAGGATTATGAGAATTGCTTGAAATCGCTGACAAAATGGGACAGTTTTGAGAATATTGAGACACCGCAGGTTTTTGATAGGAATTTGGAGATGAATGCGAGGATTGCGAGAATATTCACATCCGAAAACTCCCTGGATCTTTTGGAAAAGGAAAAATCGCGGACGATTTTGAGAATGACTGAAGAAGCTGCGATTGGAGGAAATTGTTCGTATGAAACTGCGATTCCGTATATTGTCGAGATGAAATGTTTTGAAGAAATTGAACAGATTCGAAATGCGTCAATGGATGAATTGATGGATGTTGAGGCGAAATTTTGGAATGGATTAACGGTGAGCGAGATATTTGAAAATGGGTGGTTTTGGTCTTTTGATGGCTGAAAATCTGGAATATTGAGCCAAAATTTATCAAACATGACATATTTTGATCCTAGGCCCATAAAAATTATAGTGTAAATGCGGAAAAGTTTTACCCAAAAATCGAGAAACAGCGATGCTCCGCATTGACACCTGGTTCTGGCGTAAAAACTTGAAATTTTCAGATTTTGTGAAAATATTTGGACTTTTCATTACAATTTTTGAGTTGTGAGAATTTTTTTGGAAAAAATATTTTCACTTGGAATTTTTGGTATCAATTTTTTGCTGAAAAAATCGTAGAAATTTTGCCACGTGGAAGAATTTTTCCAATTTTAAAAAATTCTAATTATTGAGAATTTTTCAAAAAATTAATTAATTAAAATTTGAAAACTTCATATTTTGTACACACCTCGGCCGAAATCGTGGTTTCCACAATAAAAAATTGTACGCTAACTTTTTACAGTACAAATATTGTGAATTTTTCCCAAAGTTTTTGTCCTCTAAAAATTGTGATTTTTCAATTTTTGACCAAAAATTGTACTCTGGCCAGCCACGGCTTGGCCGAGGTGTGATTTTGTAAAAAAAAATCGAAAAAATAAGAAAATTTAGGACATTTTTAAAATTCCCTGTAATTTTCTTATCACCCCAATCCTCTTTTTTTCCAGAAACAAACGGAAGAAAGTGAACAACACAGTGAATATCTCGAACCAATTCTTCGATGTCGTCGACTTGCAATCATCGAAAAAATGCATAAAATGAGCGAAAAAGAGCGGGAGAAATTGAAGACGATAATTGTGGATACACATTTGCATTCGGCTAGATTGTCAAGACTTCGCGGATGTTTTGAGACTGCGCAAATTTCGATTCTTCATGCCAAAGAAGTGCAACCATTCAATAAACGAATTGTGTTGGAAGAGGCCAAATTGCAATTGCAAACGGTGAGAGAATGCGGGCATTTCGAATTTTGAATTTTTTGACTCAGAGCTCACAAAAAAACAAAATATTTTTTCACTGCTTCAAATTTTCCATAAATTCAAAAGATATTTTTTCGAAACTAATAGGCTGTGTTATCCTTCAATCCTAAATTACTTAATTTTTTTTGGAGAAGTTTTTCGCTGTTTCGAAATTCCTTTAAATTTTTGTTGTCAAAAATTCACTGTTTCAAATTTTCCGTAAATTCAAAAGATGTTTTTGAAACTAATCATCTTCTTTTAATTTCTTAGACGAAAAAACTCATTTGCAAAATTTCACTGTTTCAAAATATTTGTAAATTGTTTTTTGTTTTTGGAGTCATTGATTTAGATTCTTCACGGATCTTTAAACTTGTTTGGTGTTGGCTCGGAATTTTGTGAGGATTTTGAAGAATCTTAAATCAGCATCAAATTCTAAATTTTTCATCACCCGGGGAAAAACCGTTCCAAAATTCGTTTAAATTTATACGGGTTTTTTGTTGAAATTTCTGATGTGAAAAAATTCACTGTTTCAAATGTTCCATAAGTCCAAAAGATGTTTTAAAGCTAGTTCTTTGTTTGTCATAGATTCAAAAATATTTTGCAAAATTTCACTGTTTCAAAGAATTTGTAATTTTTTTTATGTTTTTGGAGTCATTGATTCAGATTCTTCACGGATCCTTGAACTTATTTGGTGTCAAAAAGCTCTGAATTTGAAGAATCTGAAATCAGCATCAAATTATGAATCTTTAATCATCTGAGGGTTTTCATTACAGTACCTCTATAGAAAAATTATTTGGGGAAAGTTTTTGTCGTTTCAAAATTATATTAAATTTCTGTTGTCAAAAAATTTCACTGTTTCAAATTTTCCATAAGTCCAAAAGATGCTTTAAAGCTAATTCTTTGTTTTTCGTAGATTCAAAAATATTTTGCGAAATTTCACTGTTTCAAAATATTTTTCATCACTGTATTCCAAATATTTCCTGGTATCTGAATATAAAGAATTTTTGACATCCAACAAGCCTTTCATAACCTACCTACAGTAACCCAATTTTTTTTGCAGTCTGACGATGAAGCTGGTATGATTCTACTGAATAGTTTATTGGCTACAACATTCGGAGAACTTAGCAAACATTTTGGAGATTCTCAACAATGCTCAAATATCGACCTCAAAAACACGGCAAAAATGCAAATCGAAAGTTTCCAAACTGAAGAAAAGAATCTTTATTCATCAGTTCAAATGCTTCGAATATCTCATCTGATTCGACTCGGAAATACGATAACTTTTGAGAAAATCTACGAGGAAACGAATAATTTGCTGAGCTCATTTGTATCTTCTGGTGTTATGTATGAAGCTGCGTGGCTTTTGGATTATTTGAATCAATTTTCGGAGAAATCCAAAACTTGTCTACCGCTGTTGAAAGCCTATAAAGAGGTGGCGAAATATGAGAAGAATCGAGTTTTGCAAGCGAGAGCTGTTGAAAGAATGACATCGTTGTGGTTGGAATATTCGAAGAAATTGAGTCAAGTGATTGCCAAAAAAACGACGGCCAATGATTTGCCAAAACGAATGAGTGATGTGAGTTTTTTCCAGGGAGAAGTTATGACGTGGCAGAAATTTATTTTAAAAAGTTTTCAAATTATTGGTCTGCAAAAATTCGATCATTTGAAAATGTTTGAAACTTATTTTTTCCTGTGAAAAAAATTTATTCTACATTTTTGATTTTATACTCTGCAAATCTGAAAATTCAAAAATTCAGGTTTCAAATTCAAATTTGAAAATCCACGTGTCAATTTTCGGCCGTATCGTATGTGATATTGAAAATTATTCTCATCACTTTTTTCGTATTAAAATTTTGAAACAGTAAATTTTTTCTCAATCCAAAATTTTTATTTTTTGATTTTTTCCGGTTCCTGGAAATCAGAAAATTCAAAAATTTAGATTTTTTTACATTTTAAAATCCACGTGGATAATTTTGGCGCGAAAATTCATTTTTTAAAATTAGAGCTTTAGCGATATAAAGAGTCAGTAGCAAAATTATTCTCATCACTTTTCTCATATCAAAATTTTGAAACAGTAAATTTTTTCTCAATCCAAAATTTTTATTTTTTGTTCCTGGAAATCAGAAAATACAAAAATGTAGATTTTTTTACATTTGAAAATCCACGTGGCAAATTTTGGCGACCGAATTCAAGAATTTCCCCCGTATTGAATGTGATAGTGAAAATTATTCTCATCACTTTTTTCATATTAAAATTTTGAAACAGTATATTTTTTCTCAATTTTTGTTCTTGTTCAAATTTCAAAAATTCATTGTTTTGCAATAATATTTGCCACGTGGATTTTTTTCGCCTAATTGTGAGATCGAAAAACAAGTTTTCAAAGGCAGTTTGGAACGTGGAATTTTCAGAAATTTCAAAATTCTATAAAATTGCAACAATAAAATATTGCAGATGAACCATGAAATGAAAAATGCGATGAGCACAGTCGGTTGGCGTGCCTTCTATCCAGCCTACGCAATTCTTGCCCGAAAAATCGATCACGAAGATCAAGATGTGTTTTTGACAATGAAAAGAATGATGATTCAATTAATAATTCGACTTCCACATCAATGTATGTGGCAATCTGTGCATATTTTACGATCTGAAGATGCGAAAAAAATTGAGAAATACCGTGAAGTTCTGAATGATGTCAAATTGAAACATCGTGGATACTCTCGAATTTTTGAACAATATGATTTTGCATCGGCGACTTTCAAAAATGTTCCGGAAAAAATGCGATCTTCAGATAGCGAATTGTCGAAAGTTGTGCCGGATATTAAAATGATGATTCATTCCAAAAAATATAATCCAAAACAATTGGAAATTGATCGAAGAGGTGAAGGTGAACAAGAAATGAGTTGTGGAATTATGATACCAATTCGAAGTGATATTGATTCGAGTGTAATTGAACAATCTGAAGAAAATCCGGAAGATTTGGATTATCGTTATTTGATTCATGATTATAGTGAGAAGGTGAAAATTCTGTCGTCATTGACGAAACCAGTGATAATTGAAATAATGACAATGGCTGGAAGGAAAATTCGATTGATTTTGAAAAAAGATGATGATTTGACGAAAGATTATCATTTTACAAAGATGGTTGAAATGTGCAATGATTTGTTGGCGAAAGATGAGGTTACCAGAATTTCGAATTTGTCGGCAACAACTTATTCGGTTATTCCGCTGGCGGTGAGATTTTCATATAAAAACACGAATTTTGAAGCATATTTTGCGCCTACATTCAAATATTGAAAAAAACGTTGATTTTTGAAAAAAAAAACGTGGATGTTTTGCTCTAAATTTGAAATTTGAAATTTGAAGTTTCAGATGAAAAAAGGGCTGATTCACGAACGAAAAAAATGTTTAAAAATGTTTTTTTAACATCGAAAGATCAATTCACGAAAAGTCAAAAAATGTCGAAAAAAGATTGTAGGTCAAAATTAGTTTTTCGAGTTTTTCAGCCAAAAATGATGACAAATCGATATTTTTCAAGCTTCTGGAGTAATTTCTGATGAAAATAAGCTTCGAGAACCCTATTTTGCTTTATTTTATGAATTTTTTTGAAATTCATCAGAATTTAAATTTTTTATTTTACGAAAAATCAGCAAAACCTTCTGGAAAGTGAATTCCATGGTTAATTTTCATCAGAAATTACTCCAGAAGCTTAAAAAATATCGATTTGTCATCATTTTTGGCTGAAAAACTCGAAAAACTAATTTCACCTACAATGTTTTTTCGATATTTTTTGACTTTTCGTGAATTGATCTTTCAATGTTTAAAAAAACATTTGAAAACATTTTTTTCGTTCGTGAATTTGATTAAAAAACACGAATTTTGAAGCTTATTTTGCCACGTGGCTTTGGCTAAAAATTTGAAGTTTTTGTCACGTTGATTTTTCTCGCCCAAATTTCCAATTCAAAATTATGTGATTTTTGCGCAATATTCGGAGATCAAAAATTATTCCACGTGGATTTTTATTGTATTTTGCAGAAAACTGGTGGTATTATCGAATTTATGGATGGTTGTTCAACATATTTCGAAGCACTCGAAGAATATATGAATCTAAAAAGTGAACAAATGAATCAACACATCCGAGAAATGCGAAACAAAACAGGAAAAGAGGAAAAATTGAGATATTTTCGAGAAGATTGGTGTAAAGACACTCCGCTGGTAATGGCAAAATGGTTTCGAATCCAATATCCGGAAGCTGGAAAATGGTATTCGTCGAGAAAGTTGTTCGCCAAATCGTGTGCTGTCATGTCGATTATCGGCTTCATTTTTGGACTTGGTGATCGACACACGAGAAATGTTATGATTCATTTGCCGACTGGAAAATGTGTTCATGTTGATTTTGATATGGTTTTTAATTTGGGCGAATTTTTGGATGTGCCGGAGGTGCGTGAAAATTTGAAGTTTTAAATTTTTGAATTGGCTCCAAAAAACAACCACGTGGTTTGAATTTTTTTGAATTTCAAAAATTGGCTCAAGTTTTGTAGAAATTTCGAATTGAGGGTCTGAAATCCACGTGGCATTTTTTGAAACAAATTTTCAAATGTTGTTTTTGGCCCCAAAAATCCGAAATTCGAAAAATCAATTTTTGTAGTTTGAAAATCCACGTGGTTTCCTGAATTGTTTGAACTTCAAAAATTAGCGCCAGAAACTAGATTTTGTAGAAATTTTGAATTTAGGGTCTGAAATCCACGTGACATGTTTGAAAATTTCAAATAGTAAATCCACGTGGACAGACACCAAATCCGAAATTTGAAAAATCAATTTTTTGTAGTTTGAAAATCCACGTGGTTTCCTCAATTGTTTGAATTTCTAAAATTAGCGCCAGAAACCAGATTTTGTAGAAATTTCGAATTGAGGGTCTGAAATCCACGTGGCATTTTTTGAAACAAATTTTCAAATGTTGTTTTTGGCCCCAAAAAATCCGAAATTTGAAAAATCAATTTTGGCTTTTTGAAAAACCACGTGGTTTTCTGAATTGTTTGAACTTTTTTCTAGTTTCAAGTTTTTGAATTTGAAAATTTTGGCTTCAAAAATTGTTGTGGCATCAAAGAATCGTAGTGAAAATTTTCTGATAAAAAAATCCAGGTGGAAAAAATACGAAAAAATTCATTTACAAAATTTTGTCCCTAAAAATCCAAAGAAATTCCAAAATTTAACCCACAATTTCTGCAGGTTGTGCCATTTCGTCTAACTCGAAATATGGTAAATGGAATGGGCGAAGTTGCCCTCGAAGGCGAATTTCGAGTTGTCTGCGAACAAACGCTTCGAGTTTTCCGAGAAAATGCATACGAAATCGAGAAATACATCAGCGATTTGCCGGATCTTGTTAGCAGCCCGAAATTGAGTGCGGCAATCGCGAAAATTCAAAACGAAACGGGAAATCGCGATTTCAAGTATGATATGAAACTGGCGAAACAATTCATCTCCGGACGACTTCGCGGACAAATCATGACAGCTCGAATCTATAAAAGCCACGCGGTTTCACATCCATTGAGTGCTGTACAAATGTCGGCTTCTTTAATTGAATTGGCGAAAAATGAGGAGAAATTGGTGGAGATGTTTCATGGATGGATGCCTAATGTTTGAGGTTTTTTTTTTGAATTTTGTAGAATTTTAAAAATTTTGTTGTTGAATAGTTTGATTTTGAAAAAAATTTTATTTTGCCACGTGGATTTTTTAAATTCTAATATGAAAAAGAAATATTTTCAGCTTCATCTGGCTGAAAAAGCTCCCTAAAAATTTGAGACCGAAATTTAAAATTTTCAATTTTCCAGCTTTTCCTGTCTGTCTGAAAATCGGCTTTCGAATCTTGATAATTTTTCTTTGTCCAACGCGATTTTTCTTCTCATTTCCGCCTTCTCCCACTTGGGTTACTGTAGAAGTTGTCACAATTCGTCAAATAAATGATAAATCAAAAAACACCCCCCGAAAAAAGTTAGGCTTACTGTCACCTCATAAATAAATCAAAACATTTTGTTGCGGTTTTCTTTCCCTGTGAGAAGACACGACACAAATTATTTATTATTCTCACCCATATGTGACATGACATGATAATAAATTTTCACTTTTTTTTGCTGTCTGCATAGACTGTGTTTCTTTTTTGTGACGAACAATTTTGTATGTTCCTTTGAAATTTTTAGGGTTACTGTGGATTATTTTTTAATTCTGACGAGGGAAGTGTGTGACCAGTCCCCGGAGATTTTCAATGAGACCTATGTTTTTTAGGTCAGTTTTTCACGCTGATAAAGCTCCTGTTTTCAGTTTTTGCTGAACGACTCTCTGAAGAGCCCAAAAATGAGCCCAAAGTTGAGAATTTCCTGAAAATCGCGTTTTTGAGAGCCCATAACTCATGTTAGAAATTATTTTTATGGAAAACTGAATGCATCACGTTGTTCAGGAGGGTCGATTTACCAAAGTCACAAATTTTTGATTAGTAAGTCCATGCTTTTTCAGAAAAAAATTTTGTGGCTCAGAAAATAGGCTCAGGTCATGGATTGCACATTTGAAAATTTTTGGAAAATTTTGTCAAAACTTGTGACTTTGGTAAATCGACCCTCCTGAACAACGTGATGCGTTCAGTTTTCCATAAAAATAATTTCTAACATGAGTTATGGGCTCTCAAAAACGCGATTTTCAGGAAATTCTCAACTTTTGGCTCATTTTTGGGCTCTTCAGAGATTCGTTCAGCAAAAACTGAAAACAGGAGCTTCATCAGCGTGAAAAACTGACCTAAAAAACATAGGTCTCATTGAAAATCTCCGGGGACTGGTCACACACTTCCCTCGTGAGCTTCAAAATTTTTAAATGAAAATTATCTACAGTAATCCTATTGGATTCAAGGAACATATAATTTTTTCTGACATGAAAAATTTTTTACAGTAATCCTCAGAAAATCAGGAACATGTCATTTTTTCTCAAAAACAAAACGTTTTAAAGTTATTTACAGTAATCCTAATTCAAAGGAACTTTTTTCCAAACAAAGATACCAAAAATCATCTACAGTACTCCAATTCTCCCTCAATTCCCCCTATGTTCCTTTAAAAAATAGTGTAGTTATTTACACAGTCACTCAACTCACAAAACCCGCGAGAGAAAAAGAAAAGAGCAAATAATAAAACAGTCTTATCACTTTTTGACTTACTTACTTTTTCGTCTATTTTCATTCTCATTGATTGTTTTTCTTCCGAACTTTTCCAATTTTTTCCCCCGCTGAAAAGTGTCATATTTCAAAATTCGATTCATTCATCAATGTCACATTTGATATATATCTAATTTGTGTGACACGGTTCTTTTTTTTGTTGTTCATTTTTTTCGGTTCTTTCAGGTGTCGCTCTTTTGCCAAATGAGAAGAAGAAGATAATATTATAAATTGCAAACATTTTTTGAAAAATTGCTATAATATTCTGATGCCAAATAATCGCATCGCACTCACTATTTTTGCTTGTGCTGTTTTTGTTGTTAAAGGTGAGTCATGTTGAAAATTTGGATTTTTCAGAAAGGCTCTGAAAATTATTGTGATCTTGGAAAAAAATGTTGAAATTTTTAAAAATCATTTTGTGATCTTAGCAGGGCTTGCGATGCACGCCCTGTACAGTTTTAGGGCAAAAAATGGCCCAGAAAGCCTACCAGTCCAAAATTAGACCGATTTTCAGACTCGTAACTTTTTATCAATTGAAAACTTCATTAAGTTTTAAAACTATTGCCACGTGGCATTTTTAATAGTTAAAAATTTGAAATTCAGAATTTTTTGAAAAATTTCAGAAGTAATTCAAAATCCAAAGGAAATGTTGAAAAATACACAGTTTTCATGAAATTTTTTTTTAATTTTTAAATGCTAAGCCTAAACTATCTCAGCAGGGCTTGCGAAGCACGCCCTGTACAGTTTCGGGCCAAAAATAGTCTAGAAGTCCAAAATTCGTCTGATTTTTAGACTGGTAGGCTTTTTTTAAACTTTATTTGATTTAAAACAATTGCCACGTGGCATTTTTAGCTACTTATGTTAAACTTTAAAATTCAGAATTTTCTGAAAAATTGTTTAATAGAAAAATTTTTTCGATTTGTTTTAAATTAAAAATCCAGGAATTTTCAAATTTTCTGGAAAAATGTTTAAATTTTCAAAAAACCCTCAAATTTTCGCAATTTCAGAAATCCAACCATATTGTCGCGTTGAAGAATGTTCGAATTGGTTTCAAAAAACCAAAGACTATGAGAATATCCTTCCCTCAAACTCGATGAGATATTGTCAAATAGTTTGGCAATATTCGGAATGTCTCAATTCAACTCGTATTTCTTGCCGTGGCCATCTTTCATTTCATTCGTCACAATTAGTCGTTGAACGACAATCCAAATATTTTAATTGTACACAATTTGATTTTCGAGATGATGAAAACAACAAGAAACATGGTTTGGAGCAAGCCAATATTTGCTATTATAATCCACCGCCGACTTCTCATCGGAAAATGAGGTGAGGATGAGTTATGACGTGGCAAAATTGGAAATATGCTTCAGAATTTTTCCACAGTAATCCACGTGGCATACTGAAATTGAGGAATTTTTAAAATAATTTTTTAGGCTAAATTTGAAATTTGAATATTCAAAATTTTAAATTTTCCAAAAAAATTGTGAATTTTTGGTGCTGAATTTGAAATTTTCTTAAATTTTTTAATTTTTGTACCGAACTTCAAATTTAAAATTTTTAATTTTTCTACAAATTTTTAATTTTGAGCGCTCAAATTTGCCACGTGGAATTTCTATTCAAAATTTGAATTTCTTTTAGTTTTCCCAGAAAAAATACTTTGAAGATTTTTGCGCGAATTTTGAAAATTCAAATTTTCTTCGATTTTCACTGTCAATTTTGCCACGTGGATTTTTTTTTTTGAAATTTTGTTAAATTTTCCCAATAAAAATACTTAGATAATTTTGCGCAAAACTTGGAAATTCAAATTTTCTTCGATTTTCACTGTCAAATTTAAACACTGAAAATGTTTGCCACGTGGAATTTTCGCGCCAAATCTGGAAAATTCAAAAAAAAATTCCAGATACTGTACATTATTCGGCGATCCGCATCTTCTAAAATTCGACGGAACTTTCGAAACTTGCAGTGAGGAAGGAGCACGCCCTCTCGTGGATAATCGATATTTTCTGGTGCAGGTCACCAATAAAAATGTGCGCGGAGAAGCGTTGACAACTACAGTAAGCAAGGTGAGTTTTTAAAGGGGCATAGTGGCCAGGGAGTCCAAAAAAAAAGCATTATCGAAAAAAAAATCCCAAAACTTTCCAGGTCACAGTTCTGATTCGAAAGCACAATTGTACAGGAACTTTAAAATACGAGGCTTCAGCTGATGAACAATTTTTATCAAGAGGATTTGTGGACGGGACAACGCATTCGAGAGATCACAGACATAATCGGAATTCTGTAGAGGTAAATGACAAAAAAAACTGTTTGTCGGCGGGTGGGGTCGAACTCTGGTTACGCGATTCGCAGGCAGACATGTTAACCACTCGACCACGCTGAAAAAACACAAATTCAAACCACGCGGGGTTTCGTCAACGCGGAGTCTGGTTGTTTTCTTTTTATTTTTTTGCAATTTCTTTCAATTTTTTCGGAAAATGACAATTTGCATGGAAAAAATTATTTTCTGGGTATGAAAAAAATAAATTGAAGAATAATTTTTCAAAATTTGCAGGTCTTGTGGCAGGAATCGAACTACATCGAGATTGCACTGCATTTCATCCACTCATCAATTCATATTCGAAGACAAGGTCCATATTTAGCAGTTTCGATCAAATCACCAACAAATGTTCTCGAAACCGGCTCATCTTTGAATGAATTATGTTGGAAAGGTTGTCGAAAATCGGCGAAAATTCGAATTGAAGATGCATTTGAGAAACCGAATGATTTTGCAAAATGTTATGCGAGACGAGTTCATGTTCCGATCAGAATTGCTGAAGGTCAGAGAGATTTTCTAGTGGGAAATGCCACGTGGCAAAAATTGAATTGCCGTAAAAATCCAAAAATTTAAAATTCTGATTTATTTTACAGTACTCCCTTTTTTTAAATTAGCTAGTTTTTGCAGTTTGGCATACTGTAGTCACACCTGACGAGACGTGTCCAAAATGGACACTGTACATTTTTTTCAAAAGTCACACTGCATTTTTTTCGAAAAAAAACTTTGTTTCCTTTTCATCAACATTTAACTTGGTGAAATAAATGCACATTTAGTTCAGTGGTAGGCCATTTTGCTAGTGTTCAGAAGGCCCAGGTTCGAATCTTCATTCGAGCTAACTTTTTTTTTTTCCCAACTTCAAAATCAACTTCAGATTGCGAATTTTTCGAAGTTTCTCGGTGAAAATCAACTCAGCAGACTTTGTTTTAGTGTGGTAACATAATGTGCAGTGTGGAATTTACGTGACTGCTTAGCAAACCATAGTGTCACTGAAATTTCAAAAAAATTGACTTTCTATGAAAAAACTTCAAATTCCACACTGCACATGGGTAAATTCAAAAACTACGCTTAAAAATACACCAACTTTCTGAATATACCAACCCTTGATATGTGCTCGAAAAAAATGCCGTCCGATTCTTTGTAATGTCCATATTTACCATCAAAATGGACACTTCAAAATAACAGCGAAATAGGGCATTTCCACACTGCACTCATGGTGTTCCACACTGCCTATGACCTTAGCAATCTATTGGAAAAAAATCAACTATATCCGTTAAGCCTAAGCTTAGTTATCCTAACTTCAAATTTTGAGCAACGTTGCAACGCATTCGTTTGAAAACAGTTTCCTTTCCACCAACATTTTCCCCTCGGGAGAAAAAGAGATGTGGCCGAGAGGATAGCATTTTAGACTGGCGAGCATGAGACCAGGGTTCGAATCCTCCTGCCCGCGGACTTTTTTCGAAAAACTTGAAAATTTCACGCTGCACATTTTTTTGAAAAAAATTTTCACACTGCACAAAAAATTTGGGACACTCTCTCGTCAGGTGTGACTGTAGTTTATTTTTATTTTTATTGAAAATCTAGATGATCCACAGTACTTAGAACTGCAAAAGATAATTACAAAAATCCATGAAATTTCATGAGAAGCCAGAACTACAGTACCCCGAACTACAAAAACCTTGAGCTTATTTAGTTTTTGCAGTTCGGAGTACTGTAGTTCAATTTTTGTTGAATTCCTAGAAAAACGAGAACTACAGTACTCAGAACTGCAAATTTTTAAGCATAATTTAATTTTGCAGTTCGGGATACTGTAATTCAAGTTTTTTTAACTTTCAAGAAAATCAGGAAATATAGTACCCAAAGCTGCAAAATTTTTCAAATTATCTAGTTTTTGCAGTTTGGCATACTGTAATTTTCTAATTTTAATTGAAAAACTTTGATGAGCTACAGTACTCCTGCGAACTGCAAAAAACAACATAAATCCATGAAATTTCAAGAAAAACTAGAACTACAGTACTCAGAACTACAAAAATTTTCAAAAATCCTCAATTTTTCATTTTCACAGTACTCCTCCGAACTGCAAAAATATCCTATTTTCTTGAAGTTTGTAGTCTGGGTACTGTAGTTCAATTTGTATGGAACTCCAAACTGCAAAAGTCCTAAACTTATCCAGTTTTGAAAAATTTAGATGAGCTACAGTACTCAGAACTGCAAAATTTTTCAAAAATCTCAAAAAAATTGACAAAACATTTCCACGTGACATATTTCACGTGAAAATGTTCATTTTGAAAAAAAATCCCCCAATTTTTGCAGACCGTTGCCGTGAAATCGGAACAATGTCCAATTTTTTCTCCGCTTGCGTCTTCGATTTAATGCTAACCGGCGACGACAATCTCGTTCTTCTCTCAAATTCCTCGCAATCCGATTTCCACCGCCTTGCTCCCCACCATCTTGTCAATCGGCTTCTTCACAATCCAATTTCATCTCCAAATTCTTCGCCAATCTTCACAAATTGTCTAACTCCTTCATTTTCTGATTTCAATTCATTTTCATTTTCAAAATATCTTGCCATAATAATTTCCATCATCTACCTCTTCTAAGATCTCCTTTCAAAATTCGGGTCATTTTTAAAAATAAAGAATACAATTTATGAGGATAATGTGATACAATGAAACAAAAAACATTAAAATAAACTATTTGACATGAATTTGTTTTCCGTTTTCGCACAATTTTCGTAAATTCGCGACGAGTTTCTTCGAATTTTCATGTGTGGCGAGTGCCGAGAATCGTTTCAAATAAAAATCGATATTTGTGAAGTGACGTTGAGAATTTGGATATTTTCGAGCAATTTCCACAAGTATCGAAATTAGATCGTGGAACATTGGTTTGTGAGCCAACGCGAGAGCCAATAAACGGGGGCTCAGAACATTGAGCAATTCGCACACTTTTGCTTCCATTTCCGGGTTCGACTGAAAAAAGCAGACGATTTAGAACTTCTGAGAAGATCTTTGGAATTTTAGGTTTTCTTTGGTTAGGGCGAAAAAACATTGTAGGTCAAAATTAGTTTTTCGAATTTTTCAGCCAAAAATGATAACAAATCGATATTTTTTAAGCTTCTGGAGTAATTTCTGATAAAAATTGACCTTGGAATTCACTTTCCAGAAGATTTTGGTGATTTTTCGTAAAATAAACATTTTTTGGGTGAATCGCAGAATAGTCCCCCACCTCAAAGTAAGCCCCCGCCAACAAGTAAAACTCCCTACCGAGTCCCCACTCAATGGAAATGGGGACCTAAAATGATTATGTGGGGACTTATTTTTGGATGGTGACCTATATTGGGGTGGGACTTATATTTGTATGTGGGGGCCTATTTTCACATAATTTTAATAGAGTTGGGGGCTTTTATTTCGATCATAGGGTATTTCGGAAAAAAGGTCCCCACCACTATCATTTTGAGCCCCCACGTGTCAACTTAATTTTAGGTCCCCACCAACAAGATTTCTGACCATAAAAAGGTGGGGACCTATAATATGTCTGACTAGTGGGGGCTTAAAATGACATTGGTGGGGGCCTGTTCTACGATTCACCCCATTTTTTAAATTTTGATGAATTTCGAAAAAATTCATAAAATAAAGCAAAAAAGGGTTCTTGAAGCTTTTTTCATCAGAAATCACTCCAGAAGCTTGAAAAATATTGATTTGTCATCATTTTTGACTGAAGAACTCGAAAAACTAATTTTGACCTACGTTTTTTTTCGACATTTTTTGACTTTTCGTGAATCAGCCCTGTTGGAATTTTCATAATTTTCACCCGTTTCTCTCCCAAAATACTCACATTTTTGACAATTCGCAATAGAATTTTGATAAGTGGAACAAGAATGGATGAATATGAATATCCTCGATCAGCCACCATCAAAATCTCGTAGATTTTTCGAATTCCATCAAATTCCAGAACAAATGAATCGGTTAAACATGGCAGCAATGATGTTAAGCGATCTGAAAAAAATTTTTTTTTCTATTTTTCAAATTCAACTAAAAAATTACCAATAGTAGTTGCTGATAACAAAACGACGGTCAAATTGTCGTTGGGAAGTCCGCGAATCGCATGTTTTTGCAATCGAATTCGAGCCGATTCTTGCTTTTCAACAATTTTGGCTTGTTTTTCGGAGGCGGTGGCAGTGTGAAATTCCTGATTTTCTCCACCAACTTTTCGATTGTATTCCTCCACTTTTTGTCGCATTGCTTGGATTTCTTCGTGGATTTTTCGACGAGTCAAATAACCGCGATAACATTTTTGGATCATGATGGCGGCCGAATTCAAGAGCAATTCTGGGAAAAATAAATTTATTTGTTGTGAAATGTCCCAGGTTTTCTCGATTTTGAAAAAAGAAAAACTTTTCCAATTTTCAAAAATGAACAAATGTTCTCTAAAGCTTTCGTAACTTACCATCACTTTCTGGATTTTCTTCATTCTCCACCGGAGTTATGATAACTTCTTCCTCTTCTTGTTCCATCGATTCATTTCCAGCGATTTCTCGATCTTCTTTCTCCTCAATCGATTCAATCATCGCCTCATTTTTCGCATCAAACACCAAACTTTGCTCGATTCTTCTCAATTTTTCAGCCTGAAAATCGACAATTCAAAATTTTTCGAAAACTCCAAGAAAAAAACTCACAATTTTCCTCTGCTCCGCCGCAATCTTCCGTTTCGCTCTCAATATTTCGCGCAATTCCGGTGTACTGGGCTCAACATTCTCCACTTGTTCGTCTTCCAATTTGATTCCCGAATAAATATTCATATGTTTTTGAGACGCTTCGATTCGTTTCTTTTCCGCCAAAAGCATTTGTTCGTGGAAAATCCGCTCTTGTTCGAGAATCTCTTCTTGTTGTTTTAGTGATTCTCGTAACAACGAACATTCCGAATGCATATTTTGAGATGTTGTTGGTTCGAGATGTTCCTCTTGACTATCTCGGACAGGGACTTCAGAGAAATTTGGCGTTTCCACTTCTGGCTGATTCGAAATTTCCATTTTCTCATTAGAAATATCCAACGCTTCAATAGAATTTCTGATGTTCTTCTCATCTTCAGGATATTCAAAATTCTCGGATTTTTCCTCAACTTCTGGCGAAACTTCTTCATTATCAACAGATTCCTGCTTATCAAAATCTTCCACATCCTCTGAATTTTCTTCCATATCTTCGGAAATTTGAGATTGAAGTTCAAGCTCGTCTTCTTCAGCATAATTTCCAGATTTTTCGAGTTCTGGGACAGCTTCTGCTTCAATAGAACTTCTGATATTCTTCTCATCTTCAGGATCTTCAAAATTCTCGGATTTTTCCTCAACTTCTGGCGAAACTTCTTCGATATTATGATTTTGATAAACTTCAGATTCGTGCTCATCAAAATCATCTACTTTCTCTGCATTTTCTTCCATATCTTCAGAAATTCGAGATTGAATTTCGTCTTCTTCAGCATCATTTCCAGACTGTTCCAAACTTCCTCCAGATTTTTCGAATTCTTCACTTCTTTCCGATGTCATAGTTTCATCGAAATCCTCTTTCTCCTCTTCGACTGGCGCAAAAGCTTTCGGAGTTTTCGGAACTTTAAAAGTCGTTTCGCAAAATGAAGAAATCGATGCAACCGAGTCACGCGAAACTGTGAAAGTCGCATCATTGAAATTCGAAATTCGCGAACTTTGTTGTTGATGTTGCTGAATGACCAATTGAACGATATTATAAAACTTCGACGCCTGAAAAATATTTTTTATTATTTATTTCAAAAATTCCTTCTCCCGCCCTACTTTATAATTTCTCCACGCATTCTGAATAATCATCGCCTTCTGATGCCAATTTCTGACAATTTCCAAATTGTTGAAAAACGTTTGAGCGAATAAACCAATATGATTCGAAACATCTCGATTTATACACAACTCATTTTCAGCCAATTCAACAACTCTTTCAAAAAGTGTATGCGATCCTTGGGGCAATTCAAAAACAATTGGGATGAATCGCGTCCAGGCTTCGGCGAAAAGTAGTCCATTTTGAAGACTTTCAAGATCGGGAACATCTACACCAAGAATTTCACCATATCGTTGACATTGTCGAAGAATTCTTTCGTCAAACGATTCTGGAGCACGAACTGTCAACACCTTCTTTTGAGCACACTGAAAAATATTTTGATTGAACTATTTATGAATATAATTTCGAGAACTTACAACTTTCACACCAATAATCGACCAAAGAACACTTAAAATCTGCTCTTTTTTGCATCCCACAATATGTGCTGGTTTAATATTTCCAGTATCGATTCCAAATTTCGTCATCTCCTCCAAAACAATCTCAACATTTTTCAATTTTCTGATTCGATCTCCTTGTGGATCGCGCAATTTGGAAAGAATCGAATTTGGTTGCATGAGTGTGATTTGTTCGATGAGTTTCGCGAGAATTATACCATTCGAGAAATCTTCGAAGCCTTTTGCAGTGTAATCATAATCATCAACAAATGTTTGTTTGTAACTCGATTGAAAACCAACTTTTGCCAATGCTTTTTTGAATGTCATTGAACTTCCCGAGAGAATTTCTTTGCTCAAATCGGAGAAAACTGAATCCATATTTTTGTACATCGAAGATCTATTGAACATTCGAGTTAGATTCGGGATCAGCTTCATTTCCACCGATTTTTCAATCAAAAACATCATTTTCAAAGTGACACTCAAAAAGTGATTATGAAGTGCTTCTTTTCCAGCCGGTGTAACGATTGGTCTGAAATTTATTGTTTTTAGAAATAACCGAGAAATTATTTTTTAAAAAACACTTACATTCCAGATCCTTGCGCGAATTTTTTGTTCTTGAGCAGCTTTTTGGATTTGAAAACATTTTCAATAATAAATTTCGATAAATCGCGAATGACTGTGCTTGGAGAAGTGGCGATCCTTGTGTCGAAAATCGCTTCCAATGAGGATTTCAGCCATGCCGGATGAAATGAAAGGAAAGTGTGAAGAAGAACAGTTTGAAGTGCTAAATCTGAATAAACAGCTAACTCGGTTCGCACAGAAATTAGACGTTTTGATAGAATAAATGTGATTCCCTCATCAATTTCCGAATCAATCAATAATTTTCGACACTTTTTTGTCACTTCATTTGGATCGTATTTTTCGAATAGACGTTGCAGATTGTTCCCCGATTTTTTCTCAACAACTGCTGTTGATTTTGAAGATAGCATATCTTTGATTCGTCTGTATGCCTCTTTTTTACTTTCACCAAGATCAATTTCATCCATATCGAAACCAATGATTGTGTTAACATAGGTGGATAATGCAGCAATGTGTTGATCTGCTTTATCATCAAATGAAACTATCGGCGATGAAGTTTGCGGGATATTCGAAATTTTCTTTTTGACCGGTGTCTTCAGATCCAATTCCTTCGGTTCTGAAACCAGGAATAGCTTTTCCGTCGCTCGCAAATCAATGTTGTCGGTGTCGATTTGATTTCGACTCTTCAAAATGCGTTTTTCGTGACGATCCGCCAGTCGCTTCATCATTTGCTCCCTTTTTTCGTCCATTTTGATCTGTAATTTGTTCAGATTATAAGCGTAGAGAAAGAAAGAAAAAACAAGCACCCACATTCAAAAAAACTAACAAAGCGGGAAACATGTCACACAAAATACGCAAACACCGTGCAGAAATAATGAGAGATAGGGGGAGGAGAAGAGAAATAAATAAGGGAAACACTGTGTATGGGCTGAACAGGAAAAGTGATTGTTAAATAGCTATTAATGGCTAAAAATTCGTCCGAAAACTCGGGAAACAATAATATTACGTCATAAATCTGTAGTTTTACCTTCAATTGAACGAAAATAAAGTTAAAACTGATGCGAAATCTCCCGATTTAAATAATGAGAGAAAGACGCAATTTGATTGCCGTCAAAATGTCACGCAAAAATTGATTTTTTTTTGAATGAAAAAAAAAATAAATAAAAATTTTTTGAATTTTCTACAGTACCTTTCCCTTCGTGGCAGGATATCTTTCGGAAAACAATGTGCGCCTTTATTTTATTTTTACTTTTATTTTATTTTTCCTTTTTTTTTTTATTTTTACTTTTTGCTGCAAACTATAGTTATAGAAACTAGAAAAAAGTTGAATATTTATTGCAAGAATGGCACAAAAATTCGATTCAAAGGTTGGTTTAATTTCATATTTTTGATACATAATATGGTTCCTTGACGAAATCTTCAATTTCTCTTCGTTTTTTCGCAAAATGTCCACCAAGATAAATCACTGTTCCAATAGATAATACAATAATTATAATTATAACAAGAGTTATTGTGATAATTGTTTCAATTTGGATACAAATTGGTGAATTATTTTGATCTTCTAAACGTTCAGCTGATTCTCGAATCGGTCTTTCTCTCACAAACAATTCATTTGAATAAACATCCATAACATTATCAGCTAAACGTTTTTCACGATTTGTAACTTGATTTGATTCAATCGCCCATTCATCTTCATCATTAATTTCTGCCAATTTCGGAAATATCGGGGTTACCGTAGTTGTTGCGGATAATATAACTAATGAAGAATTCATAGATTCGCCATCATCCAATAAATCTGGAGTTGGTTCTTTCATCCAAGGCTCAACTTGAAGATTATCCAAAGTTTCAGTGATTCGATTATCAATCACAACTTGAGAAGTTTTGATGATTTTTGGTGGGATATTATTGCAAAGTGGTGGAGAAACACCACGACATTCATCTGATGTTTTATCGCATAATTGAATTTGACAAGCGAATGCGATTGATGGTTGATCGGGGAAGGAAAGCGCTTCAATCACGGTGTATGCTGAATTTAGAGCTGTTGAATAAACGACTTGTGGGAAGTCTCGAGATATTGCACAACCATTGTCATCTAGAAATGGGACTGATTCAGAAACTCGGCTATCAATTATCGAACAGCTTCGCACTAAAATCCCATAGTTTCCATTTGTATCGCAATCCCATCGATGAAAGATCGGAACTCCGATCATTGTATTCCGAACCCTCGGTCCATCCAAAGATCCTTCCCGAAGAGAATATTCACACTTCGGCACAACCGATGTTGCTTGTTCCAACGATTCAGAAGGCACTCCACTACAAAATTAAGAGTGTACATGTGTTTTTTAATACTATTTTCCGATAAAAAATATTCTCACCTAACATCAATATCCGCTTTCACCACCGAATCCGTGTGCGCGTAAAAACATCGAACATCGAATGCGCGATCTTCTTTGGTGGAGAATCGTGGATGGAAATTGGCGACAAATGTGACGTGTAGACTGACGCCACGTGGAACTAGTTGGCGCATTCGAGTCATTCCGCAATCACCAAGCCGGATGTTCAACATTCCACCCTGGTTAGACATTATATCATAGCGATGTCGACAGGATGGACGATCATAGAAACCTCGCACATATACGTTTCCTCTGGAATGAGATTTAGATTGGGTTCAGATATATTTTGAGGAACTAAAAAAGTTTTCTTTTATTTTTGAATTTTGAAAAAAAAATGATTTTAAAAAAGTTTATAGAAACCGAGAGGAAATAAGTTTTGAAGAAGGAGGGACTAGGAAATTTCTAGTCCCCCAGGTTATTTGGAATATCTTTTTGTTTACAATTAGACAGCCGCTTCCAAACCAAAAAAGAATAAAAAAAGTAAAACAACGACACTCGACTTGCCTGTTGTTTAATTTTCACACAGTGTTTGAGCGGAGTGTCGTTATTTTATTTTGCGCGTAGGATTTGGTGTTCGCGGGCAGTCGGTGTTGGCACACACTCTTATTTTTTCGTTTTTTCTCAGGTTTTTGGATCATCTAGAATAATTTTAAAAATTGAAAATACCTAGTTCAAATTAGAATCAAATAATTAGGGACCCTAAAGCCTAAATTTTATTTTTTGAAAAAAATTTTTTTTAATTCGAGCCCCAAAACTCCCAAAAAAAAAACTCACTTGAAAGGATTTCTCGTATTGAAGCTGAAACTAATACTATCCGGATTACACTCGATTTTCGGACTTCCAACAATTTCATTATCTAATTGAAAACTCGCTATCATCTGAAAAATTTACATTTTCAGTACCAAAAAAATGATAAAATTTCCCCGAAAACTTACTGGTAATGTTACAAATAGAAATAAAAACAACATTATCTGTCTCTTTCATTCACAAATAAAATGTACTTATTGTTCGGTGCCACCAAAAAAGTGGGCGTGGTTTAAAAGTGGGTTATTATTATTATTGTTAAATAAAGTAAAATAGGATAGGATATAACTTTTTCAATAAAGCTTGATTAAAAGTTTTGAAATAAAATCAATTTCGATTTCAATTTGAAAACTTTGAACTCAATTTCAAATTCAAATTTGATTCTTTGTTATTGTGAATGAATATACATGAATATGTTATACTATTCACCTTTTCATAGTGCGACAAACAATGAATGTTTTTTCCTGTGCGGGGACCATTTACTTATTTGTTTATTTATCGTATTTACACAGTATATACTTAATAAGGTGTAAGAGAATAATGAAAGAGGTATTAATTACTCTCGCGAAATGAGACAAGGCGGCAGAAGATTTGTGTTGTGCTCTGGTGCCGACGCGCTGCGAAAAAAATCAGGAAAAAATTATTTTATTCATTTTTGTTCACAATTTAGTTCCACAAATTGAATATAATTCACTCAATGTTTTAACCCTAACATTCTCAAATAATTTCACAAATTTATCCAACGGACAAAATTTCGAACATCCAGGAATAATCAAAGAATTCGGATTTGCATCTGAATTTCGATATAAAACTTGAACAGTATTATCATCATAAAGTTCAATAATATAAGTAGCAACATATGGAACAAGTTGATGATCTGAAATATTCAAAGCATATCCAAGTGCTGAAAGTGTTCCGTCGTGTGAAGAATATAAATATTGACTGATTTTCGAGGCGCCAGATTTGAAATCTAACATATTTTGGATGAATTTGTTGACAAGAAAACCTCCTCGAAATTTCGATTTTTGTGGAGAATTGAATTTTTGAATTCTTGAGATTCTTTTGAGCTCTTTCAAATGTTCTATAACAGGTTTTTTGTTCCAAATTTGATTGACCCATTTTGGCTGCTCCATTTTATGATAAATCTCCCGTTGAATATTATACAAATCTTTCACATTTTCATAATCAATTTTCAAAATTCCAGTATAATTTTCAAGCATCTCAAACAGTTCCGCATATTCTTTATTGATTCTTGCTGCCACGTGGATCTCTTCTTGTGCCTCGATCTTTTCATAGTTGGGACATTTGATTTTTGTGCCTCGAAGAAGAGGATCTGGTCCAGGTCCAGTTGTATGAAATGGTGTGGGTTGCCAGGATTTTAGGGTGGAAGAATCCCAGACAAATTCGCCATTTGGTGGAAAACAACCAGCTAAAAATGCTTGTGCTGTATTTATTGCTCTTTCAGATTCACTGGAAAGAATATGGATTTGATCTTTGTTGAATTCTTGCAACAATCCGCTAGATTTGTAATAGTTTCTAAAGAAAATACCAAGATTCCTGGCTTGCTCGATTCCTTTCTGAAAAAAAATGAAACTGAATTTGTAGATTTGTAGATGAACATGACTTTCAGGAAGTTTTTCAACCTTGAAATTTCTGATGACGTTGAGAAAAACATTGCTCACATTAGTCAATTGATTCCATCCTCTCGGCCAACGTTTTTCACCATACATGTCTTTTGGATACGGTAATTGTTTTGGCGCTCGATCGCCGTGTCGCCAAATCATTTGCACCATTTCCAATTTGGCGCAAATTACCGAATTCAAATTTATGGTCAGAAGAAAAATAGCGAGAATTTGAAGCTTCATATTTATTGAAAATAGGCTGGCAAAAATAAATAATGCAACAATTTTTGAAACTCACGTTTTTTCCAGTTTTAAATACAAATCCTTCTTTTTCGAGCCAGAATCTATAGATTCGATAATTTTGGAACATTTTGAATTAGTGCGTTGGGATGAATTTTCAAAATTGTTTTAAGTTAAAAACTTTTAACGAAGGAATATCAAATCCAAAACGACGTTCAAAAAATAGAGAAAATCTTTAAACAGTGAAATTTTGCAAAAATGTTTTTTAAAAAAATTTGGTGAACATGGAAAATTTTGATACTGTGAATTCGGCCTGTATCCCAATTTTCGAGATATTTTGAAACGTATTATTTGGAGGTTTCAGAAATGATTTGAAATTCTGAAATTCGACTAATTTCTAGTTTCTCATGGACAATTACTATGTATGATAATTTCATGGAAAATTTGCGGGATTTTTGTGAGAAAAAACAGGAAAATATTGAAGTTTCACCATAAAAAAACCAAATTTTTTCATGAAAATCTGTAGAAATCTAGGATTTTTTTTCATAAATATATATTTCACAAAAACAAACATTTCAAATAGATTTATTTTTGCCCGCGATCTGATATTGGTTAACATTGTGTGTTCTCAATTTATTTTGGGATATGATTCAAAGCAGCCTCCGAAACCCAACGATATTCAGGTGCTCCAGGTGAAAAACATGTGTTATCTTGCATAACATCGCCCTCAGTCCAATACATAATATAAAAATTGCACATTTCATCATCACCAGTCGCACCCATTCCAATATCTCGATCTTCATTATTTTTCATAACACATCTAGCTGTCACCATATCTCCCTGTCGAATAACCATTGATGCATTTGAAACTGGAACAAACATTTGGGGAAGTTGTGGATCACGTCGACCAATCAAACTCCAATGATCTTCATTTTGTTGATCTTCATCAACAAGCCATCCAGAAACATCAAATCCGTGTCGATGTGTATGAGTTCGGAATGCAAATGGATGCATCTCAACATCTTCCTCAATTACACACGCGGTTTCGAATGATTCGGTTTTGTTGGCTGGAAGAACACCACCAGTTACCAAAAGCATTGTTGCTGCCAATTTTGGCTGCGGTTCATCTGTATAGGTGATTCGGAGACCCGTCTCATCGGCTTCTGTTTTTTCGTGCATGTAGTGAACTTGCATTACTAGATGACGAATTGGAGTTTCACCGCCGACCAAAAATCCGACATCTGGAACAGACACATTTGATTTTATTTACTCGGGGAAAAAATTGAATTTCGGGAATTTTTTTCGAGATTTTTTTAGGCAGAGAAGCTTTTTTTAAGCTCAAAATTGAAACAGCAAAATTTTCTAAACACAATTTAGTTTTCATAACTCATAACCTTTAGGTAATTGAAGAGATGGTGCATCAAGAGCCCAAGCATACAAAATAGCGGGTTTGTTAGCACACGTCGGTGCTCTTTCCAACTCATCCGATCTCTTGTTCATCTCTCCACAATCCCAAACCAAATCTTCTGATCCAGGTTCTTCACATCCGAACAGCAAAATATGATGGGCGGTTCCTTTTTGAGCGATCGCCTCGAATCCCGTCAAATAGTTTTCGGTTTCAGTTAAAGGCACGGAAGTGCAAAGATAAGAATCAGCCTGGAAGGAAAAATGACGTCATAAGGGGTTTTTTGTTAAATCTGAACAAACCTCTGGAAGAACTCCGGGCATCTTCAAATCCGTTGTCAACGCATTGATATTTGAAAAAAGCAGACAAAAAGCTGCGCTGATAAAAAGCGCAAGCATTTTTCAGCTTCTTCTCGGTGAAGAGAAAAAAAAATGGAGAATAAAAAGAAGGCTGCGCGAGCTGGCGGATATTGATTTTTTTTTTTCTAGGGAAAAAAGGGGGCGGCTGAAAATGTGTGAGCATGGAAGAGAACAAGAAAATGACGAAATTGGGCAATAGGAGAAAAGGGGGAAGAAAAGGAGAACGTGAAAAATATTGAAATGAGATTTTGAGAATAATAAATAGGAATAGTTAGTGCAGATGTTTTGAATGTGGATTAGTAGAATTAATATTCTGACATCAGAAAAAAAGGGGAATTATCTAGAACTTTATGGATTACTGTGGATTTGGCACAATTTTGGAAACAAAAAATTCTAAATTAATTTCGAGATCATTTTGAGATACCTGAACTTCTCAGGAAGTTATTATAACTCAAAAATAGTTTTTTTTGGGATACAGTACTTCCCAAAAAGATCTGAATATCTAAAAAATGCATACATACAGTAACCTACAGTAACCTTTGGGAATTTGGTTACTGTAGAGTGTCCTCAAAACTACATTAGTAAACTACCCTCACCAATGCATTTTTTTAAAGTAGTGTAAATCACAAAGCCACGTGGCAAAGCTACAGTACCTTCTATTTTTCGGAACAGTAATTTCAAATGCCCTATTTTTCATGGAAAATTCTATTTTCAAAAAAAATTTTCAGATTACTGTTATTCGTGTTCTAAAAGTTTTCTAAAAAATTTTCTAAAAAAATCTACCTTTTTAATAAAATCCCGATTGGGTGGTGTCTCGATGGAAGAAGCATTTTTCAATGGGGTCCCCCCTGTCCTTCGAAATTAAAAAATTTCATTTCTGACTGGCGCCGCAAAATTTGTTATATTTTTTGGAAAATTAAAAAAATTTGCCACCTACAGTACATATTTACTCGGATCTGGAACAATATTCGAAAAAAGTATCTCAAAATCCGAAAATTTTCAAAAATTATAAAATTCGGGAGAAAACTTAAATATTATCATAATGTGATCAAAATGTAACGGGAACATTTTTCAAAATGTGACAGAAATTTCAGGTGCTCTATTTTTCATGGAAAATTCTGTTTTCTAGAAAAGTGTTTTTAAAATTCCAAAAAGTGTTTCAGATTACTGTAGTTCTAAAATATACTGTAGATTCAAATGGTTACTGTATAGAAATGTCTTATAAAAACCCCATCAAAATTGAAATATTTCATTTCTGAATGGCGTCGCTAAATTTCGGATATTTTTTTTGGAATATTCAAAAATGTGCCACCTACAGTACTCGGATCTGAAACAATATTCGAAAAAAGTATCTCAAAATCCGAAAATTTCTCAAAAATCACGAAATTCGGAAAAAAGTTCAATATTATTATAATATCCACAGTGGTAACGGTAATATTTAGAAAATGTTACGGTAATTTTTTTAAGACCGTAGTTGGTCTCACAGCGATCATTGAAAACAACAAGTTTTACCTCGTAAAACGACTTTTGGGCCCATTTTTTCGGGTTTTTTCGTGTTTTTCAGCGCAAATTTCTCGTATTTTCTCGGTTCAACTTCGAATTTCGTTCAAAATTTTCAGAGAACTTCGAAATGTTGGAGGGAAAGCTCGCAAACGCAGGACTTATCAAGAAAATCATCGAATCGATCAAGGAATTGGTTGATGAGGCAACTTTTGATTGCTCTAGAACTGCTATCAGTCTTCAAGCCATGGATTCAAGTCATGTCGCTATGGTTTCGCTCAAACTGAAGGTTGGTTTTGAGGTGGAAAATTTGGGATTTCTGGAAAGAAAATGAGCAATATAGGGCTGCAAATTTTGGATTTTTGGATGAAAAACAAATTAGCTGATTTTTTATACTTTCTAATTATCTCATCTCAAATATGCTCATTTCTAAAGTTTCAATTTCAGGCAAGCTTATTCGAAACATATCGATGCGACCGAAACATCAATTTGGGACTCTCATTGGCAAATATGTCAAAAGCATTGAAGTGTGCCAACAACGACGATAAATGTATCTTCAAATACACCGAAAAAGACGGTGATGCAATTGTGTTCACATTCGCCAATCAAAAACAAGACAAAACTCAAGATGTCACTGTCAAAATGATGGATATTGACAGCGAACACTTGGACGTTCCTGATCAAGAATATTCGGTTGTTTGTGAGATGCCAGCTGCTTAAATGAATTATATTTATGATACAAATAATAATAGCAAAAATAAGAAAAATAATATAAAATGAAGGATAAAAATGTGGGGAATCGAGGGCTTTTTATATTGCACAAACTGTAAAACTGTGGGCTGTAAAGTGTGGGCGAGTGGCACAAGATTGGGGATATTAAAAAAGATAAGAAATATATTAAAAATATTTGATAAATCAAAAAAAGATCAAAAAAGATCAAACTTAAAACAATTTAAGAATTATTAGTCGAAGAATGGGAATCTTCGACATTCCCCAGCTTTGATGTTGTCGGGCCAGCAAAAAAAACGAGCATTACAATATATGTTGCTTCATTTCCATCTCGGTCGATCTCGGTCGACGCTCCCACAAGAAACAAATGATGTGAGCTACCAATTTGATCGGAAGCATTATAATTTTGACCACCATTCTCATACCAATCCCAATGATTTTTGTCGCCGATTGAGCCAATAACATATACATTACCAACACCACAATACCAATTCCCATGACCAGCAATATCATTTTTTTCATCAATCCCACATAGCTGTTCCATAGGTGAGAAAGATCGGGGGAGGTTTACCTCGTGGTAAACCGTAGATTTCCCTTCGATTATTCGATTTATGGAAGTCCAAATTGATCCTGTGAATCGAAGTGTTCCAGCAATTTTGAATGATGTGGGTTCTGATCCACATTCCACGGAGCATTGCTTCTCGATTCTCGCGACTTGTTCGAACAAGTTCAATGCGTTTACTGTTCCTTGTGGGGAACAATCCACCGTGTACATTTCTTCCTGGCATCTCACGGTTGCCATGATGTTATGTTGTCGTGAGAAGCATTTGATCGTTGCTTGCGCTGCTTCTGTGCATTTGTAGCACCCATTCAGCATCAGCGGCTTAACTTGGCAGATATCCGTGTCCTTGATCATGATCAAGTCACTTTTGTTGCTTGCCAATTTGATTCCAATTTCTGTTGCCACACCTTCTTGGATTTGGGCTTTCACATTTCCTCGTTCGGATGATAATGTCCAATGTCCAACTGTAATCGGCAATCGTTTGTCGATTTGATTGAATTCCTTCTCCAAATTTGTGTCTTCGCATTCGCATTTCATTTCTTGCTCGGTTGGTTGACAATTGCATTTTTCGAATAACGAGCAATTTGCATTAATTGCATCTTTTTCGTTTTTGCATCTAAATTCGGGTAATTCTTGTTGATTCCAGGTTATTGTCGAACCATTTCTTGACATGTATTTCGAGTCCAAAATTGTTGATCGTGGATTCGATACAGCTTCGAGGGTGAAGATGTTTCCTTTGTGACCATGAGGTTGATTCAATTTCAAATTGATCGTTTCTACATTGCTCGATTTCTTCATAAGATTTCGGATGGAGACAATGACATTCATTGAAGGAGTCCATTCTTCACATTCAAAAAGTTCGAAAATATCCGTTGTCTTGATTTCTGCGAAGATTTTGTAGAATGTGCAAGCTGCGCTTGGGTAGAAGCATCCACAAGTCAATCCACCGCAAGTTTCCATACAAAAAACGGATCCAGTGAAGTTTTGTACATGATCCAGTTCTGGAATGTTTGAATCTCTTCGTATATTCATACATTTGTTTTCTCCGCAGCTTCCCATACTAGCACATCTTTTTGATATCCATATCTTTTGATTGATGTCTCGGGTAAATAATATTGATTTCTTCAAGCATTTCATTTCCATGTTTTTGAATTCCATTCGTACTTCTTGAATCGCAGTACCATTTTTGATCATTCGAATACATGATTCTTTTTGGATGTTGTTCAGCTTCAGAAACTGCTTGGTGATCACCTGGCATTGTGGCAAGCCAGTGCCGATGTCATTTGAGCATACCGTTTCGGAGTTGTGAATGATGTCGGTTTCTTGGCATCCGTTCACTTGTGCAACCAAAATAGAAATGATTGTAATCAAATCCTTCCATTTCCTTCTGCTTGATCTTTTTGATACACAGCATTTCCAAATCCATCTCATGCAATTCTTGCACATGTTGCAAAGTTTTCCAATGTGAATACAAACTTTCCAAGCAATAATCAATGGTTCTCCAATTCGTAATGGAATATTGAAAATGCAATAAATGGTGAGAAGCAATCCATATATCAACACACATAGTCCAATAATTGCATATTGCGGATGGCATTCGGGATTGAAAATGTTGGACCAGCATAAAGTGCAATCAATAGTTTCACAAATATTGACACCTGGGCATATCTTGTTGATAATTTCGACATTTTCTTTGAATATTTTGACTGTGCAGCTGTGTTTTCGAGCTTTTACTGCTGGTGGAAGCCAAACATCGATCTCATCTTGTTGGTTGAACTTCACTCGCTTCCAATTTGTACAATATGATCCCGTGTCGGTGCAAACTTCAAATTGTTCGACCTTTCCAATCAGTTTGAGTCCAAAATTTGTGCATTCCACTCCATCTCCAACACTTGTTTGTTGAGCATTTGCCATTTGGAGTGATAGTATTATTATACACAATATCGGAATTGATCGGATCGAAGCAAATGATACTGACCAGGGTCCGGTCTTGGTTGTTCTTGAGTGATTCACAAATGATTCATCTTCCTTGTAATTGATCGGTTTTCTTTTTCGAAGATTATAACTTGATTCACCTTGTTCTGGTTCAGCAATATCTTCCTGCTCTTCTCGCACTTGTTCTGATTCAATTTCGAGTGGCACGATCAAATTGATTGGGCGTTTGGTAACTCGACCATTTGATTTCTTCAGGCAAACTTCTCTGGTTGCTCCATCTTTTGAATTGATGACTTCAATAATTTTTGCCAGCTTCCAGTAGTTTCTGGGTTGGTCTGGATCGCACATCAAAACAACTTGTCCAATTGACGGTTTCTTGATTGGTCCTCGTTTTTTGTCCATTCGCAATTTGTGTTTGTCGCGAAGTTCGGCAAAGTATTTGGTTTTCCAGATTTCCCAAACATTTTCGGTTGACTTGATCGAGGACTTCAACTCTTTGATTGTTTCGATTTGAGTTCGCATGGCCATAGTCTCCTGTGATGGTCTGTATTCATCTTCGACTTCTTCCAACTCGTTCATCGGAATTGTAATCGAAATTTCATTTTGAATAAAGTCAATTGGTCGAATGATTTTCACCGTATCTGGTCCTTCCTCCACATACGTGAGTGGTCGTCCATTCAATGATGCGGCAATTTCTTGGAAGGTGGTGACCAGTTCATCCAATTTCAAAATTTGTCTTCCAATTCCTTTCATGAAAGCGTGTTTTACTGATTTCACCAGTCTTTCATAAAATCCACCTTGCCATGGTGAGTATGGAACAATGTGAGACCAATTGATTTCCTTGACTCCCAGGAACTCGAGAATTTCCTCATTCAAGGAGCTTTTGGATTGTGTATCTTGCAAAATTCGTTCGGCCAACAAAAAATGAGGTGCATTATCCGAAATTATTCCTCGAGGTATCCCTCTGATGGCAACGAATCGGCGAAGAGCTTTCAAAAAAGCGCTGGTGTCCATTGATGTGACGACTTCAAGATGAATCAATCGAGTTGTTGAGCATGTGAATATGATACCATATGCTTTTTCGATGGTTTCGTTGTCTGTCTTGTAGTCGATAGGTCCAAAATAATCGATTCCCACTGTCTCGAATGGTCTTGATTGAATTACTCGAGATTTTGGAAGACTTGCCATATTTGGATATTTCATTGGTTGTCCATTGAATCTTTGACATTTGACACATTGAGCCATTTGATGTTTGACTTGTTGTCGCAATTTCGGAATCCAATATTTTGTGCGAACATTAGCCATTGTGTGTCCAATTGATGAGTGCCATTTTCCATGTGCTTCTCGTATAATGAGTTTAGCTAGTTCAGATTTTTCGGCAATCAATACTGGAAATTTAGCAGCATCTGACGACTCACTTTGTTGAAATCGTCCTTTGCACACGATTATTCCTTGCTCATTCACTTCCAAATTCAAGTCTTTCAACTTCATCATTTTTGATCCGCTGATTAATTTTTGGTGTTGTTTGATGAGCAATTGTTCAGCTGACTTCATTTCTTCTGCGGTAATCTCTCCACCATCGGAAATTGAGCCAAATTCAATAATATTGTTCTTGAGTCGGTTTCTGGTTTCTGGTAGATTTTTCGAAGATTTCCATATGAAGCGCAATACATATGCAGCAATTCTTTTGCATTTGGCCAAGGAGCTTGATCGTTCACATTTGAACAGTTGTTCATCACTCGTGACTTCATAAACCGTATTCAAATGTGCGATACCTCCTTCGTCTTTGATTTCGAACAGTTTGGAATCCCATTTTGAGGTGTCTTCTTGGCAGAATTTCGGACCATCCCACCAGATTGAGTTTCCGAATGAATATTTGTCCACACCTCTTGTTCCAAGATCTGCTGGATTCTCTTTCGATCTGACATAACCAAATTGAACTTTGACTTCTCGGCTTTCAATCTGAGAAACAGCGAATCTCATTGTTCTCAATCGGTTGTATATGAAAGTTCCGATTTCTTTCCGTCCTGGTTGTCCTTGAACCCATTTCAATACTGCTTCATTGTCGCAAAAAAAGATCACCTTTTGAATTTTGATATTGGCTTTGAGCAATGCTTGAACCATTGTTTCGGTTTTCGTGGTTGCCATTGAAAGTGCTTGTGCTTCCATCTTCGGAATAGTCCATGGTTCATTTATCGGTCGAACTTTTGATTTTCCAAAAATCAGTTTCACTCCATGTTTCGATTTTACATAAATTGCATAAGCAGCAGCTTCTTTACTCGCATCACTGAATACAATTATTGTGTTTGGATCGGATTTGGAGATAATTTCGCGTGGCAATTTGATTTCGAAATTGTCGATTCCTGAGATAATTTGTTGCAGCTCGAACTCGTGTTCTTCGCTGATCGGAGTATCCCATTGATAATCGACATTCCATAATTTTCTTTGGAAAAGTTTGACTTTCAAAAGAATTGGCACCAAATAGCCCATTGGGTCGAAAACCTTGGCGATTGTGGATGAAACTGATCTTCTGGAGTTCGGTTGGATCATATTTTCATATTCAATCTTCATTGATATTTGATCTTCTTTGATGTTCCATGGAATACCAAGAACTTTGACGATTTCTTCTTTTGATCTGTCTTTTTCATCAATCATTTCCATTATATCGGAATTGTTGCTCATGAATTCTCGAAGGTTCATATTCATTTCTCCGAATATTCGTTTGAGTTGGCGGTACAATTGATGGCCTTCATCTTGATTCTCATCGAAGGTCATTATCAAATTATCAACATAAATGTTGTCGATGATGTTCGGAATCGTGTTGTTCTTGTGGTTTTTCTCCAAGTGATGTTGAATTGTGGCGGCTAACAGAAATGGTGAAGCATTCAATCCAAAAATCACTCGAGTATGTCGAAATATAATGATGTTCGATTTGGATACTGGTTTGTTGATATCTCGAACCCACAAGATTCTTGTGACATCTCGATCTCGTTCTTGTAGTCGAACACATAAAAAGGCTTTTTCCACATCGGAAAGCAGAGCATTCTTTCCAGATCGAAAAGTGGTGAGCAATTCGGTGATATCAGGTAAATCACTTGGACCTTGAAATATCACATCATTCAATGATTGCTCGTCTTTGAAGTGACTACTGCCATCAATAACAATTCGGCAGGTTGTCGTGATTTTGTCGGGAGTGAGCACCGGTTGGTGCGGATTATAATGAACCAGTCCTTTCGGTTTTTCATTCGGCTCGACGATTTCAATGATTCCTTTTGCCAATTGATTCTTGAATATCTCATCCATTTGTTGTAGAACTTCTTTCGGTGAGTTCTTCACCACGGATTCGAGTCTTCTTGCAGCTATCGCATAATTGCTCGGAAGTGATTTGTATCCTTCTTTGAATGGTATTCTTACATAATAACCATCTTCACGCAATTCGATTGTTTCGTTGAAGAATTGGCGTGTTTTTTCATCAATCGCTTTCTTCTCATCGGCTAACGAACCAGTGAATTCATTCTCAGCTTTCATTTTTGTGTCCAACATTTGTTCGATTTCAACTTTTTCATCATCGATGGCAATGTTGATCTCGGAGTAGTCTTCAGATGATTCGATCTTCGAACCTTTCAAAGTTGGATCCGGCATTCCAAGAGATGTAAATCCCAGTTTCGTTTTGATCAGTTGAAGGCCAGATGGAAGGACCAGATGTTCACCGTTCCAAATGGTTGTGAGATAGTCACATCCGATGATGATGCTTGGTTTGATCGTTTCTTGCCAAACATCTTCATTGAGTGAAATTCGATTTTTCTCGGCAAATTCCTTGTCTCTGACTGACATTTCTGCTTTTCTGATCCATCCAGTCAAATGTTTTGATCTCAGCATTTTGAATTTGATTGATCGATTTTCCATCTTCACTTCGACTTCGGATTCGTCGAATATTTGAGATACAGGTTCAGCTTTACCGAATGTTCTCAATTGAAGATTGACTTGACCAATTGTTGGAAGATGTAGTAGTTCAGCCATTTCTTCACTGATATACGACTGATCTGCTCCACTGTCGATGAGTATCGAAACACTTTTCCATACATCATGTTTCGGATCTCGAACCAAAGCACAAACTGTCGGCAAAAATGATTTCTTCTTTTGACTTGAAACCAAAACATGTTTTTCGTCGTCTTGGTGCTCGATTGAAGAATGATTCACATTTTCGTGGGTTTGTTTCGAATTGTTGTTGGTGCTGGCTCCTTTATTTTGAGCATTGGCATCTTTATCCATGTGGTTGTTTGATTTGGTGCAAAGAAGGTTGTGGTGTTTTTGTTTGCACTTTTTGCATGGATATTTGTGGCAGTCGGTTGATTTGTGTTGTTTGCTGAAGCAGACTACGCAACGTTGTTGTTCAGTAATCACTTTCATCCGACTTTGAGGATCAGCGAATTTTTTGCATTCGAAGTTGCGATGTTTCTCGTCGCAAAAGATGCAGTTCCATTCTTTTTTCGAAGCATCATTTGATCCTTTGTTTGATCCATTGGATTTTTGGTTTTGTGGACTGTTGCCGTTACCTTTTTTGTCTTCGGTTTTGGCAACTTCTTCATTGGTTTTGACTTTCATCAACATCTCGATATCTTCATCTCGCGATATGATTTCCTCGAGGTCTTCCAGAATTTTCTTCATCGTCCACGATTGTTCTCTGCCCATTTCAATCTTCTTTTTGAACACTTCTTTTTTGATGGAGTCATTGAATTTGGCAATCACAACTTCTTTCATCATCCTTGTGTTAGTTTCTTCTTTATTCAACACAAGTTGTTCAATGAGAATGTTGATTGAGTCGAGCAGTTGTCTTTGATCTGCGGTTTTCAAACCTTTTGATCGCTCTTTCATCAGCTGATCGGTTAATGCGACTATCGTTGCCTCGGTGTTGTTGTATCTTTGATTCAACAGTTGTATGGCAGGTTCGTAGTTCTCGGCTGTAACCCGAAACTTCTTGAGAAGATTCTTGGGTTCTCCTTCCAGCGAATTAATCAAATGATTCAGCTTGATGAGTGGAGATTCGTCGGTTTTGCCGACAATTTCTTGGAACAAGGTCCAGAAGTTTGGAAATTCCCATGTATTTCCTTTGAATTTCGGAATTGTTATCTTTGGAAGATTAGAATAACGTTCCTTTGTGCCTTGCTCCGGCCCTTGGTTTTGGCGTGGAGTTTCGACAAGTTGATTCGGTTGGGTATTGGATAGACGTTTTGCAAGCAATGTTTGGTGAGCTTTGATTTTGTCGACCAAGTCCCATCCTTCTTCTGTGATTTTCGTCACATTCTTCACTTTTTCTTCCATTTTCTTCTCGAGCTCGTCATCGTCATCGTTAGCTTCGCCTTCTTCAGCTTTCAATAGAGCTTCTAGTCTTTCTTCAGCTCTTCTGATTTTGTCTTGAAGCAGTGATGCGTTGAGCAAAAGTGAATCGAGAGCTTCTTCGTTCGATACCAGGTTGATGGTGGATAAAAGCTCTCTCGCCTCTTTGATTTGATCCGTCAGACTCCGCTCGGCTCGAGTCATATGTCCAATATAATGCGAGAGAGGCATGAGTAGGAGTTGTTTTTTCGATATCTGCTATTCGGTTGGTTCAGCTTCAGTTTGGTCGATGCACCATAAATGAATTATATTTATGATACAAATAATAATAGCAAAAATAAGAAAAATAATATAAAATGAAGGATAAAAATGTGGGGAATCGAGGGCTTTTTATATTGCACAAACTGTAAAACTGTGGGCTGTAAAGTGTGGGCGAGTGGCACAAGATTGGGGATATTAAAAAAGATAAGAAATATATTAAAAATATTTGATAAATCAAAAAAAGATCAAAAAAGATCAAACTTAAAACAATTTAAGAATTATTAGTCGAAGAATGGGAATCTTCGACACTGCTGAATTCCAAAAGACTTGCAAGGATTTGGCCACATTCTCTGATTCATTGAATATTGCAGTCAATTCGGTGAGAATTTATACATTTGTTGTTGAAAAAAAGGGGATTCTGAAAAAATTTTTAAAGTAGTGAACAAAAACTGGGCATTTTCATTTTCACAATTTTGATAAAATCCATGAGAAATAATGTTTTTTCTATGAAAAAAAGTCATTTTATAAAAAAAAAACAAAAAGAAAACAACGAGACTCCGCGTTGACGCACATGCGCGGCAAAGCTATTTTTCAAATAGGAGTTAAAATTTTAATTATGAAACACAATTCATCTTTGGTTGAACACATTAAAAAACACCAATTTTTCACACATTTTACTAATCAAACTCAATTCGGTGAGAATCTATACATTTTTGTTGAAAAAAAGGGGATTCTTGAAATTTTTCAAAATTAATGAATAAAAACTGAAGATTTCAACAGTTTTCACTAGAAAAACATGAGAAAAAATGTTGTTTCTATTAAAAAAGTCATTTTTTAAAAGTCATTTTGCAAAAAAAAACAAAAAGAAAACAACTAGACTCCGCGTTGACGCACATGCGCGACAGAGCAAATTTTCAAATGAGAGCACAAATTTTTATTCGAAAACGCAATTCAACTTCGATTAAACACATAGAAACAACAATTTTTCATATTTTCCATTGAACCTTTCTCCTTTCAGAATTCGATCGTGTTCACTTGCAAAGGTGATATTGGTTCATCGGTTGTCACATATTCTGCATCTTCTTCAACAGATGATGAAAAAGAAGCTGTCTCATTGGAAGTAAAAGAACCAGTAAATGTCAACTTTTCGATCAAATATATGAATCAATTCACAAAAGCCACAAGTTTGGGTGATCGAGTTCGACTTTCGCTTCGAAATGATGTTCCAGTTGTTGTCGAATATCCAATTGAAGATAACGGATTCTTGAAATTCTATTTGGCACCAAAAATTGATGACGATGATTTTATGGATTGAATGTCACTCTTTTTCTCTTATTTTTAATTTCTAATCTTTTCGAATAAACTGCCACATAAAAATTTGGGTTTTTTTCGAAATTTGTTGACATGGGCAGTTTTTGAACATCTGCAAAATTTCATAAATACAGTAATTTTCGGAACGGAAATTTCAGGTGAAAAAACTTGGGAGTTCTAGGAGTTCCTGAAAAATGAGCATGACTACAGTAATTCTGGTAATATAGTCAAAGCCCATCAATATTTTGTTCATGGTCTCGAAAAGAATTAGAACAACATACTGTATTTCTGAAAAAATAATCCACAGTATTTTTCCCTTTATACTAAGGATTCAAATGGTTACTGTAGAAAGGCCACGTCGGGTAAATCGATCACGCTGATCATCATCTGCTACTCAGTTTTCCACAAAAATCATCGGAAGTTGAGTTATGATGACTTTTATGAGTCAATTTTGGAAAATTTTGAACTTTTGAGAGCCCAGAACTTGGCTCAGAGGTCCATTGGGAGACTAAAATTTTTAGGGTGTTATTATGACTCTAAAAACAGTCTGTGAACAAAATTTCATCGAGGTTTGAAGTGTTGAGTAAAAAAGGTTTCCTTGTCAAAACAATAAACATCTTCATAATAAAAATAATCAAATCTTCAACCCATAAATATTAGAAATCACTTTGAGAGTGCCAAAATTCTTGCATTCAGCGGATTTTCCGGCGATTTTTGCCATTCTTTTTTCAGCACTTGTTTCAGTTGAGAAAGACGATAGGTTGGATGTTTGATCTTGAGTTCGGGAAGTCGTTTCTCCTCGAAAGCCTAAACAAATTATATTTCAAGTTGAGCTAACTCAATTAGTTTATTATTATTAGTTTAGGTTGGCTCTTTTTCTTTTTCGAAACAATGTTTATTATTTTTTCCTCGGTCTCCAATATAAACATTTTTCATTTTTTAATATAAATTGTATATAGTTTTTTTCGTTCTAAATTGATATGACCTTTTGGACATCTGGACTGTACGTTCTGATTTTTTTCTCAAAAACATGTCTTACCAAATATGCAGCCCTCATTCGTTTTTCTGGATGTTTATCATCTTCGGTAGCTTTTGGATCTCCTAAAATCTTCAAAGCCTCTTCAACATTTCTCGCCGAATCACTTTCAATATCAATTTTGTTAAGATTCTCTTGAATTTCGGTAACAACTTCAATTTTTTGTGCATCCAATTTTCGTTGTTCATCCAACTCTTTCATAATTCTCTCCTCATCCTCTTTTCGTTTATCAATTGCAGCTCGTGTAATTTTCGGTGCCGGCGATGCTTGAACCTTCTTAGCTCCTAAACTCGACATTTCCTCTTCAGCCAGTTTCCGATTTTCTTCTTTTCTTTTTATTGCTTCTAGACGCTTTTTCTCATCGTCGTCCTAGAAATGTATATACATTTACAATTCTCTCCATCTTTTTCAATATAGTTTTTCTTTTTCATTTTTTGCTGCACATACCTTTCTTTGCAATTTTCTATTGGCTAGTTTGTCATCATCTTTCCAATATGCATCATCAGCTGCCTAAACAATACAATTGTTATACACTTTTTTCAATAAATATAACTTTCATACCTTTTGCTTCCGATCTACTTCGTCCTTTTTTGCAGTTGCTTTCCGATCTCGAGCCGCTACAACTTTCGGATTCTCCGTTGCAAATTTTTTCGGCATTTTTGGCTACCCTGCAAGGTAAATTTACGGGTTTAAAGTCTGAAAACGTGGTGGAAACATTGAAAATCGAAATATTTTTTTTAAATACAGTTTCAAGGAACATTATAGAAATTGAATGGTCTCACATCGAAGACAGTAATTTTTTCAAAGGCACACAAAAATATTAGGAAATATTTCGTAACGCTACGAAATTGTGTACTTCTCCCGGAGAAATTCGTCATTTTTTTTGAAAAAAAATTCTGAATCGCCCGAATTCGCCCAGGATTTTGTCAGAAAGTAAGCATTAAGATAACTTGAATCACATGAAAAAATAAAAAAAATAAAAATTGAAGAAAAACCCTGCGGCATTTGGCATAGGCGTGGCCTTGTTTATTTTCTTCTTTTCGCTCTCTCTCCATTTTTCTTCTCTCTTTTTCTCCTCTCATTCATATTTTAACATTTTGTCGGCCACAAAGCATTGAAACAACATTTTTCAAAAAAGCTTATTTAAGGCACTATTTATTGATTTTGTTGTGCAACAGGGAATTTTTGGATTTTTTGATTTCCCGGATCAAAATCTTCTTTTTTCAAGATAAGCCGAGATAAAATCTCTGCGCAAAAAATATTATTTTTTTGGCTAATGGAATATTACTTTTCTTTATTTTAATGATGATTATGAAAAGAAAATAATTCCAGTTCCATAATAATTATAGGAACATTTGCTTCTTCTCTCTCATATTTCTAAGTTTGTCGTCTCTTCGTTCACTTTATTTTCTCCATGCAGGTAAATAACAAAAACAACAACAAAAAAACGAAAGAATGGTCAACTGGTTGACCTATTTTTGATAAAATTGTTATATATAGAAACCAAAAATCTTTCAGAGTTGCACATGGTTTGATGGCGCTAAGAAATTTGATCGCCTCGAAATTCAAACCCATTCTTCTTATATGTCTCTGCATTCTAACTGTACATTTGGTGATTTTCGAGGTCTAGTTTTTTTTTCTGAGCAAAATTTGAAGCAAACTAAACATTTTGCAGGTTCCTTCACTCTATGAGAACTTTTCAATAGTTCCAAGTTCATTTCTGGGCGATGTCGATGTTTTGGAAGAAGTGCTAAGCAACACGGCAAGTGAGGTTCCATTATTCAACATCTCAAATTCTCAAACAACTCCTCCCACCGGAGATCTAGAAAATGTAACAAATTTCATGGAAGACGTCAAAATCTTTCTTCATCAATCCGATTCCTCTCCAATTTGTAATTCAACACCTCCCGGTCTAGTCGGACCAATTCGGGTTTACCTTGATGAACCCGATTTCGAAACAATGTCGAAAATGTATTCGGAACTTCGCCCGGGTGGACATGGAATGCCTGAGAAATGTCAGGCGAGACATCGTGTCGCAATTATTGTGCCGTATCGAAATCGAGAAAGTCATTTGAAAATTTTATTGCATAATTTACATTCGGTTTTGAAAAAACAACAGTTGGATTATGCGATTTTTATTGTTGAACAAGTGGCAAATCAGACTTTTAATCGGGGAAAAGTTAGTTTTAATGAAAAATTTCCCAAAAAAACCTGAATTTTGGATAAAAAAGTCCCAAATATTTGGTTTTTCAAAATTTTTAGGGTTTTAAAATATTCTCCCCAAACTTATTATTTAAAATTGGTGAAAAAATTAACAAAAAAAAAATTTTTTTAGAAAATTTCTTGAGAAAACTGAATGTTGTACATTTTTCAAAAAACTTTTCAATTTTGGCTTAAAATTTCAGAGAAATTTATATTTTCCAGTTTTTATTGCACCTTTTCCCCCGAATTTTCGAAATTTCGAGTTCAAAACACCTATTCACACTACACATTTTTCCCTTCCCGCGATAAAAATCTGATAGAAATCTCTCCAACTTTGTTCTCTCCTCCTCCCACCCAAGAAACTGTCTAATTTTTTTGCAGCTAATGAACGTGGGTTTCGACGTGGCATCGCATCTCTACCCGTGGCAATGTTTCATTTTCCACGACGTCGATTTGTTGCCAGAGGATGACAGGAATTTGTACACGTGTCCAGTGACACCAAGGCATATGAGTGTGGCGGTGGATAAGTTTAATTATAAGTGAGTGCGGGGATATTTTGTAGGCTAGTTATAGAACTTTAAACATTTTTTTGGATTTTCAACTGACTTTTGGTTTTTTCTAAAAGTTTTTAAAATTCAAATTAAGAGCTCCTGAAATATGTTAATGATTAAAAATTTGAAAAAATTGATTTTAAAAATTATATCATCTGATTTGAATACAATATTAATTTTCTGCAAAATTTATCGATTTTTTAAAAGCCTTATGAATTGGCTCACAATTTTTTTGCAGACTCCCATATTCTGCAATTTTCGGCGGAATCAGTGCTCTCACCAAAGAGCAATTCGAACAAATCAATGGATTTTCGAACGATTTTTGGGGTTGGGGAGGAGAGGATGATGATTTAGCAACAAGGTTTGTAGTTTTTGCATTTTTTTGGGTAAAATCGGCAGCTGTTCAGCTGTTTTTTGATTTATTAATGAGTTATTACACTTTTGGGTCAATATAATTAATTTTTACAACAACAAAAAAAAATGATTCATAGGAAATGCATCTATTTTTATAATTTGTTGAATTTTTAATCCTCTTTGGATTAAAATTGAAAAAATTATTGAACATTTTAAAAATTCAGATTTCTTGGAGAATGGAGAAAAATGGGGAAAAAAGCAGGGGAAAAAAATTTAAAAATTTTCAAAAAATCGATATTTTTGATCTGAAAATTTATATCGATTTGTTTGTTGGAAGCCAAAAATTTTCAGAACAAAAATTCAAAACAAAATTGACTTTTGAAATATGCTTAAAATTTTTCAATACTTAATTTTTTCCAACAAAAAATAATTAGCTTAAAAATGTCACAAAAATTCCAAAAAATCGACCCTATATGATTTTTGAAACAATCAAATTTTCGAGAAAAACACCCAAGATCCATCTTATAACTAATTCCAAAAAATGTTCTGCAGAACCTCCGAAGCTGGTCTCAAAGTATCCCGTTATCCATCCCAAATCGCTCGCTACAAAATGATCAAACATTCCAAAGAATCCACGAATCCAATCAATAAGTGTCGCTACAAAATCATGTCTCGAACAAAACAACGCTGGAAAACCGACGGAATTTCATCGCTTCATTACAAACTCATCGATCTTCAACTCCACAAATTGTACACTCATGTGATGGTGGATTTGTTGGAAGTGCAAAGCCGTCAAAAACTCCGTCAAATTCTACCAACTTGTTATTAATTATCTCGGGTCTTCTTTTTCCTTTCTTCACCCTTTTCTTGGCGGGTTCTTAATAATTTCCGGGTTCTTCAAAAGATTTAATGAATGAATTAATTTAATTTTCTCAAAGAACATGAAAACGGGGAGATTTCACACAGGGATGGATACAAAGTACATCATACGGCAAGTATACATAAATAGTTGAACTAAATAATTCAAGGATTAGTTAAATAAAATAAATTTAAAAAAATTAATTAATCGATTAAATACGCGGATTGAAATCTCTCTCGAAGTCTCTGTCAAAACCAGCATGAACATCAAGACTAAAATGTCGACGAACTCTGCCTTGACGCCGTTCTACTGCATTATTATAAGCGGTGACAAGATTGATGGTTCGTTGCGATGAATATTCTTTCAAGTATTTATAAGGGTCCTCGTATGGACCATCATCATCCTGGAAAATGTAGAATTTGAACGCGCTGAGTGGTGAAACCGAGTTATGACGTGGCAAAGGTTCCGATGATCAAGAATTAGATTTTTTTTCAGATAAAAATTCGAAAAATTAACATTCCCCCTCTGTTAGAATATGAAATATTGTTGAAAATTTTTCATTTTGAAAATATTAAATTTTTGAAACAGTAATTTTTTTCCGTAGAAAGACATCCCCCTTAAAGACACATGCTTTAATTTTTGTTTAAGTGTTAATTTGTCTCCAAAAAATTTTAATTGTAAAACAATCAACACGAATCCATCAAATATTCTCAGAATATTTTGAAAATTCATGAAATTTTTGAAAAAATTTTTTTGAAATTAAAAACAACTTTGTTTCAAAAATTCGGACAATTTTGATTTTTGAATTCAAAAAATCTCTAGGAAAATCCTCCCTTCTGCCACGTCATAACTTTTAAATTTCCACAAACCTCCTCTTCATCGCGTTTCGGCTTCTCGTCAAAACAACACTCAAACATTCGAATATGTGGAGCCTCTCCAGACGCGGCAATTTTCAACAATTCCGGATGTGGTTCACAAATATTCGCATTTTTCAACGTGCTTTTCCACATTCCCAAAATTCCTCCAGTTGCTCGCGACCAAACAATCATCGAACCACAATCAGATCCACCAACTTACAAAAAGAAAAGTTTTTGAAATTCTACAATAGCTACAAAAAGATATAACTCACCAATATATTGATCATTGGATCCGAAAAAGTTGGCCTGTCTGATATTTGTGTTGTTGTTATATCTTCCCAAATATCTCTCCTTATAATCCATGATATCATAGCGAATTCGAGCTGCACGGGATGGGAATTCGGAACGTTGTTCGAGCTGGAAATTATGGATTTTCGATAGAGAAAAAGGAAAAAATTGAGAGAAAAATAGAAGAGCTGTTTTGAGGCTTCGAAAAATATTTGGGAACATTTTTTGAACAAAGCCTGATAACGAAAATTAGGAGCACCTCTCAAAATCTTCAATGTTAAAGTATGAAATTCAGAAAAGGTTTACTTCACAAAATAAAAACACGTTTTGATCACTACGGCACCAAAAATGTATCATTTTTCTCGAATTGTAGCTCAGAAATTGCTAATTTCAGCTCCGGGACCCAATATTTATCATTTATTACAAATTCTGGATCAAACTTTACCATTTTTGGTGCAGGTCTCGAAATTGTAAAAAAAACAAAACCACGTACGTGAGGGTGATTTTGAGGGGCAAATCGTAAAAATTGGGATTTTTTCGAGGTAAAGTTTGAGAAAAATCATAAAATTTGGGTCCTGGAGCGAAAATTATCGACTTTTTGAAACAGATATTTTAAATTTTGAGCCCTGGACCAAAAAAGGCAACATTTGAGCCAGAATTCGTAGTAAATGATAAATTTTTGTCCTGGAGCACAAAAACGTGTGGAATACTGAAATTGTGATCCACGTGGCAATTTTTTTCAAGTGTATTCCATGTGGCAAATCAAAAATTAAAAAAATTTGAATTTCGACATTTTGGCGCTAAAAAATCAACGTGAAAATTTTGAATTCATAAATTTTGGCGCGATCAAATCCACGTGGCAAATCAAAAAATTAAAAAAAAAATCTGAAACCAAACCTGCTTTTCAATTTTCGATATTGATTGATCATTGGGGAATCGTTTTTTAAAAACCTCGCAACATTTCTGCGCCAAATCATAATTCTCCATCCTCACTGCCGCTTGTCCCATCCGCCAAATCGCCTTCGAATTTCCCTGATGCAGTTTCAACGCTTTCACACATTCCTTTATCGAATGCCACCAGTCACCAGGATATAATCTCTCATTCAAACAAGTCGCTCGATTCGAATGCAAAACACTCAAAAATCTCAAATCCGTCGTTTTCGTCGTCGCCATCAATTCGCCATAATAATCATATCCTTTCAAATAATTCTTCTCCACTAAAATGTGTGTTCGTGGACTTCGAAGTTCTTCAAATGGCAAATTGTCGCGAAGAATCATCTCGAATTCGCCGGGATCTTCGAGTAATTTATAGGCATCATCAAGGGTTTGAGGATTCTTTCCTCTTTGTGTATCGAATATTACAATTGATCCGCCCAATTGATTCACAATTAATTCCTGGCCATTTTTACTGAATTCTACATGATTTGTTCTATGTTCATATGTATGACTATCACCCGGTTTGAGTTTAAGGAATGGTCGCGAAGGTATTCTACGATCATAAAGCGGCACTTCAGCTTCATCCAATCCAAGGGCCATCTGAAATTCAGAAAAATACTAGATTTTTTCGCAAAAACCTCTCAAAAAACTCACAATAAACGGTCTTTCGGCGCAAACCGCCATAGTTTTAATAATCGCCGAACTTTCCGGGAAAGACATCAATATATTGACTTCATTTATTCTCGTATCAATTTGTCGCAAATGTCCGTCTTCTGTTGCCAGCCAACAACTATTCGGCTCACTTTCCAAAGTGCATATTCTTCGCACAACCGCATCAACACTTATTGTGTTCGAAACATTGTCTGAAAATAAAAATAATCTAACTTAAATTCTCCTTATCGGGAGAAGAATAACTCACTTTCAATATGACTGATGTGTAATAGTTTATCATCGCCACCGCTCAAAATAACATTGTCATTTGAGCCCGGCAAAAATTCCACAGAAAATATATTTGCCAAGTTATCATCCTCTAGTGAATGCAATAAATTGTTAGTTCCATTTTGCCAAATTTTGATCTTTTTATCATCCGATCCAGATGCTAGAAGAGTTCCTTTTTTATTCCATCTCAACGCATTTACAGGTCCGCTGTGCCCGTCGAGAACACTTGTTCTTCGAAGCGATTTTACTAAATAATCCTCATCGAAATACGCAGAAACACTTGGAAACGAAGAGGTCGGCTCAATTTCTCGTTGTGAAAGTGTCGCTGGCAACATCTAGAAATATTGAGGTTAAGGAGCAGCAAAAGCAGAAGAAAAGAAAAAAAAAAAGATTTTTTTTTTCAAAAATAAAAAGTCGTCAAATAAAATGCATTAGTGCCTAACACAACGACGCACAATTGCACAACCCATTATTTTAATTTTTTACAGTGCGTTTCATAATGATAGGTTCACCCCCAAAATTTCTGAAATCAGCCGAGGTGTGAGTTGTAATCACAATCCGAGTTAAAAATAAAAAAGAACACACAAAATTAGCTAAGAAAACTCAATTTTATCTGAAACTACCAAAAAATAAAAAAATAAATGACCGGAGTTCAAAAATTTCAAAAAATTTAGCGTTTCAAAACGATAGGTTCACCCGCGGTAGTACTGTAGTTATGTTTCGTGGTAGGAGTTTTATCGAATATTCTGGAAAATACGAGTGATATTTGATTATTTTAACGTGTTTCTGTTTTTGTTCTCGTTTTTTCACGTCATTCATCAATGTCGCGGGAAGTCATCTTACAAAAGAGGAACAAGCTCAAATTAGAGCATTCAAAATCGCCGGATGGTCCAATAGAATGATTTCGTCAAAATTGAAACGATCTCTCAACTGTATTAATCAATTTGTCAACAATCCGGATCACTATGAGCGAATGAAAAACACTGGAGCTCCCAAAAAACTCACGGAGAGAGATAAACGAGGGATTGTTAGGTTGGCTTCGAACACAATGAAATCGTGTAATGACATCAAAAACGAGCTGGGTTTGAATATCAGTAAGACTACAGTTTGGAGAGCCATAGACCAATCCCCAGAAATCGTTCGAGCCAAATTGGTGCCAGCTCCGCGTCTCACACTTCGCCACAAAGACAACCGTCTTACTTTCGCAAAAGCCAACATGGCCACAGATTGGGATAAGGTAAGTAATTTTTCTAAAAACATCAAATATTGATGTTTTCTTGTTCAGATAATTTTTTCTGCCGAAAAAAGTTTAATCTTGATGGTCCGGATGGTTACAACTCATACTGGCATGATATCAGAAAGGATCAACTTCGCTTCCCAAAGAGAAATTTTGGAGGAGGACGGGTTATGTGTTGGGGCGCATTTTCTGCAGCTGGAACGTTAAAAATAGCTTTTGTTTCATTCAAGATGGATTCGTTAGATTACCAAAAAACCCTCCATGACTATCTTTTGCCATATTTGAGGCGGTTCCGGACCAGAAAGTTCACTTTTCAACAGGATAATGCTGCCATCCACGTCAGCCAATCATCAAAAGATTGGTTCAAAAGCCACAAAATCAAAGTTTTGGATTGGCCAGCGTGTTCTCCTGATCTTAATCCGATGGAAAACGTATGGGGGGAGCTCGTTCGCCGAGTTTATGCTCAAGGAAAAAATATGATACTGTGGACCAACTCAAAGATGCCATCGAGACGGAATGGAATAAAATCGATAAGAACTACCTCAAGAGACTTGTTGACTCGATGCCAAATCGTCTCTATGATGTCATTTCTAAACATGGAGGTCCAACTAAGTATTGATTTTCGATTATATGTCTCCAATGGGAATTCTGGATTAGGTGAACCTATCGTTTTGAAACGCTAAATTTTTTGAAATTTTTTGAACTCCGGTCATTTATTTTTTTATTTTTTGTTAGTTTCAGATAAAATTGAGTTTTCTTAGCTAATTTTGTGTGCTCTTTTTTATTTTTAACTCGGATTGTGATTACAACTCACACCTCGGCTGATTTCAGAAATTTTGGGGGTGAACCTATCATTATGAAACGCACTGTATTTCCCGAAACTCCAAATTTTCTTTTAAAAGCAAAAGGTTTTCAGTTTTCAGACACAATGTATTGTCTACAATGGCTGATTCCGGTTCTACTGATTCCAAAACACTGGCTACATCCAATGTTTCTGGCCGAACAAGCACTATTCATGTGGTTTTATATAGTCGGATTTTTCTTGGAACGAAGGTACGTTGCCTAGGTAATTGCACAAAGTGCATTGATTTTTATTATTTGTAACTAACTAACAATTATTTTTGAGATGAGGGTTATGATATAAAAAATAATAATAAAAGCGCGTTTTGAAGGGAAAAAAAATAAAAGAATAACAATTTTTGATAAAATCAATAGAGCAGAACAATAATGTGATGGGAAAAAACATGAAATCAAATCAATCGATTTTTCTTTCCAGGCCATGCCACATATGCTCGGGAATCTTCTTCATCGCTCTATTTTTGATCTGCTATTCCGATCCGGATAGCTGTATTTTCTGGCCGACTTGCAACAAACAATTGAATGGCGAAGCTTGCACTTATGTGTTTCAGGAACGTCTTCGAAACCTTTTCTAGAGCCCCCCATTTTGCTCATTTTTATTTAAAAATGTGATTTTTACGGGATTTTATTGTTTCATTAATTTTCAAAGTATATATTGCAATCCATTTTCATTTTCAAACAATAATAAAATTTATAACGTAACGTAACAAAAAAAAACAAAAACAGAGAATTTTGAATTGGAACTGACAGGGAAAAATTGGTGGGTTCGAATTTAAATACGGGTTTTGGGTCACACCTGCACCCCAGCTGTGAAACGTGGGAATTTCCACAAGAAAAAAACGGCCAAATTCCCCCAGGTGCAGTTCAATTCAAAATAACAACAATAATTCAAGAAAACAGTGATTTGAACAACTCATTTCTCGATTCGTGACTCCATGTAACAACCGACGGATTGGCTGGATAAAAATTGATCAACTTCGCGATCGGTTCATATTTCAACTTCCGATCTTTCGACGACAACGCAGTAACATCTCGCTTCTTCTTATTATTACTAAACATATTTTGCAATTCCATATAACTTCTTGTCATATCAGCTCCATCTTCAGATGTATTCATTGTATTGTTTCGTGATTCAATCATTTGTTTGAGAAGAATTTGATAGAAATCATTATCATCAAAGATTTCATTATCAATTCCTTGCGAATTTGTTTCTTCTGCTCCTATTCTCGCATTTCCACTTCGAATTGTTCGAACTTTTTTCAACAATTTGCCTTCATCATTAAGAACTTTACTGATTTGACTCAAAACACTTCCTTTTTCAAAACCACTGAAATCCGCATTATTTGCCGATTTCGCATTCAATAATTTAGTTCGATTATACCATTTTGTAATTGTAGTAGCTCTGGAAAAATATTGCATATTTAGGAAAATGTTTCAAAAAATCCCAAAGTACCTGAATTTGTCAAAATCTTCATCGTGTTTTCTCAAGAATTTTCCAAGTCCTTCAACACTAACTCCTTGCTCAACTGCGGATTTTTTCGGGGTTTCAGATCTGCAAAAATTTCTGTAACTGATGGGAAATTCAAAAAAAAACCCTCACTCTTCATCCTCTTCTTCATCCTCTCCATCTTCATCTTCTAAATCACTATTCAAATCTCCAATATCTTCATCACTCGGAATTTCCTCGTCATCATCATCATCATCTCCCCCAGTTTTTTCAGCAAAACATTCACAAGCTTCTTTCAATAATTGCCTAAGTTTTGCAACATTTTTCATCGATTTTGCAATGTTTTGTTTTGTCTGTTCATCTGCCGAATTCATCAATTGTTTTCTTGTTTCTCCACGTGGCATTTGATTTGTTGCATTTAATAAAGCATGAATTCGAATATTCGTATACATAATATCATCCCAAACTTTTCGCTGATTTTGAATACATTCGGCTTTATCATTACTTTGATCAACTTCAATTGGAAGAGTTGTTATTCCAGTGTTCTCTTCTTCATTTTCATTTTCCTCATCCTCTTCATCATCATTTTCAGAATCTCCTTCTTCTTCGTCATCAACATCTTCTTCTTCAGAACCTTCCTCAATTTCACTAACATTTTCCTCCTCCTCCTCTTCATCTTCCTCGTCTTCTCCTTCATCAGAATCCTCAACCTTCCTTCCTAACCCACTCATTTCTGTTGAATCACCAAAAATCTCACTTCTCGAAACCTTTTTTCCTGCATACTTTCCCTCCTCAAAATTTATTTGCGGGAATTTCGCTTTGCTTTTCGGCACAATTTTTCGCGCGGAAGTCCCATCATAATCATCATCTTCAATGTCTGGAAGAGCTGCTGCAGGTGTTGTTAGCTTGGAAATCTCGTCAAGGAGAGACATCTGCAAATTAATAGTGATTACTTGAGCGGACGATAATTATTCAATTAGGAGCTGCAAAACTTTTTTTGCGAAAAAAATGAAAATAAAAAACCAAAAAGACGTCAACAATTTCAAACACGCCAGTCGCGAAACACTGACGCTTTTTGCCATAATGTCTGCGTCTCCCCATATCCCACACTCTCTCTTTATCTCTGAAATGCAAATGCGCTCTAAAAATAATCAATTTTATTCCATTGTTTTAGCGTACCTTTTGATGTCTGAAACTAAAGCCAAACGAATTGTATATCGTGTGCGGAAACAATTGGAAGATGCAGAAATAGATGAGGATTTCCTGAAAATGTAAGGCTTCTAATTCTTAATACATTTGTTTATATACATTTTTTCAGCCTGGAAAGTTCACATGCTCCTCGAGATGAGAAATTGATCGGGATTGAAGAGATCACAAAAGTTCAAGGTGAATTGAAAGATGCGTTGGAGACAGCAATTAAGTTTGGCGAGCAAACTGGATTGTTGAGTTATCTAAAACCGAAGGATTTTGAGAAACTCCGTAAAAATGGTGGGTTTTTTGGTTTCGTTGAAAATAAATCGCAAGTTTTGTAAATTTTAGTTTTATCAATGCTCATTTCAAACAACGATGAAACAGAAAGCGATGAAAAACACAGCAGATATGGCGAAGAAGTTGTCGTCGGAAAAATTCAACACATTCACCACGATCATTTTTCCGAACAACATCCTGAGCCACCAATTCCAATTTGCATTCCAAAATTGAATGTAACCGATATTCGCGATGAGGAAAAGAGTGAATATGAGAATTCGTTTAATTTCAATTTGAAAAGTGGTGATCGCCTTCCAAGTCCTCTCGTAAAACTAATCGCCACAAGACCCAAAGATGTTGAAAAAGTTAGTGTTGGTGTGCAAATGGAGAAAGTGATAATGAAAGAATCGCAAGTTCAAACATCAGATGTTGAGGTCAAAACTCCAAGGGTTATAGAAGATGAAGAAGAATTCAGTGGGGAGGAGGACAAGAGTGAAGGGGAAATCCCAGAGTACTTACTGTAAGTTCCAAAAAAACATTTTCAATTAAAAAAATTTTTTTAGATCAAAACTGGACAATTTAATCTGCGTTCATAGCAATGGAGAAGTCGTTTATTCACAAAATCAAACCGCAAACCTCAAAAATCGCGAATCTCAAACAACTCCACGAATTTTTGAAGATGAAGAAGAACTTTTACTCGAAGAAGGTTCCTCATTCTCCCTAAATGTTCGCCAGCGAACAATATCCCAATCATCCGGAAGTGCACGGGTTCTCAAACTTCAAACGAGTTCTTCAGACGCCGATGATGAATCGCATTCGATATAATTTTCATGTAATTAATTAATTATTCCTATATGATCTCACACATAAATTATCATTTATTTAGTTTTTTCATGTGACAAACACGTATTTCGTTTGATTATCTTTCTGCAATTATAATTAAAAGCAAATTTGAAAAAAAATATTTTAGTTGATGGACCAAGGCCGATAATACAAGATGAGTTGCGGGATTGTTGAGTGAGTTAAAAAATAAATTAATTGATTAAAATATGGGGATTTTTCAGTCCGGACATCAAGTTCTCTTATAAAAATCGGCGTGCTGGAAAAGGCGAAGCTTACGAGCCGACGCAACACGAACATGTCGCCAATACAATCTCGCATGCGGTGAGTTGACTTTTTTTTACGTTTCAAATTTTTTGTATAAATTTTTTGGGTGGCTTGAAATTTAATAATCGTGTCGACCACTAACCTTGAATAAATAAAATTTATTTTCCAACTTAAATCCAAGTTCAAATTTTACAGATCGGAATTGGTCCATCATTCATCATATTCTACTTTTATATGTTAAATGAAGCGCATCGTGAATTACAACATATTTTGATGGTTATTTATGGAATATTTACAACAACTTTATTTATTTCAAGCACAGTTTATCATTTATTCGAACTTTTGTATCGATCTCGTAATTTGTGAGTCAGTGGAAATTGATGAATTTTGAATCCAAATGTTTGTTCAAAAGTTCCCAAGACTGAAATTAATCAAAAAAATGGAATTTAACGAATTTCTTGTAATTTTGGGTTACTTGATATTTAAAAAAAATTCCAATATTTCAAATTTCAATCAGAAAAGTTCCCCAAACCGAAATTCTTTGAAAAATAAAATTTTTTGCATTTCTTGTGATTTCGTGTTGCGAGAAATTACGAGAAATTCCAAAAATGCAGAACAATTCAATTTTTTCTCAAGAAAAATTTCCGTAGCCCGAAATTTTTTGCAAAACCTGAATTTCAACAATTTCTTGTAATTTTGGGTTACGTTATATTACAAGAAATTCAAAAAGTTCAAATTTCAATCAGAAAAATTCCCCAGACCTTTGAAAAATGAAATCTTCTGAATTTTTTGTAATTTTGGGCTGCGAGAAATTACGAGAAATTCCGAAAATGCAGAACAATTCAATTTTTCTCAAGAAAAATTTCCACAGACCGAAATTTTTGCAAAACCTGGATTTCTTGTAATTTTGTGTTGCGATAAATTCGAAAAATTCAAATTATTGAATTTCCCCCTCAAAAATGCTCAATTTTTCAGACACCGAAAACTCCGATACTACTTACACATTTGCGATCGAGCTTCAATATATTTATTCATCGCTGCTTCCTATACACCTTGGCTAACATTGAGGTATTTAATTTTCCTCTAACTAATTTATGCTCATTAATTATTTTTTGCAGACATTGTGGATATCCTGGATTGAATCTGAAATGGATGATTTGGGTTTTCGCGATTCTTGGCATATTATATCAGTATAATTTTCATGAAAAATATAAAACTATCGAAATTATTTTGTATATTTTAATTGCTGCCGGACCATCGATTGCTATTTTTAGTATGGTGAGGATTTTTGGGGAATTTTGGAAAAAATTAGAAGTTTTGAACAAGAAATACGAAAAATTATGTTTTTCTCAATAAATTTTAGATTTTTTGAATTTCTCGTAATTTCAGATTACCATAAATAACAAGAAATTCGAAAATACTGACTAGGGGCTGTTAGCCCCTAGGCGGGACAGTCTTCTTCCTTAAAACATCTTTTCTCTCCCATTAAAATTTTGAACAATTTTGCCATGGATGAAGTCATCGATAAATATTCAAAAAAAAACTTTTTTAATTATTTTTTTCGTATTAAAAGTACTCTAAAGACGTTAAGAATTAGAATTACAATTGAATTCATCAAAAATTTCAAGTTTTTTGATCAAAAAATGACTCGTGGCAAAATCAGAAAGGCTTCCTAATTTTGCCATAGAAGAAGTCATCCATCAATTTTTCGAAAAAAAAACTTTTTTATTTATTTTCTTCGTATTGATTGTACTCAAAAAAGGTTAAGAATTAGAATTACAATCAAATTCGCTGAAAATATTAAATTTAAACTCAAAATAAAGTTTCCCAGACCTAAGTTTTAAAAAAATGGGATTTTTCGAATTTTCATGATTTTAGGCTGTGAGAAAATACAATAAATTCAAAAATTCACAAAAATTCAAATTTCGCAAGCTTCAAATATTATCCCTCAAAAAAACTCCCACAGAACGACAGAAGCGGTTTGGACATGATGATAATCGGTGGAATGGCCTACGCAATTGGTGTGATATTTTTCAAACTCGACGGAATTCTCGCATTTGCTCATGCAATTTGGCACATTTTTGTGTTGATTGGTGCTTCGTTTCATACGTATGCTGTTTATGCATTTCTACTTGGACCCGACAAAAATAATCCAGTTCCGGATGTCTGATAACTAACTTGAGGGATTATTAATTTACTAATTAGATGTATTTAGAAAGTACAAAAATGTGGATATTTAATAAAATTTCAATTATACTGTAGACCTTGCAGTCTTTGAGATACGGTAACTCAAGAAGTATTTATTTATGCTATGAAAAAATTATCAAACCCCAAAAAAACTATTTATTCATCTTCTTTGTCGCCGCTTCCGAATAATCATCAATTTCAGTCTCAGAAGTGACTTTATGCGGTGGATTTTTCGACCAATCATCATCAATTCCCCTGCCATTTTCACCCATTGATTGAGTTTCTCGTAAATCGTCGTCATCTCCAATTTGACAACAATTTTCGCCTCCATTTTTTTTCGATTTTGGGGATTCAAGTTTTTTGGGCGAATTTTTTGGTGATCTTGCGATTGATGGCGCTAAAACTGTTTCTTCGTTTTGCTCTTCAAACTGTTTTTCGTCTTTTCGAGATCGAGGAACTGCAAAATTAGAGATTTTTGAAATTTTAGAACTGTGACGTGGCAAAAAAATCTACGTGGAAAAAACTTCAAGACATTTTCTAACTTGCCGACTAAATTTAATTCCAGAAAAATCCACGTGGCAAATTCAAAATTTCGGATTTTTGGAACTAAAATTTGAACATTCCCATTTTCTAGTCTAGACAATTTCATACGAAAAGATCAATTTTGCGGCTCAAAAATTGTATTTTTGCCGAGAAGTTCAAAAATACATTTATATCTATCTACCTCCACTATACGAATCAGACAAACCCTGATTATTTTTCTATCAAAAAAACTGTGGCCGAAAAAAAAAATATTATCCCAAAAATGCTCTATATTTCCGAGCCATTCTACTATATTTTCTACATTTTCGGTCTATTTTTATGCGTTCAAATTGTATTTATAATGCAAAAACATCTCAAATCCACAACATTTTTCCATATTTTCTTCATTTCTGCAATTTTCGACATTTTTCATTGTTTCATGTTTCTTTGGCTATCAATAACTTATCGATTTGTCGATTTTTATTTGATTTTTGCAAATTTATTGCAAGTTTTTGATTTTCATTTCACAATTTTTCATTTCTTCTGCAATTTTTTGATGGCATTCAATCGATTTAATGCAACTTTTTTGAATTATTCAAAATTTTGGAGTCCAAAACATGCAAAAATTTATCTAATTTTCATATTTATCATAACTACAATTTCATGTTTTCCATTATTTTTCGAAGAAAAAACAATCGTAAAATCAGAAGATCAACAAGCAATTCTTATAGATAAATCTGGTTTAGCAATTCAACGAATCATAATTTGTGGCTACACTGTAGTCACTGAAACAATATCAGTTATCCTAACTATTCTAACACTTTTCAGATATCAGAAGTTTAGAAATACACAGGAAAAGAAATTGATAATTGTGACAGCTAGTCATACATTTTTTGCAATGTTATTTATGATTTATGAATTTTCAATGGTTCTCAAGTTATCCGGACCGATTTGGACATTTTTGGCCATTTATCGTACAAATATTGCATATTTGTGTCTTTCGTTGAATTTTTGCACAATTTTAATCGCTGATTCGAAACTTCGCAAGGAATTTTTTGTTGGGAAGTTTTGGTGGAGAAAGTTGACGCCTAGAGTGTTTGTTGTGCCGACTGATTCTTGATTTGAATAAATATTTTAAAAATTAAGGCCTAATTTTATGACGTCACGAATCAATTTTATTTATTGAAGAACAACAAAAAAAAGTATATGTGGCCCTAAAGAGGGCCGTTGGGTTCGGTTTGAAAATCTCAACACTGGAATAATAATTTATTCCTTGTCTCCAGCAGTCTTCTTTGGCAACAAAACAGCTTGGATGTTTGGCAAGACTCCTCCTTGAGCGATGGTGACACCAGACAAGAGTTTGTTCAATTCCTCGTCATTTCTGACGGCCAATTGCAAATGTCTTGGGTTGATACGGCTCTTCTTGTTGTCTCTGGCGGCGTTTCCGGCCAATTCCAAAACTTCGGCTGCCAAATATTCGAGAACGGCGGCCAAGTAGACTGGGGCTCCGGCTCCGACTCGTCTAGCGTAGTTTCCTTTGCGGAGAATACGGTGAAGACGACCGACCGGGAATTGAAGTCCGGCTCTCGATGAACGAGATTTGGCCTTTCCTCCGGTCTTGGCTTTTCCTCCTTTTCCACGTCCTGACATGATGATTGTTTGAAGAGAGTTTGTGACTGTTTGAAACAGAATGAGGTTTTCGAAAATGACTGTGTGTTTATATAAAAACATGCGGAATGGGCGGAGTTACCACTACGCGGGGACACCAACGCCGCATTCTGTTCGGAATAGGCGTGGTCTTAGGCTCCGCCCATTCCGCAGATGAAATAAAAGAAAACACATTCATTCATTTCTTCATACTTGTTTCAAGTTCAAAAAAATCAACATGCCACCAAAGCCATCAGCCAAAGGAGCCAAGAAAGCCGCCAAGACCCAAAAGCCAAAGGGTGAGAAGAAAAGACACGCCAAGAGAAAGGAGTCTTACTCTGTCTACATCTACCGTGTTCTTAAACAAGTTCACCCAGACACCGGAGTTTCATCGAAGGCCATGTCAATCATGAACTCATTCGTCAACGATGTTTTCGAAAGAATCGCCGCCGAAGCTTCCAAATTGGCTCATTACAACAAGCGATCAACCATCTCATCCCGCGAAATTCAAACTGCCGTTCGATTGATTCTCCCAGGAGAATTGGCCAAACACGCAGTTTCCGAAGGAACCAAGGCTGTTACCAAATACACTTCATCCAAGTAAATTTGGTAATTTGTTGAGATTTTCAAACCGAACCCAACGGCCCTCTTTAGGGCCACATTTCAATCATTTTTTTTGTTAATCTTTCTTTGTCAATAAAAATTTGTGTTTTTTTTTTCATTGAACATTTCATTTTTACAGGAAAAGCTTTTAGTAAAACCAAATCTTGGTATGTCAATTCTAAATGCAGCTTCACAAAATATTACTGGAACCCGACTCAGAAGTTCATTGTGAGAGAAGAAAAATTATTATCCATTTTTGGAATCGTCAAATTCTTCAGTGCTTTGAAGTTAGAAAAACAACGGGAAAAGGTTTTTTTGGCTTTCAAAATTGTGAAACTTTCCGTAGAATTTTTTAAATGTGAAAATCATGAATGATTCCAAATTTTATCATTTCTTTGTGTTTTATTCCGGCTTGGAAATTTGTTGTAAATTTCTCATTTTCATCACATTTGAAAAAAAAATGCAAAATTTTCTGTATTTAAAATTTTCATGTTTCGAAATTTTGTAATATCTTCGTTTCTCCATTCATTAATTATCAAAGCTCCATTTTCTCTCATAAAAATACAAAAATTCTGTGCGGAATGGGCGGAGTCATAGGCCACGCCCATTCCGCACACCTTCCCTCCCCCTATATAAATCGCTATTTCGCTCATTTCTTTTTTATCGACAAGTTCGTCAACTAAAATGGCTCGTACCAAGCAAACCGCCCGTAAATCGACCGGAGGAAAGGCTCCAAGAAAGCAATTGGCCACCAAGGCTGCCCGTAAATCGGCTCCAGCCACCGGTGGAGTCAAGAAGCCACACAGATACCGTCCAGGAACTGTTGCTCTTCGTGAAATTCGTCGTTATCAAAAATCGACCGAATTGTTGCTCCGCAAATTGCCATTCCAAAGATTGGTGAGAGAAATCGCTCAAGACTTCAAGACCGACTTGAGATTCCAATCATCGGCTGTCATGGCTCTCCAAGAGGCTGCTGAAGCTTATTTGGTTGGACTCTTCGAAGACACCAACTTGTGCGCTATTCACGCCAAGAGAGTTACAATTATGCCAAAAGACATTCAACTTGCTCGCCGTATCCGTGGAGAACGCGCATAAATCTTTTGATTTGTGTTCACGTTTGACCAAAAACCGAACCCAACGGCCCTCTTTAGGGCCACATTTGGAAGTTTTTACCTCTCTTATCTTTACAATAAATAAATTATAAATTTTCTGATAATTCACTGTTTTCAATTGAAATGGATTTCAACAAGTTTCATGAATTTTCCCATCTGCTTTTGTAAATTTATTTTAGCGTACGATGACGTCATCAAGGAAAAAGTTGGCACGAAGCCAAGAAAATAGGTGTTTTAGAGGCGTTTTCAGAAAATTCAAGACACCTTCTGATTCGTCTCGCCGAGATGAACCAGGAAAATTATTGATTTTTTTCTGAAACACATTCTCAGAGAAGTTAGAGGCTAAAAATCTATTTAATGTCGAACAAATCAAAGGCACACACATTTTTCGAATGGTCGAGGTCTCGAAGCGATTCCAGATTTTTCACGTGTTTCTGCGTGAAAAACGAATTTTCAAGTCTTCTAGCTCACTTATTCGACGAGAGGAGATAAAATTACGTATATTTGAACATTTTCAATTTTTTCTGAAGTTCACAAGACAAAGAATCTGCTGCTTTTAGGCGTTATCAAAGAAAAAACACAAAGTTGGCGCGAAGCCAAGAAAATAGGTGTCCCCGCACAGTGGTTAAGTTAAGCCCCGCCCACTCCACTATAAATAGCCGGTGATTCTCTCATTTTCTCATTGCATTTTTTTGCACCAACAACTCAACTCGCATCAAATCATGTCTGGACGTGGAAAGGGAGGAAAAGGACTCGGCAAAGGAGGAGCCAAACGCCATCGTAAAGTTCTTCGCGACAACATCCAAGGAATCACCAAGCCGGCTATCCGACGATTGGCTCGCAGAGGAGGAGTCAAACGTATCTCTGGATTGATCTACGAAGAAACTCGTGGAGTTCTCAAGGTGTTCCTTGAGAACGTTATCCGTGATGCTGTCACCTATTGTGAACATGCCAAGAGAAAGACTGTCACCGCCATGGATGTTGTCTATGCTCTCAAGAGACAAGGCCGCACTCTCTACGGATTCGGAGGATAATTTGATTATTCGCCCGAATTTTGATCGACAAACCAAACCGAACCCAACGGCCCTCTTTAGGGCCACAAATTTATACGATTTTTGAATTTGATAATAAAGCTTTTTCTTTTTTGCCTTTTGAAACAGCCTAGAACAATTTGTTCTGAGTTTCTAGGCCATGTGTGGATTCCTAGCCATTTCAGGGTAAGTTTCTGTCAAAATCAACCAGAATTTTGACTTCAATAAATATTTCACTGAATTTTGGCTGAAAATCATGAAAAATATAGGGTTTTCAGCCAAAAATCGCTTTTTTCAGGAGAAAATGGCCTAGAAACATGTGTTTTGAATTTCTAGGTCATTTTTTTTTCAAATTATGAGCGTTTTCTGGATTTGCAGCTGTTTTAAGCTAACTTTCAGTCAAAAAGTACCCACTTTTGATTAAGTTAATCAAATATTCTAGCTTTGTCGAGTATTTTTGGCTGAAAATCATGAATTTTAAGCTAGGAAAATGTGCTTTGAGTTTCTAAGCCTTTATTTGGAATCATTGGTCATTTATGGGATTTCTAGGCTATTTTTTGGATTTCTAGCCATGTTATGCTAACTTCCAATAAAAATCTTGTTTTTCGAAAACTCCTAGACCGAAATTTCGAGATTTACATGATTCTAGGGTCATTTTTTCCCAAAAATCAAAATTTTCAGCTCATTTTCCTCCCCCTACTTACCATAACTCGTGGCCCTGCTATTTTGCAAAAGTCGTCTTCGTTTCTTCCGCCGCTTTAAAAATAGATTCGATTCTTTTTGATTTTTTGCCTAGAAACATCACAAAATGGGAAAAAACATAGAGGAATTCAAAAACTTACACAACAAGAAATGATAAGGATTGAAATTATACTTTGAATTATTATTGTACTGATCATTGTTTTATACTAAACTAAGTATGTAAATATCTAAAAATGAGTGAGAAATCCAGGATTTTTCACGTTTCGAAAAAAATAGGTCAAATTAAAAATTAAAAGATTTTTATCAGAGATGAATATTTACAGACAGAAAAAAAAAAGAATTCAAATTTTTTCGAGATCCAATAAGACGAGAATACTATTAGTGATATAATTTTCCACTTCATTTTCTCCAGTTCTTTTCATAATTTCCTCCACTTTTTCGTGACACTTCAAAATTGCCGCCAAAATTTGCGACTCGAATTCTTTGCTGGAAGAGGAGGTGGCGATGATGCGCAAAAGTTGGATGAGAGCACAAAGTCGAACGAGGCAGATGTTCGGTTCGATGTCATTTCCAATGAATTTCGGGAGTTCGAGGAATTTTGGAATGTAGTCGAGGAAGATTCTGGAGAAATTGGTTTTCATTGTAATATTTTAGATTTCTGCACAAAAAATTTCAAAACATTTTGAAACGTAATTTTCACAATTTTTTTTTCAAAGATGTTAGGGTTGCAGAAAGCGAGAAAAAGTTAAAAAATTTGACAGTTTCACCAAATTTTTCGAATGAACTAGTTAGGTTAGGCTTAGGCCTAAACTAAGGCTTGGGCTTAACCGAGAATTTAGGCCTAGCCGGATACTTGAGCTTAGGCTTAACCAAAACCTTAGGCTTGACCTAAACCTTAGGCGTGACCAAGAATTTAGGCCTAGCCGGATACTTGAGCTTAGGCTTAACCAAAACCTTAGGTTTGACCAAGAATTTAGGCCTATCCGGATACTTGGGCTTAGGCTTAACCAAGAAATCAGGCCTAACGAAGAATTTTTAGGCTTAGCACGAAGCTTCGGCTTAGGCTCAACCAAAACCTTAGGCTTAACCAAGAATTTAGGCTTGGCCCAAAGCCTAGGCTTAGGCTTATCCAAAACCTTAGGCTTACAAGGGAACCTTTTTTACTCAACACTTCAAATCATGATGAAATTTGGTCCATAGATAGATTTTGGGGTCATAAGAACACCCTAAAAATTTTAGTCTCCCAATGGACCTCTGAGCCAAGTTCTGGGCTCTCAAAAGTTCGAAATTTGCCAAAATTGGCTCATAAAACACGTCATAACTCAATTCTCGATCAATTTTATGAAAAACTGAGTAGCAGATGATGATCAGCGTGGTCGTTTTACCCAAAAACCATCAATAAATCGAATTTTCAGAAAAATTTCTGATTTTGAAAAAAAGAATGAGCAGGGGCACATATGAATTTGCATGAATTTTCAGCCGAAAAATAAAAAACTTCAAAATTTTTCGAAAAAATATTTGCTGATCAATATCTGAAACTTTATTTCTTGCAAAAAAAATTTTGAAATGGAGCTATGATGACTTTTATGACCATTTTTAGGCCTTTTTTGAGTTTTCGAGAGCCCAGAACTTGGCTCAGAGGTCCATTGGGAGACTAAAAATTTTAGGGTGTTCTTATGGCCCCAAAAGCTGTCCATGGACCAAATTTCATCAAGGTTTGAAGTGTTGAGTAAAAAAGGTTCCCTTGTTAGCCCTTTTCGGCTTATCAAAAATAAAAAAAAACCCTCACCTCAACAAAACCTTCTCTTTGGCCAAAAACTTGGCCACCACCAAATTAACCCATTTCGGTGGCACATAATCAGCATTTCTCGGGTCCGCAAATTCCACTTCGTCCGCCTCATCAACCAAAAATATCACAGCCAAAAGTGTGATCATCTCAACAAATTTATCACTCTCATTTGCCGTCCAATCTTCGGTTTCCGACACTTTTCGATACAACAATTTCAGCGATTCACAAATCTCTTTTTCGTCTTCGATTTTCTCGTCATCTTCCAGGTCTTCGCAATATTTTTTGAGCCATTTTGGAGCGAAATTCAATACTTTTACCATAACTTCATGACAATCAGCGTACTAAAAAAACAATTGAAATTTCAGATTTTTTTCAAAAATAAATGAAAACCTACATCATCATCACATAAAATCGCGGCAGTTTTAATCATCGGACCAAACAAATCAATAGGTGACGAACTATTACAAAACGATAAAACAGTTCTTGCCACCATTTCTGGCACATTTGTCGTATTCTCCTCATTTTCCTCCTCGGTTTTTTGCCGGAAATTCCAAGCTGTCAAACAAACTGCAACACAATCGAACACCGCTTTCGTTATTTTGACAAGAATTTCGTATTGTTGTTCGCCGAAATGTTTCATTTGAGTTGAGACATTTGAATGAAACCAGGAGAGCAGCGATTGAATTAGGCCGATTAGACGATTTTGTTCGATTTGGGATTCTTCATCGTCATCGGTCTGAAAGCCGGGTTTTGAGTTGAAATGTAGATAAATTTGATTTGAAAATTGAAATATGTTTTTTTTTCGGGAGAATTCATGTGAGAGTTAGGGAAATTTGAGGTTTAAAAATCACAAAATCTCTCTGAAGGACATGAAATTGGAATTTAGTATGAGCAATGCTTGGAAAAATTCTTTTAAAAATACATTTTTCTGGTTTAAAATGAGCAATACTTGAAAACTTTTGAAAAATCAATTTCTTTAGAAGTGAAAAATGCTCAGAAAAATCCAAAAGTTTTTTGAATTGTTTTTTTAAGTGTCAAATTTTTTAGGATTTTCAGACACACACGTTCAAGCCGCGCAATGAGTATTTTTCTACTGTAAAATGAAAAATCTGCAATCAAAAACTGCAGAACTCAATTCCTAATATGAGTTATGACGTGGCAAAGTTTGAACATTTCGAAAAATCGGGGTTTGAGGAGCTGAAAACTAGCGTTCATGTTAATCTGATAGCTCCTAAAATCTCAAATTTTCAAACTTTGCCACGTCATAACTCAAATTAAGAGCTGAGTGCTTCAATTTTAGACAAAGCGAGTCGAAAAACCCTTAGAAAACATATATTTTATTGAAAATATTGGGCTAAGTCGGTTGAAAAAACCATTCAGAACTCAAAATCTCACCAAACTCGCCGCCACATATATCGGCAAAATAAATCGTAACTGAAGTGCCAAAACGAGAACATCATCCGAAATCGCCAATTCTTCGCCATTCTTCAATCGCAAATCAATAACATCTCGACAATTATCAATTTTCTCCATAAAACCCTTCAATTCATCTCGATAACATTCTCTTGTCGCAATAATTGTCATTGTTGTATGACTTTTCACAATAAACTTTAAAAATGTCAAAGATTTGCAGACTTTTTCGAGGGAATCCTCGAATTTCGATCGTTTCACTTTCTTTGTTGCATTTTGTTGTTCCATAACATCTTTCAAACCATTCAATCCTTCTAATATTTTCATAAATAACGTATCAATATTCAAATGTGAAGCGGTGTCAACAAACGCTTCAATCGCTTCATCGGGAACTTCATTACTCTCCAACATTGAAAAACAATCCGATATCAAACCACTTTTCAAACAATCTTTCGGAATTGCACTGCTTATAGCTGTAGCAGTTCCCATTAATGGTGTTGTTCGATATTTGTCGAAGATTTCCGAGACAATTTTCACGAAATGTTTGTCGATTTTCGATTTGACGGCAAAGTTTTCATCGAGAAGGAAAAGAGAGCGACAGGAGATGTAGAGGATGAGAGCGCATTCGAGATAGACACGCGCTTTGTTGAAACTATCACAGTCTTCTGGAAGTGGTGGACAATCCTTTTTTCGAATGTAACGGTAGGTCCAAATGAGAAGCATTTCGATTAATTTGGCTGGAAAAAAAATCGGGGTTTGGGGATTTATAAGGGGGTTCTGAGTTATGACGTGGCAAAATTGCGATTTTTCACAATTTTTTAAATGAAAAATGGTGAAAATCAGAACTTTTAACCCATGCAAGATCTGGATCTCTCAAAAAAAAACTCAGATTTGAACTCTGAACTTCAGGACAATTTAAAAATTGATCCTAGGCTATAGATTTTTCTTTATATCAGGATTTTCAGCTCTGAAAACTGAAAATTAGCTGAAGATTCATAAACCAAGTTTTATCGGCGTCTGTTTTCATTTTGGAAACCTAGATTTCGCAAGATTGGTTGCCACGTCATCCCACACTGGAACTTCTGTGCTCATCCAAACTCACTGGCCATCTCAGCATCCACAATCTTCATCGGATATAACAATCTAAAATAAGTCAAAATGGCGATTCGACTCTTCCCAATGATATAATTAATTCGAGGACGATAATAAGACTCATCAACATCTTTTGATATCGGGAGAAGCGTGTGGATTAGTGGAACGATTTTTTTGCAAACTGCTTCAACAGTTTCGATGTCGAGTCGAGCGATCACTTCATCGCGTGATACAATGTCGAAGATCTGAAAGATTTCATTGAAGTAAATATTTTTGAAAACTTTAGGAAAACGTACACTGATGAATCTGTGACTCTTGAGATTATTGAGAAGAGTGAAAGCGGCTAATCTAACCCGATCTGATTTATCATTGATTCCTCGTAATGTTATACATTTTAACGCATGTTCAAATGCATTCATACACGATGGAACAATCACAAGTTGTTTCATTCCCTCAAAAACCGAAACTCGAACATTGATCACAGAATCGCGAGAAAGAACATCAACAATAATTGACATTAATTGTTTGACAGTTTCTTTTGGAATAATCAACCAATATTCAGCGAGTATTTTCAGCACTTTTTTAACCGCATCTGAGCGAATAACAGTGCAACTATCAGCCAATAAATCAACCATGATTTTGTGTTGTTCAATCATACTTCTTTTCATCTCATCAGAATCTGAATCGACTAATGGATAAAACATGAAAAATACGTTAGCCGAGGAGATTCGAACTACATCATTGGTTGATTTTAATCCTTTGTACATACATGAATTCAATTGTGATGTCATCATATAATCCATATTTTTATTGATCTTTTTTTCTTGGACAAATGGATATAACATGTCTCGATATCTTTGAGCAATTGGTTCGTGTGTGTACATTGAGAAATAGCAAAGTTGAGATATCACTTCGGTCTCCAAAACTTCGGTTAAATCATAATTGTTTTCAGCGTTCGCGATTTTCCAGCAAGTTTTAAACACATCTCCATATTTCTGACAATCTGAACTGGTTGCATTGAATTGAATGATGAGTTTTTGAACGAGTCGAAAAGCGGTGAGAGGTCCGATTTTTTCGATGAAACCAGCAAGTAGTTTGACTCCTTCTGGACATGTTGCCAAATTCACTGTGAAAAACATCATTCGCGTTTCCGAGGGGCTCAAATTGTCGAGCAAATCTTCACGAACCGACCATAGTTTTTTGATAAACACTTTTTGTAGACCGGTGCCTCGTTTTTCAATAAATTCTCGCAATAATTTCGTATAATCTTCTGGAATTTTCAATTCCACGGGTTTCGCCGGCTCCACGGCAGCCATTGTATGTGTATGAAATCTGAAAGAAAAACTTCAGAGGTTGTAAAAGAAGTACAACAATTGTTAACAATGCGAGAAAGGAAAAAACACGAAAAGAAAACGCGAAAAATTTCAAACATGCGACTGGCGGCATCAGTGCAATGGAGCGCAGGTGTTCACTTTCACTTTTTTTTTTGAAAGAGAGTTGATTTTCATGGAAAGAAAGGGATTCATGAAAAAGTGTTTCAGTGAAACTTTGAAAACTCCAGATTTTCCTTTTCGGAAGAAAAAGAAAATCTGTGATTACTGCACAGCTGCAAAAACTGAATGATCGCGCGAAACGCGCCAGCAGTTGACGCGTTTTCGGTTTTTGCACGAGAAAAAAATTTTCTTTTTTTTTGTTTTTTTCCATCAGAAAATTAATTTTTTTCTTCTTTTTTATTTTTTTGTGAGTTTTTCAGGAAGTTTCACATATTCGGACAGACTATCGTTTGTAGAGAATTTAAAGGAGAATTTTATTATGTTTGGATCGAGTGATGAAAATGGGGCTGACGGATGCTAAAGTTGTTTTTATGAAGTCCATTTTTTTCGAAGAAAATTTTTTTTATTCTGGAATTGATCGAGTTTGAATTTTTGTGAGTTGGAATGAATATACAATTGGTTGGAGATGAATTTGCGATGATTTTGAGTGAGATGCGATGCATTAGAGAAGCATTTTTCGAGGTCGGCGAATCAATATTTTTCTTGTTGAAAAGTGAGTTATGCGTATCTAAATTTATCAAAAAATCATGATGTTATATTTAGATGAGCCTGATACGAGTTGACGGAAACATGAAGATGTCGGAGAGTGCCAAACAAAAATTATTTCGATGAACGAATCCAATTGATTGCCAACCTGACCAGAAATTCACGAAGCAGATCACGTGGAGAGACTCATGAGGAGAGTTTTGGGATTCTATGGAACATTTTATTAAAGGTAATTCCTATTTTTGATTGATATTTATAAAATAGTAAAATCAATCGAAGAAATAATAAAAATTCAATTTTTCCGCCATTTTGACGTTATTTCACCATGATAGAGGCACGGGGGAGTATGAAGACTTAGTCTATCTTTCTCAGCAGCAAAAACTATATCAAGATACATGTTCAAATAACATTTCTACCGTTCATTTTCGAAAAGTAAAATTATATTTTCATTTTCATCGCATTTTATTTTAATAAGAACTAATATTTCATATGTCCGTGATCCAAAACTGTTGAATTCAAACAAACAATGTTGTTTTCAGGTATTGCGAACGTCAGCCAAGTGGAATCAACGGTTTCGATCATGGACGAAGTGGAGTTGATTATACTATTCAAATAACAGATTTTAAATAAATTGTTTAAATAAATTGTTGTTGTTTTCAACTTGAGCTTTGTTAATTTTCTTCAAATTTCGATCAAAAAATGCCGCAAAATTAGGAGCTGTGGAATAGAACTTCAAATTTCGATGATTAATGTGGTATTCTGATTGTTAGAAGAGATCCTGCTTCAAAAGCTTCAGAATCATCTCAGCGAAAATAAAATATGATTTTATCATGAAATTGTAAGCCATACTTGTAATTTTTCAAATCACTGTTGAAATTTTTCCCGAAAAACATCGGTTCGTTGAAATTTTTAAGACAAAGGATGGTTATTCTCTCGTCTAACAGTACAAATTCATTGTCCGGTAAGAAGTTCTTCTTTCTTTTTTCAACATAAGTATATGAAACATCTTATTTCATATAAAAAGTTTAAAAGTTTTGCTTCATTATTTCAAAAATATCTTTTTTGTGAGGGTACTCCAAAATCTCACGTTTTTCACGGCTAATAAATTTTTTCACTCAACAAATTATATTTCTCTGTCTTTGTCTCATTCTCCTCTATCTTCTCATGTACGATTCATTTGTTCAAACTTCCGCTAACTTCAGCTTTTTTTTAAAAATTCGAGAAAAAATTAAAAAAAATAATTTTTCGGCGAGAGAGTGTGTGCGCCTATAGAGACGCCGACAAACACACACGCCCGTGGAGGGCGAGAGAGAAGAGTGCAGGAGACATTGCTGGCGCACAATCGGTTTTTGCAGCTGTGTACTGTAAAATTTTTGAAAAAAACAACAATTTCATGAAATTCAGTCGCGCGGCTGTGAAAATTTCACAATTGCGCCGAGACCCATCTTATTGTTTCTTGCGCCTTTGACATGAAGTACTGTATACATTTTATTTTTTTTTCGAAAATTTTCTAAATTTGCGAAAGCCTAGAGCTCTAGAGCTCTGTAAAACTTCGAAACACAGCGAATCGGTTTTTTCGAAGTTCAAAACTTCGTTTGTGATATTTGGATTTGTTCACGGGTTTCCTTCCAAAATCTATAGTCAATTCTGCTTAATTCTCAATTTTCTCTTCGTTTCAGAACACTTATCTAAACTTCCCTTTTCTTCCCATTTGTATGTGAACATCTGCGCTCTATTGCAAATAAAAGCGTCCCCTTTTTTGAATAGCGTTTTTCTGTTCGTTTTTTTTGCGTTTGCTTGGTTTTCTTGTCCTCCAGACTTCCTTTTAATAATAAGTTTTTTCTCAGCAGTTTATAATGAGTGAACGACGTATGGTTGGAGTTCCGCCAAGTGCCGGGGCCAGGAGACCACGTAAGTTTTGAAATTTTAGTTAGAAAATTCTAATAAAACATTTTCAGGCGGTGGAGCTACTCCTTCCGGTGCAACTCCTTCTCGATCATCTGCAAGATCAGCGAAAAGACCAAAGAAAGAAGAACCAGAAGATGATGAAGAAGAAAAAAGACAATCTGAAGATGAAGAAGAGAAAAATCCAGATTCTGAAGAAGAAGAGGAGGAGGAAGATGATGATTCAGATGCTGAAGTTGAAGCAACTCCTGTTCGAAAAGGTCGAGGACCTGGAAAACGGAAGAGAGGAACTGCGAAATTAACCGATTATCATTTGAAAAAGAAATCAATTATGGCTCGAAAAGCACAACGAGAAGCTGAAAGAGAAAAAGAACGGGAAGAAAATGGTGGACAATTATTGAAAGAAAAGAAAAAAGAGGAGGAAAAGGAGAAAGTGCCAGCGAGAAAAGCACCGATTTATTCCGAATTTACACCATTGCAATTGCTATTAGATCATATTTTGAGAAAAATTGTTGCGAAAGATCCAGAAGGTTATTTTGCAACCCCAGTGACTAAAAGTGTCGCGCCAGATTATCATGAAATTGTCAAAGAGCCGATGGATTTTCAAACAGTTCGTGAAAAAATCGAAGACAACAAATATGATTCGATGACTGAATTGCAAAAAGATTGTGAATTAATTGTGACAAATGCGATGGCTTATAATCAACAAAATACCGTGTTTTATCTCGCAGCCGCGCGTCTAAAAACTCTCATCAATTATTATTTTGGAGAGCAATATCTTCGATTCGTTTTTCATTCTCTACCATTTGCCAAACAGATTCCATTAGAAAAAGCGGGTCTAACACCATTGGCACCACTTCCGAAAGCTTCATTATATATAAATAAACGCAAAAATGCTTTGGTTGATGATTTAACAAGCGATCAATTGTTGGAAAATGTCGATTCGAAGATTCGTGGCAAACTTGCTCCACGAAAACCCAACGCAAAACTCGCATTTTTGTCGGAAAAAGATGGAACAATGGTGTTGAATGTTTTGTCGGATGAAACCTTGCAAAATCGCGAGAAAAAAGTGACACTTGGTGATATAATTGGGCCATTGGAAGAGGGAACACCGGGATTGATTCAACTTGGCGAACATCGACTTTATTCGCAATCACCCATCAATTATTTGAATTATGGACCGTTTGCGTCGTTTGCACCGCAATATGATTCGACGTGGGCGACGATGACGAAAGAGGATAGTGATTTGTTTTTGAGGTGAGATTGAGGTTATATTTCCGCTTACACGGAAGTGCATAAGGTCAGGTGTTGAACTTTTGATGAAACATATCGAAATATACCAAATCGACCATGCTGATCACGAATCCGAAGTCAAAAATTGCCACAAATTCCTGTGAGCACTTTTCTGGAGCTCCAAAATTGAAATGAAGTTTTAGTTTTTAGCCGTTTTCACCATGTTTCAGGGTGGAAAATCAATTTTTATAACATGAATAAGATTGTTCACCACATTCGAAAACCTATCAGCTTTTTAGTTTTTCAAAAAATATGAAATAGCAGCTGAAAACTGTAATTTTTTAAAATGCTCGGAAAACTTTAAAAAACGTGTGTATTTACGTGTGTTTGTGTATATTTTCAAAACTTTTCATAAAAATTACAGTTTTCAGCTGCTATTTGATATTTTTTGAAAAACTAAAAAGCTGATAGGTTTTCGAATGTGGGGAACAACCTTATTCATGTTATAAAAATTGATTTTCCACCCTGAAAAATGGTGAAAACGGGCAAACAACAAAACTTCATTCAACTTTGGAGCTCCAGAAAAGTTCTCACAGGAATTTGTGGCAATTTTTGACTTCGGATTCGTGATCAGAATGTTCATTTTGGTATATTTTGATATGTTTCATCAAAAGTTCAACACCTGACCTTATGCACTTCCCTTGTTAGAAATTCGTGAATCAACAATTAAATTTCAGAACATATGGCGATAAAACGAATGCAGTGGAAGCGATGTCAATGAAAGCATTCGTCGCAGATTCTGGAGAATTTATGATGAGAATTGTTGATGATATGCTCGATTCTCTGACAAATGGTGAACATTCGAAAGTATTGAAAGAGACTGGAGAGAAGAAAGAGGATGAAAATGATAGGAAATTGAGGGAGTATTATGCGCAAGAAGTTGCGGTAAGTTCGAGAAAACATCCTCAAAAATTCTGTAAATATCATAATTGTTTTTCCAGATGAATGGACCACTTCAATTGATCGATGATGTTTCAACTTTATCAAATCTCGGAATCGATGTTGGATTTTTGAATGATGTTCGAAGTGATTTATATAATAAACCAAAAGAGCCACAAGAAAATGGAATTTGTCACATGAATACTCAACAACAATTGAATCATATTGGACAAGGAATTCAGGATTTGGCACATTTGCAGCAGAATCGACTGCAACAACAACCGCCGCCTTCTTTGATACATGTTCAGGAAGCGGGAAGTGTTGAGCAGAAATTGGCTGAAAATGTGCAACAACAATTGGTTCAACAGGTAATTTCTTTTTTGGAATTTCGAATGTTAAGAATATTTTTAGAATTTTGAAAAAATTCACTGTTTCAAAGTTTTCATTTGTTAGAAGTTTAGGAATTTTTAATTAATGTTTTTCACTAGAACCTGAAAATATAATCATGTATTTTTGGAATTTCAACACATTTGAGAGAGATATTTTCAGTTAAAAATCTGAAATTTATGGTTTATAATTTTTAAAAATTCTCTATAAAATTCCATTGTTTCAATATTTTTTGAATTTTGAAAATTTAAATTTTTCTATTATGTGACCTATTCCATAAAACTCCACAAAAATGAACAAAAAATTTTATTATAACAATTTTTCACTGTTTCAAAGTTTTCATTTATTCTAGAAGTTTAGGAATTTTTAATTGACGCTGCATTTTCGGAATTTCAACACATTTTAAGTTTGGTGAGGGATATTTTCAGCTAAAAATCTGAAATTTTCTCAATTTTTAAAAATTCTATGTAAAATTCCACCGTTTCAAATTTTTTTGAATTTTGAGAATTAAAATTTTTCTGCTATTTGAACGGTTCCAACTTTTAAAAAATAAAGAGAAGATTTATTATACCAATTTTTCACTGTTTCAAAGTTTTCATTTACTTTAGAAGTTTAGGAATTTTTAATGTTTTTTCAATAGAACCTGAAAATATTATCTCTTAAATTCACACGTTCTCATGTATTTTCGGAATTTAGTGAGAGATATTTTCAGCTGAAAATCTGAAATTTTCAAAAATTCTCTATCAAATTCCACTATTTCAAAATTTTTTTGAATTTTGAGAATTTAAATTTTTCTCTGTTTTGTGAACTCTTCTCTTCAACTCCACAAAAAAAAATTTCATATACCAATTTTCTACTGTTTCAAAGTTTTCATTTCATCCAAATATTCCAATTTTGCAGGTTTCAACTCTCACTCAACCATCCGATTTGGTGTCAGCTCCAGTTTTACACGACGCAATGGGTATGGAATTCGATGATGATTTGATGAGCGAATTTTTCGTCACTACTTAAATCCTTCAAGGTTTCTTCTCTTTGTAATTATTTTGCATTTTATTAATTTATTTTTGAAAAAATCTAATAAACAAGTCACAGTTTCTCCTTTTTTCCCAAAATCAATCGATAATTTCCCTTTTAAGATTGTATCAAACTGGATTTTTATTTTTCTCTAAATCTCTTTTCTTTCCCGCTTTTCTCGGTTTCGATTTCGGATTTCTAATTGGTTTCTTTCCCTTGGAAAATGAGGAATTTGTTAGTTTTTGCTATTTTTTGTATAATTATTGAGAATATTTTTGGATGTGCGCCAGATGTAAAATTCAAAGAAGATCATCATAGAAGGTAGGGGAGGAGATCTAACAAGTTAGCCTAAGTTATCAATTGCAGAAAAGAATTGGACGAAAAATTTGTGCACAATTTAGTGGAACTCAAAAACCACGAGGAGATTTTGCTGAAGGCTGTTGAGGCGCTGAAAGTTGCGCGAACTCAGAAAGATGATGTGGAAATTGAAATTGATTATAAGACGAGAATTGCGGAAATTGAAAAAGAATTGAGAAATACCAAAGAGGATCATGCGAAATTATTGTGAGTTATTATGACGTGGCAAACATGGAAGTTTTTGAGAAAAGTTGAATTTTGGAGTTAAATTCATGAACATAGGGGATTTTTTGGGGAAAAATTCAAAATGTTTTTGAATTTTTGAGTTTTTAGGCGCCTAAAATTTTCTACTGTTTCAAAATTTGAAAAAATATTTTTAAATGAAACCAAATTTGATCTGATAAGTATAGAACAATAATTTGAACCCAAAAATCAGAACAAATGAAATTATTTATATTTTCAACATTTAAATAATTCACTGTTTCAAAATTTTCATAAATTTTTAGAATTCAGAAAATTTTCCAATGTGTTTTTCAATTTTGATATTAAAAAAATGTTTCCTAAATTTGCCAAGTCATAAGTTTTTGTGTAAGGGAAATCTAAATTTGATTTTTTGTTCACAATCTGAAAAAAAACATTTAAAAAATTCACTATTTCAAAATTTTCATACATTTTTGAAGTATTAAGAAAAGTTGATACGGTTGCTGTGAGAATCCAAAAATGAGAATAAATGAATTTTTTTTTCAAAATTTAAAAAATTCACTGTTTCAAAATTTTTATAAATTTTTAGAATTTAGAAAATTTTCTAATACCAAGTCATGATTTTTTGCAGAGAAAAACACGATCAATATGTTCGAGGCTACGATAAACCAAAAACATGGTGGGATACGATTGGAAAATGGACAGGTAATACAGATTTTTCTAGACTACAGTGTAGCCAAAATATATATATTTGCAGGTGATGCATTTGGTCGTCTAATCTATCAAACTCTTTGTGCTCTTCTAGTTCTACTAGTTCCACTAATTCTTCGACCATTTCAAAGAAGATGGCTCGAATCAGTTAGAAATGGTGGCCCAATTATTCAAGAGGTTTCTGGTATGTGCATGGCTTTTATCGTTAGGTCAGGCTTGAAAATAGGGCCGAGGCTTGAGATTTGGAAATAGGCTTGAGCTCAAACTCAGGGCCCAGCTTGATAGTGCTTTAAAAAATAGAGCTGGAAATTTTTTCAGGACTACAGTAATTCCAATCCACGTGGCTATTTTTTATAGAAAAAATATCCAGAGTTACTGTAGTTTCCAAATTTTCTCTAGATCAAAATTCTGGAACATTTTGCCGGACTACAGTAATCCTATTCCACGTGGCAACAGGGTTACTGTAATATCCAAATTTTCTGTAGATTCAGATTCTGCTCAAAATTTTCCATCAAAATTCCAAAACCTTCCCCAACACAAATCTTTTCCCCCTCAGATGATGGTCTAACCGAAAATCCACGAATAAGTTCACAAGAGTTACGTCAACTTCTCGAAGATCCAAAAACAAAATGAGCACAACATTCATTTATGGAATCACCAAATTTTTGAGCATTTTCTGAATTGCTTCATCTTCATTTTCCTCATTGCAAACTTTCAAATGTTTTTGATAGCCCTAGAAAATTTAATAAATTATTGATTTTTTAAAAACCCAAGAAGAAAAAAAAAGATCTTACATTTCCAATAACATGTTCAGCGATCAAACTATAAACAAATGAATATTGTGTGATGTTTTGACACGAATGCAATCGACCAGTTCGAACATTTTGCAAACATTTGATCAATTCGAAATTCGCCTTTTCACTGTGCAAAGATGAATGTGCATTTTCGAGTAGAGCATATGTTCCTGCTCGACCACAACCCGACAATGACATATAGACCATCGGAGAGTTGTATTTTCGAAGTGCTGATTGAATTTGCCAAATGGTTTTGGGGTTTTGTGGAATTCCATCGTGTGGCCAAAGTTTGAAGTGATGCAAGTGGAAGAAGCTGGAAATTATTCTAAGGTTTTTAATTTTTCAAGTTTTTTTTTCAATTTGGGGAAAAAGTTAGGACGTGGCAAAATTGAGCTTCAAAAAACTCTGGAATCTTAAGAAAGTTACTTTAGTTTCAAAATTTTCTGTAGATCATTCATAACTACAGTAATCCCGATCCACGTGGCAATTTTTAATAGAAAAAATATCCAGGGTTACTGTAGTTTCCAAATTTTTCATAGACCAGCATGTTGGAAAATTTTCAGAACTACAGTAATTCTAATCCACGTGTCAACAGGGCTACTGTAATAGACACATTTTCAGTAGATCAACATTTTGGAACCTTTTCAGAACTACGGTAATCCCAATACACGTGGAAATTTTTTAAAGAAATGTAAAAATATCCAGGGTTACTGTAGTTTCCAAATTTTCTATGGATCAACAATCTGGAAACTTCGGGGAACTACAGTAATCCCTATCCACGTGGCAATTTTGGATAGAAAAAATATCCAGGGTTACTGTAGTTTCCAATTCTTTTGTAGATCAACATTTTGAAGGAACATTTTCAGAACTACAGTAATCTCAATCCACGTTGCAATTTTTAATGGAAAACCTATCCAGGGTTACTGTAATTCAAAACTACAGTAATTTTGTTTGTACTTCCACAGATAAAGCGCAATAGGTCTATAATAGGCGTGTAATAGGCATAAAATATAATTTGCGCCCACAATTGGCCTATTACACGCCTATCGAAAAATTATCAAATTTCACTTGAAAAATCAAAAAAATTCAAAATTTTAAAACTTAATTATAAACATGGTTTTGATAGAAATAGTGTACATAGGAACCCATACCAACAAATTTCTTCATACCACAGCGATGTTCTCGCTTGTTTTTTGAGTTTTTTTCAACAGCTATTTGAGACCTATTATAGGCCTATTAGACGCCTATCAGCTTAATTTGAAAACTCTCGGGTAGACTATCATAAAATCAATATTGATCGAAAAATAAGCTTGAGCATGTCTGTGGGAGCTCAATTCATATGAAAAATTAGTTATGTTCTGAAATAAATGCATTACTCAGCCCCAAACAATCTAGTTCACTCTACAGAATATTGTTCTCAAGTAGTACACAAAACTGAGGTCCAGAGATGGTCTAACTCAACTTTGATCGAAGCAAAAGCTCGAACTCATTGAGGAAATGTCAGCAGCATATGAAAAAACCGCTAAACTTATGAAAAAATTCAGTCATTCTATCCATATACTTTTTCGTTCATTGACTAAAAAAAGATCCTAGAAACATACGAAAAAAAGTCCAGAGATCTTCTAACTTAGCTTTGACCAACGCAGAAGCTCAAACTGGGTTAGGGAATGTTAGCTCACATCTAAAATTTGCGATATTTATGAAGACGTTCAGTCATTTGTTCCATAGACTTTGATTAATTCACCACAAACTCCTATCTAATAAAACACCAAAACTGAGGTCCCGAGATAGCCTAACTCAGCTTTGATCGAAGCAGAAGCTCAAACTGAGTTAGGAGATGTTAGTTCATAAGTAAAAACTGCGATATTTGTGAAGAATTACAGAGATTTGCCTCATAAACTTTGTTTTATTTTTTAAAAACGCGTGCTCACACACACACACTCACAAAACTCACGCGCTCACCACACAAAACATAGCGATGTGCGCGCCCAGGCAGCCGTCGCCTGTCAGATTAATGTACCCTATATATTGGAGGCGCGCTTTTTCTAGAGTATGAAACAAAAACAAAGGAAATCAAGTAAGTTGGGGTCTTGGGGTTATAGAGTTAGGGTAATTGAGCTATATAAGATTCAGTAAGATATCATTGGGAGTTAGTAGAACTTGATAGAATAGGGTTTCAGCTTTTGCTGATTTTCATGTAGGATGCACTGTAGGCCTATAATCGGCCCACAATAGACCCATTTTGCACAAAAAATAGCTCAAAATTCGATGATTTGTAAGCTTATAATTGACCTATTACAGACCTATCGAAAATTTGTTTTCGATAGGTCTGTAATGGGCCTATTATGGGCGCCACGCGAGAGACTTATGAGACCCATTTCAGACCTATTGCGCTTTACCTGTGTCTTCAAAAATTAGCTCAAAATATTTGGAAAAATGTTATGACGTGGCAACTTTTTTGACTTCATAAATCTTCAGTTCCAGAAATTTGTATAAAACTAAAATTCGGATAATGTTCAGAAAACAATATTTCAGTTAAAATTCAGGCAAAATTATAAAATAACGGTATGTTCCTTCAGCCCCGAAAACTCACGATTTATAAGTTCCATTTGTGATACTCAAAACCTTCAATTCCCAACCCTTCTGAATCTCCACATTCTTATATTCTCCAACTCTGATATTTCGATCCTCGAAGTGCAAAAAATCCTGATTTTTCGGAAAAACAAAATCGCCACCCAATTCATCATATTCATCATCGGTCAAAATCAACAAAATTCCTTTGACAGATTGATCAATTATCTAAAAAAAAAGAGAGAGATGATTTTAGATAGAGTTACAGGAACTTACCATTTGCCAAAAATCAGAAGCTGTATTCGGAAGTGGTAGTTGAGTTAGGATAACTGATTTCTTCTCATCAATTTCGACAAAATTCGCATGAATATAATTATCATCGGATAATTGAACACGTGAATGATCCATGCAAATCACATCGGCAAATCGATTTTTCGACATGTTTGCCACAAATTTCTTCTTCGAGACAAATGATGGCATGAATCCGGCGACTAAATCGAATTCTTTCTGGAAAATATTCAATTTTTGTTCCGATAATAGATCACGGATCTTGGAAGAAAAATAGGTTCAATTTTAAAACAATTTATGAAACAGTGAAATTTTTCGACAGAAATTATTTTTAAAGTATTTATTTTTTTGGGTAACCTACAAAGAAAAAAAAATACAAAATTAGGAAAACTTTGAAACAGTGAAATCTTTTTTTGAGTCTCAAAGTTTTTTTTCTGAAACTTTTTAAAAACATTTTCTTCGAGCAAGAACAACGTTGAGACTAAATGTTTTTGGCCAATTTTTGTGAAGATTAGTATTTGAAACGTATCGCGCTCTGCTTTTTTGGCACAAAATGGGAGCTCAAAAAAAATTGGAACCTGAAGCAAAAAAAGGGACTCCGTTGAATTTTTACTGAATGGGGCCACAGGTAGGCTTAGGCTTATTTCTTAGGCTTAGGCTTAGGCTAAAGCTTATTTAGGCTTAAATAGGTTTAGGCTTAGGCATTTTTTAAATAAATGGGACCACAGGTGTGACTTTGGCTAAGGCTTAGGCTTTTTTAGACTTCGGCTAAGGCTTAGGCTTAGGCTTATTTAGGCTCAGGCTCATTTAGTCTAAGACTAATTCAGGCTCAAGCCCCGCTTTGTGGCCCCATTCCAAAAAACCAACCTCCGGAACTTGCGCATCCTCTTCCGCCACTTTTTTTGCAATCTCCACCCATTTTTCCTTCTCCTTACTATTTCCTCCTTTTTCCTTCTTCGATTTTTTCTTTTCCTTTTTCATTTCATCCTCTTCTTCATCCATAAATGTATTTTCCTCCTTCTCATTATCTTTCTCCTTCTTTTTCTTATCTTTTTCTTGTTTTGATCGAATTCCTCCTCCAATTTCTCCCATTTCCTCCTCGGTCTCTTTCTCCTTCTCTTTCTTTTTCTCTTTCCCTTTTCCTCCTTTTTTCTCCACTTTTTCCGGTGGTGTTTCTTTTGCTGTCACCATTCCATCATCTGGCGCCGCCAAATTCTGTGCTTTTTTCGCGTCTTCCGATTCTTTTGGTGGAGGTGTTCTCTTCTTTTTGCTGTGCGGCAAACTTCCACTTCCAGATGGTTGTTGTTGTTGGAAATTCGGATCGGATGTATCTTTGTTGAGTTGAGCGGCATCTTCGAGTTTTGGAAGCTGCAAATAAAAGGTTGGTTGGGTTATTTTTGGAGCTAGAAAAAAAAAGTGGGAGTATAAACTTCCGTTTCCGGTTTTATGAGGAGGTTTGGCAAAAAATCAGGTTTTCTGTTGTGAGCAAAAAATTATTATAACCTAGTTTTATTGTATTTGACATGCTGAAATTCAAATTTCTAGGAATTTTCAGCTTTACAGTTCTCAAAACTATTGAGAATTCGAAAATAAAATGACCGTGGAAGAGAAAACCAAACTTCGCTGGAAGAGAATAGATTTGGTTTTCTAGGCCATTCAGAAACCTGAATTTTCCAAATTACCTGATGAATTTTATCCTGTGGTGTATCAATATCTCCAGCTCCAATCTTATTCTTCTCCTCAATTTTCGTCGGCTCTCCCGCCCCTTTCTTCGGTGTACCCGCTTTTCCCACCAATACAATATCACCCAACTCTTCATTTGGTGGCGGATTGATGGGTTTCGGTTGTTTCGTCACCTTTTTCGTCTTCTTCGAATGTTTTCCCTTCTTCTTTTTACCACAACACCCAAATCCACTCTTTTTCTTCGAATGTTTTCCACCACCACCTTTTTTCGCATTCGTTTTTTTCTTGTCGCCATGCCCATGATGTTTATTTTTCGATTTTCCTTTCGGTTTTCCATCGCCTTTTGTGCCTTTTTTCGCGGGTTTTCCATGTTTTTCCTTTTTCACTGCTGCTCCTTCCATTTTTTACAGTCTAGAAATTTTTTTTGTTTGGGAAAATATATGGGCCTAAAATTAATTTCAGGCTTAGAGCTTCTGAAATTCCTTTCTGAAGATCGCTGAAAATTTCTAGGCCAATTAATTTCAGGCTTCGACTAAAACCTGAAGCTTCTGAAATTCCTCCTGAAAATTTCTAGAACTAAAAAAATTGGGCCAGTTCTTTTTATTGCGAAAATTTCTAAACCACTTCAAAAATTGGCCCAATTCAAATTTTCTCACAAAAACCCGGCCCTAACCCAGGCCTAGACCGATTCAGACACCCTAAGAATAAGGCTCCAGGTTTACACAAAGCCTGAAGTTAATTTCAGGCCCGGACCATGAAAAAGGATTGTGGACTTATTTTTGGAAGCCTGAAAAGCTTCGGGTCCAAAAAATCCTGAATTTCTTTTCATCCCCTCAACCAACCTATAGGTAACAATTTCGCTCTTTTTCAAGTATTCAAACTGACCACCCTCCAAATTTTTTCCCCTGGCCTTTTTTTTCCAAATCTCGGTCACGTTTCAAAAAAAAATCAATAAATTTTTCATCAAAAAATCTTTATTTATGTGTGAAAATGTTCCCATGTCAATCTTTTTCTCTCGACAATTTCGACGGTGTCTCCGATTTTTCCGGCTTTTCTCCCTCTTTCTCAACTCGCGCACCTCTACAAACTTCTTTGCGTAATTTGGTGACTTGACTGAAGCTTGAGAGAATCTGAAATTCGTTTTTTTGGTTGAAGTTGGAATTGAAGTTAGGCTAAATACCTCTTTGCAATGTTTATAATGATGTGGAATGTAGCTGAAGAGCATTGCGTGGAATTTGAATAATTCGAAACTGTCGCTGTCGAGTTTTTCGACTGCCGCGTTGTATCTGCAAAAAAATCGCGGTGTTTGCAGACATGCAAAACTACAGTACACCACACTTACTTCTTCCCCTGATCTCTCAAATCCAGCAAAATATGCGCATTCTCAACACGTCTTCTTCGTCGATTACATTTCGCCAACGATTTCGAACACGCCTCATCCAGCACTGCCATCTTCTTTCGATACTCGATGGCCGCATCGAAAATCTGCGTGTGATTCTTCTTCTTATCGCGATTCATTTTCAGCATATTTTCCTCGGCATTCGACATATTCAAGCAGATTTCCGTCATTTTTCCGACTTCGTCTTCTAGTTGTTTTCCGATCAATTTCAGGTCCACCAGACTTTTTGCCAACTCTTTCCATGTGCTCGAAATTATCAATTTGGCGTCGATGGCAGGTGTGATTTTTTCTTTTCGAAATGTTCGATTGCTCTAAATCAAATTGAGTTGAGGGAGAATTTCTACAAGTTTCAGATTTGATAAAGACCAGACTTAGGCTAACTTATGTTCGGTTAAGACCTTAGCTTAAAACCAAAGGTTTAGCTTCAATCAAGACTGAACTTATCTTAACTCAGGTTAAGATCTTAGCTTGGATTAAGACTTCAGCTCAAGAATTTAGCTAAAAAAACGAAGCAGTAGGTTTAGACCTTAGCTTAACTTAGATTGAGACCTTAGCTTAGCTTAGGTTCATCTTCGATCAAGTCAGACTTAGATTAAGATCTTAGCTTAGGCTGAAGATCCAACATTTTTTGATCTACCCAAAGCTCACAATAAAACAAGATGCAAACGCATCAGCCACCAATCTCGAGCTGTCCAAATAAGCCGTCAAAAACTTGGTGTCCTCCGAAAAACATTGTTTTTGCACAATATCATTGCGCTTCAATTTCGCCAGCCATTCATCATCCTCGTGTGAACTCTCACTGTAGCAAAAACAATGGATGTTGAAAAATCTTGGGTACAGTAGTCACTTACAGTAAAGGATCTTTATTTTTATCATCGTTATTATTCATTATTTTTGCCAAAAATTATATTTAGAAATACTGGAGGATTTATGGAAAAAGGGCGGGTTTTATAGGGACGGAAAAATTGGAATTAGGTCACGCGGATATTTTTTTTTGAAATTTTGATCCAGAAATTTTATGACGTGGCAAAACTAGAGGAGATTTGAAATCTGAAAAATTAAGGTTTCGAATTGTTTTTGTTAGGTTAAATCTTTTGAGATTCTGGAAAAAGTTGTGACGTGGCAAAGTTACTGTATCTTTAATTTCTTGAGATTCCATCAAGATGTTTCCGGAACATTTTTTCAGATTTCTTATGACGTGGCAGAAAACTAGAGGAAATTTGAAACCTGAAAAATGAAGCTCAACTTTTATTTTCAATTTTTTTGTTAGCTACTCTTCTGAAAAATGTTATGACGTGGCAAAATTAATGTACTGCAGCTTTTTTTAGAATTCAAATTTTCGAACATTTTTCAATCAATGGAACATTTTTTGAAAAAAGTTATGACGTGGCTCAAAATTTGAACTCTTGCTAAGCAGCTGATATTCTTCAGCAGCTTTAAAATTCAAGTCAACACCTACTTTTAAGTAAGTTCTATTTTTGGACCATAGATAATACAAATCCCCCCTCCGGGCTACAAAACCATAATCATATCCATCCATCCAAAAATACATCGCCGTTCTCGTTTTCCGCACGTTTCTCATAACCAAACACGTCATTTCGCCTTATTTGTCGAACACTCTTTTTCTCTAAACCCTCCTCCTCTTGTTTTATTCCTTTTCTCTGCACTCTCTCATCTCTCCATGCAGTTGTCAATACAAAAGTATTTAGAACATTTTCTTTCGCGCACCTTTTGTTTTTCTTACTGTTTCAAACAAAACTGGGTTAGGTTTGCAGGTGTTATTTTGGAAAGGTTTCTGATGAGATCTTATCAGAAAATATCTATGGTCATTTATCTGACTCTTCTATCCAGGGGTCCCTTTTTGTCTTTTCTCTAATTATTGATCTGCCAAAACCTTCCCAATATTTGCCAAGTTGAATTCGCTGAACTGTCTTATTTTTTTCTTAATCAGATTTTATTTTTCAAAAAAAATAACATCATTCCATTTTTTTATCAATTTTATTTGGCATTTTTGGAATTTTTTTGGAATGTGGGAAATCAATGATTTTTCTGTGAGCTACAAATTCTTGTTTCTATTTTTTTTTTGAAAATGAAATGTAATTAGAAAATTCCCCATTTCACGTGAAAAAACACGTTTTTTTCTTATTTTTCATTTTCAGAAAAATTATTTTATTTATAATTTTGTATAAAAGTTGTTCTCTGTGAGCTACAAATTCTTGTTTTTTTTTTTTGAAAATAAAAAAAATTGAAAAAATTTCACATTTCACGTGAAAAACACGTATTTACCTTTTTTTATTTTCAGAATTTTTTTTCAAATTTATTTATAACTTCGTATTATAGTTCTCTGTGAGCTACAAATTCTTTTTTTTTTTTTTGAAAATAAAAAAAATTGAAAAAATTTCACATTTCACGTGAAAAACACGTTTTTTCTTATTTTTCATTTTCAAAAAAAAATATTTTATTTATAATTTTTTTCTGTGAGCTACATTTTTTTTTTGAAAACTTCAAAATCCACGTCAAACTTCCAGATTTATGCCAAAAATCATATTCCTGTTGTTAGTAGTTTCAATATGTCAATCAGCTAAACTATCTTCATTTGCTTCTCAAAATGATGATCTTCAAAAGTATACAATTCAAATGACTGGCTACTCGCCACAACAGGTTTGTATAGTTATGAAAGAAAAATTATTATGTGATTTTTTTTCTAGACGGATGATTATGTGGCTGTTTCGAGGGAAGCAATTTCAGGATATATTGGTGAGGGATTCACCAATTGTTTTTTTTTTGAATTCTGATTTTTCCAGTGGGCTTTGAGCCAATGGCAAATGCAGACCGTGTTCATCACATGCTTCTCTACGGTTGCACACGACCTGCACAAGAAGACACATTCTGGCGAGGCATGCAAACTTGTGGATACGGTGGTGGAAGTTTCATCCTCTATGCGTGGGCAAGAAACGCACCCAATCTAAACCTCCCCAAAGATGTCGCGTTTTCTGTTGGCCACGATTTCGATGGTATCAAATATTTTGTGCTACAAGTGCATTATGCTCAACCATTTGATGGAGAAGTTCACGATTTCTCTGGTGTCACTTTACATGTTAGCCAGAAGAAACCGATGAATTTGGCGGCTGTGATGTTGTTTGTTAGTGGAACACCAATTCCACCACATATGGCCGCTTTTCAAAATAATATCACTTGTATTTATGATTCGAGTACGCCGATACATCCATTTGCTTTTAGAACACATACACATGCTATGGGAAGACTTGTGTCAGGTAAGATATCGCAGAAAAAATAAATAAATAAATTCAAACGGTTTGAAAAGCGCGGGGAACCATACACCGCGACGCACAATTACACACAACAAAAATTTGAAATTTTTTTTTTCAAAAAAAAAACGTTTTTTGTGTTTAAACATCAAGAATTGTATTTCCAGCCTACTACAAACATCAAGGACATTGGACAAAAATCGGCAAACGAAATCCACAATGGCCTCAATTATTCGAATCCATTCCCAATCGGCTAACAATTTCTCAAGGCGATCAAATGTCGGCTTCTTGTCGATTCGATTCGTTGGACAAGAATCGAACAGTTTCTATGGGAGCTATGGGAGTTGATGAAATGTGCAATTTTTATATGATGTTCCATTGGGATGCAAATGCTCCAAATCCCTTTCCAGAAGGTGCGATTTGTGGAAGAGATTCTGAAGAATTAATGAGAGATTATCCATTAGAAGGGTTTGAATTACTACCTAAACGACCGGAATTAGAACATCACGCTCATCAAAGTAAAGTGCCATTTGGTGTAATCTCCGAGGCAAGACATCAAACCATTGGGGATTCCAAGTTAGGACAAGTCGCCGGTTTAGCCTTCGATACCTATGGAAATCTAGCAGTTTTTCATAGAGCTCAAAGAGTTTGGGATGGTCGAACTTTTGATAACTATAATTATTTATTGGATAAAACAACAATTAGTGATGCGGTTATTCTTCTAACAAGATTTGATGGGAATAAATCTACTGTTTTGAAGAAATTAGGAGCTGGACAATTCTATCTTCCCCATGGAATTTACATTGATTCAAATGATATTGTTTATACAACTGATGTTGGGTCACATACTGTTGCAAAATGGAGAATGAAGAGTGATAGCGAATTAGAAAAGCTCTGGGAAGCCGGGAAGAAATTGGAGCCAGGAAGTGATCACGAGCACTTTTGCAAGCCGACGGGTATCACAAAGATTGGAGAATATATTTTCGTTTCTGATGGATATTGTAATAGTCGAGTGGTTGTGTTGGATGCTTCTTCTGGAAAATATGTGAGACAATTCGGATTGCCCGGAGATGAACCAGGACAATTCAATCTTCCACATGATATTGTCACGAATGCTCAACAACAATTAATTGTGACAGATCGAGAGAATGGAAGAGTTCAAGTTTTTACACAACAAGGTCAATTGGTTGACGAATTCCATACGTCGATGTTCAGCAATTTATATTCTGCCGCTGCTTTTGAAGATTATGTATTCATGGTACCTGGAAGACCTCTAATGGGACATGAAAATGAGGGAATTTCTGTGTTTGTTGGAAGAGCTGGAACTGGTTTAGTTGAATATGCATTTGGACCGAATTCGGTGAAATCGAAAGAATTTTTGAAATTCGGACAACCTCATAATATTCGAGTTTCGCCTGATGGTTTGCATGTGTTTATTGGGGATATTGCGGAAGGCAAAGCTACATTGTGGCAGTTTAAGGTAAGTCAAGGTTTTCCTCGCAGATTATTATACTAAAAACTAAAAGCTGGGCAAACAAAAATCGGCAATTCAAAAAAAATTTTCCAGATTCAACACGAAGAATCCGGCCATCCGATGCCCTCCAAAACCTACATTCCCTGGCCGGCTCAAATGAACGACCCGAAAACCAATAGTTTCATTGTTCTTCTAGCTTTAGGTGTTATGGTTTTGGGATGTTATTATGTGAAAAGACGATGGAGAAGTCTTAGAAATGGTGGACATCTTTTCGATACAACTGTAAGATTTAAAGGAGATTTTTGCTCTGTTAAGAAATTAAGGGTTTTAGAGAAAATAAGCCTAAGCCTAATGGGCCTATGCAGAATAATATTTTGTAATAAAAAACATTTAAAAACATATTTTTCCTATGCAGAAAAACGTCGAAAAAACAAAATATACAGTTTATTATTTTGAGTAGAGACAATGTGAAATTCAGAGACTGCAGACAGACAAATTGATTTTTCGCACAAAAAATACAAAAAAACTGTCTGCACTCTCTCAATTTCACGTTGTCTCTACTCAAAATAATAAACTGTATATTTTGTTTTTTCGACGTTTTTTTGCATAAGAAAAATATGTTTTTTTATTACAAAATATTATTCTGCATATGCCCATAAGCCTAAAAAAATTTCAAAAAAATTAGATTTTTCTAATTTTCAAAGCTTAAGCTTAAGGAAATTCCGTTAATTTGCATGAAAAAACTAACAAGTAAACAGAAAAAAATGCGAAAAAAAATAAAAAGAAAACAACGAGACTCCGCGTTGACGGCAGCGCGTGTCGTTTGAATTTCTGTTTTTTTTTTATTTCGGCGAATACTTATTGAAATGTTCAGAATTTTTTCTCAGAACTAGACTATAGTTAAACGCAGGTCTGAGGGTTTTTTTTTCAATAATCTGCCCCCTGTTTCCGACAAGAGCAAAAATTTCACTTTTTTAAGTTCAAATACATATCAAAATTTCTTCTTTGCAGGGTTTCAAACCTCTTCGAACTGAAGAAACCGTCGGATTTATCAGCGATGGATCGGATAGTGAATAGTCATCGTTTTTGTATGTATATAGTCATTGCTCTCTTTACTATTTTTCACCCTGGGTCCTTCTATCTCGTGTGCTTCGACAAAATATCATCGCATTTCATTTCATTTTCTCTATCCAAAAATTCTATATATATATTTATTTATTCACAAACTTTGTTGATCAAATCAAAAAATAAAGATTTTTATTGTTTTTTCTTGGAATTCGTATAATAACCTGGTGAGACACGTGGCGGTGGACATGATTCACAAGGCCACGCTTCTCCTTTGTCTCCCGGTGGACCTTGCGGGCCCGGAAGCCCGCGCTGGCCTTGTTCGCCTTTGACTCCTTGATAACCGCGATCGCCGCGTTCTCCGGGAAAGCCTGGAAATGATTTGAGTTGGCGGAAGTTGTTGAAAAAAATTAGATTTGTGGAGATTTTTTAACAGTTTCAAAAATTAACACTGTTAAAAAATCAATAAAATGAATTTTTAACAGTGTTAAAATTCAAGATAACTTGCTTTTATTGAATTTTTAGCTTGTTAACTGATTTCCAACAAATCTACAGTAATTCAAAGGTAGATTATCCTTTGGAGAATTCTGTTTGCTCAAAAATTGATGATTTTTTTCAAAGTTTTTCTGACGAAAGTTCATTTCGAAAAACAAAAGCGCGGGAAACATGTTTTTCAAATTTTATCAAACTAAAAAACGTTTCCCGCGTTTGGCTTCAAAAAGATAGATCAAATTGTTTTCGAATTTTATGTTTTGGATTTCTCTTGTTTTCTCTGCGTCTCTCTCTCTCGATACACCCTGTAAAAGGCCGTGACCAAGTCACTGGACCCTGTATCCTATCTCCTAACCCCCCTTCCCCCTTCCCAAATTAACTCACCATCCTCTCCATCTCTGCCAATCCGTCCTTTCTCCCCCGGTGGTCCTCTTGGTCCAGCTTCTCCCTCTTTTCCCGGTGGCCCATCCGATTGATAAACTCTTCCAGGTTCTCCTCTTTCCCCAACCTCCCCAGCCACTCCAGCAAATCCTTTCTCTCCTCTCGCACCCGGTTCTCCTCGAATACTCGGTGCAGCCGCTGTTCCCTGTTTCCCATTCCTCCCTCTCGATCCCTTTTCACCTTTCGGCCCAATTTGTCCATCTCTTCCCGGTCTTCCTTGTGGACAATCTCGTTGACACGTCAATCTTTGATCATTTTCAGCCGGTCTTCCCGGTTTTCCATCTCGCCCGGCTTCTCCGTCATAACCATCTCGTGATTTTTTCCCGGCGAATCCTTTGAGACCAGGTGGTCCGATACAACAACTTGCTAATTCTCTTTTCTGTCGGATTGTGTCGCTGGCATGTTGTTGAACTAGATTTAGACGTGTTTTTAGTTCTCGCATGTGGTTCTGAAAATATTGCTTTTTCAGTGAGCCTAGAGCCGAGGCTTCTGGTTTACTGTAATGTGAACTTCGACGTGGCAATTATTTTCAGAAAAAAATAGCCACGTAGCATTTTGTAAATCTAATTTTTTAAAAAATCAAAATTTGGAGAAAAAGCTCTCTAGGATTACTGTAGCTCTGAAAAAATTAAAGTTACAAACTTCGATAAGAAAAAAATCGATAATTTTCCACGTGGCATTTTTTAAAGGAGAAACTAGAGTATAGTCTGTAGTAACTAGAGTACTATATAAAATTACTGATAAGGGTTACTGTAGCGGGAAGAAAAAGCTCTATAGGATTACTGTATCTAGCTCTAAGGCTCTAAGTTTTCAGAAAGGAACGTTAAAGAAACATGAGAAGTTTTTGATCTTTTTTTAAATTCGGAATAAAAAATTAGGATTAAAAAAAACTACTGTAGTTCTTACTGTAGTTTTTAATGGAATTATCACAGCTTTTGGAAATTCAATCAAATTTCCAGAAAAAAACAATAATATTCCACGTGGCCAAAACCTTGAAGATTACTAGTAGTTCAACTAAATTTTCAGATTTATTGATATAAGTTTCAAAATTCAATTTTTTCTACAGTATTTTTTTTGAAAGAAAGGAACATGAGAAGTTTTTTATCTTTTTTTAATTCGAAATAAAAAATTAAGATAAAAAAGTACTGTAGTTCTTACTGTAGTTCCAAATGGACCTATTACACTTTTTGGAAATTCAATTAAATTTCCACAGAAAAAAAACAGTACTCTTCCACGTGGCAAAAACAAAAAATATATAATTCAGATTCTTGTTACAATTTTCCACGTGTCAAACTAGATTACTGTAGAATTTTCAGAAACGCTAGAAAACCAACCGGGCAATCGACATTTTTCTGAATCGCAGGTTGATTCAAAATAAAGATCTGCAAGATGATCAGCGGACAAATCAGCGATGTATAAACCAAAGCGGTCACCGATAATGTCATTGCCATTTTCGGCGATGACATTTTCTCCAGAATCAAATTCATTTTCAGATTGGCTGGCTGAAACTGAAACTGAGACCACAAATGAAACCAACTTGAGTTACTATAACTAGAAAATGAAGGAGAGAAACCTAATTATATTTGTATATACACGCCCAATTCGTCTCAATTATTTATTATTTATTTCGCCTCGAATCAAAAAATAATTACCCTTCTCATACACAAATAACCAAACCACAGCAAAAAATAAAACCGGAAGCGAGGTCATCTTTATTTTCAGAGACGAAAAAAATGGGATTCAAAAGTGTTGAGCTGGTGGTCCGGCTGGTGGAGCTCCGGGGCCTTTTTCGCGATCCAAAAAGTTTTTGAGAACCTGCAAAAAAATCCATAATTTCTTTAAATAAGCCAGGGTAATATGAGCAATCCCAAAGTTTAGCTAACATGAGCAATCCCAAATTTCTTTAAATTAGTCAGTCTAAAACTAACTTGTAATATGAGCAACCTTTCTGATATGAGCAATTCTAAATTTAACCTAATGTGAGCAATTTCTCTTTTTCAAAATTTCTTCAAATTAACCAGTATAATATGAGCAATCCAAAGATTTAGCTAACGTGAGCAATCCCAAACTTTGTTAAATAAATAAATAATTTTTGAAACTAGCTATTCAATCCTAAATTTCTTCAACTCACCTATTCTTATATGAGCAATCACAAATTTTAACTAACATGAGCAATCCTAAATTTTTAAAAATTAGCCAGTATAATATGAGCAACCCCTCTTATATGAGCAATCCCAAACTTTACCTAATATGAGCAATCCCAAATTTCTTCAAATTCAAATCAACTATTCTAATATGAGCAATCTCAAATATTTTCAAATTAGCCATTCTAATATGAGCAATCCCTCGAGATCTACAGTAGGCCAGAGATAAGCCGAGAATCCAAGAAACCAAAGCCTAGAATCTTCCTCGCAAAGCTTAAGGGCCAAAGCCCACGCCCAAAAAAATTCTGGCCCAAAAAGCTTGAGCCTAGAGCCCATCCCCGCAAACCCAACTCACATCCATAGTCTTCAAAAACTTTGGATCATTCATCGACACAATTGCACACTGTGCACAAAAGCAAAACACCGTGCTCAACGACGAGTAAAAATCATGCATTCTACACGTGCAACATCGTCTCTTTCTCAATTCAACCCAAGTCTCCATGGCCGTAAATTTGCCAGTCTCCAAAATTTGTCGACACATCACAGCACTCGCAATAAACGACGCACATCTTCTCGTCCCACTCTCACCATGCACCAAAACACTCGTCATTCGAACATCCTCCATTTCCAACGTCTCCTGATGTGCCCACATATATTCCAAAGCAACCGCCTGCATTCGAGTGTTTCTCAGGCCGTGTACATCAGTTGGACAACAAATCACATAGATGAAACGTTGTTCGCTAGTCTTGATGTTGTTCAATTCACATTGATACACAGTTATTCCTTGTTTTTCGTCGTGAATTGAGACAGTCGTCATTTTATATTGCAAGAACACCGTATACGAACCATTTTCTTCCAAACTAAAATAACCGCCAGCTTCTTCGGGTTCGGTTAAAACTACAATTGTTCGAACATTGTATAGCCAAATGAGATGAATTTGATCGTCACGGGTATTTGGAAGAGGGGCTTGTGAGATTATAAAACGACCATAGGGAGTTTTGAAAGTGTTTGCGTGCACATAATAGTCAGCGTCATTCATATCGAGATATTCATCATAACGTGCGATGTTCAAATAGCGATTTTTCTGAAAATAAGAATTTTGAGGTTCTATTTTATTCTTTAAAACCCTCATTTTTTTCATTCAATTTTTGAATCAGATTTAAAATTTGAGTGGCACATGGATCATTTTTTAAGAGGATGATATTCTACAAATGAAATTTTTGAAACATATTTTTTGCAGGTTTGGTAAATACTTTCTGAAAATTTTAGTTACTGAAATTTTTCAAAAAATAAACATTTTTTAAAACAAACAATTAGTTTCGTAAAAATTTTGAAACATCAGAGTTTTGAATTTTCAGAAAAAAGTAAAATTAATTTTGATTTTCAAAATTTGAGCAGTATGTTTGCAAAAAAGCAGAAAAAACTAAAATTTTTTGAATTTACCAAATTTTTGAAACATATTTTTTGCAGGTTTAGTAAATTCTTTCTGAAAAATTTGGTTACTGAAATTTTTCAAAAAATAAACATTTTTTAAAACAAACAATTAGTTTCGTGAAAATTTGGAAACAGTGGATTTTTTTGAATTAAAAAAAGTAAAATTAATTTTTTTTTTCAAAATTTGAGCTATGTGTTTACAAAAAAGCAGAAAAAAACTAAAATTTTTTGAATTTACCAAATTTTTGAAACATATTTTTTGCAGGTTTAGTAAATTCTTTCTAAAAAAGTTAGTTACTGACATTTTTTACAAACATTTTCTCAACAAACAGATTTTTTTTCGTGAAAATTTTGAAACAGTGGGTTTTTTTTGTTGAATTTTTAGAGCTAGATAAAAAATAGAACAATTTGAGCTCTAAATTTACCAAATTTTTGAAACAGTAGATTTTCTAGTTCAAATTTTGAGATCTAGAAAAACACCTTTCCCTTCCTCCCCCGCAAACTCACATCTCCATTCGCAATAAATCTCTCAATCTTCTTTTCATCCTCATTCAACTCTTTCAAATCCTTCTTATATTTATCGCTATTTCTCGTCGTTTGCGAATGCACAAATTCATCAACAGTTTCAGCTTCAACCAATGCTTGAAATCCAGCATTTGCTCCAGTTCCTTTTGTCGCCTTCGTAGTCATTTTTTCCCAATTTGATATTTCTTTGACTTATTTCTAGCTCTCTCTGAAAAATAAATTCAAAGGGGGAACTGGGGGGTTTTTATAGCAATTTTTATCTGATCACAAAATTGGAACACGTTTGCGTTTGCAATAAATAAATTTTCAAAAAAAAATCATTTCAACAAAAAAATTATTTGTTATCCACAACAAGTTTCCCAATAATTTTCTCCACTTCATCTTGTGTTGGTGTTTTGTGAATTGTATCTGACGAAATCGATGATGGAATTGGGGTTTTTGGTGGAGAAGGCAACGGTGTCATTGCGCCTTTGATTAGTCGAGCCAGAAAATTGTCGAATTCGTTGAAGGGAATTGAATCGTGGAGGGTTTCGAGGGATCGAAGAGGTGGCCAGAAACGCTTGATTTCTGGGAAAAAAAGAAGGGTTTGGGGTTGGGAGGTTTTGTTGAAAAAATCTATAATTTTTCAGGAATTTTTAATCAGAAAAAAATGTTCTGAAAATTCTGAAAAATTTGAAAATCTTTTGGATTTTTTCTGACAGCATTGCTCTGGAAAAATTGAATTTTCAAAAGTTTTGAAGTATTGCTCATACTAAATTTCCTCAAAAAATTGATTTTTTATAAGAATTTTCGGAGCATTGCTCATATTAAACTAGAAATATTGGTTTCAAAAATAATTTTCTGATACTAAACTTCCTCAAAAATTGATTTTTAATAAGAATTTTCTGAGCATCGCTCATATTAAACTAGAAAAATTCATTTTTTAAATAATAATTTTCTGAGCATTGCTCATATTAAAATTCTCGAAAAATTGATTTTCAAAAAGTTTTCGAGCAATGCTCATACGAAACTTCCTCAAAAAATTGATTTTCAAAAGTTTTGAAGTATTGCTCATACTAAAATTCTCAAAAATTAACTATTCCAAGAGTTTTCGAGCATTGCTCATATTAAACTTTTAGCTTTCCAGGTTCCTTAGAAATAATGAGTGTTTAATCTGAGCAATCTCGATTTCTAGAGCATTGCTCATATTAAACCAAAAAAAAGTGATTTTTCAATATGTTTTGAATAAAAAATTCAGAAATTCGAAGTTCAGAAATTTTTGTGCAAGAAAAAAATTATGTGAGGCAAAAATTTCCGAACTCTTTTTTTAACATAAAAATTCAAAAATTTCCCACCTCCAACCGAAAAATCATCAGCTCCATAGGTCATTAATCTAGGCGCCGATGAAGATCTCGCAATGACAGCCGTCGAAATGACAGCAGTTCCAGCTCCAAAATCTTTGCGTGTTTTGTGTTTGTCGTGATCGCCAAATTTTCCCGTCAAAACATCGGTGCTAATCAATCGATTATTCACGTGGATTGCAGACATTCCTTAGAAAAATTGTTTTTTTTTCGAAACAGCAACAAAAAAAAACTGATTTCTCACCAGCAAAAAGTTGTGCTGTATGATGTTTGAATCGATATGGAAAATATCGGCGAGCTGAAAAAAATATGTTTAGTCAAAAAATTCCAGCGGATTTCCTGGATCCCAATAAAAATCTGGCTGGACAATCACAAAAAATCAAAAACAACACTGGATTGGACAATGACTACAAAAATGAGAAACAAAAACAACATTTTTTGCAGAACATACTTTTTTCATCCAATTGTTCCGAAACGATGAATGAACCACGTGCACCTTTAGACATTTTATAAATATTTTTTTGAAAAATTTTTTCAGGGTAATTTTTGATATCTTAAAAGTTCTTGTTATGATTTGTTTGAAAAAATAGGGTTTTAGAGCTAGAAAAATTGATTTTTTGAAACAAATTTTCGAGCATTGCTCATCTTAAATATCTTGAAATAACTAGTTTTCAGAATTATTCAAGTATTGCTCATATAAAACTTCTAGATTTCCAGAATCCTTAAAGAAAATAAGTTCTTAATATGAGCAATCTCAATACTCAAGAAAGTGAGATTGCTCATACTAAACTTCTTGAAAAAGTTATTTTGAAGAATTTTCAAGCATTGCTCATATTAAACTTTTCAAAAAACTTGATTTTTCAGAATTTTTCGAGCATTGCTCATATTAAAATACTCGAGAAATTGATTTTCAGACATTTTCGAGCATTGCTCATATTAAACTTCCAGATTTCCAGAATCCTTAAAGAAAATAAGTTAAATATATAAGCAATTTCGATTTCTAGAGCATTGCTCATACTAAACTTGAAAAACTTTTTATTTTGTTTTAGAATTTTTCAAGAATTGCTCAATTTTCGAGCATTGCTCATATTAAAATTTTCGAAAAAATGCTTGAGAATTTTTTTCGTTAGGTTAGAATCTACCACACATTATCCTTCAATTTCCAATCCCTAAATCAAAAGTCCACCATTCACACTAACTAATTTTCTCACATCTCGATTGCCGCTCACTTTGTTGTTGTTGTTGCTGCTGCTGAATTTGTTCCTCCTCTTTTTCCTTCTCATTCATAATCGGCTCGTGTTCTTTGATACAATTCATTGCCATCGCTTTTTTCGTCTGATCCAACAGTTCCTTGACCCATTGTCCTTTTCCATTTCCAACCGTTTCCATACTTTCCAAACACGATTCATTTTCATTTGATCCAACTGATATTTGACTCGCTGACTTGGCCACTCCACCACTTTTCCATTCGCCGTGCGGTTTATCACCTTCCTAAATTGAATTGTAAAAAATTCACACTAAGAATGTTAAGGTTGAAAAATACCTCCATTGATTTTTCGGTTCCAGTCGCACTTCTTTGCCGTTTTTCGTCGGAAACTGTAAAGAAGTTAGTAGTAGTCACAGCAAAAAAAACATGGAAAAAGGTGGGTGGGTTTTCAAGAGAAACTTACGAATTTTCGTAGAGCTATTAAGTTCATCCAGGGCGACGAGGTTGACCGATTCGACATCATTCAAATCATCTTCGGAATCTGCATGCGATTTTGTGGATGAGTTCAGGAGGCTGGAAATGAAGATTTTTAGGGGGGGCGGGGAAAATGGTGAATTTTTTTTCAAGAGATTTCGCCCACCGAAATCAAATCAAATTGAAATTTTGTGGGTTTCTAATGAAAAAACCCACAAAAATTGAAATTTTGATTTTTGTGGGTTTCTAATGAAAAAACCCACAAAAATTGAAATTTTTCTATTTTTTTTTTCAGTTCACTACTTCAATGAAAACTAGACTCTAGTTACTATTTTGGACTCGAAAAATGCCTAATTGTTGAAATTTGGAAATTTCAGACAAGAAATTTCAGGTTCCAAAATTTCATAGTAAAATTTTCAACTAGATTCTAGGTACTAGAGGATCTATAGTAATTTGCGTCAGTTTTGAAAAATGCGTTAGTTTCCAAAAATATTTTTTAGTCCCAAAATTTTGTACAATAAAAATTTTCATTGAGAAACTTTTTTCCTAAACAGATTTCCCAAAACTAACCCATTAACTTCAGCCGCAATCGGATCCTGTTCACTGCTAACCGAAATCTCATCACTAACAAACGGACTATTGGCCGCCAAATGCGACAAAGTCGGCGAGCAGCCCTTTTCTGTGCTCGATTTTCGTCCCTCCATCGATGACGTCATCGGATCACTTCCCTCTTTCGATTCCCGTTGTTTCGGCGTCTTTCCACCGCCAGTTGATCCCAAATTGAATCGATTCTCATAAATCTTCTCCTTCTCTGTTAGAAAACATGGATACAAACCAGGTGAAAATAGAATCTCAATATGAAATCGATTTGCTTCGGGAACATCGGCTCGACTATCCTCATAAACCATCAAAACAACTTGAGTCATGTAGTTGAATTCGGTGACTCCAGATAGGAAATTCATAGCTCTCTGCCATTTTTTATCATCAATTGTGCACAAATTCCCATATCTTATCAAATTCATCAATGTATGAATGTGTGATTCACTTGTGAAATATAATCGTGTTCGAACATGCCGCAAAGGTGTCGCAATTCCCTGCGAAGCTCTCGGATCTAATCGTGTCTGCGTCTCTCCCTCTTCCGTATTCTCTAAACATCGATGCAAATCATTTCGAATCTTCCTCAAAAGTGGCGTACAAACTCGTTGCGCAATAACAGTTTTATTCTCCTGTTTTATTCCATATTCTTGAGGTACAACAATATCTGCCATATTCTTTACACATGAATACATTCGCTCGAATTCCACTTCATTATTGATACAAAGATCGGGATTGTGTTCCATATCATATTTGATGTTATCATAAATATCGGGGATTTTTGAGATATCGAATTCGAATTCGCCATTCTTTTTGTTTTTTCGAAACTCTCTCAATTCTTTATTCCACCTCCTTTGTGCTAAATCCATCGATTCTTGCAAATACAGTGTTCCGCCTTGTTTTGTCTGCGAATATTCTTGAATCACTGCACACATTTTCTCAACATATCCCGCTATTTCATGACACATTTTCTTGGGATTTTTGATAAATTCCATTGCATTTGCGATTGATCGAAGACCACTGGGATTCAAATCAAGATAATCTTGTGGGGTGAAATCTCGATCGACTTGCAGCGCTTTGTGCAAATATCTTTTGAGCTCGGTTTGATAGAGTCGAGCCTGGCAATCGTCGTCTAATAATCCATCGGTGTTGGCTGATTTGACCATCTGAAGAAATTACCTCATTTTTTGCGGGAAATGTGAATTTTTCTAGAATTTCGAGGGAAATGAAGAGAATATGACGTGGGTCACGTAGAATTTTCCAAATAAAATTTTTTCTTGAAATTTTCATTTTCAGAATTTCGGAAAACGTGCTCGATATATTTTTTTAATTTGAATTAAAGTTTAAAAATTAAAATTTTAAGAATTTAAAAAATCCAATAAAATATTTTCAAAAAAAATTAAATTAAAACACTAGAAAAATCTAGTGAAATTTTGACTTGAAAAAAAATTTCAAAATTTTTTGGATTTAATTTTTTTCCCATATTACTTTTGAGCCTATTTTCAGCAAACAAAAAAAATGCTAGGAAATCCGAAATTTTTGGAAAATTGAAGAATATGAGCAATCCCAAATTTTATCTAATATGAGCAATCTCAAATTTCTTTGAATTAGCCATTCTAATATGAGCAATCCCTCGGAATCTACAGTAGATTTATTTAAAGGGACAAAAACTCCTACCTGCATCAATATAGGCGTCAATTCCCCCTCCAACGCCAACATTCCTTTCGCAAACGCCGCCGCCGTCGTCTGAACTCTTCCCTCATCCGACGCATAAATCTTCAAATCATGTCGATACGTCGAATGCAATCGCAAGAATCCGAGACCCTGCGTATCTTCCGGCGAACTTTTTCCATCAGTTCTTCGAATTCCCGGATAAAGTGTTCGAAATAATCGACCAAGTGCTTCAGCTTGCATATTTCCAGCAGTCGTCAATTCGCCACCCCATTTTAGAATCACATTCAAAGCCGGGCCTTGGTCCTGCAAACAATTATTTTTTTCTAGTTTCTAGTTACCCTAACTCACATCTCTTTCCTTCAAATATTTCATCTGAACTTTGCGATTGATTCCCGAGAAATGTCCATACCTAAAATTTCAGCTAATTATCACTAACTAATTTTAAAAAATCATGATAAATAAATTCCAATTGGATTTATTAAAAAAAGACAAAACACAACAATAACATGCTTCTAAGAAGAATATTTACCCTGATTTTTAGTATTTAGTATAGAACTTATTTACAAGTATGTATATATAAAATATTTACAGAACCCCCATGCGTTTTTCGTGCTCTATAAATCAAAAAGAGGGTGAAACAAAACAGACAATCAAGAAATATGAAGTGGCATACATTTCAAGAACCGTTCGCATTTGTTCCCATTTTTTCGCGTCATCTTCGCATAGTTCGAGACGATGCTCGATTTCGTGCAGTTTTTCGTCGGTGCCGTGGAATTCTTTCAGCTCTTCCAGAAGTTGGTTGCGATCTCGCTGGAAATTTGGGGGTTGTAGGGAATTTTTTAAAGAAAAATTAGCTGTATTGAGATTTTCTAATAATTTTCAGGAATATATTGAAAAAATGGATTTCTGAAATTGCTAGAGTTTCTAAGCGTCAATTATGACGTGGCAATTTTTTTTAAATAGAAAATTTAATTAGTTCAATTAAATTGTCAGCTTTAGAAGTATTTTTAAACTTCATTTGAATTTTTTTTTTAATTTCAGAAATCGTGGAAAATTTTTGTAATTAATTACTTTTCTCTAAAATTTTTCTCAAGAAAAATTACTGTTTCAACAATTTTATAATTTCAGTTTTATAATTCTTTTTTAATCTTTTCTTCTCCAATATTTCAGTAAATAATCTAAATTTTTTTTAACGTGAACTATGACGTGGCAATTTAAAAAACATTTTTAACATTCAGAACCACACAGAATTTCTGACATTTTTCCAACAGTCCCCAAAATCCTCACCTGTTTCTCATTCACCAAACATCTCGCCAACTCCAAAACCTCCATCAATTGATTCGGTTTCTTCATTTTAATCTCATTCTTCTTGTGCCCATCATATTTCTCGAAAAGTGCAAAGAATCGTTTGTCCGTCACAACCAGCTTCATTTTCTGTTTGGGTGTTCGATCGCCATGTCGAATGACAGCAACGACACAACGCAATTCCATCAGTTTTCCGCTGGGCGTATTTACCAATGGCGGATCATCTGGAGAGAAAATATGGGCGGTTTTTTGGGGATTTTCTTTACAATTGTAGATTTTGTACAAATAAACAAAACTACTTTTTGTTGCTGTTAAATAATCAGATAATCTTCAAATTGAAATTTATTATGAATTTTTTGAAACAGTAGATTTTTTGGTTCGAAGTATAAAATCAAAACCTCACCTCCTAATCCAAGATCAAGCAATGGCGGTGGTGGAATCGCCATATTCGGCAATTTCATATGCATTTTATGCGCAAGTCGTTGAATTATCATATTGCCTAGAATTTTCGCAGTATCCTCATAATATTTTGTGGATGTTTTGACGAATGAAAAACCATTCACATCGCAAACATATGATTTGCCGTTGGCTCGCAATAAATCGAATCCGCAAACTGTTTGCTGAAAATCGAGGAGATTGAGGGTTTTTTCGGCCTGGATAAGCCTAGTTCCTAGGCCTAAAATATGAGCTCATTTCAGCTCGAAAATTAGGCCATTTTTGAGCCTAGTTTTTAGGCCTAAAATCTGGGTTCTTTAGAGCCTAAAAAGTCCAGTTTCAGACCAAACCCTAGGCTTAAAAATGCATTTTGAGCCTGAATAAGCCTAGATTTTAGGTGCACAAAATTAGGCTGTTTGAAAGCCTAATCAAGCCCAGTTTTAGTCCTGAAGTCTAGGCTTGTTTAGTCAGAAATAATGCATTTTTCGAATTTTCTGTATTTATTATTCATTATAAATGACGAAAACATAAATAAAAAATCAGATCTTGTTTTAGCTATCAATTGAAACGTATCAAATCCAGGATTTTTTTATTTCGAAAAAAATGAAATTTTTCAATTCAAGGCTATCAAACTACTGATAGGTTTAGAGAATTGAAAAAACGCTCCAAAACTTTTTTGGCTCAACAGAACCACAGAAAATCAGGTCCAAATAATCCCAAAATTTTTAGCCTGAAAAGCCTAATATTAAGATGATTTTAGGCTTCAGAAAATCCCAATTTTTTATCAAGCCACTAAAAAAAGGTATGTTTTTCAAAGTAGAAAGAATTCAGAATTTCAAACAGAATTTCGAGTCTAAACAAGCTAATGTTAGGCCGATTTTAGGCTCCTGAAAATCCAATTTTCGGCCCAAAATATTCATACTTTTAGGTCTGAAAGTCCTAAAAGATAAAACTTTTAGACGTTATAGAATGACATATTTTATGATCCGAAAAAGCCTTATATTAGGCTGACTCTAGGCTTTTTTTAAAGTTTTCTGTTCAGAGCTCAATATTTTGGCTCAATTTTTCAAATCCCCCCTCAAAAACACTCACCCCAAAAGCCATCACAACATTTCTCGCAATCGCCTTCTCTTTACTACTCAAAATCACCGGATATCGAACCTCTTTTCCATCCGAATCTCGTTCAACTTTTCCATCCAAACCAGGCGCTTTTCGCGCTTCCGCGTGCGCATAAAACGGTCCAACCGCATACACTTTCACATCGGTTCCATCGGCCGGTATGAATTCCTCATAAATATAGCTACCGTCTTTTCGAACTTCCGATGTTGGCGAATACCAACTACTTCGATTATTGATCTGAAATTCGAGATGCCGCGGTTGGGGGCAAAACAAGAAGAGATAGAACATATAGAGAGAGAGGGACTGTTAATTAGTCGAAAATCACTCGTTTTTGTAAGTTGCGCGCAAAAAAACAAATTTACAACACTCACATGCCATGATTTGACGTTTTTTCCTTTGATTGACATTGTTCCCTAAAGGAATTGACAATGTTTTTGAGAAGAAGAAGAAATAAATAAATGAAAACTAAAGGAGGACCAATCACATCACTGATATTTAATATTCAGCGTTAATTTTTTTTTAATTAGCGTAAGTCTACGGGGGAAAGAAAATATAATTACAAGGGAACTTTTTTCTGGAAAGACCGCCCATGTCCCGAAAAAAGTTCCCTTAATTCGAAAAAAATGCACTAACCTTTCTAAATAGTCTTTGAGAACCTCCCCCCACACTCGATGGATAATATATGTAAATATTATGATCTTCAGCAGAAATCGGTTTTTCAACAAATGGTTTATTGAAAACCTCTCCATTAACTTCAATATGATCAGGATGTTCAATCAATTCGGTATCCTTTTCTTTATCCGAATTTCGAATAACACATCCATGTCGAGGATGTTCGATTCCATGATCACTCAAACATTTGAACACGGTTCTTCGATCCAATAAATCATATTGTCGATTCAAATCATTGATCACGTAGGGATTTCGCAATTTCACATATTCGATGGCTTTTTGAAGGGGAAAATCGGCAGAGTGGAAGGAGATTAGACAATGACAAAGTGGCCAGTTTTCAATTGGCTCATTTAGAATCACATTTTCAGGGAAGACGAAGAAATCCAGCCAATCTTTGTAGGTTTCGACGATTCGATTCATAATTGCCTTCATTGGTTTGCTTGTCGCTTTTCGATTCATTGCACAGATTCCAATGAGAATCTGAAGCGAAGAGTTTCTCACTAATTTTCTTTTTTTTTCAAAAAATACCCACCTTTCTTTGTGATGTCGAGCAATCATCCTTGATATTATTTTCCGTCGTCGACGCCATTTTACATCTAAAAAATACAATGATATGGCAGAACTATGAGAGAAAGAAAATCATTTCATCTTCTTTTTTCTGACGAAAAAAACACATGACATCTTAGTTATTTCCGCTTTTTTATGGACAAAAATGAAGAAAGAACCTAATTTGATATTAAATATTATCAGTGATGAGTTGAAAACTAAACTTTATCAAAATGGAATAATGCTCACAATAATTCTTTGATAAAAGAAACAAAAATGAAATTCAGTATTTAATCTTTGTATTTATTTCATTGAAACGTATATGTTATTTGTACTGTTTAAAAATTTTGCGAACGAAAATAAAATGACCAAACCAAAACTATCTATAATCGGGGGAGGTTTTAAATAATACTCGTTTAGTCGAGTTTCATTGGGAAAATGAATGAAAAGAAGTGTGAGGGAGAAAGAGAGGGAGAGCAGAAGAACAACAAAAAAATGTGGGTCGATAGAGGAGAGACAGAGAGAAAAGGGATCTTCATTTTTTTTGTCTTGTTTTTTTTCCTCAAGGGATTGTGATTTTTCAAGGTTGATGGAGAATTGTTGAGGAAAAAAATTGGAAACCAAAAGTAACTGACAAAATTTTGGTCAATTTTTTCTAGGCTTTCAAGTATTTTTTTGTATTTTAAGAATAACTCGGATTTTTTGGAATAAGAATTTGGTAGCCCTAGGTAAAACCAAAAATATCTGAATCTCTGGATCAGCCAAATTTTTGTTCTTGAAAAATTTAGGCCACCGGAATCTTTAAAATTATCAAAATAGTCATAACATTTTATATATACTTTTGACTATCATCTACATTTTTTCATCATACAAAAATAATAGGAAGGATAGAATAATAAACACTTTATTTTCTTTACATTGACACATAATAATACACATACAGTGCCGCTCATAAAGAAATCAAATTATGGTTTTTTGACCGTAACTTTTTAAAAAGTAATCCGATCACTTGGAAACTTTTTGAGCTACTAAATTACTCTGTGGCACACAATTGTAAAAAATAAACTGTCATCATTTTTTGAAAAAAAATTTTTTTTTTCATTTTTTCATTTTTTTTCGTTTTTCACTATTTCATATAATTGAGTAATACTTGTTATTACCGAACCATATCTAGAAGATGTGATGTCCGAACTATTTTTAGACATGGGTAGAACATCAGGAGCGAAAACGACTTCAGTTGACGTTCAAAAAGCCGTTGTAAATGGCTCCAAATAAGGAGCACCGTTGACAGATCTTGCTCAACAGTTCCAGCTATCAATTTCAACAATTTGTCGAATTCTTCCGAGATACAAAGCTCAGATAAGGAACTTATTCATATCTAGGCTATTTTAAATGTTTAGAAGATGTGTATTGTCCGAAAATCTCCCGGGAGACCTCGTGAAACAACGAGAATCATGGATAGAAACATTGGAAGGGCTGTTTGTGAGGATCCTAGAAGCACTTCTACGCAGATTCAGATGATCGTGAACTTTCCAAACGATCCAGCGCCTTCAAAACCAACTATTCGAAGATGTTTACAACAGATGGGACTGCATGGTTGACGTCCAGTCAAGAAACCGCTCATCAGCGTCAAGAATCGCAAACATAGAGTGGAGTGGTGCAGGGCACATATCAACTGGGGGCCTCATGACTGGTATCTGGTTCCTATCGGACGTCGAATCCACTTGTTTCCATCACTGCCAAACAGAATGTACTTCGACTCGTCACTCCAAATGTGTTTTGCCCAGTCCTGAGGCCCCCAGTTGATATGTGCCCTGCACCACTCCACTCTATGTTTGCGATTCTTGACGCTGATGAGCGGTTTCTTGACTGGACGTCAACCATGCAGTCCCATCTGTTGTAAACATCTTCGAATAGTTGGTTTTGAAGGCGCTGGATCGTTTGGAAAGTTCACGATCATCTGAATCTGCGTAGAAGTGCTTCTAGGATCCTCACAAACAGCCCTTCCAATGTTTCTATCCATGATTCTCGTTGTTTCACGAGGTCTCCCGGGAGATTTTCGGACAATACACATCTTCTAAACATTTAAAATAGCCTAGATATGAATAAGTTCCTTATCTGAGCTTTGTATCTCGGAAGAATTCGACAAATTGTTGAAATTGATAGCTGGAACTGTTGAGCAAGATCTGTCAACGGTGCTCCTTATTTGGAGCCATTTACAACGGCTTTTTGAACGTCAACTTAAGTCGTTTTCGCTCCTGATGTTCTACCCATGTCTAAAAATAGTTCGGACATCACATCTTCTAGATATGGTTCGGTAATAACAAGTATTACTCAATTATATGAAATAGTGAAAAACGAAAAAAAATGAAAAAATGAAAAAAAAATTTTTTTTTCAAAAAATGATGACAATTTAGTTTTTACATTTGTGTGCCACAGAGTACTTTAGTAGCTCAAAAAGTTTCCAAGTGATCGGATTACTTTTTAAAAAGTTACGGTCAATAAACCATAATTTGATTTCTTTATGAGCGGCACTGTACATAAAAAAGTTATTATTTTCGTTGTTCACCTTCGCTCTTTCTGAAAAAAATATATGATGATGATAAAAAAATTTTCAAAAAAAAACTCACATGATAGGCGGGAACGAATGCTGATCTTGAATGAGGTTCGGAACTCATAAAAGGCAAGAAATTCGAATGTTGATGATCCATAAATGAGGAAGAAGAAGTGGATGATGTTTCAACAGCTTTCCAATTCGATTCAGGATTATCCAGATGGTATTTGAGATCAGGAATTCCTTGAGAAGTTTGATTTTGTACAATAAAAGATGTCTGTGGGCAATAAATGTTTTGCGTTTGCATTAAATCGAATCGTTGGACAGAAGGCATAACAATGTGTTGAGAATGTTCGGGATTGCTTGTTGTTGGGATTTGTGGTGGATCAATTATATTTTCAACGGGTTTTGGATCGATATTTGAAGTGGAATTAGTGGAAGATGAAGAATTTGCGGGGTTTCTTTTATATTTTTTGGGCGGGTTTCGAACACGAAATTTGTTATATTTTCGTATTGTTTCATCAATCAATTGTTCATCGTTGTTGTCTTCGTCGCACGATTGCTGGAAAAAGAAAAGTTCAAACAACTTGTAAATAAAACAGTTTTGATGTTTGTTACCTCGCTATCTCTTTTCATCAGTGGTGGATTGGTTTTCAAAAAATCTCTGACAGACATTTTTACATTTTCATTTTCGGTGATGTTTGAAGTCGAGGGAACAACCTGGAAAATAAAATAATTTAGAAACGTGACCTAAAAAATTACGCGAATTAAGCGAAAAAATTGAAATCCGTCATTTTTGATATTTCACAATTTTGTAAGTGGTCAGATAGAAATGACTGAAAAAGACAGGCATACAAAATGGTTAGAACAGCAAAATTTTTATCATGGATTTTTACCACGCGAGGACTTGTTATATGTTTTGAAAAAAAGTGGAGACTATATCCTTCGAACAACTGATGTGAGATTTGATTAGGGGGAATGGCTGATAAATTCGAGATTTTTTCAGCGTCCTGGACCGAAAGGAGTTCGACAACGAGATCTGATTCTAAGTGTCATTTGGACAGATAACAACGCACCTTTGGCAAGTACTGATATCCGAAATTTTATCGTGAAACGAAATCCTGCGGGAAAGTTCTGCATAGACACGGACGACAGATTCGATACCATTCAAAGTCTATTGAATTTTTATGAGAAATATCCGATTAAAATGAAAACCAAGGTCAAAATTCGACTTATGAGACCTATCCCGCTTCTTTCTTGGGAATTTCGCAATAAAGAAGTTGTGCTTTTGAAAAAAGTTGGGCAAGGTGCTTATGGAGAAGTGTATAAGGGAAAAGTTAAGAAGAGGAATGGAAAAACTTTTGAGGCAGCCATCAAAACGGTAAATTTTTGGATGGAATTTGGATGGATTGTGGAAAAAAATGTTTTTTTAGATGAAAGCTGATATCGATGCAAATGACGAAAGAATGAAAGAAGTAATGGCTGAAGCAAGATTGATGAGATGTTTGAATCATCCAAATATTGTTCGAATTCGAGGAATCGCAGTCACCGAAGCACCATTTTATATTATCATTGATTTTATTGATGGTGGAGGGTTAGATTCATATTTGAAGAAAAATAAGAATGTTTCCATCGACGTCAAAAATAAGGTAACCCCAGCAACGTTTTTGAGAAATAAAAACAGTTTTTGAATTTTGCAGATGGCAGTTTCTGCAGCTTGGGGAATCGAATTTATTCATTCACAAAGTATTATTCATCGTGATATCGCTGCTAGAAATTGCCTTTTTGATAAGACAAACTATGTGAAATTGTCAGATTTTGGTTTATCTCGAAAAGGAACACAATATAAAATGAAAACTGCGCGAAGAATGCCTACAAAATGGTTGGCTCCTGAATCTCTTCGAACATTTACATTTTATCCTGCTTCTGATGTTTTCACTTATGGTCTTTTGTTATACGAGATTTATACTGTCAAAGAGCCATATGATAATATAGGTGGAGCCGAAGCGAAAAAGCGGACCTTGACTGGAGAATATCCGAATTTTGAAGCTGAAGCACCACCAGAATTATATTCAATAGTAAGAGAAATGGTTTATGTTGATGATCATGAAAAACGCGCGCCAATGTCAAAAATTGTGAAATCTCTGGAAGAATGGTTGCAAGTTGAATTGGTACTTGACAAAGATGAGAATGCTGTTGAGGATGAAAAACCACCAGCAAATGTAGATTTGGTATCAGGAAATGAAGAGACCAAAACAGTTGGTACACCAGTTTCTGGTGAAGGATCTACACCACCAACACCAAATCAAAATGATGAAAATCAGGTGGAAGAGGTGACAAATGCGAATGATGAAGTTGAACCGACAAAACAACCAGATGTTGGTTCGAACAAAGAGAAAAAGAAAGGAAGTTGTCGGAAACAGACGAAACTACGTGCTTCATCATCTAGTAAGAAACTTGTGGGAAAGAAACGTTCGAAAGATATTGAAAAATTATTAATTGGCCCAGAAACAAAGAAAGAAGCAACAGTGGATAAAACTGAATCAGTTTATCGTGACGATTGAAATTCTTTAGATGCCAAATAAAACTTACTTGTAAACTTTCTTCTGCAATTCGTGTTTCTTTTTCTTGTTGAATTATTTCTGCGGGTAGCGAGAGCAGATCGAATGAGCTTTGCTTTGCCTCCAAGAAATTTTGATGTGTTTCGTTTTGAGCTCCCGAAGTTGCATTATTCACTGATTTCTAAATAAAAACATAAGAAAACTTGTAGAAAGTTTGAAAAACTTACGAGTAATCTATCTAATATGAATTCATTGATAGATTTTTGAGTTTCGATAAAACTTGTAACAATATTCGCCAACTTATCGATTTTTTCAATAATTTCGTCTTGTTTTTGATAATGTGGTGCCATCAAATCAGTAAACATCCGTGCTTTATCGATTTCGTTTGAAGTTGGATTCAATATTTCGAGTATTTGATTCTAGAAACAAAACCGCATTTCAAAAAAGTTATCCCCATTCAAATCTTACTGTTAGCACTGCATTTGGTTCAGTTACATAGGTTCCCGCTGATGTTCCAGGATTCAAGCTCATTTGATAAATAGTTTTATCATCGATAGTTGGAAATTGTAAAGGAGTGTTCATTCTGCAATTTTATTATTCGAAAATTGGAAGAATGAATGAAAAAAAGAGAAAAACGATTAAAAGCGAAAAATAAAATAAACTGGATAAAATTCTTGCTGTGTACGATGGGGCGCGTTTGAACGCCTGCATAGAAAAATGCTTTGCCTTGCCAAAACAAAAACATCGCGTTTTGTTTGTTTTTAAAGAAAAAAAAAACAATAAAGAACTGGGAGCAGAAAATATTTTACGCTTTTGGGTGAAAAATACTTACTTCTGAATTTCTTATTGTTGAAAAACTTTGTGCTTGATGCGGAGGGGTTTGGGCAGTGAATTTCCACGGGTTTTGATAGCAGCAACTTCTAAAAAGGGAAGATTTTGGGCTGAAAAACAAGAGAAAAAAAACCGAAAAATAAAAAATTTGGGCGAAATCCGTGTGAAGTTCAAAACAAGATGAATCGCGGTGAGACCATTTGACGAACAAGGTTGCGCCTTTACACAAAAATTACAGTACACAATGATGATTTTTCTTTTTCTTCTCGGGAAAATACAACATGTGAAAAATAACCCTGATAATTTGATGAATTGAAAGTACTACAAAATTAATTCCTCGGGGTATTTGAGCAAAAATTTAAAATTTGACAAGGTTGGAATTTCTATTTTCTTTTAAAAATCTTCTGAAAATATCTGAATTCTGGACAAAATTGTTTCATATGAAATGATCATGTGAATTTTTTTGGATTTTTCTTTAAAAACATTGCTAAGATTCGAATTTTTATAATTTTTTTCTAACCTAATCTGAGCAATGTTCGAAAAACCCTATTTTTTTAACTTCTGAAAATCTCTGAAATCTGAACAAAATTTGTTTTTTGTGAAATTTTCAAGATTTATGAAAATTCTAATCTGAGCAATGTTTTTCAGACATTGCTCAGGTTAGGTTAGAACAAATTTAGGCTTAAACGCAGATCAGCAACAATAACCCATAGCATTTTATGCCCCCTATTCGGAACTATGTTACAGGCCCAGTGCGGGTTTTTCAAAAAAAAAATTATGGAAAAAATTTAAAAAAAAATTTTTTTTGACCTACCCGCGAAAATTGAAAGAATTGCAAATAGCAAATTATTTTTCAGAAAAATTGGCGAAAACACGCTATGCCAGCCGATACAAAAATCAAATTTCTGGGAGACGCAGACTTTTAACACAGGCAGAGACATCTCTCGCCTTTCCTTCCCCCTCGGGCGATATATTGCACTGTTCGCAGAGACAGCAGACAAGCAGATACACACAAAACATAGCGCTTGGCCGCGCCGGTTTTTCGTCTGTCGCTGCGTTTATATACCTCATCGGCATCGCCCTTTGATGTGTTGAGGTCTCGCAGCGACTTTCTAACCGAAAATGAATGTCTGCGTCTCCTCGAATTTGTATGGTGGCACGACGTGAAAAAATCATTCTAATTTTTTAAAAGATTTAACCTGTGTCCGTAGACGAGACCCCCTCTTTCATTAAAATTATCTTAGATGAGGCCCCCACGTGAGTTGAGACCCCCTGAATAATAAGCCCCCACCCAAGATGAAGCCCATAATTAATTGTATTCTAACCTAACCTGAGCAATTCTTATCTATGAAAAAAAACTTGGCTATGAAAATTCTAATGTGAGCAATGTTTTGTTTTCTAATTCTTTTCAAACAGATTTTTTCACTCAATTCTTGATTTTTGAAATTTCTGAGCAAAATATCTGAATTTTATCTGGAAACTTCTGGAAAATCAATAATATAATTTTACATTTTACAGATATTCACTTGAGTAGTTATAAGTCGCACAACGCGCAAAAATGACTGTAAGTTTTTCAATTAAAATCCAGATAAAAAATTTTCCTATTTTTTCAGGACACAAATGTTAATCAATCGAAGCCTTCAGATCGCGCTGAGGCACCCCCCGCGGCAAAAGATCTGCCACACCCGCCAGCCGAATCTCCAGTTGTCCAAGAACAAGAGGCGAAAGGCGAACAAACTGTTGGAAATGTTGCCTCAGCTTTAGAAGATAACCAACAATTACAAGACCCTCAGGCAACCACAACTCTCCGAGATTCTGTTGACGCACTTTATAAAGAATTCAAAATTTTGATGGATTCAAACCCGGAACTTCTCGCCGAAATCAGGAATATGCCGCCAGTCTCAAATCAACAATTGTTGGAAAGCCTTCAAAACTTGATTAGAACAAGCGAAGCTTTAGAAAATGGTGTTGAAAATGATTTGGAAATTGAACAAGTTGTTGCCGAAACTGAAATTGTTCCAACATCCACTGAATTGAATTCGAATATTCCACCAACTCTTGAAAAACCAGCCGAAGATATTGAAATGTCATATGATTTGGAAGAAGCAATTGAACAAGTTGTGGCAGAAACTGAAATTGTTCCTACATCCACAGAATTGACCTCGAATATTCCGCAAACTTTTTCATTGAATTCGAACGAGCTTATGGAAAATGGAAATGTTGATAATGTTACCGAAGGAGAGAATATGGAAGATTTGGGAGCGGAAATGACGGATATTGATCAGACAACATCCACTGATCAGGACATGGTCAATCTTCGAGCTTATTTAGAATTTGAACATGTCTATGGAGCTGGAGAAGGATTGAAACAAAGACCTTCCACATTTCGAGAATCAGAAGTGAGTTACTTTAGAAAACGAAATTCCGAGAAACTTTTCAGTTGACAAAATTTTGATAATGAATATTTGAGACATTTTTTGTCTCAAATAAAAACCTCACCATTTTTTCAGCGCTTTCCAACCCGTCTCGAATCTTATCAAGCATCACCATTTCGCGAAGTGTCGGAGCCTGGAAGTTCGGGAAACCGATCAGAAGAACGGGCAATTCTTTCGGAGTTTCGTGAAAAGGCAGGATGGAACACATCGTCTTCCGACACCCCGGAGTATTCCTCGAACACCTTCGATGCTTCGTCGTTGAAAATCTCTGATTATCCGGACGTTTCGGGAAGAATTTTCGACTTCGATCGAAATGTGTCGAATCACGATCAATTTCATTTTTTTTTTGTTGAATAAATTTATATCTGAATTTTTTATCGATTTGCAGAAGAAATTCGATATTTGGACAGTAACCAACTTGAGCTACTTTTTTCAGGATGAATCAAGATTTTCTACAGTACTTTATCGCAGAACTGATTACTGTAGTTGTGCATTTGAGACAGCACTCCATTCACTCCTTTCGTAATACGTTCCACGAGTTACTGTAATTCTACAGTACCCCAGTGTCGTAAAACGGTGTACAGTTAATAACTGCAGTTATTCTGTCTCGTAGAGTGCTGTAAATTTGTCAGAAATCTTCGTGGATCACAGTGGCTCAAGATTTTTGTCAGAAAAATCCATGTTTGAAATGAAATTTAGGATAAACTATTTTACGAGACGTCGAAAAAATAGTTTATCCTAAATTTCAAATTTTCCGAGAGAAAAAATCTGATTCAATCCGAAAAAAACAGCCTATTTTCTGAAAATTTTCGAACAAATTTTTCACGAAAAGTGGAATTTGTCTCAAACATCGCTCTTGGCCTATTCAAAATCTGCCGAAAATACATTACGTGAACTAATGCCTTTTGTAATTTTACAATAAGGTCACACGCACTGTAGTTTTGGATGACAGAAAACAACGGATACCGTAGTTCTTGCGACAAATCTACAGCAATCCCAACATTTCCAAAACTATGCCAGATTACTGTAGATTAGAAGAACTACAACAAACAAAAAAACCTGCGAAATGTACAAGTCTCGGCTTTTCTGCGAGACTTGCAAAAGGAGAACCTGATGAAAATAAAAACAATATAATAATTTAAAAATTAGAAAAATCCAATGCGAATGATTGACACGTGGCAAGTGGAGAATGAGAAGAATTTGTCGCAATCTGAAAAAATAGGATTAAATAGTCGTTGTCTTCCACGAAAATTCTAAATTGGCAAATGAAATATTGTTTTCATATCGAAAAAAAACAAGTATTCATTCAAAATTTGGGCATAGCTTCCGCATCTCCGCTGAAATTCCAATTTTAAAATAATAAAATCCAAGGTTTTTTAAAGATTTTCATATAAAAAATCAAGAAAACTCTGAATTTTATTAGTTTAAAATTGGATATTTCAGAAGTTCTTTTTTTATTTTTATATGAATACTTACTTTGTTATATTGTTATATGATCGAATCGATTGTTTGATTGAGCGCATTTGTAGACTGCCAATCTGGAACAAAAAATTGAATTTGATTAAAAAAAAAATAAGTTTTTCTCTAATGGGGTGATTCAGGTCGAAAAAAAAACTGAAAAAAAACATTTTTTTACAAAAAAATTCGATTCAGCAAATGTCAAAAAACTATATTTTTTTTCCTATTTCTCGACATTTTTTGACATTTTTTTTCATTGAAACATTTTCGCTGCGAGATATCTCTCATTTTTGTGTGGAAAAAAATAGAGTTTTTTGACATTTGCTGAATCGAATTTTTTTGTAAAAAAACGTTTTTTTTTAGTTTTTTTTTCGACCTGAATCACCCCATAAAAAAATCAAAAATTGGGCATAGCTTCCACATCTCCGCTGAAATTCCAATTTGGAACTGATAAAATTCAAGGTTTTCAAGGTTTTCACAATGAAAATCAAGAAAAACAATTCTTTATCAGTTTCAAAGAGGATATTCCAGAAATTCATGTCAATTTTCAAAACTTACCAATTTCGAGACGAAATCAGGAATAACATTGGTCGATAAGTTGGATTCACTTCGAATTGTTGAAGTTGTTGATCTGAAAAAAAGGTTCACGTAAAACATGTTTCGCAGTTTTTTTTTGTTTTTTTTTAACTTTTTTCATTGAAAATTTAAAGTTTTTGACAAGGAATAGATCCCAATGTGACCCCCTGAAAAAGTTCGGTTGTATGTTCAAATAGCATCTTATGGGGAGTTATGAAAAATCCAAAGGTGGTTTTTTAAGTAAAAATTTCTTTCATGAGAATCCGGAGGTCGAAATTCTGAATAATTTTCAAAAAGTCAAAAAACCTTCTATTTTTGAAAATTAGTAATTCAGCTCAAACTCAACGAAAAAACTCGATCAAAACCGCATTTTGAAGCTTGAATTGCCTTTTTTTCGGATGTTTTGGAGTACAGTTATCAAATTTTGAATTTTGATTTTTTTGAAAAATCCACAGTAAAATTTTTTTAAAAATTGATTCAAATACGTAAAATTGGATGAGAAATTCAAAAAATTAATCTAGAATGCGGTTTTGATCGAGTTTTTTCGTTGAGTTTGAGCTGAGTTACGAAATTTCAAAAATAGAAGGTTTTTAGTCTTTTTGGAAATTATTCAGAATTTCGACCTCCGGATTCTCATGAAAGAAATTTTTACTTACAAAATCCCCTTTGGGTTTTTCATAACTCCCCATAAGATGCAATTTGAACATACAACCAAACTTTTTCAGGAGGTCAAATTGGGATCTATTCCTCGTGAATAAAAATTCAAAATTTGGGCATAGCTTCCGCATCCCCACTATTTTTCAATCGAATTTCAAATTTTCATATAAAAACTGACCAGTAAATCCAGGATTTGTCATTGACTCAAAATTGCAAAACCAAAAATCGGAAATATGTATCGATCTGAAAAATAAATCAATTTATAATTGTGAAATTAAAATCTAATGAAGAATTTCTGTAATTTCAGATTTTTTCTATCAAAAATCATGATTAAACATTTTTTCTTGAAAATTTTTAAAAAAATTCTAGAATTTTTCAACGTTTTCTAGTTGCCACGTGACAATTGATTTTTCATTTTCAGACAGAGAAAATCCTGAAACTCACTGAGAAATCGAAATGTTTTCAATTAATTTGATTTTTGAAACAAGAAATAAAATTCGTTATGTCACGTGGATTCAAAAAGGTCACGTACAAATTTATTGTTTTTCAATTTTACGTGGCATTTCATTATCGACTTTTTTTCAAAAATTAAAAAAAAATCAAAAATCAATTGCCACGTGGCATTTTTTTATTTTCAAAGTTTTTTCCATATTTTCAAGACTTTTTATCGCGATTTCAAAGTTTAGTTGAAAATTCGCTCAATAACTTCAATCCTCAATAAAAAACTTACTTTTATTCCCATTTTAGCTCAAGAATTTCAAAGGAATCGATTGAGAAGAGAGTTGGATTCTGAAAATAATTAAAACTGAAATTTTAGAAATAAAATCTCAATTTCTCGTCTTTTATGCGAAAAATTGAGAATTTCAGTGAAAAAAAACAATGAAATTGAACAGAAAAACATACGATTGATGGAAGAATTGAAATTGAATCGAATCACAATAAGCCATATCTGAAAGCGAAAATATTTGAATTTTCAGAAATGACCAATTTTTAGGAATCAGTTTTTGAACACATTTTCCACCTTTTAATTGTTCTATAATTTTTTTCCCAAGGATCCCGAAATTTTATAAAATGGGGTCTGTGAAAAAAAATCTACTAGAAAAATAAGTTTTTCTTGTGTATAGTGTGGTATTTTTTTCACATGTTCGGTAACTCAGGCAAATCGTCCCACCGGCGCAACACCAAATAGAAAAAAACACCGGTGTTCCACTCAACTAACACTGATTGAACACCGTTCTAACACCAGCGCAACACCACTTCCCACCGGATTAACACCGTTACATTTTTATTTTCAACATTTTTTAGCCCACCAGTGGTCCACTTAATTAGCACCGGTTTCCCACCTAATCAACACCGGTTGTCCACCTTTCATCTGGTGTTCCACCGGTGTTGGTAAAATGGAAGACGAGCATTGAAAACGGCCTATCAAAAACATAGAGGCGCGCGCGCCTCGCGAAACGTCGGTGAACTCACTACATGACCTTCCACGAAATCCGCGAATTTCAACTTCAAAATGCTTCTATTATTGAGGTTTTCTCTTGTCAGGAGAATTTTTGTCTCTTCACTAAAGAGATAGTCAGAAAGTTCGCTCTGGCCAACTAATTTTGCTCAAAGGAATTCAAATATTCCATTCTGAACAGAAAAAAATAAAACAAATAAATTTCTCTCAAAAACTTTTCCAAACCCACCGGTGCAACACCTAAATCCCACCGGTTGAACACCTGAACGCCACCGGTGCAACACCAAAACTCCACCGGTGTTCCCCCTTTTCCCACCAGTGGAACACCGAAGCTCCACCGGTTTCCCACCGGTTGGCCCACCGGTGGAAGAACGGTGTTGAGTGAGTGGAGATTTGGTGTTGCGCCGGTGGGACGATTTGCCTGAGTAAGTCTGTATGTTTCCAGGAGGGTTCACTAAGCCTAAACCTAGAAAGAATAATAGAAAAATGTAAAAAATCTTATTTTTGGCTTCAACTTCAGAATTCAGAATTAATTTCAGAATTAGGCTTAGGCTTAGTTTAACGCCCAGAAAAGTGAATGTGGACAAATTTTTTTACAGTTTTTTTTACAAAAATTTGGGAAAAATATCTTGGGAAAAAATTGACCCAAAACTTACCAATTTCGAGACCAAATCAGTAATAACATTGGTAGATAAGTTGGATTCACTACGAATTGTTGAAGTTGTTGATCTGAAAAAAGGTTCATATAAAATATTTCAAAGTTACTATTGTTTTCATTTGAAATTCAAAGTTTTCCTATTAAAATTCAAAAATTGGGCATAGCTTCCACATCTCCGCTGAAATTCCAATTTGGAACTGATAAAATCAATCATTTTTCAAGATTTTCACAAAGAAAATCAATATAAACAATTTTTTATCAGTTTCAAATAGGATATTATCAACGATGAAAAATTTGGCAGATCGTAAATAGACATGTAGCGCTGATGAATGAAAATAATTCAATGTTTCTGGGGCGTTGAAAGCGCTGCATGAGAGCTTTGCGGTTGGATGACGAATCAAAAGAACGACAACACAAGTGTTTTTAGTTTGATCAAAAATATTGAGTCGTTTTGAGAGATTCAGACACATGGGAGAGTAGATCAAAAATTTTCATTGATCAATTCCATGAAAATTCGAAGTATTTTTTGTTTTCCAACCGCAACGCTCTAACGCAGCGCTTTCAACGCCCCAGAAACATTGAATTATTTTCATTCATCAGCGCTAATTTTCTATTTACGTACTGCCAAATTTTTCATCGTTGATAAAATTCCAGATATTCATGTCAATTTTCAAAACTTACCAATTTTAAGATCAAATTTGTTGGAACAAAATCGCTCGAAATATTTGACCCACTTCGAATTGTTGTTGTTGTTGATCTGAAAAAAAGGTTTATATAAAATATGTCGAAGTTACTATTGTTTTTTGCAAAAATAAAATTGCACCGTGCAAAAATAAAATTACACAGTGCAAAAATAAAATTGAAGTCCAAAAAACTTGCGAATCGGAACATTTTCGCAGTAATTGGCTTATTTTCTGTTTTTTCTGAGTATTCGAAACCTTTGAATGTCAAAAAACAGTATAAAATTGACTGTTTTGAATACAAACAGACACTTTTCCTTCTTTTTTGGATGACAAAAATTGAGACCACGTGGCCGGAAAACTCAATGCGACCTGGTGGCCGAATCAAATTCAGTTCGTTTTGAACTTTCCGGCCACTTGGTCCTGATCTAGTGGCGAGCTGGCCAGCGAATCGTTGAGTGCCTCTTTTCATCAAGTACGTAATGAGGCAAAAAATTGACATTTTCAAAAAATTTTTGTGTTTGGGTCAATTTTTTTCGTCATCTACAGTATTTTAGCTACATTTTGCTTTTTTAACCGATTTACTTGAAAATTAACCTTATTATGAATTTTTGAAGTTAAAACATGATTTTTGAGTCAAAAAATCTCAAATTTAGCCTAAGTCAGGAAATAAATTTTTGTGGGAAAAATCCCGCTAGGGTTTTTCATACCCGCCCATACTTAGAAATTTCCACCCAGTCTCATCCAAATCGGAGGGGTCACTTTGGGAAGCATTCCTACTGAGAATTCGAAATGTTTTTAAGAGTCATTATTTGTAAAAAGGGAAAATGGTCTGTACAGAAAAAATTGATGGTCTCAAAAACGGCTCATATTTTTTGTACAGACCTTTTAACTATCCAACAATAAAAAAACATGTTTTTGATTCAAAAAAAAATTTTCAGTTTCAGTGGGGGGAGGCTGAAAATGGGTATGCGCAACTCGCTTTGAAACGTTGCGCAACCGTAACTCAGCTTAACGCTAATGGGGCTATTCAACGTCTTTTCTCAACGCTGAATTGGTTGAAAAAACTTATTCAGGAAGGCTGAGAAAATAGGAAAACGGTTGAGAAAATGATTTTCTCAGCATTTTTCCCGTTTTCTCAGCGTGTTGAGAAAATCGCTGAATAGCCCCATAACTATTTTTGATGATCAAAAAAGCATTTTGCTCGTCTTTTTGTGCTCTACAAGCAGGAAAATAGCTCCACACAAAAAAAATTATTTTTGAGCAAGTTGGAAAAAACCAGTTCGCAAAAACTGAAATTTTCGGATTTACAGACAAAAAAGGGCGACGTCTAACCGCATTCAATCGATTCCTCTTGATTTTTTACCCCTAGGCGCAAAGTATTATCAAAATCGGCGGTAACCATCATCTTCGTTTTAGACCTCGATTCAAAAAATGACCCTTTTGAAAAAACGTTTTTTTTTTCAGTTTTTTGAGATTTTTTTATATTTTACGCTGAAAAAAGACTGTTTTGACACCAGATTACTTCAAAAACATTTTTGGTTGTTGAAACTGACTCAAATTGTGAGGTTTTACCAATTCTTATAATCTCATTGATGTTTTCGGTAAGACCATCGGACAAGATCTGAAAGCACTTGAAACTGGACTCTGGATGACAAATTATTATCGGATTGTGCCTAAAACACTCTAAAAACATGTATTCTAACATTTTGATCAATTTCCATCAAAAGCCGGATGTTTTTACTCGATTTGGACATTACTGGAATTCCGATGTTTGTGTTGATCTCTGATTTTCGTCATCGAAGACATCAACATTGAATAATTTTGATGGTATTGACTTCAAAACAAATTTTCAAGTTTTTAAAACTCATCTCCAGAAATTGTACAAATCAACATTTCTCCAGGTGAGGCTGATCGTAGATCTTTTTATTGATCTTCTATCTGAATCTGATACCACTGTTTCCATCACACATTTATTGTACTAAAGTTTTGAAAACGTTTTTCTTTCACATTTATTTCATTTTGCCTCAAAAACAAAAAAAAACAGTCGAGAATAATTGCTGATGTCAACGATGGAATCAGATCAGAGATCAGGATAAACATCCTAATTCCTGTAATGTCTGAATCGCGAATAAACTGCACAATTTGTCTGGGATTGTTCGGAATAGTGTTTTTTCTGTTCACTTTGATGTTTTGCACATTATTCATCAATGATATGAGTAATATGTCGATAAAAATCATCTGATATAAAAATCAGGATTTTTTCCGATGGTCTTACTGAAACTTCAATTAACTTTGAGATTCACTATAAAATTGATTCTATACATTATTATGATGATGAACTTAGTTTTTCTCATTAATCCCAGACAAATTGTGCAGTTTATTCGCGATTCAGACATTACAGGAATTAGGATGTTTATCCTGATCTCTGATCTGATTCCATCGTTGACATCAGCAATTATTCTCGACTGTTTTTTTTTGTTTTTGAGGCAAAATGAAATAAATGTGAAAGAAAAACGTTTTCAAAACTTTAGTACAATAAATGTGTGATGGAAACAGTGGTATCAGATTCAGATAGAAGATCAATAAAAAGATCTACGATCAGCCTCACCTGGAGAAATGTTGATTTGTACAATTTCTGGAGATGAGTTTTAAAAACTTGAAAATTTGTTTTGAAGTCAATACCATCAAAATTATTCAATGTTGATGTCTTCGATGACGAAAATCAGAGATCAACACAAACATCGGAATTCCAGTAATGTCCAAATCGAGTAAAAACATCCGGCTTTTGATGGAAATTGATCAAAATGTTAGAATACATGTTTTTAGAGTGTTTTAGGCACAATCCGATAATAATTTGTCATCCAGAGTCCAGTTTCAAGTGCTTTCAGATCTTGTCCGATGGTCTTACCGAAAACATCAATGAGATTATAAGAATTGGTAAAACCTCACAATTTGAGTCAGTTTCAACAACCAAAAATGTTTTTGAAGTAATCTGGTGTCAAAACAGTCTTTTTCAGCGTAAAATATAAAAAAATCTCAAAAAACTGAAAAAAAAACGTTTTTTCAAAAGGGTCATTTTTTGAATCGAGGTCTAAAACGAAGATGATGGTTACCGCCGATTTTGATAATACTTTGCGCCTAGGGGTAAAAAATCAAGAGGAATCGATTGAATGCGGTTAGACGTCGCCCTTTTTTGTCTGTAAATCCGAAAATTTCAGTTTTTGCGAACTGGTTTTTTCCAACTTGCTCAAAAATAATTTTTTTTGTGTGGAGCTATTTTCCTGCTTGTAGAGCACAAAAAGACGAGCAAAATGCTTTTTTGATCATCAAAAATAGTTAGCGTTAAGCTGAGTTACGGTTGCGCAACGTTTCAAAGCGAGTTGCGCATACCCATTTTCAGCCTCCCCCCACTGAAACTGAAAATTTTTTTTTGAATCAAAAACATGTTTTTTTTATTGTTGGATAGTTAAAAGGTCTGTACAAAAAATATGAGCCGTTTTTGAGACCATCAATTTTTTTCTGTACAGAGGCTATCCTCGTAATTTCCCTTTTTTCAAATAATGACTCTTAATTCATTTGATTTTTGAAACCAGAAATAAAATTCGTTTTGTGACGTGGATTCAAAAAGGTCACGTACTTTTTTTTTAACTTAGAAAAAATCAAAAATCAATTGCCACGTGGCATTTTTATTTTCAAAGTTGTTTCCAAATTTTCAAGACTTTTGGTTTAGTTGAATATTCTCTCAATAACAATCTTCAAAAAAACTTACTTTTATTTCCATTTTAGCTTCGGAGGAATCGATTGAGAAGAGAGTTGGATTCTGATATAATAATTAAAACTGAAATTTTAGAAATAAAATCTCAATTTCTCGTCTTTTATGCGAAAAATTGAGAATTTCAGTAAAAAAACAATGAAATTGAACAGAAAAACATACGATTGATGGAAGAATTGAAATTGAATCGAATCACAATGAGCCAATGATATCTGAAAGCAAAAATATTTGAATTTTCAGAAATGACCAATTTTTAGGAATCAGTTTTTGAACAAATTTTCCACCTTATAATTTTTGTATAAATTTTTCCCCAAGTTTTTGAATAAAAATTCAAAAATTGGGCATAGCTTCCGCATCTCCGCTGAAATTCCAATTTTAAACTAATAAAATCCAAGGTTTTCATGATTTTCATAAAGAAAATCAAGAAAACTTCGAATTTTATTAGATTAAAATAGGATATTTCAGAAGTTCTCTTTTATTGTTATATGAATACTTACCGTATTTATCGAATCGATTGTTTGATTGAGCGCATTTGTAGACTGCCAATCTGGAACAAAAAAATGAATTTTCTAGAAAAGTTTTTCTCTAAAAATTCAAAAATTGGGCATAGCTTCCGCATCTCTGCTGAAATTCCAATTTGGAACTGATGAAATCCAAGGTTTTCATGATTTTCACAAAGAAAATCAAGAAAAATAAAAGTTTTATCAGTTTCAAATAGGATATTCCAAAAATTCATGTCAGTTTCCTAAACTTACTTATTTTGAGATAAAAACTGGAACAACGTTGCTCGATTGTTCGAAGAGTTCTTCTCGAGACCAATTGTGCATGCTAATAAACATAATCAACACAGTGATAAACATTTCGGTTTGTGAGGTGGTAGAAGCACTTTGACCAGGAACACTTTGTGCTCATTTTTCAAGGGAAGCGCGAAGCCATTGATGATTGAGCAAAGAACTTCGAGCAACTGTCACCTGAAAATTCCAAGTTTTTATTTAAGTACCGTTGAAATTCAAACCTGATAAAATCAATTTTATTCCGGCAAACAATTCCAACTCCTGCTAACATCGAAAATCCAAAGAATGATCGATAAGTTGGAAACGAGTGTTGAACTTGTCCGACAAGTTTTGTCGAAAAACATAAAACAATCAAGCAAGGACGGACTGAAATGATTATATTTTACTCAAATTTTGAAGTCCATGTAGGAAGCTTTGAACTTCAAAAATTCGAAAACTCACGCTCAACAGTTTGCAGTAAACTTGGATTATTCATCATTTGCACAACTTCTTTTCTTCCCAATCAAAAACGGTTTCAGCCAAAAATCGAAAATTCTTTTCGTGTTGGTTAGCGTAAATATTCAATCCAGATTGTTGACAAAATTGATGAGAGCATAGATATTTTGATTACTCTTTTCCATACATCTGACACGATTCCCACTCTTCAATTTGTTGTTTGAAGAACACATGCACCAAATTTCACTCATTCAACTGCTTGTCAACATATCGATTAGCTTTGAAGCTGATCGAAAATTTCCAGCTGTTGAGGGTTTGAAGCGCTTCAGCGTCACACAATCAACAAGGCCAACTTTCAAGTTGAACAATTTCGAGCAATTTTTTCCGGCGAGCTGATTGATCGAGGAGCAAATTTTCTGGAAAAAAAACGAATTAACACATTCCAGACAGAATTTCCCCAAAAAGCCCCAATCCCAATCAAATTCGTTTGCACATGGCAAAGTCCAAAACGAGGTCCCGTTTTCCCATTCCACCCAAATCGGTGGCTGAAGAGCAGTTCTATAGGAACCCCAGGTCTTGCTCATCATTGTTTTCCAATCAAATCCAGGCGGTATTCCGCGGTCCACAAAAATGATTTGTGTCCCTACCGAGGTTCCTGGCAGTGGCAATGACTAGTGGGCTCGAAATTTATCGAGCGCTGTACTAACTCCGAGCAAGACTTCTAGAACTGCTCGGAATAGGATTTGGGGAGTGTTTTGGGTGAATTTGAAAGGAAAAAGGGGCAAAATCCCAAAAAAAACTCATCTTTTATCATATTTCGTGTCGAATTGCTGGACAAAAACCATCTTGGGCGAGGCAAAAAAAAAAGAAATGGAAAAAAATCGATTTTTTGGTTGGCGCGTCGAAAAAATAAAAATTCGCGGGCAGGTTTGAAATTTTTTGTGTGTTGCGTGTCAAGACTCAGTTGCCAAGTGCAATGTTCCTTTGAACCGTACCGTACCAAACAAACGTTTTTTTTCTTTTTTTTTTTTTGAGACGGGGAAATCTCCAAATTTGTCGGTTTTTCGGCTTTCCCATAGTTTTTTATGATTATTCTTGTTTTCAGGGTAAACCTGTGGTGGATTTCTGGTAGCTGTTGATAAAAGTGAGTTTATTATTCAAATCAAAACAACAGAAAAACTATAAAAATTGGTATAAAAAATGCAAAAATTATTGATAGATGATAGATGATTTGCGTTTTTTGATGAAGCTGCGTTTAGATGGTTTAACCATAGCCGCATCTCGTCCAAAGAAGCTGATAAGTTGAGGGTGCAGTCTACAAAAACCAGTTATTGATAAATGTGATTTTCAAAAACTCACTTAAAATGAAGAGGCTCATTTTTGGGTTGCTCAAGAATCTCTCCATCCAAATTCCAAACACCCGGATCTTTTTGATCTTCATCCGGTTGATACGACCATTTTACAACTCGATAACAATTCAACGAATTGTCCAATTGATACAACCCTTTTCCTCCATACATCGCTACTTTTCTCATAAATTGCATGTTGTGCCATCTCGAAATTCGCGGAACTAACGCCAAATCCAATGTTCCGTCACCAATTCCAGTAAATGGTGCCAAACCATATGGTGTGAACGGTGTGACAGTTGGAATAACACAGCAAATGACATGAGTGAACTCAGCGTGCCAATGATAATCATATTGTCCGTTGCCCATCGGTTTCTCGCAAATATCACACGGCTTGAAACACGGTGGAAGTTGCTCATTTGGATTGTGCGTTTCTTTATGCGATAAAGAAAATTGAACTTTTCCTCGATAAATTGGATGTCGAATTGTTGTTCGAAGTGCGCTCCATTGATAACGAACCGGTCCGAGACATCGATATTCTTCCGAATCGCGAAGAACATCACCTAACCAACCATAGGAAATCGCATTGGCTGAGATGCGAATCAGTTTTTGATCTTGATGAACAGTGCAGACATCAACATTGCATTCCGAGCCGATTGCAATATGAACAGCAGATGTTGCGTGATCATTTGTTTCGTGAACTGTTGAAACAATCGAGTTAGCCGAACCGGCTCCAATAATTCCGAATCTAATGTGTGGTGTGACAAGATGCGATGTGTTTGGATCATCGATATTTCTTCCCGCGTCATTTTGAGTTCGCAAAAGTCCCCCAGACAAAAGTTCATTGAACAATCCATCACCTCCCACAGAAACCAATCCATCTAATGCAGTCCATTGTTCAACAGGCATTTCAACAATATAATCACGAGCATGATTTGCTCTCTCAGTTAGCACAACTTTGTATCGAAGCCCCGGTGTCAACCAGAAAAATCCCTCAACATTATCCTTGAAAATCTTCTGAGCTTTTCCTTTTCCACCAAATGGATTGATGAAAATAATAATATTCTTTGGTCTATTTTGAACTCGTCGCAATGTTGTGTCAATTAAACTATGCCAATAATCTCTTTCGGTTGTTGTGAAGAATACAACTGGTAATTGCTTCAATCTCCACTTCTTCTTATCTTTTTTGTAAACAAAATTGAAATACAGTGTTTTATCGGATGTTTGTGGACTTGTTGGAATCACTGGAACTCCTTTTTTGATTTTCAATGGGAAACATGTGGTTGACAATAGTTCATCAAGACGATAAATCACCAAATGTTTCGAAGATCCACTGAAAAATAAAATAGCTTGTTAGAAAATTTCCCCAGAAAAAGGCAAACTCACTCCAATAATCTGAACTCGAAAACATTCAAATCTCGATCAAAGATAATTCGATGATTTTTTGCGTGCGGTGATTGAACATCGGCGATCAATTTTCCCGATTCTCCAGAAATGCGACTACGTGAAGAAAATGGAACCGTGTCGACGTGTTCGCCTAGAAAAACGAGAATTTTGAGGGCAAAAATATTTTTGCTCATTTCTAATTCTCTACTCGCTAATTAAATTCTCGAAATGGTTATTCTAATTTTAAAGGTCAGTGGGGGAATTTAAAGGAACATGAGGTACAAAAATTTTAGATTTTGTGTGAGAAACAATAGATTTAGCACGAAAATTCAAAATTTGTTATAATTTTCTATTTAAACAGTGTCTTTCATTTAAAAATAGACAGGATTACAATTTAAAGGAACATAATGTTTTCTATGCAGAAAAAAATTTTTTTTTTGACCAGAGACAATGGAAAATTGAGAGGGTTTAGACAATAAATTAATTTTTTTTGGTCCGGTCTTGTGACAAGACCGGACCAAAAAAAGACAAGACTCTTGTCTAGACCCTCTCAATTTTACGTTTTCTCTGATCAAAAATGTTTTGTTTTTCTGCATAGGAAACATTATGTTCCTTTAAATTTTAATCCTGTCTATTCAGAAATGAAACACGCTGTTCAAATATAAAATGATAACAAATCTAGAATTTTCGTGCAAAATCTACAATTTTTTGTATTTTTATATTCATTTTTTTACGTTTTTCTGCTTTAAAAAACACTGATTTGGTCCCACGGCGATTTTTCAAAATAATTCTAAAACACTCACCTTTGACCGCTTCAACCGGCACAATTGTGACATGTTGTTGTTGTTTTTTATCCTTCTTCGATCCACCCATTTTTGTATTACGCAACTGCAAAAAACTTTGTATTTACAAGTAACGCGACGAAATACGAAACATATGCGATTTTTTTTCTGTCAACAACACCAACAACAATTTTTCAAACCCTAGTATCTAGACACAGACAAAAAAATCGCGCAGATGTAAAAAGAGAAGAGAAAAAATCGATGTTATAGTAAACAAGTGCGGAATTTTAATGACCTTTGGCACGAATCGCTAAAATAGCAATAGCTTTTCGAAAAGTTGGTGGGCCAAAAAATGAAGATGAGAAAAACATGTTTATTTGTTTTGTTAGGCAAAAAGTGAGGCAAATATCGAGTTTCATGAATATTAAATAAATTCAATTGAATTAAATTTATCACACACACAACCAACAAAAAACTAAAGTTGTAACATTGTTGAATCATGGCCAAAATTGAAAAATTATCGATAAAATATTTTTTTGATAAACAAAACAGCAACAAAAAATAATAAGAGATGGGAGTAAATAACAAAGAGGACGAAAAAAAGAAGAAAAAATGTGTTTTTTTTTTTGAATGAAGGCAGGAAATGAAAAAAAGGCGGCCCGGTTGTTTGTGGATCAGTAGAATAGAAGAGGAGAAAAAAGAGAACGTGAAAAACAACCACACAAAATTGCCTTTTTTGTGTGGTTGTTTTTCAGAATATATCTAATGCCCTTTCATGAAGTGCTTATTCGGAAAGCAGAAAAGCCATTTTCACACAAAAAATAGATTAAGCATCTAGTTAGTCGAATTCCAATGTTTACATTGCAGTCTCATCACCACAAACAATCTTTTTTCACTTTGAAAAAATATGTGTACATATATCTATGTGGTATAAAATGAAATAATAAATAACCTTGACGAAAAAGAAATGTGTCGAATATACTTATTCTCATATATTGACAAAATCAATGTTTTGTGGGAAATTATTTGGAACACATGTGTTTTGGATGGGTTTATGACTAACACTTGTTGTCATAAAAAAGCATCTAGTTATGAAAATAGGTCATTTTTGTGGGGTGTTGGCTTGGAAAGAGAAAGGAATTGGTTTTTACAGTTTGGCTGAAATCAGGTTTTCCGGTATTTTGGAATACCGGTCTTGGAAGTGTACAAAAATTTCCCAATATGTTCGAAATATCACTGGATTTGGAGAAAATCCCAAAATCGATTAGAAAATAGAGATTTCTATCTCGTTCTTCGTCTCTTAAAGACACACAATCCACTAGAAATGAACAGAAAATGAGTTTGTTATTCTTTCATAACACCTTTCAAGTAATCGAAATTTATAAAAATCAAGAGAAAATTTTGAGTCCGGCAAAAGTGAAAAAAACAAAATAATTGTTTTTGAAATCGCTCAGCCGACGGGATTTTCGAAAGAGTTTGCACACAACGAAGCAATAGAGCGCACATGCTGTTTTTGTCATTTGAAAATAAATGCGGGAAATCTGTTTTTTTCCAGTGGCTGATGTGTCTTTAATCTAATTCGTACAGAGTTTTTGACTCTTTCCGTTGTCAGACTGATTTCAGAATCACAAAGGATTCTTGAGAACGTTTTCCGGATCGGATAAGGTTCAAAATTTCCGTCGTAAATCAGTGGGGATAGCGAAAATGTATCTCCATTAATTTTTGGTATACAACCCTCGGTTACCAGCCCTTGAATGTTTTACTCTCGACTTTTTTTATGAACAGTATCTAGGGTTAAATGAAATATGACGAGAATTAAACAACTGAGGGGTGTTCAAAATACAATATATTCCAACTATGCAAAAAAAATTGGGTTAAACATTCGAGGGCTGGTAACCGAGGGTTGTAATTATGACCCACATGTATAAATATATGAATTCGGCTCCAGCAGTTGCTCTCTTGTTATTCAACTTCAACAATTTTTTTTCAAATCACGACCTTTTCTCGTTGAAAAAGTTAGACTTTCCTCAAAAAAGCTCAATTTCATCGTCAACCTTCTATCTCAAGTGAGAATTTGAGAAACCCTTGCTCTTTCTCAATAATTAGCCAAACTTTGCTAACGAAACCAATCTTCTCCATTTCGCAACCCTCTTTTCGTTCTCCGAATCACATGATCATTGAAAGTAGAACAATTTATCATTGTGTTCACCGTTTCAAAGGGTTTCCCCTATTTTAGTTTGTATCATCTCACTTTTAGTGATCGTGTACTTTTTGTTTACTACGTAGATATTTACGTAAATTCAATTTTTTCATCCAACAACATCAGCTGTATTAATGATTTCAATTTCATTTCATTGATAATCTATGCGACCTTGTGAGAAGCAAATGTTTGAAACAGGTCTAACTTTTCCTCTTTTCCCTCTCTCCCTTCAAAGTGACGTCACACACAAGCAGAAGTAGTAGAATAGTTGTCTCTGCTCGTCTCGCACTCTCCTCTCTTTCTTCCCTCTCATATGTATTGATTATTATTTTTTCGCAAGAGAGAGAAGGAAACGACCGACATGTTTGCACTGTTCAAACATTTCAATTTTTTTTGGTTGGTCTCCTTTTCTCTCTTTCTTTTTGATCATAATAATTAACAAATTGTTTTTGTAACGAAATTTTGAATGTTTTTTCTGCAATCTCTTCTTACTAATTAGCAGATATCTAGTAGCTATCCTTCTAATTAGTGTGAATATCTTTGGGGAAAAGAGAAAGGGGGATGCGCGGTTATTTTTACCGCATATTATTTATTTGTTTTCGTTTTGATACGACGAGACGATTCGCGCTCGATTTTTGACCATTCGAGAGTTTTTCGACGCTTTTTTGGTTGTTTTGCAACAAAATCTAGTTTTGTTACTTCTTTGTCGCGTTTAACATGAGTTATCTTTAAATTTCGGATGGTTGTGTTATAGTTTTTGAGTTTTGCCACGTCAAAGTTTATCAGCTAATCAAAAATACTGAAAAAATACCGAAATATAGTCTGCCATGAGTTATGACGTGGCAAAACGCCTGATTTTCGATCTCTATTCGTAAGTTGACCTGAAATTGATCAATATTTGAGCAGAAAAATCAAAAACTACGAGGAATCATTAAAATTTCAAAAAAAAATCAAAGTGCGCTCTACCGAACTTCCAGAATTTTCTACCCTCAAAATTCTCACAGTCTGTCCATTTTTTCGAAAATTCTAAAAGTTCAGTAGAGCGCACTTTGATTTTTCTTAAATTTGAAAATGAAGCGAATTTCCTTATTTTTCTGCTCAAATATTGATCAATTTCAGGTCAACCAACAAGTTTTATATATTGAAATATTGAGATGAGATAAAAATCACAGACGTTTTGCCACATCATAACTCATGTTAGACTATGTATTCATATTTTCTAGTATTTTTGATCAGCTGAAAAACCATCCAAAATTTAAAAAATCAAAGTGCGCTCCACCGAACTTCTAGAATTTCTTTTTTTTTCCTCAAAATCCTCACAGTCTGTCCATTTTTATCACGAGATTTCAAAAAAAAAATAGAAAACAAACTCTTTGTTGTTTCTCGTCACATGTTTTCTTCTTCTTTTGCCGTTCCCGTTCCTATTTGTTTTTCGTTTACAGAGAGAAACTTCTTCTTCTTCTTCTTCTCAAAAAAAGAAAGAAAAGCATCGGCAAAAATGGCAGCCGATGAATCATTAATTGATTCCTCATCGCCACCGCCATCCACCTCGAATTTCACGTTTTTCGAGACGAAAGACGATGTTTTTCTGTGCGATTTTGAGAAATTGGCGATTGATTGTGATAGAGTTCAGGTTAGACTTATGTTAAAATTGATAAATGAGCTAGGAAATTTGAGAAGTTCTAATGAAAATGGGACCTAACGAAGCCTTTTTTTTCGAAAAAGTCAATTTTTGCAGCAACAAAAAGCTGTGCAGAAAATGTCACCAACGGGTGGAAATTACGAATTGAGAACACCGAAATATAAGCAAGGAAGATTCACACCGTATTCAGTACCGATTAATATGCGGTGAGTGGTTTTTTCTCATTTTCAAAGAGCCTATATCGAATGTTTTCAGATGGCGCCGATTGAGTTTGAGCAACTCTTCGAATGACCCCGAAACTATGTCGAAGGCGATTTTGAAAGGAGATGTTGAACCGTTGAAATTGTGTCTTATTGATAGGTTTGTTGGGATTTTTTGAGGGGATTTTGGGCGTGGGAGAGGAAAAATATTGTATTTTTTATTCTTAAATTCTAGAAAAATCGAATTTTTGAACAAGTTTTTGATTTAGAAGAAGAAAAAGAAAGTGAAAAATTGCGAATTTATGTTTTCTTCCGAACCTGGAGGCTGAGCAATTCAAAAAATCTGATTGCTCATGTTAATCCATAAAATTGAGCTATATTAAAAATCGGAAAATTGAAGTGGCTCCAAAAAATACGATTGCTCATATTAATTGAAGCCTGAATTCTGGAGAAATTCAGGTTTTTTTCAATTTTCCAATTTTCGAAGAGGAAATTGAGCTTCTGAAAAAGAATTCTGTAATTATGAGAAAAAAATTCCGAAATTTTTACGTTTCAAAATTTTGACAAATTTTTTATATTTAATCTCATGTGTTTTTCGGAGTTTTGATACAAACTATAAATCAATAAAATTCTATTTTCAAAAAAAAAATCACTGTTTCAAAATTTCAAAACTTATTTTTCTCTAGACTTGTGTAAAATACAAAATTTCAAAGAAAACCTGGAAATCTAGAGATTTTTCAAGAAAAAAACTTGAAATTTTGCCTGGGAACATTCTAAAGATTTTCTAGAATTCACAAGAATCTGTGAAATTCCAGAGTTTTTTTCAATTTGAAAAATTTTTCGTACTGAATTTTCAAAATTAAATTTAGATTCAGGAAAAATCGCGTGTCGCTCAAATATAGCTTCTTGGATAGAAAAAACTTGAAATTAAAATTTCAAGTCAAAATTGCAGATAAGGTATTCAAAAATTAGAAGCCCAAATTTTGAAACATCAGAACTTCGGAAAATTTCACAAAAAAAAATGTATTTTTTCAAGTTCACGCTTTCATTCCCCCAAAAAATCTCCAAAATCCTAAATCTTTTGCAGAAAAGATCTCACAAATGCTCCATGCAGTGTTCAAGCAGCTCGTCCTCCATCTCCAGACGAAGACGTCGACGAGTTATCCGAGTATTTTGCTCATTTTGTACGTGTCGAATCAAAAATGTCGGCTTTAGCCGAATCAATGTATGTTTGATGTAATATTAAAACGAATAAACATCTCCTCTCACAACAAAACAATCAACAAATGTATATTTTTTCATTCTTTCTTTTTTTTCCTTATCTCATCATAAAACTGTTTCATAAAAAATATATAAATAACATACAAAAGCATTGAAAATAGTGGCCAGATATAACATAAATTGAAATAAAGAACTAAATAATTGGAATATATAGAAATATATATAGAAATATCAAACAGATTTGTATAGATTAAAATTGAGAAATTGGAAATCAGCATTCGGATTTTGATTATTGGTTGTTTTTGTGGAATCCAATTCCAAAACATCACATTTTTCTGAGGAATTTATTTGGACAATTTTACATCTTTTGTTGCGAATCTCGTTCATTCGTCGAAGATTGTTTATCTGCAAAAAATATATTTTTTCAGAGTGTGGGCTGAAAACTTGACTATAATTGTTTTTAGAAGTTAAAAAACAGATGAAAAATTTCCGAAATTATGAGAAAAAAAATTCCGAAATTTTTACGTTTCAAAATTTTGACAATTTTTTTATATTTAATCTCATGTGTTTTTCGGAGTTTTGATACAAACTATAAATCAATAAAATTCTATTTTCAAAAAAAAATCACTGTTTCAAAATTTCGATGAATAAATTGAAAAATTTCAAATATATTATCAAACAAAAGTTTCTGATAAAAAATCAATTTCTGAAAAAATAGTCTGAAAACTTGTTCAAAAATTTTTTTTTGTTGAATAAGACTAAAAAACAATTGAGAAGGATAAAACTTGAACCCCAAAAAAATCCGCAAATTTTTACGTTTCAAAATTTTGACAAATTTTTTGAAGATTCGAATATATTTGTTGGTTAGTTCGATTTTGTCTTTTAAAAAATTTATTTCAAAAATCTCACTGTTTCAAAATTTCGATGAATAAATTGAAAAATTTCAAATACATTATCAAACAAAAGTTTCTGATAAAAAATCAAATTTCTGAAAAAAGTAGTCTGAAAACTTGTTCAAATGTTATTCTTGACTATTCTTGCCTATTTTCTTTTCAAAAAATCTCCAAAAACCCACCACATTCTGTCGTTTTCTCGACGCTTTCACCACCAAAAATCCACCACGATGATTAGTTGCCAGATTATTTGGACGTTTTGCGAACAGCGAATAATTGAAGACTCGCATTTGTCGCGGATTCAAATATCTCGTGTTTCGATTTAAATGCAATTGAAGTCTTGGATTTTCTACAGTTTTTCCTTGGCTCAAAAATCTCCGAGATGGTCCGCTTGAAACGCTTGGCTCTTTTTTCTTCTTGTGGCTCGTTTTCTGGCTCATTTTGTGGCGCTTCTTCTTCTCCTTCATTACTCAATAATTCTTGACATGGATTTTCTTCTTTTTCCGAAGTGACTGAGGCTGATGTTGATGGTTTCTCACCAGATATCTGGAAAAAAACAAGAATTTAGTGTCTTGAATTCAAAAAATAAATTTTTTGATGCATTTTCTTGGATTTTTGGGTTTCAACAAATCATTTGATTTTTCAGTAAAATGCATGTTTTTCTCAAAAAAAAGCCTATCAAAAATGTGTTTCTAAAAAATTTCTCATGTTAAATTTTGGATTTTTCCTATTTTGCAGATTTTTGAACCATTGCTCACAATCAGGTCAAATTATCCATTTACAAAAAATTCGAATCTTTGAGTGAAAAATAGGCATTGCTCAGGTTAGATTATGCTCATAGGATTTATTCTAATTTATTTTATGACTTTTAAAGTGTAATTTTCTAATTCACGGAATTAATTAGAAACTTGCCTTTAAATTTTCCTTCAAAAAGCTGAGGAAAATCCCATCTAACCTGAGCAATGCTTAAAATTTCAGAAAAAAATTAAGAGATGATATTGGAAAAATTATAAATTCATGGGTTTTCAATTTTAAGAATTTCTCATGTTAAATTTTGGTTTGTTCCGATTTTCAAGGTTTTTGGAGCATTGCTCAGGTTAAATTATATATTTAATAATTAGATTCGATTTTTTGGGTTGGATATTCCTCAGTTTTTTCAAGGAAAGATTTAAAAGTAAGTTTCTAATTTATTCCGTGAATTGAAAAATTACACTTTAAAAGTCATAGTAAAGCCTATAAGCGTAATCTAACCTGAGCAATGCCTATTTTTCACTCAAAAATTCGAATTTCATTCTATTTTATAACTAAATTCGAATATTGCTCATGCTAGATAGGATTTCCCTTAGATTTTTGAAGGATATTTGTTTTGGCTCTAATTTTTCCCGCCAAAAATCTTAAATCCTACCGATTCAACATCACCCGACGCCGTGCTCGCTGCCACATTTTCATCATCTTCCTCCTCTTCCTCTTCTTGTTCTTCTTCTTCTTCTTCTCGATCCGAATCTTCTGTGTCAACCAAAGTGACGTGCATCGAATGACCGCCGTGTTCGTTGATCATTTCGAATTTGAAACAATTTTTTCCGTGGAGCCGTTCTTCGGCCAATGCAGAATATTCACGTTCGACGCTGGAAAATGTGGGAATTTTTGAAAAATCTGATGATTTTTGAACTGAAATTTAAAAGATAAAACTGAATTTTTCAATAACAATTCAAATTTTCCCACGAAATTATCTACATTTTTCTAAATTTCAACACGATTTTCATCATGTAAACAATTCTGGGAAAATAATTTTTAATGCAAATTTTTAGAGGAAATTTTTTTTTGAATATCGACTTATCTCATAATGCTTTACTGAAATTTTAAAAAGTGAAATTTACGTTTCAAAAAATTCTTTAAAAAAAACAAAAATTGAAAATCTATTTAAAAATTTGGTTCTCAAAAATGAAATTTTGAAAAAAAATGTGATTTCAAATTTTTTTCGAGAAAAAACTGAAAAAATAAAATTTTCCCACAAAAATATCCAAGATAATTTTCTCCGTGTAAAACAAATTTGACTTAAAAAACAACCCACGTTTCCACAAAATCCCCGGTCGCAAAAAGTGTTGGCGGTTGTCTCAATCGATATCTCATATACATTTTCATTGCTCCACATTCATCCTCATTATTTGCAAGGGTTGACAGGGTTTTGACAGTTAGCATGAGCAATTTATCGATTGATAGAAGGAGGCAGGCTTCGTGTGGAAATGTTGATCGGAGGGTTTCTTCGTAGGCACTTGCATCAAGTTCACCATTCAAATATCGTTTTAAATCATTTAACATTGTGATGTATAAAGTGGCTGGGGAATGACGACTTTTCTGGAAATTTGAATTTTCAGATAAAGGTCACAAGATTTGCTCTCTCAGGGAAAAGAATGCACCGGAGCGGGCCCCAAATGCCAGGGGCATGAATCGAATCCGCCCCATTTCGGCCCCAATTCTACAATAATCCGGGCAAAAATAGGGGCGAATTAGGGCAAACTGAAAATATCGTCCTCAAGAAAAAACTGCACCGGAGCGGGCTCCAATTCCAGGTTCAAAAATCGAAAATGCCCCATTTTTAAACTCCAATCCATTAAAACGTTTGGGAAAAATGATGGAGAAATGGAATTCTTCTGACTGAAGTTCATCGAATAAGTAATCAGGACTACTTTAACCGCGAAACAATATAAAAAAAACCCTATTTTTTCAAGCTGATTCCTGATATTTCGGAAACTATTCGAAAATTTTGGAAACAAATAGTGCAGGAATTCAACCAAATGACGATTTCTGATTCTGAGTTTCACAAAGTAAAATTCACTTTTTCTTTTAAATTAAAAACTCTGTGGAGGGTTAAAAGTGTATATTTAGTATTATTAATTGTCCCCTCAAAATACTGCATGAAAAACTTCTGAAAGAATTGAGTTCTTATCGCACACGCGCGCATTTTTCACATGCGAATTGATCTATGCAATTTGAGACATCGCCCAGGATATGCAGGTTAGCGCAGTGGTAAGATTATTCAGGTTCAATTCAATGGGAAGCACAAAGTGAAATAAGTTCGAGGAATGGTGAGAGCAACTGGGGCAAAACATCAGCGCTCCAAATGTTGCCCCGATTTCGTTTTCGAAAAAAACTAAGTTTTGCCCCTATTCGCCCAAAATTTGACCCCAATTTGCGCCCCAAATAATTTGGATTAGCTCCGGAGCGCGCTCCGGGGCCGAAATCAGGGCGCGCTCCGGAGCATTCGTTTCCCTGAGCTTGCGCGCTATTTTTTTTCGAAAAGTGGCTCAGCTGGTTAGAGGTCGAATTCCCAATCTATCAGTCTCAAGTTCAATCCCCACTGCCTGCTGTCAAACTTACCCTCAAAATGCTCAATTTCTCATCCATCGCACCCCAATCTCTTTCCACTTTTGTCAACAATTTATTCGTCGCTTTTGCGAATTCACTTTCCCATAGTTGTTTGCCAATTTTCGAATCCTGGAAAACAGCAAATTAAAAAAATTAATGCTATAAAAATCGCATCAACTGTGTTGGGAAAATCAAAATTTTGTGTTTGAGAAACCAAAATGAGAGCTACCATTTTTATTTTCTTCTTTTTCGCTTTGGTGAGTTGGATTTCAGAGAGGGGGAAGAAAATAGGAGAAGTTTTTTTGCAGATTGCTCATGTTGGCGCAAGATTCGTCATGGGTGGAAATGCTGCGATCGCCGTCGATCCGGCTAATAATCAACCACAAGGTTAAGATTGAATAAAGTTTCAAAGTTGCACGCAAAATTTGAGTTTTTGAGAAAAAAATATGATCATTGGCTTTAGGTTCTAGAAAAAAATCAAGCATTTGCTCCAACTGAGATGAAGCTTGAAATTATAACAGAAAATAGAAAAATCAACGTGGATTTTTTTTCATAGATTTTTGGGCCGGAAAGTTCTATAGAATTTCAGTTTTTCTGTGGGATCTCAGAATTTCCAACAATTCAAAAATATTCAAGAAATGAAAAATCGTCTCAAATTTTCCTGAAAGTTTCAGAATTTCAGATTTGAGTGAAAATTTGAAATTTAGTTGAAAATTTGAATTTTTAGTTGAAAATTTCAACTTGAAGAGCATTTTTCTTCAAAAAACTTTCAGATTCATTCAATTTTTTCCTGAGAACTTCCAAGAAGTCTAGAACATAACCATAGTTACCTTAACCCACCCAAAAAAACTCACATGAAAATCATCACATTTCCTCTTATAAGCCGCATGAAATCGTCCAAATCGATCACAAATCGTATGATGAAGTCGCATAAAAATATACAACGAATCATCGCCGAAAAACAATCGATAATCCGCCATTTTCTGTCGTTTCAAATACTCATTAATTGGCGCATCATCAGTCGTCTCATATTTCATTTCAATTGGCCATTCATCGGTATGATCATCCGCATAATAATTGATCAGATTTATTCGTTCGCCTTTCTTGTTATATTCTAATTGATCGTCTCGATTTGATGAACCTTCTCGACGATTTCGTTTTTTATCGAAATCCAGTTCTTCATCTCTTTCATCATCCGACATATCTTCGTGTTTCTCACAAAACCATTCAAGGATTATTCTGGAAAAATGGGCGGTTTAATGGAGGGATATCAAGGAACCCCAACTTCAGGGGTCAAATTCAATTTCTCTCACTTTCTCATAACAATCTTCATTCTTCTCTTATCATCTTTCGAATATCCGGGTTGTCTTTTCAAATAATGAATTATAATATCATTGACATCGTGTAGAATTTTGCGTCTTTCTGGGTAAGTGAAAGCAATGTGCGGACCGTGATCATGTTTTGGATCTCTGCAAAAAAATCGGGGAAATTTTTTGGTGATGGATTTAGGCTAAGAATTAAAGCTTAGGCTTGGGCTTTAAGCTAAGGATTTAATTTTAGCTTTTGAGCTAATTCTTTAAATTAAGGATTTAAGCTTAGGATTAGATTTTAATGAAATTTCCCAACTTTAATTCAAAAATCTTGAGCTCCTGCTTGAAAAAAAAATTTTTTTTTAATTTTCATTAATAAAATATTTTTGCAAAACAAAAGAAATCCACTCACTTTCCCTGTCTGGTATCAAAAAACTGTTCAATCTGATGAATCATCGTCTTCGTCTTCAAAAGTCTCGCATCATTTTGTTTAACCTGCGCAGTTTGATGATCCAAACTCCTTTGCAATTGTTTTTCCAATTGTTCCCGCCACATTTTATTCATTTGTGTTTGAGACTCTCGCCATTCTCGCTCTTTTTCTTGGCATCTTTGAAGAATTCGTGGAACTGCAATAACTGGATTCTCTCGTAATCCAGTCATTATTGTTGACGCGGCTTCCCCGTAAATTCGCCGAATTGCACGGGTTAAAAGGCAGACAGATGTGACATTGTATCCTTTGTCGAGTCTGAAATTTGATAATATTTTGAGGGAAAAAACATAACTTGGATTAATTTTTCAAAATTTTGTTTGAGAAAAAAATCACTGTTTCAAAAAAAAAAGATAAAAAATAACTGAATTATTTTTTGTTGATAAAAAAGGAAAAGTTGAAAAAGTCCACTGTTTCACAAAAATAATATGAAAAATTATATTTTTATGAAAATGTTCATATTTTGACTCTCTGTGTCTCTAATATTCTAGTTTCTCTGCGTCTCTAAGCTCACTAGCTTCTCTGGCTTTTTTATGGCTTAAAATGAGAAATCGTAATTTCGGAGCCACTTCAAAATCCCGATTTTTATATCATGCTCATTTCGAAAAAAAAATCACTGTTTCAAAAAAATAATATGAAAAATTATATTTTGATCTTCAAAAATTAAGTTTTCAGGAAAAAAACTCACTTGAACGAATTTCTCTCATGTTCTCCCATTTTATCCATTCTCCGATTAATCAATTCCAACGACTCGATCGCATATTTATTCACATCCAGAACAATATCCAGCTCAAATCGCTCATCTTCAGTTCGATACAGAAATTCTTCATACGGCGATTTTTTCGACGAAACATTTCCATTATCTTCAGAAGACCAAGATGGATAAGATGTCCATTCATCATTCAAAACTTCATCGCATAATTGTGTTCGCCCAGAGCATTTCACCTTTTCCGCTCGATAAATATGCCTATAACTGACTCCTAAACATGCAATTGTTGACTCATTAATATCCCGTGAAATTTGATCGCCATCTCTTGTAAAAGCTCGGCGAGATGGATAAACTGATTTATTCGGAGATGATGTTGATGGTTCAATAATTGGTAATCGATCTGGTTCATTCAAATCCGTATTGAAGCCAAGAATTTCACAAAAATCGGAGAAAATTGGAGTGCATCGAAGATTTAGAACATCTCGAAGAGCTCGAACCAAATCTAGTCTTGTGATATTTTTGGATAGATAAATATTGAAAAGGAGAAGCACTTTTTTGATATCTTCAACGTCTAATGATTCTTGGAGCTGGAAGAAAAATGGGGATTAGGTTACAGAGCTCCAAGGATTTGAGGAAATTTTGAAACACTAAGTTTTGGGGAAAAATAATGGGGAATTTTTCGAAGATATTTCACAATATTTTAAAATTGAAAAGATGATACATTACCGAAAATTTTTTTTTATTGCATCTAATAACACACTTAGACGAACTATCAAAAATATCGATTTCACCAAAAATGATTAGTAAATTTTGAAACAGTAAATTTTCGGGAAAAACATTGGGGAATTTTTTTTTGAAATTTGAAATATCTTTTGAAATATGAAACGAAACAGCATATTATTACCGAAATTTTTGAAACAGTAGATTGTTTCAACTGAAATTGCTAGAGGTAATCAAAATTTTCATTTACAAATAGAAAAACTATCAAAAATCGCATGTTTACCGAAAATTATAGGATAATTTTGAAACAGCAGATTTTTTCAATTGGAAAGTTAGAGGTTATATAATTTTTTATTTAACAAATTGCATCTAATAACATAGGCGAATTATCAAAAATATTAAGAAAATTTTGAAACATTAAATTTTCGGGAAAAATAATGAGGAATTGTTCGAAAGGAGGAACCAAAAATCTCATTTTCATCAAAAATAATTAAGAAATTTTGAAACATTACATTTTCGGGAAAAATATTGGGAAAATTTTTTGAAATACGAAACGAAACAGCATATTATTACCGAAAATTATAGGAAAATTTTGAAACAGTAGATTCTTTCAATTGAAAAGTTAGAGGTAATATGATTTTTATTTAAATAATTGCATCAGATGGTTAAAGATTGATTGAGTATCAAAAATCTCATTTTCACCAAAAATAATAAGGAAATTTTGAAACAGTAAATTTTAGGGAAAAACATTGGGGGAATTTTTTTGAAATTTGAAATATCTTTCGAAATATGCAACGAAACAGCGAAAATTATGTAAAAATATTATCGACAATTATAGAAAAATTTTTAAACAGTAAACTTTTTTCAACTGAAAAATTAGAGGTTATATGATTTTTATTTTCAAAATTGCATCTAATATTTAAAATAGGCGAATTATCAAAAATCTCATTTTTACCAAAAACTATGAATAAATTTTGAAACATAAAATTTTTGGAAAAAATATTATGGAATTTTTTAGAATTCTTATGGAAATTTAGAATCAAAAATCTCATGTTTCCCCAGAATTATGAAGAAATTTTGAAACAGTAGATTTTTTAAACGAAAAAAAGGGATAATTTTCTGATATGCCGAAAATTTGTAGATCTATATAATTTTTCGGAAAAAAAAAATCTCCAAACTATTTGAGAGCAAGTTTCACTCAAGTCCAAATTTCCCCCTCCAGAACTCACCCTAGAGTATAGTTTAGCCTCATTTGTATGAATCAAATGATAAACTCGTCTAAGCACACTTTCATCCTCATCATGACTAATTTTCCGATCAATTCTTCGCCGTTTTCTCGCCAATTTTTTCCTCGCTTTCTTTTCCTTTTCTTTTTCAACATCTTCATCTTGATCATCATCATCAACTTCTCGTTTTATATCATTTTCTTCATTTTCATCTGGTGTATCTAATTCGGAACCTCTCGATGACACAACATATCCTCTTCCAACACCTCCAGGAGTTGAGACAATTGCGAGAAAATCTTCGATGAGATCTGATTGATCAGCGAATAAATTGGTTAGTGCCATTGTGACAAAATGTCGTTTTTCCTCTTCTTTCAGGTTGAAAAGGCCTTTTTGTGAACTGGTACTTTCATCTTGGTGTTCAGAGTTCTGAAAACTTGCAATTTGAATTAGTCTAACTCTTGAAACATTTGAAAAATTGTTAATTTTGTTAATAAAACATAAATTTTCCAAAAATTTTCACACAAATTTGTTCTGGACCGAAATGTTGTGCTAAAAAGGCTGAAAATTATTAAAAACTAAAATTTACAGCATTTTCAGCACAAATTTCTGACTAGAAAAAAATTTGGGACCTTATGGAATCTTTTTAAAAGTTTCCGAGTTTCACAAATATTTTTTCTAGACTAAGATTTTGTGCTTAAAACGCTTGAAATTACTGAAAATTAACACTTCCAGCATTTTCAGCACAAATTTCTGATCAAGAAAAATTTTGGAACCTTGTGGAAACTTTTAAAAACTTCCCAAGCTTCACACAAATTTGTTCTAGACTGAAATTTTGCGCTGAAAACGGTGGAAATCATTGAAAACTAACATTTCCAGCATTTTCAGCACAAATTTCTAAAGTAGAAAAATTATGGGACCTTATAGAAACTTTTAAAAACTTTCCAAGCTTCACAAAAATGTTTTCTAGACTGAAATGCGCTGAAAACGCTGGAATTGCTGAAAATCATTGAAAACTAACTGTTTCCAGCATTTTCAGAACAAAATTCTGATCTAGAAATATATTTGGTACCGTATGGAAACAAAAAGTTCCCGAGCTTCACAAAAATTTTTCTAGACTGAAATTCCGTGCTGAAAACGCTGGGAGTGCTGAAAATCATTAGAGACTAACATTTCCAGCATTTTCAAATCAAAATTCTGACTAGAAAAAATTTTGGGACCTTATGGAATCTTTTCAGAAGATTCCAAGATTCACACATATTTTGTCTAGACTGAAATTTTGTGCTTAAAACGGTGGAAATCATTGAAAACTAACATTTCCAGCATTTTCAGCACAAATTTCTAAAGTAGAAAAAAATTATGGGACCTTATAGAAACTTTTAAAAACTTTCCAAGCTTCACAAAAATGTTTTCTAGACTGAAATTTCGTGCTGAAAACGCTGGAAGTGTTGAAAATCATTGAAAATCAACATTTTCAGCATTTTCAGCACAAAATTCTACCTGATTTCCCCCTCAAACTCACATCTCTACAACAAAAATACAAAATATCCAAAAATTGTTTATAAGTCGTCGATTCCTCACCAAACCTCATTCGAACTCGATGAATAAAAATACTCGCCCCCTCTTCATATTCACTTTCCGACTCATTATCATCCTCCTCTTCCTCCTCATCTTCATCAGAATCATCATCCTCTTCTCCAACCATCTCATCTTCCGTGAATTCCTCATCTTCATAAGAATCCTCTTCCATCGCATAATTTTGCACCTCATAAACTTGTTCTTGATAACCTTCTCCTTGATCTTCTTCCTCCTCTTCTTCTTCATCCTCATATTCCATTTCATCTCCAACATCTTCTTCGTCCTCTTCATCTTCATTCATTTCATCTTCACCACCATCTCCTGCTCCATCGGCTCCATATCCATTTGTTTCAATATTCTGAAACATCCCAGGCTGCCCAATTTCTTGAAACTCGTTATTCGGATTAATCACACAAATTCGATTGCTGATATATCTGACTTGATAACCTGGCGGGAGAAATGCGTTGAAGCCAAGGATTAGACGAGGATATTCATTGAACAATGAGCTGACACGCTCGATTACTCCAGGAGTATCGATTGCTTGAGATTTGAAATCTTTCATAATATCCAAAAACTGTGTGTAGACTTCCGGCCGTAAATGAAATTCATTTTTGACCTCTTCCAAATACGACAACGCATCTTCGACCTGCAAAAAATGTCTCATTTCCCGAAATGAATGATAAAATCTTTCCAGTTCCACTATAAAAGATACCCGTCTTCTTGAGAACATACCAGACATGAAAACTTTATTACTCATCTTTATTATTATTCTATTTTTAAACCTAAACGTTAATGGTTTAACGAAATTTCACTTTGAGGCAAAACTATCATGCGTCTTGAAAAAACATTATCAATATTTTCTGGAACATTTAGAACATGATCCGTTTTCTGCGAATGATTTGATCGGGGAAATCAAGAAAGGGATTGTGGAAGGTGATGTTGTTGTATTAGCCAGTGGTGAACAAATCAATGATGGTGTGGGAAATGTAAGTATTTATCACCTTTTAATGGTTTAACCTCATATTTAAAATTATCGATTTTCTCTAGACAAATTACGAAGTTTTTGCGAAAATCAAGCATAATTGTACATCAACTGGAACTTTCAAATCACTCAAAATCGACTTGGGCAAAGTTCTCGTCAAAACTCCCGAAGTAACGCTCAAATACACCGCAATTCTTTACAATAACTCATCAAATGTTTAGGATGATTTTTTCGAAAAATGACAAAATAAACTCACTTTTACACGATTCTGTTGTTGTTGCTGATTGGGTGGCTGACTGCCACCGGGATAGTTTGGCTGATTTGATCCGTTGAACATTCAATTCACACAACTTCAAGAAAATTTATGGGATTCAAGGGGGAAAATGCGAAAACGCGTACACACAAACAGGAGAAAAATCGAAAAATGAAAAAAGGGGAAGAGTTTTTTGGCGTGCGTCTTTTTTTTGGTTTTCTAGGCCATCACGAGGGGGGGGGGGAGACATTTTTAGCCTATTTTTCGGACAGGCCTGTTCCTGGACAGGAAAATGCGGTGAGGAAACTATAGAAATTATAGTTCTGGGGGAAACTTCTTTTTCCTAAAAACAATTAGAACCTGCGAAAAAGAAAACAATTATTTATTTTTACAAATCGACCCGTACTGGAAATATATTAAATGTAATTAAATCAGGAGAATCAAATTTCGACGAATGGATTCTGTGTGATTCGAATCTTCGAATGATCCGGAATTTGTCGAACAGGTATACTACTTCCATACAATTTCTCCCCTTTCTTATCGTGGAATGTGAATTTGGCTGAGTCATGTCCAAATTCCATGTAGGTTATTCCGCCTTTTCGAAAACCGAGTTGAGAAACTGGACTCCATGAGAACCAGGATGATGAGGGATAGCTGGAAAATGTTGAGATTTTGTTAGAAAAAAAATGAGAAAGGCCGTGTAGGGTGACTTACTAATACAATAAATTATCCTTCTTGAATTGCTCTTTATGTTTAGTCGATGCATCTGCACGAGAAGCAGCTCCAGAAACAATATAATGTATTTTATGCTCATCTTCCCTGTCGTCATAAACAAAGTGCTGTAATTCAAAGAAAATTTGAAAATTTGCTCAGAAATTGGTTCATGTCTGACCTGTAAAGTGTGATCGTGCCCTGAGAAATAAGCATTGACGTTGTATTTTTCGAGAAGTGGGACAAGTCTTTGACGAAGGCAATCAGTTGGACCGTGGGAGGACATTGAATGCACTGGATAGTGACCAGAAACCAGGAGATATTGAGCGCTGAACAAATTTAGTTGTAGTTAATTATCTTAAAAAATTTCTGCTTACTCTGAAGAGTTTAGGTTTGATTCAATCCAATCCCATTGGTTTTCCGCAGCTGTAACATTTACAGGTCCTCTTGGATCATGCGATTCATTCTTCAACATTTCGAAAAATCCAGCATTCTGAATATCCTTCGTATTCCCGCATAATTCAATTGTATCAATCATCAAAAAATCAATCTTCGTTCCATTGAATTCCACCTGTTTTTTATAATAAAGCGACGGGAAAAACCATTTCTTACTTCGTTTTGTGTATTCCAATTCAGCGGTGATGTTTCCGAAATGATCGTGATTTCCAGCAATCATTAACCAGGGAACTTGCAAACTTGGAGAATCGTATACTTTTTCGAAACGGGTCTCGAAACGCTCGTCGAATTCATTGATTGGACCGGTGAAATAGATATTGTCTCCAACGTTGAGAATTAATTGAACATCATTTTCCGCGGCCATTAGAGCCATTGTTGATTTGACATCTCGTTGAGCCCAAGTTGTTTCGAGAATTGGGATTCCTCCAGTATCACCGACTAATAGAATTCGATAACTTTGCTCATTTCGAAGTGGATCGAGCATAAAACCAGATGATTGAACTTGAATTTCATCTTGAGAATCTGCAAGAAAAATTCGATTCAAAAATATCATATTCTTCTTCAACATTAAAAAAAACTCAGGTAAATCCCAAAGCGGAAAATACAACACAAACATGCAAATTTATTTTTAAAATTCCCAAAAGATTTCACAGCACAACAACCTAAATCGTGTATAAGAAACCAACTGGAAACGGCGAGCATGAAGACGAAAATTGCACAAGCCAAAATACAAAAATACGCAATTTTTCGCATTTTCCGTCTAGTTGGTATTGTTTTGGTCTGTAAAAGGATTGGAAGTGGGATTAATTTTTATATGAAAAGATCAAAATATTGAAATCTGCCTAGTTTAAAGATCACCGAGAAACTAAAAACTAAATATATAAAAAACTTTGATCGGCGGAATTTAAAATTCAAATGATGTGTAAACATGAACCATGTTTTGATATGACTCATCATTTCCGTAAAAACATTATTTTTCAATGATAAGAACTTACCTGCGGTAAAAACGATTCGAAAGACGATGTTGATTGCATATTTATATTAATTCTTCTCATCGGAAAAATCACCCTGAAAAATAAATAAGATTATGAAAGAGATCCAGAGGAGAAACAGGCGGTCAATTGAGTCACCGAAAAACAACAGAGAACAACTGATAAATGGCTGAAACTCGTCTGAAATGAAAACGTTTCGAAAAAAAAAATTCAAAAAAATTATTATTGTCCGAGAGAACTTCAAAATTTCTTAATCGTTCCAAGACCTTTCACAATTTATTTGTGTGTCTTTGAAATTACTGTAATTTTCTTTATTTTTTTTTTTTTTGAAAAATGAACTACAGTAATTTTTTTCAATTCTCAAGGACCGTAGTTACTTATGAAAAATCGATGAGGATGCCACGAAAGAAGAAAACCTAACAAAATTCTCAGAACAAACATAAAGTCGTTTATACGCGCAAATGTGCTCTACCGCACAAAGGTTTCTTTCCCACCCCAAGCTCCCAAATTTTTTTCTTTTGTTACATTACACCAAATTTTGTGATATTCATAGATATTTTCAGGCCTCCCTTCACACCAAATGGTCGAAACCAAGTCAACGACTTCTGATTTAGAAGTCAAAAAATCAGAAGAAGATGTAAGTTTTTGCTGAAATGATATTTGAGTATGTATGATTAAAAAAAATAAAATTAATATGTTTTAGTCATCCCGTCATCATGGCGAATGTAAATGGTTCAACGTTTCCAAAGGCTACGGATTCGTTGTGGATGATGTGACTCAAGAAGATTTGTTTGTTCATCAATCGAATTTGAACATGCAAGGGTTTCGAAGTTTGGATCAAGGAGAACGTGTCTCGTATTATATACAGGCACGTTCAAATGGCAAAGGAAGGGAGGCTTATGCGGTTAGTGGAATTTTTCTGGGGAAAAAGTGGAAAATTTTCTAAATTTTGTGAAATCATACGATTCCTTACTTTAAAAAAAGTTCGTCGAACTCAAAAGCAAGTTTGAATATGAAGCTCAAAATTAAGCCCAAAGCCCTGGAAAAAATAGAAAAATCAAATAAATTATTCTCTAAAATATTTCCGAATATTCTTCGGGTTTCACTGAAAAGTGATGAAAAATGTTTAGAAAAAAATGCGAGTCGAGAAAATCTCAATTAATTAGCCTAACTACTCATGCTCAAAACCTCTTATTTTTTCAAATTTCCAACAAAAAAACAAATGGAAAAAAATTGCAAAAAAATAAAAAGAAAACAACGAGACTCCGCTTACGGGTCGCCGTATGTTTGCGGGAGTTTGAATTTATTTTTTTTCATTTTTCGGGAAAATCCCCTTATAATTCCAGGTATCCGGTGAAGTAGAAGGGCAAGGCCTAAAAGGCAGTCGAATTCACCCGTTGGGCCGCAAAAAAGCGACAGGTCTTCGATGTTTTCGTTGTGGCAAAATCGCATCTCACAAAGCCAAAAATTGTCCGAATGTGAAAGGCGATGGAAAAGTTTGTTATACTTGTGGATCAGATGAACATGTCAGTTCAGTTTGTCCAAAACGAATAGATGAAAAAACGAAACAAATTGAACATTTGATTGAGGAATCGGAAGAAGAACCATTGAAGAAAAAAAACGGACGTTAAGGAAAAACCCGTTGAGATTTGAGGGCTTCTTCACATTTTTTTCCCCTACCTGCTCGTATTTTTACTAACTTCACTTACATATTTTTTAACGTGCTGCATATTCTTGTATTTTTTCTGCTTTTGCCTTGGCTTTTTCTAGGTCCCGTTGTATTTTTTTTGCCCATTTTTTCTCTCAGGAACCCCGAATTTTAATCTCAGGAATCATTTTTTTTCGCATACTCAGGGACTAATTAATTAATTAATTACTCAGGAATTATCATTGTTGCATCAAATAAAATATATTTATACATACAACTTGCGTAACTGTTTGATAACTTCCTCATGTTTGAGGGTTGCACTGAATTCCTCATCGATCTTGTTGATTTTTTGTTGAATTGTGGCAATGCGGCAGAGAATCTGAAAAAAAAAAGATTATATAGTGCGTGTGCGGTTTAATAAGCAGCTTTTGCTTAAAAAATGTAGTTCTCAATCTCTATGGAAACCATCCTAGTTTCATTATTTTGTTATACTTTTTTGATAAACTGATATTGTTTGAGTTCATTTGAAAAAGAATGCAGATAACTACTTTGATGTCTGATCCATGTTGGCATATAAGAGAGATTTGTTATAAGGATAAATTGTTTCAAGTGGTGAGTTTTGGAAAAAAATCATTTTTGATTTAAAAAAAAATGCTCTGATTTTTAAAGAAAAAATGATTCTACAAATATTTTTCCTACAAAAAAATATTTTCAAACAAATTTTTAGAGATTCAAAATTTAATTTTTTTTGAGCCCGATTTTTAAAAAAATTTTAAAATCTGAAAAAAAATTCAATTTTTTCTGGAAAAATCTTGACAAGTTCCTGATTTTCAATAAATATAACTTTGCCACGTCATAAATTAAAGAAATTTTGTGAAAAAAGTTCTGACGTCGAAAAGCCCAAAATACCGATAATCCCTAGGATTTTATCATAATTTTTCCCAACTAAATTCCAGTTCAATCCGCTTTTCAACTTCACAATCAACGAAGCCAATCCAGCAGCTCGAAGAACGCCACTATCAGTCGCCGAAAATTTCTTTATGGATAGATATCGCGCAAGAGCAATAATTCTAACCGAAGAATACGGTAGACGTAGAACAGTCGAAGCATTTCAACGATTTCGAGAATTTTTGAAACGACAAGACTTTCCCTCAACGATGGAAGGGCTTCGAGATGAATTCGAAAGTTTTCCCCAAGGACTTCAAGATGATTATTCATTGGATTTAGAAGAAGAAAGAGAGTTGCCAGATTATTCGAATATGCCTGGACCACATTTTAGGGCAAGATTTATTGGAAGAAAAAGGTCTAGAGATATTTATCAATTGAAATTGGTTTATGAAGATGTCGAATTCTATCGAAATATTCCCAAAGATACTTTATATGATGTCACAAAGCTTATCTCTCAAATCCCAGAAAATGATCGATTCTCAATTCTCATCAAAGAGTTATACGAAGGCGTGAAAAGAGAAGAAAATTGGCATAATGTGGATGTTCGACTGCCAAAACTAGCAAGAATCAGAGCTTACACATTACAATAACTATGTTTTAAATTTAGTTTGTTTCCCCCAGAAAAAATAAATAAACACTTACATCAATACTCTCTCCCATTTGTTGTCTCGCATCTTTAGCAGAAGTTGGCTCCAAAACTCCAAATGGTCTGAATTGTCCCTTGGTTGACACTGCCTTCTTCTCCTCCTTGACTTCTTCAGTTTCCCCAGATTTTCGATTCTTCACCTCGCTCTCTTCCTCATTCTTTTCAGTTTCACGTTTGAATTCATCATTTTCAATATTTACAAAGACTGATGGTTCCAAGTCATGGGTTTCGATTGAATTTACACTGAATAATGATATCCCTCTGGTAGTTCTGAAAAACATATAATTATTTTCTAACAAATACAGGGTGACCAGAAATTATCCGTGCAAACTAAACCGGTCATAAAAACTTCGAAATTGGATATTTTTCAAAGAAATTTTTTGTTAACAATAATAAATGCATAATAATTCCAAAATTATCACGAATGTTGATTTTAAGATTTTTTTCAGGGCTTTCTGGGCCTTTAACCAGATTTCTAAAATAGTGAGAAAGGCCGCGTGGAGTTTTGACTTTGTTTAGTACATGGAAAACTCCAATTGTATTTTTACAACTATGAAATGAGTAAGATATCTTCTAATGATGTTATTTTTCAAAAATTACAACTCCAAGTAACCTTGCGGACTGAGATTCGATGAGCTTCAGAGGCCCAAATAAATTGAAAAAAAAAAAGAAAAATTTTTTTTCGCGAAAGTAAATTTTTGGTTTTGGTCCAAATGTTAGGTCTTCATCAGTTTTATTGGTCTTATGAATATTTTTAAGTTAGATTAAACTGAGAAAACATGAAAATGTTCAAATATGATCGTTTGTTGTGAATCGTTGTTGGTTTTGACACTTTTATCAGTAAAAAACAAGGGGCCGAGGGAGTCATGACCGCCCAAACCATCCCCAAAGTCGGAAAATTTAATTTCATTTTGGCAAAGGCAGAAGAAGTCGTCTAAGATCCTTTTAGGAACAAGTGAAAATAGTTTTGAGAATTTACACAGTTGTTGAAGCGAAAAATGGGGCAACATTGTTAACACCACTAGCCGCGGCTCTTTGCCCAATTTTTGACACATCAACATTAGGCGCTCAAGGTCCAAGTAAGATTTCAATTTGATCACGATTTTTGTGATAATTTTAAAATAGTTATCTATTGATTGGTGCTCAATCAAAAAATTTGTTGAAAATATCATGTTTTTAAATATTTCACGGCCGGTTGAGTTTGCACGGATAATTTCTGGTCACCCTGTATTTTTTGAAAAATCTTTAAATAAACTTACTTGGCTTTCGAGATACATACATTTGCCAATGATAATTTGGAATTGAGATCTTTTCGAAGTTTCATAATCTCATTTACATAGCTAAATCTATCGAAAAGCAATTCATTCAAATCTTTGATTGACATTTTTGTTTTTCCTAAATTATAAAGAATAATTTTATCGGAAAAAAATAAAGATCAAGTATGCAAGTGCGCTCGATGGAAACGTATAGTAAAAGACGCGAAAGTGGAGAAATTTATTTATTATGTACATTGAATAAATATGAGGAAGGAAGGAAGGAAGGAAAGGATTATATAGTTTTCGAAATTGTTACAAGAGTTACTCCAACTAGAGTAAATGTGTAAGCAACGGCAAGCAGAATGAAATTGCGTTTTCCCTGGAAAATGAAAAAAATTCAGAAAGAAACAAATAAGGGAAAACTCACAGTGATTTCTTTGAAATAAAACACGCTCCAGGCGGTGACAATTAGAGCAGGAGCAAATGAGCAAATTGGATAGGCGATTGTTTGGGAAAGTCGTTCGTTTCCGATGAAGAAACCGCCCATTCCGATGCTGTGTAGAACTCCGCACATCATTGATGGTAGAACGAGGTCCGGGTGGAGTTTTGGTTGATTTCGATGGAAGATTGAATAGATGATTAGGATGATTGTTGAAGTTGGTAGAACTCCGCAGAAAAATGAGAAGAGATATGGGAGACCTTCAGCTGGTGCGCCTGGGAATTCGTCTTGGTGGGTTTGGATGTAGGAGACTGGTGTGCACATTGATCCATAGAAGAGACCCGAGATGATTGCGCCGAGCAATGAGCTGTAATTTGTTGAAATTCGTGGGGAACTAGTTCGAACTCTTGAAAAAAATCGAAAAAAAATGAATATATTTCTCCGAGAGAACTTCAAAATTGTGTATCGCTTCGAGATATTTTTCGCAAACGCTGTGCGCCTACAAACATCTACTGTATTTGTGTTCATGTTTTTTGTTGCAAAAAATGACGACTTTCAACGCTCGAAGGTCATATTTTCGCAAAGACGAATCAACGATGACAAGTAAAGAGCAAGTGAGTTCAGCTGAATAATTATCATGAGAAATTATAAAAACCTTATTTTCAGGACGCTCCAAATGAAGTCCAAAACAGAATTCAGGTAACTTCAGTAGTTCTTCGCATTATTCCACAAAATCAAATTACAGCCCCTTTTAATTCCATCAATTTCGCAGAAATGTATTCAATATCAACTTCAAACTCTACCTTCAAGACTTCAAAGCGATCAACAACGAGTCAGAAATGAAGCTCTCATAAGTTTTTTGTGCTCCAATGGTTTATCATTAGATTGTGTGGAAGAAGAGGCATTTATCGAATTTTTCAAAATTTTTGGTCATCGAGTTCCCAAAAAACTCGAACTTCACAATACAATGATTCTACAGCCAAAGATAAATGTTGTGAGTTTTTGTTATATAAGAATCTCTGAAATTAGAATCATTCAGGAATTCTGGAAAAAATCAAGCGATCCTGTTGCGATTTCCTACGATGTGAAAATGATTGAGGATGATGCGTTTTTGGTATATTCTATCACTGGATATGATGAAGATGTTCGAACAACACAAGTTTTCATGAAAAAATTATATCGTTGCGAGTAAGAAAACTATTTTTTCGTAAGAAAATATTTAAAAAAAAAAAGCAATTTTTGTAGGGCGATGGATACGAATATTCATAATCTGATTATAAGAGCCAACAAAATCGATGTAAATAAATATAATTATCTGGTGACACCTGTACAGAGATTATCACCATTCAGAAGGTAATTAGACTCCTTATACCTCCATCTCCAAATTATAATTTTATTTTACAGCTTTATTTGCTTTCACAGTTATCTCTCACAGTTTGCCAATACAATCCTCTCAATTCCGATTTTTCAAGAACGTCTAAAAATTCTCAAAAACTTTGTCAAAATTCTGAAAACCAACGCAACGATGAATGTAAAATTCAATCGATTGACAGAGCGAAAAAAAGAGGATTTGCCAGTTTGGAAAAGTGAAAATTGGCTGGATGTTTGGCAATTTTTGAAGGAATCTATAAGACTGCATTATATTTTTAGGGGTTTTTCGAGAGATGATATTTATTTGTCAATGGATATGCATCGAAAAATTGTGTTGTTTTTTGAGATTTTATCGACGTTGAGGAAATGCGCGGAAGAACTTTCGAGTGAGAAAAGTTGTGTTTCGAGAATTGTGCCGGTTGTTGTTTCACTTGAAAAATATGTTGACACGTAAGTTGTGACGTGGCAAAAATTCTAACCTAACAAAGGAACTGTTTCAAAATTTTTAAAATTGCAGAACTCAACTCTTAAAATGAGTTATGACGTGGCGAAATTCGGGACTTTAGGATCTGAAAACTAGCTTTAAAATTTTTTTTCTTTTTCATGCAAATCTGATAGCATAGGGTTTGTTCAGGAGGCTCGATAACATAAGTTCAGAGATTTTTCAGAAAATTTTGAAATCTGGGTGACATCACGTCTACTTATGTTATCAAATATCCTGAACAACCCTATGCTATCAGATTTGCATGAAAATCTATTTGAATCTAGTTTTCAGCTCCAAAAATCACGATTTTTCAGTTTTAGACAATGGGATCGTGATCAGCGGGTCCAAGTTGCAGAACTATTTCCAATAGAAAAAAACTGAAATTCTCCCCTTACAATTAGGCTTCCAAATCACATTTAAAATTCAAATTTCAGATTATCTGAAACATTACCCGATTTAATGATGGCCAAAATCTACCGAAGTTTTCGCCAAAACTTATCTCACATTATTACTCGAGAATCCAACAAAAATCATTATCATTTTGCATGTTTGCTGGATATTCGATACGGTTATTCGACGCAAATTTTCGAAACGACAAAATGGACAATTATTGAGCGGGAATTTGTTCAATATTTGATGCTAAGTCAAGTTGATGTTGAAAAATGGAAGGAGGAGAGAATTCAAGTTCAGGTAACTTTTTATCAAAGGAAAAAACTTTTCCAAACAATTTTTGTTGCAGAATGAGCTGCAGATTTATCGCCTGGCCGCTGCTTCTTTCCAAAAAAATGAGCGATTTTCGCACGTGGATATATCATTTTGGTGGAAAGAGCATCAAAACATATTTCCAAAACTCTTCATCAAATCCAAAATTTTTCTGGTAGCCCCAGCTGTTTCGATCGATTCCCAATATTATTTTGCAAAATATTCAAGAATGTTGGAGACTAATATCAAAAGTTCGCGGGAATTACAAGATTCGTTAGGAATTGCGGCGAAGAATGAGGAATTTCACGGGCGCGGCGAGAATTTGAATGAAGATTTTGAAGAGGAGGATGATCCCCTGAGAAGATTGATTGAATATAATCAAACATTATCTGAAAGACCAGCGAGGGAAGAAATTCGAATCGAAGATTTTTTGATGGAAGAACCACCCGAAAAAGTTATCAAAATCGAGGAGGAAGAAGAAGAAAAGGTTCCAATTTGATACTGTATTATATGTTACAATATTTTTCCCTGTATTTGTTATATAAACTTGAATTTTTGCTGTTTCTCCCCAGGAAAACTCACATAATCCTGTGTAAAATCGGCACTTCATGTGTTATTTCAAGATGGATTTCTTCGGAATTTTCTGTTGCAGATGAAGAAGATACGCTGACTTTTTCAGCGATTTCAGAATCCGTCGATTTTTCGTGATGGTGGTGGAGGGTGGATTTGATGAAGAGGTAGAATAGAGAACTGCAAAAATTGGAAATGATTGAAGGTCAGGATTTTTTTTGAGAGAAAAAAAAACGTGAAAAAATTAGGGTAAGATTTTTTTAACGGAATTTTCTGATATTTAGAAATTTCTTGGATTACTCAAAAAATGTCAGTGTCCTTGTTTTGAAAATCTGAAAGTTTAAAGTGAGCAATGTTTTGACACGTGTCAATTTTTGTTATTTAACGACATTAGATACTCAGTTTAAGTACGCAGTTAAATAGGTTTCCTGAAATTTTGGATTTTTGCTTTTCCAATCTCAATTTGCCTGCGTACTTGACTGAGTATCTAATGTAATTTGAGCGCCATCGGACTATTTTTGGCGCAATTTTCTCAACGACATTTTCAGTTAAGATACGCAGTTGAATAGGTTTCCTGAAATTTTTCCACGTGGAAATTTTTCGCTGAAATTTTAGCACGAAAAATCTAGATTTGAAATTTTTTATTTCCGGAGCCAGATTTGGAAATTTGAAATTCAACATAATTTTCAATATTCTTCTTCAAAGTCTAATATGAACAATGTTGAGGCGAAAATCATACTATTTTTAGCAACGACATTAGATACTCATTGTCAGTTTAGGTACGCAGTCAAATTTTGTTTTTTTTTCAATTTTTCCAACCCACCCAATAACCAATATCACAACTCCAACATAATTCATAATCTCCGAATTGGGCACACTCTTCGCCACTCCAAACAATCCATATCTGGCGGTGGCCCAACCAGTCAAACACGACACCGAATTCCAAATCAAAATACCCAACGCCATTCCGAGTTTATTCATTATCATAAAAGCGCACGAGTTGCCGATGCACCAAATCGATCCGCCAATCATTGCGAGCGGAAAAATTGGCGGGAAATTCTGGAGGGCGTGAATGGCGAAACTGACGAGAAAACCGGCGGTGCACATGAAAAATTGAGACATGAAGCCTGAAGAAATCCACGTGGAGATACAAATACAGATTCATAAAAAATAAAACCTCACCATCACTTGGTGGAAATTTCTTGATTGGCACAAAAACTGAGCCGAAAGCCACTGAAGTTATAGCACAAGCAGCGAGTCCAATCAACATCTGAAAATATTTTTTTCTCAAAATTTTTAAAATTCCAACAGAAAAAATTGATCAATGCACAAATTTATGAAAGTTTTTGGGAAAAAATCTGCAAATTTATGGAAATCTGTACCGGTGAGTACACTAACTTTGCATAAATTTTGAGGACATTTTTAAAAACATTTAAATTTGGCTGCGTACTTGACTGAGTATCTAATGTCATTTGAGAGCAGGATCGAAATTATGCCACGTGGAACTGAATTTTGAATAGATTACTGTAGTTAATATTATGTAGTTAATATTATAATTTTAATATTATGTGGTTAATTATTCATAATTTGGATTACTGTAGTTAATATTATAATTCTTTAAAATTTTAGAAATTTAGTTCTCAAAATTATTTCAAGCCGAATTACTTCAAAAATGTTTCAATTTTGCTTCATAGAAATTTTAAAACGTATTTTTCCACAGAATTTTTCTTTTTTTTTCAAGTTACTGTATTGATTATTGAAAAATTCAGTTAATTCCAATAATACACCTTTCGGAGATTTAGCGTAAGTCTTTCAGAAAATCCATCTACATTAGATACTCAGTTTAGGAACGCAGTTAAGTTTTTCAAAATTTTTCCACGTGGATACTCAGTCAAATACGCAGCCAAAAAAAAAATCAAAATAAAATCTCAAAAATCAATAGCAAAATAATTATGTGCGAAAAATTCCTAGCATAAATAAATAAACAAGAATCTAAATCAAGATGACTATCTATCTACAGTACTCCAAAAAACAACCAAATTTCATTCTTTTTTATAGCCTAACTCATATTGAATTTGCATAATCTTTTGAGGACATTTGTCGTTGAAAATGACAATGTTTTGATGAGGTTTGAATTGTTTTTTTTTTGAAAATCCGATTGGATAAAATCTGAAAATAGATAGATAGATAGACAAAAATGGGAAAACAACACCAAAAATCTCTGTTTTTTCAACTTATCAAACTTGTTTTATATTAACCTTTTTTGCAAAAAGAATGTTTTGAAAAAGAAAACAATAATGAAAAACTGAACAAGAATGTATATATTCAGGAATGTGGAAAATATTTGATTGTTCTATGATTTAAGAATTCCGGAATTTTTTGGTAAATCTGTATTTAGCGTAACTCTTGGGTTATTCAAAACAATTCAATTTTTCTCAAAAAAAAAAAACATTGAAAGTTTGAAATGAGCAATGTTTTGCCAGCGAAAATCATTTTGCTTTTGGTCTCAAAATTTTCTTCATTTAATAAATAAATAATTAATTAAGACAAATGAAAAAACTAAAAATATTAGGCAAAAAAACAAAAAGAAATTGAGTATTAAAAAGTTAGATATTCTTACAATCCCCTTCTCATTGTTGTTTTTCTTTGCGACCGCATTGATCAACGAACCCTTCTTTTGATGTTTTCGAATTCGCGCTGATCGAGACACCAATCTAACAACATTGTTGAATGACCCACCATTAGAATCATTCATCACATTCTCAATGAATTCTCCACATTCTTCATACATCACACCAAAATCTTCTTCATATTGTTGTCTTCGCTTCTCTGATCTTCTCAGTATTTTTAAAAGAGCTTTTATTTCTTCATACCTACAAAAACAGTTACTAAATAAAACGGTTAATTATTCAAAATCAAGGGTTTTTTTTTGAAAACACTCACATTTTTATTTCGAGTTCGAATGCCTGGTTTTTTTCGATTTGCGTTGGTTCAGGCACTCTTTCTTCATTTTGTTGTGCTCTACCCAATTGCACCGTAAGAGCTACTACTTCTAGAACTCTACAAATTCAATTAATTATTCAAAATCGAGTTGTTTTCCAACCCGAAATTTTTTTGAACAGGAAATTATGAAAATTTCAAATTTCATTACTAACTGTAAGTAGAAATATTCAGAAAACTGTATTGCGCAGGCCTTCAAAAACACTCACATTTGTATTTCAAATTCCAATGCCTTCATTTTTTTGCTTTCATTTGTTAACTGTTCCTCCGCTTGATTTGAAGCCATGATTTCTGCAAAACTCCCTACAGGTATTTGAAAACGGAATTTTCATTTTTCGGGAAAAAATTCTGTATTGATTTTTTGGCACATTTTAAAATCGCCACGAAAAGTGCCAAAAAATCAGAAAAACTCGAAATTTCAGAAAATCAGCCTAGTTTAAAAAATTCAGATATTTTCTCAACACGCTGAGAAATACTGTATATAAATTGAGAAAAGGACGCTGCAAAATAGGAGAGAGTGTGTAGAATGAAGAGAGAGAAAAGAGTGGGACCATAATCAAACCAACTCATAGGTCAGGGTAAAATGTCAACAGATGCTCATTGATATATTTTTCAAGGGACCATTTTTGCAGATGACAAAAACATGAAAGTCCAAAAAAAAAGCAAATTTGAAATTCAAAATATTTTTCAGAATCTTCTGGAAGCCACGTCATAACTCCTTCTTTCTAATTACTATCTAATTTCTTTGCTAATTACCCATCTAGCTAAAAATAACTGTCTCAAAAGCTTACTCAATTCTATATTTTCACCTGATTTCTCTTTTTCTCATTACAATCAGATCAGTCAAGTGTAAAATTCGCAGGACTACAAAATTAATAAGTACATTTTTCTCATTTTTTTTGCTTTCAAATGGACTTGCACCCATGCCTCCCAAATTTCTCAATAAATTTGGAAATTTTCAAATTTTTGGTTCAGGCCTCTTATGGAACTTTTGCCGCAATATTGTACATTTTTCTGATTTTTCGAATTTCTCGAAAATATTCGACAAATCATCGGTTGTTTTGTGATATCTTTTTCAAATTTTATGTCTTAGATGCAGTTGTGGTAACTTTTTTTATTGATTTTTTTTTGAAAATTCTGAAAAAAAAATCATGTTGAATTCAAAATTTTCAAATCTAGATTTTTTCGCACCAAAATTTCAGTTTCAAAGTTTCCAAAAATTGCCACGTGTCAAAACATTGCTCATATCAAACTTTGAAGAAGATTCTGAAAAAAATGAATGTTGAATTTCAAAATTCCAAATTTTAATCCACGTGGAAAAACTTCTGGAAATTTAACTGCGTATCTAAGCTGAGTATCTAATGTTGTTAAGAAAAAAATTACATTAGATACTCAGTCACGTAAGCAGCCAAAATGATCTTCGAAAACTTCAGGGAATCTAATTGCGTATCTAAACTGCCACGTGTCAAATTAAACTTTTAGAAAAAAATTGAATAATCCGAGAGTTACGCTAAATACATAGAAAATTCCGGAATTCTGAATTTCCCCCTCCACATTTTTCAGAGTTTAATATTTCTGCTGCTGGATTTCAGTATAAATCGTCCACTTTTATATATAAATCAACTATGTTATATATTTTTCAACAATTTCTCAACTCCCTCTTATTTTCTAACTCCCTACATCACAGCCTACAATTATTTCGGATTCTCAAAAATGCTCACAATTAGTTTGCTCTCGGCAAATCGTTTCACTTGCGTCGTTTTTCCAGTTTGGCACAAAGTTTTCTGGTTGAAATATAATCGAGGATTTTGTTATGCGGTTTTTATAGTTCCCGTGTTTTTCACGTGGCATTTGGCGATTTCGAAAACTTATTTTGATGCTTATTCGGGAGCTGGATTATTGGGATATACGAAAACTATTGAATGGGTTGGTTCTGGTTCTGGTTTCAAACTACATAGAGATTTTTTGTCTGAAAAAAAGAACGTTGCATTTTTTTTTGAAGTGTGCATAATTAACACCAAGATACATTAAAAAAACTGAAAGTCAAACTAGAGATGCAAATTTGTACCCGGAACATTTTCAGAATAAAAAAAAAGTTTGGATATCTCATAAATGAGATATCCAAAAATTTTCAGAAATTCTGAAAAATACATATTTTGTGCAGCTGAAAGTTCAATTTCACGCTCGAAATTAGCTGTAACATATGATCGAAAATTCGTCATAAAAATTTGCAATTTTCAAAAATCATGAGAATGGTTTCAAGTTCAATGATCTAGATACGCCATCATCAAAAATCAAGAAAAACAATTATCTGAAAATTCTGAAACATTGAATTCTCATAGAAAAAACTTGAAAATATATTTTTGGAAAACAGAAAACTGAAACGTTGAAAATATTTCAGCGTTGTGTTATAGAAATTTTGAAACGTATTTTTCCAAGAAAATGTTTTCAAGAATTTTGCAAAAAATATTTCATTGATAAACTTTTTGGCGAGTTAGCGTAAGTCTAATCAACCTTCTCCCCAGATTCGCACAACATATTTCAAAGTTCTCGTAAGTATCTCAGTGTTTATTTTCATTTTCACAACAAATATCTGGACAATTCAACAACTAATCGCTTTTCGATATCGCCTCAAAAATCTGGAGAAATCTCTTATTCTAACAACTATTATAACAAGTATCACATTTTTGCTTTATATCATTGTTCAGGTGCAAAAAAATTTCTTCGGAAAAGTCTAGCTAGACAATTTTTTTCAGATGATAATTTTGATAGTCTCTTCAAAATATCTAATCGATCATTTGGAACTTGGAACTTTTGTCAAAAAATTCGAATTGATCTGCAATGATTTTTATCTGATAAGTTCACCAATTGCTCTAATTTTGGTTTGCCCACAACTACGCGGTTCACTTTTTCGAAAACATAAATTACGAAATACCGTGTCAAATTTGCCAGACACCACTTTCTGATTTGTTTTGCTATCTAAACAATTTTTGAGACTCTTGATTTCAATAAATATATTTTTTGAATTTTTCTCGTATGTTTGGCATTCAAACCAATAAAGGATTACAGTATTGTCATTTTTGTTCAGAAGTACTTAAAACGCTGTGTCAAATGTGCCACGTCATAACTATGTTTTGGGATTATCGTTCCTGTTTGGATTAACAATTGTTGTTGTCGGTAGCAACTTTACAAATTGAGTGAACAATTTTACCGCTTGAAAAATGTTGAACTATTTTTTTCGTAACCAACAAGATGATCTTAATTTCTCCCAATTAATTTTCTATCATTCAAAAAAACCATTTTCCTGTCATCTCTCACAAAAACCTCTTATCAACTTTTTTTTTCCACAAACATTTTCATTTGCTAAAAAAATTTCGTGTTTCGTGTTTCTTGTTCTTTGTTTTTTTCTTTCCGATTTTAAAATTGAATTGAATATAAAATCCAGAATGTCGGCTCAAGATTTTGTTGGAAGATGGAAACTCGTCGAATCCGAACACTTTGAAGAGTACATGAAAGAAGTTGGAGTTGGTTTGATCACCAGAAAAGCTGCCGCCAATTTGAAACCAACTTTGGAAATTAAGAATGAGGGAGATGTTTGGCATCATAATCATTATTCGACATTTAAAAACACGTTTTTGTCTTTCAAACTTGGAGAGGTGAGGAGGACGAGTCGGATTCTAGGCCATGTTGGGCTTTGTTTTATTAGAGCGCGTTTGCATTTTGAGGGGGGAGGGGTGTTGGTGTTTTGAAATTAAAGATCTGAGACCTGAGAATTTCCGCAGGAAAAATTTTTGCAGTATTTTTTCAACCATGATCAATTTTCCTTTGATTTTAAAAACCGAAATTTTTTAATATTTTTTTTAATTTCCAAGATCACAAAAAAGTGAATTTAATTTTTTTCACGGTTTCTAAATACATGGGCCCAAAATCAATATAATTTATTTTTGCACATCAGAGAAGCTGTTAGAAAATTATCACTATCAACACACGTGTAAAACTTTCTTATCTCTACTGATATTCCCGAACACATAATAAACAATCTCCCAAATCAACTACTTTTTTTCAGGAGTTCGAAGAGACTACCGGAGATGGACGAACTCTCAAAGCATTGATTGTTTTCGAAAATGGAATATTCACTCACACTCAAAAGAAAATCAAGGATTCCGACAAGGATTCGACATTTATTCATAGACTTGAAGATGGAAAACTTATTATCACTTTGCAATCGGGAAATGTTCTTTGTCGTCGTGTTTTTGTTCGAGAATAATTTACTTTCTGGAAGTTTATATTTTTCTAATTGAGGATTTTTTCCAAACAAAAATAAATCGTTTAATCTGAGCAATACTTTTAAAATCCTTCTGGAATTTGAAGCTCATAGATACCAAACATGACTATAATATGAGCAAGAGCAATTCAGTTTGAAAAAATATTTCTGTTGGAAACGGCCCTGGTCTGATCTTGAACATCGGGTCCTGGCCCGATTCATGAAGAGAGCTACAGTAGTCCTAAGTAGATCAAAAGGTAGGCATTTCATTGGATTTTTTGTAGGAGAGGGTAAATACATTACTGTAAGAGACGTACTGTATAAAGTTAAATAAAATATTTTCTTTTGGAGATTGTAATCAAGAAATACTATTCTTGATATTCTGGAAAATCTAAATTTTACACATAAAAATAAATGAAAAATTTTGTGTTTATTTTGTCAGTATTTATAGTAAAAAATGTGACTCAAAAAGTGATTACACGATGTTTTGTGATTTATGTATTCTAAGCTTCAAAGTTGTGAAAATGTCCAGCTGATAGTATTTTTAATCTATTTGAAAATAGGATTATTCAGAACTTTAATATTTTATCAAAAGTTTTTTGTGTGTTGCTCACATCTTTGAAGCTCAAATCACAAAAACACTAGTTAAACATGTCTGACATCATTTTCAAAGTCACATTTTTCTACTATAAATACATATGAATCTACTTGATACATAATTCAACATTTTGAACTCAATTCAATTCTACACAATGTCTGCTCAAGATTTCATTGGAAAATGGAAATTCGTCGAAGCTGAAAATTTCGAAGAATATCTGAAAGAACTTGGAGTTGGATTGATGGCCAGAAAAGCTGCGGTGAATTTGAAACCCACTTTGGAAATCACGAATGAAGGAGATGTTTGGCATTTCAACGCGAATTCTTCATTGAAAAACAAAGATGTGTCTTTCAAACTTGGAGAGGTAAGGAAATTCAGAAGATCTCATGAAAATCCGAAGTTTTCAGGAATTCGAGGGGACTTCTTCAGATGGTCGCGCTTTCAAATCGGTAGTTGTTTTCGAGAACGGAAAATTCGTTCAAACTCAGAAGAAGATCAAGGATTCTGACAAGGAATCGAGTATTGTTCGAAGTATCGAAAATGGAAAACTCATCGTCACTTTTAAATCTGGAAGTGTTGTTGCTCGCCGAATTTATGTTCGGGAATAAATTGGAGTTTTATTTGAAATTTTTCAAAAATAAATTTATTCTGTACTAAAATTTTGAGGGTTTCTCGAGTAATGGTAAAAATCTTCTCACTTTTCAAAAACAAAGAATTCCAGATTACTGTAGATTCTTCCTCTAAATTGTTCTTCTGGGGTTAGATTTTCGAATCCTATTCAGAATTTGATCTACCAAGATTTGAAATTATTTTCTCCAGGAGTACTACTGTAGTGAGCCAATTTCCTGAATATTTTCAGAATTTCCTGAATAAATTCAGAATCTATATTTCAAGAATTCAAATTTGGTATCCTATGAAGACTGAAACTCCAAATGCTCAGATTTTACTCTAAAAATCCTCTGTACAAATAATTATGACGTGGCATTACTAATTATTTGCTCAACTCGAAACTTCAATATTTTACCAAAATATGTATAAACCACAAAATGTTTTTTTTCCAGACCAAAATAAAAATAATCCATGAGTGTGTAAATATGATTTGTACCAAAATAAACAAAAAAACCTTTTGTTTGTTTTTTGTGTGAAAAATAAAATAAAACTTATTTTCAAAAGACTGTTCGATTACCAGTTCAGTTCCACAAAAATTGTATTGTTTTTTTTTTGGAAAAAAAGTTGGGCGGTCTTTTTTTTGTTTTTGAATTTGGCCTTGAAAAACCATCGATTTCAATCAGTTCGACCCAAATTTCAAAAGTTTTCGCCTCTTATTTTTTGTTTGCCCAAAAACCTTTTTAAAATTCTTATCACACGTGTTGTTCTTTTTTTTGGTTCAAAGTGCAAAAAACATGGAACATTTTTTGATGATTGAGACTTTTTTTTAGGGGGTTCCGGTTCATTTTTCTAGGCTACATAGAGAATAAAAAATTGCAGATCAGATTTTTTTGGGAAAATAAAAAAAGCAAAATTTTATCTGACAATTTTGAAATCGAAAATTTCATCAGCCAAAAGCTTTTAGAATGTTTTGAAAGGAATTTTCTTTTTTTTTTTGATATATTTTCAGAAAAATATTTTCAGAATTTTTTATAGGCTCTGCCACGTCATAAATATTGTGTTAGAATTTTTCAGAACAATCTGAAATTTCACATGATATTTAAATATCGAAATTTAAACCCCCTAATTGAAAAATTAATTTTTCCCGGAATTATTTATTTCTAAACGTGACGGGGGGTCAAAAAACCACGATTTATTTTTCGTTTTCCAAATTTTTTCGTCATTTCGAATTTTTTCTGCTCGTGAATCACCCTTTTCGCAATCCAATCCAATTTAAAAATAGGCGCGTTTCATCGAAAAAAAAATAAAAATCGAACGACATATCATATCTTATCAAAAAAAAGCTCCGCCCACAAAATGTGCCTCTTATCATTTTTTGTGTGTGTCACAAACAGTTTCATTTGCCATTTATTTTTCGCTTTCGCCATTTTCTTTTCATTTTTTTGTGAAAAACAAAAAAAACTCTCTATCTATCTATTTTCCAAATTTCAGAATGTCGTCTCAAGATTTCGTTGGAAGATGGAAACTCGTCGAATCCGAAAACTTCGAAGAATACATGAAAGAAGTCGGAGTTGGTTTGATCACCAGAAAAGCTGCCGCTAATTTGAAACCAACTTTGGAAATCAAAGTTGAAGGAGATGTTTGGCATTCAAACCAATATTCGACTTTCAAGAACACCACTTTGTCATTCAAACTTGGAGAGGTAAGGGGACGAGTCGGATTCTAGGCCAGGGAACCCCTAGGGAAAAAATCGAGCCCGGGAAATTGATTTTTTGCAGTTTTAAAAACGTTTTCAATTGAAGATTTTTCAAAACAATATTTTCGAGCCGAGTCGGTTTCTAGGCCACGCCTGTTTTTTTCTCATTAGAGCGCGTTTGCATTTTCTGATGCAATAAAAACATCAAATTTCTTCGCGTAATAAGCACAAAACTCAGTGATAACAAATTATTAGAGCTGTCAAAAAATTATCAATATATTTACACACGTGTAAACACTTTCTTATCTGAACACTCATAAACAATTTTATAACCCCTAAAACAATAACAATTATTCAGGAATTCGATGAGACCACCCCAGATGGTCGCACATTCAAATCATTGATTGTCTTCGAGAACGGAAAATTCACTCACACTCAAAAGAAGATCAAGGATTCCGATCATGATTCGCACATTGTTCGTTGGATCGAGAATGGAAAACTCATCACCACTCTTCAATCAGGAAACGTTACCGCTCGTCGTGTTTACGTTCGCGAATAAGCCAATGCTTTAAGTATTTTTGAATTTCATTCCATACTTTTTCGTAAATAAATTAATTGTGCTTCCAAAAATTTTGTGCTTACAAAAAAAAGAAAAAAATCTGCGTTCGGGGGGAATCGAACCCCCGTCGAATGCTTGGAAGGCATCCATGCTGACCATTACACCACGAACGCGATGGGAGCGACGCAGCAGATGTTGAATTTATAGGCGATAGAAAAAAGTCTTTGTCGTACTGCTGGCTGGTTAGAGAACACGAGGAGTCTCCTCTTTTTCCTTGCATCTTATTGGATTGCATTTTCTTTTTGTTTTACTCCGAATTTTAGCTCGTTCAAACGTTTTGAAATAAAATTACGGTTTTTTGTCAAAGGCACATGACATTGTTTGATTGGGTCTTGCAACGAACGGTGTACAGTAAGTAGGGACAGTTCTAAATTTTCATTTTTACTAGTGGACCCAATGCGCTATGCCTAAACTTATTTATTCACCACCTGGACATAATCATCTGATTACTTGGTGCAGATTTTGAAATATATTCATTCGCGTGAATATTCAGACAAATATTTTTATTAGCTCGAGAACAATTCTTCCATTAAGACACCAAAATGACGCAACCCTGTACAGAAATGCCTTAGCAGCTTTTCAATTTTCCAACCAGCTTTGGCAGTTTACCAATTTTCCAACTTGCTCCGTTGAATAATTTCTTAAGTAAACCCTCCTTACTTGGTAACCCGGAAACCGGGATTTCGGGGACCAGGATTGTCGAGTAACCACATTATGAAGGATAGTCATTTCATCATATTTATATTTATTGAAAAAATAAACAAGACACCAAATTATAATTATCGAGATGTTGAATGTTCCGGCATCGTAAAGGACGGCGATTGAGTTCGAACCTAAATAAATTTGAATCATAATTTGAAAAAAATGTAACTTATCCGCTTTATTGCGAAACTTCATTATTTTTTGAAACGACAAGTAAAGTGTTTTTGAAAAATCAGAAATATAGAAGTTTTTGTTGCATTTTTTTGAACTTTAATCAGTTTTGCTTTTTTAATTTAAAAATTAAAAATAATAGTTTCTTCCCTAATATTCATCAGAAGTAAAGCAAATCATTTTCGAAATTAGAAGAAAGTTGGATAAATTGTTTTTTTTTACAATACCCGGAGAACATGCACTGGACCTGGTAGTTTTTGAACATTCACAAATTCCTGTTTCGAGCAAAATCTCAAATTTAAAATATTCTGCACTCTTCTAATCGCAAAACTCGAAAAATCTTATGAAATTTCGATATTTCAGTTGCAAAATGTTTTTCGTTGAAATTCGCTTAATCAACGGACAGAAACATCTCAGAAAATGTCCAGGTATAGAAAAAGGATTTGTACTTTTTACAAGAAACGTGCTTCCAGAGCATGCTCTCCAGGTATTGTAAATACAGTTGATCAATTTCAAAGTGGATTCTTGACTTTTTTGATTGTTATTTTTGCAAAAAAAAAACTCACATTATTCTCCACTTTCGGAGTTTCCAGTAGCGATTGTCGTTTTTTCCTCATTCCGGATTTCGTAGTTTTCCAACAATTTCTCACGTTTCATATCCTTCAACTTCTTCTGCAATCTCAAAAGTGCAATTTGTCACTTAATTTCCGGCAATTCGTAATCCTCTTCATTTTCCAATTTCTCGATTTCTTTATCGATTTTATCATTGGTCTTTGGCAGGGCTTTTTGAGCGGATTCTTGATTTTCAGATTATAACTTCATTTGTTTGACTTCTGGCCCAATTTTTCCGTCTCTTTTTGCTCAATTTCCTCATCTGTTGAATCGTCGCCTGAATCTTCTTCAGAATCCTCTTCTTCATTTTCGGATTTCCCTGGATTTTCAGCAGTTTCAGCTTCATCTTCTGAATCATCAGATCCCTCAGATTATTCGAGTTCTACAGGTTTTTGAGCATTTTTCGCAGATTTTGCTGGATGAGAGGATCTTCTGGCTTCTTCGGCAAATCATTGGCTTTCTGAAAAAAAGTTTTTGAGGAGCTTCTAAGGGAAATTTTGGAATTTCTCACCACTACCCTGAACTTTGGGAATTCTTTGGAAGTCGACATCCACACAATAACCTCCTGCACAGTATTTGGCACCAATCCCAAATTCCTGGCTGATTGCTGTTTTTGTTGCGCCGAAAATTCTGAAAAATCAATGTTTCTCTAGAATTTCATATTTTAGTCAGAATTTCAGCCGCGAAACTCACTTTTCGACAATTGCCGATTCACCAAACTGTGCTGAACACGAAAATATTCTGCCTGGAAATTAGTAGGTTGTGTTGAGTAGAAAGGGCTGAGTTTCACTTACGAATCGCATCGTCCATTTCGAAAACAGCGGCGAAAATCAAAAAAAAAAGGGGAAAAAAGAAAAAATAATGAAAATAATCGATGGAGCAGTGCATCGCGACGAGACCCGGTTAGCCATTCAACTCGTCCTCCCTTTAATTGGCAAGCTGCCCAATCGCGTTTCTGTGCAAGTTTGCGTCATGGTGTTCATTGCGGACAGCGAAGATTCATTTTTTTTGAGCGTTTTTTTATAGGGAAGATTTTTTTTCGCTTTATTTTTTTTTGGTTTTTTTCTCCGGAGCTCCAAAACAAACAAACTTTTTTTGATTTTTAGGGAGATTGACAGGAAAATTGAGACGAAAACAAAGTGCCTGCTTTATTTTTCATTTTAGCGGGTTCCTTCCGCAACAAAACATAAATAAGTCTTATATCCTTCTCGAATTCGGCAAAGTGTGTAACATTTGTGTCGATAAATATCTTTTTACATTTGTCTGTCAATCAAAAAATGAAAATTTCGAAATATTTGTATGTGATCGGCGGATGCGCTTTGAGCACCGAACGACAACCGATTGATTCTATTGAGCGCATTTCAATTACTGATGGTGGAGAGCAAAAAATGTGAGTTTTCCTCGAATAAGATTAAGAATATATGAAAATCCTTTTATTCAGAAATATCGAATCCAAAATATGCGGCCAATTATCGCATGCAAAACGTTCTCCAAGTGTTTTTGTCAAAGACGAGAACACAATTATAATTGCTGGCGGATGTCTTGGTCCCAACAATCATTCAAACGAAATCGAGATTCTCCAAAAATCTCAAGATTCCTCATGGACTTCTCAAATTTCCGGAAATTCGAAATGTGAAGTGGGACACAGCTGCGCGGCATTTCACTCAAAGTCTGTTCGTTTTTCGATTTTTTCCCAATGTGAACGAAAAATCTCAATGTTTTTTTATAGAAAACCCCTGTAATTTTCGGTGGTTTTGAAGCGCATAATTGTCTGGAATCTGTTCAAGTGCAAAATGAAGCGGGAGATTTTCGAAAAATCAAAGGATTTCTTCCAAAACTCAAAAATTCCGTGGCGCTTGAAATTAGAGACGAATTTTTGTTGTTTGGAGGATATCAAGATGAAAAAGAAACCACTGCAGCTATTAGAAGGTAAACACTTTTTTATTAAAATATTGCACGCAACGCAGACCGCGCCGCGCTATAACACACAAATAAGGAAACGTTTCAAATTCCCTGCTTTTTTTGTGTGTGCTGTGCGACGCGGTCTGCGTTGCGTGTTTATTTCGGTGGAGCGCGTGGTACCGATTAGATTTTCGATAATAAATTATTAATAATTCAAATTTTTGTCAGAATCAAGTTCAATCCCTCTTTCACCGAATATTCCATCGAATTCGATGGTCTTCTTCCATATCCAGTCGAAGGTCATAGTTTGGCAGAAAATGATGAATATATCTATTTAATCGGTGGATTTGATGGTTGTTTCGTAATCCCCTCAATAATTCGATACTCCCTGAAAACTAAGAAATCCGAAATCCTCGATACTAAATTATCAGAAAAGCGAGAAAATCATGTGTCTGGAATTGTCGGCGGGAAATATTTGATTGTTGCTGGCGGTTGGGATTCGAAAAAAGCGTTGGATTCTATTGAAGTCTTCGAAGTTTTGGATTCTGGAGATTTGAGGAAAATTGGCGAAGGGAAGTTGGAAACTCCACGAAATCGCCCCTCAAGTGTGTGCCTTTAAATTGCACTTTTATTTATTGATAAGATAAACTATTTATTTTTTTCCTCACTCAATATTATGTTTTCTCGGTTTCAATAATTTCCGTATTGATTTTTGAAATTTTTTTCAATTTTATATTTACTGTACATGCAGATTAAAAAAAAGTTTTCAGATGCTATAAGTATTTTAGGATGGAAGATTATAATGAGGAAATTCAGTCAACATCAACTGCTGATGAGTGAGTTCAAGTTTATTTTAATAGGGGAAACCATCACCCCAAAAACTAGAAAAATAAATTAATTTCAGGTCTGACAGAATACCATCGCATTTTCTAGTCGAATTAACATCACTCGATGAGTTGGCATTTCCGGCAAATTCGACGAAACGCGTAAAATACACGTGTGTCGCGTCAACTTCACGTAGTTTGATATTGGGAACGTCGACGGGGACGGTTTATATATTTTCGAGATATGCGGCGAAAAGTCGATCGAGGCAACAAGCACCAGTTCCGGTACATGTATTTACGACGAGGGATGGGCAGATTAACACGGTGAGTTGCGGGGAATTCAAAAAATGTTGAAAATCTTTCACTCTAGATTTTTAATAAAATATATGTTTTCTAGTAGTTTTCACGATTTCGTCATCTAAAATTGCAAAACTCAACTCCTAATATGAGTTATGACGTGGCAAGTGAGAATTTCAGGAGCTGAAAACTAGCTGCAAATAGATTTTCATGCAAAATTTGATAGCATACCGTTTTCAGCTCCGGAATCCCTGATTTTTCAAATTTTGCCACGTCATAACTCATATTAGCAGTTGAGTTCTGAAATTTTAGATGAAGAAATAGTGATCGGCGGGTCGAAAACTACTAGAAAACATAAATCTTGTTGAAAATCTAGAGAGAAACAGATCCCTTGAAAAATACGTTTCAAATATTCCGGAAAAATGAAAAACCTTTCAATTTTCTTTGTTTAAATCTGGAAGACCTCTATTTTTAAAAGAAAAATGTTACATCCTATAAATATAGGCCCAAAATCCAGGCTCTCTAAACCGAAAAATTTTAAATTCAAGCCTGTAATTTCAGATTTAAAAAATTTACCAGAATTCCCTCTCCTCAACCCTCAAATTCAAATTTCAGATCTCCCTCGCCTCATCCGAAGAACTAATGGCAATTGGCGGTGATTCGGGTCGAGTTTCAGTTGCTCAAATGAATTCCGGTCAATCTCCCACCCTATTATACACGATTTCCGGAGATGCTCGAAATCCCGATAAAGTTACCGCTTTGGGATGGTCAAATGATTGTAAACAAGTTTTTTCGGGTCATTCGAGTGGAAATATTCTTGTGCATCGTTTAGGAGTGAGTTCTTTTAACTTGAAATTTATCCTAATCCTAATAAAAAAATTCTGATTTCAGAATCGTTCGGTATTTCGAGCGTCTCATCAAAAATTAGCCAAATTCGATGGCGAAATCATTCAATTGGATGTATATTCAGAGCATATTGTAGTATCGACAAATCTTGCCGCTTATATTTTACACGTTGAAAGTGGAACTAGTCAACAAATAGGAAAAAAGGGGCGAAATTCAGCATCGGCTCTCGGAGCATGTTATATTCGAGCAGGAGAGCAATCGGGATATATTGTGGCAGCTCGGCCGAATGGAAGACTGTGGGAATCGAATTTGGTGGGAGTTGTTTATCGAACACATCAATTTCGACAGAATAAATATGTTCCGCGAAGTCCTCCGATATCTTTTCGAAATGCGTTTCCGATGGAGAATTCGGAATTTGATGGAATACATCCGGAAAATCAGGATGTTATGTTTAGTAGTTTGAAAATTATGGTTATTCAAGATGGGAAGAAGCATTGGATTTTATCGGCGGTTGGATCTCGAATTGTTATTGTTGATTCGGATTCATCGAAAATTGTGGTGCTTTCGGAATTGGAAAATGGTAAGGGTTTTGAAGAAGGAAGAAAAGAAGAAGCCTTAACCTCTTCAGGAAAAAACTCTTGAAAATATTTTAAATTAAAAAAAAAAAGAAAATTGTGTCGACCTGAATACTTTCTGAAATACAAATATTTGAAAAAAACTGAATTTGAAAACTAATTTCTATTCGACTAACATTTTTCAAAAACCTAGGAAACCCAGAAAATAATTTTTGTGTTTAAATCGAAAAAAAGGTTCAATTGATAACCCTAGCTCAAATTTTCTAGTATATTTTAGTTTGAAAAAAGTTTTATCTACATTTGAGAATGATTTATTCAAACATATATATGCAAAAAAAATGATTTGGTCGAAAATCTTTCAATCCATTGTTGTTCTTTATTGATTGTTATTAGTCAAAGATGATCCTTGAGTTGGAGCTGGAGCAGCAGCCGAGTCAGTCTTTCCTTTGTTTGATCCCCAAGCATAGGCATAAGCTGGTGCAGCAGCATATCCACCATAATATGATGGATAATAAGATGGATAAGCATAAGCGGCAGCAGTTGGATAATATGATGGATAAACAATTTGAGATTGTGATGAACCGAAAAGAGCGGCGACAATCAAGAACATTGAGATGATACTGAAAAAAAAAACAAATTGAATTTTTGAGAAAGATTTTTAATAGAACTTACACTTTAGCGAACATTTTTTAGAGTTTGTTGGATTGATGATTTTTCAATGAAAATGTTTCCCTTATATACAAGCCCAACTAACTGGTTGACATATTTGCTCTATTACTTTTTCTCTCAAAAAGATAATGTTCAAGCATCAAAACGGTTTTTTCTCACTCAAACGTTTTTCATTGAGTTTCCAAAAAAACGCCTTTTCGCACACACGCAACTAAAAAAAACCGACAGAGCAAATAAAGAGCATATAAATATGTATATAACCAGTTTATCGCAGTTGTATATAAATGTAACTATTTTCTCTGAAAAATCATCATCAATCCAACAAACTCTAAAAAATGTTCGCTAAAGTGTAAGTTTCATAAAAAACCTTTCTCAAAAATTCATTTTTGTCTACAGTATCATCTCAATGTTCTTGATTGTCGCCGCTCTTTTCGGTTCATCACAATCTCAAATTGTTTATCCATCATATTATCCAACTGCTGCCGCTTATGCTTATCCATCTTATTATCCATCATATTATGGTGGATATGCTGCTGCACCAGCTTATGCTTATGCTTGGGGATCAAACAAAGGAAAGACTGACTCGGCTACTGCTCCAGCTCCAGCTCAAGGATCATCTTTGACTAATAACAATCAATAAAGAACAACAATGGATTGAAAAATATTCGACCAAATCATTTTTTTGCATATATATGTTTGAATAAATCATTCTCAAATGTAAAATTGTTTTCAAATTGAAATATACTAGAAAATTCGGACTATGCTTCTTAATTGGGCCTTTTTTTCGATGTTAGAGACACTAAAATTATTTTCTGGGTTTCCTAGTTTTTGAAAAATGTTGACAATCGAATTTTTTATTCGAAATTATTTTTTAATATTTGTATTTCAGAAAGTATTCAGGTCCCTCGACACACTTTTTTTTCATAAATTATTTTCAAGAGTTTTTTTTTTCTGGAGAGGTTAGGTGAAGTATTTATAAGCATACTTTTATCTGAAAAAATCTGTGAGGGCTAAAACTAAAAAAAACTAAAAAAAAATGAAATTTGAATTTTGAAAAATAATGAAAACGTGACACGTTTCACGTTTTTTTCTCATTTCCCCCAGAAAAATTCAGAAAATAAATCATTTTTAGAAATTCTGGATGTGTCAACTTGTGCAAATGACATTTTTGTCTTGTTGGCCGACTCGAAAGGTCTTCGCAAATTCACAGTTTTTGAGAAATCCAAAGCCATCGAAAAATTGCACCTCAAATCGTTGTTTCTTCAGGTAACTTAATTCAATTTTTTTATTTGAATAAAAAAATTGGATTTCAGAGCGCTCAATTAATTTCATTTTGTTATCCGTTTTCCGAATTTCCGCCAGGAGTTATTTCAAAAACTATTGATGGATTATCACAAATGAGCAAAAAGGTAACAAATTTAATTAAAAGGAAAATTTCTTCAAAATTCTCAATTTGCAGAAAGAAACTGAAAAACTCTACCAAAATCTGCAAAAAATTCTGGACGAAATTGAAGAGAGACGAAAAGCATCGGAAAGTTTGTATGATAATAATATGGAGCAAAAAGAGGTGTCGGAAAAATTGGCGTCTGGAATTCATCGAGTTTTGCGAGGTGGAAATGGACAAGAAAGTGGATATGATGATGATTTTATGTTTAATATACCGCAAGATTTGAGAGAGAGGAGTAAAAAGTAGTCCGAGTAAAAGTGTTGTTGAGGGGAATATTGGGTGGGTTTTTTTGGGGAAAAGAGATTTTTTGAAATAGAGTTTTATAGGTATGTTCAGCTGTTTTAAAGAATTTGAAGATCTTATAGAAAAATTTTGAAAATATCTGAAAATTCTAAATTGTGAGCTGAAATTCAACCCAAAATAAACAATAAATAAAATTTGGTTATTTTTAATTTCTATCCAAAGATCCCATGTTTATCAGAATTTTAAACTTAGACTTGAAATCTAGAATTTCCAGATATTTTTTAGATTCAGACTTCAACTCGAGAGTTTTTATTAAATTCTGGTTCAAAATTTCATAGAGAAACTTGTCTATAGTCAAAAAAAAATTTAAAAACAGAATTTTAGACTGAATTTCTTCGTAAAGTAAAATTTGGATCAAAATTTATAGGAGAAATTTGGTAACATGTGCTAGATAAAATCTAGAATTTCCATATCTGAAAAAGTTCACTTTTTAGTTCTACAGTGAATTTTTATTTGAAAATATTTTAATTTTTGAGGTTAAAATTTATCAAAAATGAAAATTAGGTGAAAAATCAATTTCTTACAATTTCTGGTGCTAAATTTCAAATTAATCAAAAAATATCCTAAAATTCTAAATTTTGAGATTAATTTTGTCAAAAATTCCTGAAAATTTTAGATTCCAAAATTATATTCCTATCAATTTCCAGATCTCTAACTTCTCCCACCCCAATCGCTAAACGAGCCTCCGAACCATCAAACCTCGAACTAAAAAATGAGTGGAGAAAAAATGGAACTCCAGATGTTGCCGAAGAAGACATTCTACAAAGAGCAAAAATGATATTAGATGGAGAATTTGGACAAAAACTGGTGGAAAAAGAGTCACTTCGAACACTTTTGCAATTAGAAGGAATTCAGAGAGATGAGATTCGATTTACACCAACTGTTACGATTGGAAATGCGGCAAAAGCATTGGCTGAATTAGCATTAGCTGTACCTGTGGATTTATCGATTATTTGGAAAAATATGGAGGAAAATGGAGAGAAGGATGAAGATGATGAAGAAGATTCGGGATTGGAAAGTGCGAAAACTGATCGGGAAAGATTGAAGAATCGGAAACCTACTATTGTTAAAGTTGTTAGACCTGGAGTTAGGGTAAGTTGATATATTTTTCGAGAAAATGTTGAAGCCTAAAGAAATAAAACAGAATTTTACCATCATTTTTTCCAGCCCAAACCAATAGTTGCTGTCGCTGCACAAAATATCAAAATCAGCACGGATTCATCAAATAATCAACAAAAAGAAGAAATTTCGACTTGCGAAGAAATGCGACGAAAACAAGATGAACTTTGGCTTGATTTACGACTATCACATTTGAAAAAAGAGAACCTTGAAAATGTTCCAAAATCTGATACTGAAGATACGATTACAACAACAACAACAACAACAACAACTTCGATAACACCATCTGGTGGAATTTGGACAAATCCACTGGAAGAATCGCTGACACCAACGAAAATCGACAGAAAATCAATGGAAAACTGCGAGACTTGTGGAATGCATCGAAGTTGGGCGACGCTGGCACTTTTGATGGCGGTTTGTGGCAAAGTTGAGATATTGAAAATGGAATTTGAACAATGCTCCGCGATTCCGGCGTGTTTGGATGAGTGGGAAAAAGTGATTCGATGGAAGTTGGAATCTGGAGAGGAGAAGGAGGAGGATGCGATATGTCCGAGATGTGAGACTGCGTTGAGTGGAATTGAGAGGATTATTGGTAGGTAGAGGGGGAGCCGCGTTGCAGACCGCAAGCGTTTAAAGATCTTGGGGCTGTTGGAATTTTTTTTCTTATAAAAATCACAGCCACTCCGTGGCTGGCCAGAGTACAATTTTGAAAAAAATCTCAATGTCTGTTTTTAGAGGTCAAAAGCTGACGAATTTAGAGTTTCATACTGTAAAAAATTAGCGTACAATTTTTTTATCTAACCCATGTCCCTTTAAAATACTGTACCTATAACCTCATTGCAAAAACTGAGAGGAAATGCCACGTGGATTTTCTTAGCACCAAAAATGACAAATTTTGAATTTTTACTCCTAAAATTTTCCATTCGAAACCCATGTCCCTTTAAAATACAGTGCAAAAAATGAGAAAAAATGCCACGTGGTTTTTTTAGCTCCAAAATTGACAAAATTTGAATTTTGGCGCCAAAAGATTCCATGTCCCTTTAAAATACAGTACCTATAACCTCATTGCAAAAACGGAGAGAAAATGCCACGTGGATTTTTTTAGCACAAAAATTGACAAAATTTGAATTTTGGCGCCAAAAGATCCCATGTCCCTTTAAAATACTGTACCCACAACCTCGTTGAAATTAGTTATCTTCCAGAAATTTATCTGAAAAATTTGAAGCTATTCTCAAAAATTCAAATTTCAGAGACAAAATTAAATATTTCCTAGCAAAAACTCCCCTGAAAATCTCAATTTTTGCAGCTGATGGCTGGAAAAACCTGACAATAGTGCCCGACTCCACCAAACCCAACAACAATAAAATATTCGAGCGATGTTGTCAAAATATTCCCCAGGAAAAAATGAAGACCATAATTTCTCGACAAACTCCACCGCCACCGCAAGATTCGGATTTTCCCGATCCGAATTTTTCCGATGTTCCCCCAAAACCGATCAATAATTTTCAAATCAGGGCAAAAGTTGTGCGAAAAACGTCGAAGTTGCAGAAATTTGGGTGGAAGTGGTTGAAAGCGGTGAATTTGAGGACTGTGAGTTATATATTTTTGACGAATTTCAACAATCTCAAGATTTTCAGCTTTTATCAATGGCAATATTTTGCGAAGGCAAGAAAAATGTGCTGGAAATGATATCGAGATCGGATAAATTCATAGCCAATCAAATGAGAAATCAAGATTGGTCTGCGATGGTTGTAATGTGCTCGAGAGAAGTGAATTTCAAGAATTTGCTGAGTTTCAAGGCGATTCATGAGATTTTGGAATCGGTTGGAGCTGATGGATGGATTCGACCCAAAAAACAGCAGATTATTCAAGTTGGATCGCGAAGAAGTCAATCGACAAGTTCGATGACTAGTTGGATTGTTGACACCAATTCGTGAGTTTTTTTTTTGGAGGAAGAGAGAGCGATAGTTTTAATATGGAGTTCGTGCGCTAAATTTTTATGAAAAGATTTTGAAACAGTGAGAAATTTAGAAGAATATAGTATACACTTGCTTCTTTTTGTCACTCAAAATTTTAAAAAATTGTGAGTTTTTGGAGCACGAATCGTTTTACTGCTGCTTTTTTGTGCTCAAAATTTATAGAAAAATTTTGAAACAGTGAAAAAATTAATATATTTTGAAAACTCGGGATTTTTGAGATTTCATTCAAAATTTTAAAAATTCGTGATTTTTCTTGGAACGCGGGCAATCGTGCTACTGTGGAATTTTTTTGCTCAAAAATTATGAAAAGATTTTGAAACAGTGAGAAATTTAGAAGAATATAATTGGAAACTTGTTTCTTTTTTTATTCAAAATTTATTTTTGTTTATACTTTTAATCCAAATTTATGGAAAAATTTTGAAACAGTGAAAAAATTTATATATTCTGAAAACTCGGGATTTTTTAAAGTTTAATTCAAATTTTATCAATTTTAAAGCAGTGAAGAATTCTAGGAAAGATTGTCTGCTCTTTTTTGTACCGGAATCTCGCTTGAAAAAATTCTTAGAGGCCCCGTTTTTTGAACATAAAAAATACGTTTCAAATTATTTTTGAATTATTTGAAGCTTGAGATTTTTCTAGTCTCAATTCTTCTCATGGAAAAAATAAAAATATAACATTTGAAAAATCGGCTTTTCGAAAAATTTTAATTCTGAATATTACAATTCCAAATAGCTTAAAAATACTGTTTCAAAATTATCTGACAAGGGAAGTGCATAGGGTCAGGTGTTGAACTTTTTGATGAAACGCTCGAAATATACCAAATCGACCATGCTGATCACGAATCCGAAGTCAAAAATTGCCACAAATGCCTGTGAGCAATTTTCTGGAGCTCCAAAGTTAAAATTGAGTTTTCGTTTTTGCTCATTTTCACCATGTTCCTGGGTGGAAAATCAATTTTTATTGCATGAATAAGGCTGTTCACCACATTCGAAAACCTATCAGCTTTTTAATTTTTCGAAAAATATGAAAAATCAGCTGAAAACCGTAATTTTCAAAAATGCACAAAAACTTTAAAAACCTGTGTATTTACGTGTGTTTGTGTGTATTTTCAGGACTTTCTTTGTGAACAAAATTTTTTCAAAGAAATGTTTAGTTAGCTTTATGTTCACAGAATACAACTCTTTCATTAATTTCCCATTTCCTTCCAGAAAATGTCTATTTTCAGACCAAAAATGCATATCTCAAAATTCCCAGCACCTAAATCTCGCTTGAAAAAATTCTCAGAGGCCCAGTTTTTGGAACATAAAAAAATAGGCAAATAATGAATGGGACCCCAAATGGGACCCCAAATGACTGAATGGGACCCCATGCTGAATGGGACCCCGGTGTTTAAAAATCGTCGTGATGAATGGGACCCCAAAATAATAAAATGGGACCACAGCTTTTTTTTGAATTGTCTGAATGGGACCCCGCAAAAAAAGGGACCCCGTTGAATTTTTGTATTAGTACGAATGGGACCCCACTGAAATTTTATACTGAAAGGGATACAAAATTTGAAGCCTAAGCCTAGGCTAAAAATCCTAACTAAGCCATAACTAAGCATAAGCCTAAAGGCCTAACTAACCCTAAGCCTAAAATCCTAACTAAGCCTAAACCTGAAATCCTAACAAAGACTTAAAACCCTGACTAAGCCTAAGCCTAAAGGCCCAACTAAGTCTAAGCCTGAAATCCTAACTAAGCCTAAGCCTATGCCTCACCCCAGTGCTGAGGATACGTCTAAGTTTAAGCCTACCTGTGGTCCCATTCTGAAGAAATTTCAATGGGGTCCCATTCATACTCATACAAAAATTCAACGGGGTCCCTTTTTTGCGGGGTCCCATTCAGACAATTCAAAAAAATGCTGTGGTCCCATTTTATTATTTTGGGGTCCCATTCATCACGACGATTTTTAAATACCGGGGTCCCATTCAGCATGGGGTCCCTTTCAGTCATTTGGGGTCCCATTTGGGGTCCCATTCATTATTTACCAAAAAAATACGTTTCAAAATAATTTTAAATTATTTGAAGGTTGAGAGTTTTCTGGTATCTTTTCTGTTGTTGAAAAAAATAAAAATATGACGTTTGAAAAATCGGCTTTTCGAAAAATTTCTGTAAAATAAAATAAAATAAGTTGTTTCGTTCGCAAAATTCACAAAAAATGTCCAATTTTTTGCAGAAAATGTCCCATTTGCGCACTTTCGATCAAAATGGTTGTTGGCGGAATCGATCGCGGGTTTCAGACATATTCTTGTGGACACGTCTATCATAAAATGTGCCTGGCTACAAAATATTCGATCGGTTGTCTGGCTTGTCGAATTCGAGCTCGTCGAGCCGCTGCTGAAACAAATAAGCTCAAAAATTGATTTTTTTTTTTCATTTTTTTTTTCACACCAAAAAGTTTTAATTCTCACGGGTTTCTCTCTACTCAAAGCTTTTAATATTTTGTTGTTTTCAAATATTATATGAATTTTTTTCAAATTTCTCTATCTTTTTCCCGCGGAAGAAAAAAGAATTGCATGATTTTCTGAACTATTATCTGTGGAGCGCGTTTGCTTTTGTGAACGTTGTAATTTTTTTGCAAGTGTTATTGTTTTTTGTGTTTAGGAAGGCAATCAAAATTTGATGGCATTATCGTTTTATGCACTTTTGGAAGCGGCTCTTCTTGTCTTGAACGGAATTGCCATTTTGCATAGAGAACGGTTTTTGAAGAAGGTGAGTGGCTTTTTACTCGAAAAATTTTGGAAAAAATTACTAATTTTAATTTCTCCTTGTTTTTTTTTGGATAAAAATGGTTTCAGAAATTTCTTTTTGCAAAATAAAGCGGAAAATTTCATAAGTTTCACTCAAAATCTGAATTTAGGCTCAGTTTTTAGCTTGCTCAGTTTTTAGCTTTAAAAATGTGCTATTTTCGGCCTATAACCTCTGAAAGACCTGGTTTTTAGGCTGAAAGTCGATTTTCAACAGGTTTCAAACCTCTAAACCTTCCTCTTTAGCTACACTTTTTATTGATTTTCCAGAATTTTCTAGCAGCTTTTCTTAAAATTTTGAGAAACTTTCATCGATTTTTTATGAGTAACCTGAATTTCAAGTTTTCTAGAAAAGTCAATTTTCCATTTCACTTGTTGAAACCCTCAACAATTTCCCTATTTCCTTCTAGAAAATCCAGTAATTCCCCTCTCTTTCCCCCTTTTTCCATCCACCCAACAAACACCCCATGACGACCACGCGCTGGCCGAATATCCGACAAATATTGTTTATATTCATACCTTTTTTCTTTTCTGGAAAGCCTTTTTGTCACTGTTCCAAATTTAAATAAACAAGATGATAAAGATTGATTTCTAGTATATTTAGTTCAGAAATCTTCACTGTTTCAAATTTTTTATTAATAAATTCCATATAAATAACTATAATTTGAATACTCTTTTCTTTTCTTCCAGAAAATTCACTGTTTCAAACCTTTATAAGTTCAACAAAGCTTTAAAGAAAACAATAATCTAATTATAGCTTCTATATTATAGATTTTAGTGTGTTATTTTCTATTAGATTCTGTTCAAAAATCTTCACTGTTTCAAATTTCATTGAATAACTTGATTTAGAAAGATATAAATGTTATATCGCTCATTAATTCATTATATTTAACTCAATAGAAACTTTATTTTTATGTTTTCTTAATTAAGGAAAAATTTGAAAGTTTCTTATGAAAAATTTAAAAATTCGATCAAATTTATATAATGAAAATGATAACTGAAAACTTTACTGTTTCAAATTTTCTTGAATAACTAGATTTAGAAAGATATAAATGTTAAGTAATCCAAAATACTATATGTTTTCTTTGCAGTACGGTCTTGGTGCCCCATCTCATTCATTCGACGGCAGTAATTCAGTCAAGGATCAAATCGTCTCATTGATTTTCGCCGTTCAAACGGTTATGCGAAGTAAGTCACCCTTTCTCTCTCCATCCATCAAACAACACTCCGCTTTTACAGTGCCATTAATCGCAATCAATATTGTTGTGATTGTCTTCAAATTGATTCTTGGTTAATTTTTCTTTCATAAAGAAAAGTTTTCTTCTTCTAATTTATTCATTCATTTATCTTTTATTAATTCTTCTGTAAAAAAATATGGTCAAATCACTTGATCACGCATCATTGGAATATTCAACATTTCGGGTTCCATACGAGGAATTGAATCGAAAATATCGAAACGGGCATAAAAATATTGAGAAAGTGACGACGAAGATTGGCAAGATTGGGGCGAGTATCAGGCAGAAGTTGAGCGAAAGTCAGGAACCCATTCCTGTGGATTCGGTGGGTTTTTAGTTTTTTTCTCAGAAAATCTGAGAGCTCTAAATCTTAAATAATCGTAATTTTTCATCAAAATTCGATTTTCTAAAAATTCCAAAAACCCCTGATTTTTTCCCTTCACAAAATACGTTTTAAATATTTTATACATAAAATTTAATTTTCGAATCTAACGATTCCATTTAATTTTCGAATTCATAGTAATTTAACAACCGCAGTGTTTACAACTTTTGCCACGTCATAACCATATCGAATATTTGCAGATTAAAAAAGCCTACAATAGTTTGTGTCAAAATGTGGAAGAAGCTGAAAAAGTGTTTGGAGAAGCGAGTGAAAATGGGATTCGGCAGATGGACAAATTTTTGCATCGATTGAATGTTTTGGAACAGGATGTGGGTTTTTTCACATCTAAAACTCGAAGTTTGCCACGTCATAACTCATTTAATTTTTCCAGGAATCTGTTGATCCTGACAATGATATGCTTGGTGATTTGAAGCATAATCGACTTCGCGCGGCTCGATATTCAATCGAATATTTGTTGCTTTGTGGACATTTGGAGACGGCTAAACAAATGGCGAAAAGTTTTGGATTGGAAAAAATGGTCGATTCAGAGGTTTATGAAGAATGGAGAATGGTGAGCGAGTTTATAGAAAAATTATTCAGTGTTTTTTATTTTAAAATGATATGGATTTGGAATACTTGAAGATTGTCTGTGATTTTGAAAGAAGAATTTTGGAAACAGTGAAAAAATTAGGATTTTTAAAAAGATATTTATTTTGAAAAAAAACTAGTGGTTTTTCACAAGTTGGTATAAAAAAGATTTTAAATTTTATTGTTCAGATTTCACCAGGCGGATTGAATCAGTATTTTTTCCGAAAAATGTAAAAATTTTGAAACAGTGGAAAATTTTTTATTCAAAATTTTTCACTGTTTCAACATTTCAATATTATTTTTATGTTTTTTGTTTGAAGCATTATTTTAGTTACATTCATCCAGAAAAAATTTCACATTTGAAATACAGTTTTTGCAAGTCAGAATCTTTTTAAGAATCAGTGGAATTTTCAGGTTTCAAAATTTCGATATTACTTTCGATAAATTTTGATCTGATTGCGTTATAGAAAAAATCTCAAATGTTATAGATCTTTACAGATGAATAGAACGAAAATTGAACCCAGCATTCAAAATTCACAAAATTTTTTTAGTTTTGAAAAACTAGCGGTTTTTTACAAGTTGGTATAAAAAAAAGGATTTTCAATTTTATTCTTCAGCTCCCAGATTAATTGAAGCAGTGAATTTTTTCCGAAAAATGTAGAAAATTTGAAACAGTGAAAAGTTTTTTAATTCAAAATTCTTCACTGTTTCAAAATATCGATGTTTTTTGTTTGAAGCATTATCTCCATACATTTTGTCCGGAAAAAATCTCACATTTGAAATACAGTTTTTGCGAGTTAGGATAAATATGAACTAAATATAATCAATTCAAGAATCCACGATTCTTTTCTCATCAAGAATATAACATTGTTGAAACAGTGAAAAATTTTGAATGAAACATTTCACCTTTTTTAAATTTATATTCATAGATTTTAAGATTCGCAATAATGTAATACTGTTTCCAAAAATTTTTTCAAATTTTTTTGTTGTCAAAAATTTGAAGATTTTGGCCAAAATTTATCTGATATTTTTCAAAGATTCGTAGAAATTTTGACAAATAGAAAGGATTCATTGTTTTGAATTTTTGTATTCTTGTAATGGTTGATATTTGAAACAGTGAAAAAATATTATTGCTAACTTTTCAAAATTCCTACCAATTCCCAATTTTCTTAGGTCGAAACTGCGCTGCTCGCCGGAAACACAAAACCATGTCTCGATTGGATCGATACGCATCGCTCAAAATTGAAACGAAATGATAGTCAACTTGAGATCGTGATCCGACGACAAGATATTATTGATATGGTTTTGGCTGGAAAACGTGTTCAAGCAATGGAATATGTGCGCAAATTCATCACACCATTCGCCAAAACCTTGCCATCTGTTGATATTAAATTGGTGAGTTAAATTAATTTTTAAATCAAGATTCAGCCTCTCAAAAATTATTTTCAGATAATGTCAATAATCGCGATTGCTCCATGTCTTTCCGAAATTCCCAATTCAAATTCACAAATTCACAATTACGAGGAGTTTTTGAGCGATGATCGATGGGAAAAATGTGTGAAAACGTTTCAAACTGAAGTTTATCGAACTTATCAACTTACCGATCAATCTGCATTTTCGATTTGTTTACAAGCTGGAATTGCTGCCCACAAAACTCCATCGTGTAAATGTGATCCAAGACCGGCTAAAGAGGTTTGTGTGGTTTTTTTGTGGTTGGGAAAAATATGTTTCAAATTTTTTATTAATAAATTCCAAATATACAATTAATGATTCTTGTCAAGAATTTCTTGAAGAAAGATAGAAGAATTTTTCGGGGAAAAATACTGTTTCAAAATATTGGATAAAACAACTTCTTGAATAATTCACTGTTTCAAATAGTTCATTTTCAACATTTTTCAATTTTTTTTTCAAATTAATTGATTCGGCTTATGATCATGCTTATTTAATTTCAAAAAATATTTACTTCAGCAAAAATTAAAATTTTGAAAAATTTCACTGTTTCAATATTTTTTTAAAATTCAATTTTCATAATGAATTAGCATTAGAGTAAGTAAATTATTGAGAAATTCACTGTTTCAAAAATTATATTTTTCAATTTTTATTCGAATCAATCTGTATGGATTCTGAGAATTTCTAGTGAATAACGGTTTTCAAAAATTAAATTCTAGGCCTACGGTGAAAATAAAACTTTTTTTTGTAAAATTAAATTTCACTGTTTCAAAAATTCTATGTTTTCTTTTTGCTTATTGAAAAAATTGTTTGGGAAAAAAATACTGTTTATTGGGTTTTTGAGGTTTTCTAGAAAAAATTCACTGTTTCACATAATTAATGTTCAATTTTTCAATTTTTTTCAAATTAATTGTATCGGCTTATGATATGATCATGCTTATTTAATTCCAAAAAATATTTACTTCAGCAAAAATTAAAATTTTCAAAAATTTCACTGTTTCAAAAATTCTTTATTTTTTCCTGCTTTATGTGAAAATTGTTATTTTTGAAGTTCCAACTCTCAAAATTTATTTTCCAAAAAAAAGCAAACCAAACATCGTTTCGAGACCCCAAGCAAACGTCAGCACAATTTTTTGTTATTTTTTTTGCAATGAGAAATTGGATACATTTTTCATTCTCGTGTGTTTATTTTATTTTTGAAAATTTGTGGAGCTTCAAAAATTCACTGTTTCAAACCCTAACTATTTTATTTTCACATTAAATTCAGTGATTTGTTCACAATTTTGTTTCTGTAGAGCATACTTTAAATTATAAATAGATAGAAAAATGCATTTTCTGATTAAACCTGAAATTGATTTTTGGATGAAAATTGGGTTGAAATTCTGAGTATTTTGATAGCTCATTCGAGCGGAGCGAGTGTAGACCGCAACCTTCCGCGTAAGCGGCACGTTCTACCGCTTTAGCGGCCACGTGGATTCACTATGACTTGGAAGCTCTTAGGCGCAGGTGCTTTAAAACTATGATCTGTAGGCGCTGATCCTTGACAATTGAACTACCCAGGCACGGCTACTTGATATTGAAGCTCTTTAGGAGCGGCTCCTTGTCAGAGTGAATCTTTAGATGTGGCTTTTAGGCAATTAGGAATTAGGTTGTTAAGGCGCGGCTACTTGGAAACTAGGTTCTCTAGGCGCTTGTTAGAATTTTAAATTGGAAAATTTCACTAATCCACCCCATTTCCAGGTCGATTGTTATGTGTGCAACGAAACAGTTTGGCGGCTCGCCGACGGTCTACCAAATGCTCACGTCACAGTGTCTCGCATCCTGTGCTCAATGACCGGCGAACCGTGCAACGAGACAAATATCCCATATCTTCTACCATCCGGACATGTTTATGGACAATCAGCAATTGATCAACTTCGAAGAGGCGATGATGTTGTGTGCCCAGAAACTGGATCATTGGTCCCAATTGAAGAATGTCAACGATTATTTTTCCTTTGATTTTTTTACTCTTTTTCTCTGAAACCCTGAAATCTATGAATATTCCAATTAAAACTTCTGATTTTTTAAATTTCACTTGAAAGCGAGTTGATCGCCCGTAATTATTTATTTTCAATCAATAATAATTAGTTAATTAAGAAGATAATATTCAGATGGAGATCCATCCGATGTTCATCTTCCTTGTGATATTTCTATCGGTCCCAGCGCAATATTATTTTTCGCCAAGCAACGCGGGACACATCAAATATCACTTCAAAAAATTGGCCACAACAATTTCGAATTATTTACCGGAGATTTGGGAGAAAGGAAATGGAAAAGGAAAAGATGAAGAAGTTGTGATTGAGAAAAAAGAAGGAGAGGATTTGGATGATTTTGATACAATTGATCAGTTTGGATGTGAGTTTTTGGGGGGGGAATTGTGAAATTGAGAAGTTTTGAAACAATAATTTTAAAATGACGCCCAAGTTCTCTAGAAAATACCCTAACTCTTCGTCCATCAATTCGAATCCTAATGAAAATTTTTGAAGACCAAAAAATTATCAAATTTCTTTGAAACAGTAAAATTTCCAGGCATTTTTTTTTTTACTGAAACAGTCAAATATTTTAATTGAGAAAATTCAAATTTTTCAAAACAATTTAATACAAGTTCTCTAGAAAATACAAAAATTCTGGAAAACTTTTGAAATTTTTGAAGTCGTTGAAAATTTTCAAAGACCAAAAATCATGAAAATTCATTGAAACAGTAAATTTTTAGTGTGAAATTAGTTGAGAAAAAATTAACGGTAAATTTTTGGATGACAAAATCTTTGGGAAAGTTAGTGTTCTAAATAAAAGACTGCACAGTTTCGCATCAAAAATTTATCTCAATTATCAAGAGAATCATCAGACATTGGAGCATACCAAGAACCATCCCATACTCTTTTTGGTCGACTATGAATCTTTGCAATAGTAACTTCTTCTCCAGCATTGACCAAGTCTCGAACTTTTCCCGCATATATTTTATAATGCAAGTTCTCTAGAAAAAAACACTGATTCTGGAAAACTTGAAAATATTCTTTCAATTTTTTCGTATCGACCTTCTTGAATGTAGAATTCATAAAGACAACACATAAAAATTACAATATTGGATAGGTGAAATTCGATGGCGCCATTTCGAAAATAAATGTTGTGAAACAGTGATTTTTTTGAACATTTTTCTCAAAGTTATTTTACAACTATGAACATTTTGAAACTTGAAATTTTTCATTTTTTAATGAATTTATATTGGTTTTTAATTGAGAAAATTCAAATTTTTTCGGCAAAACTCTGAAAAATATTTGAAGTCATAGAAAATTTTCAAACACCAAAAAATTATGAATTTTCTCGAGTTGGGAGTGCAAACATACCACTTCTGTACTTATCAGAATTTTCAAAAGATTTTTTGATACCTCCTACATTTTTTCAATATCGCATTTTTCTTTAAGAAATAATTAATGCATTTTTGAAACAGTCAAATTTTGGAAAATAATTTTTTAGAGTCATTTTAGTGTGAAATTAGTTGAGAAAAATTAACGTTAAATTTTTGGATGACAAAATCTCGTGATCCCAAAAAGTGTTCCCAAAACTACACATTACATAAAAAAGACTGAACAGTTTCGCATCAAAAATTTATCTCAATTATCAATCATCAAGAGAATCATCAGACATTGGAGCATACCAAGAACCATCCCTTACTCTTTTTGGTCGACGAATCTTTGCGATGGTAACTACTTCTCCAGCATTGACCAAGTCTCGAACTTTTCCCGCATATATTTTATAATCCGCCATCAATTTGTCCGTTCTTTTAGTTTTTTCGTATCGACCTTCTTGAATGTAGAATTCATAAAGACAACACATAAAAAAACAATATTGGATAGGTGATTCGATGGCGCCATTTCGATAACGTTGAAGAGCTTGGAAATAATTGTTTACAAAAAAATCTGAAAATTATTGAATTATTTCAATCCCTTTGTGCTTTTTTCCTCCCTTACCAGCAATACGATATTTGTTAAAAGTCCAGGTGGAAATATCAATGTGAGTGAAAAAATAAATAGCCATAAATGTGGCAGATCTTCCGATTCCATTATTACAATGAAAAACCATTGGAATATGTGATTGATTCTTTTTCATCAACCATTTATATAATTCAAGTGTCAATTTGGTGTCATCTGGTGTTGTTTTTTCTGGCCACCAAGTCACATTAATATGATTGACTCTTCTTGGTCTTCTATCATTTCCAGTAGTGTTAATCAAATGTAAAACAGTCCATGTTACACCTTCAATCGGATCTTTCTCTTTTCTCACATGTTTCACCTCGAAATTATCATATTTCTCGCTTCCTTCTTCAATTGGATAATATTGTGCACTTTGTTCAACTCCATTTTCAATAAATGAGCAAAACATCACAATATATTCAACATTTTCTTGATAAATCATCGCCCAAAAATCAGGAATTGTTTCTTTAAGTGGACCCTGAGTCAAGATATTCTTTCCTCGATACTCTTCGTGATCACAAACTACCCAAGACGCATTGATATAATCATTTTTTCGATTTTCTAGAATAACTCGAGAACTATCCTTACATTTTGGCTTACTATAACGGTTCAAAGTTGGATTCGCGTTGAAAGCATAAAATGAGGCATATTCGAAGCCTCTTCTGATTTCAAAATCATCGAAATCTCTTCTTGCATATTTCTCAATAAGATAACACTCATCTTTCAATATTTGAACATTTTTCACATGAGTTTCTGGTGGTATCGGATTTATCTTCTCATTTCGATATAATTTGATTGGTACTTCTTTTTCGAATTTCACAGTTTCGTTTTGCTTCAAAGTTGTTGTTGTATCTTTCTTCACAGAATCCGCCGCCACTTTTTTCTTCTTTGAGCATTCAATCAATAAATAACTCATCAATCCAGGAATTGCTCCAAATAGAAATATTTGCAACATAATTTGACTTCTTTTATATTTTGAATAAGTTAGGAATGATTGCTCCAAAATGAGCAAAACCACGTGCATTTTTCTGGGTCACGCTTCATTTTTTTTTCTTTTTGGATTGACTCGTTTTTTATTGGATTATTTTATGAAACAGTAAATTTTTGGGTGAAAATTATTTTATTATTTTTTTAAAATTTTAAGTTAATTAGGAGAATTTTATTTTTGAGAAACAAACTTTGGTTTATTTTTGTATTATCAAAGTAAAAAAATTTGGCAAAAAAAAACGGAGCCTGGAAATGCAAATGTCATTCTTCCCGAGTACGGTGTTTCTGCTAGTCGCTGCGAGACCCATATGTGCGTCTTTGACTTCGTTTCTCTGCCCAATGGGGTGTTCTCGAAACGATGTTAGTGACGCAGAGGAATACCGTACTTGGGGAAATTGGGATTTGAATTTCGGGCCTCTCTTTTTTTGCCAATTTTTTTCACTTTGATAATAATCGAATAATGAGAAATTTTAAAGATCAAAAAATTTTAAAATATTTTTTAAACAGTAAAATTTTCGTAGAAATTTCCAAATGATTTATAAATCTTGTGCTGAAGCAGTCAAATTTATTTTAAATCTTTCATCTTGTGAAATTGAAATTTTTCAAAGACCAAAAAACCATGAAAATTCTTTGAAACAGTAAAATTTTCGTAGAAATTTCAAATGATTTAAAAATTTTGTGAAACAGTACATTTTTAGAAGTTTTTCCGATTTTGATGGAAATTTTCAACAGTTATAGTTGACGCAATGAATTTTCAAAAACTCCCAAAAATTATGAATTATTGTTGAAACGTAAAATTTTCAGCAAATTTTTTTTCTGAAACAGTCAAATTTCTTGTAATTGAAATTTTTCAAATACCAAAAATCATGAAAATTCTTTGAAACAGTAGATTTTTAAAATTTGGAACTATCTAGAAATTTTTTGTAAAAAATCAAAAAATTATAATAAAAAATTTTAAAACAGTGAATTTTTCAAACCCCTGATATCATGTAGAAACAAAATGTAAACTAGTTTTTCCCCCAACAATAAATGATGATAATTCTCGCGAAACAAAAATCTATTTACCTTTCCACTTTATCTTTTGATTTTTGCTCTTCTGAAACACAAAGTGCAAAAAACTTCCGGGAAAAAAATTGAAAATTTAACGCCATTTCCAAATTCCACGTTTATTTTTACAGTAGGACATTACGAACGAATCCGAAGTCCAAATGTGAAATTCCGTGTCGGCGACATTGTTTATCACAAAATCCTTGGCTATCGAGCTGTTATAATTGGGTGGGATGAGAAAGCAATGGCACCAAAAGAATTCATTCAACAAGTGCATCGCGGAAAATCCGAATGGACAAATAATCCGAATTATGCGGTTGCAATTGATTTGCGCGATCGAATGAATCCACAAATTGGATATGTTGTGCAGGAGAATTTGGAATTGTCGAAGGGAAGGGTTTTGCAGATTATTACGGCCAAGTATTTTGAGAAGTTTGACGAGCATCGGAATCGATATGTTATGCGACCTTTTATGCGCGAGTTTTATCCGGATGATTGATTTTTGAAGAGTAGAAAGGGGCGGGGTTGGAAAATCGAGGTAGAGCTCTGAGTTTTGAAAATTTTGGCTAATATGAGCAATCCTCTAGTAAAATGAAGGAATTCTATTAATCTGCGCAATTTTCTTTGAACAAGTAATTTTAGATTTTTTTTTGAAAAAAATTTACTGTTTCAAGATTTTTCGAAAAAAATTCAAAGTTCAGCAATTGAAGATTTGAAACAGCAAATTTAAATTTTTTTGAAAAATTTACTGTTTCAAGATTTTTAGGAAATTGTTTTCGAAAACACAAATTTAATGGTTGTTCAGCAATAGCCATCAGAATTTATTTTTTTGAAATTTTTTGCAAAAAAAAATTTCCAAGCTTTTCAAAATTTGGAGTTCTATTTAACTTTGTGCTCTGAAGTTTTTTATAAAAAATTTGCTGTTTCAAGATTTTTTTTTTTTTGAAAATCGTTTTTGAAAACAAAAATTTTATGAATTTTGTGTTTCACCAGAAAATTTTCCCAAGGTTTTCAAAATTTGCTTGAAAAAAATGGCTAAAAATTCATGAGAAAAATTAATTTTTTACATAAAATTTCACATTTCTTTCGAAAAAAATTTACTGTTTCAAGATTTCTAGAAAATTGTTTTTGAAAACAAAAATTTAATGGTCCATGAATCATAAATTTTAAAACAGCCAACAAAATTCAGATTCTGAATTTTTTGTTTCCCCAAGTTTTTCAAAATTTGAAGCTCTAATTTGGAGCTCTGAAGCTTGAAAAATTGGCTAAAAATTTATCAGAAAAATCGTATTTTTATTGCAAAATTTCACGTTTCTTTTGAAAAAATTTGCTGTTTCAAGGATTTTTTGAAAGTTTTTTCTGAAAACAAAAATTTAATGATCCAACTTTACGTGAAAAAAATTTCCCCAATATTTTTAAATTTGGAGCTCTAACTAAGTACTAAGAGCTCTGAAGCTTGAAAAATTGGCCCAAAATTTATCAAAAAATTTCACGTTTCTTTTGAAAAAAATTTACTGTTTCAAGATTTCTAAAAAATCGTTTTGAAAACAAAAATTTAATGGTTCGGCAAAAGACACGATCAAAATTTAGAGTTCTATTTAACTTTGTGCTCTGAAGTTTCTTATAAAAATTTGGCCCAAAATTTATCAGAAAATTTTAGATTTCTCTCGAAAAATTTGCTGTTTCAAGATTTCTAGAAAATCGTTTTTGAAAACAAAAATTTAATGGGCCATGATCATAAATTTTAAAACAGCCAACAAAATTCAGATTCTGCATTTTTTTGCGAAAAAAATTTCCCTAAGTTTTTCAAAATCTGGAGCTCTAACTTTAAGCTCTGAAGCTTGAAAAATTGGCTAAAAATTAATCAGAAAATTATGATTTTTAATGTAAACATTCAGATTTTTCTTGAAAAAATGTACTGTTTCAAGAATTTTTGAAAATTGTTTTTGAAAACAGAAATTTAATAGTTCAACAATAGCCAAAAAAAAATTTCAAGCTTTTCAAAATTTGGAGCTCTAACTTTGTGCTCTGGAGCTTGAAAAAAATTGGCTAAAAAATTATCAGAACATTTTATTTTTTTGTGAAAAATTTGCTGTTTCAAGATTTCTATAAAATTGTTTGTGAAAAATTCAATGATTCAGCTAAATCAAAAAAAATCAAAACTTAGGTTCTCTAACTCCCACCCTCTTCTCAAATGTCAGTTTCATTTTTTTTAAATCAAAACTTGTTTACGGGCCTTTTTCTAATCTTTGTGATTTATTGATTTCTTGTCATTTTTCTTTTTTTCTGGGTATTTTTTTGTTGCTAATATAAATTTTCATAGAAAGAACAAACAATTTGTTCAAAAATAAATTAAACATCTTTGGGTTTAAGGTGACAATTTTCGGTGGCAAGTTCGTCGAGTTTTTGATTGTCCAAACCGCTGACAGCTGTTGTGTCCCATTCTCGATTGTCTTCTGGATCTTCGCCGGTTAACGCGACACGCCATATCATTCGAGCGATGAACTAGAAAACTATTGAATTTTGGGAATTTAAAAAAAAAGATTAGAAAAATGTAATGAAAATTTTTAAAAACCGAAAAATTATGAAATATTTTTGAAACGTAAAATTTCCGGGAATTTTTATTTTAAACAGTCAAATATTTTTAATTTGAAAAATTTTTGAAGCAGTCAAATTTTTTGTAGAAAAAAAACTAAAATTTAATTCTGAAATCTGAAGTTTGGGATTTTTGAAATGAAGATTTGGAATTGATAAGTTCCATAGATGATAGAAAAATCTGGAAAACTTTTAACCTTTTTTTGAAAAAAACCAAAAAATTATGACGTATTTTTGAAACGTAAAATTTCCGGGAATTTTTTTTTTGAAAATTATGGTTTTTCTGAAACAGTCAAATATTTTTAATTTGAAAAATTTTTGAAGCAGTCAAATTTTTGTAGAAAAAAAATTAAAATTGAAAAAAAAACTCACATTAAACCAATAAACATTCATTCCAAAAATGATAACAAGCATAATTCCCAAAAGCGGGAAAAATGGCGCGTTTTGCGGACCCAAATAAACAGCTCCATATATTGTTGCATATAACAATTTACATGTATACCAATACAATCGGAATATTACCCTGGAATTTATTGATTTTTAAATTTTTTGCTATTTAGAAAAATCAAAAAGTTACCAAATAATGGCGAAAAGAATGAAAGCAGCATTTCCGACGAGAAAATAATATTTATAATATCTTCCATTTGTTCGTTTTTTGAGGTAGAATGAAAGTTTTGTGATTTCAAGTGTCGCATCGGAATTGTCATGAAGAAATAGGACAAGTGCACCAGCTTGAGTAAAACTGGAAAAAATATTGATTTTTTTTTAGATTTGAAACTCTAATTTATTGCATGAATAAGAAACACGTTAAACTAGTTTTAAAAATTTTTCAAAAATTTGTTTTAATTTTGAAACAGTAGATTTTTGAAATTGTCTGAAAATTATGAATAGTTTTTGAAAGAAATTCAAATTCTGAGAATATCGTAATAAAAATTTTAGAGAAAATTTTAAAAAATATTTTGAAACAGTAGATTTTTTGAACGCATATCAATGTTGATATCGCAATAAAAATTTTTGAGAAAATTTTTAAACTGTAAATTTTTGAAAATTTTTTAAATTAAATTTTTGGATTTAATCGAACTTTAAGCAATTCTGATATCTTGAAAAAAATTTAATGAGAATTTTGAAACAGTAAATTTTTTAGGTTTTCAATTTTATATCGCTACAAGACAACCAAAACAGCCAATCAATCCTGAAAGATTCAATTTCAGTAGTAAAAACTGTGAAACAGTGAGATTTTTATTATCCAATAATTTCGAAAACTTTATGATATCAGAAAAATTACCATTTTTGCTAGTTTCAAAAATCCCTGAAACAGTAAAAAATTTTGTAAATATTGTCTAGAAACATCCCCAGAACTCACTTGGAGACCAAATCTGGAATAATTTGACAACTAGATTAAATTCAATAATTTTTTGAGAATGTTTTGAAACCGTAAATTTTTAATTTTTCGAATTCAACCCACACATGAAACATTAAACCCTGAAATATTAAATTTCCGAAATAAAAATTATGAAACAGTGAGATTTTTATTATCTCAAATTTTCAAAATATTTTCAAAAAAATGCCCAAAACTCACTTATCAACATAGGACAAAAACAACAATCCCAACGCAACAAAATGATGAACAAACATAAGCCAACTATCTTTTCTCCACAAATCCATGAAAAGTGTTGCATAAATTGAGTGAAGATAAAATGCAGATTGAACTGCATACAAGATTTGCAGCATTGTCTGCATTTTTGGGCGCTCTCCAGATTCCCATTCTGGAAAAAAATGGATTTTAGTTCGTCAATCGCAGAAGGAACGAAGATTATTTTTGTGAATTCAATATTTTTCTTTACTAATTTTTTGAAACAGTCAATTTTTTATGGTCATAACAAATTTTAAATTTTCAATTTTTTTGTAATAAATTTTTGAAACAGTGAAAAATTGTGTTGAAGAAAAAATGTTTGTTTTTCACAATTTTTTGAGCAAAATTTGAGTCTGGAAACCCTTAGGCTACTGTAGAAAATTGTGCCAAAAGTTCCAAAAATTTTGGATCAACCAGGTTACTGTAGGAGAATCTTTTTCTAGGCTGAAATTTTTTGCTGAAAATCATTGAAACCTCGATTTCTGATGATTTTTAGCAATTTCAGCGATTTTCAGCGTAAAATTTGACACTAAACCCAATTCAAAAGCTACTACCAGGTTACTGTGGGAAAACTTCTGAATTTTCTAGAATTTCAGTAAAAAATTTGACTTTGAAATTGAAAAATTCATTCAAATTTTCGAAATTCTGAAAAAATTCATCAAATTTGGTGTCAAAAATCCAGAATTTTTTAAAAAAATTCAAAAAATTTTCCCAAATGCCACGTGGCAATTAGCGATATTCCAACTCACCAATCCACATCGACAATGGATCATTGAAAACATCATGTGTCTCAATACAAGTATGAAAATACAAAGTGAACATCCAAACAATTCCATAATATGTGAGCTTCCAGAAGGATTCGGGAACTTTGTGAGCAAATCGAGGATAAATATTGTGGGTTGCTGTCCAAGACTGGAATTTTATGAGGTTTTTTTGTTGGAGAAATGAGAAAGAAAAAAATTTGAAAAAAAAAGTTCGCAGGCGAGGGGAACCGAACTTTGGATAGTTGGCCGAAAGACCAGACGCGCTAACCACTTGGCCACCCTGTCATTTATTTCAAATGTCACAATTTTCGTAGAAAAGAGAGCTCACCAACCTGTAATCTGACTTGCAAATAATACCGAAGAATTGTGAAAATAAAGGCAAGACCCAAAACTGTATACAACTCATTATTTGATAATCGAACTTCTGCAACAAAATTAATTTCAGATTTTTTAAAAATTATTGATTAATTAATTTGTTAATTAGTACAGATAATTCAATTTTTTTATTAACACTTTTAAACTTGATTAAAATTATGAAAAATTTTTGAAACAGTAGAAATTTTTAGATCAATTTTTGCTTAATTAATTAATTAATTAATTAATTACCCTAAATTCCCAATTCTTATAAGTCTTACGTTTAAAATCAGAGATCATAGAAGAGGGAAATGAATAATCGGGTCGAAGTTTGGCATATCGGCGAACCCAATGCGGCACAGATTCGCTTACTAATTTTATCTGAAAAAAATCTTTTTTGAGCTGAAAATTTTAAGCCTAGGCATATTTATACTCAAAAAATCCGGAATTTTGAGCCTGAACAAGCCTAAAATCATACTTACCAATATAAATGGATTTGCTGTAGATGTTCGATAAATCGATGGATGTGTTATATTATATTCAGGACCTATCAACATCTCACATATGCTGCAAAAAAAGCAAATTTTGTAAAAATAGTTGAGTTTGATGTTTGGGGTAGAACTTATTGAAACACTGTGTTTGACACAAAAAAAAATGGAGAGTAAGTACAAATAGAGCAAAAAAAAAGAAGGAAACTGGTTTTTTTTTGAGTTATGATGTTGTTAATTTTTGAATGGGAGAGCAAGAATATATTTTGGGAGCAAATATGGAATTTTCAACAATTGATAGAAGATTTATTATTTGAAAAACTAATGAAAACGTTTAGAAAAATTTTGAAACAGTGAATTTTTTTGGGGGAAAATAAAAATTTAATAATTTTTATTTATTTTTTATTTATATTTTATAATTTTTATTTATATTTTATTTATAATTTAATAATTTTTATTTATTCATAAAAGCTTGACTGTTTTTTGAAACAGTTAGTTTTTCGAAAATTAAACATTTTTTTAAATTTATTTTTTTAATGATATTTTTTAAAGTGTCGATGGCACGTAACAATCCAAATATTCCATTTTTTTTCTTGAATAAATTTTGAAACAGTGAATTTTTTTTTGAAAATAAAAAAGTTAATAATTTTTTTTTATAAAAGCTTGACTGTTTTTTGAAACAGTGGGAAAATGAATTTTGAACATTTTTTTAAAGTTAATTTTCAGAGAAAATTTCAGACTATTTTTGAAGTTTTTTTTTCAATGATATTTTCTTTAGTGTAGATGGCACGTAACAATTCCAAATCTTCAATTTTTCTTCTTGAATAAATTTTGAAACAGTGAAAAAAATTTGTGTTTTTTATGAGAGCAGAAAAAAAAACTTGTAGTTTTTGTAGTTTCGAAAGTGGAAGCACGTGACAAAACGATTTTGAGAAAAGAAAAAAGTGGAGAAAAAAATAGAGACTTTTAATACTTTTTTGGTAGATCATGAATAATTTTTCTCTAAAGAAACATGTTGTTCAGAAGTTCAAAATTCAAAATATGAAAATTTTTGACTTCAAGCTTTATTATTTTTCCAGGACTTTAAGAGAATCAAAACTGTTTCCAGAATTCAAAGATAAATTATCTAAAATTTTTGAAACAGTAAAAAAAAAATTTTTCGGGGTAGAGAAAACCAAAAACTAGAAGTTCGCAGAATTATTCAATCAATTCCAAAACTCAAAAAAAACGTTATCTCAAATTTTTGAAACAGTGAAAATACATAAAAGGTAAAATTTTGTAGCTCAAAATTAGAGCAAAAAATTGCAATTTTCTTCACATTTCCCCAAGAAAAAGTACAAAAATGGGGGGAGGAAAGAGGAAATACATAATAATGTTTCAAGTGAAGTAGTCAGTCTTGTCGTTTTTCTTGTCCAGTTGCGTTGCCAGCCAAAATCTGTGTGTGTGTTTGCGCGCAATGCTCAAACATTGTTCTTCTTGCTCTTTTCGCTATTTGTTGTTGTATCCTACAAAAGAAACACTTTAGGAGGAAGATGATTTTCTCTACGTCAGTGAATTTTTTTTTGAAAATAAGCAAGAAAAATAACAGTTTATCATATTTAACAAAGATTAACAATTAAAAAAAATAAAAAAATATATTGATTATTCCTGATTTTTTTCGTTTCCTATTTGATTGTGTGAGATCTTCTGAAGTGATGATCAAAGTGAATGTTTCGATTCGTTGATCGGGAGACATTCTGCAAAAAATTCAGATTTTCAGAAGATTCTAGAAGCCGCGTGGCCAAAAACATCCTATCTAGAATTTTGTGAGATTTGATTTGAAAGTCATTTTTGGAGATAACAAATTGTCAATGTTTTTGGGGGAAAAACACAGCAAAAAATCACTGTTTCAGAATTTGTAAAAAATTTTTTGCCAAAAAAATGATTTGATAATGTCTTTGAAAATATATATTTTTTTTGAAAAAAATTACTGTTTCAAAATTTTCATAACATTTTTTTTTGCCAACGAGTTCATTTGATAGATAGAACGACAAAAAAAAAAAACGGAAAAAATTACGTTTCAAAATGTTTATATCATTTTTTGCCAAAAATTACATTTGATAATGCCATCGAACACTTTTTTTTTGAAAAAATTACTGTTTCTAAATTTTTCTAACATTTTCAGCCAAAAAAATCATTCGATAATGTCATTGAATATTATTATTTTATGAAAAAATAATTACCGTTTCAAAGTTTTTCTAATATTATCTGCCAAAAAAAATCATTTGATAATGCCATCGAAAATTTTTTTTTGAAAAAAAATCACTGTTTCAAAATTTTCATAACCTTTGTTGTTAAGCGAGTTCATTTGATAAAGTTAAAAATCAAATTTCAACAAAAAACATCGAGAAAAAATCACTGTTTCAAAATTTTCATAACATTTTTTTGTTAAACGAGATAGAACGATGATCAGATTTTAAATCGAGAAAAAATCACTGTTTCAAAATTTTCCGAAAATTTTCTGCCGAAAAAAAATTATTTGATAATGCCATCGAAGATTTTTTTTTTGAAAAAAATTACTGTTTCAACATTTTCATAACATTTTTTGTCAAACGAATTCATTTGATATATCGATCGAAAACTTTAAAATCAGATTTTAACAAAAAAAAACGGAAAAATTACGTTTCAAAATGTTTATATCATTTTTCGCCAAAAATGACATTTGATGATCAATATCTACGGTCTCGCAAGATAAATTTGATTTATTATCAAAATAAATAAAAATTGACAAAAAAAGAAGAAGCCAGAAATTCAAATCCTCATTTTCCCAAGTACGGTATTCCTCTGCGTCACTAACATCGTTTCGAGACCTCTCCAGAGAAACAAAGTCTGGCAGAAAAACCGTACTTGCGAAGAGCATTTTCTGTTGTTAAAAATTTGAATTTTTCCTCCCCCCCCCCAAAAAAAAACACTCACCCAACTTGAATATTAACCCAATCATCCGGATCACATTGTTCAAAAATCCTCGATGTTTTCGTTTCCCGTGCAACAGTCTCCGTTTTCTTCTCCTTTCTCACCAATTTTTGTAAATCCTCCACAGTTTTAATTTCCATCGAATCGTCCAAATTCACATTATTGTCGTATTTGATTGAAATGTTCAGAATTCGTCGAATTTGATTTCTTCGTTTTCTCGACAAATTCGGCACTTTTCCCATAATTTGCATGATTAATTGACCTTCGAAAAATGAGGGAACCAATAGGATTTGATTCAGAATTTGGGGCCATTCATTTTCAGCAATGCTATCACTTTTCACTGGAAAAATGCGTGGATTTAGGAGAAAAATTTCACTGTTTCAATTTTTTCTCAAATTAATTTGAGATTGGGAGAATTTTGGTTTAAGATGAGTTTCAATTTGATTGAAATTTTTCAAAATGAACATTTGCCACGTCATATTTGATTTTCTGTAATTTTTCTGAAAATCTACGTGGCAAAATGGACAGATTTTTAAAGCAAAAATTCATGAAACAAGTCAAAATTAAATGCAAAATCCACGTGGAAAATTTTTATTTGTTTAAAATTTTACATTTCTTTCGAGCTCAAAAACCTTCGCCACGTCATAACTGATTTTCAGTTTTTCTGAAAATCGTGAAAAATCCACGTGGCAGATTTTTGAGCCGAAAATTCATGAAACAATTCAGAATTCATAGTTTCAAATATTAAATTTACTAAAAAAAAATCCACGTGGCAAGGCTTCACCCGAAAAATCAAATTTTGGAAACAAAATTCAACTGTCTCATAGTTTTCCAGCAAAAAACCCACGTGGCACATATTTTGCAATGAAAAACCATGGTTTTTTTGAGCTCAGAGTCTTTTTTTCCAGATTTTCTCAAAAATTATTCAAAATTCATCGTTTTTCACCAAAAATCCACGTGGAAAACATTTTGATACTAAATTTGATCGAAAACTGTGCCAGACTTGCAGAAAATGGGCGTGGCTTAGTGTGCTGATCGTTTTAATACTAAATTTGATCGAAAACTGTGCCATGGTTGCAAAAAAGGGGCGGAGCTTACTCTTCAGACCAAATTTGCTAAATTTTGCATAGAAAAAACTGTGCGAGCCACGCTATGCCAGCCGATACAAAAATTAAATTTCTGGGAGACGCAGACTTTTAACACAGGCAGAGACATCTCTCGCTTTTCCTTCCCCCTCGGGCGATACAGTGTGCTGTTGGCAGACACAGCAGACAAGCAGACACACACACAAAACATAGCGCATGGCCGCGCCGCTTTTCGTCTGTCGCTGCGTTTATAGACCACATCGGCGTCGCCCTTTGATGTGTTGAGGTCTCGCAGCGACTTTCTAACCGAAAATGAATGTCTGCGTCTCTTCGAATTTGTGTGGTGGCACGACGTGCGAGACTTGCACTATAAAAGGTCCACGTGGCAAAACAGGAAATTTCAAATCAGATTTTCGAGCCACAAATTCATGGAGCAAGTGAAAATTCAGCATTTTAGTTATCAAATTCACTATAAAATCCACGTGGGAAATTAGTCAAAATTCATCATTTCAAATATTTTCTCACCAAAAATACACATAAATTTTGGAATAAAAAAATTTGAATTTTTTAAATTTTTCAGTGAAAATTATTCAAAATTTATCATTTTTTACACATTTTCGCGCCAAAAACCCTCCGCTCACCACACTGTTCAATAATATCCCTCGAATACGCCACAATCTGATGTTGACTCGTCGTCTCCAAATCTGTTTCCAACAATCGAACAAGGAGTGCCGAAATGAATTCGGTGGTGAAACCCAACTCGAAGATCAGCAAGAACATCGGCTCCCAGAATTTCTGAACTTCTTCCGGGATTTGATAGGAGGCTGAAACATTTTTTTACATTAGGTCTCGATTTCCTGGAGGTAAATAAATTGAAAATTCAAGAAAAAAACATACGATCATCTGAAGTTATTCTTGAAGCTTGTCGAAGTTGATCAGGAGTTTGAATGAGAATTCCATTCATGATTAGAGTTCGCAGAAATTTACTGGAAAAATTTGTTGTGAAAATTGGGTTATGACGTGGCGAAAAAT